TCCACTCATTTTATCGTAAAAGCTTGTAATTAACCTAGTAATTAAGATTATTAAATTTAAATAAATATAGTAGCTTTTTTTTAAAGTTGTTACGTATTAAGTTGTTAAGGCAATAAAAAAACTTAAGTTTTACTTAATATAATATAATATAATATAATGTAACACATTTATATTATTATATTTAATTTTAAGCTTTAAAATTTTTATTCTTTAATTTATTGCAAGCCCTTTGGCTTAAAATATTAAATAAAATTTAAAATTATTATGAAAATAAATGTATTATTACGTAATATATATAAATTAAGTGTTATTATCTTTAAATAAGTATAATTATTATTTTTTATTAAGTATTTAATTGGAAAATTAAATTCCGGCTTAACAATTTAAAAGCATAAACCATAAAGTAAGCTAAGGTTATTAAATTTAAATAAAAATAATTATTACTTTATATTAAAATATTAAATCTATATCCCCGGTTTTAATTATATTTAAATTAAGTTATAACCATTTCTTTTTTTATTTTTTAAAATAAAAATTTATTCGTATTAACAATTATTTACATTTAAAATTATTATAAATATTATATTTAAATTAAAAAATTATTACGTATTATACATAGGAAATTAATAATTCCATTATTAAATTATACTTTAATTAATTTATATATATAAAATTATTATATGATTTTTTATTTTAATTTTATTTAAGCTTATAATTTTTAATTAACTATGATTTTTATTAATAAACATATACTTATTAAAACATTTACTTAATATGTTTAAACTAGTTTAAGTTTTTATATTTTTATAATTTTATAAAAATAATATATATATTAATAAAATTAATTATAACATAAAACTTTTAATAATTTAATTTTAATAATATAAATATTAAATTAATGTAAATTATTAAAAAAAACTTTTTTTTAATTATAAAACGTTTAAAATATTTTATTAAAAATTACGTATTATATGAACCTTTCGGTTATATAATTATATTTAATTTATTATTTAATAATTTTATAAAAAATATTTTAAATTAAATGTAATTTATATTATCCGGTTTAATTTTTTAAAAATTAATTAAAGTTTTATTTATAAATTAAATAAAATATTTTTAATAAGATTATTTAAGTTAAGAATTAAAAATTATATAAATTTAGTTACGGGTAAAGGGTAGTACATTAATTTATAATGAATTTAACGATTATATTATAAAATGGAATTAAAAAATTAAAGAATAATAATGTTATAGCGCGAAAAGTTTTAATTATTTTTTTTTAAAGGATGTAATAAACATATAAATATAAACTTTTTTTTAATTATAGTTAAAAGGTTAATTATTAATAAAGCGGCTTTATATAAGTTAATTTTTAATTTTTTTAGGTTATTAATTAAGTAATTTTAATAAGATTTTTAATTATTATTTAACTTTTATAAAAGAAACTTTTAATAAATTAACTTAATAATTAAATTTAATATAATAATACGGGGATAAGTTTTAAAAATTTATTAAAAAGAATTAAAAAGTGGTTATATAATTAAAAAGTATATTATATATATTAAAAATTATATTTAATTTTATTTATAAGAAATAATTAAAAAATTAATTAAAAGATTAATTAAAAAATTATTTTAATATATAAAAAAATTAATATAAAATTATTAAACGTATAAGATTAAAATGTAACCTTTGTTTTTTAAAGTTAAATAAGTTTTTTATATCCTTTCAAAAAAGAAAAAAAATTAAAAAAAAACGATAAAAAGATTATTAATGAGCTTTTTATTAAAAGGGGCTTTTTAATAAGGTGATTAATATCCTCGGAGTTTTTAAGTGCGTGTAGATTTAGAAAATATTATTATAGGCTGGTTTTTTATAAGTGATAATTATAAAGTAGGTTTAATTTTTAAAGGTGTTATTATAAGAATAAATATTAAAAAAAAAAAGTTATTTAAATAATTATTTATAATATTGTTTTAAAGTTTTTCCTTGTAATTTTTAATTAAATAAAAAAATAATTATTTATAAGTAAATTTATTTATATTATTTAAACGGAAATATTTTTTATTTATAATTAAATATAATGTTAAAAGTTATTAATATAAATAAGATTAATTTTATTAATATTATAAAAATATTATAAATTTTTACGGTTAATTTTTAATTTTTTTAAGTTATAATGTTAAGGTTTATTATTATATAAAGTTTAGTTTTTTATTTATTTTATTTTATATTTAAAAATAAATTAAATCTTAATTATAAAACTATTAGTTTTATTTTTAATCTTTTTAAAAAAATATTATTAATAAGCGTTAATAACTTTAAAAGTAATAATATTATTAATTAAAATTAATAATTATATTTTTTATTTTTCTAACTTAAACATTTATTACATACGGAAATATTTAAAAGTTTTTAACATTTTTATAATATTTATTATAATAAAGATAAAAAACTTATAAATAAAAACTATCACTTATTAATTAAATTAAACAACCATTAAAAAACAAAGATTACAAGTTAAATAACTTTATAATATTATAAATAATAAAGTTAATTTATTATAATATTATTATAAAATAAAATTAAAAAGTAAAAATATTAAATAATATTATTACGCAGGGATTTTTAAATTATTACTTGCCTAAAAATATAATATATTAATAAATATATATAAATATTAATAAATGTTTTAAATGGTTACGCGTAAAGTAAATATAAAAGTATAATATAATAATTATTAAAATGGGAATTTTAAATATAATTAATAATATTATTTTTTAAAGTTTTTTACTTATTTATAAAAAAGTAAAACCTTTTTATTTATTTAATTAATATAAAATTATAACTTTATTATAATTAATAATTATATTTTTAATAACCTTTAACTTTTATTAACATTTATAAAAACTTATTTTTAATTAATTAAATATTTTTAAAAATCATTATGAAAACTTTAATATTTATAAAATTAAAAGGCTTATATTATCGCTAATATATAATTATTAATTTTATAAAAACTATAATTTTATATTAATTAAAAAAATATATTACCACTTTTTATATTACTTAATAATTAAATCCTTACAAAGCTTATTATTCGGGTTAAATAACACTTTATTACCTTAAACTTTTAAGTTTAAAAAAAAAGTTTACTATTTAACCGTACTTAATTTAATGTTCGGGGAAATCTTTATTATAAAATAAAATTAAAAAGCTAAAAAAAAACAACATTATTACGCAAAAAACTTTAATTAATCCCTTTAAAAAAATGCGGTATATATATATAAATTTTCCTTTATTTACAATTAAAAACTAACTACTAACAAAACGGCCTTATATAAATATTATAATTTTTTATAATATATTATATAATTATCGTTAAATCATTATTACACTATTATTAAACCATTATTAAATTATTATTAAATTTTTATTAAGCTATAATTAAATTATTATTAAATTTTTATTAAGTTATAATTAAATTATTATTAAATTATTATTAAATTATTATTAATTTATTATTAATTAATTCATTATTACATTATTATAAAATTATTATTAAATATATATAAAATAAATAATACATGTTTAAATATATAAATTTAATAATAATAAAAAATTATAAAAAAAAAATAAAAAATAAAATTTTTGTTTTAAAGCTTTAGCGGTTTAGCTCAAATGGCGCACCGTCTAGGTTGGTATCTTAGCGTTAAAAAACCAGGGGCACTCGTTTCCTCGTTGCTAGGGCACCAACGGGAGGATCCATAATAGCAACGACCCATACCAGCTGCATACCTACAGTATGTACATCAAATATATTACCCACATATCCGAAATCCACGGGGTTCAATGTTTGCTATCCTGCCATTTAGCTCATTCTCTATACATCCATGCCAAATCAACCCGCGAACCCTTTTTTACGATTGATGGGTATTGACATGCATTAAACTGTGCGACAGATTTAAAGGCTCAGCAGCCGACACGTAACATTGGTGCTCATGATCTGATCTAGATGCCTGATCATAATCATGAATTCTCCAGTCCAACTCATTACGAAGCATCAAGCCGCACGTAAGCCATGCCTTGCATACATGTGTATGTGTGTGTTGGATAGAAGGACTTGGTTATGTGTTATTCGTTATAATCCCTTACGGAGTACATGGACTTTCATCAATGCTATATGGGAGATAGGTAATCCCAAGTGCTCTTGCATACAGAGATTACTCTGGTGCACATACTACGTTAAAGGAAAGCTGTCGATATATATGCATGTCGAAACAGTTATACATAAGATAACTTCGACCGTGCTGTGCTGTATACGAATTCCCAGCAATATCGGGTCGTGAATTCCATTGGGTACCGACAGGTAGAACCCCATGTTAATCGACTATTACCTACCTAAGGTACTGCTTCGAGGAATCCACATAAAGTATCTCGTACATGTTGGTTCTCATATATAGTAGTTCGTTGCTCCTGTTGATCTTGTTCCGAAGACTCCAAGGTTGACATATAATCAGCTACACGCTACGGAGCATTTTGTATGATACGGTATAGTCTTGTAGATCGTTTGTGCTACACTGACGTGTCAAGACATACAGCTTGAGTTATTTTTCACCAATGAAGGTTTACCTACCCAGGTAAAGGAAAGGAGATGGGAACCTGATAAACTGAATGTTAGAGTCGGAAAATAAGTCGTACAGTCGTACCCGTGGCTCGGGTAGAAGCGTTGTACCGCGTGTCGAATTATATTATAAGGTTGGAGCTATTAACTGCCTATATCGGAAAGTGGGATTCCTTGTCAGAGATCCCGCCATGATCCATGCTATCAGAAACCTGTCTGCCGTTCTTATCGTTGAGCCTTCCAATCTTCCATGCAGCCATGGAGCCATGCAGTGACGTCCATTACCTAAGCCATTAGCCACTTCCAACTCGATATTACACACAATGAATATTAACAAGAACAACGACAACAATCGTCACCAACCTACCTACATATGTACCTAGATGTAGGATACACCGTGTCAACCTATCCTAGGTATTCGATTATACTAGGTACCTAGACCATATCCACAGCTTTTTATCAATCGACCGTGTCAAAATGCTCAGGTGGTTTTTCATCGTGGAGGTAAGCTGAATAGCTTCATCGGGTAGCGACCGATACTAATTTTCGTCGACAGGACTATGTTGTTCAATTGGTACTTATACTCCCTAACATTTTATAATCGACATCATCAATATCCCTGCCTCTAATGTGCGTCCTTCATTTTCCAGATCGTCCGATCCCGTACTTTCCAACGAAGCGTCCAGCGCATTCACCGAACAGTTGAAGATTACAAACACGGGCGAGATCCCAGTGACCCGCTACGAGAGGGAGAAGCTACGCGTACGTGTAGTTGTTATACAAAAGAAGGACTGATAGACCTGACCAAATATGGATAGGCGATCCTACTCAATCGAACGGGTTTCTATCCCATTTCATAGATGAATTGCGGAACCAGGTCCGCGGGACCAAGACAGATTCAACAGGCAATCGTCCCAAGAGGTGAATAAAGAGTTTGCCTCATCGACTAATACAAGTACGTACTTGTTCATAATCTATATCGCCCAAATTATTACCGCTTGAGGTTAAAAAGTCTGACATTTCTGAAGCTATCTATATGGATGTTTTAAGGAACGCGGCATGAGCATATCGCATCTTTTCTTCCCCTCATCCCACATTGAACCCGCCTATTTTTACTTTTAAATGTATATAACCTCAAAGAGGAGGGGTACATGAAAGGCTTGTGGCAATGTTGCTCTCGAACGCCTGGCGCAGGCTTTCGATGCTGCTATAGCAGCCAAGAGCGCACGTCACCAAGGCGCCAAGAAAATAAAAAATGTTGAATGAGTTGAAGAATGGTTTCTTCATAAAACCACGTCTCCATCGTTTCCAGCCGTGGTCCACATAGCTATACGTATTGGTCGCCGGGTCGAATCTTTCTTCAGCCTCGACTATCGCCTCCTTTCTAATCCAATAACCAACCGCAAGCCAGGCTGGAAATGTGTAAGTGAAAGATAGAATGAAGAGCGCGCCCACCAAACCGACGATATACGAGAATTGCGGTACGCTCGCAGCTATGATGAACGCGATTGCCCAGTATACCGGAATGAGCGCAGCCCACCAGATTTTGCCCATCTTGGTCGTCAAGTCTGGAAACTTTAGGAGCTCGTGAAATACCTCAATATACACGACCTTGAGGCCAATGTTGCTGTATAGTACTGCGGCGATGAGGTTGCTGATTAAGCTCAAAAGGTTTCCGGCTGTCTGAATTCCGTAGACGGCAATGCCTTGGACCGACGGGTTGTACGTATATTGGCCTTGATACGAATACACGAAGATGCCGAAGAAGATGTACATCGAATAGATGAATATCTCGGCGACGAGCAAGCTTTTCCAGAAATCCATTGGGTGCCTGGAAATTGAGCAATGTTAGTAAGAGTGTCAGTGACAGTCTACTCGATCCGGGACACATGGATACCTCATCTCAGCCAGGAGAGCCGCAAAGAGCAACGCCCCTCCGTATGCATACACGGCTACGTTTAATCCGTTCAGAGAACCGATAAATCCCTCGCCGCCCGTCGCTAGTCCTGGCGGGGGTGTTCCGGCGAACGTCTGAATGGGCATACCCGGAGCCAAGCCGAAGCTTGTCTCTACCGCCGCATAATTCGGGCCATATTTCACAGAAACCATACTATGAAACCTTAGTCAGCATCTACTAGGACTCCGGCGTCCGTAGGTATGGTATGGCCACTTACCACATTAATATAAGGGCAACTGTCATCCAAACTGAGGCGTTAGCAAGCCAACCAAGCCGTTGGAGAGTTCTGATCTGCCCCAGAATAAAACCGGCAGCCATAAAGATGAGCATGCATGCTACGAAGCAGATTCCCATGCTGTCTCCGGACGAGCCGCGGCTGATCTGCGAGATGCTTTGTCCGTTGCTCAGAATGAGAACCGACACGGTGAGCAGCAGCTGAAGGGCCTGTGCGACATTAACGAAGTGGCGGGCGCCAGAGCCGAATATACGGAAGAAGAAGTCGCCGTATCCCCTGATGGGAAACTGGTTCGAATCTAGCCCGCAGAAGACCTTCCAGAGGATCCATCCCGAGCTTGAAGCGCCACACCCGTTAGACAGGATAATAAAACACGACGGATAAAAGACAAAGTCTCAACTCACTAGTATGACATGGCACCGAAGACGGTATACAGCGCGACGCCTGGGCCGTAGCCTAATTGTGCAAATGCCCAGCTAGAAGAGACTCAGTTACGATCTCCTTTCCACATCAAGATAGGATTGATACTCACGGAGCACCTGTCGGACCCAAGATATCGGTTGTGATGAGGTAAAAGATTGTACCCCAGCTAGCAGTTCTCAACGCCCGATCAGCAGTGTGCCGCTGGGCTTCCGTAGCTCCGTAGTTGTTGGTGCTAGTTTTCTCCGTGGTTTGGAGGGTACCGTCATGATGGCCCTTCTCTTCAGTTCCCCCAGCAGAGAGGGATTCTGCTGTCTGAGGCGTAGACACGGCCTGCTCTATCGGGCCTTTGACGAAGCGCCCTTTAATTATGTTCTTGATTGTCCGCGGGCCACGAGCGGCTATGAACCGAGCATTGGCCTCTTCTTCCTCAGCACGCGTGATCGCGGCATAGTACATGTACTCCTCGAAGCTGACTACTCGGTCTTTGGAATGTTCAATCCGTCCTACGACATCATCAGCTGTCACATTCTCCGCCTGCAAAGACGACTTTCGAGGGTCGCCGCCGTCAAGGGCAAGATTCGCTGGGGGAATGCCGGTCATGATGGGCAAATCATCGCCGAAATCGTGAACCACGAATGCGCTGAATTAGAACGACATTTCTTGCCAAAAGTGGCCCGACGGGCTACCTTTTAAGACTGCCGCAGGATGGTAGCATCGGGTGCCAGCCCTGTTATCTATCAGCTGCAAGTGCTCTATCATGCAAAAACGGCGCGAGCTTCTGCAACGACATGGGAAAAGTTGCAGGGCTTTGATAGATACGGTCGCCTCGACCCCTGTAACCTTCTTGTATTAGTTCTCTGCGCCGGTTTATGTTGGGCGATACCTTGGCAGAATTGCCCCCCATTGGCAATTGCACATCCGGGACTGGACTGATCATCTTATGGTCGGGATAACCACCGTTTTGGCGATTACTATGTCTCGAAAAATGTGACGGGATTGAGATAAATCATTCGCCACATCCCACAAAGTCTTCGGGGTTGTGATCCTCCAGCTGCGTTTTCAGCTCAACCAATCTCGCGGGTTACGAAGACATCGTTATCACTTTCGGTGGCTAGAGATCAGGGGTTCATAGAACATGTATCTAAATCTCTTACAATCATCAAGCTTTTTGAGAAGATGCTTTTTTAGACTGTCCTTCGCTAGTCTAGATTCGGTTACGTGTATAGGAGCTGTCATCGGCATCAGTTATTATGGAGCGGCCAATTCTTCATCCCGATGACACCTTCTGCTTCGAACTTAAGCCATTTGAAATCTGGGGAGATGGGCTACCTACCCCAAAACCAATTGTGATGAAAGCGGTATAGCACACCATCACATAGTCGGCAACCAACTACCAAGGCCCTAAATGGATTAGGCAGTGGAGATTTGCGCCAACATGCTTCTCGACTTCTCCCAACCCCCACCCCTTTTACCTCCAAGTGATTATCTAGTACTATTCACTTCTATACCTAATTGGAACCAACTTGTTGTTTTCTAGGTAAGTAGGCATCCATGATCGCAGGACTTGAAGCCTAAGCGAACGAATTGACAACGACACAGTAATCGGGGTGAGCTGTGATGGGCACGGGGACACGCTCGTAAGAATCATCCTTGTTCAAATATTTCATATTTCACACTGAAGACACTGGTGACACCGGGCGTGTATAACTGTACGACAGCTAGCCAAGACACGTGGTAGCAATGTCTACATACATAGGCATATATCTCAGTCTGCATACCTTCTACATTAAGGGATAAGTATCGCCATCAGCAGTAGCGCGCAGAGCCTCCTATACATCTCGAAGCTGATTGGTAAATAAAGGAGTCGCTCGGTTCCTCAGCTGATGTAAGACGAGAGCCTAGAAGCTTAGGATTTCATTCGCCAGCGAAATAACATTCTTTGCTCCGTTGGTATCCGTCTCAGCTGGGACAAGCTTCTCGAAACCAAAAGCACGCAGCCCTTCAGCCGAAGCATATGAACGAAGAGATGATTCGGTCTGCCGGTTGATGTGGTCGGCTTCGCCTCGACCGCCGGGGAAGTCCGGGCCGGGGGTGCCGTTCAAGAACGCCTGTCTCTGACGGACGAGGTACTTGGAGTTCAACTCCGTTACTGGACAGACTGGGATGTACAACACGCTCGAGTCTGAATTACCTTTGTGTACCTTGTCGACGGCGTGGATAGCTAATCGACTCGTCAGTTTTCACGTGGTTGAGGGGATACCTGTCTCACTCACTGTCGCAGTGCCATACCACGTAGTCGCCCGGCTTAATGGATGGCACGTGTACCATGGTATTGTCGAGCTCTAGGTGTGGATGAAGGATTGTATCTAGCTCTTGTCCATGCCCCGGAGTCGCTCCCTGAAGCTCACTCGTCATTTCGGAGCCGGTAAATTTCCAATTCTCCGCTGCGAGATATTCTCCAGGGGGGACCTGATTGATATCTCTAACTGGCTGGAAGAAAGGACGGAGTAGGAAGTATGCTGTCGAGAGTTTCATCGCTGGATTCACCATAAGGGTCCCCTCGAACGGATTAGTGGTGCTCATACTGAGCCAACCCTGAAACATACGGAACATCGAGGCGGCGCCCAACCCGTTGTAATTATCCATAACGGCAGGGACACGTGCACTAGCATCCCATGGATCGAAGTCTTCCCACGCGCCGTCGAATATCTTGTCATATACTCCACCAAGACCATAGCCGTTCAATTCCCATCTTTCGACGCTACCTCCGTCGACATGGGGGCCTAGAGCAAATGTGGCATCGCCGGGTTGTCTTATACGAAGGCGGTCTGCGTAAGCCAACGGCTGCGATGTCGATATGGCACTATCGGGGTCTGACATGTGCCATAACTTCATGAGCGCCGCCTGAGCTCGTAGCAAGTTCGGATGCGCCCTAGCGCGGAGCTGGGGCGCTGACCAATATAGTTCGTAGACCTGCGGATTATCCTGGGGAAATGCTGCTCTCGATGTCAGCCACCGATTTATACCAACTCTAATAAATTAATGAGGCTACCATTTGTATGAGGATTTTGCCTCACATATTCCTCGATTTCGCCCTTGTACGAACGGGCCTCGTCTTCTGGAAGCACCCCCCTGATGACGGCAACGCCTCTCTTCTTGATTTCATCGCGAAACTTTGCGAGGTCCGCGTCTAAGTCCTTGAACTTGAGGCTAGGAATAATACTAGGTCCTTTTTCAATGATGTTCTTGTTCTCACGCTTAAGCTCGGCTAGAAGCCTGTTCCAGCTATCGACTACGCGGTCCTCATGACCTCGAACTAGGATTTGTTTGAGATCGAGAAACCGTCGGGGGAGAGGTTCTCTTGCACCGCCAGATAACGATACGAAGGAATCAGCAATGTTCCCCTCTCTCTTAGTTTGTGTCTGTGTCTGTGTCTGTGTCGCCGACATCGCGATCGATCTAGATTGAAAGACGTTTTTTATTGTCAATCTTGAGAGAGAACGAAACGTGGGCAAAGACCGATCACATAACAGACACTTAAATCAGGATATTCAACTGTAACTGTAGAGAACAGAGGAAGAATAGAAGATGGAACTAGCCGTGTTACCTACCTCGGTATATAATAATGACATATAATAAGTAGGTACACGACATGAAAAGTCAAGACATGATTGGCATCTTCATACATGTTGATGTGACTGCGGAACTGCCTTGAAGGTATTTAGCATGACGGTTTTAGCATGGATATCATACCTAATTAGATGGGCTACAGATGGTCAGGTATTCTTTGTCATCAGCAGATCTCGTTTCCCTATCTAGTTTAAATCTGCTTCAACCGTTACTTAGGTAGGTAGGTATACTTACAACAGTCTCTCCTCTAATTGTGAACTTGCTTTTTCGACTTTGTACCTAGTTTCGGAGTTTCCGTTTACATTTCTGAGTAATCAGCAATCTTAGCAATCTTCCAGGTGGGGATGCCCTGTTCAGATGATGATCCCGACGCGAATAAGACGAGCGGATATACCGTATTAGGCTAGTCCGCCTGTGCTCTTTGCTTAGCTGCAGACCTGACCTACCTCGGTATACACACCACACGAAGACTTGGACAATCACAAGATGCTCCCCGTTTGCTGACCGTACGACTCATCGATGACTTCGCAAGAGTCATCCTCTGTATTTTATGCACATTCATCATGTAATATCTCGACAACATCTCAATACCTAATTTTGCCGATTGTTATTCTTCGTTTTTATCACCTCCCTAAATACTTTCTTTTTCGAGAATGTGTCACCGCAAATCCTCTTCTGTTGTGAGTTGACGTTACTCAAGATAGGCCGTCGGAGTTGACATTTCTGGAGTTTCGCCGCACATTTCGGTCATGGTTAGATTTGTGGAATCCGATTCGACGGGCTTGCCCCTGAAGAGGAAACAGGTTGCTCAGGCATGCGCTAGGTGTCGGCGACGGAAGAAGAGATGTTTCCACAATCATGATGAACATCATGCTGCCGACTCTCTCAATTCAGCTACCAGGGACGAGGGTGTGACGGCCCGTAACTCAACTGACCGTCCAAGCTCCCCAAGTCCCCCGGAGCCCGAGCCTCTTCCTGAACGACCAGAACGACCAAGTTCTCAAAATCAGGAGGGGCATGCTTCTAGATTCATTGGTGACCTGAGTCCTGAAGCTATCCTGATGGAAGCTACAAGCCTTTGCTCGCACCGCGACGTATCGGTGAGAGGCGGCTTGGGAATATGGCAACCTCGAGCAGCTGATTCGACGAAGCCGACCAACCCCTTTATTCTAACATCCCCGTCGCGGCAGGCCGTTCAAGATATGCTCAAGGCATATGTGTGGAGCCATTGTATAGCTTGCTGTCCCCCGCCGTCGGATTACGCCATCCTTCGTCGGATCTATCTTGAGAAGCTAGACCCCATTTTTCCTATCCTCGGTAGCCGCCTGATAGCTACTTCGCTCCAAGATGAGATAGAAGGGAAGGTCCTGCAGCAGATCGTTAGTCTTGCGGCCGCCGCTGACCCGGAGGCTAGTCGCCACCTTCGCTTAAATCCCGAGGGCCCACTCCTTTCCCGACATGACTTCTGTGACTCGCTGTCTAACTCGATACAGACGATTATCGATGCTGGACTAATCACAGATCGAATCTTTCTCGTTCGCATTTTATCGGCCTTGTCATTGTACATGCAACCTAGTTCCCCTGACGAAGCGGATGTCCCTGCGCTCCTCAATAGCCGCGCGGTTCACCAAATGCACACGTTAGGGTTGCAGATGGCCTCCGAAGATAGCCATGGAAGTAGCAAGGATAGTCGCACCCTATTCTGCTGTGTATGGGCGCTAGATCGTATCAATAGCGCCTTTTACGGTCGGGCTTGTTTGATTCATGAGCGGGATATTGGATGGAATTTGGATGAGTGCATTACGGCGCAGGCTCCCCCCTTCCGCCTATTTCTGATGCTCATCGGGCTACTCGACAAGGTCATCGGTCTGTACCGGCCCGGTAACCGGCAGGAGGACGAATTCATCGTCGAGCTGCCCATTTTCGAGCAGATGATTCTTGATGCTGGGGCAGCTCGAGTCTCAAGTTCATGTTTAGGTAAGTGAGAATTCGTCGGATCATGTAATCGAGGACACGCTTATTCATTTTCTCTTAGCTTCGCTCGAAATATTTTACCATTCGGTTGCCATATTGTCAAGCCAATCACCTTCGGAGAACCGTTCGACAGCTCTGCCAGCTCCCGCGACGAATAGTCGTAGGTCCCTAGCTGCCGATCGGATCACGTCTATCGTCGGACATGAATTTCTCGGACAGCTGTCATATCTACCTATAATCCCTTACGGTGTTTCCCTGTCACTTAGCGTCTCGTACCGGAAGATGCGCCACAGCAACGTTCCAATGTTTAGAAGCAGGGGCAAGCAAGCCTTTATGGCAAACACATCGCTCTTAAAGTCTCTAGATGATACGTTCTGGACGGCAAAAGCCATGGTCGCTATGGCCGAACAGGTTCTCCAGGAAATGGACAAGGCCGTCGCGTCGATAACGCAAGAAACTGGTCTAGCAGATACCTCTAAGAAGGCTGAGTCTACATCGCGAGGAGACCAAGAAATTGCGTCGTCGGGACCCGGTGATTCTATTGCTGATTATACCCTTCAAGGGAGTACTGATGTGTCAATCCTTGAAGCCATTCCCGATCTAGATGTATTCGGTCATTTCGATCCAACCTTCAACCTAGGCGCCGTAGATGCTGTCCTCGAGGGAAATCTAGACTTTGGCCCTTCTTCGAATTGGTTTGAGTGGCAGCAACTACGGGGATAATAATTACTCATCTCGTTACCTACCCACCTACCTAAGTACCTATTTAGTCACCTAATAACCATAGGCGAGTCTAGGTAATTATGAATTCGATTAGCGAGGGGAAAGTGAGTGGTTTGCCATAGCCAGCCCACGTTACAATGCGGGGATACCGAGGACTATAGAATCAGGTACGTATGCATGCATATTTCTGACCATATTATTCCATGTCTCTAATTTAAGATCCATATATATTTTCGATACTCCTCGTAGAATACGATACTTCCAACCGGTGGTAGCTAACTTGTGCCCTCCACATAGAAACCTAGGACCACACCCAACAGGAGAACCCCTAAAATAGGTCCTTATATTACCTGAGTATTACATATGAGAAACCATGTGCATTCAAGTTTTAAGGCGGCAGAAAGAATAGAATTTTGCAATCTCCGCCTACCTAAGTAACTGGACTCGGCCTCGTCGTTCGAATACCCCCCAAGGGCAACTCCGACCTCCGCCCCGCCTCATTTCAAGGCTTAGAATCTGTATTCGCCCCTGTCAACTGTATATATCTACCTTGGTACATACTATCCTTCGACTTTCTTTTAGTCTATGAGTCCTCTATAAGGTCAATCAAGTGCCTACCTACCCTCTACACATCCTACCTAAGCACCCTAGTCGTCAACTTCCAACTCGCTCCCTCGGAAATCTAGCAAGTCTGCAGACACTATCCTATCTCGGCTTTACCCCACGAAATTTGGCAGACTTCAAGATGGCGACTTCAGCAGATATGGGTATGACCTCATCACAGATCGCCAAATTGATCGACCATTCCTTATTACACCCAACCATGACCGACCAAGAAATCCTCGCCGGTCTCGAAGTGGCCAAGAAGTATAAAGTCGCCGCCGCCTGCATTAAACCATACTGTATCCCAGCAGCGAAGACCGTCCTCGACGGTTCAGGGGTGCTTATCTGCGCCGTCATTGGCTTTCCCCACGGAAACAGCACCACGGCCATCAAAGTCCTCGAAGCCGAGGAGGCCGTTAAAGCGGGGGCGCACGAGATCGACATGGTCGTCAACGTGGGCAAGGTCCTCGGCGGCGACTGGGATTACGTGACGGATGAGATCCGGGCTATCAACGAGGCTGTTGTGAAACACGGCGCGAAACTGAAGGTCATATTCGAAAACGACTATCTCGAAGACGAGCATATCATCCGCCTGTGCGAGATCTGCACGGATATCTCAGTCGCTTTCGTCAAGACGTCGACGGGTTATGGCTTTGTGAAGCAGCCTAATGGAATGTATTCATACAAGGGTGCTACGGTACCTCATCTCAAGTTGATGAAGGCTCATGTCGGTCCAGCTGTACAGATCAAGGCCGCCGGTGGGGTCCGGACTCTGAGCGAAATTTTGACTGTTGCGTCGTTAGGTGTTACTCGGGTCGGTGCTTCGGCTACTACTGCTATTATGGAAGAGGCGATCAGTCGGGAAAATTAATACTTTCTTGGGGTCTTTGTTTGTGTCTCCAGTAAATGGCCATAGTTGAGCATATCGGCTTCACGATTCATCTAGTGAAAAATATAAACGGCACTATCAACGCTGTAATTGGTCACCTCTATTTACCTGGGTACCTTAGCCTAGAAGAAAACATACCTGTCAAACAAGCGCTCTAATGTTGTCTACCTAGTATCCACATCACACCCTCTTATGGAATAATATCTGTCAGGATCTAGTTCATTACGGATGTTGTTTTCAGAAAACTACCTAGTATCAAACATCGCGCAAGTGTAAACGTAGTCCTTTAGCTCATCTCTCAATCGAGGATGAATTTCTCCAGTGCTATCTATTCATTGAATGTCAACAAAGAGTCTCATTTGAAGCTCTAACTATGACCCATACCCTCTACCGAAGCCAACAACTTTTTTTTTCCTCTCCATTTTCCGAAGCCAACCTCATACATAAACCCCGCGCAAGTGTTTTGGCGATATAGGACTCGTGTTATTAATGCAACGTCCAGCCGTCAATGAAGTGCGTCAGGTAGAGCGGCTTGCCGAGCGGCACGCCTTCCTTCCTCAGGTTAGCGTACAGCATATTCAAGTGGAAGTACATCTGAGATGCGACGGGTCGTTGGACAACTAGTAAGAGTTAGCATTTTAGACCTAAGCTCTATTGCTCATTACCTATCGTAACAGGACAACGAGTCAAAAGTTTTAAGAAGGGGTGGGAAGATAGATATGATTGTTCACATACTGCCGACAAATTAGTACTTGACTTCAAACGGATAATACGTAGGGGAAAGCTCTTATTAGGACACTAATAGAGTGATGCCCTAAGGGGCGGGATGAAGTGAAGGTTTGAAGAAATCTTGACGTACCATTCTGCGGCCGTGGCTTTGCATAATTTCTTGCCGATGGGAAACTCGACGATCTCAGCTTCTCGGCCGTTCAGGTCCTCGGGCTTGACAGCCGCCAGATCGGCAAGGGCACCTTGGATCAGAGCATAGCACTCTTCTAGCGTGAGCTCCCGGACATTCCACTCGAATTTATTGCCAACTAGTATCTGGAGGATCTTGTTGGTGAACATGGCCGTGATCGAGACCTGTGTCGACGCCGGAAACATGTCCGGGCTCAGTCGAGCTTTGAGAAGGTCGTCGACGGATTTGCCGTTCTCCTTGGCATATTTCTCGGCTTCTTTGAGCAGCTCCACCTCAGTCTGGAGGATCTTGGTTAAGACGGGGATCGTCAAGTCGTAGAAGGATGTCATGGTGAATTTTTGATGAGGAACTTCGTGCCTTCGTTACTGATGCTGTGGTTCTTGAGCTTGCGAGATTGTTTAGAAATTCCATCATCGGCAGTGCTAGATTCCACACTTATATAAATGGCATCGATGTCAACAAAAAGAAAGCTGATAAATAGTGACAACAAGGCTCATACAACTTCCGTGAAGCCACGGTACCTATTGAATATCCAAATTCGCCGCTTAGCCGCCGCGTTTTTAGTCCTATTTAATAGTATTTATAAGCTACGGGGTATAATTACGCCGTTTAGCCCGGTTCATTATTAATCGTGTCATGATTGCATTCGATTCCTATATCATTCTTGAATTATTTGGATCCTTCCTCCTCTTACTAGTTGTGTATCAGCGCTGGATGGATTGTATAGAGATTCTATGTATATGATAAGGCGTAGTTGGACGGTGCATGTTTATGCGCCCTTTTATGTCATATTCAGAAATGGAAATTCTACACGACTAAACCAACACACATATTGTGGCGTAAAATCGATTATGGGCAAGTAACTAGACTAAATAAAGTCCTACGCCCTTGTCTGGGTATCGTGGCTAAAGACATTTAACGATGTCCGTGCAATGTAACCCCGCAGAGGCCCGGAGATATCAAATCAAACTAGACGAAAAAACAATGCGCAAGGATTCCTATTTGCTTTGCCGCCTTGTCGCAGCAAACCCGCATGCACAAAAACCTAATCTTTCGTAATCCACAGCCAGACGACAGGCTTCTCTCCGGGCCGGCCAGTTCTGGTGCGGTCCCAACCCATATCTTTGAGCGTCTGGGCCATTACGGTCTCCTTGTCACCCGAGAATGTCACACTTCTGTACCACTTGCCGTTCCCTCCCTGAATCACCTCGGTGATCCTGTTCTTTTTTGGGCATGGGTTGACGGCACCGAACCCTACTAGCAGCTCGGCCAAAGTGGTGTTGACGGGGACGTGGTATGCACCGAAATGCATCGACATGCCCTCCGCGAGTCGCCAGGGCGCAGTTGACGACTTGATGACATGGAGCTTGGTATGCTCGGGAGGGAAGAAGTAGTTGTAGCCGGGCTCACAACCAACGCCACCGGTCGAGTTAGTCATGTTCAACGATGGTGCATCCATGTTGACGACAGGGTGGGGGTTCGGCAGGCGATTCTCCTGGCCAGGAAACACGGGGACAGGATGATGATACCCATTCTGTGGGATCACATAAACAGGACCTTGGTTATTAGGTCCTGGAACCGTGCCGCTGGCTGGCTGAACAAACGGGCCACGGTTCATGATATAATTCCCATTGTTGGGTGCGCCGGCAAAGGCGTGGCCGACTGGTCGTCGGGAGTTGGCATTTGGGTCTACACCAAACTGCGGGTTCCAACCCTCTCCGAACGTCTGAGTTGCCATCCTTGGTGGATAGCTCTGAAAATGTGGGTAATGATTGGTCTGAAAAGGGAATTGGGTGTTAGGTGGGTTCGCAGACGGATTTGCAGGAGCCTCTCCTTGTGTTTCAACGTCGCTGTCGTGATCAGAGTCGCTATCGACGATAGCTCGATGAACCAGGATATTATCAGCCTGACCGTTGTTGCTATCAAAAGTTGCAGGAGTGTCTAAGTGCAAGTCAGCAATAGAGTAAGAAGGAAAGAGAAGCAAATTGGTCCGGGGAGGAAGAATATATAGACTTTTGAATGGATAGATTACACATCCATGAGTAGGGCTCCATGGGAAGAATTGCAACTCACCAGTCGTACTGACCACGTCAGGCTCTAATGATTCAACGTGAATAGGGAGAGATATATCTCTGCACCCAAGCAAAACCTGAAGACGATAAAGCTCGCGGTTTTTGGAATCGTAGAATGATCCAATAACCAGCCAAGCCCAGGAGCGTCGTGTTGGATGGATCCAGAAGCACTGTCCGATAATGAGTTCTGTAGCTGGGCAAGGCAAGCTAACGATAGCTTGCATAGAAGCCAGCTTGAAGGTAGTTTAGCTTGGTGTATAGCCAGGTAAAGTGAATCTTTGGAAAGCTCAGTAAATGTCGAGTTTGGTAACGAACATGAGGAAGGAAAGAAGCTCGTAGCAGGATCCTGATGGGGTTATATATAGGAAAAAAGAGAGGCAGTGATGCCCCAACCAAAGTCAACGTTATGACCTGGTAATTGTCGAGGCGATGCACTGTTTGTCCCAACAATAATATGCATGGCTCACGAGGGACTGGGTCCCTCCAGGACATCAGTTAGTAGAGCAAATTGCCAGATACCTGTGGATGCCAACATCCAAAGGGGTGGTCCTATTTGCGGGAGGCTTCCCGCGTATGGGATCAGGGGTGGAGCTTAGGAGGTGAATCTCTTTGTTCTCCAGCTCCCCACCTAGTCATCTCCCACCCAAGATTTTCTCAAACAATCATCGCGTCTCTTGGGATGGCCAAATCTGGCCTATAGCCCCCCATAATTGGTCCCAAAGGATCCCTGTGCGAGATCACACCGTAGATCTGGGGGCCCCATGAAATCTCACGCGAGTTTCACGATCTTGAAAGAGCCGAGCCGTAGTTCCCACGCACCTAGATACTGTAATGGAGCACAGTGGGGGCCGTATTTGATATTGATCCTGGTTGGAAACCCGAATACCAGATTGACCCAATAGAAATGATGCATGGAAAGAGTAGTAAGGTCTAGCTCAGGTGTTGACCGCTGCTCGGCTATGATTGTTGATCAGAATTTCTCAATCACATGAAATTATTTGAAAAATTTCAATGACGCATCTCCGTGATCTAGGTAACACAGTGAATGTTGAGAATTCGCTTGCGAAAAAGACGGAGTGTGATGGTAGTCATGCGTGATCTAGCGTTGGCGATATTTGAGATGAGAAGCCCACAAGTGATCTCAGCTTCCATGACGCTGGTTTCACCTTCAAATTGTTCCGTTGAGAATGGGGCTCAAGCTATCATCCTGGTGGTGACACAAGACAGCACTTCTGATAGAATGTTTGCTTGGCGGTTAAGCAAGATCTAAAGGGAGGATCGGGTGGGTTACTGGGTTGCTGGGTCGTGCAGGTCATGGTAGAACCTAGGGAATTCTTTTTGCCTAGTGGCACGTGCATCGTCAAAAGCCCTACCTTTTGACCCGTTTTAAGAGAAAGGGTTCAGGTTAGGATGTTTTGTTGGCCGGTGTTGTGAAATGTAGCCAAATATGTAGGGTGCGCATATAAGAAACATGCTTGCGTCCATCATCGACTTCATCCAGCAATGCCGATTTCCTCCTCAACCATTCGGACGGTACTGCCCTTCTTCCCTTCCGCGGTATCACTCCTGATCCGCCTTCGCTTCTCAACCTCAGATACTAGGCCTTTAAGGTAGACCTCTGCTTGCACAGTGGCGCTATAAGCGATCGCAGTCCAGCTCCAGACATTCTTCTTCTCTGGATCGGCCCCCGCGGCGAGCAAGGTGCGAAGAACTAGTAGGTTTCCGTTGCTGCTCGCAAAGTGTAGAGCTGTGTTCCCGTCAATGTCTGCATTCTGGACGGCTTTTTGGGCGCCCCCCGGGGCGTAGGTGAGAAGGATCTGCAAGACAGTGTCATGGCCTCCCATGCTCGCTTCCATGATAGCATCTCTACCTCGGATATCGCGGCGAAGGATGCAAGTGGGATCGTTCTCGGCGAGGAACAGGACAACTTCTGTGTGACCGGCGGCGGCGGCTAACATCAAGGCTGTTTGATGGTTGTCATTGAGGGCGGGCGTAGGAAGTTCGTGGCCGAGAGAAACTAACGTCTTGCAGACCTGGAGGTAACCCAGACTAGCAGCGAGATGGAGGCTCGAGTTGGAAAGACCGGTAGCCGAATGATCTGGGTTATGGATTAGGCCGGGGTGGGATTTGACGATGCGGCGGACAAGTAAGGCATCGTTACTTTGGACTGCTCGCCGTAGCCTCTTGGATGGCTCGATCCTAAGGCCGATACCACATGTCAGCTAACTTTCGTAAGCAGGTTGCGGGGGAAAGTCCTTCTATTCATATATGGGGATACTAACATGATGCCACGGCTTTGTTTGGCAGCTATCTAGCTTGAGTCATGGAAAATGGAAATGTGGTAACGCGCACACGGTAGGCCAAAGTTGGCAGTACTACGACGTCACCGGCGCATAAGCCGTCTCAACCTTCGAATGCAGTCAAAAGCCTTGATAAACGTGCAGGTATTTTAAAGTCGAACGGGAACTTTGATGATGGAGGACAAGTCACGAAGGCGCGGAAGACGAAGCCGGAGACAATATGGGAAGGTTGATAATGTGACATCGTATTTGTAAGATCTAAGTTTCCAGGTTTCGTGATTGTCGTATCTATATTTATCATGTAGGTAGGTATATCACGTTGGTAGTACACATACAACATGTACTGTTAGGAGGGCTGTGTTTCCCCACTATCGATAACTACTCCGCGCCCCACCATGACCTCAGAAAGCACTAAAAAGAAAGCTCTAAGAGCTCTACCTACCAGCTATTCTGTAATTGTAGTAGAAGCTGGAGGTAATATGTACCCCTCACGGTGTAGATGGCACTTTCCGTGTAATGGATGATATAGAAAACCCGAACATTTGGGTCACCGATAAGCTCAATTTCGATTCCCATATCTCATCAATTCCCACTGGCACGCTTCACCGTCCCTCATCTCCTATATCGGCGAACCTGTCTGACAAATATATACTCAGCCTCGTAATAAACAATTAGCTTCCACCCCGTTGGTCAGAAACTCAACCATCAATTGACTTTCTACAATTGAGAAGTGCGCCATCCGGGCAAGATAGAGAGAGAGAGAGAGAGAGCGAGAAGCTGTGAATAACTCTCGGAGCTAATTGACTCGAGCGCGGGGCACGATGGGGGACGCCGCCCAAGATCTCGACGCCAAAGGGGGCGGCCTTGATACGGCGAAGGACTTGTTCGCCGGAGCTGCTGGAGGAATTGCACAGGTCCTTATAGGTATGTGATGATTTCTGGGAGATATGTTGAAGTATCACATGGAATATCACGAGAAACTCCGGTCCAATGAGTCGAAAGTCACTCATCCAAGGCCTTCCCTTGCTGCAAGAATCACTCATAAAATAGAAAAGAAAAATAAAATCATATGACGAGATCACAGAAAAAGAATCTCTATTTATCTAATCCAACCTAACTCAATCACCATACTAACAACGCCCCCAGGCCAACCCTTCGACATAGTAAAAGTGCGCCTACAAACCAGCACAGCATACAGCTCCGCCCTCGACGCCGCATCCTCGATCTACGCCAAGGAAGGCGCGCTGGCCTTCTACAAGGGCACCCTGACCCCGCTCCTGGGCATCGGCGCCTGCGTATCCATCCAATTCGGCGCCTTCGGGTGGGCGCGGCGGTCCTTCGAAGCCTCGAACGCGGCCAAGGGTTCCAACGACCTCGGGTACGGCCAGTACTTCGCCGCCGGCGCCTTCGCCGGCGTCGCGAACAGCGTGATCTCGGGCCCCATCGAGCACGTGCGCATCCGGCTGCAGACGCAACCGCACGGGTCCGCGCGCCTGTACACAGGGCCGATAGACTGCGTGCGCAAGCTCAGCGCGCACGCCGGCGTCTTGGGGGGCCTGTACCGCGGCGAGGCCGTGACGATCTGGCGCGAGGCCTTCGCGTACGGCACCTGGTTCCTGGCCTTCGAGTACCTGATGAACCGGGACGCGGCGCGGAACCGGGTGCAGCGGAGCGAGGTGCCCGCCTACAAGGTCGCCTTCTACGGCGGCCTGGCCGGCGAGGCGCTTTGGCTCGCCAGCTACCCCTTCGACGTCGTCAAGAGCAAGATGCAGACCGACGGCTTCGGCTCGGGGATGAAGTACAGGACGATGCGGGACTGCTTCGCGCAGACGTGGCGCGCCGAGGGCGCTCGCGGCTTCTGGAAGGGCATCGGGCCTACGCTGTTGAGGGCCATGCCTGTCAGCGCTGGCACGTTCGCCGTGGTCGAGGCTACGATGCGGGCTATTGCTTGAGCGGCGGCGGCAGGTCTAGGCACCAGATTATTTACGGCAGGGGAGGGAGAGTTAGGATAACATTATTTCCGGCCTGGGACGAATACAAGGCGTTGGGCTTCAACCAAAGATGCTTAAGATCGGGGCAAAGGGGGGGCTCGTGGGAATAGATTTTATTAAAGAGCAATTCAACACATCAGATGTGGGGTCGCGCAAGGGCGCAAAAAAATTGCAATAGATTAGGGGCCTTGTGTCAGGCAAAATGACAAAAAACTTTCTATTCGCTATTCTCGACTCGTTTTTGTAGAATCTTCCTCGCGTTTGCCGGGGTGAGGGATTCTAGGTCTAGCTCAGCTAGCAGCTTCTTGGCTTCAGTATTATCTGTGAAGACACGGTCGCTGGCTTCTTGGAGGGATACGGCTCCGCCCTCGGCTTCTAAAGGCAAGTTCAATAGTCTTAAGCCGTCTTGTAGCGTACTGAACGCCGCGGAGCCGTCCGGAATGTGTCTGTCTATGAGAGAAGCGATTGCGTCTAGGTCCCTAACGAACTGAGCAGCTCCGAGCGTCGTGAAGTTTTGCGTCATGAGAACATTTGTCCAAAGCAAATCCTGCAGCTTCTCAAGAGACGCTCGCCATATCCGACGAAAGACTGCTGTGCTCAATGCTGCAGCAAGAAAAGCCAGGTTTCGTTTGAGTATCTATAATTATGTCAGCAACCATGTCGGGCATCAAGTTTGAATGCCAATATTACCTTCAGGGGTTCATCTAGTTCGGGAGTCACGGAAAGTTGAGAAGCTTCCACTGCAAACAATTAGCGGATTGGCGAGAAATAGTAAAATGGTGAAACTTGCCGTGGGTACTGTCGCTGATGGTAGTCCAATGAGCCTTGGCGACGTAGGGTCGGAATGCTTTCTGATGCGAATCATTTAGGGCAGAAATGATATATTCTTCAGCAGTCTTGCGACGAAGAGTGTATGCCGCGATAGTCTCATCAAACAACATGCCACCGTCACCATCCGAGCCGACGACTGAAGAGGTTTTGTCCTTAACATTCTCATAACTCATCCCGCTAGCGATATTACCATCAGTATCAGTCCTTTTCGCTCTAGTCTGAAGTTGATCCCAAAGAGTTACGAAGAACTATACGAAATTAGTAAGGGATTGGTGTGTATCTCGAAATAACCGAATCTCACCTCTTCGTTACTCCAATCTTTCAAAGTAGCAATAATGTGGTCAGAACTACCTAGCACCTTGCAGAGCGATTCGAATGCACCCGTGCCTTCCAAGGCAGCGGCTTGTTCCTTGGTCAGCCCGTGAAGAGTACGGCCCAAGGTTGAATTAATAGTATAGTAAGTATCTAGGGAGTCCTTAAACCGATCATGGTAATCATCCAAGATCTCAAGTTGGATGTCGATGAGAAATTTGAGCTTGTGGGAGAATCTGCGCACCCGTTCATATTGAGACGTGACTGACTTCAACAAGTCGGTCACTCTCACGGCGCCGAATGTGGGTTTCATCTTACCACTGCCGCTATAGTCGTAGTCGATATTCCGGGCGTCGAAGGAGTTCATAATGACGTGATAGCGCTCGAGAGCAAAGTCCTTCTCTGCCTTGAACCAGTCGTCGAAATGTTTTTCTAGCACCTCCGAAGTCAGGCCAGCCCAGCCTTGCTCCAGATCACCACCATCATAATTGAACCTGGAGCGTATTTCATCATCTAGATCCATGAGTTGCACCATAAGACTACTTAGAAATTGTGGATTCTTAAGCCCATGCTGGACCATATCATTCACCTTCTCCCTCATCACGGGCAATAACGCCGTGATCAGAGCGCAAGCAGGATCCACGTAAACCGACAAATCCCGCACTTCCCGCGCTCTAGTCTCTTTAAATCGAGATGCTAGAATATAACCCATGTTATCGCGAAAGAAGCCCTCCCACTTATCAATGAGTGACAAGAATTGGGGAATGCAAAAGGTCCCGAACGACTGAGGGTTACTAGTCGCATTATCACCCATGAACTGAAACCGGAACCACTGGACAAATGGTTTCGCCATAACCTCGATCGGTAAGAGCGTGACCACCCCCTCGGAATAGAGTATTTCAGGTACCTGTAGATCGACAAGCTTCTCGAAGCACTGCAGCCATTCGTCGTCCATCTCGGCATTCGTATCGACTCCCTGGGGCCAGTTGCGCTTCTTCAGGATATTCTCCAGCTCCTTGGACATTATATCCTTCATCTCCTGCCAAAGATCCTCCGTGATCTTCTCGACGTAGTTTACCAGGTGCGTGGCGGCCTCATCCGCCGCCCTTTGCAGCTCTCTTAGCCGGACGCTTAGTTCTTTGAGTCTTGAGTAGGACTGCAGAGCAGCCTTCGGGCTCTGCGGTAGGTGCGAGCGCGCCTCTAGCCGCAGCTTCTCCACGTCTTGCAATAAAGACACATATTGGTAAGCGAGCTCTACCTTGTGGAGCTGCTTCATGGGTTGTTCGAGGCGGCGGTTCGCTTCGTCGGGGGCGGTCGACTCGGCAACGATCTTCATGCGAGCGTCTATGCTCTCCTGGAGCCGGTGGAACTCCTCGATTGACTTGGCGAGCCCGCCTTGCCGGTCTTGGGCAGCGCGTCGGGCATCTTGGAGCTCCTTGGTGGCATCGTCGAGCTGAGTCTGCAATTGGCTGCGTTGGACCTCGACACTTGCTATGAGATTATCGAGGCTCTCGAAATCGGTAGTGGACTGGAGCTTATCGTCGAGATAGTCCTCTAGTCGAATGTCGGGCTCTCTCGAGTAGGAGTGTGCCGGCGCATTTATTGCCATGATTGCTGTCGGCTCACTGAGGACATGTGGTGGAATCGATGTAACCGTAAAAGCCTAACATTGAATTAGGTAGTATCAATAAAATGAGATATGCAGTTATGCGAGTTATGGCCTGATGAGTTATGTAATCATCCATATTGTAGTGGGCCATCGGATGTCTCCGCTTATGTAATCTTTGCACATGCTAATAAAAGACTGGAAGTCGAAATGAGAATTGAACGGTTGGGGATGAGAGTTTCACATATAATTTATAAACTTAGGGCGTCGTTATGATTCTATACCTTAGAATTTATTTACCTTGATCATTCTCTATACTAATACATCTCATGGATATCTTATCATTTAACATCGTCAGGGTTGTAGTTGACAAAGTATCCAGGCAGAAGGGCCTCGGAATTAGTGCCCTATGTAGTAATAATACTGTGATACACTGTATGCACTTTATCACATAGGCGTACAGTGTATTACAGTATTATTACTACATGGGGCACTAATTACGAGGTCCTTCTGCCAGGTACCTAGTAGGTATTCCCGCCGTTAAGGCTGCGAGGGGTCCCCCTAAATGAAGTTGGAGATAACTTCTGGTACTAACTCAAACCCGTTAGGATGATATCAATATACAGCAACTTTGGGGCTCTCCGCAGTGGAGAACCAGTGAGGCTCCGTGCCGCTATCTCCAACGTCGACCGATCGTCACCTGAATCGGTTAAGTTTCATGGGACATGACGACATCGCTACCGATGAAATTCTAGTTCGAGATATGCGAAAGCAAAGCCGATGGTGGGGGGCCAATGAAGGGCGACTCACTTATCACTAAGATGTCAAATGAGTCGCCAGTGAGACGAGAAAGTCAATCATGCCACTTGAAATGTATGAATGCTCACTGTCGTTTTTCATTCATAATGCTGTTACCTCCGTGAAGAAGTCAAATCACTCAAATTCAACAACTTCATATGAAGATTTCTTTACACCACGCTAAGCTCGAAGGACGTCACCGTGATAACCACCTAACCTAACTGTCTAACAACATGGGCTCTAATTCAGCCATGGCGAAGGAACGCCCTAGGTCATTTGGGATCGGAGGAGCCGGGAACATCCGTATGGGCTCCCTCTCCCATATACTTCGCCTAGCAATTAACCAATTTCTCTCCGTCCCCCAGGAACATGGGAAGAAGCTGTCGTACACGACGCAATGTCTGCTAGCGAAGCAGTAGAGCGCCGCAGGAGTAGCCTCATGAGTCTAGGCTCGGTGGACAGTGCCGATTCGAAGTCCTCTAAGATCTCTGGGCGCTTTAAGAGCATATTTCGAAGTCGTTCGAAGTCAATTCCCGAGGTCTCCGAGTAGAGAATCAAGGAATACACATTGGTGAACAATTGGTAATTGGCCGATAGCGAGTAATCGTAAAGGAGTTGAAGGTAATACCACGGGATTGGCGTCGTTTATCGGTTATCTCAAGTTTGGAGTCTATATGACATATCTAAAATACGGGCTTTCTTTATCCGTAAGGTCCTGAAAAGCAAGCTTGGCTCTCTCAGTTTCGTCTCCTACAGCCATGGATCGTTTATTTTGGTTTTCGCATCGCAGGACCATGAAGAGGGCCATTGAAGCTAGGATGGTGATGCAATAGCTACAGCAACAATTTAGTGCCTATCAAGGTGGAAGGGGAAGGTATTTGAAAAAGTTTATGCACGAGAACCATATAATGGCCCATGGGATTAAGCCATAATTCAGGGTAATAAGGGGCCTTGGTCTGGCTCTTGATCAGTTGAGGGTCAATAATATTTCCTAGTATATACGCATTAGCTGGATTGAGTTCCGGACAGCGGGTAACGAATTGAAAGCACTTACCAACACAGTACGCTGCCGAGAATTACCCGAGGCGCTCAACAGCCTCATCAAAGCCGCCATGCAAGCATTCGTGCACTCTCTTCCTTTGGACTCGTACACAAATCGCAATTAGTTGCAGACCTTTGTCGAACATGTCTCTCTCGAAAATTCAGCATGTGATCCTCGTGTGTAGCTTCTCGTCACAATATGAAAGACCTTTTGTAATTTCGTCTTGCTGACAACGGAAACCGCAGGTCCTATCAGGCAAAGGCGGCGTGGGAAAGTCCTCCGTGACCACGCAGTTAGCTCTCACTCTTTCGCTGGCTGGCCATAGTGTTGGCGTCCTCGACGTTGACCTGACGGGTCCTTCCATCCCACGCATGTTTGGAATAGAAGATGCAAAAATTACGCAGGAAGCAGGTGGCTGGGCGCCGGTCATTGTGCACCCTGATATCGATAGTCCCCAAGGGAAGATTGGACGACTGGGCGTTATCTCCTTGGGCTTTCTCCTTGCGTCCCGAGGTGATGCTGTTGTATGGCGTGGGCCGAAGAAGACAGCCATGATACGCCAATTTCTATCCGACGTACACTGGGAAGCGCTCGACTACTTAATTATCGATACCCCCCCGGGTACGAGTGACGAGCATCTTACTCTAATTGAGACCCTGTCTCAGATGGACTCAAGCCCTGTCCGCCCAAAGCAACTCGCTGGTGCCATCGTCGTAACGACGCCACAGGCTGTGGCCACTGCGGACGTACGTAAAGAGCTCAATTTCTGCGCAAAGACGGGCCTCAACGTCCTTGGGGTGGTCGAGAATATGAATGGATTCGTATGCCCCAACTGTTCAGAATGTACGGATATTTTTGGTTCTGATGGGGGTTTCTTAATGGCGAAGGAGTTTGGTGTGCCGTTTCTAGGGAGCGTCCCCATTGATCCACAATTTGGGATATTAATAGAAGCTGGTGAGCGGCCGCTTCGCCAGGTGCTTGATGGGCAGGAAACCCCAACAATGGTAGAGGCGGGAAGCAGGGACGAGGACGATAAGGGGTTAACATTATTGGTTGAGAAGTATCGTGACTGCTCTCTGGCCCCAATATTTAGAGCAATTATGGGTAAAATGATTGAGAGTATCGACTCTGTAAAAAAAGAGTTCTCGCCTACACTAGTACAGTAATGGGCCCACTGTCGCCTCATCGCTTGTAAGGCTGACTAGGTCTATCTTAACCCGGTTTCCATAGAATGGTGTATTGGTACGATATTAGGTACTACCGCCTCGTGCATTGTTCTTTCATAATGCGCAGAATGCGGTAGGTAGGTACGTGAAGCTAGCTTGTTTGCTATTTCAACTCCTTCCCGCTCCCTACCGCGTATCTGATGCTGCTTGTTAACTTCTTAATATGACATATCATAAGATAGTATGCGTAATGCCTACAGAACCTTGTCATCGAGTTTGAATAAGTACGTCTGCTTTTAGAAAAGAAAGTCAAAATAATTGTTTATCATATGGATTACTAAGCGGCCGCTTACTAATGCGTAACCTTACATAATAAGACTCCTGATTAGCCAATCAAAGACCGTATAAAGACTACCTACCTAGCTTGATCAGTTCGTAGAAAAGGGGACAGTACTGACCTAACCTATTGAGTACATTTACTTAGGCCGATGACTTGAAGGAGATCGCGATCTACAGTGCAAGAAACGGCACTTATCCTAACTTCTCTCTAGGAATAATTTGGTAGGTGTGACAAAAAATCAAGAAATGGTTGTTTTGAGTCCACCTAGAACCGCCGTCGTCATGCCTCGATCTTCCCCATTCTTCCCGATCGGCATACATGCGGTCAGCCACCATATTCATATTGCGCAGAACTCAGAACCAAGCCAGGCTTATTGGTAGAAAAGTCGCAAGTTCTTGCCGCAGACTTATATGCTGCCCACCGCACCAATAGTCCGTTCCAAAGACCATCCCAAATGGAACTGCTGCAGCTGCTCAGAAAATCATGCCTCCATGCTGACGATAATTTCGTGTTGCGAATATGGCGAGTTGCGGAACTCGTGTGAAAGTATTGGGCTTCGGACTATCATGAGGCGTTTTCCGATTATGTTGACTCTGGTTATCTTTGGCGATTTAGGACAAAATCGAGAGAAGAGGCTTTACGCGAAATCGCCTAGTAATTAAGAATGAATCATGTCCGGGGCAGACGATGATTAGCCTTGTCGAGACATAACCCACGGATACGCAATCACTGCTGGGACTCACTCGGTAAATCCTCGTGAGCCCCTATACGGATTGGTCAGTACATCAGCACTTCTGACGTGTACAACATCTTGCATATTTGATCATGCAGAATCGTATGGGGTTGTCATTTGTGCCTCGAGCGGGGTCTTAAGTTATATTACATGAATATGTTCTCTGTCCATGATAGTCTGGCTAAGTACATACAAGGTCTTATGAAGGCCGAAAATGCCGGTGCTCACCTTCTTCTCCACTTCCAAGCCTCGAATACAAGAAAAAACCCTGGATCAGTTATCATCTGAACATAATTTATAATCTCGGCTCATCGTTCCTTGCTGGTAACAACAGCATGGAGCTTGATTCGCCAGTGGCTGCGATCATTGAGCTATTCTCAACCTGCCAAGACTGCTATTCGTTCTATAAAACCCGTCAAAACGCAGAAAGAAAGACACGTGTGATGACAAAGGAGTTCGATGCCGAAGCGTCCATCCTTCATTCTTGGGGTCTCTATTGGGATATCCATCTTCCCAACAACCCTAACTCGTCAAAACTGGAGGATTACCTGAAGCAGAATCCACACAAAAAACATGATGTAGTGAAAATCCTGTTACGAATCGGGGAATTGATGACAAACAACGGCGACCTATTAAAGAATTTTGGTATAAAACTAACGCTCAGCGATGCTCAAGGAAAGGTTCGTATTTTGATACACGAAAAGCCTTAGAGTTCGAGATACCTAATCGAAATTACTAGAGCAAGGAATCGAAATTCAATGAGTTCCGTGTAAAACCCGAGGATAGCATCGATAATATCGGTGCGAACAAGGCTGCGATGAGAAATCGAGTAAAGTTACTCAGAAAGTGCAAGTGGAGAATTCTGCGCGGTAAGAATAATGACTTCTCCAAGCTCTTGAAAGCTCTCCGCAAGCACAATACCGATCTCCGTCATTTCTGTCCAGATGGAACTGGGAAGGACTTGAATCGATTCCTTGTCATAGCCTTCTTGAATGACCACATCGAATTTAATCCTCTCGATAAGGCGACCAAACGGATGAGTCAGCTGGTACAGAAAGAGAAAGATCCATCGATCAAAGAAGGGTTAGAGCTTCTACGAGACATGGTAAAGATCAAGGATTCGGCAGGTCTTCATAACACGGAACAGATATCAGATTATCACAAGCGCCATCTATTGCGATATCAGCTAGATATGTTATGCCTTCGCCATCCTGAGGAGCCTTCAACACTTGCAGTTCTGACAAAAGACGATATGCGTTCCATGGTGTACGTCGAGTTCAAATCGTACAAAGATGACACACGCACAATGACCCATGATCGAGAGGTTGTCATTCTCAAGCTTGGTCGATTATTAATGGTTGACTCCAAGTATGGATCCTCTCGGCTTAACACAATGCTATGCCTTGGGCTTTTCAAGGACAGCAAGAAGAAAAGAATCGGTTTCATATTCGAGCTGCCTAATGTTAAACCCAGGAAAAATTTTGTGATAACTCGCAACTCCGACTGGGATGATTATGAGCCATGCCGACTTTCGAACATTTTAAACAGTGGCACGCGTCCATTCAAGTTGAATTGGCGCCTCAGTCTCGCGAAGGAAGTTGTGGACACCATCATTCGGCTTCATGCTATCGGCGGTTTGCACAAGAACATCAGATCCGACTCGGTACTCTTTTCCTCTAAAAGTTACTTGGCGTTGGCAAGAACCGACTATTCCAAGCATCTCCTGATGGGCCATGACTTCATTCGAACTGATGCGAGCCCTACCTCCAGCCAGGGAGGTATGGGAAAATGCCCTGACATATACCACCACCCGGACCAGCGTAAATCACCGGACCGAGCATACCAGTACGCATACGACATCTACTCTCTCGGGATCCTTCTCCTTGAGATTGGACTTTGGAAGTCGCTACATCAAATAGTAAGAGGAAAACAGAACTATAGTCCTGACCGCCTCCACAAGTACATATTGGAAACAGTGGACGTTGATCTCCCCATAGTCTGCGGGGAGATATACAGTAGCGTCGCGAAAACATTCATTTCAATAGAGTCAAGGAATAGCCTGAAGTCAATGAATGAACAAAGAGACAAATGCGCAAAGATGGCTAGAGAGCTTTCTCGGTGTGTTGCTTGAGAGTCAGGAGCTTGGTCATTCTCTCTTTTTGCTACCTCCATCTCTTTTCAGGCTAGCCCCTCGGCCCTTACGACTCAATATAATCGACATTGCAAGCTATTGACAGTAATTCCGGTACAGCTGTGCTCATCAGGAAACCATAACACCCCGATCACCACCTCGTCTCAACTGAGGGCCGGTGATATGCCGCAAGGGGTACCCCGAAGCAGTTAAGTAATGAGGGTAGGGTTTTGGATAACGACTAATTACCAATCTTGCGCAGCAACAACCCTTATCCCAGTCTTTTCCGCTGTACTAGCACTCCTACAGACGATGCACGGACGGCATAAGTCGAAAGTGTAACCGTCCGCCGTTAGAAATCGATAGGTGGCTTTGTCAGTTTGCGCATTCCGTACGGCTACGCTTTGCAAATTAGCAGGAGCCCTAGTAGCCAGCCGATACTATCACTATATGACGAAGCACATCTGACATCGTGGGTTGAGAAGGAGTCTCTCATTCGGAAACCAAATCGGCCTATGGGCTAGGGTGTGCTTGGAGGGTGGGTGGGTTACGACGGCCTGACCGAGGAAAGGTTATGGTATGACAGGAATCGCGTCTTCGCGCATTTATTTTCTAAGGTCTATTGATTCGAGTGAGAGTTGTTCTCTTGATGACAATCGTCACAAATAGAGTTAACTTGATCGTGTATGTCGGCGCCATATGACATCGACAGGTCTATCATAAATCCTCAAAGTGCCTGCGATCTCTAGGGTTATTGTGTCGCTAAATCTTCAACCTTCCTTTCCTGCTGAAATTGGATTACCATAGACTCTAGTGTGCTCTGCTCATAGTGTAAGCTGAAACCAACACTATGATGGCAACTAGCCATATCCTGATATCAAGTGTAGCTTCTCTCAACTGTGACCACTTGGATTTGATACCGCGCGCCCCAGTCTGATCGAATTGCGACCGCCCCACAGCTGCCAACTCTTCGCCCTTGACCGATACTCCCTCTTCGCTAACAGCTTGATTCACCGAGGCATCGTTTTCTTCAGCCACGAGCTTCTCTTCATTGGTCGATACTTCGTCATTGACGACGGAATTGTTCATAGAAGCAATACTCTCTCCATTTCCACACATGGTCTCTACTTCTGGTCTGACTCCAAATTCACGTCTTATCCTCTCCAGCCACTCAACTAATGGTTCGCCAACATCGTTGACATGATCCGGATTTTGGTTGAGAAATGTCGGACCGGGCACAGCCAGTATATCCTTATACTTGAAATTTTCTCTGCAATTGCTGCACAAAGGAGCGGTTGGGCAATCTATGGGAACATAGAACGAGTTTTTGGGATTCTTTCGACAGTGCCTACAGGATATGCTCAGATATTCCGTGATATTTGGAAGCATTTGTTCATAAGCAACCAAAGCTTCTTCCCGCTTTCCGAGAAAAACGAGGCAATTTCCCAACTCATAGAGTCCTGGGTGCCTGCATCCGCTTTTGTTATTATCTAGCAGTCGGGACGTAATGATATATATGACGTTGTTAAGTCGGGTCCTTCTCTGGGTATGCGGCGTCGGCGGAAGATGCGGAAGATGCGAAGTCTTTAGTTCATTTTCCTGCATTGATTCGATGCATGTTCTTCCATATGCATCAAGAAGAGAAAGATCAGCACCCTCTTTGATTAGATTATTAGTTGTCCATCGGTGTCGATTTTGGATAACATAATGTAAAGGTGTCTGAAATATTATATCGGTAGCATCGAATCGTATAGGCTCCCGGCCGAAAAAGGGTCCTTCATCAACAACGCAACGATAATGGTGCAAAACTTTTATATCGATAATCAAATTCGAGTAGTCTCGAAGGACAGCGTAGTGTAATGGGGTAAATCCAGTCTCATCTTGGATGTTTACATCGGATTGAAGTAATCTTTCAATGCAGTCCCTGTTGCCATATAAAGCAGCATAGTGCAGTGGAATAGCCCCATTATTATCACAGATATTCGGGTTCGCGTTATTTTTGAGTAAGAGTTCGATGAATCTGCGGCTTGACCAACCGATCAGGCGATTGTTGTATCCGTCCCCCGTGTCCGTACGGTTGCACCAACTGAGTACCGCAATATGCAGAGGTGTAAATCCCATACAAGTTGTGCCATTTATAGCAGCCTCGGACTTAAATTCTGCTTCTACAACTTGCTCATCGTGGAAGTATGCTGCATAATGCAGGGTAGTCCATTGGTCGTTTTCATGTACTCGTCCTCCTCTGAGAGAACTCAAGAGGATATCCTTATCTTTTCCAATGGCGGAGTATAGAAGGTTTTCTCTGAGTTGGGAATCGGGTTCGAAGTGATCAAGTAATACCTTTATTGCTTTGCAGCTTGAGAGGAGAAATCGCCAAGTATAAGACAACGTAGGCTGCGGTTTGTTTATGATAAAATCGGACGGTTTCAATCGCTGGAACTCCGATGTTCCTTGCCGAAACTCCTCTTGCGCGTTTGCCCAACGCTTTGCAAACGTTTTTATGACTTCCGCTGTGACCTCGATTTCGATATTTTGATGATGTAGACATTCAAGAATATCTGCTATCAGGATAGTGTTGTGTATAGGTTCGATGAGCATCAATTCCGTAACTTTGATGCGACGTTGGGATGAGTTGCAAAGTTTCAACAGTGCCGCCTTAGTAAAATTGACTTTGTCCCGGACCTTTTGAAGCCACAATGGAAGATAAGGATTAGAAATGCAATCCCTTGATAAGTCTTGATAGAATAGAAGTTCCACAATTTCACTGTTGAAGTCATCGTTGCCATGTTTCGTATCCTGCTTATTGTGGCTCATGTGCTGGAGCAACTTCATGAAAGTACCCAAGTCTGCACTGTCGATTGCGGAAGTGAGATGGTTTATAGCCACCTGGAATCGAATTTTGGAAGTATTTAACAAATCCGACAGTGTATCACTTTTGTGAACTATAGCAACGTGAAGAAGTTCATCAAATATCTCAAGATCGATTTTTCGATGGTCGAGTAGGAATTCTAACGTGCCTTCCTTGCCAGACCGAGCAGCTGTTCGTAGACAGTCATCGGTAATAGTGCACCCTCTATCGAGAAAGAATTGAATCAAGTTGCGATAATCTTCGTGGGATGGTTCCATGCATTTCAATAAATCGCTCGAAACTAAAGACTGTATGGTAGGCGCATAGTGGAACAAGGTCCGTAGACTTTGATATCTGTTGCCGCTCGGGAACCGGAAAAGGTGGCTGAAGAATTCCGCTGATAATATTTGAGACATCTGTTCTCCTTGATGGACGCATAGGGAGCGGAACGACTCTGGCCTTTCCTTTGCCATAATGGAAAGCTCGCAATCATGACCTATTAGATCATCATTGTGTACTTTCTGTGGGAGCCACGGAACATCGAGATGAAGTATAATGGAGATTAGAGCCCGGTAACTGTCCACTCCCCTCCTCTGGTCCAGTTTCCTTGGCCAAAATCGACGTACATCAAACAGAAATAGTTTAATGCAGATGTCAGAGGCGATCAAGCATTCAACCCAAAGCCCAAAAGCTTGGTAGTTTTTGTCCAGGAGAGATTTGATTTGAGGTGTAAACTCTTCATGCTCACCAAGCGAAACAACATGCTTATACCAGCTTGTACTAGCATAAACTAGGAATGGGTATATCCTAGGTAGCACCAAGCCAACACGCGGAATTTTATAGTGAAAAAAGTTGTGAGGATTAAGCGATATCGATAACCTGCGTTTGGCTGTATAATCAAATCCTTTCGCAGTGAGGTAAGATAAGCAAGTCCGAGTTATACGCCTGTCGGGACTGATATCCTCAGGATCGTGAAAAAGGGCAAGATTTTCCTTGCAGCCGAAGAATTCTTTACCTGACTGGTGTTGAAAAAAGACACACCGACCATAGTACATGTATTCACGGGTGGTCAAAAGACTACCGAAGTTCTCATCAATAGTATTCTCATCGAGAGGGCGTTTGTATTTATCCATTTCGGATAAATGCGTGTATTGGTTTCCATCTGTATTGTATGGATCGTAAGTGAGGGCAGCTTGTAGTTCAGCGACTGTAAGAGGCCTATTCGGTTATTAGTCATTACCTAGAGAATGCTCTGATACCCATATGCTGTAATCATAAAAGGGGCCTCTGTAGAAAGTATAGAAATGATAGGTTATACCTTTTTGCATGTACTACCCATATCAAGATTTTCTTCAGGATCGGTATTCGTCCTGCTAAGAGATTGAATAGTCTTCCGTACATATCTTTGAGGTCTGTTGGTATGCTTTTTAGGACTGCGTCGAGTTCTGATTTCGTGGGTAACTTTTGATGCGAAAGTTCTCGGATAACGACAGAAACCCAGAGAAAAGTACGTCCAGATTGAGAAAGAAGTTGCTCTCGTATTTCCTCCTTCACCCCTTTCTCTTTATCCATATATCTTATCTCATCGAGCTTTTCGTCTATGAATATAGCCAGGTCATCCTTAGTGACGTGAAGATCTTTATGGTATGGCCGAAACCATCTTTCAATGTCGTCCTCGCCTGGGCGACTGGTAAGCAGTAATCTCATACGATCTTGATTCTCAGAGAATAACTCTTCGAGCTTCTTCACCAGCATTTGTCGTTCGGTCTCGGTGTAATATGGGGTAGAATAATGTTGCTTTTGCGGGCATTCATCTAGGGCATCAATGATACAATATATGCGCCGGGCGTGGACATTGAGCATAAGATCCGAAAATTGTTCCCAAAGGTTATCCATGGAAGCGACAGAAAAGCTTTGTGATGAATTCCAGAAATTGTCTGTTACATGGTCGAAATATCTCCTATAGCTTAAAAGCTGTATGAGTAAGTGGCGCAGAATATCAGCTGGTTGGCAGCTTGGGTCTTGTGCATTGCAGAAATAGCTGAGTATGATGGCCTTTTCAGCGTGTCTCGGAGGTTTCATTGCGCGCCGTTCAATGTGCTTTACCAAGTGCTTCGCCAACACAGATTTTCCTTGGCCGGGAGGCCCACAGATCCACAGAGGAGGAGACTCCTTTTCATCTCGCCATTGCTTGAAATAATCTTTCTCGAGGAAATTCTCGAGCGTTCGAAGACATGGATTGGCGATGGAAGTATATTTCTCTTGTATACTGGAGTCTTGTTTGAACTTCTCCAGCTTTGAAGTTTGATCTGGAGATAATTCTGTATCTATTAATCATCGTTGAACTGATTACTTATATGATAAAGTTGTATTACACACCATCCGTGTTTCTGAGAGCCTTTTCAACCATTTGTCTAACCTTATGCGACACTATTCGATATAACGGATCGTGGATAGAATGATATTTCATTATTGTAGTATGATCCGCATCGAGCGGAATGCTATCCGGTATTCTCGACGAGCCGTCAATCATGGTTGCCGAGTCCTGAGTTACCATCAACTTCTTGTTTGTCTTGCTTCTGGCCAACCGCCCGTTTCTATCTGGCTATATTCAAAAGTCAACTCTCTACACTATAACGTGTGTGAATACAACACAATACTAACCTCAACAATAAAGGTTGCACGGCGTTCGTAAAATGCTGTGATATCAAGCTTCTTGGTTTCACAGAAGTCCATGAAGTTTCCCCCAAGTAGCCGCAAAGACGTTTTCATTTCGGTATCACTGTTCACAACTATATCATTCACAAGCTGCCCCATGGAGTCATGGTAGCCTAATATAGTTTCAAGTTCCTCATGCCGAAGTCCTCGATTAGGAACGCCGAAAAAAAGGAAACCGTAACTGGCCTCTAAGAACATCTTGTATTTGTCGTCGGTGTGACCTGTTGCTTGTACCAATGCCTACGTTCATCAGCTACTCCTTGCTATAACATAACAAGTACCCAACAGAAACGGAAGTAATGTAGGTACTCACCTGTTTCACTATCAATCCACCGAGGCTATGACCTATGAATATAATAGGTCGACGTGCAACCTATTTGTTGTTAGATGTTAATCATATGGATCTAGGTTAATCACGAAAAAAGGAACGCACTATTTTATCATCTCGATATGAGATAATGGCATCAAGCAAGTCGGTAGCATAGTCGAGGATTGATTTCTTGCAATCTCGGTCGGCAGGATTGCAGTTGTGACCGTAGACAAGAATGCGGAGGTTGGGAAGTTCAGTAGGCAGGTAGTCTCGCAACCAATTTTCTTTACCATTTTGAGGCGACTTAAAGGAGCCATACGGATGGCCAGCAAGGCCGGGAACTACAACCAAGCTGAAAACCATTAGTTTAGGGATGTATTTCAAATATACGACTCTTAACTTACTCTATGGCATTTTCGCTCTCATATGTCCCATCATACAATGTAGTAACATGCAGGAACTTCTGGTCGGGTTCAACGCTGTAAAATTTAGCTTGATGCTTCTTTTGTTTGATAAACTACTTAGTCATACCTAGCGATGATCGTCTGGTCTTCGCCTGTACTGATCTCAAGATCAAACGGCTTATGATCGACAAATGGTGACACTTGATATTGGAGTGAAATTGTTGCACAATAACGTGTTTTTTCGGCAGACAACTTTAGGGTTGCATTCGGATCAATGTCGAACTTGTTCTTGAGCGCAAATAAAACCGATTTATCGTCTAAAGAGCGTGCTGTCATCCCGGAATTTGGTACAATGAAAAGGCGCCATGTTTTCGGCACCTGATCTGGCAAATTCCGACTTGTAGTCCACGCTTGACCCATTACAATTCATATTCAAGAATGGCGATGAAATGAATAAAGGTAAGTGATGGGGAAGGGGCGGGGCACCCTCCTTAAACCGAAGAAAATATCTACCCTACATTCAACAACGTAGCGGTCGCCTAGAGTTGGCCAGTGGCGTGTGATATGTACACTCCCAATTCTCAGCCAAGGAATGATCATTGATCGGCATGTTTATTACTTACCTAGGTAATTACGTACCTGAGTATTGTTTTATAGTCTGCCTAGGTAGGTAAGCCGGCATGACTTTATGTATGATATATTGCAGATGTCTTTGGCGTCATAGAAAACGTTCATCCTGTCAGCCATGGCCTGATCGACGACACAGGTTTTCTGCCCTACTGTCGCAATATGAACGCGCCCACCATTTACCTACCCAATATTGGATGCGACCACGTACTCGGTGTACGTGGGATGCACAAAGTCGACACCAATAAGAGGGCCGTGGGCACCTCATTCACGTCTGGCTTAAATAAATCTGCCTTGCCAGATTCGGGTTCGCTTTTGGATTGGTTATCGCCAGTTAAATTCTATCCCAATGGCATTGCCACTTGTCTATCATTTGAATTGGCAGTAGTCTCCAGCCAAGGATTAGAAGGTAAGATATGCAGGTAGGGTTGCCTTTTCATATCGGATTTACACATTGAGACACATTCTAGCCTGTGCTTCTTATTTGAAAAGGATAAAGGATTGGTTACAGTACTAGCACTGGCTTGTGACGCCCCCTCGTACCTTCGATACTGCGCTTTAACTAGGAAAACGGACAGTGTCCTACAGAGGACGTCTTCGAGAAAAGCAAGGATCTTCGGAAGATAAGGACTGTCCCTTTAACTGGCAGTTGTCTGCAGTCAGGGATTAGGAGGCAAAGTACAAATTCCTACAACCTGGTTGACCAAATGCAGAACGTACAGCATGAAAGGTACATGATTTTACTTATATTTTGTCTTGTACCATTTGTACCAATAGTGTCTTGAACCGAGCTTTTGTGGGCGCTTAGGTGTATCTTGCCTCTTAATCCCTGGCTGTAGACAACTGTCAGTCAAAGAGACACCCAAAATCAGTATATTAAGTAACCTCCGGTATCTCTTGATCACTACCCGTTTTCCTAGTTAAAGCGTATTGCCGAAGGCACGAGGGGGCGTTACAAGCCAGTACTAGTAAGGATAGGAATTGTTGATTAAAATGAGACCAAAATAGCAAAAGATTATAGACGATGTATTGAATGTGGTGTCAAACTTTTGAGTGCGTATCTACCTAGGTACCTACTACCTATGTTCCAATGTTTTTGTTAATTTCATTATTACACTTTTGATGGTTAGGTGCCTGCATAGATCATAATGGTTACTTTGACCATGAGATTTTTATTCCTTAATTTACCTACATAAGTAATGTTCAGATATTACAGCGTTCCAGTTGACGCACAGCACCGTCAATGAGGCTTGGTTCGTAAGAATCTACGTTACCCTTGGCTGCCCCTGTCTCCTTGGATTCCCCTTCCAAACACATCAAACAAGTCGCCGCGTATATATCCCCCATCCTATACCGCAACTTTGATGTTGGAGTCCTCCCACTTCCGTCTAGCAAAAATGGCCTTACTTTTGCCAATTGGGTGAGTGGCACGTTCTCCGCACCGACATTGACCACACTATCTACGAGATACCGCAACGCGCGCCACTCAGCGATCTCAAGCATCACAGTTCCCAGAGAGTACACATCCATGGTGGCGCTGAAACTCGTCGTCGGGTCGCCGAGCGCGTGGGGGTGGCGATAGATGTCGAACGTGGGGTTTGCGGAGGGTTGCTCAGAGATTTCGGTAGGCGAGCCGAAACGTGCGAAAGCAAACCCAGCTAGAAAAGGGTCCTCGAGGGCTAGTGAGCCGTCCGCTTGTGGAAAGAACAGGATGTTCTGTGATCGTAGGCTCTTGTGCAGCCACCCAGCACGATGGAAGTTCTGCACGAGGCGGGCAATGCTCAGAGCGAGTTGAATCCGATCCGTGAGGCTTGGTGGCTCTATGCCGTCTCTTGCAGAGAAAAGATCAAGAAGCGAGCGAGGCTCGACTGGTTTATCAGGGGTGGGGTGGTGGAACACGAAGGAGACTGTGCTGTCTTCCATCACGATGCCTTTGCATGAAAGGGAGCGGAATGTCTCATCTTTAGGGGCGTTCAAAAGTGTTGCTAAGTTTTCGATTCGAGGCAGGATTTTGCTCCAGGACAAACTGGTAATCGGTTTCTTTTCGATCACCACCACTTCCCCGTCATAGTCCGCTAAACCCATACTTTCATTCTTCTTCAGGGGTTTGAAATTGGAGAGCCTTTTGCTGGACAAAGGCTCTAACTTCTCAAGTAGCTTGCGTCTTTTCGGCGCTCCAGTATCTTGTTGAATTGGTGCTTGCTCCGATTCGTCGAGACAAATGCGCAAGGCCTTCATTTCGGCCGAAGTAGCAAGGGCCTTCATGCCCCGAGACTCCGCTTGGAGCGCTTTGAGGGCCTCGGAAAGGGAGAATAGTTGGTCGAATTTGGTGTTTAGCGCGACCATGTTGGAAACGATATCCTTAGTCGAATCAAGGAAATCGTCGTGTCGCGTGGGGTCCAACAGGTTCCAAAGTTCTCGAACCAGGAAATGGACATCTGCGGCTAGCTTCTCAATATTGTCCTTATCAACGGCAGCCCACCACAGTCGCTTAAAGATGTGTTGACCTTGCGCCGCCTTCGCTCTTGTCAGGATTTGGCGTCGGGTGTCGTCTGAGATACCGGTGAATACTCTGTCGACTTCGGATAGGGAATAATCATGAAGCTGGGCAACTGTCTGATGCTCGTCATCCACGCGTGGGACGAGCTTCAAGCCATAGCGTTTCTTAAGCTTTTCAGTATCTAAAAGTAGGTCTTGCAATTGTTGGAGAATCATTTCAACAGCACTTGAATTTAAACGTGGATCGAGTGTTCCATCTCCCGTCAATAAGCCGGCGCGACGAGCCCAGTCTGTTAACTGTATCTCCTGGATATTGAGAATGCATACAATTGCCGATGCATGCTTTCCAAGGTTTTGTGCCGTGGATAAGAGAACGAAGCCCTTGATACATCCCCCAAAGAGTTGCAGCGACAGCGATATCAAGCCCGCCGTGCTAGCTGTGATGCTAAGTGGATCTGCCATTTGCGTCGTTATGTTTTGCTAACCTTAGAAGTCAAGGGCCGCTCGAAATCCAGTGCGGAATTAAAACGGCGACAGGTGTGAGACTTTCAGCTTCTGCACATAGCCGGGGCGAGACATTTCTTGGCTGCATATTGCACGTAAGGGGTATAGTCGACGGCTGCCTCAGCTGAAATCCATGGATCCCCTAAGAGCATTAGCAAGCACGCTAGGTATGTGACGGGACTACTTTCGCATCCTCATAATTCTCCGAATGAGAGGCTTCAATTCAGCAACACAACTTGAGATGGATTCCAATCGAGCAGACTCTGTTAGACCATACACTAGCAGCGAGCCAGCAGCTTTAGACGGCGCCGGTGAAGATGGACAAAAATCACTACCTATGATAGGGGTCGAGGCCTACACTCCGAATGTGTTTGACTTAGTGCTGCCTACAGGTCGCGCCAAATACGCAGTCAAGTCAAATATTCCTCCTGCCTTTCTCCAGAGCGAAGCTGTTGATTCTTCGCTATTCCTTGGTCGCGGTGCCTCGTTCACGGTCACTCGACAAGCCATTCCGGCCGGTCCGGAGAACATAGTGGAACGAATAAATATGGGCGGCTGGATTGCAGAGTCTGTAGTAAAAGCCCCGAAACGTCCTAGCTATGTAGTATATAAATCGGCACGAGTAGCATTTCAACCCAACGGCAAACCAGCGACACGTGAAGACAGTCGGGCTCTACAAAGTGTTCTGACTGAATTTCATGCGCTATTACATCCGGCACTGCTTAAGCATCCCAACATTATCGATTTTCTCGGACTCGCTTGGGGAACCAATCATGCCGACCCACTTCATCGTCTTCCGGTGCTTGTTGTCGAATACGGAGATCGAGGCACTTTAGCAGACGTTCAGTTACGTGGGCCTCCATTATCCGACGCTTCGAAGCTTGATATATGTCTCGGCATCGCGCGAGGTCTTAAGGCCCTGCATGATAATGGCATAATTCACGGTGATGTGAAGCCGGAGAATATCATTATGTGCTCACATAATGATAACATCCCCATACCTAAGCTGGCTGATTTCGGCTTTGCCATTATCGAATCCACTGAGGCGTCTGAAGTTATGATTGGGAGCACAAGAATTTGGCGAGCCCCTGAAGTTTCCTCCGCTATTCCTGTCGCTAAATTGAGGTTCACGGACGTGTATTCCTTCGGTTTGGTGGCATGGTCGCTTGCTATTGATGGCAAAGACCCATTTAGTCTGTTTCTTGCTGATAGTTTGCATGGTGAGGAGCGACTTCTTGAGATCGAACGTCTTAAGCAAGCGGATCAGGTTCTAGCTATGTCGAAGCTAGAGACATGGATTTTCGACTGGGGATTCACACGTAAACTACAATCAGCAACCTCCCATACCCAAGCAAATTCGTCATATGGATCAGCTAACCCAACTGAGCTACAAACTCTACAGAGTCGCCTCATGACCCTAATGTCTTCCTTAAGACAGTTAGGGGCACCAAAAGAAATGATAGTTTCGGGTGTTGTGGGATTTTACCGTCAACAAGCATTCTTTGGACATCTCGATTCTCTGTTCACCCATACTTTGACTAAGGATCCAGACCACCGAGATCTATCAGCTGTGATAAAGGAACTTGAAGGACAAGATGTCGAAATAATCAAGTGAGAGGCTCTTGGACCGGGAAAGATCTTGCTGACTGTATTCAGGGGCATCGCAACTTTGAACACCGCAGAGTCTGGCAACAGCACGCAGGGCTTGGTCAAGCCTAACATAAAAAGTTCAGAGATTCCGATGACAGAGAAGTACAAACGATCATGACTTTAGTTTACCCCGTTGTAGCGGCTAATATATGTTAACAGCGCATCGAGGAACTTTGATTGGCATGGATTGGGATTTAAGGTTATTATTCTATCTTCTATGGTCTATTATGGGTCCCTTCTAATAATCAATACAGTCTCATCAATATTCATGGCAGATGACTAGAGATCTTGAACCGAACGTACAAAACTTTATAGTTAACACTCTATCCCACCCGGATGAAGATAGCTCCAAATTCATTCAGGCAGCATATTTGCTTAACGGGTACGGAGTCAACGCCGATGTAGATCGGGCTCTGGAGTGCCTCGTTCAAGCAAGTCTATCAAGAGATTCAATTTCCCAGGCATTCTTGTACAGAGTGTTTAAGGCATGTCAAAAGGACATCCCGTCCGAAGTCCCCGTGCTGCAATACTTGAAGTACCAAGCCTTGAGAGGGTCGCGTATGGCGCTACTCGATTTGAAAGAACTAAACCCTGAAGAGATGGAAAGCGTCAGAGATCGCGTACGGTTCGGCTATGGTGGTGTCGGAGCCGATTGGTACCTTGATCGCCAGTGGAACTATGGCCTCACGCAATCTACATTAATGAGTAAAGACTTCAATCTTGAATGTCTTGGCCCAAGAAACAATTTGGCAGATATTGTCGTCAATAAACGAGGAGACAAGATCACTCATGCGTCGGCAGCTGTTGGCGCGTATGGCTTGCTTAAGGAGCTGATAACTGACGTTAAGGTCGACGTCGACCTTCTTAATTCGAAGGGAGAAACGGCACTGTTATGTGCTTGTCGGTCGGGACACGCAGCAAACGTGAAGCTTCTGCTTGATAATGGTGCTTCCGCTTCCATTCAGTCATCGAGCGGAGAATCGCCGCTTCATTGGCTTTCATCATTCAAAGATAATATTAATCCTGCGGCCGTTGGGAAAGACTTGATTGAGGTAGGAGGAGCAAAAGTCGACGCATTTACCACATGTCGTGTATCTCATTCCATCTTTCCGGGCACGATGGATGTGGATTTCCAACCTGAAGGGACACCACTCTTGTGGGCCGTTCACGACAACAAACCCCGAATCGTTGCATTCCTACTTTCGGCAGGAGCAGATCCAAATTGGCGATTCAGCAACGATGACCAATCACCTCTAGAGTGGGCAGCGTTCTACCACCATACCGAGTGTTTAAAACTGATGATCGAACACTTGGAGAAGACTGCCCCTGCTCCCATGACGACGGAAGGGAAAAAAGACACTCGGCAGACAGTATTGTATGGGCCACTGATAAGACACGCCGTCCACGGATCAGACAAGTTCTCCATGATCATAAGAGACGGCGCGAACTATCTCAACAGTTTCAAATCCACCCTAGCTCTCCTACAAGAAAAAACAAAACTAGTTAAATTCAGCGTAGGAACAAACGAGACACTACTCCACTACGCCGCAAAAGAAGCCCACGACGAAGCCTGCAAGATCATCCTCGAGTCCGGCTGGCTCGTAGACGAAATCAACAAACTCGCAGGCCCGGAGTCCCGAACGCCCTTACTAGAAAGCGTGCGCTGGAACCGGCGCCCGCTCTTCCAGCTCCTCGTCCACCACGGCGCCGACGTCACCGCCCTCTCAGCAAGCCCGTACGACGAGTCCGGGCGGCGCACCTGGACCGCGCTGCACGTCTTCGCGGACCAAGCGCACAACAACAACAACAACAACAACAACAACAACAACAACAACAACGCCGACGACGACCTAGCCCTCGTAGACGACCTCGTCGCCGCCGGCGTGCCCGTGGACGGCAGTAACAGCGCGGCCGCGCCAGCCACCGAAACGGCCTTCCACATCGCCGTCCGCCGCCACGCCTTCCGGCTCGCGGACCGGCTGGTCTCGCACGGCGCTAACATCGACGCGACGTGCGCGCGCGCCGCGTTCCTAGTCGCTTCGCACCCGCTCACGGGCCTCGGCTGGGTCGTCGCGCTGAACGCGCGGCACAGTCTGTCTGGGCTGCGGTACCTTCTCGCGCAATCGCCTTCGTTCGTCGTCGAGCCGGAGCGTGGCTACACTGCCCTGCATCTAGCTGCCTGTGTGCCGGAGGGTCTGAGCTACGTGGGTGGCGATGGCGGGGCGGTGTCGAGGGCGGATTTCGATTGGGATACGCATATGCTGCTTTTCCGCGAGCTGTTGGAGTGGTTTGATGGCTCGGAGAGGCTGGATGCGAGGTGTATGGTTGCGGCGGGCGCGAAGACGGCGCTGCATCTTGCGGCGGAGTATGGGAATGTGGGGGTTGTGAAGGAACTTGTGCGTGGTAAGGCAGATACGATGGTAAGATGTGAGGCTGGGGAGACGGCGGTGGAGATTGCGAGGAGGGTGTGGGGTGGGAAGGGGCATGAAGAGGTTTTGAGGGAGTTGTTGGTTTGGTTGGAGTAGAGGTGTGACTGAGCGATCCCCTATTTGAAATATTGATATTTCAAAGTTGTTATCTTCTATCACCAACACCGTCGAAATTCGACCACAGGAAACCTGCGGACGGCGGGTCATAGAAAGGATATTTGATATATGCGGAATATATTCCCAGGCAAAGGGAGTTTCCAACTTGTAGACTAGCAATATTGTTGTTTTCTCGCGTGCTAAACCACCTCCATGACATCTGTCAATTGTACTTCCACCGATGCATGCGTATTAAACCTCTTAACCTGAGCTTTGTAATGCATACAATCGTTGCCAACAATCATTAGTTGATACTTGGGGCCGGGCCTCCCTTTCCGATCATTTTTCAATATATCTTTGCATATATCTTCACCAATCTTATATCTATTATCTTGATCTTGATTTTTCAACAGATCGAGAACCTCTTTCATCTTTCTTTCGGTTTTAGGGTCGCGATCGGACCAGATCACCACCGAGATGTTGTCTAACATATCAGGTCCTCGAGGGTTGTGGTTTAACTGACGCACGCAGCAGACTAGGAAGTTCCATCCTCTGGGGACCATACGAAACTCAAGACATGATATAAAGGATCCATAAGGCGGTGTTGAGAGTGTATTGCTAGTCGGGTTCCAGGCTAGCGAAGGATAAACGGCGATTACGCGAGCTTGTTCCTTTGGCGGTAGACGGAATTTATAAGTTAGGTGAATTATCTGTGACTTGTAAAGTTCCCGCGCGCTACTCTCCGCAACATCCTTTTTTATATACACTGTTAAAGGTGGTCGTTTTTCGGTGGTGCGATTTGCCGGGATAGTGAAAGTCCGGAAGGTTCGGTGTCGAACATATTGTAACTTGAACTTCTGAAGTTGGATGGCAATTTCTTGCTTATTTTTATCCGCCGGCGACATAGTACAAGAAAGGGGCATGGTTAAGAAAGAGTCGCCTTCCTCGGCAGTGCCCGGAACGACTTGAATCCTTAGTCCCTTGTTGGTCATAGAGAACTCGCCGATATCCACTGAGGAATCATTGATATGTTCAAGGTTACCGCAGCCAGAGAATTCAGAAGGAGATTGAGCGAGTACGCCACGAATCCCTAGCCAATATCTGTCTGGCAGTATTGGTTGGCCGTTCCCAGATTCATCTTCCGACTGTGCCGTCCACGCGAATAATGATAAATCATCTGTGTTTTTCAGAATCTCTTCCTGTAGTCGGATGAACGCTTTGCGACCTTCTCCATATATCATAGGCATATTGACATCGAAAATTCCGAGGAGGCAGTATGCGATGTCCTATTGTACGTTAGAGGCTCAATTATTAACACTTCCAACTGCCTCACTCTTCGTGCACATATTCCTTCTTTAAAAAAATACTTTGAGAAACGGATAATAACCATCGGCTTTCTTACCTCTACTCTAGTTGTCTTTCGCTTCGACGCCCATGACATCCGTTTACCCACAGGTATATTTGGCAGGAGTTGGCTGTTCATCAGAACTTTCACGTCGATGCCAGTGATTCTGGAGATCTCCTGTCTGTATAACTCCTTGGAACCGACTAAGTTCCAATCTCGATCATAAAAGTTGAGTATTTCGGGGGCAATTAATTCTTGCAACGTCCATCCTCTAGCAAACCACCGGCATTTTGCAAATCCTGCTTTGATTCTATTATCCTGTTTGTCGAAGTCGTGGACAGACATGTCCGAGAGGTAGGCATAGCAAACGAAGGAGTCCTTATACCACTGGAACATGGAATTGATAGCCTCGGATAGGGCGGCACTGCTCGTCTTGTCGATGCAGCAAGTGTCGACCCAAGCGTATGGTATGCCCCTCTCTTCCGCTAACCGACAGGTTGCGGCAATTTTATCAAATCCTTTCTTCTTCCTTGCGGTGGCTTGGTGAAGTTTCATCTCCTGAAAGTTTACCTCTTCCTCTTCCCATGTATGCGACAAGATTGCATACTTCACATTATCCGGATTCTCAACGTAATCCAGTTCCAGAGAGTCAGTGTTGATGAGCCACATGTCGTCCGGCCTTAATCTTGTTGACTTTTACTAAGACAAATGAGGTTCCAATTGGCGTTGAGCGTCAGCAATCTCGAACATCCCTGATGAGATTAGTACAGGCACTAGTGTCTGCTGACTTATTTGTGGCGGTGCGGGAAAAGGAGCTAGAGGTTAAAAGCAGGTTCTCACGCACGAACCAGGTGGCTGACAGAGTCCCTAAGATTGATTATTACCTAATCTGCTTATTAATCCACCCCCTGGATTTCATGGATGACGAAGCTTTGGGAAATAGGGGTATATTGACATATGTTGTGCACCTATGTTCATTTGATAGGTGTCCACAGAGGCTTTGCTAATAGAATCAAACCCACCAATGGTATAAATGGGACCGTGTGCTGAAGCAACCACTCTTCTATGTTTAGGGTGCGGCATAGCCAATAACTTCAACCACTGATGTTTCTTCACGTCGTAGACCTCAGTCTCGTTTAAAACGCCATTCGAATTTGGAGCGGGGTTGCCTTCGCGCACCGTACAAAGGTGGCTGTGTAACCGCCAATCACACCGATCGAGAGCCCGCCGCGGGCCATAGGCATTTCTGCCTTCGCTACCCATCCCTCCTCGGGCGCACCGAGATCCAGGGTCCAAGTCGTATTGCGCACATTAGGCTATTCGTGGTCGCGGCCGCCAACGGCGTATAGCGTGCGATTTATCCCAGATGTGGTCTCGTAGTGCCTTGTCTACACTGTATTGAGCGATTTTTGTGTACCATGGATTATTAGTTCAAGGCGCTCTAGGCCGCCTGCTAGGTAAACAGCGTCTCTGGATATACCTACCGTGGAAGCCCCTTGCCCTTGTCCATCTGGCTTTGGAAGCAAAGTCGTCCATGTACTTTTTGAAGGGTCATAAGCAAAGCAATCTGGTGCTGAACGCCACACCAAACCTACACCGTCCCCCGTGGGCCCAATGAGCACGTATATCTTGCCGCCGACCTCGACTGCGTTGATTTTGATGAATGCCTTCGGTACCGGGGTTGGAATTTTTCAGTTTTTCCCTTGGAATGAGTATGCCTCGAATCTACTCGTCGACGGAGCCGCGGGCCAGTTATTATTTGAGTTCGAAGGGATGCCGCTGAGAAGATAGATACGGGAGCGTCACTACCTACAAGGGACAGGTCAATCCATCGAGCACTTGGTTATCTGTGGCTCAGGCAGGAGACGCCGTTATTATGACGGCTCACGATATTGCGGGGAGTGTCATAGATAACTTCATACTCGTTTACTCTCGGAGTTCATCAATTGAAGGTCATATAAAGTGGGGTATAGAGGACGGGGGCCGGTCTGGAGACAGACAGATGTCGGTATTGTGAGCCACCGGCGACCGAGGCCGTGCATTTTATGTTTGGTCAGACAATTTAATCTTATTCCAAATTACCGTTTTCGTCGGACAAACTACTAGATATGGCAGCATGGAAATAAAGAGCATCGTCCGTATTGGCGACAGCGCGTATGTTCATTCATCTTATAAAGTAGTCTGAATCGATTCCTTCTAAATCTTATTTATCTGGCTGGACGGGTAGACTGATTAGACGAACTTCATCAAATTTCTTCGACCGGACAGTCATTCAACACTGACACATATATCTCCAAGGTAACGATTGCTCAATTGAAAACCTACCTAACAGGGGCTACCATTTGAAATTATTGTGTAGTAGCAGCGCATGATGAAACATGACTTGACGGGGAGGGGGCAGGATATGGTACCAATCATGCTGGTGGCTATAAAGTTGGCTTAGCAGACGCAGTAGCACTCTGTCTGCAGGTAGGTGGTTGGCAACTTGGCAAGTGGTTTAATTTTCAATTGTAATGTTACCTCTGTGAAAGAGTGAGCCTTTCGCCTTATTCTCTATTCAACTTATGTCCTAAGTTCTTGTTTAATCCATCAGTTTCGATCTTCTTTATCTCCGTTCTACAGGCCAAAATCTTGCAAATGTCATTCGGGTTTTCAGTCGGTGACTTCCTTGCGGTGAGCAAGCTAGCGAAAGATATTATCTCCTCGCTCAAAGACTCCGGAGGTTCTCGCACCGACTACCAGAATCTCGCCCGCGAACTTGAATGCCTCCAAGCTGCGCTTATTCATCTCGATAGGTTGACAGCGACAAGGACCCCCCAAGACTTAGCCGCGATAAAATACGCCGCTTTAAGCTGCCGTCGCCCACTTGAAGAGTTTCTAGTAAGAATACGCAAATATGATAGGTCTCTCGGGATACAGTCTAGACCGAATCCAGTTAAAGGAGTCATTGACAAAATCACATTTCCACTCACTTCCAGAGATGAGGTACAAAAGTTGCAGGCTTATTTGAGTGTCCACATCGGCACGATTAACATTCTGCTTGCTGAATATGGGCTTGAAAGTATGCAGTTGGCGACAGAGACGACTGAGTCGAGCCAGATCAAAATGAAGACGTGGCTTGAGAACACGGATAGCCTGCTGAGCGGCATGCAGACAAGCGTTGTCTCAAAGATGAATGCGGTTCTTGAGAATATTACCTCCCTAGAGAAGGTATATAGAATATTAAGCGGGGAGCTGAAAGCGTCTCTGCAATTATTCCAGGACGCGGTGGCCAATGTCTGGTACGTCTTGTGGCATACCGTCGCACTACTTTCTGCTAAGGTCTCGCTAGCGTGTCAACCCAGCAAATATATGCCGTCATTCTCGAAATCCAAGCTTCCATTACTGCCACCCCAGACATTAGGTGGACATTCTTCCAGGAACCGCTCATAGTTGAGGACGCTTTAGGTAGAAAGTTTCCTGTCCCATCCGAGTACGACTATTCGCTTCTTAACGCCGTCATAAAGCACAAGTTCCGGGACGGCCCCGGAGCAGCGCAAGTGGCTGCAGGTGACTATGAGATTATGTATGCAAGAAATCGACACCATATTCTTTCGAATAACTCCAGGCTGAGGCCAGGATGTTCGATAACAATGGCTATCCTTGTCGGCAAGCCCCATTCGGCTGCGCTCAACTGTGAGTGCTGTCCGATGCCCCAGTGCCATTCAAACAATACCATAGCCGTCCCGGGTGGCGGAAGACAATGGTGAGTGTTCCTCCTTCAACAACTCACGAATCAACTGTTAATATGTATGACTAGTCTTCATTGTGCTGTTTGGTTCGACCAATCTAAGAAAAAGCTCAGCTTGCTCCAGGGGGTTTGGGTTGTTCATGAGACATTATTGACAGTAGACCAATCCAATTCCAACACAGATTGGGAGGAGATTGGCGCGCGGGATTACACGGAAGCAGTTGAGGATGATTCAAGCATCAGTCTTTTCAAAAACGTGAAACTAGCTGACCGCAAGCAAGTGAAGAAAAACGCGAAGCCAACCCATTGCGAGGCAAGTGAAGAAAATGTGAAGCCGGTTGACTGCGAGGCAGTTAATAAAAACGCGGAGCTAACTGACCATAAGCCAGCTGATGAAAACTTGACACTAATCGATCGCAAGATAGCCAAGAGCCACGTGGAAATAACTGACCTCGAGGCAGTAGCGGACCGCGAAGCAACTAGACAAGAAACGAAACTATCTGAGCTCGAGGCAACTAGAATATGGCGATGGCTAAACAGTCAAACCGATTTTTTAAACCTTGCCTATCACGCTTATTGGATCAATGTTCCTAATTCGATTCAACAAGATGAGAAGAGGTTGTATGGCAATGCTTTTCAGAATGGATATATGTACACGGGGAGACATTCCGTTGCTACACTCAGCTCTTTGTTTGATTCCGAGTTAGCTCAATTAGTTGACTAGGAGACCCTAAGGGAGAGACCATGTATGGACCATGCGGACTGTCTAATGGCACGGTAGTTTTAGCCAAAGGCACTTAAATTTATATAGGTATTATACTATGGAACAAGTATTCATAAAACTAGCCCGGGTTGGGAATAACCAATGTGGATTACCATGCCTTCAGCCAAAACTACCGTGCCTTTAAAGAATCTGGGACCATGTAATGCCATAATGTAAATAAGCTCCACCATCTATTTATTGGAAAAGGTCGGTTTCAGTGTTATAAAATTATCAATATTTTGATAGAATATTATGGTAAAAAATGGCCCCGAAACTTAGCGGGAACTGGACAAAGTGAAATCGCGGCCCGGGCATGACGAGGGTACCTAGGCCCTTATCTACTAAACAATGTGAACTTTAAAGATGAAAGCTAGGTAATAAAATGGAAGGCTATACCTTAACTGATATGTGTATATAATAAAAGCTAAAAACGGGAAAGGAAATTCCAATCACATAACAAGAATAATGTTTTACAGGATTGCCCCTCGGTCGAAAACCCTTAGATAAGCACGTTAGCCAGGTGGGGCTATTAGTAATACATCCAATGAGCGTGGATATTATTAATATTCTTGCAGATGGAGGCTACTTGCAAGGAAAGTGCTACTTGCACTGTGGGAGGTATTTAAAACCTCCGCAGGAGATTTTAGAGCTTTAGAGACTTAATCCAATACAACATCTTATTCTCTAATTCCCTTTTCTCTTGCATTTTTGCAGGGGTCCCCATTTTCTAGCTGAATGTAAAAAGAGAACATCCATGGGAAGTTCAACGATTGTCTCCATTTAACTGGCCTGATAGTACCGCTTAAAGACGCAGCCTGCTTCACTATTGTACAAGTCCAGCTTCCTGTAGAGAAAACCCCTGGAAGAACTTGGTTGGTTGAATACAATAAGGGGTTTCTGAATGAATATGTACCTGAACAGTTAAGGCGGGTTGATGTAACTCCATTCACCGACTCTTGTCCTATATTATCCTAGATATTATACCCGTCTATCACCTACCTGAATACCTAGCTAGGTAGGTAAATATGGATCAATCTCAGCCGCATCGATAGACTACCTGGGGAGCCTAAGCAGGGACAAAAACGGCCCCCACACGCTCCGCTCATCTTTACGCTGGGTGCGGCGGTGCCGTCCATTAACACCCCGGCCTTCACCTAGTTCCGTTTTGTCGGCACCAATGTCTGTCAGCGAACCTGCATATATTCCGTCACAATTCGTCGAATTGCCAGCAGATAATGCGAAACTAGAAGAGATTTTGAGCATGGAAAAAAAAGCCACTTTGCTCTCTTATTGGTCACTTACCATCGCCGACCTGTCAATCTCATCCGGGGCTGCGCAACTAGTTTGCATTTTATCGAGGAGACTTACCACGGATATTGATCCCCAGACTAAGCTGAACCTCCAAGAATGGAAATCGCTATAATATCAAGTCCAGCTTATGGATCCGGCCCCCAATGGCCTGGCAATTCTTAAGAGCCTCGTTGCTCTTCGAGCAAAATTTTCTTCCTCCGTCGATGTGTTCTGATTTCCGAAGGAAACGAGTTCTCCTCAGTTCTGAAAATGACCTGCCTAAGCCCCGATGACCATGGCTGCGACATCAAAGACCACCTACTTCATTTTTTAGGATGTATCAAGATAAAGGATCGGGAGGATTTTTTCGAACCCGACCACGGTATATGGAAACAAGAATTAGAGCACCAGAAGGAGCATCTTGGTCTCGATGACGAGCAGGCCCATGAGGTCACTAGGAGGAAGAGGGAATCGTGGAAAGATGACTGCGATGGCGAATTGAGACGCATTAATTTCCTTCGAAAAACTTTGAGGGCCGATAAAAAAGACAAGCACTTGGTTAAGGAAGTAAATAGCAGTCGGGAACGTTGGCAAAAGAAAAAGGGTAAAAATGTCACTGACTCAACGACTGATGGAGCCGAGGAAGTCGATGAATATGAACCGGAGAAGGACATCAGTGCGCCTATCATACTCTTTGAGAATGGACGGGGCGCGGATGTGCCTATTGATGATAAGAAGTCGAAGGACGGCCGTCGTGTCGTGTGGAACAAGTTCCCTAACCAGAAAACAGCTTTAAGCGACTTGCTTCGACACGAGAAGAACTTCTTACACAATGAGAATTTCTCGTCTGATCGGTTGGGGTATTTTCATGTCCCTTCAAACAATATGATCGTATGTCGGACCCCTGAAGTCATATATTCTCACCACGTACTAGGTCGATAGCTAACTTTTGTCTAGTGGGCTGAGGTGTGTAGTATTTGGTATACGAAGGCGAGATAAACACTGACCAGCTTGATATCAGCATGCAATTAGTAGGTACTTTGGTGAAGAGAGGCCGGACTACCACGCAACTCAACGTGAGTTGAACCGAAAAAAGAAGACTAGAGCTTATATGGTTCTTCGGGATCAGTACTGGAAGAGTCAGCTGCATGGAGGCCAACAGCATATTCCACCACATGCAAGACATTTGAGGCCTCTCTGCGAAACGGTTTCATCAGGTAGATTACATCGGGCCCTCATATTATACATAAGCTAACGATGGTGTAGATCCAGATAATGCAGACTATTTCCCAAGAAACATGGTCCTTTTTGTAAGTATCCTTAGGTTTGGAGGACGTCAATTTATTCTTGACTTACCTGTTTCATAACACAGATGCCGTATCTCCACTGGGATATTTCGAGAAGAAGCGAACAGTTTGCGATGGAAATCGCCGATATAATGGAGGATGCTAAAGACTCCCCAAAGCATGATGGAGAACGAAAGAGGGAACTACGAAGAGAGAGAAACGATGACTCTGAGACATCATCATCTATGGGGGAAGCAGCTCCGGATGGCAAGTCACCTAAGCGTAAGTGGATATATCAATTATGTCTTAGTCTTTTAACTGAACTACTCTACAGCAACCATCATTCAAACCCTTAAACAGAAGTTTGGACTTGGTGCGGAGCAACCAACTCCTGCTGATAACTGCTTCGCATTTCCAGAGCCTGGGAAGCACAGGAGGACGAAGGCGAGAATTTATACAATGGGAAGACTTCTGAAAGAGTTGAAATTAATCGAGAGCCGACTCCCAGTCGATGGGAATGGTCGCGTTCGGGTTAGGAACGCCCTCGGTCAGTATCTTCTCGACGCCGCAAGACTTTACGAAGGAATGTCAAATTACCGTGATAAGAAGCTCCTACGCAAGTATCTCTGCGCGGACCCTCCATTACATCCTCGTCGAACGCTTGACCAGGCTTACCACTGGACTCTCAACTCAACTTGGCATCGGGATCGGGATCAGGTTGTATACCGTCACACAACGACTAAACCCGAGGATTTCCATAAATACAACCACAACAAACGGGTATGGGAGGACCATGAAGAATTTGGTATCAAAGGTCAATGTGAGGAGTGTAAGATGAACATCAAGAAGCTGTCTCGGGTCGTCATGGTCGATCAATTGTGGATGTGGATCCTTGATGCGAAGACAATCATCACTTGTTTCCCGAAACGTTATGGAGCCAACAAGCAAGACACATCAGCTATCCACAAGTCAATCAGGGTTCACCTCCAAGATAATAGCGGCGATCAAATCCGAACAGTCTTTGACTTGGCCCTTGTTATTATTGACGAGTGCTCCAATACGTTCTTCGATAGAACCAAGACTGGGGATCGCCAACCGCTGGTCCTCGATGCGTTCTCAAAAGCTATTGGTAACATTGTGAGTATATCGATAAACCCTAGTTAGGAATAGGCTAACACAAACCCATAGATGCAGAAACAGACTGCTGCTTTCGAGAGGCTATGGCGCTGGACCGACGAAGCTAGTGAAATTTACAGGTCCAATACAAATGGCGACACTTCCGGACTCCACGTCCCGCTCCTTGATATCAATCCCGAAGGACAACTGGAACGCGAAATCAAGGATATCATAGAGGAGTTGGACATTATGATACACATCACGAATATACACAAGAAGATCCTCACGGCGTTCATTGCCAATGCTGAGAACATACTTGATCCATTCGGGGACTTCGCCAAGAACAAGAAACGCCAGATGATAAGCAGATACCTGTGGGACAAGTCGGAGAAGAAACCAGATGATCTAGCAGCTCTTCGGGAGGCAATCAACCGAAATGACTGCAATGATCCTAAACTCAAGAAAATGCAGGACGATTACCATTGGTTCAAGCTCAATGCCGACGAGCGGTTGGTGAATGTCGAGAAGAGAATCGAGGAGCTCAAAGACTTGCGCAGGAGCGCCAAGAACACTGCTGACGATGTAAGGACCTGCTTCGGATACCCTATTGAAATAAACGTGGAACTAATTGAAAACTTAGGTCAAAGACTTATTGGGGTTGAAACAGCAGCAAGCCGGTGTCGTCCAGGCATGGCAAGCTGTCAAACAATCCGAAGAGACCATCAAGCAGGGTCGCTCGATTATGATGTTTACGCTTGTTACGATAGTCTTCGTAAGTGAAACTAATCATGTCTAGGGTGTCCCGCTGAAACCAACACTCTTTAGCTTCCCCTTTCGTTCATGTCGAGCATCTTCGGAATGAACAATAGCGCGATAACTAGCGATACGTCAATCCAGTTGGAGTTCGTGTACATGTGTAAGAGATCCATCTCACCACTTAGTAACAAACCATCGTTAGCTAAATCCGAACTCTAGTTTCTATTTCCGCCGGCGTCATCTTCATCAGCCTATTCCTCGCCTTCGGCAGTTGGATCCGCGCCGGCGTATTCTACATCTTCAAGTGGCTTATGACCTGGCTCCTGGTCAACTCCGGCATATATAGAGTCTGGCTCGACATCAACTGGCCGAGCAAGCGCCTCCATACCGAAGCGAACGAATACTCCGACCGCCTTAAGAAGAACGCGAAGATCGCCAACCTGGAGCGCCGGCGCAAGAGGCGAGAACGGGACGAGGAGAGGGCTCAGCGAAACGACAAGAACAAGAGCAAGAATAGCCTCCTTCAATTTCTGCAGGACCCTTCGTCTTATGAAGATAATGCTAAGGCCAATGCTAATGGAAACTCAACGTCGGTGAGGAACGAACGCGATTTATTATCCATGTCACAACTACGGAAGTTCACGAGCGGGGCGCGGGGTGAAAAGAAAAATGATCTTGAATCGGGGGAGATTTGATTCAAACCAGGAGCCATGCATAAACTCAATATTAATCCCATTATCAATCTGCCTAAACCTAAACTCTTTGTGCTGCTTTGAGCAAAAGTGCGATGAGAATCATTTCCTAAAGTTCCTCCATTTCATCGACCTTTTGAACTGCCGGGGGCTCCATGTAGTCATCCGCAATCAATCGCGCGACGTTTTTGCCCATGAGGGCGCTCGTCTCCATTGTGGAGATGAAGCTCTCGATGCCCGACGTGTAATACAGCCCATCACCGAGGATAGGATCCTGGAATGTGACACGAGGGAGCTTCTGTGGGTAAGGATGGAAGACCGTGGGGTGATACCATGTGATAGGGTCGACGATTGTCCACCCCTCGTCGCCATCTATGCTAACGGGGGAGGAAGATCGAGTAAACGTTTCCGGTATCTGGACACCTAACAGCCGAGATAGGAATTCGGGGGTCACCTTGTCGGGCGAAAAGATCTTGTAAACATACTCCGTGTTTTGCGTCTTGGGACTTGTGACAACTTTGACAAGTGTCGCGGAGAAGAATCCCGCGCTTCCGGCGCCGTCCGGTCCCGGCTTTGCCTCGTCATTCGGTCCTAAGGTTGTAAGTACGGAGATGGGTACTTCGGACGCCGGGTCTAGGTTGAAGAACTCCGGGCTGAAACGGAAAGGGGACGCGAAGAGCGTCACGTGTAGCGTAACGTATGGGATCGAGTCCACGGGGTGGGGCATGACATTCTCATCGTAACTGATCCCGCTGAATTGGTAGGGTGTTGCAATGACGACATCGTCAAAGGCTACGGGATGTAGTTCTGCCTCGGCATCGATGGATCCGGTGGTTAGGGTCTTGATTCTGTATTTAGTCACATCCGAGTCTGCATCTTTTCGTTCTTTATAAATCGAGGATACGGTGGAGTTCAACGAGACATAAGCCTGGGACTTCGCGACCATACGGGAGAATATCCGCCAATTACCGCCAGCCACCGCCACTGCTCCCTCGGGGGCCATCGCAACCTGGATCCAAATGTTAATGTTATTCAGCCAGAGTTAGAAAAGTAACGAGAACTGACCATAGTGCCTAAGCCATGTATGTATGCTAGGTTCGAGGCATAGTTGACTCGGGTGCTTGCCTGGACAATGTCATGGGCAAAGGGTCCATTAAGCTTGTTTTCTTCCAGGAATTGTTCTCCTGTAGATCCGGTTGTCCGAACAAGGCCAAGTTCATAGGCTCTAGTTGATAGCGACCTAAATGGGAAATATGGTGCCTGGTAGAGTTTCAAGAAGGTCGCGACGGTCTCTTGGACAAGGCGATGAGTGTAGTAGGGCGCAGAGCCATACTTCCAGAGTAGTTTGGCTATATTCCACCATCCCCAAGATCTCGAATCCTGCGTGTAAATAAAACTCGTTCCATCCCATATGCCAAGAAGCCCATCCTCGTCGGTGCCTGGTTCCTTGAGGGGTAAATTGAATTCCTTGCAGGCATCATAGAGGATGTGGTTGACCTCAACGAAGATGGAAGCACCTAGCTCAACCGGATTAAGAGGGTCATCGTAAACATTGACTGTGAGAGTGCGACCACCGATATGACTAGTCTTTTCAAATATGGTGATATTGACATCAATACCGTGTTCTCCGGCATACTTGCGTAGGTGGTACGCCGTCGACGAACCAGCAGCCCCAGCACCTGTTAATCCGATTAGTATACAGGATTGTATAGTAAAATAAGTGTTATTGAATAAGGTATAGGTCACACGAAATAGAAAGAGAGGTAAGGTTTTTTGTGTGGGTTCACGCCGCGGCGATAGCGTTATATCCGCCTATTCTTAAGACGTGCAGGAGCGACGGAAGGGTGTCACTTACCGATGATTGCAACTTGTTTTACATCACGGTCTGCGGCAGCTTCGACCCCGACTACTGCCGTAAACGGCAATAACAAACATGCCAAACGCGACAAGCCGAACAATTGCATGGTGGATGATCTGGGGCTTTTATACGGTCGGCATGTTTACGATGATGAACAACACATCAGCTGATGATGTGATGAGACGGAAATGAGGTTAACATGCTGAGCACAAGCCACATTCATATAACCATAAAAGTGGCTTTTACTTTTAGAGGAATATTGTTATATAAGCATCGATACCAAGTACATTATGCATAAAGTGGTCTATTATTGATAATAAGCGCAATGTGAAATTTTAAACTTTAACCCCCTTTTTCACGTCATGTTTCTAAACTTCTTTTTCCTTTCATATCCATCACTCTTCTTCGTTACTCAGCCTCAGTTCCAATCTAATACAACCATCGATACGCACATAATGCCGGTCCTACTGGGAAGTCTGAGAGTTTCGGTGAAGAATCTATTTTAATTGGCTGCGACCGGCTGGTGCTGCTGACTCCAACTGCTGTGTGACAACGGCATGTAGCTGGCTAATAGCTGCCCACCAATGGCTACTGAAGCTTCGATGCCTGAAAAACTTCGGGCTCGATTTATTCAAACCATCCAAATTAGCTACATGTTTCTCCCTTACTTCATCTGGAAATACCCTTGATGAACTTTTTGTTGCTTATCTAAGTTGTAACCGACTAAAAATGAATCCTGAAGCTTTCAGTTTTGAACCAAGTGGAAAGCAGGATCGTATCTATCGCGGAGAGCTTCCACTAAGGCCACGAGACCCTAGCCGACAATTAACAGGACCTGACGACTCACGGTCTAAGATACCATGTCGGTTTTTCCTCCAGGGACAATGCTTGAAAGGAAATTCCTGCCCATTCTTGCATAAGGATAATTCTGAGTTCCAGGCTTCGGCTCAAATTCCCCCTAGTGTATGATTATCGAAATAAACTGGTTTCATAATTGACAGTTATAGTAGACTCTTAAATCTCTTGCGCCAAAGGAGACCACGCGGTCCATCAAAGGCGGTTTGATCCACTTTAAGGCTGGTGCAGCTGTTTCAAAGGCCTCTTTATCATCCGACTTCTCTGCTGTCCAAATCAGCCAGCTTCCTCGTAATAGCACCCGGGAGTCTGTATTGGCCCTTCTTCGTTCCCACGGCTTCGCCCTCCCGAATGGGACTGACGTTCGGATGACCACTCAAGGAGATCATTCGAGCGCCCTCGTAAAAGTTGAGGATTCCGAATTCGCCAAGTCAGTAGGCAGGAAATTTGGCCCACAGACTATTTCACATCATGCACGAGATAGGCAGCCAATCGCTACTCCCATAGAGAACCCCATATTATCGGATTCGAATACCCTTCGAGTCGATTGCAAGAAGGTGCATGTCTCCTGGCATAGACCTTACAAGACAGTTTGGCTCAACTTCGGCAATAAAGAGGTTGCTGAGCGAGTGAAAAGAAAGTTCACAAGTGAAAGATACAAGATTCTGAACCAAAAAGTGCAGAGTGGTGAACCAACCCGTGGACTTGGATCTCGCAACCCGCTGGCCTGGACTGTGTGTTTGACCGAGGTGCCAGCGTCTGCGACGAAATCCGATGTCTCTAATGCTATCCTTTTCCAATCGGATAAACCACGTAATATTGAGCTTGGGAAACCTACATACAGCACTGAAGCGGAGACATGCTCGGCCATAATTCAATCTCTATTCACATCGATTGGCCCCCTTGAATGGTGGGAGTTTACCCCTGACAATACCGGTAAACGCATGAAAGCGAGCGGGCGATTTCAGAATGAGGATGACGCGAGAGAAGCCGTACAAACCCTTAATAAGTCAGAATTGCCTTTCAATAAGAAGGCTAAACTTACCGTACAGTTAGTCCACATGGCAAAGTTTAAGGTCGCCGAGAACATCTATGTCGCTGTCGAATCCCAGCTCATGGCGAATCTGAAGGGCTGGAAGGCTTCTCATTTACAATTCACGGCGTATGGCAACTCAGACCCACCCAAATGGTATCGCGTGTTGAAAATTGAGGGGGAGGGGGATACAGAAGTTGCGAATGCGAAGAATACCATCACCGATATCCTTTCAGGAATGATCGCTAAAAAAGGATCTTCCATACTTTGGCACCCAGCGCTATGCAGAGATGGACCCCTCTTCAAACGACTCGAGTCATTGGGACAGAAAATCGGAGTGGTTATCACCCGAAATAAGGTTAAGTCACAGCTTCGACTATACGGATCACGCAGTAAGTGCGAAACAGGTCAGGCAGATATTGCTAGGTTGCTGAACGACGAGCATTCTGAACTCTTTAACCTCGACCTCGATCCCCTTGAATTTGGCTGGGTGCTTCGGGGAGGTTTGGTAACATTAGAGAATGAAATTGGCCCCGAGAAGGTAAATTTCGATATTACGTCAACGCCCAAGCATGTAGTCATCGTCGGTACAGTCGGGGATTACGATAAAGCAATTCGCGTCTTAAAGAATAAAGAAACGACGCAGAAGAAGAGAAACGACCCGAACAACCAGGAATGCTCTGTATGCTGGGGCGAGGCCGAGAACCCAATCCAGACGCAATGTGATCATACCTATTGCCTGGACTGCTTTGAGAACTTATGCGTATCTTCTACGACTAAAGAGAAGGCTACCCAAATATGCTGTGTTGGTGAAGCTGGAAACTGTTCGAAGATACTAGGACTTCCGGAACTGCAAGAGCACCTTTCCTCAACTGCGTTCGAGGAACTGCTTGAACAATCCTTCGCTTCATACGTACGATTGCATCCAGAGTCTCTCAGATACTGTCCATCTGTGGACTGTGGATACGTCTATCGCATCAGCGCTACCCCTAAAATGCGAACTTGTCCCCAATGCCTTGTGCCGGTCTGTACAGCATGTCACGCTCAACATGGCACCATGACATGCGCAGACTATAAGGATCTGTCCACTGGAGGGTACGCGGCTTTCGAGACACTCAAAAAGGAAATCGGTATCAAGGATTGTCCCAAGTGCAAGACACCACTCGAAAAGACTGAAGGATGCAATCACATGGCTTGTCGGTGCGGTGCGCATATCTGCTGGGTATGCTTAAAGATTTTCGAGACAGCTACACCTTGCTACACGCACATGAACAAGGAACATCGCGGGATTGGGTTTGATGATCTTCAAGAGAGGTTCGGTTAAAATCTTGGGATAATGGTATAATGTATCCTAGCGTTATGGCCGTGGACCGTTGAAAATTGTGTCGGCTAATTGTGTAGCAGAGTTCCAAAATCGGGTCAGGGTAAGGTGAGGGGTTAGGGTTAGAGTCAAGCATGTGACCCTAACCCTGACCCCTAACAACAACGAGTGCTCACATAATACTTGAAGAGTTATGAAGTGGAAAATGAGTTGATGAAATAAATTTTATGTGTACAAGATCATCTAAAGTCTATATACGAAGAAAATATTTTCACAAAAGAAAAAGAAATAAGAGAATTGCACATCCCGACTGTCGGTAATCATTCCTCAGCGTCAGTTCATTCGAGTAAGTCAGATCTCCGGGCTCGGAATCAGCGGGGCTCATAAAGTTCGTCGCTCGATTATAGATCCTTGTTGTGATTGCAGATATAGGCGCCCTTGCTGGGGTTACTAAGAGTAGGAGGGTTGGTGTCCGCCTGTCCCCAGACCCAGTTGGCTATAGAAACGTTAGCGTACATTATACACAAGGTAAGTATTGAGGCAACTGCGACAGGTAAACTTACGGTTGATAAGGGAGCCAGGCTGGACGAGGCTGTCCCAAGGCCAGACGAACCAATCGTTGGATCGGAACTCGGCTTGCTTGTCAGCAGGGTCGGCGGTGTCGATCGAGGTCTTGCGGGTGTTGAAGATGGCGTGGTAGAATGCGCCAACGAAAACCTTCGCATAATCCTTGTTTTGGGCGCCGTTGCTGGATTGGTCGGATTTGCTAGTAATGGGTTAGTAAGGAGATATGGGACGGTTTGATGGTAGTCAACTCACCCGTTGAACGTGTTCTGGATGTCCTTCCACTCCTTCACATCATATCCACCGTGCTGGCCAAACATGAGATGGGTCCTCTCCCAATTGTTGTTGCTGTCGCCCTTCCAGACCACAGTCACGCCTTCCCAGTCGCTCTTGTGTCCGGAGTCGTGTTTGAAGTAGATGCTGTAGGTCACGCGGAACTCGTGGTCCTTGCACTGGTTGATGGTGTAGTATACCGGGAAGGGGTTTCCCTGGAGCGGACCTCCCTTCTTGGGGCTTAGCCATGCGCCGGGATCGGCACAGCCCTTGTTTAGGTTTCCCCAGACACCGTTATCCGGGTCATTGCCGTTGGCTTGTTGGCCGTTGATCTGCGCCGACTCCGGATAACACGGCTTGTAGCCGTGAGGGCGACCGAAGTGGAACATAGGGACAGCGGCCATGGCGGCCTTGTGACCCTTTCCGAATCCATCGTCTGTAAATGGTTAGTTTTATGAACGGGAAATCCGGATATTCTGATCATACCGTCATGGAACCAATTTCCGGGAATTTTGGTGGTTGCGAGGGCAGACCCGATGAAGGCGGAGGCACCGAAGATAGAAGAAAACTTCATTTTGAAGCGCGGAATTTGAAATGGCGAAAGATTTATAAACCGAAAAGAAAAAGAGCAAAGGAAGCTTGATGCTCGAAGATTGGCTTGAAGGCGGTTGTGATGATGAGGTGGAAAATGTAGATCGACCAGGCCGGCGACAGCCTTCTTATACTGGACATGTCGCCAAGGTGAAGTGCCTTCGTATCGGCGGATATAGACTTCCCTTCACTCTGAGATTCCATATTTGGTCGATGAAGTCCAGTTTCTAGCATCGTAGACATTGCTGAGCTCAGCTTCAGCTGCTCTAGTTGGTACTTATGGGTTGCCAAGCTTCAGCTTCGTGGTTGGGCAAATCAAGTTTAACTAGCAACTAGGCCCACAATTTGAATGTTACGGAGGTAGTCGCTAGTTTTTAGTAGTTCCGATTGTATGATAACTTAACCCGGTATGAGATGCTTGAATGCATGTGTAGATTCATGAGCCTAGCCAAGGTAGCATCACAAGGACGATATTATGTAAGAGTTCTAGACCAGTTCCAGTGGTGACTGCCAATTCAGAACTACAACAATGGATACTACACAGTTTCCCACCTACCGTCATCCTATAAATATCAAACCGCCAAGGCGCCACGGAATGACCGCGCATATTTGATTGGGAATAGCTCCCTGTGCCCAACATAGTCTTCGATTTTAACAACATGCTGATGCATCAGCACCTGTAAGGGGTTCAAGGATACATCCTTCTAAGGTTAGCTAATATATCATGTCTCTCTCTTTTCCGGAACTGAATGAATTCTAAAAACATGGGTGGATTAAATCTTTTCCCGAGAGCAAAAACAACATTTCTTTCAGAATTTCTAAGAGTTCTATCCTTGGTTAATTGAAGAAATGGTAAAGCTAGTAATTGGACAAGGCTCGTATGTGATATAATAGATATAGGAGCTCGCGACTTCAAGCAAATAAAGTCTTTTATTTTATAACCACAGAGTTTGTTGGATATCAAGAGACCCGTCGATAGTGGTAAAAGTATTGAGTGATAAGGGAGTTAAAGTAATCGGTCTTCTTAGGAATGCAAATATTATGAACATGCCTCTTTTTATCTTTGAAGATAAACTACGGGCAAGTAAGATACTAGAATTTGTGAGTAAGAGTTTTGCGATATACGTCTTCTTACGGAGGCCGCTATAGTAAGACTTTTCGCGGCCAGTATTTTCAGAGATTTTGCAATTACCAGAATACTAAATCGTAGTCTAGCAACTGGAGGTAGGTATGAGAGAATAGAGATTGGTAAGAATTTATTGTTGCTAGTACGCAGATGCAGATAAATCATCCTGTAGTAAGGGTAATGGTATCTTGACATTGGAAGCTTTGGAAAAGGGGTAAAAGGGGTTGATTATATAATCATGCCTAAAGGTATGGTCCGTGTGCAATACTAATGCGACAGCTGACGGCCTGCGCCGCCGGACCGCCAAAATTTCCCCACCATTGAGGTACCTTGTATTTTGGCGATAAGGGAAGTTCGAGTTGATTTAAGACCCACTTTGAAGCTTCCCATTCCCAATAACGAAGTGCAAGTGTTTGTGCCCCTCGACAACGACAGTATTCCACAAAACACCAGACATTTTCGCCGAACCCACGATACCTTTCGATCATAATGTCTGCTGCCCAGCTTCTAAATCCCAAGGCAGAATCCCGGGTAAGTCTACCAACCCATATTCCATTCATCAAAGCCATGATATTGACTTTTAGGCAAGCGGCGGGGTGAAGCTCTCCGAGTCAACATCAGTGCTGGTGAAGGTTTACAAGATGTTCTCAAGTCCAACCTGGGTCCTCTTGGAACCATTAAGATGTGCGTATAGTATTATGTGAAGGTTGCCACGCGTCAAACGTAGTTGCTAACATAAATCAGGCTTGTCGATGGCTCTGGACAGGTATGAGCTACGAACCCCGCGATACGGTGTGATATTTATGCGACTTCGAACTGACCCTTACCTGATAGATCAAATTGACGAAGGATGGAAACGTCCTATTGCGAGAGATGCAAATACAGAACCCTACCGCCGTCATGATCGCACGAGCTGCCACAGCACAGGATGATATCTGCGGAGATGGCACAACATCAGTCGTCTTGCTAGTAGGAGAACTTCTAAAGCAGGCCGATAGGTACATCTCAGAGGGGCTGCACCCTCGTATCATAACGGAAGGATTCGAGATTGCGAAGGTCGAATCTTTAAAGGTGTGTTGTTCAACCCTTTTAGAAGATATTCATATCCTTACTCGTTGATATAGTTCTTGGACTCCTTCAAATTACCGAAAGAGGTAGACAGGGAACTCCTCTTGTCCGTCGCCCGAACGTCGCTATCTACTAAGCTCAACTCGACCCTTGCCCAGAAGTTGACCCCCGATATCGTCGACGCCGTCCTAGCTATCTACCAAGCTCCCGCGAAACCTGACCTACACATGGTGGAGATCATGAAGATGCAGCACCGCACCGCCTCAGATACCCAACTTATCCGCGGTTTGGCCCTAGACCACGGCGCCCGACACCCGGATATGCCCAAGAGACTAGAAAATGCCTTCATTCTGACTATGAACGTTAGTCTGGAGTACGAGAAGTCCGAAATTAACTCGAGCTTCTTCTACTCTAGCGCCGATCAACGCGAGAAGCTAGTGGAGAGCGAGCGCCGCTTCGTCGATGCTAAACTGAAGAAGATTGTGGATCTCAAGAAGGAAGTTTGCGGGAACGACCCCAAGAAGAGCTTTGTTGTTGTCAACCAAAAGGGTATCGACCCGCTTTCCCTCGATGTGTTGGCCAAGAACGGTATCTTTGCTCTGCGAAGAGCGAAGAGGAGAAACATGGAGAGACTACAGCTCATCTGTGGTGGTACCGCGCAAAACAGTGTGGAGGACCTATCTCCAGATGTACTTGGTTGGGCTGGTTTGGTGTATGAGCAACAATTGGGTGAGGAGAAGTACACCTTCATCGAGGATGTAAAGGATCCCAAATCCGTCACTCTGATGATCAAGGGCCCGAATGCCCACACGATTACCCAGATCACGGACGCCGTTCGAGATGGTCTACGAAGTGTGTACAACATGATTGTAGACAAGAGCGTCGTTCCTGGAGGTGGTGCTTACCAAGTTGCTTGTGCGGCCCATCTTAAGAGCGATGCTTTCAAGAAGACAGTCAAGGGCAAGGCTAAGTGGGGCGTCGACGCATTCGCCGATGCGCTTTTGATTATCCCCAAGACTCTGGCCGCGAATGCTGGCCATGATATCCAGGACGCACGTAAGTTATTATTTGCATTCCTTCCAATGCCGCCGAATTGGAGTTATACTAATATAATCCCAGTTGCTTCGCTACAAGATGAACAGGCAGAGGGCAATGTTGTAGGCCTGGACCTGATCTCTGGCCAACCCATGGACCCTACGTTGGAGGGTGTGTATGACTCATTCCGAGTGCTAAGGAACTGTGTTGCATCTTCGTCGAGTATTGCCTCGAATCTCTTGCTCTGCGATGAGATGCTTAAGGCGCGCCAAATGGGACGACAAGGTGGCCCGGGACCCGGCATGGACGGTCCTGAAGAGTAAAGAAAAAGGAGTGAATGTGAACACGGCTAGCTGATACCACTGTACGTTAGACGCATACAAGAGCGTTGTTAATAGACGTGGATGGAATGATCCGTGAATCAATCAGTCCACGGGATCGTTTTTGAGTCATTGCTTACGTAACGTGATTGATATTGTATGGCTTCAGCTGATGTAAGCAACCCCTGAATAGGAACTCCAGCCTTGCTGCTCAGGGAAACACTATTCTATATGTAAATTTGCCATTCTAACGTCACTCGAAGGCTTGAAGTTGGGCGGCGGTATATTAAATGCAGAGGTAAAAATTATATATAGAAGTGAACAACGCTCGCTTAACCTCGACTCAACTCAACCACCACATCACCACTAGCCGTGAGAGGAATCCGCCAACCCGAGCGCTCGCGACTCGTTCCAGAGCCGGAAACACTATACGTCACCGACTTGTCATTCGTCTCGACCCACAGCACAGCGGCCGCAGCGGCTGGCGAACCAGAAGACTGCGTCAACGTAACCGAAACAGCGCCGGAAGAGCCATCGTAACTAAAATTACTCACGCTGCCCGCGTCAATAGTTACAGTCAAACCTAAAGGCCCGATGAAAAAGCGGCGCGTCACAGGCCCATTCGTCTGCACGCTAACCCTCCCTCCTCCATCTCCTCCCCCTTCACCAACAGAAAGCACGCCCCCGTACGCGAGCAGCCCAAAGGTCTCGTGGCGCGCGACGTAGGTCCCGGACCCGAGGACGAGGCCTAGAAAACCCGGACCGTAGTCGCCGCTGTACCCGTCCCACTTTAGCGTGTCCGGGAAGGAGTGGAAGGAGGCGGACGCGAAGCCCGCGGCGTTGATGTTGGATAGCGGGCCGCTGGTCCCGCCGTACCCGACTTGTAGGAGGTACGTGTCGCTTGGGTCGCTGCGGAAGGCAGAGAGCAGGACGAGTGCGTTGAGGCCGGAGCCGTAGTGGTGGATTTGCCGCTCTATGCGCTGGAGTTTGCCGGCGTAGCTGTGGGGGCGTAGGTGTGAGATTGGGGTGGTGGTGGAGGTTGGTGTAAAATCGAAAAATAGGTAGGGAGGGGAGAGGAAGTGGAAGGTAGAATGGGACAAGGAAGGGGATAGGGTCACTTACATGTTATCCCAATATCTGCGTGCATTGCCATTCCAGCCCCAGTGCGGGACTGTGGGTGTGTAGCCTAACACGCTGTTCACTGTCTTGGTCGTTGTGTTTGTGAAACCGAAATATCTTGTCGAGATTATATTAGCATGAATTTTGAATGTATTGAGACGAAACGCTTACTTCGACCAGTAATAAACGCCCTCTTGACCTGTAGAGTCCCACGCCTGCTCGCTTCCGTATGGGACTTCCTCGCCATCCCACTCCACCGCTCGCGATCTCATAGACTGAGTAAACGTATTAGCCTGTGACGTCAATCCCTCCCGCGTCAAATCAGCAAGGATCTCGCCGAACACCGTTTCGCCCATGAGTCCGAGCCGGTTATACCCAACATCGGATTGCATGCCCCGGATCACGGTGCTGTAAGACTGGTTGAGATACCAATTCCAATCATGACTCTTCACGATCTCAGGATACGCCCTCGCGACGCGGTACAGCGACCAATACGCCGCCGCAACATGTACATAATCATACGCGCGATCAATCGCATAGGAATCGCTCTCATCCCACGACGTCCAGCTCGTCCAGTCAAAGCTCGAGCTGTACGCGTACTTCACAGCCGAGGGCTGGTAATAGAAGATGCTCTTGCGCACGGCGAAATCCGGCGTCTGGATCGTGCCCCAGAGGACCTCATCCACGAACGTCTCCAGCTTCGCCACCTCGTCCGGGTCGGGCTGGATGGCCTGTTTCGCGACCGCGGCGAGGTACGCGCCGACGCCGCCTTCGTCGCTGAGCCCCGAGATCCAGACGCGCGGGTCCTGCGCCACGACGGCGCCGGCCTCGTAGTCGTACGTCAGGACCGAGGGCGCGCGGCCGAACGGGTCCGAGGTATTGTCGAACCACGCCTCCGTCGTGAAGAACCGGCCCATGTCCGCCAGCGCCTCCGCGCCCGTCTTCGTCACGTAGTAGTGGATCGTCTGCGTCTTGCCGTCTTCGTAGTCGATCGTCAGCCGCGAGCGGCCCCAGAAGGTGGGGGACGGCGTTATCCCATACGCGTTCTCGGAGATCTGGTTGAAGGCTAGTGATTCAACGGGATCGCTGGAGAATGAGATTGCGCTGGAGTTGGATTGCAGGAAGAGTTGCGCTGTTGAACCCCGCGGGACGATGTAGCCTGGGACGCCGAATACGACGGGAGTGCCTGTTTTTTCTACTGTGGCGTCGATGTCACGAACACCACCCTTGGCTACGGAGAAACGCACGCCAAATTGTAGTGTCTGGCCCGGCTGAAGGGTTTTAGATGAAGGCGTATTCCACGGCTGCACGTTTGCCCACTCATTCTCGGCCCAGGCCCGAGTCAGGACCTGCCATTCATAGAATCCTTCAAAGGTCTGGCTACCATATTGGGTGGCGTCATAATATGGCTCGTCTAGGTTGCGGTACGCTTCTAGCGGTGTATCTCCAAGGGGTGTGATGACTAGAGCCGCGCCAGTGCCGCTTATGGGGCTGACGCGGATGAAACCCGCGTGCATGCCAACATACGGATCCGACAGCGAGCAAAGACGCTGAGTATCAGTCGCAGCACGATTCGTGAAGATGCTATTAAATTCGGCCGGGAATCCGAGACTACCTATCTCTACGGGTGATGTCCCTGTATTCCCAATCGTAAAGCGCAGGCCTAAATCTCCCGAGACGTCGAGCCATTCGCGCGTCACGTTCAAGGGACCCAAAGACGACAGGGTTGGCTCTAGGTCCGAAGCGGCCAAAACACCTTCTCCGGCTTTCACAGAGGTTACGGCCTTCCGAGCCGCAGAGGAGTCGCCATCAGTCCAAGCACCGCTACTGCCTTCGCGGTACCGAAATGTGATGTCGCCCCAGTGGTACTGGCCATTGCCTGCTCGATCTGAAATCAAGTCAAAGGGCAGAAAGTCGAACGTATCGCCAGCTGGGGTTAGCGACGCGAGAACTTGCGCGTCGCGAACTATCTTGGCGTTGAAGTTGGTCGTTTTAATGGTAGTATATCCATTCTTAATGCCCAGATCGTCATTTCGGCATTCAACACCCCGAAGAAACAAGGGTAAAATCCAGACGCAGTTGAAGATCGCTCTACTGTGCAGCGCGTGAGGAAACATGATGCATCAGTGAGTCTGAACTGTAAACATCGCCAATCAACTCGGGTACGCGAGTAGACAAAGATCTAGGCAGGCAAATAGCCGGATCTCTGTAATTAAATGCCATCTCGCCCAGGGTGCCGGATACTCATGGCTATTCAGATTTATTAGTCGTATCGTAACATCGTAGCATCGTCTTCCACCTTGACCTGGCGTTGCATTCTAGCCGCCCTGGACGTGCCAGGATCGACACCATGCTGCGGGGTATCATTGAAGCGATAGATGGGAAATCTCGAGCTGTTATATATACCCGGCATGCCTAGTGTGATGCTTTTCGTATCGAGACTTGCTAACTTCCCTTTTCGGATATTGAGTGTTCAGACTTTAGTGGATCTTTTTTGAAGCAAGGGGAGAGGTCAAGATATGTATTTAGATAATATTTATTCAAATTCATTATAAGCGATATTAAGTTAGTGCAGCATATCGATTGAACGAAACATGCTTCATGCGAAGTTTCGGACAATATCGGGGAACTCCGTTAACTGCTATCCCCTAACTTGGGGATCAGTACCTAAATTGTCACATGTGAATAGGCGTACTGTATGGATATCAAGCTTTATAGTTACTATATATGTACTTGACGGAATACAAACATCCCAATTGACGTAATGTGGCTACACGAAACATTAGTGTTGAGGAGGCATACCCAACCTATATCCGATGATGTCCGGTCTTTACTTACTCACGTCGATCTTTAGGTGCCTCATATATTTTTAAGCGCCTTTCTGTAAGTGTCTTGATAATACCTCAGTTCAACGACCCCTAAACCGTTGAATCAACTGTCCAACTTCAAAATGGCGTCAGCTTCGGTAGAGCCCAACGACCTCTTTGGCGTCAAGGGACTAGTCGTTGTTATTACTGGAGGAGGAATTGGTATTTCACTCCCCTCGCCGGAACTTATTGCGGACACCAGTTGATAAGATGCAGGCCTTGGTTTGATGATGACACAGGCTCTAGAGAGCAACGGTGCGATCGTCTACATCATCGGCCGTCGCAAGGAGGTCTTAGACAAGGCCGTAGCCACCGCTGTAAGTTATTTCCTGAAATATTTCAGCTTGAAATTTGTATGTTGTTAATCTATAAACATGTAGAAACATGGGAATATCCGAGCAATCCAAGGTGATGTAACCAGCAAGGCCGACCTTGAGCGGGCCGTCGCGCAGATCAAAACAGAAGTCGGCTATGTCAACGTTGTTGTTGCAAACTCTGGTAGAACAGGTCCCAATGCACCGGAAATTCTTTCCGATACCGATATCTCCAAGTTTCGTGATCGTCTACTTGGACTGGACGCCGCTGAGTTCACAGACACGTTTGCCGTGAACGCGACTGGGGTTTTCAACACCGTCATTGCGTTCTTAGAACTTCTTGATGCGGGGAACAAATGTGGTCTAAAACAAAGGAGCCAGGTCATCGCCACAGCCAGTATTGGAGCCTATGTAAGGTATCCGGTCTCTGGCTTCGCGTACGCACCATCCAAGGCTGCGGTTGTACATATGATGAAGCAATTCTCAACCAGTCTCGTGCCATTCAACATTCGATCAAACATCATAGCCCCTGGGTGTAAGTCTTTTCCAACTGGCCGGATGAGTATCTGATACACTAACATAAAAATGCAGTTTATCCTAGCGACATGACAACAGGAGTACAACAAAAGGCAGGCGACAAGAAATTCGTACCAGAACAAAGATTCGGAGACTCGGAAGACATGGCCGGTGCGATCTTGTTCTTGGTGAGCAGAGCTGGCGCCTACATCAACGGAAATGTACTTGTAACCGATGGTGGACGTTTAAGCATTGTACCTGCTGCTTATTAGTAGGTTAAAAGGTCAGCGCGGATCTTCGGTAGCGAGAATCTCGGTTATCTGGATCTATCAATATGACTGATGGGTTCACCTTGTCAGCTAGATCAGCCTAGGTTATGTAGGTAATACTCATCTCAATTTACATAGGTACCTACATACACATGACACACAACGTCTTTAGATTGACCATCAGCCACCCGGAAGTTCTAACCAAGCAGCGAGCTTCTCCCCTTCCCTAGGAATAAATCTTGCGCGCCACCCGCGCGGAGTGCCAACGAACGATATTCCTTGCAATCCATTAATCGGGTCAATCGCGTCAATCGTCTCATCTTCAGCGGGCAAGATGCGAAAATGCGCGGTCAGGTGTAGAAAAACGGTGTATAACGCCTTATGAGCCAGATACGACGCCACACACATGCGCCCGCCGATTCCGAACGCATATTGGTGGGCCTGTGGGTTTGTGGAGGACGACAGCCAGCGCTCAGGGGCAAATAGGTCCGGCTCGGAAAAGAGCTCCGGATCTGAAGTGGGAAAATTAGCTTAAAGAGGACGTTCAACTCTGCTGCATGGGACATACCTCGATTACATGCCCAAGAGTTCAAGAACACGACTGTGCCGGCAGGGATAGTGGCATTTCCCCACGTCACGTCCGTGTATGTGGCCCTTGGGAGAGCTAATTTTAATACTACGAAGTAGCGGGCAATCTCCTTCGTCAGTGCATCGATATACTCAACCATGGTCGACGCGTACGCGTCAGATTGCTGTCCAAGTATGCCTGCATCTACAATGGCGGAATATGCCTTTTCCTGTATGTCAGGCCGGTGAGCGAGAAGCAGACATGCCCAAGCAAGTGTAGGCTGATTAGAGTCGGCACCCTAGATTTATGCATAAGCCATCGCGTCTAAACACAGATGATATAGGACATTACATACCGCCATCATGCTCAAGCTAACGCTAATAAGTTCCTCCTTCGTCAACGTCGCCGACTCGGGATCCCGCAGCACCGCCCCCTGAATACATGGCTTATCCTCGCCCCTCTGTACTTCACCCCTCAACTTCTCCAGCAGGACGTCATTATATTCCAATCGTCTACGTCCAATATCCGCAGCATTATCCCTAGGCTGGCTACCTAGCCGTAGGAACTGGGCTATCGGCTCCCAGTACCGGAGCAACGGAATGTAATTGGCATAATTCTTTGCTGTATCACGGAATTTCGAGATCTCATCCTCGACGTATATAATCTCCGACATAAGCGGGTCATCAGTCAACGACTTGACGCTCGACACGCGAGTCCCATAGTTCAGCGTCAAGCTCAAGTTCAGCGCGAAATGTCTGGCGGCCGGCCGGAAGTCTATCCCGACAGCGCCGTCCCGACACGCTAGATACAAGTCCTTAAGGAACTCGCGCGCCTCTAGGTTTAGGATCGGCGCGTAGGATTCTACGCGCGTGTGGTTAAGAGCGCCTGCGGCGAGCTTGCGCCGCCTCTTACAGCTGTCGTCCCAGGGGGAGGTGCCGATGGATGTCACGGCTTTGCTGACTTTATTGTGGAAGACGTAGAATGTGGGCCGCGAATTCATGGCGTGGCTTTGGCCTAGGAAGAGTTGCTTGGCTGCTTGTGCTGAGTTGATGACAACGATCGGAGTGTTGCCTAGTTGAATTTGGAAGACGGGTCCATATTTGAGAGACCATCTTCGGTATGTTTCGGCGGGGATCACATTTCGATGCTGATGAAGTGTTAATAAGTGTCAAATATGTCATAGGTCAAGTTCTGAGTTTTACTTGGAAGAGGTTCCCAACGATGGGCCATCCGCGAGGGCCGGGAAGGTTCTTTATCCTATTACGATACCGGACGATCTCATTTTGGGCGAGGTAGAACAGAAGTCCGATTATTAGTATGAAGATGGAATATCTAGCAGCCTTCAATACATATAGGATTAGTCTCTCTACTTCTAACATCTTGCAGAGCTTGATCTATCACGCAACTAGATAGTAATTCTTGTAGTTGAAGTTGACGATGCGGCGAAGCGATCCTCGTATGTAATGAATATGAAGGATGATAGCACAGTAAGAGACGAACCCCTCTCTAATAAAAGTGACTTATCAATATCTCGAGCACGCACCGATGTCACACCGTTGCGCCCTTGGGGTAGCCGTCCTTGAAGTTGACTTGCGCACTACAACCCCACAATCACGACATCTCTAACGTTCTTCATATCTACCATGCTATCATTATTCCTCAAATGACAGTGCACTGTACCTGAGGACTTCCGATTTCCTAGACACTCTTATCTAACCCCTTAATAGACCGCCAATGTTCATATTAGGGTAGAACTTGAAACATACCTATCTATGCATTCAAATAGGACGGTATAGGGGTTGCTTCGTCTCCCCCGTCCTGACAAGCAAGAAACAAAACCAGCCGGCAGAGTACGGGTGTCGAAACTAGGTCGTCTAGTGTCGTTCGTTCATAACCCGGAAATAACATACAGTCGCAACCAACTGACTAACGCCTTAAGCTCCCGACGATGACAGTTCTGGGAGGACCCAACTCTGATTATCCAATTTCGAAGGTTGCCGAAAGTCAACGTATAGGTATGGACGGTTGGCCTCCAACTAGCCGTACGAAAAACTTCCAATCAACAGTAAGCAGGACTTTTATTGGCATACACCGACCTGAGGAAGTGCACATTTAACGACAGTTTGACAAATATAATGAGCTGCTCAAAAAATTCCCCATTCCTTAACATGATCCACTATTACGCTTCCATTGCCTTAGTACACTCCCTTAATTCGTTTTCCCTCCTTATCTTCGAAAGAGTATGGTTTATCCACTGGACCGGCCAATATGGCTTTCTCCCTGCTACCCCTTAGCATCCACGGCGAGTCTCTGAGTCCTTTATTCCACTCCCTCCCCTCGTATTCCTCCTCCACTGGCTTTTCCCCGGTAGCTTGGATTTCACGAGCTGCCTGCTCGATATTTGACCAGACGCGAAGAATGTTCTCGCCCGCAAACAAGCGGACCTGCTCATCTGTAGCGCCGCGCTCCATTAATAACTGAACGAGGTCTGGAAATTTAGAAACATCCTCCAGCCCAATTGGTGTGAACCGAGTACCAGAGAAATCACTGCCCACCCCGACGCAGTCCCAGCCACAGACTTCCGCGATGTGGAAGATGTGGTCTACGACATCGTGAATGGTCGCCTGGTCGGGATCGTTCATCTTGATGAAACGATTGACGAATACTGCCATGACAATGCCCCCGTTGCGCTTGACAGTCCTAAGCACATCGTCGGGTACGTTCCGAAGATGTGGTGTCACGCTGTAAGCACCCGAGTGCGAAAATATAACCGGTGCGCGTGCTACACTCAGAACATCTCTCATCGTCTGGTGGGAAACATGCGACAGATCGACGATCATGCCTAGTCGATTCATCTCTTTAATAGCTTCGTATCCTAATTTGAATAAGCCCCCATCTGGTCCCCCGGTAGTCACTACTGTAAACGCCGAAGTCCCAAAGGGGGTATCGCAGTTATGAGTAAGTGTGATATACCGCGCGCCCAGATTGTACATCTGCCGTATGCTGGCGATGCTTCCACCTACTTGGTGGCTGCCTTCAATTCCAATCATACTAGCAATTCGGCCCGAATTGAAAGCCTTCCGTGCGCAAGCTGCCGTGTCACAATACTGAAGATGCTGAGGATGCTCATTGATGAACCTCCTAGTGATGTCGATCTGCTCCAGAGTATCTCTCACCGTCCACTACCAAGACACGTTAGTGATACTGTATAAGTACTCTTTACGACTTGCAATATCAGGGTATAACGTACGGAAGGATCGTCAAAGTTCTGTTGGCGAGCGTCACATTCCACATATACACTCCAAAACTGACCACCCATCATTCCAGCTCTCATTCTCTGGATATCTGTATGGCCAAGAAGTCTCTTGGTGAGGTCAAACTCGCCATCGTAGATACGATTATGCAACTCTATACGCAGCTGCCAGGGAAGATCATTGTGGCCATCAATCAAACTAGGTAGGTATAGATATTATTTAGAAAGCCTCTCGTCTGATAGAAACTCCGGGACTTACGGCGTTGACTTAAGGACTCTCCTAGTCCGTTCCGCATAATTCGTCGGGTCAACTGGCGATTGGCCTGGCCATAAGAAGGCAAAGGGGCTAAGGAGAAATGCAAACCCAGCTACAAATAAATGGTAACGAAACTTAGAGAAAAACCCCGAGTTCTGCGTCTGCGAGTGGACAACTAGAGATCTCTCCGGAGCACTTGAGTTCCTACTTTGGGTAGAAGGATGTTGCTCATGGTTAGGTGGCGATACGCTCTCAGGGGTGGATTGTGGTTCAGCCATATTGATCAACTATTATGTTATGTTGGAGATAGAATCTAAAGATTCCTATCATGAAGAACTATCATGACGAACCAAAAGAAATCGGAGCATATTTTATCTAATTCCAAGCTCCGTCATCGAACGATTTCTCCAGACCGCTGTAGAAAGCATCCTATAGAGGCTCTTGAAGACTGTTAGGGGGGTAAGCAGCCGGACCCCGCTATCTCACCCGCATGGTTCTCTAGTCCCGATTCCGGAGCGGATAGCCCAAATAACTTGCTCCCTTATCCGCTTCCGTATCATAAGAACTACACACACCTATCAGAGGATCTGAAGAGTTCCACTTGAGGACCTCCAACAGATAACATGGAAGTTGGCACGAAACTACAGTATCCGGTTGAAGTAGCCTGTATCTTCCATATATGGTTCAAGACATCAGAGTATTGTAAGCGAACTAAAGCATCTAATACTTAGTTTATAGGGGTAGCTTGTATAAGAATAGATAGACATGGCATACCAAGTTCCCCTGGAAGCAATGTCTTTGTATAAACTTTCATCAGAGACGACATTCAGGGATAAAACATGATTTGCCAAAAATCGAAGATGTCGTTGAGTCTACGTCCTATTTGATTCCCCGTCCTCTTCGAAGTTCAAGCTTAATCTTCCCGTAGGAGGAGACGGGAGAGCAAACACCTCGCTATCGATCCTTGTAAACCCCTCCAGTGTCATAAGCGTGTCACGCATCGACTTTCGGAATATTCGCGCCTTTTCCCTTAACCCCTGGGGTTGAAGCCTGGATACCGGTGGGGCTTGGTGACACCATTGAGGAGCCCTCGCTTCCCTAACGCTAGCATCGGATTCTATCTGAGTGAACAGACAACGAAAGGATATAAGGCATGCGACGATGAACGCTAAATTGGGGGATAGGGTTAGTCGTGAACAAAAGCTAAAGACATTAAAAGCGACGATGACTGACATATGATATATTCAATGCTGAACCAGAACCAGAGCCACGCCACGTTCACTGGTTGCACATCCGGTTGATCGATGGATATGTATGCGCCACTAAAAACGCTGCCTCTTACGATGGTCACCAGGACAGTGAATACGACAAGAGAAAAGAGGGCCGTGAGAACGACTTTCTTTCTAGTGTCAATGCGAACGTTCCAAAGTACATAGATGGGAAAGCAGATAACTAGGTAGATACACGACGTGGTTAGCAACTATGAATATCCATACCCAGATAATTGCTCGGCATTCTCGGAATATCACTTACTCATCACGTCTCCGACTGCGTCTAATAAACACGATACAATTGAGTTTATGTTTGAGAATATCCGCTTATTATGACTAGAACAAACCGCAACGATACGTTCAACTGGTGACAATAAACATTCGAAAGGTATGATACCGATAGCGGTCACACCAGCGGCAATGTTGAAGGCCAGGACGATCCACCAGAGGACACGGTATTTGGTAACTTTATCTCCAAGTCGGAAGAGGAAGATCAGGAAGCTGATTTTGATTAACCAGATCCCCACGTAGTTCATCACCATTAGAGCAACGTGCCCACGTAATCCTTTGACAGTATCTTCAATGAACTGGGGGTCCAGTGGTATATAGCCGTTGTGTACGTTTTTAATGTTGTAACAATACGGGACTAGTATCTGGATAATAATGGCAGTCCCGACAAGAATGATCAATGATAGTAGCATCGCATAGTCCTCGGGGAAAAGACGTCGGAAACAGATGACTCGGATAGCCAGTCGACCACTGAATGCAAGGACACAGAGGGAGACACCGGTCCAGATAATAGCCTTTCATTGCATACGTTAGCAGATCCAGATTATATTTGGTTAATGTTTAACAAGAGAATGGGAGAGAATCCGCATACATGGAAGGCCACATGTGAGATCAACGGCGGAGCTGTTGCTTTCGGCACCAAACTTTTCGAAGAAAACAGATCATCAGTGTGTATATCCATGATAGATGTTGCTTTTATTGCTTAATGGCAAGAATACATTCCGGTTAGGAACATGTTATTATATGGATGATATTAAAAGACATAGTTAGGAAAGAAAATTGACTTAAGTTAAAGAGTAGAATGATTTACTATCCTGTTGAACAAGTCAACTTCAAACCTGGCCATGATGAACAGCCCAGTTCCATCGTTGACAAAACCCATTTTTAGCAACAATGATCCCATAGTACAGAGTACCTGGAGTCCTAGACTGTGATATTGGGGCGGGGTTTACGAAAAAGAACCTGCAAGGTCGAATAGAAAACTAAAGACAGAGTATTTCACATATTAAATCGCAGGGTAATCAAGCTTGTGAACGTATCTCATTGGACTCCTAAGAATGTGGTACGCAGAATCCCGAACTAATAATTTGTAAAGGATAATAAATTAGAAGCTGTGTTACCCCTTTATCTTGTGTTGGCGAGGATGCACTATTATGAGTTATGTAAGCTACCTAGAAGTCGTAGGAGTAGTTTAATAAGCACGATAGGTAATCACGCCTGCGCCGCATGGCGTGTTATCCCTTGCAGCCGCCCTCTCGTTGTTTAGTGCTCTATATATATAAGCATCTATTTTAGCTGAATTTATAATCTATGATAACTTACAAACAGGTAATTGATATAGCAGTGAGAAGAGAGCGGCTGTTAAGCATTATGCCGGAGTATGGGAGTCAGAGTTAGGGTTGGTCAATAGATAATATTGGATTTCTGAACTCTAAGGGTGAGGCGTGGCTTGAGTGGATTAATTCCAATAAGGACTGGGACGGTAACAATGAATTCTTTGGGGTTAACGCAGGTCCACAGGGTGCACCAGGGAGCCTTTCATAAATATACAATAACGAACCAAGAATCAAGCTCCTTTCTCCAGGCGTCCTTTGAAAGATATGATAGACTTGGTATCAAACATAGCTTTGAACAATGGCATTGTAACTGCTCATTGTCGGAGACATTTCAAATTGAGCTTCCACTCTACGGCATGGGTTCAGGATAAATAGCAAGTTATTTCTCCGTGATTTTTCTGTCTGCATTCGTTTCTCATAACCTATCGACTTACACAGAATTACACTTACTTACCTATTTCTTTTTCCTTTTTTCCTTCTATCACTATATATATACAGGATCTTAGATCCAAAGTCACGAAGACTTCAACATGTGTTACGCGGATAGTACAGATACCCAATGCCCCTTTTGCTTGAGATGGTGGTCATATGTTCGAAACTTCAGCCCCGTTTGCGCTGATCCTCTGGCAGGTACTTATGAATGCCCAAACTTGGTAATCAACTATCTAGGCCAAAGGACATCAGCATGCGAAGACTGCGAAAAGCTTCTCTTCTAATGGTACGCAACGGCAGGGCTTCTCTATAGCTACCTATCAACACGTGGCTTGAATAAGTGTTCCCACGATGTGATAATCAATTAAATCTATAAAAAGATATCAATTGCATAATTAGATGTTCCCTTTATCGTCTTTTGTGCTATTTACGACGAATTCTCATGTTTGATTCAGCATATTGAAGGAGAAGGCCTTTCGTATTCAGTTTAAGGAAAAGGCCCTTTAGTTCTGGTACATTAGTTCCATTTCATCGACGAAGTGAACGTCATCTTGGTAGAAAGAAATATATGATGTTAATTTGTTAAACGAAGGAAATGTGACCCTTTCAAAAATAACCCTCTGCGGTAGATCTTCTTTCTATATATTGAACCATAACGATTAGTACCTAAGCACAAACACAGAGATAAATGATGTTATGCTGTTATAACTTAATTGGAACCTTCATCTGGCGCCTTTCATACGAAGAGCTTACGAGGGAGGACCTATTGGACTAAATATAGTTGAAGTATGGCACTGCACATCCCATAGCAATACAAGACTAATCTCATCCGATATTTTCTTACGTACCACGCAAATGGGTAGTGCGATTGTATCCATGGGCAAGCACGATTGGTGGTTGTAATACGTGAAGTGACACCTTACGAGGCCTCCGCCAGTTCCGATATTGCCATCGATGTAACAGCCAAGGCTGATGTTTGTATTGGCGTCTTTTAAACGCTTTTTATTTTAATATAATTTACACTGGCTTGTTTGGGTAGCCAGAAGCAAGGAGGTAGGAGGTTATGTTGGAGGTCAAGCTAAAGACCCGACGTGGTTGCTTTTATGCACAGCAAGCTTTCTAAAAGGGGTATCAACGAGTCAGGAGAAACACCAATGCTATATTTTCAGCATTGTAATGATAAGGAGAGAAAAGTTTTAGAATAAGAGCTACAACTAGTTTTTATATCTTAGCTACCTAGATGATAGCGTGTTGTCTAAGTACCTTATTACTCCATTTAGGAAAGAAAGGGGGTTGACCAAAACAGGGCACTAAAGTGAAACAATAGGACATCGAAAAGAGGTATTTACTTCCAAGAGCTTCAGCCCCTTGTATTGTTATTAACCTAAAGAAAACAAAACTATTTCGCCGTACCTAGGTATCAGTCGCGCCTTGACAAAGGAACCGGGAGATATTGTGGATTAGTCATCCAACTCTGGTAAACTCTAGCAACAAGGGCTTGTCTTAGGCCACCGATGTATTTGAATGAGGGTATTCGGCGCTTCTACAACTTATCATAGCTTCCAAAATAGGAGTGCGTGTAGTCTCGACATCCTAGCAACACCATCGAAACTTGGACCGGATCATGCTTTATAAGCCCGCCTCGGGCATTTCCGTCTGTTCTGCCTCGGGTGCTTGCATAGGATTAAATAAATGCTGGGTTGGAATCTGCCCAATTAACAATTCCATCCTGAATAAGTGGACATTTCCTCCATCCAACCCGTACGGCGTAGGTATAGCGCTGTCGCCGGCTTGGCTACCTTCCCAGTCCTCCCAATACTCTAGCGGGTCGTTCGCGAAGGCGACCTCTCCATTGCGATGCTGAAACCGCCATACTTCGGTTGGACACACCGGAAGATCTCCGACGTTGTTCTGCATAGCGATCCTCTGAGCGTCGGTTCGATGGAATGGCAGAGGCTGCCCATTAAAAAGAGATTCGAAAACCCACCACGGCGATTCGCGTAATCGCTTCATATGTGAGGCGTGTTCACGAGCCTCGGCCACATCTTGCTCGGGATCTTGATCGATATTTTCGTCATCTTCGATGGGAAATGTATATCCGCTCGGATCTCTCCAGTCACCGTTCTCTGCATCTAAAAATTTGATATCGCCTGGGTCTACACAGCCTAGTAAGGAAAACGGGTATCGACTATCGACGATAGCTGCGGTCCTCCAGGAATTAATGTCGTAGCGAGGCTCCATTCCAGTAATACACGCGAGATCATTTGTTGCGGCATATGCTTCCGCCGTGCCGTTCCGTAATATCTCGCCGTTTTTAAAATCGTCGTCGAACGGTATCACCGGGAAACACTCATCAGGGTTAGAGGGTAAAACAACAAGGTCATCCAAATCCAGTTTATGTGACATCATCATACCCGCGAATGTCTCGATTATCTCCGGTGGCATGTTTTCCTCTACTCTTAGAAATCTAAGCGTGCTTGCGTGCCTTTTGACGAAACGGAGCAAGTTGTGATACGCAATCTGCGTGTCCGTGATGTACAGGTAGCGCAGCTTGGGAAGATGAGATCCAGGGTGGCTTAGAACGATGTGGGATCCACTTTCAAAAGATGGTCCGATCTCGAAGAATGACGTATAGCTCCTCTCAAAGCACAATCGAAGGTGTGTGAGATTCTTTGCTTTCATGATGAAGTCTTGAAGTTCATACAAGTCTCTGCGGCTCTGCGTAACGCTGATACACATATCGAGATGTGTCAATTTTGGGAAGAGCAAAGGAAGATATTTCAGTCCTATTCTAGGCAAAGCACTCTGTTCGTGTATATCGGCATAATGGAAACGAGTTAGCCCAAGCTTTGGTTGTCGTGGGGGATGCATCCGTAATCCAAGATGCAAGAGAGCGTGGGTGGTCTGAGTTATGTTGGAAGCGATACTACCCAAACCGCCACTCAGGAGTTGAGCAGTTATTGGATAGTGCGTAGGAGACTTGGTTAATAAGCGGCACGGGTGCATTGGTTGACTGACAAGAGTATGTAGCTGGGGCATGACATCCAGCGCACTCTAGAATTGGGCCATGAAGTCCTCGAGCTTATACATTTCCTTGTTGACCGCATCACTGCCGCTTTTACTTTTATGCATGGCAATCTGCAGAGAGAACCAGAAGAGATCTGTTATTTGTGAGGCAAGTTCGATGTAGAAGAGCTGCGTATCAGGATCTTCGTCGAGCGACTGAAGTGAGTCCGGATGGTCGTCGTCGTCAGGAGGTTGATCAGGAAGGTACCAATTGGGATAATCGTTGCCAAGTTCGTACCATACAAGCACTCGAGCGCACTTCGCCAAGTGAGGGCGTGCTGCAATGTTGAAAAATGCATCGCGATCCTTCTTGAGCCGAGAAAGACAAATCCGATGGAATAGCAAATCGGTAGCGTGGTCTGTCCAGGATTTAGAAACTAACCTCAATGACTTGAGATCGTCATGGGTGATGTTGATATCAGTGAATATGATGCGGAGTAATTCTGCTGGCAAATACTGAGCCATTATGGCGCCCACAAGTCTTCTTTGGCCTACAATAATGTTGAAACTTTTGTGTTGTTGGTTGAACAAGTCAGAGCAAGGTAAATAGGGGTACGAAGCAACGGCGTTCCTTCCAACGGAATGGTCTATAATACTTTCTCTTAAACCATATCTGGGTACATACTACGTACCTAGGTATAGGTTAGCTGTGGAAGGAGAGTTCTGGTACGGAAGTCACGCCTTCTACGAGAATATCATTATGAGGTGTCACCTAGGCATGTACCTATGAAAAGCAGAGTCCGTCGACGCTTACCTATCCATAGTGCTACTAGTAGCCATCGCACTGCGTAATCCGCATTTATTGCGCCACAATATGCTGACAGAGTAAGAAAATGTGTGAGGCTTGTGCTGGCGACTTGTTGGTGTTTAAATGAATTAACCCGGCTTACTAAGTAACAAAGGAAGGAGGCGAGACTTGAGTTGGTGAAGTCCGAAACAATAACGTATCCGAGGATCCTGATTGGCTGCCGATATGTCGTTAGGGAATCCTGCTCCCCTCCCTGACACATGTCAGCATTCCGCGGATCCGGAGTTTCTGCGTCACCTATGTCTTGCAGTGACATTCATGTGCACTTGTCGCTGGCGAGTGACATCTCATATTAACTTTACTCGCTTCAAAACAGCCCCTTCTACCCGTGCTCGTTGTTCCTTTCTGTTACTATGTTGATATAAAGCCCCGTGCTCTGCGGTTGAAATCTACCTGTGACCCCAAGCCACATCGCCGTCTGACAGCCCCCCTGCATCATCAGGGATAGTAAGCAGCACTTTTAATCACTTTAATTGTTCTCGTTTCCGAAAATTCCGCCACGGACGCGTTATGGCACGCAACGGAGACTCAACGCTGCACCTGCCGCGCATCCTCTGCTTGCACGGTGGAGGCACCAACGCGCGTATCTTCAAGTCGCAATGCCGCGTCATGTCGCGGATGTTAGAGCCATACTTCCGGTTGGTGTACGCGGAGGCTCCGTACGAATCCTCCGCCGGCCCGGACGTGCTATCTGTCTACGCCGAGCACGGCCCATTCAAGCGCTGGCTGCGGTGGCTCCCGGACCAGCCCGAGGTTGAGGACGATGCCGCGATCGGGGAGATCGACGCCCAGCTTAAAAAAGCCATGGATGAGGACAACCGCGAGGGTGCTACGGGGCCGTGGGTCGGGCTGCTTGGGTTCAGTCAGGGCGCTAAGCTAGCGGCGAGTCTGCTATTCAGACAACAGATCCGAGCGGCGAAGTTAGGAGCCTCGTCAGCGGGCTCGGACTGGAAGTTTGCCGTGCTTATGGCCGGACGGGCACCCATAGTGAATCTAGCACCCGACGTGTTTAAGTCGTCTATGCTGCATCACCCATCGCAAATCGGACTTATGGGCGGCCCGGATCTGATGGAGATGATGAAGGGAGAACACATATTGAGGCTTCCGACTATCCACGTCCACGGGTTGAGCGACCCAGGCCTGCATCTACATCGCGAGCTGTACGAGGAATACTGCGACCCGGCGACTAAGAGGTTGGTTGAGTGGAACGGAAATCATAGGGTACCGCTCAAGGGAACGGATGTAACCCCGGTAATAGACGAGATCCTAGATGTTGCAAGGGAAACCGGGGCGCTGAAAGGTTGAGATAATGTTGCATGTTTTTTCTAGCTTTTTCTTGCATTTAGATTGGATACCGTTTGTTAGAATCATATTAAATACCTATCGAGTTAGACGGAGTAATGAGATAACAAATATTCTATATCTTTAATGTGCTTATGTGCCTAGAAATAACGAAGCTGTTATACAGGATATAAGGATATTTAACTAAGAGGATATGATGAAAACGAGCAGCTATGGGGCGACTCTAATCAAATAATAAAACTCCGATTTATTACCCTTTACCCTCCTAGCTACATAAACCAGCACCACCTCATTTACACCTATCCATCCCTTCCCTTCCCATTCAGTGTTGAAATCGGAAATCCAAGCGCTTGTTCCCTTCATCAGTCGTCGTTGACATATAGTGGAACTTCTCATCATCCGTCATTGCATTCCACTTTGTATCCCTGTACCTGTTCCTAAGGACATAGTACACTTTGGTGAGGCAGTAAAGGACAATATTCATGATGAGAATAGCCAGAAGCTGCCTGTTACCCCTCCGATAAAGCGGCGCATCATCCGCGCGGTATAGGTTGGAAGATATGATGCCGCCAGCCTGACAAAACATGTTGTAACACGCCGCCGACACTGTCCGAGCACGCACCGTGTTGGAGTTGCGCGAGTTCCATCCAACCTGGATAGGATGTGCTAGCAATCGCATGTCAGCATTTCCACGGCCGTGGAAACCAATTAGGAATGAGGGGACGTACCATTTGGATATGCTAGCAAGAGGGTTGTCACGGTCCAGATGACCCACCTACTGGCAGTGGCCGTGTCGGCAACGTTCAGGTAGATCAGGAAAGGTAATATCCAGATCTGCCCGATTAAAGCAACGAATGTGAGTTCCTTCAATATCTCAGCTGTATATGTAAGCGCGAGCATCGTGATGACTGCACCAAAAGGTTAGCGAATTCGTGCCCCTACGACTTTCTCTTAGATCCTTCTTACTGTGGAGAGCCGTCCACGGGATGGAGAGCAAGTTAGACATGAGAGTATTAAAATTCATCTGTCGGAGGGAAAGCGTCAGGTATTGCTGCTCCGGAGTGGACGGAATTTGGAACGTGAGTCCGAGGATGTACAACGGCCAAAGATCGAAATCTTTCAGACACTTCCATAATAGCCTCGGCGTGATTGGCTGCCGGTTGTGCATGTCACTCTTACTCGGGTCCTCGCGCAAGACTCTGTTGACGATGACAGTCTCCTCCCGGGGTGTAAACCACCCATTCTTCCCTCGGAACCAATTGGCCGTCTGGCACGGACCTGGTGGCATGAGACCAAACGAGAATAATCCGACCGTGAGAGTTATCAAAGCCTCGAGCAGGAATAGCCAGCGCCAACCAGCATAGCCCAGCACGCCTCTCATCTCCAGTAAGCCAGCAGCTAGGAGACCGCAGAGGATGTCGGCGACGCTCATCATGGTCCAGAAAAAGCCGAGGCGGATGGAAAGCTCATGGTGCTTATAGAAATACGACAAATAGAGGATGACCTACACAAAACACATTCAGCATTTTTGGCTTGAGATTATAAGTGGTACTTAGGTAGGTGATGAGGAACTTACGTCAGGGATGAAGCCTCCCTGCAAGATGGCCAGGAGAGCGCGCGTCACTAGAAAAGAAGTTCGACCCGACAGCCAGAATTGACTGCCGGCCACAATGCTCCAGAGAACCATCTGCGAAGGGATCCATCTATCCGGGCCCATCCACTTTGAGACAAGCTGGGACGGTAGCTCAGCAATCAGAAATGCTACCTTGAATACGGTATTTCCCAGATTGTAGTCTACGTCTTGGTCAATACTATTGACTATTAAAGAGAGTAAGAAGCGTACCATTTGTGGTCAAATGAAGATCGACCAAGAAGTCGTCGGTTAGGGCTTGTGTCAAGTTCGCTCTATCCAATTCCAACGCCATGAACATGATACAAGCCCAGATCATGATTCTAAAGTCGATCTTCCGGATTATCGCGTACTCTTCCGACCACGTCCACCGAAATTTAGGGTCGAAACGGTGTAGATTTTCCCTGTTGGCACGCGTCAGACCCCGCCATATATGCGGAACGAGTTACAGTGCACCATACCAGTCATCTCGAGGTTGATACTTCTCCGCCGTCTGAGGATCATCGAAGACGCTGGGCTGGATATATCTCCTCTATTAGTGATACATCTAGAGCCGATAATGCTGAGCCAATGGATTGTTACCTGTGTAGCGATTGCCTCGGGATCAAAGTCCTTTGCGCGTTGGAACCAGAACCTCTTCTCCTCGTGGGGAGCTCCTAATGGTGGTATGTCGTCACTATCGAACGAAGTGGTCGACTCGGTGACGATTTTCTTGTCGCCAGTGCTCTTAACAAGTACGGTCGCCATGTTTGTGATGAGATCGTACAAGAATAGATATGGTTGACCTCGGAACTCCTCCTTTCTATATAGAAACGGACATGGAGAGTGCGCCACAACACCGGCTGGATGGTATCATTTACAACGATAATTAGCTATATCTATCGGCCCAATGCTGCCGGAATTTTCTAGGGTGCTCAGTGTGGGGGTTCACATCTGTTCCAGATATGGAGATACCTATCACGATCTGATAATCACTTTTTTGGCCAGTACATGAGGTCGTGGCCTGAAAACCTATATACCAATTACAAGTTGACTGCTTCTAGAATGCATTTAATGTTTCGTTACTTGAAGCTATACGTTTGAAGCTCGCGAGGAGATCCCCTATGGACATACACACGCCTGGATTTTTGCCACACTCTATGTTGCAAACCGCCTCGAGCCTTCGGAGATGGTTCACCATGTTAAGAATTATGGCCGCCAATAAATCCCTAGTCTTCTAACCTTGTAATCACGAATGTGTAGTGGGGTTCACAACGATAACACACTATCACTGTAAGATATCTTAATCTTTAATAACTCATAAGACCTCGAATGTGGCTTTGGGTCCAGACTGGACCACTACATGTTATCAGAAATACCTTGATGCTCGCCCTATCTAGTAACACTAGAAATTTTTCACGGTACATAACCCTTTTTTCCCAATATAATATCTGTCTCTTGAAGCTCCTGTAAACGGTGTTTTCAAAAATTTGATGATGACAGTTGGAGGTTAAATGTCGTGATATATCGCCATCGGGTTTTGTCCCGATCATTAACAATTACTTAATTTTCATCAAATATTACGAACGATTGGTCATTAAGCATAAATATCCGTGTTATAATACCCGATCGAGTAGCCAAGATATTATTTTTATATTGTTTTACGAAGGTTCTGATAAAAAGTTTAAAAACTTTTATAATATATTAAAATATTTTCGTATTATATGACGTATTTCTTTAATGGTTAAATTTTCTCCTCGAATACTAGTATACTTCTTAAATAGTGTCATGTCTTAGAACTGTCAATCCATTAAAATAAACTTCCCCGTTTCCTTCTCTTTATTAATATATGGTTTGTTTTCTACCAACCATGATATACCAACAACACTCTTGATGCATGCGTTGATCCCTTCGAGCTAATGTCAGATATTCCTAATCCTCCAGAAGGAGGTCCTTAGGGCCGGCCTCCTTCTAAGGATATGGAACCTTTGTACAAATCACTGCAAGTGTCAGGGGCATAAGTGGAGCAGGCCTAGAAGGAGGTCCTGCGGACCTCCTGCGGACCTCCTGCTAGGCAAGCGCGAGTTAGCAAGGTATAAGAAGGGGGCTTCGCCCCCTTCAACCTTAGAAGAAGTAGCGTTATTAGTTCATCTCATACTTGCTATATACTAGCAGCGGCTACGCCGCTCCTTTGCACTCACTTTACGCTTGACTTAGGGACCTATTACTGACAGCAAGCACATGCTAAAGCAAATGGGTACGGCATCACTCGATCTAACGCCAGCAATTATAAAGATGACAAGCCCCAATATTACACTATTCGTTGCAACCGGGATGACATGGAACCATCAAAGGCAAAGGCAAAGACCAGAGCTAGATTTTCAAAAAAAGGTTGGATGTACGTGGCGTGGTACTATGAAATGTACCAATCGAGATTGTGGATGGGTATTCAACGTCGACAAGACCTGTAATACGCATACAAATCACATAGCTGATAGTACCCCATACGGCGATCCATCTCATCGACATCTCAAAGAAAGGCATAAGCGTCACATTGAAGGTCTATATAAACGGGTGCTCGGACTACTCAAATCATGGAATCACTAGAAGCTACTTTCCCAAGTACCTATCATTGTCAACGCAAAGGGCATTCAGAATTATATCAATCATATGCGAATTAAAAAATGACAAGGTTTGACAGCAGCACAGGCTTTTCTGAAAGAGTTGATTGGTAGCTGGGATGAAGGCGGCGATGTGTATGCTTCTTATGAGGCTGAAGAAGATGACCTTGATCGAATTCGATGTGTTTTCTGGTCTTACAGGGAAAGCCTCGAAATGTTGAAACAATGGCATAGTGTAGTCAGCTTTGATTGCACATATAAGACCAACAAGTACCATATGCCTCTTCTTAACATCACTGGCGTCACTAGTATAGGCACTACGTTCAACATTGCCTTTGCACTTCTACTCGACGAAACCCAGGAAAGTTATAATTGGGCTGTATCCCAGTTTATGACTATGGCTGAGCGTCAAGACGTTGAACTACCGAACATCATCTTGTCTGACTTCGACAAACGGTTCAAAAAAGCTGTAGCAGAAAAAATACCAGATGCCCAGAAACAACTCTGTATATTTCATATCAACAAGAATGTCCTCTTACACAGAGCAAAGAAGTGACAAACGGAACCCGGAAGTGATGATAGTAACAACGAAGACTTGGACCCGAATGAAGATGCCCGGGAGAATGAACTGCAACTAAACTCTCAAGAAGCAAGTATCTTCAACCAGAAAGACCACAGTGATCTGCTTAAAAAAAAAGATTTTCACGACAAACCCAAGCAATGGGTCCAATTCCCTCAAAAATCCCGCGCACTTGTACTGGTTTCTTATTATTATGGACTCACATGATATATTCACGAACGGAAGATGAATTCAATAAAGCGTGGAGTCGGATGATTGAAGTATTTGGAGAAGACCAAAAGTCCTTGATCAATTACCTCGAAACTGAATACATCCCCCTGAGGCATTAATGGGCTAATTGCTACGCCTCACGATATCGCAACTACGGAATTCGAACCACCTCACCAACCGAATCTAACAACAACAACATCAAGAGACTTCTGGAAACAAGGAGCCGGACGGACTTAATGAAGCTATACGAGGCCTTAGAACGCATGGCGCGAAAGCAGATTTCCGACTACGAGAAGACTTTGGCTCAACAATTAATTAAGATTCGCCATCATGATCTAGGGCTCAAATGGGCTGGTGATATTCCGTTGAAGTGTACAAGGACGGCACTGAACCTAATGTTACTGTGAATCCAAAGCATACGCACTTATATCGTGTACGGCCCCTAGTAGCACGAAGTATCCCCTAATATCATTATTACTCATACTTAAAGGGAACAACTGGTTTAGCCAGGTCACTAGAAATCGAATCAGTCTTCACCCCAACGTTTTCCATTACAGAGTCACTAATACGGTCGCTACTAGCGATGCTCGTGACTGTTGGTGATAAACCAGGCGTGGAGTCCTGGTCCGGCCAATTAGGACGTCTCAATTTCCTTCCTCTACTGAGTTCCCCTTCGTCGACATCATCCTTACACTTCAGTTCATCCAAATCTCCTTCGCCCGAAAGATATATTATCCGTTCTCTAGACACGGAATAATATGGGCGACGATCTTCGTCACGAGCGGATGCTGCACGTTTCTTCCCTCGAGAGCTAACCGTAGAGTTAGCTGCGCTAGATTCGCCTTCCGCCTGAGGGGTGCGAAGCTGAGAAAGTGATCGAGCGGTTTGGGTGACTGGCTTTGGATCTTCACCAGGACTTCCTGGTTGGCGGACAAGGATCTTGATTTGTCCACGCATAGCTTCGAAGATTCGCAACGTTTTATTACCGAAGAGCGACCATGCGAAGCGGGCAAAAAGGAACTCAGGCTTGACATCATAAAGTAGCTGAAGTTTACGGTTATGGTATAGTTTCCCTTGCTCGAAGAAGTAATGAGTCTGCGAGTGAAGTACGTGTAACGTTAATTCGTATTTATCTCTTTGTTTCTTGGGAACCAAGGTGAGTTCTTTCAGGTCGAACTGCTTGTGGATATCGGGACGGAGAAGCATCGTATTACTTATGTCGTCTATTTCAGGACAGACATCTGGGTTGGAAGCATATCGGCTCATCCGGTTATTCATAAACCAAAAGGCTTCAGCCTCAGGGATGATATGGGCTCGCTCGTTATAGGATCGTGATTGAGTTACTCGGCAGCTCTCGTCTCGAATATGAGTAGCTTCGAGGGTTGATTTCGACAGGGTTAACATCTTCGATAATGGTATAGGATAGATATCAAGCTTTGTCCAAGGAAGCGGTACGTTACCATGGGGGAATACCCAGTGGTCAAATTCGACCACAATAGGATACGGTTCTAAACCAATGTATTAATATAACATCGCGAGTTTGATTAATTGTTAACTTACCATTAGAACTTGTACGAAGATGAAAGTAATACGTTTCCCCACGAAGGATCCCATCAGTAGGCCGAGTGATAGGTGTCGCTAAGGAGTTCGCAGATTGAGCTAGGTAGCCATGAGATTGCACCCCATCATGTAACCAAGCATTCCCAGTAATGATACAGCAGGCATAGTAAATTAAATCGTAATCAACGCCTCCATTGTCAACAGCTAAGAAACGTAGCAATGCCCCATAAGAGTCGGGATACCCGGGATGATATATATTGATAGTAGAAGGAAAGTCAAAGTCCTCAATGTTGGTAGGCAACGGTACTGGCGGGTTAAAGGCTGGTTTTAGGTCCATAATAATTGCTTGCTGGATTGAAGTTGAAGTTGAAAGTATGAGGCTAAGTTTAAGCTACGAAGTAGGTGCGGAGTAATAGAACAATGATCCGAAACAGGATTAGCCAATCAAAGATACGTAGAGCGGGTCAGCTTTATGCAATGCATAATTATTATGATTGAGAACAGGTGTGGCATTGAGAATACATTGATTTGTACGGTTGTTTGTATGGGAAATGAAGTATTACGGATGAATTCGTCATAAATGCTAGTTAGGTGCTCTTGCTAAGCCAACGTTCTAAGCTTTAATTGTAAGATTCATACGTATCAAGAAAGGACATCCCCTGGTAGACTTGCACAGAAAAGTTCTAGAAGCCCAAGCAATCGGGTTTGTCTCCAGTTTTCGCAACGAGCTGTGGGGTCCCCCATAACACGATCTGATCAGGTCCTGGTCTCAATACACATGTTGAATTTATTGTTGGCATTGTCTTAATCCAATTGGGCTATTTATTATTATTCTTTCTTCCATTGATAGCGTCAGCACCGTTACATGCACCGGCGCTTAGCGTGATGTCTCGTATAGATAGCACTAATGACTGGTTTAGGCGCGCAATAGTTTATCCCACCCTGTGTAACCTGGACCCCGAAATAATTATTGATGACCAATGTATGCTTTGGTTTTTAGAAAACTTTGGGCGATTTGATTGGGCCATTGAACGATAGTTTCTAAAGACGCATCGTTACATCTGCATATCCTTTCCAAAATACATATAATGTTGGTAGATGGCAAGTGCAAAAATCCCATACATGATACATTCTTGTACCTAGTAGTTGGTAAGAGAAAATAATAGCCCATCTACCTAGGGTGATGTATAAAAACAAAAGCTAAGAATCTACGAGTTTGCAACGTAATCTTTTATTGGATATTAATTGAATAGCGCAGGAACGGTGGCCTGATTTAGCTCATTTGGCGCACCGTACCGGGGAAAATACCCCGCTGATGCGCAAGGCGATTAGTAGAACTGTTCAACATTGGAATGGGTCTCGATATGCTGTGCGACCGCAGCGGCACCGGATAGCCGGATACGGACACGGATCCGAGTATATCGCGGAAATAGCAGCGGAACTCGGTAGGGAGTAATTCCCGTGTACGCCTTCCACTTGGTTATCATTGCGTCGCGCTTGAATCCTAGCGGCCGGACCGCCGATCTTTCCAAACCGTCGCCGACTGGAAGGCACTATTACGGTGCGGAAGTGTTCGGAGCTCATGATTACCTATATGATACAACTTGGTAATTTATCAACTCTTCCTGTAACAACACTGCCTAGTAATCGATGGTATGTCAGGAAAACAAGATTTGAGTATTTCGGTACCAAACAGCGCAACGCGCTTGGGGGTTTAAAGATAACTAATCATGGTGTAAAAGGTAAGAGGCCTCTAACTTGCGACACGTACTTTTACACTAACCCTGGGCAGCGCCAGGTGGCGGGGCATAACTAGGCAGATATATCTGGGATGGTACCTACATGATAGTGACCGGGTTAGGTAAATAATATTTCAAATCGAAGCATGCATCCTGTGGGATTGGACTTTGAACTAGGTATGCCGTTTAATCCCACTGCTCGATCTTCTTTGAAGAATCTACAGTTGAGCTCGCATTCGTCTATAATCACTTTATAGAGAATATAGAAAGTAGAAATAGGTGCCTAGTTTCGCAAACGCTCCAGCAACGTCTAGAGATGCTCCTTATGCCGTTCTCGCCAATGATTGGATCGTCTTACAAGAACCCGTGGTCCCGAGTTCTGGTTCTGTATCACCAGACGGAAATCCCCGCTCTAAATTTGGAATAGAACGCCGCTACTAGCTTATTTCAGCGAACTGCTCGGAATACCTTTAAGAGGTCTCTTGTCCTCTCGTCATCTCTACTTCAGTCATGAGAGGTATGTAGAGATTGACCTCGGACATGGCCACTCAATTTTTCGATTTTGTGATAATTGGTGGAGGGACAGCTGGACTGGTCGTGGCTAACCGTCTCTCTGAAGACCCAAGCCAACGGGTTCTTGTTCTAGAAGCTGGCAGCGACCTTGCCGGGGACCTCCGAATTATTACCCCAGCCTTTTTTCAGATTCTTCTCGGTTCAAAAGCCGATTGGGGTTTCGAAACAGAGTCTCAGGTACGCACAAATCCTTATCCACTAACCTGGAGCTAGAGCAGATAACTAAATGAAAGAAACTGCTCAAGTCAAACCTCGAGGGTAGACGGGTTCCTTTAAATCAGGGCAAAGGCTTGGGAGGATCGAGTGCTATCAATTCTCACGTATTCATACCTCCTACCAAGGGTTTGATCGACGCATGGGAATCTTTGGGCAATGATGGGTGGAATTGGGATACCCTTAAACAATACTACGCAAAAGCGCATACATCACCGCCTGTCAATGAAGCCTCAAAACAAATGTTGGGAATAGATGGATGGACTACGAGAAACGACTCATCCAAAGGCCCGATACAAGCCTCCTTTCCGGGGGACATTTCTCATCCTATCCGAAGGGCTTGGTCGGAAGCTTTTAAAAGCAATGGATACTATATGCCAGCTGACCCCTTTCTTGGGGCCTCTATTGGAGGCTTTAGTACTACGGCCAGTATCCATCCGGAAACTAAGGAGCGAAGCTATGCTGCGTCAGCATACTACACTCCTGTTAAGTATCGAGAAAACTTGCATGTCTATACAAATGCCTTAGCCGAGAAAATTCTCATCGATGGCAGCCAGCAACCGAGAGCTTACGGGGTTCAATACAAGCAGAACAATAAGACGAAGACTGCTATCGCAGCTAAAGAGGTGATACTGGCAGCCGGCGCCTTGCAGTCTCCAAAGCTGCTGGAACTCTCTGGCATAGGCAACCCGAAGATACTTGAGAAACATAATATTCAGGTTATCAAGGATCTACCCCAGGTCGGCGAAAATCTTCAAGACCACCTCGGCTGTTACGTAAGCTACGAGGCAGTAGACGATATTGATACACTCGACGATCTAGTACGACACGATCCTGAAGCGCTAGGAAAAGCCAGTATGTGATCTTAATTACTAAGTCTTTTCTGTCCGTTTGATGCCTCTCCCAAGGGCCAATAGTCCCCAACGCATATTCAAAAGTCCTCCCCTATTAAAATTAGCGATTACTAACACCCCTCGCAAAAATAGTGAAAGACTATGCAACTGACAGATCAGGCATGCTTGGCTCTCTTGGTGTTTATTCATACGCATATATGCCTTTAGTTCAATCTTTTTCTGGCAAGGGTCATGATACGCTAAAAGAACTGCTCGATCAATACCGACCAGTCTCGGGGAAACAGCCCGACCAAGCCCAGGCCAGTATCTACTACGATATCGCAGAGAAGACACTTCTCAACCCAAAGGAACCATCGGGAACCTTTCTCGCCGCAATCTCGCAACCGCCAACCCCAATGGAACCCAACTCGAGCTCGACAGGTCCTCTGAATGGCAAATATATCACGTTTAGCGTAATGCTTTCGCAGCCCCTTTCACGTGGGAGTGTGCATATTAGTTCAGACCATATTTCTGCGCCGCCGACCATCAACCCCAACTATTTATCAAATCCCCTTGACCTTGAGATATATGCGCGCCATGTACAATACATCGAAACTATAGCCACATCACCCGCGTTCGACAAGCTACTTAAACAGCCACTTCGTAGCAGTAGTCCTTCGTTTGATATGAGTAGCTTGGACGCAGCCAAGAACTATGTACAATCAAGTGCAGCATCGTCAGTACTATCTATTTCTATCTCCTTCCACTACAGCTCAAATTTCCAATTCAATCTATTCCTAAATTTGTTGAGTAATGATTGCTGACACCAGGATACTAGGGTATGGCATGTCTGTGGCAGTTGTGCCATGCTGCCCAAGGACAAGGGTGGTATTGTGGATACGCGACTAGGGGTCTACGGAGTAGAGAACCTGCGCGTAGTAGATGCGAGTGCCATTCCGCTAATCAGCACGGCAAGCCTGCAGACTACCGTATACGCCTTCGCGGAACGGGCCGCGGACTTGATTAAGGAGATACATGGGTTGAAATGATGAGAAATGGGCGTACAACGGGGATAATTCGGAGTTGATGGAGTCCAGGTTTATATACCTAAATGCCCAATCAAGGCAATCTATGAAGCTAAATCAAAGATTTTACGTACCTGTTCCTAGTATCAATCTGACCCTTTACTCTAAGTATCATCATGGGCCTACCCACTAGCGAGGACCTATTCAGCAGGCATAGCCACCAGATGAAGTCAATATTTTCCTCTGAAGTTGATAAAGTTGTTAAACTGATTACTGAGATGATGGTAAGTCAAATAACTCATTTGTTCTCACCTGCCAGGGAAAGATACATGGCCGCATCAGGTATAACCTAAAATTCGAAGTCGCAAAGACAAAAAGCGAACATTTACGAAGAGGATACCTATCCTTTCGCATACTAAGAAAAGACGGGATATATGTATAAACCTACCTCTGTATGCGTTGCTTAGAGACATGTCAAGGCGGCAAGGCAGACTGACTTTTATTTCAGACGAAGCTTGAGAGTAACACCCCCTTGGAAAGTCGGCGCAACAAACACTATAAACGAGAAAAATGCAAGCAATCAAACGTATCTCATGCAAAAGCGCACTTTCCTCATAAGTAGAGTGAACTGTTTTATACCTCGTTACCATATGTATATCACGCAACAAATCAGCATCGTAGGAATTTGTGCCAACTCACGTATCATTGGTAGCAACATCAAGTTATCCCACGAAACACCTAAAAGTCGTCTGTATTACAACTGACAAGTTATGAATGGAGCAGCCGGAACAAGTTATAGCGCATAAGCTATGCCACGTAAGTGAGAACACGTCGAGGACCGTGATTCAGGCCCATCACATCCTACCAATAAGGAGTCCCTTTAAACGAGAGTCGCCCCAGTCGCAAATCTGACGATCTATTCGCTACTCCTAAATACGACGGCTGCAGTGCCGAACTGATCGCATATTTCTACAACCTTATACTATATTACACTGTCCCAAAGGGAGAGATTATCTAGATCCATGTTATTCAACTTCCCACGGAACAACTAGTTAGTCAGTCGGGTGTAACCACGATGGACCACCGCCGCGCCAGCGCCGCCGAGTCCGCCAGCAGCAGCGTATACTCGACGCAGACGCTGCCCGTCCCTCCCACACTTCCCATCAGCGACAGCGGGCGCGCCTCGCAAACGAGCTTCGCATCACGGGCCTGGATCTTCGGCAAAGTGCCCAACTACACTTCCACCACCACCAATCCTACCCACCAACTCAACCCCAACCCCAACAACTACTGTAATAATGATAATAACAACAACAATAACATCAATCCCGAGCAGCGCCGACAACAGCGCCGCCGGCCCTCCCGGCCCTCGCACCTAGAGCCCGTCGCGATCCGCGACAGCGTGGGGTACCCGTCGGCGTCGAGCTTCGAGGCGACGATCGAGAAGGGCACGGCGCGGTGGGGGCGGCGCAGCTCGACGAAGCCGCGGCTGGTGGACCTGGGGGGGCTGAGGCGTAAGGTTAAGCGGATGACGATGTTGCGGCGCGGGTCCGAGCAGCAGGAGCACCAGGGCGCGGTGGGGGCGATGCCGGCGACGTTGAGGGAGGCTTTTGGGGGGCAAGGGGTTGGGGTGGGTGTGGGTATTGGTGTGGGGGCAGGGGCGGATAGGGAGGGAGATCGGGGGATGGTTCAGGTTCGGAATATGAACGACAACCTGAATCTGGACCAGACGCAAGCACGAGGCGAAGAGCGTGAGCCTGAGGATGGGGATGAGGATGTGAGGATTGGTCCGCCGACGGATCGCCAGTTAGCGACGATGCTGTACCACGAGATCCAGAACGATATCATGATTCGGACGAGGACGGAGTCGCCTACGTCACGAGTACCCGAGCTGCCGTTCCGAGATAAAATAAGGGGGAAGCATTTTAGTCGGACGACGGGGAACTTGGACGAAGAAGTTTCGAGCTACGCGAAAGATAAAAGACGGGGTTGCACTACGGCGCAATGCGTTGTGATATGATAATGAGGATGTAATGATTGTTTGGTGCTTCTATGCTCAGGGGGTTTATGGGAGATGGCGGGTTTAGCGGGTGCATCGGCATGGAAAATCATGGTGTTTGGGCTTCCGGAGGTATTATCCCTTAGAGATCCGCATGATAAGTTAGGATGTGTATGAATAGATCGTGAAGATATTTGCTGATGGATCGTAATGGATAAGCATTTAGCGTTGTTCGTCTCGAATAGGGCGGGTTGGACCAAAGGTGAGGTATACTAATAACAATATACCTAAGGAATTGGTGTATAGTTACAAATAGGCCAAGGTTAGCAATAGTCCCACGGTACGCAATAAGTGTTAATAGTAAAAGTACTTCACTTCCAATTCACCAAAATCGTATTGCCCTCCCCTAGCTTCGTATACCACACTGTCCTTCCATACCATCTGCCTTTCCCTCTTATCCCTTACCTCACAGTTCGCCAAGTTTCATGTCACCAAGTGTACTACTACCGAACATAACCGATAAAGCATCCCTCGGTGAGCGATCAGGGATCCTGAACATACCGTCTGGCGTCAGATACTACATCCGACTAACTAGGTGCCCAGGGTGTCGTAATCCTCAGGAAAGACGTATCTAGGTCTAGTAATTCCGGGCAGAACGCGAATAATAGTTTCTGTCCAGTGAACGATTTCTGAGATCAGAAATTTAGGTTGAATATGGAACAACTGAAGTCTATGATCACCGCAGGGGGAATAAAGAGGAAGTAGCTTTCCTAATATTGTTCTAATAGTCATCAGGTATAAACAAGTGACTCGGGTTAGACTAGAAGTGATCTCCACGCAGTGTTGAAATTATTCGTCGTCCGTACTTCTGACCTGCTGGTTCTGTACTTATCTTAGGTTAAGCCGCCTCTCGGCCCAACTAACGATGTATCGGATGTCTATGTCGTGTTGCTCAGCTGGCATATACATCCACCTTTCTTGTTCGACATTCCAACCCCTATTTGGGAGATATGCTTCCAGCATGTAATAATTGTCCCTGTGGAATGGAAAGTCGAAGCTGGGGGGCCCGCTCCTTTCCAGGAACAAATCCGAACCCGACTCCATGTCTTCTTTTTCCATACGGAAACGTCGTCGTTTGTTGCCTTTATTTGCGGATTGCCGACGTATGGACCTTGTCGTCGAGTCTAAGTGAGCTTCAAATAGGCGGGCGTGCCAGAGAGGACTACGCAAAGCCTTGCGTACGATATCCGCGTTCGAAGCTATCAAGGTCTGGTTCCATTTAGGATGAGATCCTCTAGGGATCATGGGAATAGGTTCCCCAACATCCAGATTTTTCTGCCAGTGGGCGAAGTCGGGAATTAAACAGAGAGATGACCATCGAAGTAAACAGGTTAAGCACGTGCAGATTTCTGTGGGATCCGGAGGCTGAACGTGCTGGTACGGCTTCTTATGGATGGTCAGGAGCTCCTGTCGATTAGGGCTCTGAACATATGGTTGGATGCTGGGGTCAATATCTTCCATAAGAATTGGAAGTCGGAAGCATTTCTCCAGGCAGACGTAACGCCAACTTGTGATGGATCTCGCGATCCGACGTTCATCCTGCACGATGAAATCACGAAAAGCTCGGCTAACTCGCTGAAGGTTGAAGATGTCGCTAGGTTGAAGCAGTGCCAATATATCTAATACGAGCTCATAGGGCAGGTCCAAGAGATTTTGCGACTGAGACTTTGTACTCTTGACCTTTTTCGCCTGTTTTTTCCGGGCCCTTTCCGTACGTTTGGAGTGGAGGGTGAGAGCTTCCGTCTTGTCTTCCAATGCCCCTAATTCCTCATCATCTGACACCTCGATTTTCCGCATATCAACGCTTTACACTTGGTTTCGAGATATCTGAAGAATGCTTGGGTTTTATTAAGTTTTGCGTAGATGCTGACTTCACGGTTGTTAATTTAGGCAATTATCGTCGCAGATCGGAGTTAAGGAGGAGGAGGGTCTTTGGAGATTGGAGATTAGCGATTGAAGATCCCCCTCAGCCAACCCAATTAAAGGTACACAGGTGCCACCAAGTGGTCAGTGGCTGATTATTGGTTGCTACGTTGCGTGGCTGCATAATGACATGTACATACATATTGGTAGGTGCATATATGACTAGACCAATGGATTTTTAGTTTGTTAGACAATGGCCATCATGACAACATGGGCACTTACTTAAATACCACGCAAGAACAATATTGGAGCTGAATCTTCCCTTTCTTACTTTACTATTCAGGCAGACGAAACCCAAATCCAAATCAATCTCACCATGGCAATCTATCGTATCCTTCTACTCAAGTTTAAGGCCCTTGTGCCACCAGACGAGGACAAGGCCGTGAGTAATCATGAATGCAGATATTTAGATAGACTGACTCTATTCAGGCTTGTCAGCGAATACTAGATTTCGAGACAAATTGCATCCATCCTACGTCCCAAAAGCCATATGTGAAAGTGCTAGGGGGTGGAAAAGACAATAGCCTGGAGGGTCGACAGGTTAAGCCTTACATAACTATTCCTAATTTTCTAGTTGACCAACTTTGCAATAGGACGGAATGACGCATGCGTTCATTCTTCAATTTGAGAATGATGAAGATAGGAAATATCATGTCGAAAAAGACGCAGCTCAGCTAGAATTCGCCGCAAGTAGCCGAGACATAATTGAGAAAGCTCAAGTTATCGATTTCGCACCTGGAGTGTTCTGAGGTTCGACATGTGGACTCTTTGTCAAATTGGTATCAATTGGAGTTGGAGAAATGAGATTGATGAGATGACGTCGATTCATTCGCAACGATTGATCTTACGTATCTACAGAGAAACATAGTGGTTTGTGATTTACCTGATCAGATAAAAACCAACAAAGTAAAATAAGAACAGGTAGTTGAGCTATTCATGGACCTTAAGTGCAGCAATGTATGTAATCCAGGTAGATAAAACTAAAGGGATAGACCATTGCTAGGGAAATGCAGGTACCTAAGTACTAAAATTAGCCATGAAAAAGAACCTGACTGGGTTAATTAACAGCCCTACGTCATCCCCCACCTTAGTAGCTCAAGATAAACTTAGCTAGGTAGGTACATAGCTACCTACACTGCTACCATACTGGTCTGGTCGGGTACTGTATGCAAACACCCAGCAAATTGCAACAACCGAAAAGCCATCAGCTCAATGTTCATGTGTTCATGTTCGCTTCTTAGTTCTAACCATATTTCCTCTTTTCACCTTTAAACCAACCAACCTGATTGCCCATTACGATTTGTTTTCAACAAAGAATCATCTGCATACTCCCCAATTGATACATAGGCAATCCACCAGTTCAATAATTAGAAGGCGATCTTCTTGACACCCGCAACTGTTCAAAACAGTCCCTTGTCTTTCTCCCTATTATTCCAATACCCCACCATCCACCATCTTTCACCCATTGCCCATCGCCCATCATATCAGCCCATATCCTCATCTCGCTGTCTGTGACGGTCGCTCTCTCAAGTTTTAGCTGAGACGCGCCAACGACGCGAACCTGCTATTCCAAATTCGAAATCGAATCGCATTTATCCGTTTTCCTCAGCATTCAATCCTTTCTCCTCGATAGCAATAATAACCACAGCAACGATGTCGCAGCAACCGACAGCACCGATGCTCATCAATGTGCCTCCGCCAGCATCTAACCCGGACACACCGTCGGATATGCCGTATGTTATTCCATGCTCCCTGTAGTATTCAACATAGGCTGCTATTCCGCCTTGCTTCTCTTCTACCATTCCATACCCTCGTTCTCCCAGTCTTTCATTATCTGACTTGAGCAACTCTAGTGGAACGCCGACGAGTACGACCACCTCCCTCTCCGCCCTCTCCACAACCGCTATCAAGGATGGCCATCGGGGTCACGCCTTCCATAATCTCGGAGGCCCCCGACATCAACACCACTCATCTACGAATTCCCTTGAAGCCGAACGTGCTGATCGAATTAGCCGGCTTGCCGGTCTCGAACGTGTCTCTACCCTCCGCGCTCCCAATCAAAACCAGCAAGGCGGCAATGCCACCGCCACACAGACCGCGCCCGCCCCAACGGCCGCCCAGCAGGCTGCAGCCGCCGCCGCCGGCCTAACGCCCGCATTTTTCGACTCCAACGGTCAGCCGACAGCTGTTACTAAGATGAGCACTGTTGGTACGGCTTCTGCGACGGGTAGTGTCGGTGCGCGAACCACAACTGAGGCGGAACATTTTGCCGACGCCGACATGGATGCAGATCTTACCGAGGTTGATGAAGACGGTATGTCTACAGATACTAACTATCAGACAATGGACATTGACTCTACCGGCGCCATAGACCCTATGGACGAGGACATATCGAGTCGCTCGGCCGGGGGCTTCGAGGATCGTATGAGCGACGATGGCACAGCCAGCCTTGTCGCCTTTGGCGAGGGCGCAAATAGTACAGTCAGCGGTCCTATCTATCATCGCCGACCTCTTCCCGGCACTGCTGGCGCAGCCGGCGTCTGGGGGTTGGAGCGAAGCAGCTCTGGCCTTAGCCAGGAAGCTATGAACCGTAGCCGAGAAATGCGCGACGTCGGAAACGACACCCCGATCAGCGCAACCGCCGCGGCAGAGACACGTCAGGCCAAGTACGTCGATGGTGTGGCTGTAGATGGTGGCGGTCACGTCGGCACCTCGGATGATGATGTGTTTGTCGATACCACGACCCGCGGACCTGTACCCGTTCAACCCGGCCAGCCCCGAACAAGCGCACTTCGTGAGGGCGTTGGTGGTCCCGCGACACGCGAAGCCGCTGAACGCATCGTTCGAGAACGTCTCGATAGTGGCGAGAACGTACGCGCTCCGGTCCTAGGCAACCCTTCCGGCAAGGACGGAGATAAACTAGGCAAGTTCTACTTCGAGGACAAGAAGTAGAAGCGGGCGGACAGTTGAGCAGGCGCCAGGTGATCTGGGTCCGAGTACTGCGCGGTTCATTTCTAGGGTTTCTTTTTTTACGCTTTTATTGTGCTGTTATGGGACGGAGTGGCGTTGCAATGGCGTAACGCGGACAAGACAAAATACCACTGAACTATGGACTATGACACAACAGTGGAGAAGGGCGGTTCGACTGACTGCCATTTGCTTTTTTCTTTAAACCGGCCTGCTACTGGATGATATGATTTGCTATTCCGCAAGGACGGAGACCTGGGCCTGGATCTGGAAGAGGCATACATGAAGACGCAGAACGCAGCTTTAAACCATGTACTACCTACGATGGCTTGAGAGTAAAGAGGAACAGGAAAGGGTAGAGGGGACTGCTTTGATTAGGAGAGTCCTACTACATGTATGTTAAGTGATATCGATCGGCTTGGGCATAGGGTGGGCGGTTTTATGGTCAGACCCCAAAGACCCAGGATTGCTTTTAATACGACGTTGGACGGACTTGCCGTTGCGTTACTTCTATGAGGGTCATTTAGACGATGGTTTGTCTTGCGCTCTGCCTGTATCCCGTGTGTCTGGTAGGAGGATGACAGTGATTATGGTGATGATGAGCAGAACCTTCGTGTGTTTTGGTGGGAATACTTGCGTGTAAGGACACGATTAGGTGGATAAGCCTGTTATAATGACGATATTACTTATACGTATCTCATTCTTGGCTTTCGCGGAGTGGAACTTATCCACTTCAAATCTTCAAATGACTATACCCGACTCCACCGGAAAGGGGAGCCGCAACAGCAGTGGAGTCAAGTATATTGATCACCATAATTCTTAGCCTCATATTAGGTCAGCCCTGCTTTCAGACACCAATCTCTTCTAGCTTCAAGAAGCAAAAAATTAAACTCAGGCTACTTGTTACTCGCTTCCGCTTCGTGGTGCTTGTAAGGCTGCGCATTATATAATATGGCATCTAAGTTAACTATCTAATTTACTGCTTACGTCTAGGCTAGAGCTAGCACAAAAAAAGAACGCCCACGGTGGGACTCGAACCCACAGCCTTGGGATTTCATTTATGGGAAATAAAAGTCCCACGCTCTAGCCATTGAGCTACGCGGGCCTCATCTTATCGAGGTGTCCCTTGATGTTGATATGTGACTATGTGTAAGTCGGACCTATATGTGTGTTGAGCAAACCTACATCCCTAATGTGGCTTCAATGTTGCCTCCTTTTTGCACTAGGCAAGCCCTCTATCGCTTGCTATCTTGTTGTTCCCTTTTCTAAGGCTTTCAAACGTTGTCGCTGTTTAGGTGCACACGTAGCTTAGACGATGGTAATATCGACAAGCTTCGACACATCCACAGAGAAGGACCGCATCATTCCAAAGAAGGAGGTGGACAAGAAGTCCTCGCCTTGCATTGCTTCGTGTAGGTAGCACTCTCCCACAAACTCGTAGGTCGATGAGTCTTCCGATGTAGCTTCTGTGGGTTGCGCATCGCTCTTTCCATCTCCCCTTTCCTCGGCCGCTCCTTCCCCCGTTCTTTCCCCAGCATTCTTCTCTCCTATCCCTGTTTGTGTTTCTGTTTCCTTTTCTGATTTTGCTTCTTCTTTTGTTCGTTGAGGACGTAGAATATACGGAAAAAACCCTCCTACGCAAGCCACAACTAAATCGCCCTCTCTAACACCACCATCAAGCCTCCCTAGCGTATCTTCGCTTACTTCGGGCAACATACCGCGAACAGCCTTTGCGTGGATACGCGCCGCGTTCGGATCACGTTCGTTGAGAAACGCTTGAAACTGCTCCATCATCATTCTAGACATAGGATCGTTCATCGTCCTCCCCAAATCCGCCTGCCTTCTTTTCTCTACTTCTTCCTTGTCTTGCCCCTTTCCATTCCCATCGCCGGCTTCGTCCCCTATAGGGCTGTCCAAATGCGGATCAATAGCCTTAACGTCCTCGATCCCAGTCATCCCAAACCTACCCCCTTGGGTCCAGAAAAAGCGTCTTCCGATGGAATTTTTAGCTAGCAGTTCTTCGTATGGTTTCGACTTCCCGCACTGCGACAACGCAGTCATGAGTCCTGGCGAAGCCCGCAAGCGCGCCGCGTTCTCAGGCGTCTGAAGCTCAGATATGTTACTGCAGTCGAGCTGGTGCATGATGGCCTCTTCCGCGATCATGCTCGCGAACGCGTGTCCGAGGCTATCTGGTGGAGCGACGACATCCCTCATTGTAGCAGAGGCGGATTTGGACCCACCGGAATTGAGGATCAGGGTCCGCCAGAAGCGTTGGCCTACTTGCTCGCGGGTCTCCTGTGAGAACGGGTTGGGAGTAGCAGACATCGCCTCGTTTAATTTCTTGAACTCGGTAAAGAGCACATGTCGCGCGTTGCCCCCGTTGAAGATCGGCGAGACGTGGACGATACGGTCGAGCGGTCGGGCTTGTAGGTGCAGTGCGTTGTCTGCGGAGACCGTGATCGGCTTCTTCGCGGACTCGGGTTTGATCGCGTCCCACCACTGCCTCATGCCGCCATTCGGATTAAACAAGGGACCAACCTTAGGCGGTATAGCGCCGAAATCAGGGACCCAGGTCGGCAAGCCCTTCAACCGCTTCTCGCAAGGCGGACGCTCGGCATACCAGAGCATCAAGTCCTGGCGCTCGAGAACCGTGTATCTCGCTGTCTCGATGAACACTTGCTGCGGCGTCTTCCCATAATCAATATTGGGCAAGGGCTGAGGGCCCTCCTTATGAAACTCCACGCGCCGCGACGGCGTCGCAAGCAACACCATCGAAAACACGCTGTCCCTCACATCCCTCGGCCCGCACTCGCGCGCCGTCTGCACCATGGGCAGCAGCTCCACCGACTCGCCCAACCGCCTCCTGCGCTCCGCGATCTCGATCTGGTTCGCGATATCGAAGCCCTTCATCACGTGCGGCAGCAGCGGGACCCCGAAGAACTTGGCCTGGAAGAAGGGCATCGCGCGCGACGCCGCGATGTACCCCGGCCAGTGGATGTTGCCCCGCCCGCAGACCACGATCGGCACTTTAGCCAAAGCGATATCCGCGACCGCCTGCACGCTCTGCCAGTACGCGGACCCGAAGACGGCGGAGATCTCCCGCCACAGCGCGAAGTCGAACGAATCCAGGTCGCCCGCGGGGCAGCTGAGCAGCCGCTCCCTGATCCCCGTCAACTGCTGCACCGTCGCCGCCGACAGCCGGTCGTCGGGACCTAGCCCGACGCCCCGACTCGCCTCGTCGAAGCGCCGCCCCATCTCCGCGATCGTGGCGAAGGCCCTCGTCGTCAAGTCCCCTTTATCTGAGCTCAGCCAGCATAAAGTGCGCTCGGCGCCCTCGAGCACGGCGCGCTGGACCCGGGCCTGCGCGCTCATCTCCGCCGGCGTGCGGCCCACGAGGACGTCTGCCCAGAGGGTGCGTGGGCGCGTCTTGCGCCGGAACGTGCGTAGCGCGTCGCCTAACTGCTTGGGAATGTCCTGGGGCGCGCCATCGACGGATACCGTCGTGGTGGTGTTATTCGCGGCGGCAGAAGCGGTTTCCGCGGACCGGTCGTACGATATGCATTCGTACGATGCGTCCTTGATCACGGCCTCCGTGAGCGTTAGCTCAATGGGGGCTTCTTGTTCCGCGGCCGGCTGTAGAACGGCGAGACGGGCTGTGAGGGTGTTGTTGTTAAGAAGCGTGGAGAAGGGGTTTGGGGGAGCCATCGCGCGGTACTGGACCCTCGCGTAGGCTATGGAGTTATGAGAGGAATGGGGACGGCGGATGGTGGATGGCGGTGAAGGTGAAGGTGAAGGTGAAGGTGAGGATGAGGGCGAGAGATTTCTAGCGGGGCAGCTGAACAAAGATACGAGTCGTGCTGGCCTCGTAACCGGACGTTTAAGTGCTCCGCACGAGTATCGCCACTGTCCTCGAGTGAAAAAAGGAAAGTAAAGGCCTCTCATAATATACCACGAGAATTACGATCACGCCGCGGTAAGATAGGTAGGCATTGTTGCCTATTTCCTACCTGTCTAGAAGGAGTGTTGACTCCCATTGTGATACGATGCCTAACAAAATCGGTTGTTGCTAGTCTAGATCTGTTGTTGCTTTTCAGCTATTTCAGGTCTGCAGCCTAGACCGTCAATCTCGCTTCAGCAGGTTCGGGGTGCATTAGCTGGATCGAGCTAGCTGCATAATCTTGGAGGTCCCTCTCAGTTCTCCAGGACCGAGGACTCCTATTTCTAGGCGCTATTTCAAATTGGTTGCTGTATTCGACAATCGTCGCCTACCTATTTAAACAAATTTTTATCACTTCCACATTGACACTTATTACGCGACATAGAGGTTTCAATTGGATTATTATGATTATCAGGTATCTAGGCCACTTAGGTCCAAAGCATCACTTTCTAGGAATTTCCTGGATTCCAACTGGCCTTGATTGAATTAAAAATAGTGGCACGAGATTGCTCACGATGCCGTGCGACGTCAACTTTCTAGATCGCATGACCTTCCTTCGAAAGAGACGTTTAGGCATGAATGGCTACCTGGACCTGCGGGTAGACACGAACCATCTCTCCATACAAATCAGGATGATTCTGCATCAAGGCCTGCGGGTCCCATGCCGAAGCGACAAATATCGTATCGATGCCGCTGCTTATCGGTGTCGTGAAGATGTTGCAGATTTGCAAGCCGATAAGGAACGCGAAGGCCACCACAACTATGACGCCGAGTTAGCCGATAGACCACAGATGGTACTATACTAAACATTTCCGTGCAGCTTTAAATTTAAGATTATGAGGATAGACTTACCGGCAGTGTACGAGCCGTCGGAATTATATGATGGCTTGGTGAATACCTAGCATAAAATGTAAGCAATCCATCTTTTCCTCACAACTTATGAGATTCCTTACAAGGTATAAATACGCGAGCAAGCTCGTCGCATAGCCAACAAATGTAGCTCCCATAGAGAGAACCGGACCAATAAGGCATTCGTTGACTAGGGCATCGATACCACGATTCTTGATCATAGTCCACGTATCCTTAGCGGCAGCGAAGTATGGTTTGCCATACAACGCGATATACGAGAAGGCGTAACGGTTGAGAAACTGTACCGCCCAATCAAGGAGCCCGATGATGCATCCAAGGATCCAGAACATAACCATTCCAACTATGTTTCCTTCGGAAGCCTCGCTCTGTTGAGCGACGGAGCACAACTGTCTTAGAAAATTGATGATCGCCACAATTAATGATCCAAGAGAAATAGAACCAAAGCTGTATGTAAGTGCTCGTCGGAGACTACCTCGGGTGGCACCCCTAGGGAGATTCTGAGGGTGGAAGTACCAAGATCCGTAAACGCCGGAAATAGTCGTATGAATGGTGTCTTTTAACCACTCCGATATCCAATACATTGCGAATGTGATGAAGACGATTAGTCCCTTAACTTTGGCGTTACTGCAACCACCAGCTCCCTCCGCGCAAGCTGGATTCTGCCCCGGAGAATACTTCGCATATACCGCTACAAGGGTCACAGAGTACCAGGCAGCGAGAGCCGTGGCGCAAAGACCGCCGAGGGCACTAACTAGGTAGACGTGACCATAGCTCTTAGAAACGTCGACGGCAGTCTTTAGCATAAGAGCGCTAAAAGGTATTCGGGGGATCCAGCTCTATAAGATAGTGAGCGAAAGCATACACGAGTATAAGGGGCAGTCTCACGATGAAAGCAAATACTAGGAAGGCGACAAAGATCAAGAAAACGATACCACCAGAGTAGTAGTGACGTGTTAGCATGTAGATCGCTGTGACAAGGCCAAGGACAATATTGAGGATACCACTACGATGATTAGTATTCATGTGATACTCTCCTAAAGGCTCCGGAGTATGAGACTTACGTTATCCAGATGAATTGTTTAGGAAATTGGCGAGCTAAAAGTACGTAGACATAGCTGAATACAATTGCGACACAGAGACAGAAGGCGAATAGAATGAGAGTGTTCGTGTTGAGACCAACTCGTGATCCAGAATCATAGATGCCGCCTCCCTGGAAACTTTTCGATGAAGCTGTGATTGGTTAGTCTACACCGAGAACAGCGATTTGGGTCAGAAATAGTGATCTACCAACCATATCCATTAATAGAAATACCCGAAACAGCAACGAAGCCTGCGCAGACGATAAGGAACTAAGTTCGTTAGTATCTGGTTTTAGTACTTAATAAGAAGAGCAACACACGAGAATTCCGGCCCAGATATCGTTGTACTTGGGACGCTCAAGCTTGAAAGCCTGATCGAACATGGGTTTCTCGTTGCCGTAGCCATTTGTATAGTTCGGACCTGGACCCGGTGCCGGTGCTTGAGGACCGGGCTGCCCATATTGAGGCGACGGGGCATACTGATTAGGCGCCTGTTGCGTATTGTAATAGGCGGCGGCTTCGCCGCGGGGTTGATCGCCCATCATCAAAGAATATAGCTCCTATGTGGAGTTATCTTAATAACTATGACCGAGTTAGAGCACATTAGCATGAAATTGAATTCTCAGAAAAACATGAGGTACCTACTCACAGAAGGAAAATCAGATGATGCGGATGTTGATGTTGTGCTGAGCTAGACAAAGAAATGTTGTTGAGGAATGGAATGTTTCAACGCTCTAATTTACCTACTAGGAAATGATGCTGTTTCCCCAAAGACAGAAGGTTGACATCATCTTCGCACTAGCTGAAGCTTATGAAGCTCATTTTGGAAATGTCAATGTGGGTTGAGGTTACCGGCAACTTAGACTTTTGATAGTCTAAAATCGAGAAGATTCAGACTATCCCTTTTCTTTTCAAGTCCAACGCTGTCGCATCGTTCATTGGTAGCCCCTCATGTCAATGGCGTCACAGTCGTTCCACAACAAACGGGAAGTGGGTAGGCGAATCAATCTCAGTTTGCATCTCACGTTACCATGGATGGATCATGAAACTATTAAGTCTTGGTCACCACCAAGAAATCGATAAACCAAGGAATTTAGATATCATTCGGATTAGTACTGCCGTGCCGTTCATCCGCTGTATCACCGACCTCGTTGCACTTTAACTCCGTGAAAAACAACACTCGCGCATGCATACAAAAATGCGCTCGTATAATAAGGTATCCCATAAACACCTGTCGAGATGCCTTTAACCCAAATTGACGCCATTAACGGGGCCCCTACCAGAGAACCAAGGATTTTAACCATCATGACAATAGAAAAAATGTGAGTTTCCGGTTCTGTCGAATTCGTTGACCGATCCTCATCCGTGGGTACTACCGATGGAGACTTCAATAAACCCAAAGTGAACACGGGAAGAGCGGATCCGAGAGAGTATAGCAGCAAAGAAGGAAACAAGAACGAAGGCGTGACTGAGAGCGCAATAGCAAGCGCACCTATTTGGGACAAGATTAAGCAGATCCGAGAGTACTCGACATTGTCCCAGTCGGACAGCGTTGGGGGTTGATTCGGTCCTTGTGTACCTCTAGCCCTGAGAATTCCAGGGATCACAAAAGTGAGGAGTGTGAAGTTTACAACAGCTTTCGCAGATAAAAGATACCCCGCCGAAGCAAATTCCCAGTGATATCTTTTCGATATAAACTGAGCTAAGAGGGTAGTATCAGAGCTCGCGAGAGAAGTCAGAAAGAAGCTTATAAGCAAAAGACTTAGGTTCCTAGGATGGCTTCTGACGATAGAGTAGAGAGTATGAAAGCGTTTAATGACGGGCTTTAGTATATTGCCACTAGAACTTTGTGCTTTCAAAGTGGGAGAGGATATGAGAGGCCGGCGCTGCTCATCCTCTGATGCTGGTCGGTTATGCGTAGGATCTGCGAGTAATGATATCGTAGGTATGGCTAACAGCAAAAGGCAAATACCGATCAATAATGGGAGAAAGAGGTTCAAAGTCATAGTTGCACCAGCAAGACCGGGACCAACGAACGTTACCACATATGATATCGCATTTGTCCAGCTGAAATAAGTTGCTCTGCGACGTCAAGGTCAGTTAAAAGAGTATAGCGCCTGCACGGAATTCTTACCGAACGACGTTGTCATCCGTCAAACTGGCTGCGAGAGCATAAACGATAGAATTTAAGACGCAGTTCCCGCCAAGAATCGAGAGGCACGGACCAACGATGATCGCTTTCAGAGGGAGACTCTTTTCGAAGAAGCCGACCATAACAACCCAAGCAAGCAAAAATAACCTTGGAACGATGTTGAGCCATAGGACTGTTCTCCGGCCATACTTCTCGGCCACAAATCCTAAAGGGATAGTCATAACGAAATCTGACTGGTATTAGTCTCAAAGCATATTAGACCTCAATCAAGCCGGACTCACCACCAACAATCCATAACGTTTCCATAATGCCTACTACCCAAGCCAAGCTCTTCTGGACGTCATCAATCTTACAGAGCTTCTCATCAATATTCCCATCATTATCGATAACGGATGGGTCGTGGAGGTTATAGTAATCCCGACAGAGACGTCTCTCGATAATTCGGTTTAGCGGTAGCTGATAGAGGCTTGCCGATAGATTGACTAGGAGTATCAAGACCAACAGTGGCGCTATCGCGAGCTTTGGACGGGGACGACGACGCGCCTCCAGCACTGGGATTTCTGCATCAACACGTACATCACGCACATCACGTAAAGCGTCCATATTTCAAGGTCGGTTGAAATACGGTAGGCAGAAGATGTTAACGACAGCAAGTTCAAATGCTCAGCTGTTCAGACATTATCATGAGAAAAGTGGGGATTCATATCAGCAGATAAGAAACCTCGATTTCTCAGAATAAACTTCTATATCCATATTTTGCCAAAATGAATATCCAATATTCAACTAAGCAGTATATAGGATTACCCCTTCCTAACCTCTACTTAAAGGTATGTATTTTGATACAGAAGGAGATACCTGGTGAGTCAGTTGAGAGTTAGGATGATAAAACCTTGGGTGATATTTTCAACTTATAACCTCGCTACCTCATTCAATTCATCAATTACTCTTCTAGACCAGCAACATATTAACCAACCCAGCATCGTACAGGAGTCTTTACCTATCGAATAGGGGCCGTCTCTCGTCGCTATACAAAATGAGTAACCACATGAAATTTGAAGTCATCAAGTATTCCGATGTTCAATATGACATAGAGGGACAAAAATTAGATTTTCATGATGAGTTGAACACACAAAAATTCAATACATCTTCATACCGGTGGGATTACACATGGGCAATGAACATACCATCCGAACTACCATATTCATTCCAAAGATGGCTACCTCTAATTCTCGCCAGCCGTTCCCTTTCGCCTTCTGATGTTCAAACTGTCACTCTTGGCAACCCAGAGGTCTGTTTGCTCGAAAAAATAGCTAAAACATCTGTCACTTCCCGGGAAATTGATGGGGCGTATGAAGATAAGGTCAAAGAAAAGATCGCCCCTCTCTTTTCGACACTAGAATTTCCTCCCCAGGGTCTTTTCATGCAGCTTAATACTTGCTCTACAAAAGACGGCGTTCCAGGGCTTGTCGGAGGAGCATTGTGTACGGTGAAAGAGGTCATCTTGCAGCTCGTTACCTCGAAAAAGGCCCTGAATGCATTCTCTTGGCACCTCCAGGACAGGACAGAAAGATTATTTTACTATGGATCTCCATTTATGACGGAAAGGCACCAAGCCAGTTTCGAAGTGTGGCATTCTAGTCAAGAACCACTACAGCTATTTTTACTACCGTTCGACGACCGGATGAAACAAGAAAGGGAGTACCGCGTCTTCTGCCCACCGGCCTGGAGGTCTTCCAAGTATACCCCGAAGATAACAGCAATTAGTCAACGCAAATGGGACGAACCATGGCTTCTCGCAAACATGCCTCTGCCGGATATGAAGCAATGGGCATCTAAGATCCTCGCGATGTGCGATGAGATCCGGGAAAGAATACTGAAAGAACTCGATCACGATAACATGATGGATTTGTGCATGCTCTAGCAGGGTTTTACATTTGATGTCTTCATTGACGAGGAATTGAGGAACAGCAAGATCGTCAAATTAAACGCGTTTGGTATGAGATCTAAGTGTGGTTCTTGTCTGTTCGAATGGAGAAAGGACCAAGGCATCTTGTATGGTGAGGGTGAAGAGGGGAAAGCATTCAGGGTTACGTGGTAATCCGCGTCGGAGGCTGCTACGCGTGAGATAACCACGCGCATGACTTCTACTTACGGAAACAGAATGTACGTATTCACTTGAGTTTTGTAGCTGATACAAACGTCTGCTTGGATCTGCTATAATTCGTGCTTCTATACACGGTAACTTCACTGCGAACTAGGTATTACCTTCTAGTTACATATTCCCAAGTCTACCAGCATACACTACTAGACGTACGGCTTTCATTACTAGAAGGAGGGAACACCTTTTTGGTCGAGAACTTACCTGACGAGACCCAAACCGACCATGGGGGTTCGCGATAAAATTTATACAATTATACGTTATCCAATCTATCTACGATGTGGTAAGGATAGCTACCTAGGTTCCTAGGTGGTCTATTTCTGAACCATACCCTTCTCTAATTCATCTTTCTCGTCAGCTGTCAACTCAGCTGACGCTTGGCCAATTCTCGTAGTCGCCGCGCAGGCAAAGGCCACGCCAGCCAAACTAAGACCAGTCCAAAATCCAATCTGGTACTTTTCACGAAGGGTGGGGTCCTCTTGCGCACGGGAACGGGCCCAGGATGAGACGGCCAATTCAGCTACCCCGAGCCAAAATGCCATGCCAAGGTATCCGAGACTGATGATCCACCCTGCAGCGGTCGCCTGTAAACGTCTAGGCATCGCGGTCGTGCTGAAAACGTTAGTCACGTTGTAGGTGATATCTATACCTATGGTGCTGCATATCATAGACGGGAATACGTATGCCCAATAGATATGGCTGGTCGATAACTTGTTGGGGCCGTCTTGTGATGGTATTAAGGGGAATAGTAAAACGCAGAGTATATAGCCCATGCAAGAAACAAGCAGAAGTATTTGCCCAGATAGTATGTGTAGGACAAACCCGCCCGTAATTGCTAGTATGAAGCCGCCGAGGGCTAGGGGGATGAACCACACAGCAGTCTGCAAGGGGGTCGCGTGTAGAACATTCTGGATACTGATATTTATTATTAGTAAATGCATGAGAAGGGCTGCGAATATGGGAACTCACTAAAAGCTGGCATAGAACAAAAAGATAGAGAAAACGCCAAAGCCGCAGAATATGAATCCGGAGATCCGCTTCATGTATTTCGGACGGAATAGATCGGCTGGTAGGAGTGGCTGAGCCGAGACCCATCCTTGCACATATACCGCAGCGCAGAGCATGAGACCGCCCATTATAAATGTGACGTAGATGTACGGCGTTCGCCAGCCATCTGGGGCGTTGCCTCCATCTGTTAGCGCATACACGACAAGGACTAGCCCCGGCACGATGGTGCAGGCACCCCACCAATCCATGCGAACACCGGGGCCATCATGTCCAAGGTGCCGTGGAATAGTAAAGAAGCCAGTGACAATGAGGAGGAATTCGAAAGCAGAGCCGACGAAGAAGTATACTCTCCAATTGGCAAGTTGTCCGGTGACAGCACCCATGATGATGCCAAAATAAAACCCGATACAAGCTGCGGCGCCGTACAAGCTAAAGACAAGGTTCTTGCGTGGCCCCGGCCGATATGTCTGACCTAAGAGAGTCAGACCCGCCGGGAGGAACGCAGAAGCGCCTATGCCTTGCATCGCACGGCCGACTATCAGCATGATGGGGTTCTTGCTGAAGCCACAGACGATGGACCAGATCAGGAGCCAGACATGACCACCTAAGAACACGTTTCGGCCTCCGTACTGAGAACAGAGACGCGCAAATGGGAGGAGAAGGGCGGCGGTAGTCAGGTTTATGACGCCGGCTGGCCATGTTTGCTGTGATTCTGGGATCTGCAATGATTCGGTGATCGCTGGTAGGACGATATTGAAGCCGCTGATGAAGTACTCGCTCATACATAACGAGGATACAATGGCGAAAACGAAACCAGCTTCGGCAGCCCAGTTGGAAAGAGTGTCAGGTCTCTCGCGACCTAATCGCTCGATATCGGCTTTGCCTAGGTTTTCGGTGTTGCCGTCTTCAGGGGCTTCGGAGGCTGTAACGAATACGCCGTTGGCGGTCTCCGTCGACCCGGCCATTGTAATTGAAAATTTCAGTATCAGTGAGTTAAATATTTAAGATCAACGATTATATGAGCGTGAGTGATGGCTAGTAAGTAACTCTATGGAAGGAAACCCCTTAATCAACATAACCCAATAAACTTGGCAAACGGAGGACACTAATGAAGCCATTATAAGAGTTTATATACAGACCGCTTAAAAGAAACTTCTAAGTCGTGGCGTCACAGTTGCATTACTAATATTAATAAGATAAATTCGTTGTCAGAGTCGTCAGTCTGCGAGAGATGATTCTTGGCCACCACATTGAGAAGTTGGTTTGAATTGTTGTGTAATTGACCCTTGTGGTTGTGGTGGATGGGGTGGATGTTAAGGGGATACTTGGTAACACATGCTGGCCTTAATGGAGCTTCTTATTGGTCAGTTTTGGGCGAGTAAGAACTAAGAGATATTCAATTCGGACCCATTAAAATGCACGACTTGAGTCTTGGCTACCCTTTTAGGTATAGACTACGCAAATTGTACATGATGTTAGATAAAAACCTTAAATCGCCCCTCGGTTTCCGAATCCTCTCATGGTTCCACCTCGAGTTCCTGATCGGAACCTTTTACAAATCACTTCGTGAAATCATCACCTTTATTCACCGACATCGTCAACATTGCGTTGTTTGTCACCGAATTAAGAGACGGATCTGGAATTACTACTCGTCAGGATTGGGTTTCGAATCTCTTCTAATCTCTCGTCGCCTAATAAGGTAAATATCGGATACGGATATCACAGGATCGTAGTGATCCAGACCCATGCAGCACTGGTCGTGAAGTCGTCCAGTCAAGCTTTCTCTAGCCCTAATTCGGATCATATCCAAACTTGGAGACTGGTTACGAGCCGCAGACTTAGGAGCCCCTCCTTTGGCCTCGGTTGGGTTGCAAATGCAACAAACCGCCGTTCCTTTCAACCTCCCTACTCGCTAACCCAAGTCTATCTCGTTTCATCCGGTTGTGAGATAGGAGTTATCACCTATCACCTATACATCTTCAGATATTTGTTGTTACTCTAGTACTTATCATCTACCCAATCCTATGGTTGCGACAAAGCCTTGCCACAACTGTCGCCGCCGTCGCATAAGGTGCGATCGTTCTGTCCCCGGATGCCACAAATGTACGAGCACTGGACGGGAGTGCTCCGGCTATGGCAAACTTTATAAGTGGGTTGATAATCCGGCTTCCCGTGGCCAAGTGACCAAGAAGGATCCCGCCCGTCTACTTTTAGACACTCGAGAGCCTCCCGAGTTTCAATCTGACGTCAAGGGTTCTGTCGAGCAAACATCGACAGTAACTCCTGGAGATGAACTTTGGTCTTATTCGCCAAACTTCTCATTGCTTGACCCATTATTCCAAGACCTCGGGGTGTCATCACGACATTACCTGAATTACTGTTAGTCTCATTCCCGTTCCCCCCACTCTATGGCGTTATCATTCTGAACATGCTTAGATGCCGTCCGTTTCTGCCAAGACCTGATTGTGTATGACGCCCCTCAGTACGGCGCCAATCCGTTCAGGGACCTGGTTCCCATGTCCCAGGAGTATCCCTTTCTCCGCGAGATCGTCATCGCAGCATCCGCCTTGCATTTTTGGAACACCAAGCGCTGGAACAAAAACCCGCAACCAGCTGCTGATGCTCTAGTGGATGCCTTGCGTGCACGGCATAAAGCTATCAAGTCACTGCAGAGTACATTAGAGCATCTAAAAGCCCGCGGTAATGTGGATATCGATGACGGGCAGAAAGACGCTCTACTAGCCGCTGTTCTCTTTTTTGTCAATTTTGCCCTTGTTGACTCAGGGAAGGGTGGCTGGCGAGCTCACATGGGGTTCGTCGGCAAACTTCTTAGTTTGCGAAGATCCAGCTGCTCCCAACCACGTAACTCGCTAGAGTTCACTCAGGGGTTACAATCGGATACCCAATCCCTCTTAGATCTCTCAACGTTTGAGCCTCTTCTTCCCTACACTTTATCATATGAACCTATCACATCCCCTGGGGCCCTGTGCGTTCGTGATTACATTGCGTCGGACTCAATGGCTTACTATATATGGAGCAGTGCACTCGATTCGCTCGTGTCATCGAAAAGTGAGACTGCTCCAAGTTACTCAATGTCATATGAAGACGACATTGACATTCTTCCCATTCTCTTCCGTACCGAGGCCAATAGCTATCACAGCTGTCCTTCTCGTTTGTTATATGCTGTTTTTCGGACCTCGCAGCTAGCAAGGGATATCAAATCCAACAAGACTAGTCTACTGAATGAGAGACAAGTGCAATCATGTCTTGAACTTTTAAGGGAGGTTCAATCATTTGATACCGATGCCTGGGCAGAGGAAATATGCGCAAAAATTGCTGCAGATGTGGGGTACTTGGACAAAACTGAGCGAGAGTATCGCAGACGCATCGGTGCGACTTTCCGCGCCGCTGTGTGTCTGTATGTCCTTTTGATCGCACCGGACCTACCAGGCCAAGTTATTCGACATTCATCGCTGAGTGAACTCGGGGAAGAGGTTTTATCCGCTCTTCCCAACACTGCAGAACTCACCAGCACGATTTTATACCACCTTTCCTATATCCCTACCGATAGCCCCCTATTCAAATCCGCGACGTGGCCTGTATTCCTTACGGGAATCGAGACAGCAAATCCTGCCCACAGAAGATGGGTGCTTGATCGATTTCGTGAATACAGAGTCATCTGTCCCTGGGGAATGGTCACTTCAACGATGGAAACGCTGGTAGAGATGTGGGAGATGAGAGATAGCACACCAGTCGAGGGATTGGATACCGGCAAAAGGCTTACCGAGGAATTGACTACATCACCGCGCGAAAGGGATAACATCAACTGGCTAATACAGTTACAAGGCTTGAATATCGATTGCTTAATTGTATGAAGCTTGGTATACTGATACTCGAGACTCCAAGCTTTAAAACTAAATAAGCGGTATCATGGTTTGGAAAGCAGTAACGCAAAATTGCTTCATCCTAACCGCCTAGCAAGCACACTTTCGAGAGGCCCGTCGTTCGCTGTTAGGCCGCCGGCTCCTAATGGGTAGGAGTTGCACTTGGGTTACTCAGAACTTCCTTCGCGGCAGCCACGTAAGAGCCGTGCCTAATATCTTCCAAGATGCCCGCTTTCTCCTTGATCTCCCAGCCCAGCTCCTTCTTAGCCTTGGCGCTAGAAGCGCGGGATGTAGACCTGAGGAAGCCAGCAAAGAAGCTCCCCAGCTTTTCGGATGCCTCCGCTAATGTATAATGTTTGGTGGGAATGCCCATCACGTCGCTGATCGCTTCAGCAAGCTGAAGGATCGTAATGTCGGTAGCGCCTGTCGCGTTATAGACGGATCCGGCGGGAGCCTTTTCAGCTGCGAGGAGGTACAGTCGGGCGGCATCGTCGACGTGCACGGTCGATGTAACGGCTTTTCCTCCGTCGACGACAATCACTTCGCCCATACTGGCGGCCAGTTTCACTGACGATAAGTTAGCCATCGCGTTCTCTCGCAAGCAAAACTACAATATTAAGAAAGTGAGCCACATCACTTACTGAAAAGCCTAATTCCACTGCCCCCATGTCCATACACGTACGGAGCAAGCCGGATACTGCAAACCCTGATCCCTTTCTTGGCAAGCGACAAATCATACTGCTCGACAAGATACCTCGACACGATAGCGTTCTCGGCATACGGCGCCGTCTCGTCCGTTTCGCCTCCCTCCGGATCCGGCTTCGCCATCAACGTGCCGCTTGCCATCAGGAGCGGCTTCCCGCTGCCCGCCATGCCCTCGGCGAACGCGTCGGCAATGGCGCGCTGCGCCTTAACCACGGGGTCGTACCCGTTGCTTAGGTCGCGGGTGAACGGGTCGGCGAGGTGGATGACGACGTCGGCGGCGGCGCTCTCGTCGCGGAGAAGGGTGAGAGAGGTCAGGTCGCCTCGCACGGGGACCGCGCCGAGGGCGACGAGCTTGGCGTCGCTGGCGGCGTTGCGCGAGAGCCCGCGCACGGCGTAGCGGCCGCTGGCTAGGGCTTGCCGCGTTATGGAGGAGCCGACGTAGCCGTGGGCGCCGGTCATGAAGATTTTGAGTTTCTTGGCTTCGGCCATGGTGTCTTACTTTCTTGGGACTGGGAGTGAATAGAAGTTGACGTTAGTGGAATGGGAATGGGAATGGGAATGGGAATGTATGAATATGTTATCTACCGGAATGCTGTCTGGGTATTGAACTTGCGTGTAATGTAAACATTCGCTCAGACGAGCGAATGTGTCTGTCTTTATAGATCATCATGGAGATAATAGAGTCCGACGTATCGGCTGTGATATGCTCTGTCCTTGTTACCTTTGAGGCTAGGATACTCGACCAGGTGCTTACCTGAATGGGAATACCTGCGGCTACTAGTAATCCTGGGGAACATACGAGACTTGCATCTTCGATTCGATGAGCTGAAGATGGGATGTGATGCATGCAAAGTTGGTTGGAGCAGCTTTGTGCCTCCGTGTGTGGGGGGCCTAAGGTCTCAATAGGGGGGATTAAGGTTTCTGTGACTGGAGACGAGCACGTGAGGCGAGTCGGACTTCTAAATTCCATGATACTGGAAATCTTTGCACTATAGCCGGGCTAATGTCCGTGAGTGGTGCATAAGGTAAGCTATGTAGAGAGGGATGTAGGTAGGTGGTAGAGCGTGGAGCGTCACATGGGGTTACCGGGAATACGTCATTAAGCCTCCGATACAGGATGGTCTGGGGCCGTGTCACGGAATTGCCGTTTTGGGCAATAGGGATGGGATCTGACTCGTCGAACAACATCAGGCTCGATGTCGACGTTTTGACGTTTTTCAATTTTTTTTGAGATGTTGTGAGATGTGAGGTATCTCAAGACGCATTGTGCTCGAGGAATATATTGTTTGGTAAGAACGGCCGATTTTTGGAGCCCGTCGGACGGTATGGTGGCCCGTGGACCTCCGGCTTTGCGGGGTTGGAGATCCCGGAGGCCTTCGGTTGAATTGGGCGTCGCGGAGTCCGCCAGGTTGGTGATCAGAGAACGTACGACAGTGGTTTTCTTGTTGTCTGTTGACGTATCAACGTTTTTATCAAACTAAAATCACATTTATTACTATTGCTCACTTCGTTCCGTTAGTTTTACATTGCCAATACGTTGTCCTCTGCTGGTCAGCATCTCTCTTCATACGACCTTCTTTGTCAGCCGAGTCAAGCTTCTCATAGCCGCCAGATGTCGTCCTTTAGGTCTACATAGAAAGAGAATGGATCGAAGTATGCTGGAGGCCATGGCGCACGCTCAATGGTCCCATCTTCATTCTTCTCTGCCCCGGATCTGTCTACAATGGCGTCGAAATTCGTGACGAGCTTGTCTCTGGCGTCCTGTAGCGCGTCCGATTCCTGATCTTTCAGCCCAACCTGCATCTCGATAACGAGGTCCAGCCGTTCGATGAAATTGGCCAAGGTCCTAATCGTCTCTCCCCACGAAGTTCCAGCATCTCCACCAACTGTATCCTTGAGCAACCTGATGCGCATCAAGAGGTGGGCGGCTGGTACACCGTACAGAACCACCTAGGATGTCACATTAACTCTAGTTGCGATTCGCATGGTTCATATTCTAACTTACGATCGAAGAATAGCCCCGAGGAAGCGATGTTCCATCTCTCCTCCTTGGATTCGTGTCCAAGATTGTAATCATCATTTGCTGAATTAGCCAATACGACATATCGTATTGGCGGAGTTTGTAATTGGCATGAAGCCTGACAAACAGATAATCAAGGTATGCTGTTGCTAGCAGTAACGAATGATTGGATTGCTCATCTGTATGGCAATCAATTGGGGTATGAAGATGGGTAATGTGGTCGGGAAGATCCATCCATGTTCGAACGCATTCATCATCGACAGCGCTGTTCAATCGTTAGGTGATATAAGCATAATTAATTATAGGAATGCTTACTGGATCTCAAAGATCTCAAGGTCCAAACTTCTGCTCCTTGTTGCCTCAAGGAGTCTCTCGTGCATGCTGCTTAGGAAGTAGTGTAGCCTAACCCAAGTCATAGGGCAATATTGGCCGAAGGATGACCAACCTTGAGCATCCACATCTGGATATGTACGCTGATACCCAGGTACATCAAGCTCAATATCCAGTGGTGGTTCTTGCGTGCAGGAGGAAAGGTTTAGCATTGGTGGATTCCCACGGACTGCGCAAATTGTCTGTTCGATGCTGTATACAGCCGCGAATAAACACCGACGCATTTCTACAAAATAGGGAGGCATGTCTGCGTCCGTCTCGGCTTTGTCTAGGTTAGATCCCTTGACTGCAGCCACTAGGTCAACAAGGGGCATCCAGATTCGACGATCTATCTATATCAGTGGCAGTATAGGACATTGGTATTGATATGAGCTTACCCGTATCTCCGTAGAGTTGTGAGATAACCATGAAATTCTGATACATCAATAGTACCATGGCACCATTAATTGGTGCTCTCAAGAAACAGAGTTTCACACATAAGGACGAAGCCTGAGCCATATCAGAAATCAGATTATCGCGTTCCTTGGCGTTAGATAACAGCTTGGAATTAGGAGGTAGTAGCATGGCAGATGACGCTACCAGAGCACACAATATCCCTATGCCGTCCCAACAAAGTAGGTTCTCTCCCAAGAAGGGATCGAAGAACCTGCTGGAGCTGCTTCGATCGTCGGTGATTGGTCTTTTCGATGTTTGACTAGGGGATATATCTTTGGCTATCTCCAAGTATGCATCCCGGCCCATGTCGCAAGAGCAGTGCTCCTCGTCGGCGCCAACAATGGAATGCAAGAGCTTGTCGGCGAAGTCGCGCGGTACGATACAGACCTGGCTAACTTCAAAATAGTGTCGGATGAGACTATGATAGTACCGCGTGTTGCGACTAAAAAGGAGTTGCAAGACCTTGCAACCCAGGTTAAGAACCCTAGGGGCCTTCGGTGAATCATGTAGATCAGACATTCGAGCAAGAGGAGGTCCAGAATCAGCGGTTGGAGATCCGTCAGTGGGAATGCTGCTTGGGGATTGACGTGTTCGTGTCATAGGTACCTAGATAGGTGTTCATAGGGTGGTCAAAAGACGACGAAATATATTTTTTAGAGATATTTGAAATGGAAAAGACATTTCTTCTTCCAACTGGTAATATAATCGTTTGCAACTCATGGCCACGGACTTTTAGTAGCGTTTACAGCGAAGTCCAATGATAGCATATTCGTCATAATTGATCGGGTAGCCACGTCGGAGTCCGAAGATAAGGCTGCTAAGGTTTAATATACTGGTGTGTATGGCGTTTGCTGCGTATACGGTGGGCAAGTTGAAGTTGGAAAAAGTGACGATCTACGCCACCCGTCCACGATTAATTTGAAGAGACGGGAGGCGTTTGTACCTAGTACCTACCTAGGTAGATTATAAGGCTGCCGACAGCGGATACTTATCTACCTACATATGCGCCGTCCCGACGCAGGTAGCAAACGAAATAAATGTGATAGGTGCTGAAGTTTATGTCGTACAACATGAATAGCCACGCCACCATGACAAGCCTGTCAGCCGAGAATCCTGGTGGACGACTCCTCTTCATACTTGCAAACCTTTATTCTGAAGATGTCTTGTCCATCGTGCAACTCTCTCCAAGGCGTGGGACCCCTTCTGACAGAGGACGAGGCCAGACGACTTCCGCGCTTACCTGAACATCGTTTTAAGTCTGAAAATATACCTTGGCCCAACTTTCTACAGTCGGCTGAGACCTGCTATTGTTGTGATATTCTTCTTAAGGGAATCGCAGGGTGTTTTCAACAACACCGGCTCCAACTTTGTCAGGCTGAATGGGTAAACTTTAGTCCTATACAACAGTTGGGTAGGGGCAATGCGTAGCTGCGAAAAGCTCATCACTTCCCACATGAACGACGGAAGTGAGTTTTCCATAGAGCTTTTCACGTTGGATGGTAAGTATAGTGTCTCTTACATACTACTTCCGACACTACTAAGATGTATAGATGACTCCTGTCCCTGCCCGGAAGCCTAGGACGATGTTCATACTTCGATAAGAACGTCTACAGAAACGAGCTCGGAAGAAGCCTTCAAAAAGGAATGCAAATGTCTCAAAGATTGCGACGATCAATATCACGGGGATGAAGTTCCTGAAGGAGAAGATCCCGAAGATTGGATATCTTATTGCGTCCCTTCCTCGAAAGCTTTAACATCCCCTGCAAAGTTACCAACTAGGGTCATAGACGTAGGACGATTCAATGGCAAGATTAGGCTGGTAGAAGGAAACGGCTTGATCCATAGATACATGTGCCTCAGCCATTGTTGGGGGCCACATCAGATAATCATAACTACGAAGTCGATCCTTGGCGATCGAATGAAAGAAATCCATATAGCAGACTTGTCCAAGACTTTCACTGAAGCGATATTGATGACTCGGCGCTTCGAGATAGATCACATCTGGATCGGCTCTCTATGTATCATTCAGGACGACCCAGCAGATTGGGAACGCGAGTCTGCCAAAATGGCTTCAATCTATCGGGATGCCTATTTGACTATTCCAGCCACGAGATCAAGTAGCGGAGATAGGGGATTGTTTACGAAGACTCCAGATTTTGAGGTCTCCGGGACTACTCCAGCTGGGGAGGACTAGTATCTGGTTTTCCGGGAGAAAATGGACCATGTTCTCTGGCGAGATAACACAACATCCCAGTTTCCCTTGATGACTCGCGCGTGGGTTTTCCAGCAGCGCATTCTCTCTCCACGCGTCCTACATTTTGGGTATCACGAGCTGTTCTTCAAATGTTCTACCACTGCGTATTGTGAATGTGGAAATATTGGCTTCTTAGACCACACGACGAGAGAAATACCTATGCCAAACCTCAAGAAAATGTACTCTGCAGCCTTGAACTCCATAGCACAGACTCCGAGTGGTAAATGGTCCAATAAGATGTGGGTTAAGAGCGCAGGCTATTTCATTGCACGGATGTGGCGGTCTTTGATCATGGACTACACAGCGCTTTCTCTCACCATCCCTAGCGATAGTCTACCGGCTCTAAGTGGTGTGGCAAAGACGTTTGCAAAAAAGAGAGCCTCTCCATATCTTGCTGGGTTGTTCGGGGACTCGCTTATTGATGACCTATTGTGGAATACCTTTAGTTGCAGGAAGCATCGACTAAGGGAATGGAGGGCCCCCTCGTGGTCATGGGCTAGTATTGAAACACATGCCAATTACCAAGATGGCATAGTATACTATGATAACGAAATGTCCTTAGATAAGCCCGATGATCGCATCGAATTCGTATCCATAGATGATTTCAGTTGCGAATCTGTGGGATTAGACAAGTTCGGCCAAGTCAAATCTGCATCACTTCGCGCGACTTGTTAGCTTTTACCAGCAACTCTCCTTCTTAAAGCTGATCTTGATCGTAACGGGCGCCCAAATTACTGTGTTTGCGCCGAGAATGAAGCCGTTACACCTCGGATCTGGCCGGATTATGACCTGAGCCAATCTGGCCCCTATAATGTCCTTCCGGGAACTGAAGTCTATTGCTTAAGAATGATTCAGCTTGTGAAAGATAATGTGGACATGTCTCTAGTTTTAAGAGTTGTTCAAAGTCAAGTTAGCAGGTCGTTCGAGCGTATTGGCTTTCTGCAGCTCGATCCTCACACTCAGATCGATTGTCTAGATCCAGAAATGAGAGACAATTTTGTCGCAGCATTAAACAAGGCGGCAGTCGAGACGGTGGATATCATCTAATGCGGATACTTTTTAACCGTTGTGATATATGAATGAAAATGTAGTATCAATCATTACAGTCCGAGGACGCGCGATATTCTGTATATTCATCATAATTTAACTTAATTTTGGACTTATCGAGATAAATGGGATCGCAAACTGACCTTCTAATGCCTTCCCTGACAACGTCTTCTTCAAGACAAAATATCAGCCGGAACCTACCCGGACTCGGGGAATTGTACGCCTCTCCTGTAGCCATCATGACTCCTGCTTGAGAGAAACATTGGGATAAGAGCCTCTCAGCTGCCCAACCATTCCCATTAGTCTCCCTTACAGGTAGAAAAGGGGCTAAGTTAAGCCATATGAAAAATCCTGCATTCCTAGGTGGACGTTAGATAACTTTCTTCGTCTAGATCCGGCAGACACACATACCCCTTTTTGTGAAAGTCGATGCCTGCCTTGTTAAGGAGATCTTCAGTTACCAGACGAGCCTGGGACAACAAGCGAGCCGATTTTTCGAGGAACTTCGCAACATATTCCTGGTCCTCAAGAATCTTGGACGCTAGATCCATGGAGTACTGGGAAGGAGAGGAGAAACGACTTGAAGCACATAAGCAATGACCAGCGGTGCTATTTGTGGATAATGATGAAAACTGACCATACAGCACGCGTTGCTTTGGTAAATTCATCGTTCTGAGATATAACACAGCCCAAACGCATTCCGCCCGAGCCAAAATCCTTTGACATGCCATAAAGCACGTGAACTAGCCTGGGATCGATAATACCGGTGTAGTCGATGGCCCGTACCGAAGTGAATTTTTCAGAAGGGCGATCGTCTCGATTGTAAACAGAGAGGGCATATATCTCGTCGCTAATGAGATGGATCCCCTTGGACGCACAGAAACGCATGAGTCCAGCGAGAGTTTCACGGGGATAGCACTGTCCTATTCCCGGGTTTAGTTCTTGTATACCCAAAAGGCCTTGATACATATCGTACCCAGAGGATTATGTGGGTTACATATTATAAGAGCCGTGATCTTGACACCTCGGGCTTCTGCGGCCATATACCCGGCCTCGTAAAGAGCGACACAGTCCGGTGAGAATTGGTCCGTATCCCCTACTTCTATGTACTCCGGATTCACACTCCAATGGGATTTCTATTAGACTTCAGAAAAGGATGGTCGTAGGAGCACCACCTACCCAGTTCTGATTGTGAGGTCTCTCGAGAAAGCGCCGTAAATAGGCTTCCCGAGTAAGATACGTTCCTTGTCATCAGGATTGCAGGTAATCATAGCGCAAACTTCGTTTAGTTCGGTCACACCGGCGGCAAACGTGATCTCCTCAGGATCGATCTCTCTCACCGGCTTGAAATAGGTGTTCATGTGTTTCGCCATTGCGGTCCGAAGACGCACTGTACCGGTGTAACCTTCCCCATATGCACACAGATTTTTGTCGAACTGGCTCTACATCTCGTCGTCTTAGCATTCTAAAGTCGAGATGGAGATAGAGGTGCATCTTACATGCTCGTTGATGAAGTTGGTCAGGTCATCTTGTATTAACCACTAGAAGCGACGTCAGTAGTTGCATTTCCGGTTTACGACACCTAATCGACTTACGTTCTCGGCATTGGAAAAGCTCACAACCCCGTTGGGGTTTCTTGTGGGGTGATACGCATTCAAGTCTCCATGAGCGTATCTCATTTTTGCCCAACTCGATCCTCTTGTGGATAACATTGTGGGCGAGCCGGAAAAAGTGGGATACCACTTAGGTATGTTAAGTGTAAATAATTTTGGGCAAGTTTTTCTAAAGAGTATTCATCTTAGACGGATTATAAACACTGTCAATTCTTAGATGAACCTTATATGTTGGTTCACGGCGGAGGTGCAACGGAGCACGAAATGAGCAAGTTAGTGGGATCCATATCGGTACCTAATTGGTGCCCCGGAGGTACGGTACGCTGCTCAGTAAGCGCGGAGCCTAGAGCCGAGCACCGAGTGCCGCCCGGGTTCTCAATTTTCAGTCTCCACTTTCATTCGAACTCATGGGCAACCTCCAGCTGCAATTTCCTCTTCTAACATCGCCATCGCGTCTGATCCCATAAGTAGAAATTGTATATTGCCGTTGATTACTACTCTCATACCGGCTAGACACTTGCCACTATTGAATCGGTTGTTGCTAAAATCAGTTGAATCCCTTGGCTTTATTTAGGTACCTAGGTAGTTATGCACGTGTTCTCTCGACCAAACAAATTCATCTCATTCGATTTCAGGTCTGATTTGAAGTTATCCAAATGTACCATCTCCAACTTAGTAGGAAAGGTAACCTTAATAGGTCCTTGCAGCAATTATTCAGACAGTCGGGTTGGGCTGCTCAACTTGTTGACTGTATCTCGAATCTTTAGAAACCTACGACGAGAATTAAATAATATTAATTGCTAACAACGCCGTAGCTGCGCCGTAATGGGGTTTAATTTGGATCCGTCGATAAGCGGGTTGTGGATCGTGGTTTCCGTACTCTGTTCCTGCGTCGGCTTTGTTACGGCGCATGCATCTCGGCAACCACTGTAGGCATCGCTTTCCCACACTTACGGCTATTGTGAACTACTACATTACTAGAATGGTTCGGGTATTATGATCGAGTCGTCGCTGTATTGATTTCTACCTGCTGAATAGTGGGAAGGCACAATAGTAGGTGCGGTAGTACACGGTATAAGGGATAGCGGTAACGGGCCGACTCGGCCGAGGTTTAAGTGGGTTTTATTCTCATTGGCCGACGCTTCTCAAATCCCTGCAAATTTAAAGTAAGAACTCAATCGTGTGAATCTTATCTTACAATTCTATAAAGACGAAGGACCCTCACGCGATCAAATTTCTTCTATATCCATACTTTGTCCATTATTTCAATGTGTGTGGTTGTGTAGGTATTCATCTGCTTAGAAGGCTACACCACTCTCATACGTGGACATACCTGTGCCGCATTATTGTCATCAACTATGTAATTTCCCAATTTCTAACATGTAAATGGATCCCCGCCCTTCAACAAGACCAAGTTTTTAGCGCCTCTCAGCCCTAGAACTTTTCCACGCTAACAGACTAATTACGACTTTGGTTGTCATGATGATTCTGCATGCGCCTCCGTAATCATCGCCATCTTCTCTCCGACTGGACAAATCCACCGAAAAGATTGCCGTCTCAACCGCCCCGGACCGTCTCCGCCTTACAACTCAAGCCCCATACTGCACCGATAGGAATATGGGCATATGGGTGGATGAGTGGAAAGAAGTTTCGATGAGGATTATGTGGAAGATCGTGCCGTCTCACTCTCTCGTCTAATCGTATGGAAGTTAAGAATTGAGCCTCCGTTAGAGTTGCAAGAAGGCGTTCTGTCACCCATTGGCTTTCCATGGCGAAAGATATCGCCGTATTAAAGACCGAATCCTATTAAAGATTCGGTGTTCCAAGGATAATCGAGTAAGATCCAAGCTAAGTTGAGATCTGCGGGCGAAAAGACCTGGAGACATTCTGCCCACGTGCCACTCTTTGTATCGTTTCTTAGTTAGGAAACCCGAGGCACAGACAAGGCCTCTCGCGTTTTCAAGTTAACATCTCCACCATGATTGGCAACAATATCGGGCGACTACTATAGTTACTTGACCTTGACATTGTCATTTTTCTGTCTTTGTTGTACCCTTGTTTTGTATGCGGAGATATGTGAACATTATTCCTTTCGCCGGAAGATTTTGGACCCCGGTCCCAGTTAGTAATTTATAGTGGCACGCAATTACAATAAACCAACTGCCCCAAAGCACTATACCTAATTCGTCTACCTAAACACTGTTGCTTTATGAATAAAAAAAGAATACCTTTTAACAAGTACAACACGCGTTGATGACGCCTCTCGTAGCTATGGGTCGTGGGAAAGAACTGTCACCTCAACTGAGGTCAAGCATTTGCAGATTAAAAGAACTTGGGCCGGCTCGGATTCATAAGTTATACCCTGAAGTTCCTCTTTCTACCATTAAAACGACTCTTCGATCCGAAGCGATTCGCGAAAACAACGTTTCCCGACCGCGACCTGGACAAAGACGGAAGCTCACCGAAGAAGAGAGGATACAGATTTGCAACATGGTTCGGACAAACCCTCATATAAAAAACCAGGACCTTCTTGAAGCCATCGGCAACAAGATTAAACTACGCTCATTACAATACCTTCTCCGAGAGATGGGAATTCCTCGCAATGTCAGCTGACCAGCCCTCAGAAAGGCAGGTCTCGTTAGTACTCCGAGGCGAAATTACGGCATCGTGCATCCTAGCCTACTACTACAAGAGGAAACCTGGCGGAGCTGAACCCTTGACATGTGCCCGGAGGCTACGAGTACGTTTATCGGTGTCTTGGCGGCGTATTGGCGTATTGTCTTGAAAAGCCTAGTGGGCGACGCGAGGGCGAGAGGATTCGCGGCATTGCGAAGAACGTTTACTATTCCTTCTTTCATCTGCAGCGCTTCCTTCACGATCGTCGGTGTGAATGTCTTACATCGAGTACATGTACCGTTTCAGCGACTGCACTTTTGACATTGCTATTGACTTTACCTAATTCAGCCTCTCGGTCGCAATCGATCAATTCTAAGAACAATTGGCCGTTACACAGTTGCAACTTTAGTGACCCCGAAACTCAAAACCGGTTGTCGATCGAACCTGTCGAGTCAATTGACCAGCAGACGGTTGCTGTTAGCGCACAACCAGCTCAGCCAGCCCCAGCCTACATCACGCGAACAGCGGTGTAACCCCCACCGACTACTGGGTTAGCCTGGTTAGCGTCTTTGGGGCTGCTGGGTCTCTGTCGGAGAGGGGCGATAGCGGCTGATTTCCCCACCTTTACTACACTACCCTGCACTACCATGCCATACCCTGCCACATGCATACCCATGTCAACAATGATGACATAGGTCAGCGTACAGTCGTACCTGAAGGAAGGAGAGAAAGTACAATGCAAAAGCTACATGGGCTGATAATCTTTTGAATTCCTCTCTTGAGAATTTTCCTTTTTTTTATTTATTTATTCTGATCCTGTTCCCATACGAACAATCGAAGAATCGTCACCTAAGTCACTATTTTTTCGTCGCTATATTTGCATAGTATTTTTCTATAATATTATTTCCGACTGCGGAAGTAAACAACGCCATTGCGTGCGTAATATAATGATATCGGCGCCTCTGTGCTTCCAACAATCCTCCTATACAATATCCGACATTCCGCTGTCTCAGCGGAGTTCGCTCTCCTGCTCTCAGTATGGCGGCAGCACAAGATAAACCCGAACCAGCTTCGGCGCCCGTCAACCGGATGATTGTCGACGACGAGAAAAACGATGCCTCGAGTGGCGATATCCGTGAAACTCTGGTCGAAGTTTCGAGTCAAAATCAACTTCTTCGCCACCTAGGCAATCGCCAAATTCAATTGATCGCTATCGGGGGTAGTATCGGTACCGCGCTCTTTGTTAGTATCGGTGGTGGTCTAGCTAAGGGCGGCCCTGGTAGTCTCCTTATTGGATATACTATCTACGCGATCATTGTCGGCATGGTGAATAACTCTATGGCTGAGATGGTAACCTACATGCCCGTGTCCGGATCCTTTATTCGCATGGCCGGGAGGTGGGTTGACGAAGCATTGGGATTCATGGCCGGATGGAATTTCTTCCTCTATGAGGCCTGTCTAATCCCCTTCGAGATCTCTGCCATCAATCTGGTCCTTGGGTTTTGGTCAGACAACATCCCTCCTGCAGCTATTTGCGTGGCATGCATCGTGTTGTACGCGTATGTGATTCCGCACTCGGCTCCTTTCCGTTGCTCCACTATATGTGAAAGTGATTAACATATGTGATAGTATCATCAATATCTTGGCTGTGCAGTATTTCGGGTAAGCATTTGCATTAGACGTTTGGATTGGATCTCGTCCTTCTCATAATCGCCGTGACTTTACTTATTTTACTCGGCCTACGTCCATTCAATCCAATTGGCCCCGGCAATTAATGTTCTTACTAATTGTGATGTTTTAGCGAGGCTGAATTCTGGCTATCGAGCGGTAAGATCTTGCTTATCTGCATCTTATACATGTTCACATTGGTTACCATGTGCGGAGGCAATCCTCAACATGACGCTTATGGTTTCCGATATTGGTCAGATCCAGGATCTTTCGCAGAGCATATTCACACGGGAGCCTTGGGTCGATTTGAAGGTTTCCTCGGTGCTGTGTTCTCTGCTGGCTTCACTGTCGTCGGACCCGAGTATCTCGCCATGGTTGCTGGAGAGGCGGAGCGTCCCCGAACTTATCTTAAGAACGGATTCAAGACAGTTTATTGGCGATTCGGCATATTCTTCATCGGGGGTGCGCTCTGTGTCGGCGTTGTTCTTCCCTATAACGATGCCACACTACAGAATGCCGACACAGGAACTGCCAATGGCTCGCCTTACGTCATTGCGATGCAGAATCTAGGCGTCGGAGTACTGCCTCATATTGTCAATGCTCTTATGATCACGAGTATCTTTAGTGCGGGCAACGCCTACACCTATTGCGCCATGCGATCCTTGTATGGTCTAGCTTGTGATGGCCAGGCGCCCAAAATCTTCCAGAAGACGCTCAAGAATGGCATTCCCGTCTACGCCTTCGCTCTCGTCATGGTCTTCCCTTTCCTGTCATTCTTGCAAGTGTCGAACAACACTGCGCAGGTTGTGACATGGTTGGCAACGCTCACCCAGGGTTCGCAGATGATTAACTACATTGTCATGAGCTTGACGTATATCTTTTTCTACAACGCTACAAAAGCACAAGGTATCGATCGTCGCACACTACCTTATTATGGCTATTTTCAGCCGTATTGTGGCTACATTGGGATGGCGTGGATGATTATCATCGAAGGCATTTTTGGATATTCCGTATTCCTACCGGGCAAGTTCAACGTTGGCGATTTCTTCGCGTACTACACCATGGCTATAGTTGCCTTCTGCACATTTTTTGGCTGGAAGATTTTTAGGCGTACGAGATTTGTCGCTCCTGCTGAGGCTGATCTTGTGTGGGAAAAGCCAGCTATCGATGCGTACGAGGCCTCCTACAACCAACCCCCAACCCGTTTCCGAGACGAGATCAGAGCTATGTTCTTCGGGGCAAAAAAGAGGGAGAACTATATGGGCGAGGATCCGAATTAAGGCCGAGCAATCGCGTGACATACAGCTCGCGTCCAAACAGCAGAAGTGGTGAAAGGGCTAGCTGTATGTATTTTGGATATCTAAGGGACAAAAGGGGTTCGATATTTAGTGTGGGGTTGATACCATAAAATGTTCAAAAAATTTAAGTCAACTTTGAAATCCAACTGTCGGTTATCAGTTACAAGCGAGCTTCAATTTGTTATAAAAACTGCTAACAAATGCTGGGATAGCGTGCCATTGCCACTCGATGATAAGACTAATCCTAACCCGGCAAGGAATTTCTGTACGTGTGATCCTCGACGACGATGACAGGATCAGGGGTAATATTGGAGGGTACGCGAGATCCGATGATTTCCAAGACCAACTTGCATATATTCTCGCCCAGGGTCAGTTACCAAGTTATCAGTGGGAATGGGAGCTATTCTTAGCATCTTTTACATTACGGCTCCTTTCAACCCTTTGGTGATCCCCTCGTGGAACCGCCCGGTGATAATGCCATCATTGCTCTTATGATGTATGCCCTGGGATTTTTGATTGCCAAATGTTCTGCGGTCCCGAATCATGTCCCTGTCAAATCGGAGCTGTCCTCCGCGAGATAAGAAATTGATATCCATGGTTCCCAACTGGCCGAGGAATCACTCGCGTCTCTTTACCTCTATTCGCATACATAATTTATCTGGCTAGTCGCCTTATACAAATTCAACAGGGCAGTCGAGACTGGCGAACTTGCACTAGCTCGTACGGTTCGACCTAACAAGAGGAACCTGCATGTCTCCACAATCCGCTACCCCCGTTACCCACCTCCACCGACCCCTCGTTATGCGGCTGATTTTCTCAATATAGTAGCAGGGGTCATGTTTATCTAGTTGTCCATTTGCTTACTCAGACTTTTTCGGAGAAGCCTCGCGTTCGATGCCGGCATCGTAGGGACTTTCTGAATCATTCTCACGTACAACTTCAAGAATACGCCGCTTTAGTCCAGCCGAGCCAAGGAAATAACAGTCAGGTGGATCAGATTATTACTGTGAACTGATATGCGTTAGGGAAAATCTCGATGGTCTCGTGGTGTACTGCATGTAAACAATGGTAAAGTTGTAAGATGGAAAAGGGGGCAGATGGGAACCCAAGGGTTCAGGGTCCAGCTAGACTGTCAATCAAGTCTATAGACTCTCATCGCTAAACCGTCGTACACAAGTCCATCACAGGTAATACTCGCTCCTCATTAACCAAAATCGAGAAATTAGCACACGCAGCTCCCCATTCCCCTTCCCCTACCCCAAACCACCCCTATTCCTTCCTAGTACCTACATCCCATCCTTCAACATAGCATCCACCATCATAACATGGCGATCGCCATTCGTCTCGCTCCACTCACTCTCATAATTCAGCCCATAAGGCCAGAAGTGTCCGCCGCCACAACTTATCGTCGCGCCCGCGCCGTCCCAGCCCCGCAGCAGCGGCAGCGCGGTCGGCCAATCGCCCGCCGCGCACCGGCGGTCGAACTCCGCCGTCTGCCCCACGCCCAGCGTGTGCGAGATCTCGTGCATCGCCGTCCGCTCCGTCATGTACGCGCGGTCCGCCCCGAACCGCAGGTCCCCGTTATACGAGGCCTCGGCCGTCGGCACGCCGGGTGCATAGTACACGCGGATGGTCTTGCTAGCGTCGCTGAACTTGGCGTAGTGCGCTACGGCGGCGCGCATCGCGGCCTCGATGGAGGCGTAGGCGGACGATTGGTCGGAGGTCGGGTTGCTGGTTTTTTGGAGGGTCCAGGTTAGGGCGCCGGAGACGGTGGTTGTGTGGGTTAGGAGAGCGGTTAGGAGGGTTGTTGGACGCATGGTTGGGGGTGGTTGGTTGGTGGAGATGCCTTGGTGTTTGGTGAGAGGGAAGCAAAGGCGATCGATGTTGAAGATTGGCGGCGCACGTCTATTTAAGAATCTGTTGTTTCTTTCCCCTGTCGATCCCAGGACTGCCTAGATGCGGTCCATGCCATATTTATATAGATAGGTACAGCTATCCTAGCCTATTATCGACGGTGGGAGATTGGCGAGGGCGACAATGGTTCATGGAGATATATTACTCCAGATTGTCTCTCTGATATAAACGCCATATGTTTTCGGACGTTTGTCCCCCGACATATGGGGTAGAAAGTGACCTCAAGACCTTGGCGATCTAGGGTTAGAAGTGTTTCAAAGCTTGGCGGGTGTCTAGGAACGCAAGATTGAGATTCGGATGCCACCTAGCTATAAATTTTGAAAGGACTACGAAGCCTCATCCAAGTACCATATAAACCTTGAATTAGGTACGGCTTAAGCTGAGTATGATGTCTTGGCTGTTATTGGTGGTACTTCTAAGTCGGTAGTTGACAGCCCTGACTTGAAGCTACCCGACGTTAGGAAGTATCTCCATTTGCCACAGGCATTCTAAATATAAAACCATGTTCACTCTCTCGTACGTTGTATCCCTAAAATGGTCTTACAGCAATTGGTGGAATGCATGGCTTATTCAGCGTATACATATAGGGGGCCCCTTTTTCATATCTTCCCCCCTTCCCTATTTCCAAAAATTACCAAAGGCATCCAGGATATTATTTAAAGATGTCGAGGAAGCGTGGAATAATAATATAAGCTACCATAGATAACAATGGAGATATCTTTATCAAGGCTCACCTAGGAGGCATAGTTCGTAGAGCATTGTGACACGAAGATAGGGGCCGGGATATTCAGGCTTCGACGCAACTATATGATATTGGATATCCTCCGAAGAAGCGACATAACGAGACCATAATATATGTAAATGTTTCATATACGAATAAGATACTCTTTATCCAATCTTTCTTTCACTACCTCCAACCCCCTATCTCCAATCCCCAATGCTCTATCTATAGAGCGTTGATCCACCCCACCACAACATCCGGCTCAACCCTCTTCGCATAATTAGCGTCCAAGAACATATTCTTCACCGTGCCGTCGCGGTCCACGAGCAGTGTAGCCGGGATCGGCACCTCCATCGAGTCATCGCCATTCCTCTTCTCCAGATCATTCCCGATCTTCGCGAACACCTCGCGCAGCTCATCGGGCTGCTTCCACACAATACCAAGCTGGTGCGCGAACTTATTCCCCACATCGGACAGGACGGGGTACTCGAGCCCCTGCTTCTCGGCCGTCGTGAGGCTGCTATCGGGCAGCTCGGGGGTGATAGCGACCAGCGTCACGCCCTTGGCCTTGATCTCCGGCAGCCGCGCCTGCAGGGCGTGCAGCGCGAGGTTGCAGAACGGGCACCAGCCGCCGCGGTAGAAGGTGATCAGCAGGGGGCCCGCGGCGAGCAGCTCGGCGCTCGACACCGTCTTGCCGACCGAGTCCGGCAGGCTGAACCCCGGGATCTTCTGCCCGACCTTGATGGCGCCGCTCGGGTCGAACGACTTGGCGAAGTCGAGCCGCGTCGCCATGATCGGGTCCCGGATCGCGGCGGGCGCTTTGGCGAACTCGACGTCGACGTTTTCGAGCTCGGCTTGGAGAGACATGGTTGCTTGTTTGTTTGTTTGTAAAGGGGTTTTTTTCGAGTGAAGTTTGATTAGGGAGTTAGGTAGGCGAGTTGCTTATTGTTGGATCGGTTGATGAGCTGTTGTTGGATGAGGATGTCTGGAAATCAAAACCAGAGAATCGCCATGCTCTTAAATATCTTTCTCGTCGTCTACCTTATTCAAAATCATCCAACATAAGCTCTTCCATCTATATGTGAATCCAAAGAAATGTGGGGAATGACGGGTCACATTTAGACCCAAAGAGGCATCCGGATTTGTCACTACCCATCACCGCAGTATGTCGTCAGCAATTGCAGCTGCAAAGGTGAAGGGTACCTATTTCCTAAAAGGGTTGGGAGGAACCAATAGCGATGACCCTACCGGGGGTGGAACTAAAACCCGCATTACCAAGTTTGTACTTAATTTTCTGGCGACTTCGTTAATTGTTCGCGTTTCGCTCTTGGATTCCTGTTTAGAATTTAGTTTCTAGTTTCATCTGCGACTATTCCAAGCTTACAAATGTTAGCGGTGTTGCACAATCACGAATAATCGCCTGTTAAATTCGTCAATGTGCAGCTGTGATGTGATTGTCGCATCGAGTTCTTCGCATTATCATTGGTTCCACCATGGCCGTCGTCGTTTGGGCGTAGAATCGTTCGTTGGAGAGAATAAACCCCTGGTGATATTACTACTAATGCAGGGGAGAGTCCCCGTGGGGCTGAGAGGAATAGGTGAGTCATGTTGATAAGCCAGGGGTCAATTCCTTCACATGGTATGTGATATATGGAAGCGATCTCAATTGTTACAAAATCAAGTTTTGCTGGCATTAGACAACTATAATACACACAATATGTTTTGGAAAGGACTTCATCGGTATACACCAATTGATCAGTCTGATCTCTTTTGAGGAATGTGTTTGCCTTGAGAAGGTACTCACGATACTGCAAAATCGGATAGTTGGCCAACTATATCAGCTCACATGGCTAGGCATTGACAGTAAACAATGATTGATATTCGAGGAGACAATCTAGGTCATCTCTGTGCCTAGGTACCTATGCACTTTCATCAGCACATGCTAATCTTCCAATTATTGCTGTTCTACAAGGGAAAAAGTCTCTGGGGGCCATACGGGTCATAGCCAATGTTTCTATATGTGCCTCACGGCGCTGTTGGTAAACAGCTTACGTTTACACAGCGTCAGTTTATCATCGTGCTCGTTGTGGGTCGTGACAGTTGCTTCGGAAACAATGCCTTGACCAGTTCCAAGAGTTTATTTCCTACTGGGGTGAAGCATCGGAGGTAATGGAAATGTAGTCAGTAAATACAGAGAATTTAACCGGTGGTATTTCGGAATCCCCAATCTGCAGTCAACGCTCAACGCCATTTATGTTCCCATGTCCCAGATGCTGATACAATATCATGAACGATCGTGATGCAGGAATCGGTTCTCTGCTAAATAAGTTAATAACTCCAATCCCAGTCGAATGAATATCCATTTTCCAAAATGCAATTTTCTTTATGATCGCTTCTACCCGTACCCTTCCGACGGGATGTATTGAGAAACAAGCGCTTAATGCATGAAGCTGTTGGCGATAGTGATAGCTGTGGTGTAGACCATGGCGGCTGTTCCAACTACCATAAACAAAATATCTCCGGCTTTAGCTTGCCACGAAGCCGCGACACCCTTGTAATGCAAAAATGCTGGGTAGATGTAGACCAGAGGTACGCAGGCGACGGACCCGATTAACGCGACGAATCTGTCGAGATTCGAAGCGCCAACTATTGAAATTAGACCGCACACAATGACTACCAATGTTCTGAATGCATTCTTGATCCACTTCGTTCGGGTGCTTTTCTTTCCCGAATGTGAACCGAAGATCCTACCTTCTAGGATACGTAAGGCGGGGAAAAGCTGGACGGGAGTTCCGACGAGAACGGCGAGTGAGTAGAGGAACTGAACCGAGTTGACGAACTTGTTATCTTGGGGAAAGTTGTTGATGATTTCGATCTGTGTGTTGACGCCAAACGTAGCGTAGCAGAGGGCACCCACAGCAGTAAACAGGACTGTGATGATGAACATGACAAGACCAAGAAGCCACTCAAATCGTTCGGGTTTCGTCATAGAAGATTGGATCGGGAGAATAAGTCCTATACCCTCGAAAGTGAAAATAGCTGAACCGACGGTCAATGTATACTTTGCTGGATTGAAGAGAACGACACTTTCGTGAATGCCGTCGGAGGCGAGGTGAGCGATGTCATAATAGTAGATGTAGCCGACACCAATAAGGATGCAAACATCAGCGAGTAGCGCCACGGGACTAAGTTTAGCTATATTCCTGATGAAGGCTAGAGGTATTAGAACGATGAGTTGTATGAGAATGAGGGTCGTGGGTGATAATGGACTGTTGCCATGTCCGACAGCCTGGAGAAATGATGTCATATTTTCGGCGACGAAGACTATGCCGGCGCAGACGAATCCCAGCTGCGACATTGTAATGGATACTAGAATGACCTTGCGCATTCCGTCGCCTGCTATCGCTTGGCCAATTTCTCCATAACCGCCGCTATACCGTGCCTTGCAGGCAAGAAGTAGGTGAAAGGCCAGCATGGTGACTGTAGATATTACCAGCATAGTCATAGAGGAGAATAATATGCCGCCATTCTTGAAAGCCTTAGGAAGAAACATAATACCAGTTCCAATGAAGGCCTTCAATAAGGTAAAGAACGTTTTCTTGGTACTGGTCTTAGCTACGCGCGCAGACCGCGAAGACTTACGACGCCCAAGAAGTGGCCTCGTCTCAGGTGATCGTTCTTCTTCTCCCTCCTCGCCCTCGTCAGATGTCACTGCCTCGTCATCGGAATCGGCAAGGTCTTCTCCGGCGAAGTTCCCGTATAATTCGAGGAACTCGACGAAATTCCGAGTAACGGGGATCCTAGCAGCCCAGATCTCGGGCCGTTGCCGTTGCCGTATGAAAGCTCTACGAAATCCGCCCGGGGCCAATTGATCACTAACCGTCAAGTGGTCTGATTCGTTGTCGCCTATTAAATCTTGGGGGTGGTGAAATGTTGCGGCTCGCTTGTGCATCTTGACACGTGCAGCAGTCTTGAAGAGATCTCGGTGCATATCACCTCCCTGGAGTTTCAGCGAGGATTCGCCTAGATCCTGGTCGCCTACATCTTGACCGGAGACCGATGGAGCACCAGAACTACCGGGTGCCCCATCAAATTCGGCGGAGTATCCAGACGGCAGATGCCCGGAGACGACATGGGCGTCATGCTTTGATTGATCCGATATTGGAGAGACCGACATGGTGGTGATAGGATATCCGCAATCGGAATGGTCTAATCAAGTATGATCTATGTCTAAGTATGCATGAAGTTGGTTATTTGAGCATTGAATTAGATGATGTTCACATTATATGAAATATGAATGAGAATTGTTTAGTTGAAGTTGAGCTGTTGCACAATGGAAGTTGAGAAAGCAAGGGCGGTTGAAGATTGAGAATTGAGGTTGACAGAGGTGGTTCTTGAGAAAAGCTTGTTGATGAACTCATTGAAAACGGTGAAACCTTAAAAGGTGCTAGTTGCCATATCGTCAGGCCGACGACTAGCTAGCTGCCAGATGGCACCCCATTACCGCTTCTTCTAGAATCGGCTTGTACCGGACTCACCGCTAAGAGCCGTTAGAACCCGCCGTAATTGGTTGGGCTGGTTAGGTCAGGTTATGTGGGGTTACCCAAGCCTGCCAAGCCGACTAGTCCGGATTTGACAAAGACAAGCATAGCCATATAGAGCAACTTTTCAGCGATGGTCGGCACGTGAGAATCCAGTCGCCCTTCTACAAGGGTTTGTGGGGTACCCTTCTACCCTGTTCGAGTCTCGATTGGTCTAGTGGTCAGGATACCTGCTTGTCATCTTCAAAGCGACAATTACGCAGGTGGCCGGGGTTCGATTCCCCGATCGAGAGCATAAGCTCCATAACTTTTGCCCATGCTGTCGATTAGTAGCTGGCTTCGCTTTTTGCCAGAATGACGTCAATCAAATAGTTCATAGTTGTTACCAGAATATTGATGAGTCTCCTGTTATTATTAACCTCTTCGTTCAATTCTCACCATATTCCACGGGTCTTCGAAAGGGCGGCAACCCTGACGAGCCACCAATGTGCTTAATCTTTTCAGTTGAACTATATGACTATTCATTCAGTATGTGAGAGATGAGAGAATGAGTAGATAAAAGGCTTTTCCTGTTGGTATACCGCAGCCCGTAGACGAGAGAGATTAGAGCTCCTCGCGCAACGTCGTTATTTCCTTTTTCTTTAGTTCCATCTCGTGACATGATTGGCCAATGGGTACGATATGAATCCGCGTAAAGGCTAATTCATGCTTCTCATCGGAGACTTACTAATGCTTGGTTTGAAATCAAGCCTTAGCTCCTATTACGGACGGACGAAAATGAAGGTAACCCAATTTCTCTCTTACATACGCAATTCTGTTAATATTGCATTCGTAGTGCTTTTCTACGCTATCTATGTCAAGTATAAATAACAGACATTGCCTTTATTAAGTCCTTTTTTTTCAGACTCCTACTCTGATGTGAATAAGCATCAACGATAGCTAGGGTATCCGATTAATACTCCTAAAATTTACTAATTAACCAACACTCTTGGTCTAAACAACATCCACCAAGAAATCATGCCTTCCTATCTAGTGACGGGAGCTTCCCGAGGACTCGGGGTGAGTGTGTATAGAGAAATGCGTAAGTTTTCAGAAATACTAAGTCGTGGAACAGTTTGAATTCATCCGCCAGTTATCCGCGGATCCAAAGGCCATTGTTATTGGACTCGCCCGGGATAAGATGGCCACGGAAAAGAAAGTGTCTGCCGAAATTGGACGTTCCAACATTCATATCCTCCAGGGCGATCTCATAGACTATGAATCACTGAAGGTCTAGTAACCCATTCTACTTTACTACTTATGCATAGCATGCTGACAGGATGCATAGAAAGCAGCCGAAGATACATCTACGATTACAGGCGGAAGCCTTGACTACCTGATAGCCAATGCCGCTGTTCTTTCTCCGTTCGCTGCCTATAGTGGCCTAAGCGACTTGTGAGTTTTCTCCCTCCCTTCAACAAATATGTTTCAAGTACCATAATTACTAAAATAGCTCGGCAACTCAGGAGCGACGATCCTAAAGCCTTAGAGGAAGACCTACTCTTTCATTATAAGACCAACGTCGTTGGCAACATTCACTTGATCAACATCTTCCTGCCTCTGATTCATAAGGGCAAAGCCAAAAAGGTCATTGCACTCACGTCGGGACACGCCGACTTCGACTTGGTCCGCAATTTTAAGATAGACATGGGCGCATCCTACGCCCTGAGCAAAACAGCATTGAACCTTGCGATTGCCAAGTACCACGGCGAGTTGAGCTCAGAAGGGATCCTGTTCATGAGCATTTCGCCTGGCGTAGTGGCCACTGGACTCAATGATACAACTAAGTGTAAGTCCCTTATTTGTTCTTCCCCAAACAATATAGCACTGGCTGACGTATGTACCGAGATAGTGACGGAGAAGGAGAAAAGGGGTTTTGGGGAAATGGTGCGCAAATTCTCCGAGTACGCGCCTCAATGGAAGGGCCCTATCACGCCAGAGGAGTCTGTGAGGCATATCTTGGGTGTTGTTAATAATGCGAGCGTAGAACGAGGTGACGGGGGTTCCTTCGTATCGCATTACGGTAATAAGCAATGGCTCTGAATGTCATCATTTTCTGGAGTCATGCGCAACAGCCAGAGCTTGCTAGTATGTGTGCATAACGATAGGAGTAGTACTTCTTACAGTTCTCAAACAAGGCTACTACATTAACAGACAAAGAAACAAACCCCTATCCTGCTTGCTTTGCAAATTATGTGAGAGGTAACCTACGCTATTATCTATCTAGTTTAAAGTAGTTGCACTCTCCCCCACGTCGGAGATCACAATAGACATGTCAAATAGCTTGAGGATCTAGTATATGTTCATCCTAAATAGTAGAAGACCATATATCCTCCAACGCCACTTCCTTCAGCCGTAAGGAGGCACAAAGAATAGAAGTTAACTATAGTCCGGTGATATAGTGATCGTCAGCTTGGTTCTTTGTTATCCTTAGTGATCTGTCCTAAGCTTAATGCACAATTCGCATCACGGCCAAACGACATGTTTTCTCAGAATTGACTCATTGGAAAACTTTGGATGAGTGTGACATGATATTGAGTGTTTAGTGATGTAGGAAAAGGGACAATAAGCCGGCGTTGTGTACTTAAAGGACTACGTATAAGTGAGAATCCTTCTTGCGAGCCCAACCTCCTTCGTTCCTATTAACATCCATCTGAGTATATATAACTTAAATCGTATCTTTTACACATTATACACGTAGAGCTGTAGCTATGAATCGTCCACAGCCAAACGAAGCTCGCAGTGGTTATGACACAACCAAAAAGCCTCCGCCGCGCAACTCGCGTACGCACGGAGAGTATCTTCTCTTTTCATTGGTAGCAATCGGGGTATTCGTAAGTAGACCGGGTCTAGAACAGAGTTTCTTCGATTAGGGATAACTACTAATTCCAATTCCATAGATTACATTAATAATGTGGATCCCAACTTAGCCATGGATGAAGCTGCCAGTCATGACATGGCTCCTTCTTACGACACAGAGCGAACCTTGGAAAAGCTTTCCACACCTTCCTTACATGGAATTGTGACGACCAGATATTCCTAGAGATGCAATGCAAGTTTGAAGAAACTAGCACATGAACTTTCGACGTCAGGCGACGTCCATTCTTTCTTGGAAAATTACCCACTACCACCAGCGAACACTGCCAGAGCTCAATGTGAAGCGGCGACAAAATTCTGAAAGCCGATACTGGCCTGTACATCTCCATCTCAGCACTTTCCCTTGTCTTCTGGGAAGTTTATGGTATCAACTTGCGTTTCTTGCCATACACAGAGTGGGCAACAAGGAGCTCATCTTCGGCCTCTCTGTATTGGCATTACAGATACAAGCGGAACCACGATCACATATCACAGACGCCAATGAATAGGTATCATTCACCTAAGTATAAGACATTGGGTACGGGCATCCTCCACTCTCATTACTTGATAGTAGATAACCTTCTACGAACGATAGAATTCACTAGCCAGATTTCTATTTAAAGATAAAATAAGTTTCATACACGTTATGAATAGTGTTTGTTCTACCGTCCCAAGCCCTACCTTTAGAATTGGTACGATTGCGAAACAATAGGGAATGAAAACCTAGTGAACCTGCTAGCGAAGGCCGTGCATCCCATGAATCTAGAGCCTCCGCATTAGTCAAACCGCGCGTTACTACAGGCAGAGGGGCAGTGAGTGTCAGGGGTCGATGTCAGGAGGTGGGATGGAAGCGCCAAGCTGTAGTTTTGTGTACCCTTCGAGGCGAATATAAGAGGGGCGCCAAGGGGATTGGGAGAAGCTCAGGCGTTAACAATCATTCATTTATTACTACATGCAAGTGAGTCTACCGCAAGCTACCAGCTACTAACACTCGCTCTATGACACAAGTCTTCAACTACAGGCTACCACCCTGACAAAAAGTTCCGTTGCGGGCGCCAAGTTAATGGAGGTCGTGGAAGTGCATGACTTCGCGGTTTAGGAGCTACCGCCTAAAATCGCTCAGCAGGTGAATGGATCGGGGCCTGAAAAGGTGAGTATTAGTGGATAGCTATGTAAAGGCCTATTAATCGGACCTACCAGGAATGACGTATTGACTGTTCTTGCTCATGGAGTAGATGTTGATGAGGATGCCAGGGTCATCTTGCTTGTAGATGCCCGGAAGGCTGTAAGTTGTAGGCGTCTTAGTCGCGGAGCCTCCAGAGATGTTGACTTGTGCGCATTCCATCTGGAGGTATCGTTAGCGCGGATGGCTTGTGATACTCTTGAAAATGATTGAATTGCTAGGTACGTACGTATAGCTGCGCCCCATTAGGTGAGCTAGCACCGTGCAATGCGATCATCTCGGCGCGGAGCAGGTATTGGCCATCCGGCAAGCAGTCAGGGATCGTGATCGGCTGCTTTCCCTGATTATTAATGACGTTCGAGGTGCCCCAGACCCCGTTGTTGTAACCATCCTCTTGGATCTTAAACCTGGTGAGTTGTGAGTGCTAGGGCATAAGCACAACCATAATCCACTGGACTCACCAGCCGCTGCCGTATCCCACGTCAGTCGTCGCATCGTCAACCTTCTTGAGATAGGCTAGAGTAGGGCCTAGATGGCTAGCGTCCATAACATCGTTCGCTCCCGAAGTTAGGGTGTGTCGCCAAATGGCGTTGACCGTAGAGCCAGCTTTGACGTCGATGATCTTGTCGGACGGAGTAGTCGGGTTCGGGCCGCCGTTGCACGCTACATCGTTGGTCGTCACGTCGGTGATAGGCCCATCGTATGTTGGCGTTCTGATTCCGTATGAGACTGGATTCGTCACGCTATCAGCCTCAAGTTGAACGAATATTGTGTGAGCAGTTGCTAGGCTGGCGCCGGCGACGGCGGCTGCTAATGAAGAGCACCTCATTCTGTGAATTACATACGACGGCTATGATAGCGAGGATATACGTCTTGGCTGATCGACGCTGAAAAATATATTAAAGGTGAAAATCCGGGGCAAGCGTTCCTTATAAATAATCGCTACAGTCGTATTCACACCTATTTCAGGGGCACCGGCGCCGGAATCCAAGGCCGTGCCACACGATGCCAATCAACGACATTGTGGTAGAGAAACACGGCTTGGTTCCTCCGTGTGGCTTGATTTCACCTTCAATGGTCACTAACACGGAAGCTCTGCGCGGAAAGGGAACATTAGAGATTCCATTAAGGTCCTAGCATTTCGACGCTTTGCGGTGCACCGGAGGTTGTCCGTCCGGTTTTATTTGCAGAAGGCCGAGAGTGGATAAGTCAGGGGCAAGGAAACATCAGTCCCATGTGACCGGTAATGAAGCTGAGAGGGGCCCAGGAGCTCGGAACCATATTGGACAATCCCGTTCATGCATGGATCCTGGTTCCCCACAATGCGGCAGAGGATGTCACCATATACCCTAGCTGGAGCCGGGATACCGGCACGATGTTAGTCATGGTGGGCATGCCTTAACCTTGTTTTAAAGCTGAAAGTCGGCATCGTCTCCCGGGCTGGCGCATTCAAATTTGTAGAGCAGTTGCTTAGGAGGTAGGTATTTGGCCACCCCTTGATGTCTAGCTGGTTAGTAGGCGGTGGTGACCTTCTACGTTCGATCTATGAATCATGAGAACTGCTAAGTTATCGAGGAATGAGCACACCAAATATTAATTTATAGTAAGCAAAATATCAAGAGGATTTTAGGGTTCCAATAAAGCTGGCAGCGATTCAAGGAAGTGATTCAATTGGGCTGAACTCAACTTTTACAGTAATTGTAGGGCTAACATACGTCACCTACTATTCCGAACGATGACAGTATCGAGTCCTATTTAGGTGCACTTTTAATCACGACCTCCTCAACTTCTGCATCGGTCAACTGTTTGATGCCGAGAAGATCATTGTCAAGCTTCGTGAAGAGACCTCCGTACCCTTCGGCCCAGACCGCAGCCTTGAGGCCCCCGATGAAGATCAAGAAGCCGTTCGGCTGCGGCTTCTTGAGCTCCTCCTGTCCTAGCTGAAGCCCCTCGGCTGACGATGTGACAGTTTCCTTCCATCCATCCGCGCCGACAACCTTCTTGAGATATCCTGCAAGTTGCTTCTGGCTGATAGCGGCGTCTTGGACGTAGACGGCACGGTTCTTGGTCGGCTCGAGATTCTTAAGAACACCCACTACGGCCTTTCCAACAGTTGCTAGGTTGGAAACCGAGTATTTCTGGTCGCCTCCGTCAACATATTCGATCTCCTTGCTCTTCGTCTTAGCCAAGAATTCAACTGCAATGCCCCAGTCCAGGAAAGGTCCATTGATGATTGCTGTCCAAGTTAGACCACTTTCAGCCGTAGCCTTCTTGAGGGCATTTTGAACGTCGATCTTAGTTTTGTAACCTGGAAGCACTGCAACCTTGGGGTTGAAGGTGTCGCCGCCGAAGTCGGACGGGATGAAGCGCTTGACTCCTGCCTTGACTGAGGCTTCGATTAGGGGGAACTGTACGTCTAGCGCCTCAGATGCAAGAGCCGCGACGACGGCGTCTTGACCTTGGAGGGCATCTACCAAGGAGTCTTGAGAAGTGTAGTCGACCGGTTTAACAGTAACATCTGATGGGAATGTATGAGTGCTGTCCTTGCGGGTTAGGACAGTCACGTCGAACCCAGCCTTCAACAGCTGCTCCAACACAGCTTCTCCAAGGTTTCCTTTGGCCTGTATCATGTTAGAAATATCCAATTGGATGGGTAGTGGTTTTATTCGCTTACTCCTGCTATGGCGACCTTCGTGATGCTAGACATACTGATATGAGGATATTAGATATTTAGATAAATGTTTACTTTCTTTTCCAATGAGGTGAGATGAGATGAGACAAATGGATTAGTTGATACTGATGTGTAGATATTCTTGAACTCTTCCTGGACGAAGGAGCCATCATATATAGCTATGTATTGGCTTGCTCTTTGCAAGGCTCGGCAGGTGAATAGCGCCATATGAAGCCTCAATGTCGGTCGGCATGATTACCTTTCAACGTTCCACGAACATAGCGATTATCACATAATCCGTCCGCGGATAAACATCCCACTTGGGAGGGTCGCCTACGTGAGCGTATCTCTTTGCCTGCTCGGGTACTTGGTGAGGTACCTGGTTAGCAAAGATGTAATTGTGAGGTTGGAGAATTGGAGGAGGAGAATTAGGGGAAGGTGAAGAGATAGTAATGTGGGGTATCGGGGTAGTGGATTGCATGATCTGAAGTAGTTAGGCCCCACCTCCCACTTCCCTAAAGAGTATCCCACATCCCACATCCCACATGGGATGACTAATTTTTCTCATGCCGGTGTTACCGGACTACCGAAAGAGGTACCGAAATCTCCGGCATTTCTTTCGTTCTCTCCTCTATTTTCTTAGTATCAGACAACTCAACCTTGTTTTAACTACTCAACCAACATATCCACATGGTAATGTGGGAGGATTCACAACGTGTAATCTTACAGGTCATTCTATCAATCCCGGAGTTTTCAGTGAAATTGGACTCTGCCTATTATCCCGATTCCTACCGTCCGCCTCCCACTAAGATCTCAGATCACGAGATTAGGGGCCCAACTGGTCCGTCGTGGCATACGCGATCTCATCCACTTCTTGTTTATACGCTTGTAGATTGCTTACGTGAAGCGGGGTGATGATTAACGCGTTAACTCATAGACATGTCCTCTTCGCAAAAGAGTTGGGAATGTTCCTTTCCTGGTTGCGGTAAAAAGTTCTCGAGAAAAGAGCATCTAACCCGACATAACCTCGGCCACAACCCCGAACATCAGTATAAGTGCCACATCTGCGGCCGACGTTACGCAAGAAGGTACCTATCTATGTCATTTTCCTATCTTCTATTCTTATGTAATCAAGGAATATTATCTAGTCTTGCTAATACGAATACTAGCGATGTATTCAAGAGACATGTGAAGCAACATAATCCCCAAGACGCCCAGTCTCCGGACGCACGAAGGTAAAGCTCCATGCCATCGACTGGTTTAGTACTATTACTTACATGTTCAATCACTGTCACTTAGAATATGCTTAGCATGCGGTGATCGAAATACTCCGTGTGATGGGAATTCACCCTGTGGGGCTTGTATTTCAAATTGGACTAACTGTCGTTGGATTGATTCGGATAATAGCCATGCGACTACTACCGAGCAGGCTGTCGTGGTACCGTCTAATGCTCACGCCCAAACAACATGGTTTCAACCGAACGCAGATGTTTGGATGCCACAACCATTTCTGGCAACAAATCCGTACCTCTCGTCGGTCCCGAATAACTTGAATCCAGACCGTCCGATTCAGGGCGTCGGCGCTATAGATTCTACTAGCTATACGCCTCCTACGTCAGATATCAGCGGCACTAATGCCGAGCCTATGCTCTATGAGCCATCGAACAACCCCCTGGATTCCCCTCAGCTAACGCCGCCACTCACATCGTCTCAGCAGCGAAATACCTCCAGGTCACCGGAATCCGCTGGAGCCGCAGACTTGCAGGCTGTCGTCGACAGAACTTCGCCTGAAACCCAAAGACTTATCCAGCTGTTCTTTGCGGAAATTGATCGGTACTGGCCTATCTTGCATTCAGCCACCTTCAGGTTGGACGAGACCTCAACGACCTTGCTAGCATCTATGATTATGCTGGCTAGCTGGCTTGAAGGCGGACACGAACATCATAAGCTTGCGCCTTTGATATTCGAAGAAGTAAACCGGATCCGAACGGTGTGAAGAGTGACCCTGCTTGCCATCTTGTCTTAAGCGACTAACTATCGTTTAATAGGACATTACACCATCACTTCAGTTGCTACAGTCTGTTTTACTGTATATAGTATATGCAACGAGCAATCTAGTATGTGGTCCCAGTCATGAGCGGAGCGGTTCCTCAACATATATATTTTCAAGTTTATGGATGACTAACATCAATATGTCTAGACCACGGATGGAATGATTGCAAGAGCACTGAACCTTGTCGCATGGTTGATATCGACATGTCGGTATCTAGGCATTTTCAGTGGCCAACACGCTTGTCAAGAAATGCTCGGAGAGGGTTGTCCGTTTATGGCATGGCGTGCACAGGAACAACTAAACAGGTACGCGCTTGTCCTTCCCTTATCTCATCGTTTCAACTAATAGAACGGAATGTTTTGTTTAGACTTGCGTTCGCTGTCCTTCGTGTCGACGCTTATCTCAGTGTCCTCTTAGATCATCCTCCTTTGGTACGATACCAGGAGCTTTGCATTCCTCTACCTAAATCTCGTGAGCTCTGGGCCGCCGCCAACGAGCCAGAGAGGCGCAAGCTCCAATGGAACGAACCCGCTGGGCGCGAAAAAGCGTTGTTTTCGTTCTTTATGCGCGACGCGCTTAATCCTTCGCGCGAAGGTGCTTTACCGTACTGCCTTACGGACATTGACTATCACCTGAGCACGTGCGCGACACAGACGCATATTTGGGAGGCGGCGCGTGAGGCCCATAGCGCCATGTCGGATGAGATCGTCGAGGAGACGGATCCCAAGACTTTCGTCCAGCGCGCATATCCGCATCTGGACCTCTGGCGCGACAAGCGCAGGGAGAATTGCGAGATCCTACATAAATACTTTGCGGGCAACCTACCTAGCGATGAGCACCGGCTAGGCCCGCTGACGTTTACGTTAATGTACATGTCGAACCTAAAGTTGCATTCTCCTATGAATGTCCTGCGCGTCAAAGGCCACTATTATAAGTCGCGCCCAGGCGCCGCCATCCCAACGCGCAAACCTCGCGTCCACTTGAACAGCTGGATGTCGTCTGTGTGCCCACGCTCTGCGCTATGGAACGCAGCCCAGGTTTGCCGCATTTTCCTCATCGAATCCGGGCGCTTCGGCACTTCCACCGACAGTAATGGCAACATGAGCAGTCTCCGTTCACGCGCACGCCTACACCTGAACCCACTGCTCATCCCAGGTGTCCTGATGAGTGCTATCGTGGCTTGCTCGTACGTCCGATATACCCGGACCTGTGGATACTGCCGCGCGGCCCCCTCCCCTCACACGCCATGTTCCGACGCTAGCCCTAACTCTTCTTGCACTGCCGCCATCAACACCACGTCGAACACGAATATAACATCCACCCCTCCTTTTCAGACTCCCCTCCCTTTCCCCAATACGGCCATGACGGGCGTCATACCTGAAGAGGAAGCGGTCAATTTGTTTAGTTTGAGGGACGACGATCCGGTCCTGTTGAACTGGAAGCGCACCGGCAACGGCGTCCCCTATTGGGGCATAGGCGAGACACGCATCCCGCTCTGCGCGTGCCGGCTCCAGGATATCGCAGCTTGGTTCCGCGAGGCGTTTGCCGAGGACGAGGGCGCGGAGATGGAGTTTGTGATTTTTCTGGCGGAACTGAGTCGCGAGTCGTGACCTTGTACATGAATACCACTTAATCATCAGAGACTGAGTGGGTGTGCGTGGGTCTGTGAAGGTTGTCCTTCATGTCTTACTACCTACATAATTTTTTCAGAGCGATGTACTTTTCTTCGTTTGGGTGACCCTTATTCAACTAAATTTTCGAAGTTATATGGGAGGACTTTTTGTCAAGAGCGTTCCTGTTCCTAGGCGTACGGATGCGATGTTTCAACACCACAACTATGTATGTAGCTAGGTACCTACATAGCTACGGGGGTGTAAGTAGCGATTGTGACTATTTCTGTGATTATAGGGCGTGAGGTTAGATCTGAGATGTACATGACATAGAGAATATACCTACATGCCAGATCCAAGTCACACAATCGAGTATTAAGAATCACCCTTTACGTGGTTGTGATGATAGGGGTTAGTCTCCCGATTGAGGCTAACTCGCTATTAGCCGCTTATAACTAGAGCGCTGATCCGAATTATATAAAAGAATCTCATCCTCGATAGGGAGGAAGACCGGTCACATTTCACGCGGATTGGAGTACCAAGATCAAGCCGCAGGACACGAGAACATCAACATCTATTCATCGTAAGCCCCTTATAAAAAAGGCTATTTTAATTACCACTTTATCTTCATTCACAGGATCTGATCTCAGATCCGGCACTGCAGCATGACACGGCGAGATTTGGTACTTGAATATCCTCTTCAGGATCAAGTTTGTATTAGTTGTTTATCACCCCCCCTTGTCTCAGGAAGGCAGTAACCATACCTCTACCTTGACATCTACATCCCCACATCCCCTTTCCGGGCATCGGGAAAAAACAGCGTGCCCTTCCTTGAATATTCATTTTTTCGTCCACTTTAACGCCGGTTTGCAAAGCCATGATACCAGTGCCTCTAGTCCAAGGCCCCGCCACCGGAAAATCCCGTAACCGGACTACCCAGAACCGGGCCTGACATATCGATGTTTGAGTTAATGCACCCCCATAATCTTCTATATGAATGCTAGAGAATTCAACGAGCCTCCTTCTCCAAGGCTTCCAACTCCTTGACCACGGTGGCCTTCGTGGCGATCTTCTTCATCTGCGTGTCCTCCAGCTTCTCGCCGCCGGCGTGTCGCATCTCGAGGTCTTCGATGGCGCGAATCTTTTTCTGCAAGCTGCGCAGTTTCTTGGACGCGGGATTCTGGCTACCCGGTGAGATCAAAGAGTCCGGAGCAGGGGCCTGGGAAGTCTGGATCTGCGGTGCGACAGGCGCTCCCTGTCCGTAGTGTCCATTCTGTCCGTTCTGCTGAGTGTTGCTGCGATGGCGTCCTTGGTTGCCACCTTGGAAGTTGTGTCGCGAGCGACTGCGATTGTGTCTCTGCTGGTTGTGCTGGTTCCCGCGACGCTCGGGGCTACGTCCCTCATTTCCAGATCCCAGACCTTGGTCCCGAGCCGGGGGAGCCAAACCACCCGCATTGTTCAATCCGTCCTTGTTCTCAGCATCCTTGGCCTTCTTATTATTCCGCTTCTTCTTGTTCTTGAGTGCTGCCTTCGAAAGATTCTCGTCGCCATTGACGCCGGGCGCCTCCGCCGGAGCACCGGGAACGGCACGGGAACCTGATTCGAGGAACTCTGCACCCGGAATCTGGCGGCGCGATCTCCCAAACCCATTCGGACCTATGTTCTGAGCACCGTTGCCCATGACATGGGCAGCGCCCCCTTCATCCTCGCGCCTGAAATGAAGCGGGGTGGACATTCCTCGGGCACCAGGAGGGCGATAAGCACCTACAGGCTTCGAGGGCGTCTTGACGGTTCCTAGATATGCGATCGCCGAAGAATGCGGGGTCGGAATTGGGTGTAAAGGATCGAAACAAGGCAAGTTTTCCGGAAGAACCGGTCTCCAGGTAACGTTGTAGAGCTCCACCATGTCTTCATGATACATGATGCCTCCTCCGACATGCCAGAGCTTCACACCATTATCAACGCGGAGGCGAGGAGATGTGGTTGCTGTCATGATATATCTGCTATCGGGACTCCATTGGCACACACTAGGATTGCCGCTCTCGATAGTACAGACCTTGCGGTAGTCTTTCTCCAGATCGTAAACATCGATTTGACCAGCCAGATTACCGAAACCAGCAACCAAGGCAAAGCGGCCGGTTGGCGAAAAGATGATGGTGTTTCGGGGTGCAATGGGGAACGAATGAGTAGCAACGGCACGGTGATTGAATATGGTCGTCTTCGGAGGCATATAACCGTAGATAACGCCGAACTCCTTACCGTTCGGGGACCACGAGACGTCATGAATCGGGCCATCCTTATCTAAAGTAACGCGAGCGTCGAGGGAGCCGTCAGCACTTAGAAGGTAAAGGGTTGTTTCGCCGTAGTAGCTCTTATTCGACTTGTCAACATCCGTTTGTGCCAGCACAATTAGGCTCGTTCCCAAGCTATTCCACTTGAGCTGAACCTTGTCACCCTTGAAGAAAGTCTTCTGTGAGATCGGTGTCGTAAACTGAGGAACGTTATAGACCTTGACAGCAGCGGGCTGGCCCTACAATGGCATTAGTTTTCTTCCAGGACTGGGTGGATATATGTAATGGTACTAACCTTCCTCAGAGGAATAAAGACCGCAACGTTGTGGCTTTGTCCAGGCGCAATAGCAAAATCAGTAACGCCCTCAACTCGAAGCTTGTTCCAGACCGTTGTAAGGTCATTGCTATCATAGAATTGGACTTCGTTGGTAACAAGGCGAGCACAGAATTTCTCGTCCGACGTATATTGAAGGTTCCAGCCCGTCTGTGACTTTTGAACAAATTGCCCCAAGGGTTGCTTCTCAATCCCTTCGGGAATGTCTTCAATGGTTCGCCAGATCTTGAAGTTCTTTGTCGCATCACCAGCTTCGTCCTTTGCAGGCCGCTCCCAGGTGCTTAGGAATGAACCGCGTGGGGAGAAAGCGACCTCGAAGACATTGGGGAGAGCTATGTTAGTCAAAACATGGCCAACTGATGCATCGACGATACAGACACGTTCGCTGGACGCCCAGGCAAGGTATCGGCCGCAGGGCGAGTAAACACAGCACCTCAAATTTCCTTCGGGTTGAACGAATCCAGGGAGAGGCTCGTAGACAGGGTCGGCGTCAGTGACGCCGATGGCCTTCTGGGTTCGATAAGCAAACTGCAACGGACTCGCCATGACTAGTCAAAGTCACAGAAGAATGCGATTGCAAGATGGTTGATGTATTGTTCTTGTCGTTCGTGAGATTCTCTCGTACCCGAAGCTTAGCGTAGCAATGGGCGTACCAGACAACTGAATAGATTTATCAAAAATTTATCCGGTTGGTCTAGCGGGAGTTTGGAGGCGACGGCTATTCTTGATATTGGTATCACTACCTATGTGTGTAGGGAATATTAGGTAGAAGAGTATCTCGGTAGACTTCTATTCGCTTAATCGCCTATCTGTAATGATAGGGTAGAAGAAGTTGTGATAAAAGTCGCGACGAGGGTGAACGAGAATACTGCTACTACGCCACGGCGATGATTCTGATGGTCTTTGGCGTTGACGATGTAGATGCCGATGCTGATGCGAAAGGCAAACGCAAATGCAAACTACTACTTTATTGTCGGACCAGATAGAATGACGGAATGGTTGGCGTGGGATACGCACGAGACGCACGCGGGGAAGGCGGAGAACCAAATTGAATAAAACGGCAAGAAGAATAGAAGGGAACTTGACAGGTCACCCAGAGTAAGAGGATTGACGAAAGGCGTGGGTGGACGTGACCGTGACGGAACGGAAGCTGGAGAAGGGCTGGAAGAAAGAAGGGTACGTGAAAGAATAAGAGAAGGAAAAAAAAGGAAGCGAGTCATGCTGATGATTTGTTTCTTGCTAGTAACCCCGGTACCCTTGAGAACCCTGGAAAGTTTTTTTGCCATCAGGTACCGACAGCCATCAGCCACAACCCAGCCCTGGCATCCCAGCCAGCCCGCTGTTGAACTGTGCTCAAAACGCAGCCGCCAACGGGCCAGACCCCAATACACCCCAATAACCCCTGCAATGCCCAATTGGCAATTGCCCTTTCCCCAAACTTTTCTATTTTCGATGCGCATTGCGGCTTAAGCATTGACTTATCGCTTAAACCGATTATCTAATTCGGCATACTGCTGGTACTTACATACCTAGGTACCTACTTTTCAGATGTTTCCTGAATTTGAAACATGTGAGGGAGTACAACATAAAGGTATATTTTGATGTTTAGATGAGTTGGGGGCAGAGGGCCGAAGAGAAGATTCCCGTTTCATCAATCGGCACATCCACCAGGGCATACAAGTACACGAATGACAAACTTAACATAGCTTCTGATTTGTTGTTAATGTGAGTATCCCAGATGATCCGGATGTAACAAGATTTAACAAAGAAAATAGAATTTATTACAGTACAATTAGCTCCAGCAAGGCTAGGTATATACTTTTTCCAATGTTGAAACTCTTATCAAGCAGAATTGGACGAAAATAGATACAAGTTACATCAGTACATTAGGCAGGGGACCAAAGTTGTGGCTCAACGATTTAAACAAGCTCCGGTCTAATGTGAGATCTAGATCTAATAGATGCATGACCCGCTTGGCGGAATATTATTAATTTGCTTATACGGTGTACCTATGAATGGAAATATTGGGTTTAAGTGTACCTAGGCAGCATTTGAACTTGGCATCTTCCAACTCAGCACCAAGACTCTTGTAATTCACCACGCTAAATCTTATGGAGCTAACACGATATGACGCGAAATAAATCACGGCGAAAACAAACTTAGCAAAGAACACATCCATTGAATTACCTCACCTTGCACGTTTGTGCAAAATGACACCACCAACAAGTGACGTGGACGTGATGCGGCAACGGCAAAAGGCAAAACCTATCAATCTACAATCCTCGTGCTACATATTCAAAAGATAAACCACAATAGTCACGAAATTGCCGGTTCATATCTGCTTTCTATACCACCATAAACATCCGACCATGGGTAGATACAATGGTTCTTCGGATGTTACCGTCAGTCGCATACAATCGACCTTTTCGAGTGCTTCCTAACGCCAGGCAAGACGGCTGCAGAAAGACAATATAAAACCAAACTCCCACTGAGGCGAATCTATGTATTACAAACACTGGATAAACCACGCCTATCAATTAATGCTAATAGTCATGACCTTTCACGGCACCGACCAATCATATGTCATCCATGATATCATATAGATAGCAAATCACCAGAAGCGCACAGTTCTAATCCAGCAATTCCGTCCATACCAGATACAGATTCCCCAGCTTCGACTTCTCATAAGGCCGGACCTTCTTTCCATCCTCCTCCGTCTCATATATCCACGTAGGGAAAGCTGCTACCGTGGAACTCCTAAATGGTTTCGGGGGGTTAGACCACACATGGTGAAGCTGCGGCGCCCCACAGTTGATCTGGATTCCTCGGAATCCCTTGGATTTCATCTCAAGCATAATGAATCTCGCCAGCGCTTTCATGAGCCCTTGGCCATGGTAGCCATCTCTCGTACCTGTGCCAACTCTCTCGATAACTTGACCCGCCGCTGTGGGTTCCCACGATCCTTTCGGGCGCGGATCGTGATCTTCGAAGTACTTCCCCATTGGCCCATTTAAAGGGAGAGCATTGTTAGCGGCATCCCATTCCTTCTTATCGCCCGGGAGGAACTTGTCATATGATAACCCGAAGCCCACGAGAGGAAAATCCAAAGCGTCAAGTAATTTCTGTCGCCCGCCATTGTTCAGCTCGGGATCATCGAGGTCGAAGTCGTCCCAGTAACATGTGCCGCCCTTAGCAGCAGACTCGGGTCGCTTGAAGACAAACTCCTTATCCCAAATGCAATAAGAGAGCCCGTTCTTAGCTACCATCTCGGGCATCTCGTAAAAGCCTTCACAAACATGATGCGCCTTCAATGCCTCGCTCGCCTGGCGCCCTTCGTATATGGCGCTCCATATGGGCGATCCGAAGAAGTGGGAGTAGTATGAGAAGGCCGAGACCCACCTGGAGAGGTCGGGCGTTATTAGACGAATTTCATACCTAGAGGGTAGTTGGATACCGTGGGTGTCGTGTACTGGGGCGCCTGGTGCTATCATCGTCTGCTGCCTAATCCACGATTCGTCGAGGACGTTCCGATCCTTTGGATTCGAAATACTCCGGCTCGCTTAAACCAACTACTACTTATATTACACCGCTCAGAGTTTTGTTCTAGTATAACTGAGCAGGTTATAGTCAATCTATCGCACGAGCGCGACATGCGGGAAATAGCAAAACGCATCCCAAATGCAGCAAGGAACTCGCTGTACATACCTGTCAGGGGGGCATGTGGCCAATTACATGTTCCCATTTATCCAGCTATGTCACATCACTCACAACGCTTTTGAACACATTAGGAAGCTGATTTCTCTAGGATGACTTGGCGGTCTGCTATCATGACCTTTGACAGGCTTGCTAGTTCTGCAAGAGCTGTTCACGAGAAGAAACAATACCCACCTAGTTATAGATCATCGATTATCGTCAGACTATGCACTACCATACACGACCTCTCTAAGGAAGGGCGATATTGTTGGCGCAGAAACCGCTCGAAATGGTAGTTATTGGATAACGGCTAGCCTTACTGGAAACGGCATTACAGTCATGCTCGTGTAACAAGCGAGTAAGTGCTGCAAAGAGCCTTACTACGTAACTTTTCGTTCAGACCCTCTACCGCATCGTGTGAATAGATGGTTCCGACTTATTGTCTGGAAGCTTTTCACAGGCTTCACCAACCAGCAACTCCAGAATCGAGCAACAGTATATCGATAACATCTCCGCCAGAGAGTAAACTCACACTTACGGCACCGGTAGGTTTCTCGATCGCAACGGATCCAGACCAATATCCTATATTTTCCGACGGGCTCGCAACACTTAGGAGCTGCACGTCACTTCGACCGACCTTGGGCGCAAGTGTAAGCAGCTGCGCAATCGGAGTCGCAACTTTTAGCAACATTTTCGACGGGTCGAAATTAGGTTGGTTGGTCCTAGCTGCGACTGTGACAGACACTGCACCATCCGCAACACCAGACAAGCTTGGAACAATGAAAGCTTTATCCTGAATCTGGAACTCCTGGTTCTCGATTCCCGTCGCTGTAACAGCAAACGATGACACCCCCGATAAGTTACCGCTCGAAATCGAGAAAGGGAAGTATTGAGTCGTGGTGTTCGTTTGACTATTGGATAGCTTGAACGCAGAGATGCCCAAATTTTCTTCGGGAACTAGAGTCTCCGTATAACCGTTCGAGAAGGTGATCGAGATCGGGCCGTCCGATGCTTCTCCGGTGTACAGCACCTGGTTATCTCTCAGTCATGTGTTGTCACAAATCTTGTATTTTTAGCGCGTCACATACCCTGACTTTCCCGGACAGAACCAACTGATTGTTAGTCGTAATGTCCCAAGTCACATTGATCGGTTTTATCAGCGCTGGCTCGATCGCAGGCTGGAGTTGTACGCCCGCGGGAACGGTATTAAGCATGCGTCCTAGCAGATCGACACAAGTCTCTTGAAACCCATCTCCCTGTGCGTATAGCTCTAACATCGTCTTGTTGTCGTCACTTTCATACAGTCGAAGATCCGACCTACTCGTCTCGTTGAAGCTCGTCACGAGCGGACCACCCCTTTGCCCGGTGCTGTCGATGTACTCATGTACTACCGCTGAATCGAAGACTGCCCGAGTGTCGTCGAGGTTGACCGCCCCATTTGTATTGTTTGGAGTTATCGCGGACTCCTCAACAACTGTCGGAAAACCTCCGGCGTGTACCTGCATTTGTTTCGGTCAACATGATATTCGAATGCAATAAAGCAGTACACCCACTATAGGAGCAGACTTACCGATCCAATTGTATGACCACACGCAGTTAAGGCGATGGCATCTGACTGGTTAAAACCGGCCTGTTTGAACTGGGCGAGTGTGTCTTCCAAGCTTGTACTCGGCTCCGGTACTCCTGTCTTAGGATCGGCTGCCGTTGCATCTACCCTGCCGTACTGGTAGGGTATGTACTTTCCTCCACAGAGGTGCACCGACATCACCGTCCCGACCGCGAGCAGGTCGGCCACTTACACGAGACCTCGTTCAGCATTGAATGCCCAAAGTCTAAGGACCTCCCCGTGATAGGGATAATATTATTAGCTTACTAGAAACAAACTCGTTAACGAAGGGCTGCCAAAATGTAAAACTGTCGTTAAACGCGCTGCCCGAGTTCTCTTCGCGCTCTGTCTCGAATCCAATGCTGGCATCCAACCCGCCGGTTCCGGCAGCCACGTCAGCCGTGGCAAAATCATGAAAAGCAACACGCAACCATTGGGCGGACGTAGTTCTGCGAGAGTTGATCGCTGGCAAGCCCACCTCCGTCACATAATTATCGCAAGGCGTGATCGCTGACGAGAAGTTGGATGCGTACGCGCCCCAGTTGTCCACGAGAATATGCTCTAGAGCCGACGCGGCTGGATTCGGATAGTAGAACATGGCGACGACCGGTTTAACGGCAGCACTCAGGAGGGGTACGGCAAGACATGAAGAGGCGTACATCTTGCTGATTCAACATTAGCTCGGACCAATGGTTGACTTAATAAGCATCGACATGCAGAAGAATTTTCATGCCTCTATGCAAGTTTCAGAGACATTACCTGCAACTTCCTAACCTGTCACTGTTTTGATATCAAGCATGGATTGAAGACAATGCGCAAATAGCCAAGACAACCCCGTTTTATAGACGGGGGAGTAGTCCGTGATAAGTAGACCGCAAACCGGCGTTTGTAATCGACCGGGTACAACGTAACAATGAACTTGCCGGCCGAATTCCAGCAGTCCATCCCGGGGAACCAGGTTAACCGCATACTATACACATGATGCGCTCTTATCGACACGGGTTACCATCAAATAAATTCTTACTGGACAGCCGCGCGGAGCCAGCACTGCTGCGTGATGGCGGGGTGGTCAGCGATCCGTACCATCGCAGATGGGCTAGGGCCGCGAGCGATGTCACCTTAGGGAATCTCGAAACATGCGAGGGCCAGTGCAAATCAGGATCTCGAAATGCTTGTCTTCTCCGCTCGAGACTGGATATCCCGGTCCAGCGCGTTATTATCGTGGGATTCCTGTGAGATAAAGCATCCGAGTAACTAAGCAAGCCCACCTCCCTGTCCGGAGACTGACGAAACTTTTAATAAGCTTTCATACGGCGAACAGACATGCCCGGGAGTTACCACCTTGTTCGGTATCTATTCCCAAGAGAAAGCGGGAGCAGACGGACAGCATAGACAACTGCGCTCGCTCGTGTGAGGACCTATTCGTAGAGGTATGTTGACACGCGAGATACTACTAACATACGCAGATAATGAGGTAGTCCTGGCATCTTGTTTTGAGCTTTCATGTTACTTAGGCAATCTGCCTGAAGATTACCATGTAGAAATAAGGTCAACATGGAACAGGATTTAAGAAAGGAAGCCTTACCGAACTATATACCTACAGAAAAATTCTAATCGGCTTCCTTGAAGCTGGTATCGGTCGGCTGAGTTACTCTGCCGAACTACCCCTGGGATTAAGGCTACATTAGTCATGCATAAACGCAACGCCATGCCGCGGCTCTGTCATAGAAGGCGCTCGCGCGATAAGTCAACTACTGTATGTATCATCTAATTGGATTGATAGTTCGTGATTACCGTTAGGTTTACAAGACGTGTTTACGGCTTGTAGTTATTCACGGCAGCTTTGACCATAGGTCGATGGGTCGAAGGCGTCTGTTCCGGCTTGACTTCGGGTGCTTATGGTGTGAGCCGGTAACTCGACTCCAGTCGTCTTGGTAGATTCGACTTTGGTAGGAACATCGCTATCGTGTTCATAGGTTTGCATAAGTCGGTTCTAGGTGGGTTTTAGGGTAGTCCTAAGATAAGTTCTAGTGGGGGACTGAAGTCGGATATTTAGGAATGATAAGAAAAGAGAAGTTTTTAATCTGTATGAAGATTACTCGAAAGTAGTCTACGATTCCCCCAGATCATGGAAAGCTAGGGGGTCAAAAAAAGGGGCAACCTCACCGTCATTATTCACGTTGTGATTGGAGCTCTCAGTTAACGCTACGGTTTAATATATCAGGACTTTCAAAATAGATGATGGTACCGATATACTCTCTATATATGGATGTTTATATGTCCGTAAGTCCTTGGTGTTTGGAAGACTTAGCTTGGGGTCTAAGAATGCCCTATCCCCTACCTCACTGGTCGGGATCTTACTACAAATTATTTCCTCTTTGAACGGTTTTTTGCGATTGGCTGGAGGTACCAACAGATCAGGCCGATTTGTATTAATTGGAGTCTTCAGTAAGGGGTCAAATACCTAGGTACGTACTTGTTAAAGAGATATGAATAACCGTTTTGGAGGTAAGTCCAGGTACTATCTATCAATTGTCGTTGCGCAATCTCAAGTATCTACTGGCATTAGATCAGCGGTAAACTTCTCCACGATAGAAGATTAACTCGACTGGTGAGAAGCATTCGGGTTATATTTGAGAATAGAAGGCCAACAGTCCCTTACCCCTATCTTTGGAATGCATTTCTCGCACTAGTAACTCATCAAGTTAAATTGGAGGTTTATTAGAGTCTCCAGTAAGCATGGGGATTCTAAGTGCCTTATATAGGTAGTCAGAAGACCTCTTACCATGCGTGGCACTTTATCCGGGGCTAAGTCAACGGTATATTGATGCGTTTTCTATATACCGGTTATTATCCAACCCACTTCCATTCAATCATCTGCTTCCGTTCGCAATTATCCGTTCATAGCTTACTCTGCGCCGAGCTGAGAACCATGGCGTACTCTATCCCCATCGTCGAGAATTCGGCGTCTTTACTATACACCCAGGCATTATCCACGAGCTCGATATTTAACTCACCGAAGCCATCACACAGCGATTCCTATCATAGGGACGGGAACCCAACTCGATAAACACACTCACCGACGATCGTGACGACCAGGAAAAGCAACCATGAAGCCGACATCGATCCTAGCGTCTCTAGCAACAGCCGCACTCACGTCCGCGCAAACCGCACCCGACACCATCCCGACGATCCTCGGCATCCGCGGCGCCAACTCAGCGGGCTGCTTCGCAGCGACAAGCATGACGGTAGCGCTGGGCGCCAGCGACCTGCGGCTCGACTTCGCGGACATGCGGGCGAGCGTGGCGCCGGCGGACCCGTACGACTCCGAGGCGGCGATCTGCGTCATGTCGGTCGAGCTCGGCGCGTTCCCGCGGGGGTGGCGCATGGCCCTCGCCGACGTCACGTACACCGGGCACGCGAGGCTCAGCGGGGGGGCGCGATTGCAGAGCTTTGCGGCGAATGCGTATTTTCAGTGGGAGCATTTGAAGAATAGCGAGCCGGTTGGTGAGCCGGTGGTTAAGAATGCTTCGGGGTCGTATCTTGTGAGTTTGCCCAACCTACCTCCTTTTATTGTTGGACTTTGGTGTGGTGGTGTGATAGGTGATTGTGGTGTTTCTAACGCGCTGCTTGTTCCCCTGCGGAGTAGATGAATATACCCGAGATGCGAGTCGATTTTGGCGCAAGCGGGTTCTACGACCAAGACTTCTCAGTCAACATGCCGAACGCGGGCTTGGCCTGGTCGCCCTGCTTCACGGGACAGGAGTATTCGTATGATGATAAGATGCAGGTGCAGTTCCAGTTCCAAGCCTACTTGACCAAGGAAGGCTTTTCGAAAACTGGCAGCGGTGTGTTTGGTCGTGCTACTGGCCCGGCTATGACGGCGGATTTTAAGGTCGTCTGGGAGAAGTGCGATGCGACGCAGAGGAATTCCTGGGGCCAGTTCCGCATGGGTGATTATGAGACTTGCCAGCGTATAGGCCCGGGGACTACTGATGGCCAGCCAACTGTGAAATGGTGAGGAGATATTGTGTCTTGAGTAATGGAGGCCATTTACTACGATTGGAGATACAGTAGTGAGGACGAATATGAGGACCAGATAGAGTGGGTAGGTACCTTACATGATTCTATCTTAGATGCATGTCACAAATTAATAGAACGACAATTGATTTGTTCGAATCTGAACCTAACTGAGTAGCATGCTATGACTCATTTCAAAATCTCTAGAACCAATGCGTAATACATATCTATATTCTCAAAATGCCAGTCTAAAGAGTAGGTAAGTAAGGAAAAAAGTCGTTTATATGACAGTCGCCCACTCGGGATAAACCTCCTGCTCCCTTGGTACCGACGCTCTATTGCGATCCTCGATATGCTCCCGCAGCGGAAGATCCTGATGCTGGCTCCTCACGCCCATATCCACGCCCCTCTTATGTATATACCTCGCAAAGCCCACCGTCTGTCTCTTCCACTCCTCCCTCGACACGCGACCGGCGATATAATCCGCATAAAGCATCGCATCGAAAGCGGCCTGCGAAGTCGAAGCCACGGTATGTGGGCGGAACCCAGCCAGTGCGTCGCCGATAAGCACGACCTTGCCTCCAAGGTACTCGTTATTCGGGGTCAGCACGTCGGTCACAGCCTGCACGAACGGCCTCTTCGTCCCGCACACGATCTCCGCGAACTGCGGCGGCAGCCGCTCGCGCGCGAGAACCCGCTGCTTCTCCCACGCCGCCTCGTTGATCACCCCCGGAGGAACCGTGATCTGCCGCCTGCGCCCATCCCTATCCGTCATGATCTCCTCGAGCTCGGGAGACCCGGGCGCGAAGTTGGTATAGTACACGAAGTTGATGAGGCGCTCGCCCGGCTTGACCGTGCCGTCCTTGCCGGGGATCAGGTACGCCAGGATCTGGACGCCGGGCGCGTGGAAGAAGGTGAAGCGGTTAGTGAAGGCGTCGCGCGCCGCGGCGCTGGCCTCGCTCTCGATCAGCGTCCCGCGCAACGCGCAGTAGCCCGCGTACTTGCGCTCGACGGACGGCTCGAGGATCCTGCGCACCGTGGAGCTGGGCCCATCGGCGCCGACGAGCACGTCCCCATACGTGCTGCCCTCCTCGCCCGCGCTCGTCTTCCAGCGCACGCGGATGCCGTCGCCTTCCTCGTCGAAGCCGGTGACTTGGCGGTCGTGCAGGTGCGTCGCTTTGCCGTGCCCGGGGACCGGGGCCGGGACTTCGCAGTACGGGCTCGCGATGCCGTCGTAGTTGGCGCGCATCAGGTAGTACGTCAGGTCCCAGGACGTCATGTTTTGCACCATTTCCTCGCGGTGCACGATGTTGCCCGCCTTGTCGAGATACTGCCTGCGCGCCGAGCTGACGGCGATGGGGCGGTCGCAGCGGTTGTACCGCTTGAAGAGCTCGAGCGTGTCGCCTCCCGCGACGATGCCGGCACCTTGATCTTGGAGTAGGGGCGCCGGGTTGCGCTCTAGTATCGTGGTGTCATGGCCGAGTGCTTTTAGCGCGAGGCCTGCTGCGAGGCCGCCGAGTGACCCTCCGACCTATTATTATTATAATTAGCACCATGTTCTGCCGCGACTAGGTGATCTGACGTACTATCACAAAGTGTAGTTTTCTCCCCTGACTTTCCGCCGGCGACAGAGCTGTAGAGATAGCCATGGCTTTGCTCATTTCGTGAACGAGTTATCACCAATTTTCCCCATGGGGTTTGATGTTAAATATTCGGCGATTAGGTCCTGGTGATAAAAGAAGTCCCGTTGGATGATCAACGCATGTCCTATGAATTAGCCGGGAGGGGTCTTCCTATGGGATGCGCCGGGCTTTACGTCACATTGAGGTAGTCGGCGTCGAGCGGCAGATGCCTCATTTTGCCCTGAAATATTGATTTAATTACTCATATGCAGTATACTTGATAAGATATAGTAATATAGATCATCATTATAAATGAAGGCTCCCCAATTTCCAAGTCCTAGCTGAGACCGTATTACTAAGCCGTAGATGGAGGACGAATAAATTAATAAAAAAAAGACATTGAATTCATGTGACAAATAGCCCGTAAATTTGTCATTAGGTTAATTACCTACCTACGTATGGATTTAATTGTCATAGGGACGTTTGGCCCTAGAATCAAGACCTCATGCTTATCCTGTGCCTCCTGCCAGGACCCCTGAATGACGGCGACACTTTCGTTGGATAGGATATCTAATACACCATCTCAACAATTGGCCGTCAAAACTTCTAGTCGATATCGGCCTAATTATTCTCAACATTGACATTGTTACAGATATCCCCAAACACATCCATCATGTGGTTGATACTATCTCTAACCTCCCAGGCTCTCTCCGCCATGTCAACCCCTAATGGAAGCATCATCTCTTTCTCGCGCCCCTTTCCTATTCCTTCTCCTACAACTACATCGTATATCGCCTTTGTTGCTTTGAGATGGTCGCCAGGGACTGTGAAGTTACCCGATCCCATGATTTCGTACATCCTACCAGTGGTCGTTCCACTGTAATCGGGGTCAAGAGGCTTCAACTTCGGTTCGACCTTGCCAACCATAGGTGTATTGAAAGTCCCAAGGTATACCAACAGAACGCGGACATTAAACTCTGCCATCTCCTTGTGCAGCGTTTTGGTCAGGCCTTGAAAATGTAAGCTCTAGAAAAATCTAGCAAGCCCGTATGACTCACCATCTAGGGCAGATTTGGAAGCGCCGTAAAGGCCTAGGGAACTTCGAGCTTCCATTCCGGAACCACTGCTAAAATTTACGATCATACCCGAGCGTCTCTTTCGCATATGTGGCGCGACCGCTCGTATCAGGCGGTAAGGGCCGAAGAAATTGGTATTCATAATACGCTGAACCTCCTCTTCGCTGAAAGACTCGACCGGGCCTGTCATGCCGAAGCCAGCGACATTGACCAAGACGTCGATCGCCGTCCCACGCGCCTCGATGCTTCCGATGACTTGGCCACACTCGGATTCGTCCTGGTCTAGTCGGACGCATTCTCCTCCGTTCTTGGTGAACTCATCAACGAGTTCCGGTGTACGACTCGGGTTTCGAAATGTTGCGATGATATGGTGTCCGTTGGCCTGCGCAAGACGTGCCATGGCGAGGCCGAAGCCTGATGAGCAGCCTGTAATCAGCCATGTCAACTTCTTTTTGTTAGGAACCTCGGCGGACATGATCATCGGTTTCGATACAGAATTCTCTTCAGTAGGGAGCAAAGTAGGTGCAGAAGTAAAGTTCAATGGGGGTTCAATCTTGAAAAATAGCTGTTTTTAATCTAGTCTTTGTAGATTTATGTCTTCCCTATATAAACATTGTCACAAACCGCCTTGATTGGTCTACTATACGACTACAAAAGTAGCAAAACGGGTTTACCTTCATTCTAACGGACTTTAGTATGTTAACTCCATAATCCGCGCACTACTTGATCACGTAAAGCTACCTAATTCCAGCCTTGTGACCCTTTTAAGAGTAGATCTGAGTCAAATTATGACCTACTAGGTAGGTTAGACTAGTAGAAGTTCTATTTCTCATCAATCATCTATCCTGTCTATGTTCACATTTCAAGATGTTATAATGATTCACATACCTAGGTTATATATGGGCTAACAACTACTAGACAAACAATGATGTAGGACACAGTAAATCAATATAACTAAAGTTTGAATTTCAAACAGAATACCAATAATATTTATCGGGCAACAGGATTGTTAGAATAACTCGCAATATGTCCTTAGCAACTTACAAACTGCTTCCACGCCACTAGGTACTTAGTTTCCTCCAAATTATTTGTCTATGGACTAGGTAAGGAACAAGGAAAAAAAACCATGATCGAACTAGAAAAGTACTTAAGGTTATTGTTGGATAGCCGATTGATACCTAATTAGTGATTGAATATAAAATTTCAGATGATATAAACTATATTAACTCATCCCCTTAGAATCTCTCTTGGACATCTACGTACCACTGAGGAAGTAGCTAATCCATACCTACTCATATGTCTCATGGAAAGGAATGGGAATGAAAAACAAGTAATATTCAATTGTTCCCTACTGTCAGAAGCTTCCTCCATGAGAGCTGGTAGCCAGAGGTATCGGGAGTCGGCCTGTACGAGGCCGCCCTGTTGGCAGCTAGCCTTTAGCTATAGACAAAGGAAGGTTTATGTATGTATACCGCGTTCCCTGGAAGGGGTTAGTTAGAGCTCTTCGCGCAACAACGTCGTTCTTCCCTAGCCTCTTAGTTCCGCCTCGTGACACCTACCTAGGTAGGCAGTCATGGATATTTCATGATGAACTTGAAATCTTCACAGTACCTAGGTACCTAGTTAGGAGAGCATAAGACCCAAAAGCTAGACTTTATTTTTTAGGTAATTACAACTCATGCGATTCACCTATAGCATCAACTAGCCGACAGGTGCCAAGTTTTCCGTTTACCGCTGGCTTCAAAGCTATACTCTCGAAGGACGTCATCTTATGTATTCCTAGAGAATCTACGTTAGATTTAAAAGACGTTGCTCGTCTTAGTCAAACTTGCCGTGAGCTTTCAAGGCTACTTCGCGGACGCATGTGCTGTCTTGATGTACTTGAAATGATGGCCATCGAACGCACTGCACCCGAAGAAGATTGTAGATGGACGCGTTTTCCGCCTCATGAAATACAGATGTTAAAGCGGCCGTGTATTTCTCAGCCTCAAATTTCGGCTTTGCACTGGACATCCAGGTATGAAAATATTGAGCTTGCAAATGATGTTATCAAAGCAGCACTGAAGATATCTTCAGGATACTTGGACTCGAAGGACTCGTTCAGCCAAACGCCCTTGGCCCTCGCTGCGGAGAAGGGGCGTGCCGAGATTGTCCACGAACTTCTAGATGCTGGATGCTACAGCGACGCCCCAATCCCCGAAGAAGAATTCCTCCAGAAAGGGGAAAGTTAAACATTCCGCTCCTTATGTTTTACTCCTCTTGCACTGGTTATTGCGGCACGCAAAGATTCTACCGCGATCATCCTAGCGCAGAGCACTACACTAAGGGGAGATGAGGATGGAAGGTCGATTTTCAGCCCACTTTACGTAGCCGCACTTTGTGGAATGCCAATTATCGTTAAGTTATTACTCCTTAAAGGGTATGATACATCGCGGCAACATCCTCTTCGCGATACTACGCTACCTTTTACCCTTCACCATCGGAGGGTCGAGCAAGTGGTTATCGACCAAGAAAACGCTATACCTTGTATCATCTACTTCGTACTCATAGATACACGACTTGATTTTCGCGTCAAGGTTGTGGTTGGATGGACATTTCTTGATTAGGTATGTAGAACGACACGGGGATAGTGAGGTGAGTAGGCCACTAAGGGGGATTTTTGGTGTCATGAGGCGATAAGATCGTGGGTCAGGATGAGAATGAAGAGAACTCCGATTTAACATCAAGGGGGGACGAAGGGATCGTAACTAACTGTTACCTAACAATACAGAGGATTGTATTTGCCGAAAACAATAGTCTTGACGGAAAACTGAGCATTTCACGACTTCATTACTTTCCTAGAGAGTAAGATGACATTTCCTATCACATCCTTCATCCACGGTGCTATAGTATGAATAGAAGTCATGGGAACATCTAAAGAAAATAATGGACGGATCAACTGGGATCACAGTCGCGGGTCCAAGCGTATTACTTTTACTTACTATACATATGGTATAACAGTGTGTACAGATTACTCTATACGGTCTTATCCTACCTCGTAGGTACCCAATGGGTCAGTTCCTGCCATGATTATTCACCTCTTGCCTTGGACACTCAACGATTGAGTCACATGCCTTCTTATATATCATCCGAACATGGACTAGTAACTGATCATTGCGCTCTAAGTTACGTCAATTGGCTACGGCGATGCGCTATCATCCACTTCAAAGACAAATTTGCGTTGGATTAGGTAATATCTCGCACGTCGTTGTTGCCTCTTTGAAGTTCCCGGGCAGTCACAGTATCACACAACAGCGCTTCCCACGGTTCATTGGGCGCTTTGGCCATACTATCCAGTCTTAGCATGCTTTCAGTGGAAAATTTTCACTGCCTGATGGTGGAAAAAAACAGGTGTGACGTTTCGTTATCTGAAGTTGGAAATAACGACCACCTAGCGCACCTTCCCAGCAACTGTGTCGACTCTATACGGCCCACTCTACGAAAAGGTATATAACAATCGAACAATCCTCCAGAATTCTACTTTTCATTTTTCATTGTCCACACACCACAGACACATTCTTCTCGTACAAGATCACTTACTCGACCCACACATCATAAGTGAACAATATCACATCACGGCTGATAACATTGACGAGAAGCTCTACCGCACACAACAACTAACTTCGACATACCTAGACACGTAAGTAATATTCTACTTCACACCGATATAGTGAATTGTCTCAACTGATGTTCTTGCTCCCCTAGTCACAAGTCGCCGCCGCCATCTAACCATCTTTACAAAACCCACTACCCACCCGCTCAGCTAAATCAACACGCCATGTCGACCACACCTCTCAGTACTTCCGGTGGCCAAAAGCTTAGCTATGATGTATTTTACATCATGGTAGAGGAAGGGCAAATCGATGAATGGGATGATATCTGCTCCCTTCGTGAGACATGCCGCACCCTAGCCAAAATCTTAGGGCCGCCATTATATCGGAAGGATATCAGATACAGCTTAAAAAAGGAGGACAAGTGCAAGCGCATATATCTGGAAAATGCAGCTAAAGCTAACGCTATACTATCCGAACCCGTTTACAGTCCTATTTGGAAACGTAGAAGGGGCTATGACGAATCATCTGGCGACGACGAATCGGACGAAAGCTACCCTGATGACCGCAGTGACGAGGACGAGGGGCTTTTCCGAGAATGGGAACCTCTCGATCCATCCACGTACTTCGGAAAGCATCAGACAAATTTGAACCGTCCAGTTGTCTTCAAGATAAGAAGGACCGCTCTCTATTGGGCTGCCCAGAAGGGGTATACAGAAATGCTCAAGACGGTTCTCAGGCAAGCAAAGCACACCGATCGACGATACTTGGACCTGAAAGTTGAAGGGGGAAAGACAGCTCTCGGAATTGCTGCCAGGAATGGTCAAACCGAGATCGTCGAATTACTTGTCAAGGCTGGAGCTTTTGTGGACGCACCTTCACCGTACTCGAGAACCTTTACTCGAAGACACCGGGGAGCGCGTCTTCGTGACGTGTCGCCAAGTCATCCATCTAACTTTGGTGATCGACGACAACACTTTCTCACACCTCTCGGTATCGCCATTCGGTATGGCAAAGAAGACACTGCAATTTCCCTAGCACACCATACCGAGCACCTGGATCACCCTGGCTGGAACCAGTGGCATACTATAATCTCACCCTTGACCCTTGCCGTGGTAAATAAGATGTACGGAGTTATCAAAGTCCTGCTTTCTCGGGGGTACAAAGACTACGCCGACATTAGCTATTCATACGAACGCGAGTGGCATCCAATGTGCGTCGCCGCCTCCCTCCCGAACAACGAAGAAATGCTCGGATTCCTTATCAGTCACGGCATGGGAGTAGATACCAAAGGATCTTGGGGTTGGTATCCTCTCGAAATGGCTGTCCACAGTGAATGCGTCAGCAACGCCATCTATCTGCTTGGTCGTGAGGAGCCTGGCTACGTGGGTGACCGTATCACTACCGCACTATACAGAGCCATGATGCGCGACAGGAATCTTGAAGTGACCAAAGCGATCGCCGAGCGCCTGAATTCTCTCGGCCACTTTGAGCTACTTCAAAGACAGCTTTGTGACACAGACTTCTCAAGGAAGCGTTCAAAAACGCTTTCCTTCATGGCCAACCTGCTGGTTAGTGGGCTCAATAAAGCCTACATTAGAGAGGATCAGACCTACATCCATTGGATTCTAGAGAAGTCCGACAGCGAGCTTGGCTTCAGACCGCACTTCTGGTGCGATATAACACACATAAAGGAATATGTCAAGGATGGATTCGATATCAATGCCAAGGACAGGGATGGGTACACAGGTGCCGATTTGGCCAAGAAAAGCGGGAGGGAATATGCATACAAAGAGCTCATATCTTAATCAGAAGATCCCGTACCGAGGAGTGGACACATATGATACAAGGACGAGCAATGTAGGATGTGTTCTACGGGTATCCTGGAGTATGCAGGAGACAAATGACGTCTCTTCATGATCTTCAAAATCTCATTGCTTCGAAGTTGAGACATCTCCGTGCAAGCTTTAGTTTAATTAACCAAGGATTCATGACCACAACATGTTTTGACTTCAATGAATGTGCTGTATGGGTATAATGACTTGTCTACCTGTTGTGATAGTGGATAATGCTGTCAAGATCTTTCAGCACATCAAAGCTCGCGAACCTTAGATCCTATGGATACAACAATGAAATTTTTTCAGTTAGATATCCATCTCAATTCTACATGATCAGAGAAAGACGCCTTCAACTTATGCTTCTTGCTAGATATTGAGTACCTGCTGGGTAGGTACTTAGGTAGTGAAAAGTAAATGGTACCAGTGGTCGCTGCTGAACCCAAGTTTTTACCCCTGTTTTTACCCCTCTGTAGTTTGTAGGACAGCGGGGATAAGGGGCGTATTCCGGGCGGGTTTAAGGCACTGCGGCTGGGTACGATCTGGAACCGCAACAGCGTTTAAAGCTCACTAATATTCCTAATTAACAGACGTTACAGCAACCACATTTGCAGGTAGCACCGTCCCGCCCCGTCTCTTTTCTAGGATGGATCTATGGTCAAAGCTTGTACATACCTATCTTCAATTCTATCTCTTAAACTTCCGCGACCCCAAATCTCAACTGATTTAATTTAGGTACTAGTGAAGCTGAGAAGGGGCACATTATTGATTCCACGACCCGAAACAATCTATTTAGATGCCCGCCAGAACGGTGCTAATCACGGGCTGCGGCCCGCACGGCATCGGCTCCGCCCTCGCGACCGAGTTCCACGTGCGGGGCCACCGCGTCTTCGCCACGGGGCTCGACGAGGCGCTGCTCACCCACCTGCAAGCCCTCGGCATCGAGACGCTAGTCCTAGACGTAACGTCACCGGCCTCCATCGAGCGCGCCGCATCGCACGTCGCGAAACTGACCGACGGCAAGCTCGACATCCTCGTCAACAACGCGGGCGTGATGCACGTGATGCCCTTCGCGGACTCCTCCGTCTCCGACGCGCGGCGCGTCTTCGACGTCAACGTCTTCGGCACGATCGCCGTGACCCACGCCTTCCTGCCGCTCCTGCGCTCCTCCTCCGCCGTAGGCTCGAAGAAGAAGAAACACGATGATAGCGGTAGACCCGGAAGCGATGCGATCGTCGCCAACATCGTCAGCATCAACTCGGAGCTCCGACCCCCTTTCTTCGGCCTCTATAACGCGTCGAAGGCCGCCGTCGAGGTCCTCGGCGCGTCGATGCGGCCCGAGCTCGCGCCGCTCGGCATCCGCGTCGTGGCGGTTAAGACCGGGTGCGTGGGCAGCGATTTGTTCGCCAACGCGCCGGTGGCGCGGCTGCCCGAGCGCAGCTGGTACGGCGCTGCGCGGGCGTGGATCGAGGGGCGCCGCATGTTGGAGGTCGCGAGGAATGAGGATCCTGCTGTTTACGCGAGGGGTGTGGTGGAGGAGCTGCTTAGGCCGCGGGTCAAGAAGGTTGTTTGGCGGGGCGGGCTGGCGTTTTTCGCGTGGGTGATGAGTTGGTTTGGGTGGGAGGGTATGATGGTATGTTTGTCCCGTTACGCTACGGCTGCTGATTGCTGACTAGGGGGTAGGATGCTATTTACATCCGTGAGAATAGGATAAACCTGTGCGCTAGCGATGGTTCGTGAGACGGATGGGGGTGGTCTCGGCACTTGCTTAAGCTCGTGGGGCATGAGGCTCCGCCGGTCTTCAGCTACCGGCCTTTCCGCGGAGCATCGCAAAATTGTCGGGTTATTGGAACTGTGTGAATAGACTGCGTGCCCCTACCTAGGTATACAGACTAAAATAAACTCATTGAGTTCCACATCCAAGTCGCATATCGCAACAACCAAGGCATTAGTGGTTTGTGAGTATATCTTCAGACGATGCATTCCTGTTAGCATCGATTAACTAACTTTGAATAGAGTGGTAAAATCCATCGTTGCCATCGATGGGCCCCGCGTTCGATTCGCGGCTAATGCAATTTTTTTCTCGTTATTTTTTTCATTATTTATTTTCACTATTATTTCGCTGACGTTTTTGGGATTGTGGACAATGGCTAAAAGCTTTCCCTCGCGAAAGGGGATTGACACGTATAGCTATACTTATACATATGCATTTCACAATACGGCATTCTCATCAATATTGGAATAAAATAGTAATATCATTGTGAAATCTCGCCTCAATTTGACCTTGAGAAGATCTCGTCTTTGAAGAGAAATCAATTTTTGTTGGCAAGCCACAACTTGGTAGTTAGTGGCTGCTTATGTGGCTGGAACCCTATAATAATACCCCTAAATTAGGCGTACTTTCTCCAAACGAGATTTACACCCACGGATTGCCAACGGCAGAACATCAGAGCAAAAAGAATCAACACCAGATGTTAAATTTGCAAAATAGAAGGGTTTGGCCGGGGATTGAACCCGGGACCTCTCGCATATCAGCTTTAGGTTTTCCCTAAGCGAGAATCATACCACTAGACCACCAAACCAGATACGGATGGGACGAAGTATCGCCATTTGATATTCAAAAACGTTGTTATTGGCAATTATATAATTGTGACGAACCGGCGGTCAGTGACTCGAAATCAACTTTGAAGTTGTGGATAGGGGGCCAAATTAGGTCCAGTCAAACGCATTGGAAGAAGCCACGCTAGCAAGTGGGCTTTCCTGCTAACCTTGACGGGACTAGCGTTTGAGTGTCTTAGCCCCACTAAAGCATCCACAAACTCAATTGTGTTAGTCATACCATGTGGCAATTCGAATGGATTTCAAGTGTGCCCATGCAGCCATGCTTGTAAATTACACAATATTCTATGATGCTAGCATCAATATATGAAGTTAACGATTTCATTGTCAGAAATGCATCCTTAGCTGGCTTTGTTGCACATCGGATCGCGGTTAGCCATGAGATTTCTACGGGATCGGAGTATCTGAAGTGTGGCTAATTCGCGATCCGCGTGTAACTGTGGCTGATCTCCCATTATCGTGGCGCTTGTGACAGGAAACACAATCCTTCCGCAATCTCATTTTATCAATGCCAGGAAGAGAAGGAGAAGAGCCTCGACCAAACCTCTTAGGTACTCAGGTATCGAACGGGCCCTAATTCTAACTCTCAAGACGGCCTTCAAGCCTCCGAAAAGCCTACCCCAGTTCTAAAAGGCCCCGGGGACATCCGTCCGGGTAAAATCGTAGCGCATCGGTACACATAAGCCATTTTTCCAGAGAGGAAAAAAAAAGCGGGAATCAGCTCCGGAGCTGATTTGTCGGGAAAGATGGGCTGGCCGTACCAATTCGTCGACCTCGACGCTGCGCAAAAGCAGGCCAGGCGTCAGGTCCTCGATAGGTATGCTGCGTTCGCTCAGCTCTCGGCATTGATACCCATTGCCGTGGTCCTGCTCTTCCGGCTCGGATCGTGGCTGGTGAAACGGGCTTCGCCGGAAGGGCAACGCGGAGTTTACGAAGCTGTTCCGGCTTCTCCAGCTCTGAAGCAGAGGAGGCGCTCTGTTATGGGCGTATGGGCTAGCACTTATAGAAGGTTCGTGTGGTGGCTGGGTGATGATGTTACGTTCCTAGGCATAAGTTGGGGACAGCGAGATCAGATATTCGTCGGCGCTGGATGGACTCTTTGGCTTGTTTTTTTATGTGTGATGGGTACTGGAAATGGTAAGTCTACCTAGGTGCTTATTCATTATGATGAATCTTAGAGACCTAGAGGCAAGAGCACTGACTTTATCTAGATTATCTTCACTTAACCAAGCGATTTGGACAAGTCGCACTGTCGCAATTTCCATTACAGTACTTGATGGCGCTTAAGAGCCTGAACCCTATTGCTTTCGCATTCGGGTCTTCTCATGAGCAAGTTAATCGATGGCATCGCGTTCTTGGATGGGTCATTTATTTCTTGCTCTTCACACATGCATGCCTATACCTTAACTTTTATGTTCAGGAGGGAATTTTGACCGAACGCCTTGTCCGCTTAATTCCAGCCCTTGGTCTTGCCTCTATCGTCGGTATGAGTTTCATGAATGCCACGGCTATCAAGTTCATACGCCAATACTCATACCGTGTCTTCTTCATCACCCACCTTACAGTAGCAATGTTGCTCCCGCCTGCCATATTCTTCCATTCCCACCACGGAGGTCGCCAGTATGTGATTGAGGCACTCGGTGTCTTCCTCATCGATATCGCCAAACGAAGATTCGATACTGTCACGGCACCTGCAACCTTAGAGCTGATCCCTGGAACGAGTCTAGTTAAGATCGTAGCCGGCATCCCCTCTAAGAAAATCGACCGCTTTCGCAAGTATCCTGGGATGCATGTGTACCTGAGTATCCCGCCTGCCTCTCGCCGTAGTTCTATCTTCTCGCCATCCTACCTCCTTTTTGAATGCGTGTTCAACCCGTTCACGATCGCATCGGTAGACGAAGAGTCTGGGGATCTGACTTTAGTTGCGCGACGTCATAGGGGGCCTATGACTAGAACTCTAACTCAGTTCGCAGAAGATGGGTTAGATGGCGCAAAGGTGTCGCTCAATATTGACGGGCCTTATGGGTGTGCGACGTGGTTCCCGAACTTGGGAGGTCCCGAGTTCCATCGCGTTCTTTTTGTCGCTGGTGGAGTTGGTGCTACATTCATCTTGCCTCTATACCGGTACGTATAATCAGCCTCTGTTCTGCCCAATGGTTCCTTCATGTGCCCCATTCATGTAAATACTAACAAGAATGCAGTAAGTTGTTAACGTCATTTAATGATAACTTCACATTGAAAGTCTGCGTCTATAAAGGATAGTCCCGACATGATTAAACGGGAAGAAATCCTAGCACAGAGAGTCAGAGACGCATGCTTAACATTAGAATACGTTTGTCGTGGCCAAAGGCTAACATACCATAGGTTTAATTGCAAATGAAAACCCAGCAGCTCGTGTACAGATGGTGTGGGCAGTCCACGGCGCTGGCGATGCCACTTGGCCTACCTCTAACACTGCAGAGAACATTTTAGACGACGAGAACATCCAATTGTTCTTGACTGGAAGCACCCTTACGAACAGTAGCACGGTACCCAGGTTGAGCGACGAAAGCGAAGCGGTAGAATTAACCGACATATCCACTGATGCCCGGCAAATTCACAAACGACCCAATTTGCAGAGAATCGTTGACGATTTCTTCCGACAAGGGCTTGAAGAGCGAGTTGCTATATTGGTATGCGGCCCGGAAGAGATGGCTCGTGAGTTGAGGTCCTACGTCGGAGCGTATGTGAAGAAGGGCCGTGACGTGTGGTGGCATAACGAGAGTTTCGCGTGGTAGTCTCAAAGTACTTTCTTGGAAAGATTCTGTCAAGTATATAAGATGTTTTTCAAGGAAAGAGTGAGATACAACCCATTGTTCCACCCGGAATGCATTTACATCTCTTGGTGACGGGATAGAAGTCCAGTGGCGTTTGCTAAGTCAGTTATCCTACCTAGGTACCTTTTGGGTCTTTATTCTACTGGCTACAAAGTTTTATATACTCTCAAGGTGTCCATAATAACCCTTACTAGTACATCTATCTGCCTTTCTATTACGTGGTTACTGGCTACGTTATTCGTCGAGCTAAGGAGGAATATGTTTAACTAACTCACTCTTTCTTCAGAGTAAAGTTTCTTCTTTCTTAATATATCATAGTTAGCGTTTATAGATGGGATCTATGACCCATTCACAGTGGGGCTCTTTCCGTACTCGTTTTATTCCTACTGGATTATAGGTAGCAAACTGCCGTCCCATCAACTGGCTGCAGCCCTGGTGGAGTATTGATACCAGAACAATCTCTAATTGCAATTTTAACACGGTCTATTCTGGAACATACTTTACGAGTTGCTTAACACCAAGTAGAAATAGTTACTGACATGTTAACCAGCATCTTCTCCCACTAGAATCACTTAAATTCACAGAACCTCTAAGTCCTTCTGCGATCCTACTCGCAGGTGAACTCTCACAAAGATGGCTCGACTGGAAGATTTACCGCACGAATTATTTCGCGAGATTTTCAGCTACCTTCCCGTTCGCGATATAAGCACTGTGAGTCTCTTAAACAAGAGACTCCACTGGCTGCTCTTCGATGAAGTATTCCAACGCGCTTACCGGCGGAGGATCGCAAACCAACAGTCTGGAACCACAGCACTGATCACGCTGCTCTTCCATGCCATAAAGCACGATTCGGTTAACTTGGTGGAGTGGATTCTAGCACAGAGATCGAAGCTTGACCTTAATGGGTGAGTAGCAACGCTCCCAGCTCACCCTACGCATGCTAACTAAAGTCTCAACTATTCAGATACATTCCGAAATTTCGAGAGGATCTCGGTACTTTCTATTCACTGGAATTTCTCAAGGCTTTGCCAAAGGCTCGAGAAAACCCCAATGTCACCTATCTTCAAGTCGCAATCCTTAAAGACGCACCGAGAGTAGCAGCACGTCTAGTCAAGCACGGAACGTACCTCAACTCCGACATGGGAAATTATCCCGATCTAACACCCCTTTACATGACACTGGCACAATGTCGCGTCAGCAGCTCCAGAGCCCTCGACAATGCTCTTCGTATTGCCTGTACATACGCTCTTCCCAGAACAACACACTTCCTATTGAAGAACATGGCCAATCCGGATAGTCTAGGCCCTTTGAACTATTCCGCTCTGCATTGCGCAGTATCGAAGAAGCTTCCTTATCTTCGGTTTGATAAATTTTCATCCGCGCCTTGGGGAAGCATGACCGAAAAGACCGTCCGCGCGTTACTGGACTTCAACGCAGACAAAGAGGCCAAGACGACCACTCCACGAATCCATGCTTGTGGCCATAGCTGCTGGCGCTCGTTTAATTGCGATAGTTCAGGACAGACTGCTCTTCAGCTTGCGTCCAGCCGTGGACTGAGTGAAGCTGTAAATCTCCTGCTTGATAAGGGAGCCGACCCTAACTCAGCAAACGAAAATGGATTTCGTGTTTTGTACACGGCTCTGGCTCAAGGACATGTGTCTATCGCAATCCGTCTTCTCGAATGCATGTTTACAGTAGTCAATCCAATCGTCCACGAACAAACGGGGATGACTGCCTTGCATGCTGCTTGCCGTTTTGCTGTGCCTAGCGTGGTTCTCCGTTTGCTCGAACGTGGAGCGCGTGTAAACGCTCCCGATTCTCGCGGTATAACCCCTCTCCACGAGGTGCTTGGCCAGACGAGTTTCGGCGCAGAAGATGACGTCCTTCAGACCTTGGATCATCTTGATTTATATGGCGCTGATCCCGATATCGACGTAGGCGCACGAAGCGGAAGCCCAAGAACGCTAGGGGAGAACCATCCTATTCCGGAGGTTCGAGTCATGTTCATCAAAGAAAGACCTAAGGAGTGCAAGCTCAGGTTCAGGGCCCCAAAGCCGAGAGTCGAGGAGGTACGACATACTCCTCCTGCAGAGCCTCCTTCGAAGATCCCGATGGTTCAGTCAACAAGTCACGTCCGTCAAGTAGAAGGCGCATGGGCTCTAGATCATGTCGATGATCCCATTAAGAATTCCTCCGTCAACAAGAGCGCTCCAGATGATAAACCCCAGAGACATCAGAAACATCAAAAGCATCAGAAGCATCAGAAACCCAAGGAGAACTTTCCGCCCCTGAATGGTGCGACCAAAGTGCCGTGGCTAGGAGTGCCTAAGAAGGCGGGCAACGATTTGAAGGGAGACAAAAAGGTTGAAGTAGGCTCAAATTCTCTAGGGATGATTCCCGGTTGTCTTCCATACGAATCCAATTCTCGCTGCGTGGAGTCCCCTGCCTCACGACCAACGGATCACTCTGCGGCGCGGTTCTGGAAGAATTCACCGCAACAGCAAGCATCTAAGGTAGCCGACCATAAGGATGGCGCGGAAGCCGAAAGTAAACATGGAAAGCATCAAACTTCGAACCAAAAACGATCGCGGAAAGCAAAATGGAAGGCATTGGAACTCAAGTAGAGAACCATGGAATTATTCTAGTTAGCAATGCCCACCTAACGATGTTACCTTTGCTCCATAGTTTCGTATTTGCTAGCAATACCACCGATATGAATTAAAAAGAATTTGAACTTATTCCCGTCAGGGATCGCTTACGATATGAAAACACGCTCTATATAATTACCTGTTGGTATTTCTTCAGTAAATCTTGAACGACATCGGCGACGCTAAAATATATATCTACACCCCCTGTGCTCTGCCAAGCCAATTTTGCACGCGTCAACCTGCGCCCCGCGGCTTTAGAAGTATTATTGAATGTCCAAAAGGGATTTATATTGCCCAATATCTCGAAAGACATGGATGATTACGTGAGTTCATCGCAGTGAGATGCGAACATATCCCTTCTCATCTAAGCTGCCAAGAGCGACGGCGATTCCAGGTTATGGAATCATCATACGGCCTTACCAATCCCGTTCATAATTCATCCATGTCTTCTTGCCGTCCCAAACTGGGATAGACTTGGCGCATTCTTATCATGTTATACGTTGGGAATTAGATAGATCCGCCCAGTGACTTGGGGTTGCATTTCCCGCCCAGAGAATTGAAATCACTGGATCCTGCGGCATAAAGGATCGTCATCGCCTCTCTGGGCACCGTAACTTCTTCCGTCTTAGGGCCCGGACACGTTGGTTCAAGATGGAAGGAAACGGGAATGATTCGGCCGTCTCGATTTCTATTCGGAAGAAAAGTTTGAAGTCTCTTCGGCCGATTTCGGGTTTAAGCACGATTGATTGTGCCTTCATCATCCCTATCCCTCACCTTCGATAGCGCATCTACTAAGTTGGTAGTTTGGGTTGGTTAGATTTGGTCCAACCTTAGCCGTGGACAACAAAGCTTCTGTGGATTAACCAGCGTAACGTGAAAATTTAACGGCTCAGGTGGATGCCCGTTATTAAATTGAAGCTATTCAGACATTCGCATAGAATTACGTACCTGCCTTTCCAGTAGAGGAGACCGGATCGCACTAGGATCGGGATATACCGTTAACGGCCTTAGTGTGAGCTACAGTAGTTAGCTCCCGATCATTAGCTAGCTGCAGAGCCACTTCGGGATTTATACAAGGCGTAGTTCAATTTGGCTTATCAGATGCGACGATGTCCTTTACGTACGGGGTTACGTACCTGCCTACCTAAGAAGGTATGTACTATGTAGCAAGACTGATGCCAGCAAGCAACATCGTGGCACCGTCTCCACTGATCTTCGATCGTCATGCAGTGCAACTTCGCGTATTCTAATCAGCGGAGCCGCGATCAAGGTTACCAGATGAAGTTAAAATGTCGTATCCACCGGTACCTTGCACCTGCTGTCGGTACAAACCTGGTATGATTTGAACAGGGAAGATGGCCTTTTCTAGAAAGGCATCGGTAGCCCAACCGAGCATCGACGGCGAGTCTAGCCCGACAAGATCTATAACGCTCCCGGGACCTGGTTAGCTAGGCTCCGAAGACCTGCCGATATCACTTAATCGTGATCTTTAAGGACCCAAGAGATCCGGAATGGACGTCATGATACTTTATATACGAGAACGCAACTGGTTAGAGTTGGTCCGAGATAGGAAAGAGACAAGGAATATACCGAATCCTTTGACCTTAATCCCAGCATTCCTAAGCAGGTCGCGTGTGCCTACAATTTTAAGGTGGATCTCCACTCACGACCTCGCCCTTTTGAAGATTCCTAAGAGTTCGGCTCTTGGCGACGATGACAAAGTTGATCAGCACGCTAACACATGGCTGACTCCCGCCTTCCATATTAGCGAATAACCAAGACAGAGCTAGCCAAGGTTGACGGAGTGGACATTGTTATAATAAGATGAAAGGATCGCGACTTTCCAACACCTTTTAAGTTGTACCACTTCCCACGAGTATTCTGAAGCACCCTCATCACCAACTTTCGCCTCTAGTCTACTTCTAGTCACTCATTCGCGGTATTTGTTCAATATGCGTTCTACTCTTCTTTCTCTTTGTATGCTCGGCGGAGCTCTAGCGGCTCGACCTTTCTTGAACGAGCCGGACACAGGGTGAGTCTTCCGGAACCTGACTCGTGAAAGTTAAGAATATGGAAGACTTACGAGATGAAAGATTCGATGAGTACTTCGCGGACCTGGCAACCGGCGAGCTGCCGCCGCTGGACAAGTTAGTCGGACTACCAGACTTCGATGCGGCGGCGCGGAGGCATCTTCCCGCTATGAACTACACCTACTACCGTAATGGAGCAGCTGGAGAGTGGTCGTACCGGAATAACCTCGAGGCCTACAACCGCTACAGACTAAAGCCCAGAACCATGGTGGATATCACCGGCATCGAGTCGACGCTCCCGTATGCTAACCCACACCTCCGCCTCTTATCATATCGGAACCTGATTTACGTGATATAGGACTACGATTTTAGGCCACAACTTCTCCGCGCCCTTCTTCATCACCCCTTGTGCTCGAGGTGGTTACGGCAACGTCGACGGCGAGAAGGGTCTCGTCGAGGGTGCCGCTGACGGAGATATTCTATACATGGTACGAACCTACATAGCTCGCTAAATCCGAAACCCCTTCCCCTAATGCCAAGAGCATGCTGACATTAGCCGTCCGGCGTAGCCCTCGCTGTACGCCAGCTTGACGATCGAAGAGATCACCGCCTTCAAGAAGGACGGCCAGGTCACCTTCCAGCAGGTATACCTCGACTCGAACGACACCGCCACCCAAAGTATCTTCGACCGTGCCAAGGCCGCGGACGCCAAGGCCATCGTCTTCACCATCGACTCCGCCGCTGACGGCAACCGTCACCGCGCCGCCCGCTACGGCGTTGGTTCTGCGTAAGTCCAGCACCTGCATATCTCCCCTCATTTGCCGCACTTGGCTCAGACTAACACGTCATCCAGCGACTCCGCCTACACCGTCATCACCGTAAGCCGCATCCAACTCCAGCCAAGCCCAAGCCAAGAACGCCGCAGCAAGCGCATTCGTCATCCTATACACTAAATCATTGAGAGGAAGCTAACACATGGACTAACTGACGCATCTATATAGTGGGACCTGTACGACCACCTCACCACGATGACCGACCTGCCCATCATCCTCAAGGGCATCCAAACCGTCGAGGACGCGCAAGAAGCGGTGCGCCACGGCGTTCCCGCGATCTACCTGTCGAACCACGGCGGCCGCCAGATCGACGGCGCGCGCTCGCCGCTCGAGGTCGCGATCGAGATCCGCGACAAGGCGCCCGAGGTGTTCGCGCAGACGGAGGTGTACGCCGACGGCGGCGTGCGGTACGGCGCCGACGTCGTCAAGCTGCTGGCCCTCGGCGTCAGGGCCGTGGGTGTGGGCCGCCCCTTTATGTACGCTAATGTTTATGGTACCGAGGGCGTGAGCCGCGCTATCGAGTTGCTTAAGCATGAGATTGCGATTGATGCGGCGAATGCTGGGGTGGCGGATTTGAAGAGGATTGATCCTAATATCGTGAGTAATTCCTTTCTTTTTCTTGGTTTTTTTTCGGGCCTTTAGAGACGATTTACGGCGGCTTGGAGGGTGAATGCGGGCTAATGATAAGCTAGGTCGACTGGACCCCGAACTGGGCTTCTGCTTAGATGTAGAAAGGGGTGATTCTATAAAAGGATTTTGGTGGATTCTTGTATATACTTTTGTACTGGTTGTATGGGTCTCCTATTTGCATGCTCGTAGATATCATTAGACTAGATGGCGGTTACATAAAAGGCCAATGTTTAACAGTTACTAAATTCAACCAGCTTTGCTAGCCAGGGACGTGATTTCTTGGCATCGTGAGATGAAACCAGTGAAGGTGTAGGTATGTATGAGATCTTCCCTCAGACTAAACTTACAATATGTCGAATTTCGGTACTCTTCCGCCTTGTTTAAGTCTCGCTGGCGGTACTTTGTTCCTTAGTTCGGGAATTCCTTCATCTCCGGCTGAAGAAGCTGTTCGGGACCGGTTCGATGCCAAGGATTGACTAAGTCCGCCAAAACGCGATCCTTCGAGCAGAACTCCACATCCACCTCATGCGTACCTGATCCCTGGAGATCTTGTTCATGCTTCGGGAATCCCGCTAGCTCTTGACCATCTTCGGCGCATTATAAGATATGAACTTTATCTGCCGATCCACTTTCTACTAATCCAACTTGAAGCTAGCGTTATGGGTTATAACTAAGTAAACCCTCACCGATCTTCAAATAGGAGACCTCCGGATTGTGAAATGGCTTATCATGATCCAATAGATAGACGCTCTCAAGGAGTGTTTTCTTTCAAGGGGCGTTGAGTCTGTCTTTCGGCTTTCCTTATTGCTAGATGGATTACCTTTCTTCAAACCACTTGAGTATGTTGAATCTGCAGTGTTGTGACACTCAGTGCAGGTTGGGTAGATGACTAGGCATTGCCATAGTTTACTGTTCACACCAAGGACAGATTTACGTTGTACCGTTCAGGTATGTAATGATTTACCCCTGAATTGGGCTGATAATTTACAACCCGTAAGATGCGCAAAAACTCTAAGTCATGTGTATAGATAATAGCTATATGGCACTCAGACTTAACTATCAGCCTAGTATCATATCCATAGAGCCAGTTCCCCTAAGGAAGCGGTCAGTACCGCCTCTGGGGTTACCATAAGTCAATTCATGACAGCACTACCATGCTTTCGTGACATGTGTCGGTCTCACCTGTGTGCTGTATAGGTAACATTCATAAATACCAAGTCACCAACGTCAATACACGTAACTTCCTAATGTGCAAAAATATAATCTATCTGTTAGGGACTTTAAAATCTGCATCTACCCAAGGGGGCCATCTTCCTCTCCCCTTTTCCTTCACAATCTAACGAGGTACACAAGGACATCAGCCAATCCTAGAATTTTCTAGGAGATCTAGGGATATCGGGGTATCTATAAAGACAACATCAACCAACAGCCTCCCTGCACGATACCCTTGCGAGATCCGTTCAATACCAATTCTATCATGTGTGGTAAATGGAAAGATTATCAAGGCACATGCGGCCACACTGTTAATCAAGATATCAGACTAGAATGTGATGAGTATAAAAGGTCTGGTCGATGTCCAAAAGTAGTACGTCACGATACCTGGTGCCCCAAACAAATCCTACAAAAACTTCAATTCGAGGAAATATTCTGCGATCGTTGCTACGCTCAAAGAATAAGCAAATTCTATGAAGATACCGTAGCAACGGATCCAAACCACGAGTCGATCCCGCAGGTAACCATGATGCATCTGCAGATCACGATGTGGCCCGAGCTCCCGCTCAAGACGATGGATAGTATTCATGAAGCGGTAATGATGAAGTGGAGGTGGAGTCATATGACCTCCGACATTGTGACTGTGATGGTCGAGAACGGGATTTGCTCATACTATGAAGCCCAGAGTAAGATGACACAGATCCAGGCACGGATTTAAGATGAGACAGGTGGCGGATAAAGGAGTTCAACAGGGCGAAATGATCAGATATGAACCTTTGGTACCTATGGATGTGTTGTAGCGAGGGCTGTGGATAGTTGACTTGATATACTGGTTATCTACCTACCTATTTAGTATTCGTTTGGCCAGGTTCATATGCGGTATCGCGATGCCTCAAGCTAAACAACTAGTTGCTCTAGTTATAATCATGGTAGTGAAATGTTAGGCCTCCCGATCTCCGTTTATGTCAATGGTCTCCTTGTCGAAGATGGAGAGCTTTTATAGAGCCAACTTCCAAGTTCAAGTTTGGAGGCTAATAAACCCCTGAGATGCGCAAAGCCGACAAACCAAGACGCCTGAGGAATAAGTGTATGCGGCCCGGGCCTAACCCTGTTTGATTGCAACATGATCAAGTAAGAATGAACGTGCTGCGTTAGAAGAAGTATAGTTGTCAAGCATTATTAGATATATCCAATTATATCAATTGACTGTAAAATATGCTCTATCGGGAATGCCCCTTTTCTGGATCTGACCAATCAGATCTAGCAGATTTCGGGTCCCTGCTTACATAATTACATACAACAAATTTGAGAACCTGATATTGGATCGAAGATATATGTATTAGAAATTATTAGCATATTTGTACGATCATATTTCACCGAGAGTGGAAATATTGAAGGTTTCATTGGTCGGCAACCCATGTTATCGTCGCAATAGGTGATATCTTCCCCACATGACGCAATCGACACCCACGAATACATCTCGACTCCCGTCGCCCGAACATAAAAAGGGTCGCCAAGCACGTATGTACCACTTAGAACAACTAGAGGGGAAATTTTAGAAAAAAAACTATGGCCACCGCCACATACGTTGTCACGCCTCCAGCTCTAGCCCCGCCCGGGCAGCCCGATATCTCGTATCATCCGGACCCTGTGAAATATCAGGCCCGTAGAGATAGGCGAATCAAGTCTGGTGATTTAACCAAAGAGCTCCCTAAGGGCCTACCTCAGCAGCTTAATGGAAAGCTGGTCTGGGAAGGCGACAAGCTCGCGGAGACGTATGAGTGGACTTACGTTCTCCAGCCGAGCCAGCTCGACGAAGTCGATCTTGCAGTGAAACACTTCAAGTGTATGTAGCGTCTTATATGTGGGTTAGTCTCATACTGATAGAAGTCAACTCAGCGCTCGGTTTATCTTTGGGGCATATAAGCCAGGAGACTTTCCCGTTGCCAAAGCTGCACACTGAACTTCGACGGCTTTCTGACGAGCTTCATAACGGTCACGGTTTCTTCGTGATACGTGGCTTACGTGTCGATGAGTACTCGCGCGAAGATAACATTATAATCTACGCAGGTATCTCAGCACATATCGCTCCTAAACGGGGGCGTCAGGATAAGAAGTTCGGCGGCAAACCTGCGGCCGTCACCCTATCTCACATCAAGGATTTGAGTGGGCCTGCGAATAATGATGTGATTGGTAGTCCGGCTTTTACTACCGACAAGCAAGTATTCCATACTGACTCTGGAGATATCGTATCTCTCTTCGCTCTTGAGACGGCGGCCGAAGGCGGCGCAAGCAAGCTCGCTAGCACGTGGCGGGTATATAACGAGATTGCTCGCACTCGACCTGATCTCATCCACACATTAACGGGGAACTGGGACATAGAGAAGTCAGCTAATTCGTACCATCACCTCGTCCAGACATCGTAAAGCTAACAATCACACTTTTTAGTTTTGCCGAGCGGAAGTTCATAACAAGGCCTCTTATGTATTATCAGCCAGCTACCGAATCAACCCCGGAACGCGTGATATTGCAGTATGCTCGTCGGTCACTCGTCGGATTCGGCGCCCTCCCTCGAAGCCATAACATCCCGCCCATCACCGAAGCGCAGGCCGAAGCGTTGGACACCTTGCACTTCCTCGGCGAGAAGTTCAGCGTCAATACGTATTTCCAGAAAGGGGATATCCAATACGTCAACAACTTAGCGCTCTTCCACGCGCGGGACGGGTTCACAAACACGGCTGAGAAGCAGTAAGTCGATCTCCTAATTAAGTCCCACCCGCAGCTGAAACTTGAGTAACTAAATTTGCAGGCGGCATTTGTTACGGCTTTGGTTGCGCGACCCTGAGAACGCTTGGGCAACACCGGAGCCGTTGAAGTGGAGGTGGGACCAGCTGTATGACGGTTGGACGCCAGAGGAAGAGGTTTTGCCCCTTGAGCCGTACATTCGGTCAGCAGGTAACAAGAGCGGTTGAGTATTCTAGCACCTGTGGGTTCTATATAGTTCTTTTATGGTGTTTAATCCATCGAGCCATCGACTAAGACATGTTTGGCGATTGCTGTCAATTCTTTTTCAACTGCCGCAATATTAACGACTGATGCGACGTAAATCGTGTGTTACCGCTTGGCTGGAATCAAGGACTCATTGTGACGCTATAAATCGCACTTTGTGGTATCATTGCATACTTGGCGCGTGGGAGAAAAACGAATGCCCTGTCTTGTGCTGATAGGGTACGTCCATACCTTGGCTTGTAATAAAAAGCTTGCGACTATAACCTAACCCTGTAAGAGCTATTGCCAATACCGAATGATAAAGACGTTATTTCTAAAATCTAACTAGGAAATTGACTATGTAATTGTGTGTAAGCACGCGCCTAACCATGTGTCGACCCATATACTCCCACGAGATCTACCAAGCTACCTAGAGAACCGCGAATTTCGACGACCACAACAAATGACGAACATTGTATACAACTGTTTCGCATGGTGATCCCGGTTAGTTACCTCTTTTCTTAGCTGCCATGGAATGTTCTGTAGCATCGGGAACCCGTGCTGCATGGTTGTCATGACCAGCTATCATTGCGTGATTGCCGGCCCCCTCTTACCTAGGAAGGTCGATGTACTTTTTCATCCAACCAACCAACCAATCTCAAGTCTATCTGTCCTTGACCGAGACATATATGGATCTATATCGTCCGCATAAACAAGTTAGATAGAATCGGATGGACCGTATTTCTATTCCGTACGCGCGTCTAGAAGCCCGGGCAACTGATTTTATAACTGTCAGGGCCGATTGTATCATCCCGCCTTTATATATCGCACAAGTCTAGGGTCCGCTTGGCATGCTCCCATTATCTTTAAAAGCTCGCGATACTGTATCACGGTTCCGATTGATTCTTGTGCGACTACCTTGAGATTCGTATCGACGATATTCTCTCATGAAGGATCAAAAAGTCTCCTTTCTTCTATGAAATATCTTGGAATTGAATATATGCGGATGAAGCTTTAATAAACAATGGGGTTCCCAAAATTTTGGGCCCGGTCCACCACCACGGAGGTTCCGGCGGCTGAAACCAATCCATCTAGTTCTGATATCTCGGTTATCCATGACGGCAATCTCGCGTATACCATCGAGAAGGCGGAAAATGGGTCAAAGCCATCTTACCAAGAAGCCGCCGGCGCTCCCGTCGAGTCTCACTCGCCTTTAGGATATCACGTTGGTTGGATAACGGTGATTTTCCTAAATGTTAACCAAATGATCGGAACCGGTATCTTCTCAACGCGTAAGGCTTTCCAGTCACCATCCATTTCCATCGGGAGCTGTCCTGGTCTAATTATTAAACTTCACAGCCGGAACAATTCTGAGCAGTACTGGCTCAGTTGGACTTGCTTTAATTTACTGGGCCATCGGGTTTTTCTTGGCGGTTACAGGCTTTAGCGTTTATCTCGAGTTGGCGAGCTATTTCCCGAACCGATCTGGATCTGAGGTTGTTTACCTGGAACAAGAGTATCCGCGACCGAAACATTTCTTCCCAGTCTCGTTCGCGGTTTTCTCCGTGTTGCTGTCTTTCAGTAGCAGCAACGCCATTGGTACGTGGTAACACCACGGCGGGATTTCACAGTTCGAACGACTAACGCTCTGTAGTCCTGGCGCGATATATATACCAGATCGCTGGCACCACAGGCACAGACTGGCAGCTGAAAGGCGTGGCGATCGCTGCCTACACTATAGCAACTCTTTGTACGTCGTAGCCCTCCAAAACTGTATAAATCTAACAAGCATATTAGTCGTGGTCGCTCATAACACGTACTCGCTCTGGCTATCAAACCTTCTCGGCTTGGTTAAAATCATTACCCTCATCTTGTAAGTCTAGATTTCCCCTGTATGATTGTTAAGGGTATAAACTAACGAGACTCCAATTCTAGTATCAGTATTACCGGTCTCGTCGTGCTGGGTGGAAATGTTTCCCACATCTCTGACCCGACAGTCAACTTCCGTAACGCATTTGAAGGGACGACAACCAACGGCAACGACCTTGCTGTGGCCCTAGTCAACATCATATTCTCATACGCGGGATATGCGAACGCATTTAACTTGGTAAACGAGATCAAGAACCCTATCCCAACGTTGAAGAGGAACGGTACCATATCTATTCTCACGGTAGGTACACTATATATGCTCTGCAATATCGCGTACTTCGCTGCAGGTAAGATTCAAGACCAGCTTCTCTCCCCTACAGCTACACTTTAGGAGCTAATTAAAAGTTTATAGTCCCTAAGGACGAATTCGCCAAGTCTAAGGAAGTTGCTGCGGGTGTCTTCTTCATAACGGTATTCGGTAAAGGTAGAGCTGAACAGGCACTAAATGTGCTGGTCTTGCTGAGTGCTTTTGCGAATCTCCTTGCTGTGGTTATTGGCCACTCGCGAGTGATACGTGAAATTGGGCGGTGAGATACCCCTGAAGGTCCCTGTTCGCTGTACATGAACACTAATTGATCGCTCTATTATAGACAAGGCGTATTGCCGTGGACTGAGTTCTGGGTATCTACTAAACCTTTCGGAACCCCAGCTGGGCCGTACTTGTTGCTATGGGTAGTGACTTTCGTCATGATCGTCGCTCCACCTGCCGGAGATGCGTTCCAGTTCGGTGAGTTTGGGTGTTGAGAAGCTTCTATATTCCTTTTTTACATATCTTGCTAATGAAGTGGCATAGTTGTGAGTCTGGCTACCTATCCTAATGGCCTGTTTACTCTGGCCCTTGCGGTTGGGGTGTATATCATCCGATACCGACGCAAGCGTGCTGGCCTACCAAGGACGGAATTTAGAGCCTGGGACATCGCTGTTATCTTCTATATCCTGGTTCAAGTATACACTGTCTCAGCACCGTGGATTCCTCCGAAGGGCGGCCCATATGCTGGCACAGTATCTTTCTGGTACGCTACATACTGTGTTGTGGGTATCGCCATCATCCTCTTGTGCGGCATTTACTACATCTTCTGGATGTTCATACTACCAAAGTGGGGAAAATATAAGATCCGGCCGGAGATATTGGACGTCGATGACCACGGCGCAAACACACACCGTCTGGTAAAGGTGCCCCTGAGCGAAGTAGAAAAGTGGGACGAAGAACACGATGAGGCTGGCCGCTTACGGCGGAGACGAGTTCACAACTCGGAGAGTCTTTCACAAGGCGAAAGCAACGATCTGGGGCCGAAAGTTGCCTAAATTGACGAGCTGTTCACGGCGTTTATACCATAGCTAAGTCGACCGCAAATCGATTGGTGCTATATACGTTACATGGCGATATATTGTGAACATGTAACCAAATTTACTCTATACACTTAGGTACCTATTAGATTGATCCTTGACTTCTCTCCTAGAATTATTAGAAAGAGCTGTAATTTTTAATGTCTGAACGATTTGTATGTTGATGACAGGTACATGCACCAGTTCCGAGGAGATATTTTAGACCTAGACAAACATGTGACGGCTATGGTGATAGTATTGGGACAAGAGGCGACTTTTAATTCGGACCTATGATAGAAAGGGATTTCATGCTCTAGATAACACTATGGATGTGGTTTATTCTATAGTTGAATGCGGGCAGATTACAACCGGAGCCCGTCAATATATAGTTTTTACTGACTCGCGTGGAGCAATATTAAAATTGGACCAGAGCACTCAAACCGGTTTCTTTACCTATTCACTTATCTTCTTCGATCACTCCTTTACTTCAATTCTTTAACTCGTAGCAACCATCACAATTCAATTATCTATAGGATTCATTCAATGTAGAACATTTGACATTTAGTGACTATCAGGTAGGTAAAGCGAGCCCCCTCCCCCTATTAATTGTGGGTCATATCAACAAGGTTGGACCCTTTCTCATATTCGACAAGGTATCTAGCATCACATGAATTGTAGCGATCTCTATTTACAGATTGATAGGCCTGCGATCGAGCCCAGTACCGCCACCACGCGAGATCTATATATACGTATAGCAGAACGGCCCGTCATAGGTACTCATGAGCTCCCTCATTGTGATTGGATACCCACCGGCGTAGCCGAGATCTACGATGTCATCCAGAGTCGTATTGGGTGATGGAGGACTATTCAAGAAAGTTCCCGTGCCTGAGATGGCATTGCGGCGGTTCTTATAATCGAGGCTTTGCCACGCCCACCAAACCAGGTCGATCATGCCATGGTGAAGATAGAAAGCGGGATCACCAGGTGAAACGTAAACATCGGCGCCTGGGTTGCCACCTATGGTGTAGTGACCGCCACCATGAACCCCAATAGATCCCGAACCAGGAACACCCTGCATAACCTGCTGGAAGTCGGCGATATTGTTGTTCTGCTGAATAAGATTGACAATCGATGTAGCATTCGCGTAGGCAGAGTTGATACCGACAGATATGTCCCTTCTGAGACACCGAGGATTGTAGTCTAATCCACTTCCCGTGACGGTAGATCCGTTATTAATTGGAAGGTTCACGGGTCCTAGGCTTACTACCATGTCTTTAAAGGGGCCAGATGTAACGCACCCGCCCCCGTTGCCAGGTGGTAAGTAAATCGGCGGATCACCACTAACCGTTATGACTAGTGGACCTTTATTGGGGATATATGCGCCATTGCCGGACATGCTATATGGTGTGCCATCAAATATTGGTGAAGAGGTTGGGTCCTCGGCGTATAATCCCCAGTTCCAATACCTAAACTAGGTTGGCTTGATTCTATCCCGATGCTTTATGATTGACTTACGGTTGGTAGCCCGTATAACCGCATTCATTCCTCAAAGTTTGTTCGTAGGTATAGGTGAACCACCGGTGCCAGGCAAGGAAAGTCCCCTTGGAGATTAGTTGAAGTTAGTTAGAGGTGCCTCATGACGGGGACGTGTGGAGTGCTCACGGTATAGTGGATTTTTAACGTCTGATTAAGGTGGGCAGCTACGAAGTCATCGTACCGCGATCTAGCTCCGGGCACTAAGCTAGCAGGTGTCTTCGCTGGTAGTTTTTGCAGGCATAGGACGGCATCCGTGTAGGCCTTGCGCTCTTTTTTGCTCAAGGATCCCCTAGTAATAGTTTCAGCTCTGTCAAACTTGGATGACAATTTTGACTCACCATTCACGGCGGACCGTAAGCTTCTCATAAGTACATGTTTGAACTCTCTTCCCAGAGCTCCTGACTCTGCTGTCCAGGATACCAGCTTGCTTGGACCTAGCCTGGTTAAGTAAGTTCTCTAGCTCCGTAAGAGACTCGGTGAATTCACTGGAATTGAATCGAGCAGCCACTAAAGTTGTTAGCAAAAACGTGCAAATTAAGCGATAAATATGCATGGTGAAGGGACGGGAGCTATAACATAAGCTCAGAAAAAAATCGGACTAGGTAGCTTGGATAGGTGGTTTACAGCCAAGCCCATATGATGCATATGTGATCTCTGTATGATGTATTCACTGAGGAAGATCGGCGTAGGTGGGAGTTCCATCCTAGAGATATCTTTATAGGTTTTCACAAATTCCCTATCTTTCCTTTTTTCTTTTTCTTCACATGGAATCTAACTACCTAGGTAGGTACTCATCAAGGCAATCATAGCTGCAAGGCGATCATATCCACATATGTTTATAATCTACTGTTACTATCTTAGACATCTTATGACCTTCCCTTCAAAGGTTTTCCCGGTCGATTAGTGTCTTCCCATACGCTAATGTAAAATAGTCTAGGTTCTCTCTCGCTGTCTATCGGTGTTTATTCTCGTTGCATTATGTTTATATCCTGTAGCGAAGAAAGAAAAGAACCTGGAACAATATGGAGTAGCTAAGTCTAAGCACCAATCATACACTATTCATTGAATACGTAGTATTTCCAAGCCCTGTAGTCCGGCACTACCACCCCGGTCCAGGTGAAGCCCAAGTCCACGGAATTAACCAGGCTCAAGAACTAACCCAGAACCAGCTTAGTCAATACGATCTTAACTGCTCGGACAAACGATTCGATGCACATATAACAAGGGTACGAGGGTATCAACAAAGTACCCATCAATTCACGATTTAAGACTGTGGTCCTCTTTTCTACGAGTTAGGCATGCGAGATATCCCGACCCAAAACTCCGCGGTTTTTAGGTCACTTTCAAGAGTTGCAATAGTATTCAGTTCCGGAGTTAGTCTTTCCTTTCGTCAAGATTCATGACACTCCTATGTTATTATAGCATCGCGGGAATAAAGAGTACTCGACAGTCCCTAAGCTGGAACAAGTAAGTACTAGTGTAGGTATTGTGTCTTTCCCCAACCATAAGAGTTCGATAACCTCTAGCTAACTATCATCCGTAGACTAGGCTAGAGTTTGACTTATGTATCTGGGGTTAGCTTTGTAGTAAGCTCTTAGGATATTGAGTCGCTTAAATCTAGGCGGTCCCTCTATCCGCATCCTTATTTAGGGGTTCCAGTTTACAGGACCGGTGTCGTAGCCAACCCATCTTTTCTTACCAACTGCGAATAGAGAAACATCGGCGTCAACCGTACGATTTACATAAGATGCGATTCATTCTATCGTATGACATTAGCTTCCGTCCAAGAGTGGCGGGGCCCGAGTGGATGGCAACTTTACTAAGAGATCTATGGATATGTCTCGGCATCAGCCATTACCTAAAAGAGAATATCACCTCTTTCAACATTCGGTGATGGCTGTCAATTAGTTTATATTATTTATTTCCAACTTTGACAATGTCAGCGTCGCCCCTCCCCGACGCCCGTCCGCCTGATGAAAGTCGAGGACCCAGCATCTTGGGAGCCGTGATATCGACAACTTCGACTGCCCTAATTGCCGTTTGTCTAAAGATTTATGTCCGTACATGCATGGTGCGGAGTTTCGGGGCAGATGTATGAAGCTACAATCCAAAACGTTGAACAATAGTCTGACGAGTACATAACTTTCAGGATTACGCTATCATTTTCGCTATGGTATGGGCAGTTCTAGAGTATCTTCGTCGGTAATATGCGACTAATTGAACTTAACCTAGCTCCTGTCTTTAGCTGGGATGGGAATTATCATCGCTGAAGTCCAATACGGAGTAGGGCGCTATTCTGTGTATCTTGATCCGGAGATGATCAGGGTCGCTCTCAAATTGGATTTTGTATCGCAAACGATTTCCCAGTGGGCTATTCCAATAGCAAAGATATCTATCGGGTTATCCCTTATACGAACAGGACCTCCACATGTCTATAAACGCACTATTCAAGGCGTCATAGTATTCCTTTTGGCCTTTACATCTGCTCGGTTTGTCCTGTCGATGATCCAGTGTATTGATATGGCAGCAATATGGGATTCCCGTGTTGAGTCAAAATGCTTGTCACAAGGAACTATGCGGGGCGTCAGGTATACCAATTCGAGTAAGTATTTCCTCATTAAGTTATCTGTTTCTTCTTTCCTGGGTCTATCATATGGGCTGTCGTTACTAAACCCTCATCGCAGTTGTCAACGTCATTACCGACTACCTTGTTCTTGTGCTAGCTAGCATAATACTTTGGAATATCCAGACCACTCCTCGAGAGAAATTTTCACTAATCCCTGTTCTTGTTGTTGGTATCGTGTAAGTGTTTCTTTCGTCAAGTGCTTCCAAATTGTAATCTAATTATTTTGTAGCGCATGTGCCGCAGGCGTTTTGAAGCCAATATATATTGTGAAACTGGGGGAAACCAATGAAGTGCTGCGGGATTCAGCCAGTCTTGCCACGTGGAACCCGTGAGATTCCTACATTCTTCCGCATTTATGAATCTAGTACTTACAGGTCTTAGAGTCGAATTGAATATGGGAATTACCGCCTCCTGTATTCCGTGTATCAAGCCCATGTTCCAGAAGTTGCATGAAAGTGCGGCTCGCTCTATGCACTTCTCGAAGATAGACTCATATGGACTTCGCCCCTTTTCTAGCTATAGCAGTGGTGGTCGAAGAGCATCAAGGTATTTTCAAACTCAAACGCTGACCGAAATCACCGCTCGATGCGGGAGAAACGAGCATAGCTGGGTGAATAGCATTTATGATGAGGAAACAGGTGTAGAGCGCATGCCTAATGAGATTATGAGGACTACTGTTGTAACAGTTGATTCAACTGCTAAGCAGCGAAGCGGGTCTTCGGCAACTCCACGGATCTATCCTCCACGTGCGGTAGGGGATAGGCTATAATTCATCATCTTTTACACAAATCGTCCAAAAGATGGTGCCTCATAATTGCTTTCTATAGATACTTCCCGAAGAACTCAGCAACCTGGTTGTAACCCCTCTCATACTCTTTCTTGTTGTTCTCATCGTCCAGCTTTGCTCTAGCCCCCATCCAACCATGGAACATACTTCCGTACGTCTCCACAACCCCAACCTTCCCAGGTCCTTCTAAAATCTCCTTATACTGCGCCACAATATCGGCCGGCTCCCCGGGGGAAGCTAGACAAATATACGGTACCGTCAGGGCTTCCGCGTCCGCGGCCTCCAGGCGGCTCGGATGTGCGGTCCCGCTCACCTTGAACACCCTTCCCGACCCCTCATTGTCTTTACCGCAGGCCAGAATCCCGATCTTGCTGCCCCAGCACAGCCCGAAGACTCCCCAGCGGTCTCCGGTTGAAGGCCACTTCTCACCAGCCGCTTTGCGCACCTCGAGCAGTTTCTCGACGTTCTTCGGGATGGCGGCCCGCTCTTCCCGGAACTTTGCCATGGCCGCCTTTTTCTCTTCCGTATCGGGCGGCATCCAGGCTTCCTGCATGTACACGCCGTCAAAGAAATCCGGCACGATGACAAGCGCGTTGAGAGACGATGACAGACGGTCGGCGCCTTGCAGCGTTTGAGGCGCTAGCCCGAAGACATCGTAGATATCGATGATCGCAGTTTGGGGAGACTGCGGACCGATGACGTCTAAGGAATGTTAGTATGATAATAGGATATTACGGTGAAATTGAATTTTTGGTTTCATCGGTACTGAAGAGTAACCGTTACGACAATACTACTGCAGGCCCTGCATAAGGAATATCTACTTACATGTCTTCAAGCCGGCAATAGTCTCATAAGTTCCCCTTGGAACATAGTCTGAAGACACTGGTGGGATATCGTTACATCCTTTGCTCGCCATCGTGAATTTGAGGGGAATGATTATTGATAATCGAAGTTCAACCTAATTAAGCGTTGAGGCGATCAACTGAGATTCGCGAAAATAAATGGCTGATAAAGTACTTATTTATCTCTCAGTTGGAAATAGAATAAAACTCTCAATGAAACTGTTGATGTAGGACTCCGCAAGAATCAGGGCACTGCGTAGCGTGAAACCGGGAATAGCCGATTCGGCTCCGGCCAACCATCTTGTTTCCGGGACCCCTGAATGAAAATCGGTGCCGAATCGGCAATAGAGTAGAGATTTTTACTCATTCCTCGATCTTCCAGCATAGTCGCGACGATAACGCGAAATGACATCGACTCGAATTATAATCTGGGCTTTTGGCTTATCAAGAGGGTTATATAAAGACGATTAACTCTTCGACATGAACGCAAGGATCCTACAACCAGTGTACCTCAGCAAGCCCCTTCCCCTGAAGATCGTACACCAAAAGCTATCAGCTTGATTGTAGGCCTTCATGTTTTAACGGTAGTCTAATGAGTATCAAATCCCTCTTCAATGCCAGGAAAATTCGCATCTTCTTTCATACTTACTCCGGAGATGGCCGAAAACAAGAAGGGGGGTAGTTGATCGCATTAAGTCTTGCATCTCAATATGCCTACTCTGATGCTCGTCCACGAACAGCAAACCATGCTGCCGAAACTGGAGACTCTGGAGGAGCTAATGGAAGTAATGTTGCTAAAGATTAGGTATCTGGCGAGCAAGTCACATAAACTGACAAGCCTCTTTATTCAACCATGACTGCCAAGAAAAAGCTGTGGCGATACTAACTGTACCTTTTACAGCCATGATATCACCCTTATCCGGTGTGATCTACTCCCTACGCTACCATCACTTGCGCAAGATCTCAATGTCTCCACATCTTTAATCAACCTTCCAGTACCATGACAATATATCTAATAAGCCTCCAGAGTATCGCTTACTCGCAAATTGATAGGCATTTGCGCCATCCTTCATCGTTAACTACTCCGATGCGTACGGACATCGTCCTGTCTGCATAATCCATTCCGTAATTTACCTAGGTAGGTAGGTATCTAGCAGATAACATCGACCTGGCAATGCAGTGTTCATACGCCGCCCCCTTTGTCCTCCGCTACCTACGGAGCTACGAAAGCAGCGCGACCGTCGCCCTAGGCAGCGCTGTATCTGCAGACGTTTCCACGCGCGCATGGCCCATGAAATACCTCGAATACGCCTCCATAACCGTAACTCTCGGCCCAGCACTCAGGCCCGTGATCGGGGGATCAGATTAACCAATACTTAGGCTGGCGAGCGATCTTCTGGTCCTTAACAATCCTGTCGGGCGTGCCATTCCTCACTCTATTCGTATTCCTCTCCCAAACCGGCCATAAGGTCGTCGGCAACGGCCGCATTCTGTCTTCATGGTGGAATATGTCCATCCCAGCCTACGTCAAGCAGCAGCGCCAGCGGCGCCAAGGCATCGAGCCCGATACCTCTCTGAAGATGCCCTTCGAGAGGTTTGGCGGCATAATCCTCAGCTCTAGCGCGCTTGTCTACGGCGGGTACTACATGCTCCTGACCACGCTCTCCAGCGAATTCTCCGTCTGCTTCGTTTTCTCATCCGTCATCATCGGCGCGTGCTGCCTGCCTCTCGGCTTCGACAGCCCGTCGTACCGGCACACGGACGGACACCTCCTGGACCGGAACTTCCGGTGGCACGCTCGCGCCGCCAAGATAACGATACCCAAGGACCGCCAGCAGGACTGAGCGAGCCTATCTATCGAGAAGATGCGCCAGCAAGTCTCGCTACCGTTCGTGTATCTCACATGCGTTGTCGTTATGAGATACGGCAGGGCGATGCAGGCTAAAGCTTCGTTGGCGGGGATCGAGGTGTGCTTGTTCTTCTGCGGGGTATCCATTGCCGGTGTTACGCACGCTCTGAACACGCTTACCGTTAATACGCAAGTTGGGTCACAAGCGACTCCTTTTGCGGCGAAAATTTCACGTTGGCATCTCGTCGATGCTGGGGCAGCAGCGGTGTCCTCGCCACTCATCGATTGGACTAGGATGGGGTGGACGGGGGTCTTTGTCACGGGACTCTGGGTTATTTTGAGCGTCTCTTTATGGCTAGTTATTGCCAGGGGGAGGGAATGGAGGCATGCAGGGAGGGAAGGATAGGGGCCGTGCTGAGGAAGGGGCGAAAAATGCAATAGGCCAAACTTATAAGTGATGCAGGAATAGATATACCGCAGCAGCGAGATTATTCATAGTCCATTAAGTCCAAAGTATTTGTAGTTCAGCCATATCAAGCAGTCTTACGGCTTGTAGTGTTAGGGAATCTGACGCAATGAAAAAGGAGAAAAGTATATCATGCCGGGTGCTGGAATATCACGCCCTCTGATATCCCTACTAATCCGTCTTCTTCTCCTTGACGTTCTCCTCTGCCTTACCAAGCTCTGTGGCTACATGGCTGGACACCAGGTCCTCGGGCAAATGCCCGTGCTCCTCTCCCAAAGATACGATGAAGTACTGGTCAGACTTTCTCATGTGCTTCAAGTGAAATTTCTTGATACCCCGCTGACTAAGATTATTCGCAGTATGTTTGATGTACGCCAAGATTCGATGTACTAGTTTCATACTAAGTTCGACTTGATGGTCAGATAGCCATTTGTCGAACTCAGGCCATCCAGCCCTCGTACCCAGACCGGGATCAAAACTGCCAGTATCCACGAGGTCATCTCTCAAGTCAGGATTAGGTAACAACCCAACTAAAAAGTCTCTGGTGCCCGAAAACCACAACTGTGATCGTGTTATGTCGTCTTCACGTTTGTATGCTATGCGAGGAAAGAGGGCTGTGTCCTGACTGCTTGTTAGAGGTGAACAGCGATCGTACTGCATAGTGATATTTTTGAAGACAACGTAAGGTGGGAGATCCGGCCCTATATCTTCTTGGCAGCAAGCATTATTCTGATCCCGATCATCTTCAAGCTGATCAGGTTCCGCGAGGAATCCACTCTCCTTGAGTTGCATTCTATGCATCCATTCTCTGCGAGGTACGTTGCGTGTGACGTGATTAGGGTCCTCCACAATCAGAGGATAATCACCAAACCTGTACGAAACCACACGTTTGAATTGGGTGAGCTCCATATTTTCCCTCAATTTATTTCCTATTAGGAAAGGCTGCTGGACCATTTTTGTCATCAAATGGCTACTCGCAGCATGATGATATAGCCCTTGAAGCCGAGAGCTGTTGAGCGTCTTCATGAAAATAACGCCGTTCTCGGAATGGATATTGAAACACATTCCCTCTATACCCTTGTCATCTTCCGTGTAGACGAGTTTGTCGCGGACTGTATGAAATATGGCGGATAAAGTTTCGACGTCTGTTACAAAAGACGTAGACTTGATGGCAGCTAACTTTTTGACTTCCTCTGCAACTCTGCATAGGTCCTCGTACGCGAAGCGCGGATTTGCTATGCTGCTGTATGAAGGGATTTCAAACTCGAGGTTTTCAAACTCGAGTTTATCATATCGACAACTGGCATAAGGGGGTTCTCCTTGATATTTGCCAATATATTATGAGTTTCCACATTGGACTTATTTCAAGGAAGATAATGTCAGGAAACTAATACGAATAACTCACCAGGAATTGCTAAAACACGCACATACCTCCATTTGTGCGATTCTAGGGTCTTGGGGAGATGCGATGTACGCAAAGTCGAAAGTGTACGACGATGTATACAACAACACCAGGAATCGTCGCTCGTGTCTTCGCAATCTAGAACAAGTTGAGTCTTGTCATTGGTACTGAAGGTGAGGATTTCGTTGAAGTCGAGTTTATCCAATGCGTGTGCTTGTAGTGGGAATTTCTCATCCTCGTCGCCTTCGCTCGGAATTAATGTGATTCGATCGAGGCTCCCGGCACGCTTGAAACTTGACATTCTTCCTAACGAGATAGGAGTAACTCCAATGTTAGTGTTAAGGACCAATCATACAAATCCCGGAATGAAATAGACATTTTTAGCTAAGTTTATTATGGAGAAAATAGGTTGAACATCAAGGGTACCTAGAGGTGAAGGATAGCGGGGCCGAGCTGGAAATGGGGGGAAAAGGTGACTAATCAGGCTTCTAACGGTGCAAGGCACGTGACTCAAAATTACCTCCTTGTTAAGGAGAGATATGCCTTACATAATCAGGATTCTATTTATAGCCAGGATGCTGGAAATAAGACAAGGGCTGGACCACGGCTGCAAGGGGTAACACACCATGCGACTCTGTGGCACGTGCTGCTACCATCTCATTGGACAATATCCAGAGCTGACCCCAGCAGATCTCTGCTACTATGCCTGCTGTAAGACATCTCGCCGTCCAACGAACCTCCTCCCGACCAATCACGCGCAGGCAAATATAAATGGAGGCCAAGTGAGTTACTCCGGCCCGTCAGCTATTACTGCAAGGACCCCACATTGTCATCGCTGCCAACATGCTCGTAGTAATGATAATGGCCCTTGTCTCCTAGATGTTCCCCAGATCCGGACGAGAAAAGAGGGACAAAGAAACCACTAAGTCTAGATCTAAAAACGTCCTTGGAAATATGTCGAGCCCGGCGCCCTACGAGGGGAAACTATGCTGTGCTATCTGCGGCGACGCGATCCTACCGCCGACGCCGGAGCTCAGCTCAGCTGAAAGATGGCAGACGGAAGCCGTGCTCCTCAGCGACCCGGACAGGGAGTTCGAGCACCTGGAGGAGCACTACCGGGGAGGGAAGAAACGGGATGCTAAACGACTGGATATCTCCACGGCGCGGGAGATACGGAAGGACCGTGCGCGCGTGATTGAGAAAGATCGCCTTCGCATCATCGCCGCTAATCAGGATGGGGACGCAGATATGGAGCAGGAAGAAGTGGATTCCAACCGCTCATACGGCCGCGAAGAGAACGGCGAATGGGTAGTGACACCGTACTATATCGCGACGCACGAGGCATGTCTTGAGGTAGCCGAGACTGTCATGCGTCGTTCGCCGCACGATATCGCCGTCCGCGACTTGCGTACCCTGTGGAAGGTCCTGCGCATGCGCTTCAAGGTCGACGATATGTATCTCATGAGCTCGAGTATCGAATTTGTAGCATCGCCTCAGCGAATCCAATTACCTCACAGCTATTACATGCCATTCCGATTTGCTCCCATGTTGTCAGGGTCTTTTCCTAGCGGGGAGATTGATCGGAAGGTTGAGCGATGGGTATGTAGTTCAGATCAAGCATACCCCTAACACGCAGTTACACGCAGTTAACTCGAGACATAGGAAGCAGCTTACCCCCTACACGTGTCCGACCTAACCTCCGCAGTCCTTGAAAACCTAAGCAGCCTACCTCCCGCAACGGCAGCAATCCCACAAGCCGTATCCTTTCAGAAGAGATTCCTCGCGCTCCCCCCAGAGCTCCGAGACCACGTATGCTCGTTCCTAGCATCGCGCAACGGCATGCCAGGCACCTGCAACGGGTTACTACCGCAATGGATATGGCGCGAAGTCCTGCTCCGCGGCGAATGCCTGCCGTTCCTGCGGGACCTCGACGTCGCCGTCGTCAGGGACTTCTGCGCGCGCTGGGGCCGCGAGCACGGCAGCCAAGAACCCAACTGGGAGCTGCTCGTGCGCAAGCTCAGCCAGGAGGCCTGGAGCATCTGGGACGCGGAGAGCAGCTCGCTGAAAGTGCCTAGCGGCCTGCGCAACCGAAGGCGGATCTGGCAGCTGATTGAGGAGATGTACGTTGGAGATCTGGTACCGGTGAAGCGAATGATGCGGGTGAGTAGCGACCACGTGGTGGTGCCGAGATACTGGGATGAGCGTGGGGAGGTGATGCATCCGGTCGTGAGGGTTCAGGTTGGTTCTAGGGATAAACTGAGATCAGTGATGGCTTAAAGCTATATATGAACCCGTTAGACCGAGGCGGAGGATATAATAGCGATTAAAAGGCTGTAATAGTCAAGCGTAATGATCTAAACAATGCTGAGGGTAAGAGTGAATGCTTTCTTGGGCTATGATATGGGTTTAGAGGATATTATAGCGCGTATCAACGGCATTGTTACTTGAGTTACCTACGGATGCAAACTTCTCCAGCCACTACATCAAACCAATAAGAGGAATATCACTTCACGGAAATTTGAATTTACTTGGGCTGCCACATTATGGGTTCGTATGTTAATCTTGACCAGAACAAAACTCATCATACATTTATTTTTCAGTTCTCGGTGACAGTGAAACTAGCAACTCATCAGATGAACATTCCGAGACAGGTCAAGAGTGGCTTTGAATTCATGTAGTGTAATCAATTTTATTGTGGGAATCCTTATCTAAGTATATATGCATGCACAGAAGGCTAGTTAGAGATAAAAGTATGTCTGGCCTATGTCGCACATGGGAGCTGTGGAGAACTCCCACGATTGGGACGATGCCAATTTTATTCCTCTCGTAGATGATGAGTTATGAAGATAGCTCCAGAGATGATTGCATATCTCAGATCTCAGCTACGGATGTACCCCCAGTGTCACAAAAACCCCCTGTTCCGTCAGAAGCCCTCAGAGCCCTCAACCTCCCTCCCAATCCACCAATTCCGCTCAACAGCCCCCAGGTCCGTCAGGGTTTTTTTTTGTTCTCTTCTTTTCTTCTTTTCTTTCCTCTTTTTTTTTTTTTTTTTTTTTTTGGCTGTTCATCTTTTTTCCCTCCCTCCCTCCCGCTGTTACTATCAATTTATGATATTACTTGTTTTTTTTTCTTTTTCTTCGGTATGTCTGGACCATGCCGCTGCAGGTCGGGAAGATGTAGAGAATCCCGTTGCGAGCGGCTTGCCCATTTTATTCTGGTTGATATGGATCAAATTCTAGAGATAAACAATGCTCATCTCAGACCTTGTGCCATATATGTGCCCCTAGACCCGCATAAAGCCCCCGGATTGCTTCAGACCCCCAGTCCCCTCTAAGATACCCCCAGAGCCCTTCTTGTTTTTGTTTCTCGCCGTTTTGTCATCTCCTTTTCTTCTTCTTTTTTTCCTCTTTTTTTTTTCTTCTTTTTTCTTTTCTTTTTTTCTATCTCCCTCCCTCCCTCCCATTTGTCTTGTATGATTTCGCCATCTTGGTATCTGCATCCCCCAGTTCCCCTTGTAGCCCCCTGAAAAGTTCGCAAAGCCCCCGGTGCCAGTAGCTCTACCCTAAAGAAGATTATGTGAACCACGGAAGTTGAACAAAATTCTGTCTTTAGAGTAGATAAATATCGGACGATGAGTCCCAGCACTAGAGGATATGGTAGAATCCGTTAATGCGTGGAACTCTGCCCATTTTGATGTGCTAGGATCTGGTCGCACACCCGACACTAGGTCATGGCTCACGTCACCAGTCACAGCTAAAGCCCACGCTATAATCCAACAAGAGGTTAGCATAGAGAATCCAGAGTTTGGGGGAAGGGAGGGGAGGGGAGGGGTCCGGGAAGGGGCGCTCGCGGGTCGAGAGGCGTGCCAAGGACTCGTCGTCGGCGTCCAAGGGAGGTCTCTACCGTGCCGGAGGGTGATGTCCGGGGAGCGGGGTCCGGGAGGGGATATCGCGGGTCGCAAGGCGTGCCAAAAGCTCGTCGTCGGCGCTTAAGGGAGGTCTTGTCGTTGCTGGGTTGTCGATGCCCAGACCGCGGTCGCAGAGGCGTACCAAGGACTCGTCGTCGGCGTCCGAGGGAAGTCTCAGCCGGTCGCTAGGTAGTCGATGCCTAGTTCGCGGGTCGGGAGGCGGAGCTATTCCTCGTCGTCGGCGAAATAGTCGGTCTCAATCGAACCGGAGGGTAGTGTCCGGGTCCAAGGGTGGGGAAGGGGGAAAGAAAAGATTAAAGCAGAATGGGTAAGGGTCTATTAGAGTAAGAGCCAAAGTCAAAAATGGAAATAGGATGGGTAAAATAGCAAGGAGAAAGAGGAAAAGGGTTAAGGTATAAAAGAAAATGGATAGGAAGTGTGGTACCTAAGTTCAGTGTTAGTATTGTTGCTGTGGGTAAGTTTGAATAGACACATTAATAGCTTTAGATGCACGCAACCATTATGTTACGTAGGAGATAGGTAAGGTAAGGTATGGTATGGTTATGTTTGGTGAGTGAATGATGGTGGGGGTAGATGGTGTTGTCAGGTCATGGTTATGTTAGGTTAGTGGGGTAGGTGCCAGGTAGAATAGAGGGGTGGGTGACGAGTGACGAGCGACCGGTAAGTTAGGATGGTGGGTGACGAGTAGAATTGAAAGGTAGGGGACGAGTGAGAATGTAACGACGGTTGATAGCAATGTTACTTAGGTACATAGGTATGGTATTGATAATAGTGAATGATGGTCCCTAGTGATGGATGATGATTATTGATGGTGATGATGTGTTTTGGTTAAAAGTAATTGCAATAGTGATGAATATTGATGATATTGAGGGAAGGGAAAGGCAATGAAGAAGGTCGAAGAAGGTCAAGAAGATTGGAAGGTTGAAGATAGTGAAGATAGTGAAGATAGTTGAAGTGGATGATGCTCAGGGTGGATAGATTGGAATGATTGATAAGGGCGGTAGATATTGATTAGGTTCTTACCTGGGGTTTATGGGTCTTGGGTTAGGTGAAGTGGATTATGGGGAAAGAGAAATAGAAGGAAAGATTGGCGAAGGATGCCTGGGTATATATAGTAGAGGGTAGTGGGGCGGTGGGAGGATGTAGGCTTTGCTAATAATTGAGCGTTGCCTAGGTGCTTACCTGTTGCTAGTGGGTGATGGATTGGGTTGGTGGAGGATGAGAAGGAAAGGAAAGATTAGAGTGGTGAATCTGATTTATGTAGAAAGGGTGAAAAGAAAGTGGGTCTTAAGTAGAGAGGTGACTAGGAGTTAAGTGTTGCTTACCTGTGAGTTTTTGGTCTTGACTTGGGTGGTTTTGGGTTTGAAAAAATAAAAAAGAAGGAAGAGTTGGTGAAGGATCCCTGGGTACCTATATATAGGAAAGGAAGATGGGAGCGAAGGCCAGGCTGATTAGGATTGGCAACTCTGCACTAATCCCGATTAGGATTATTTTTAGTCGTCGGTAGCATCAGTATTCAGAAAATAAAAATGTAGCTGTATATATTCATTAAAACGTGTCGATTGAGTTTAGCTGTGGTGGTTGCCTGGGGTATTTTGACAATGATCTTGATATTGCGGCTCTTTTAGTGGATCTCGATAACGGTCCGACCCTTGTAACACATCAGTTGACAAGATTGACCAACCATTACCCATGTCAATCCCTAAAACGGAATTAAATCAACCAATCAAAAAAATACCTGAGCTTGGTTATTTTTATTTTCCCATCGATTATTATACGGTATAGGTACCTACTTACTAGTACATTGATTGATGGTATAATTTATTAAAGCGAATTGTTCGATTGATCTTAACCTTGATTGGGTGGAAATTCGAAATCCATCATATACTTGGGTACATAAGTAGATATGTACCTCGATAAGTACCTACCTACATAGGTAGTATATTTTTACGACTATTCCGTGGTGATCCCACGGTTGCCAATCCGCGCAACGTTTCACTTCTTACTGATTCAATTTCACTTGGCCAATAAAAATCGAATAAATCATACATAGGTACCTACCGATACCTAGCTATTTGGTTTTACTGTATTGCTAGATCTGACCTCATGAACCCCAGATTGATCTACTGGGGCACGGAGGTCAATGTGGGTCAGAATCTAGGTGCACGCTCCAGCGGACCACCTGCTAGCTGACAGCACACTAATCCCTGTGGGTCTGGGGAAGCTTATTTTATCGACCAACCGTAGTTGTCTAGGGCACCTGCCCAGTCACCTACATACGTCATCCATACTACTATAGCACCTACGTACGTAGGATAAGACGGCGCACGATAACGTTGTCAATGAAGAAACATGAATAGGAAGGGTGTTAACCGAACTGTAGGCGACATCGGGCTTCTCATATCTACTGTCGCTATCTTTTTCGGACTACAGCATTAAGACAATAACAGGTAGGTGAGACACTCAGAAGTCAGTAGCAATTAGAAGAATGAATGATTCCGAAGGATGGCGTACAATACAGTGAGGTGATCATATTATACCATTAATTTCCATGATACCCCCAAGCTGTTGTAGCAAGTGAACCCTCTATGCGAAGGGGCTACCTAGTTAATCGTCGTACTATTACCCTATTCACGTAGTATGATTACTAGGTCTCGAATATCAAATTGATTATCATTGCGCGCGATTTTGGCAATCTATGATCTAAATCATTTAACATCTACTTGTAGATGCCTTGGCAGTGGTAGCCTTTTGTCTATAATCGCCACTGCTATGTTTAACGATGGTGAAGGATAAGTTGGGTAATTGGGTTCGTCTTCCAACCTTTTGGTACAAGGCTTGCTACTAGCAATAGCGTTGCCGCAAGCTTTGCTACGAAGAAAAAACGCCCTCAGAATTCTAGTCGATTTTCTTGGTCTACTCGTTAATCAAGTTGCTCAGTAAGAAAATCATGCAGGACGTAGACGTATGCTACTGCCACTCGGCGGAACTAAAAAGAAGAGGCACAACGTTGTTGTGTGAGGAGCCCTGAACTCTCTCGCCTAAAAACTATCTCCTTAGGACCGCCCACAGTCTCCTAAGAGTTGAACTTCCCTCCTGCTATACCCCTGGCCAGTAAACCTCTCAACGGACAAGACCTCTGACGTTGACTTCACATACCTAGTCTAATTGTGTACTCATCATTAACACGATATACGGGCTCAGAATGGGGTTATGCATTTAACGAGGAAGAGAGACCCGGATTGCTAGCGCGCAAAGCTACCACCAAGGCTCGTGACCCGTGTGCGTGAGGAGGTAGACCCAAGGGAATCTCGAGAAAAAATAATTTATGCTAAAATCAGTCAGGTTATGAAGGTAGTTTAAGAGTTTCAATTTAGGGAACTGATACGACCGAGTCTTGCTGTCTGGCTGTGATATCTCTGTCAGTCTTGTTCGATGACTAGTGGAAAAATATTTGGCGCAGGATGATCAGATTATTACGACCAAACACTCAGGAGGCCCGACTAGATTAAGCAGGTACTGAAGAGTCAATTAAGACTATGGGCATCCTTCTCAGCCCATCTAGATGACATGGCTGGCAAGATGGATTTTGAAATCAGTTCCGGGACTGGCAAACCTAGTCTGCATCTTGGTTAATATATAGAGATCCGGGGCCGTTTTCGGCGCGATTATTGGCCCTTATCCCCACGAAGCGGCGGCACATGTATTTAAAGGTTCATTCAACATGATTGAAGTGTTTAATCTGGGTTATATTGGCGTACTTGTTCTATTCTTCTATGGTGATGACTGGAGTAAGTAGGTCGATATGAATCGCCTGCGTACCGTTTTCGCCTATCGGAGCTCTCATCTGGCGTTCGTCTCCGATGCCTCGCATTGCCTTGATAACCACTTTCTTGGTCCTCATCATCATCTTCAATTGACCGCTTCTTTGCCGTGGGGTACTGCACCTTGCGATCCCAAGCCTCCAACGACCAAGGGCTACGCAGGAAGTTCTTGAGTTCATGAAGAAGTAACTTGGTATGATCGCGGCCTAGAAAATCCTTCAGCATTTCCTCAGCCTGCCCCTGACTTCCTTGGATATCGACTGTTTTCAGAATCGCGACTATGTATTCGAGCAGGAACTCGGCGTTGTTCGCTCGCCTCCTCGTCATCGCATCGTCGCTCGATTGGGCAGTGGGCGGAGTGCGAAGGAACTCGAAGACTTGCAGTTCCCTTCTTATCCATGTTCTTGCTCTTGAAATCATCTCGGGGTCCGATTCGAACATCTGCGGAGTCAAGTCTCGATAGCCTGACCTTAAGTTGGATCCCACATGTAGAGAATAGAGTTGATTCCGGTAAACATCTTGACGGCGGAGGAGAGCTTCGTCTACAGTCAACCTTTGTGGAGGCGCCTCTTCGTATCGTCGTCGATTTGGCCTCGGACCAACATATCGCGATCGATGTGATGGAGTTTGTGACTGTATGCGCTGTTGTGCTGGCTCCTTTGGACGAGGAACTAGGTATACCCTGCTCTTCGCATTTGGCCTATCACTCTCAAAGTCGTACCAGACCTCATCGATGTTGCTCTTACAAAGCGGACACTTGGTTTGTTGCTCAAGCCAGCTAAGAAGACATAGGTAGTCGAAGTTTCGATGACTGCAAGGCCTCGCCTCGCAAACCTCGGTGATATTATCAAGGCAAATGACGCAACATGTTTCGTTTGGGGTATCGGACTGTGCCGGGTTTCTTGTTGATGCGACTTCTGCAAGTGTGTTCTGGAGGATTTTTGCCCGTATATCAAATGTACCCGCGTCCGTATCCATGTATGAACAAGGAGCGTCGATAAAACCAAAAATAGCAGTTGTAAGAGACGGCACAAAGTTGATGTTTTGTTAAAGATCAAGGCAATTAATCGTGAGAAAATGACTGGGATAATAAAGGTACATGGTTACATGGTCCACATTATTCTGCTGACATAATGAAATCTTTGGAATCCTGCGCCCTGAAAATACCCCACTATACCCACCAACCCACTAATTTGTACCGCGTCGCGTATCAATTAAAGTTAAGCTTGTCGCGGTCTTCTCGCGCCTTAGCGTCCAATTCAAGACCAAGTGACCTTGGGACATTCCAGATACAACCAAAGCTTAACCTTGAATTAACCCTTTATCGTTTTCTCAAACAATTCAACAACCGTTCACGTCGAAGGTCATACATCGCACATTAACATTGCAAATACCACCTTACAGACCACGATGAACGAGAGTGAAAAACAGAAATATGAGGAGCAATCCAAGGAATTGCGCGCTGATCTAAAGCGATTCGAAACTGATTGGGCAAGTCGCAATGGCGGCACAAAGCCACGTCGTGAGGACATCAAGCAAAACCCGGACATAGGTAAATACTAACGCCGACATGGAATCATATGCCCAATTGAAAGAGCTAACAAAATGCAACAATTAGCCCAGAAGTATAAGAAGTACAATCAGGTTCGAGACATCCTCTCAGGGAAGATCCAACCTCCGAACCCTAAAGTCAAAGAATCGGCGTCGTCTCGGAAGCGCATGCCGGAAGAGAACCTTGCGGAGACACCTTCGAAACGGTCGAAGCCTGTTGAGACACCCTCTCAGATGCGCCAGCAAATCATAGATCCAGAGTTATTTGCCACGCCTTCTACTACGCGCAAACTGTTTAGCCCAGCTTTACCTACTTCAATTGGGCCTACTCCCCAGAGAGATGGACGGATACTGGGCTTATTTGATCTGATGGATGAGAATGAGGAGAACACGCCATCCAAAGGTCCGCCTAGCCGACCTTTGCGGGATAACAAAGTTCAGGCCACACCCAGCAAGGGGACTTCTCAGATGGGCAATGTCGATGCCGTACAACTAGGCCAAACCCCAACATCTATAAGTAAGCGTGGTGTGTTATTTAAGACGCCGTCGAAGCGACAAGGGGACAACACTGCGCTAGGCAGAACACCAACTTCAGTCAGCAAGTTACAGCTATCTACTCCATCCTTCCTCAGGAGGGTTCCTCTGGCAACAGTTGACGAGAATGGCGATTACATATCCCCTGCTCCCCTACGCCTACCGCGCAAGCCACTAGGCCGTAGTCTGAGCAGCGTGGTAGCCAGTCTACGAAAGTTGGAGGAAGAGGCGCTCGACGACGAACTTGAAGCCTTGCACGAGATGGAGAACGACGCGGGTCCGTCAAACGCCACACAACCTACGAAACCCGTGAAGCCAAAGGAGGACATTCTTGAGCCAGACAGCCAGGCGCAACAGCTTCTTGGCGGATTTGATGACGAGGGACGCTACGACAGTCCGACAGAAGACAACGTGGGCCGTGATGGACGGCCGCTGAGGGTCTATAAGAAGAAGGGACAGAAGCGTACTACGCGACGAGCGAACATGAGACCGACCCGGTCTAAGCGACCACAGGAGTCTACGGAGGACGACCAGCACACTGATGCTGAGGATATCATACCCGAAACACAGGCCGACGCTACGAAGGTTGACCAAGAACCACTAGATCTAGGGTCCGACTCGGAGTTTGACCCTGTAGAGGGCGAGGAAGTCGTAGAGCCTAAGCAGAAGGGCCAAGCCGGGAAGGCTAAGAAAGCGGATAAGAAGGAGGGCACGGTACGCAAGGCGGCGAGAAAGGTCAACGAGCTGGCACATACGAACTTCAAGAGGCTGAAGTTGAGGAACAATGGGGCAAAGGGACCGGCGGCCGGGGGTAGATTCCGACGCCGTAGATGAGACGCCAAATGACGGGCATGCGATGATTCAGGTACCATGGCATTAGAAGCGCGAGAGCTTATCAAAATCGGCTCTCGCTACAGGTATGCTATGCAGGCCTTTGTTGTACATAGAGTACATTAGTGGGCTCTGAATCAGACATGGGTTAACAGAATTTTGAAATCATGAACTCTCAATATACCGGACGCGATGTCCATGCATGTTCTTGGGATTAACCCTAGTTTAAACCCGACTAGGCCCTAATCATGATGCTCTACATGTCCTTCTCGAGGTAAGTATCCGGATCTTCAATAGTTCGTCCTCGAGGTCTGTGGCTTAGCTATATTGGAGATAGGGGTTACACAGGTCGAGTAGGTACCTAGGTACCCATGTGTTCCCGTTGTTATTTGTCGAAATTGCCTCAATATAAAATACTAACTGTGAATAAACGCTATTCCAGTTCCCCCTTTGATGACGCATAGGGCCTTGAGTAATTATAGCTCCTATGTTACAATACAAAGAAGCCTTGACTAGGCCGGTTTAGGGATCCCAAGGCTACTCTCGATATCCAAGTGATCACAACACCGTGACAATATGGTCTTAATTAGAATAAATTACATCTATCAGTAGAATGTGATATGAATTTGATGCTTTAATGAGTGTCAATGAATTAGTAACAAATAATAAGTACTTAAGTGAGTGTATTGAATTATCTTTGACATGAATCTATAAGTGTTTCCGAACGACAAGATATATTCCATCAAGGTACTTCTTAAGGTTCACCCAACAACCGCAGACATGGCGAAGTACGGTAGGAAAGACCGGTGAAAACGTCAGCAATCCCCACGATGATAACACATATAAACCAAGATGAGGTCAGAGTTTAAGTTGGGCTTCATGACAGTAGCATAAGTGGTTGACAAGCCTGTCGCAACCACTCGTAGTCATCCACGTATAGTATCAGCGCCGACTTATTTCTTATCATCGAATTGAGCTCCGAATCCAAGGAGATCAAGATCCATGTTGTCTTTATCTTTGTGGGTTCCCGCAGAGCTGTCGTTGTGGCCGGAAACGTCCGGGGGTTGAGGTACCGGTGAACCACGACGAGTCTTCGTACTATCATTATCGCTTCCCGATTTGTCATGTCTCCGGCAGCTATCCTCTAAGAGTTAGCACGAATCTAACATGAACGAGTGCAAGTATCCATTCAAGAAATAAGACCTACAAGTTGGCCTTCTGACCAGAAGAGCAAGCGTCGTAAGGCATGGTCTGTCAACAGATATGTTCTACGAAAACGTAAAACTGTGATAAGACAGGCCAGACTTGGAATGTATGATCTGTAGAGGTAAAGGATAGTTTGTATGCTTAGGTAGGAAAATCTTCAAGTTCAAAAAAGGTTGTATCTCAAGAGGTAGTGGCTTATATGCCGCAGACCCTTGGGGAACTTGTATAAGCCAGTTCTTAGGATGATAGGACTCTTGAATTGGCTACGCAACTCAACAACCTTAGGTATACATGAGGAAGGGAGAGGAGAGAAACCCAGAATGGAAACCAAATGGGTATTTATCTACATGGAAATAGTGCCCAGTTTTGCCCTTCTAAACTAACCGGAACTATGAATCGCTGGTAAGTTGGCATCATGTTCCTTACCGAGAAACGAGCTGCGCTCCGCCTTGTTACCAGCTCGACATAAGGAATACATGGTCCATGGTAGCACACTTCTATCGTCTGCTCCATGTTATTGGACTCTATCCATTTGTACTGAGATACGATTTGCCATTCTCTATTTGTACTGAGATACAATTTGCCATTATCTATTTGTACTGCAGGTGGGTACAATATTATACTTAGGTACATAAAGGTAGGTGGCTCAATCGGCTGACGTCTAAGTGGCCAGTATCGTTTTGTTCATTCAGTCATGCAGCCTCCTTATTCACTATATGTTGCCGATCAGCTTCGGCACGATGCTACGACGACGCCAATGCTGTGTAACAGTAATATTTTGATATTCCATCGCGTTTTTATTGGCTTGTCTCTATTTGTTAAAGAAACCAGATGAGCTCTGATTGGCTGCTCCCCTTTTGTCAATGCCTGATGTGGCTCACATCCAAGACCCACAGCTAGTATACGTCAATTGTCCTGCATTCAACTTGGCTGCTTGGTTGCCTACCTAGGTAGGTAAGTAACAAGGTACTTGGTTCGCCTTGATTACTCCAACTCAGTGGCATTATAAATAAGGCTATGCCATTTTGTCGGGTTGGGAACTTTTTCTATTTTTTGAACTACATTTTTCATCTCAAAACCTCATCACTGCAGTCTACAATATTCTGACACGCTTAGTTGAAACCTACCATCTCGGATAAGATGGACCCCTTGATGCCCTCTGCTTCTCAAGATTCTGTCGAAAAGTTCTTGGATGTCCCATATAATCAAAGATGGGAATGCCTCAAGCCGGTTATCGTCCGGGTTTATATAGAGGAAAATAATAAACTTGCAAACCTTTCCCGGCGAATGGAAGTTGAGTACAGTTTCAATGCTCAGTCAGTATTCTGCCTCTATTTATCATTATCGTGTTCCTTTGCTAATCGACTATGCCGCCAACTAGAGTTCACCAGTACCGATATCAATTCAAAAAATGGGGAATAAAAAAGAGAACTGTAGCTGAAGAAAAAGAAGCCGTCATCACTGCCCTTGGAAAACGTCGCTTACAAGATGGGACGAGCACATCTGATGCTCTCATCAATCAGGGCGATTTCCAGAAATCAGTGGATAAGAAGCAACTCAAGCGGTACATAAATCAGTCTATCCGAGAAAATGAACAGATAACTTGGACTCCTGGGTTGTAAGTTGAGAAATTGTGTTAGAGATTGTTTAACTAATTGCTACCTTAGGTTTCTTCGACATGACCTCCCATACGCCGCCTTATTTCGCAGGTCTAGCGGCAATGATAACCCTTCACCATCTGTCATTGGTCCTACTACCCCGGATTTCGTGGATGTGAAGAGTCCGCATGGGGGGCCATCTCCTTCGGCATCCCATAATTCTTTGTCGCCAACTATGCAACTAATCCAGAAAAAGGTTCTTTTTGATAGAGCAATATTCTTTTTAAGCGGACGGGAGGATGACTTGCTGGCCCAATTGGACAGAGACGAAAAGAAGTAAGACAATTTTCCGACAACTAAGATATGATGACCTAAAGTTCTGACGAAGTACTTCGACTAGATCTACTGCAACATGGCTTCACGACTTCTGGATGTATTCTTTCATGACGGCGAAATACTGGGGTAGGGGACCAAAAACTTGGACTTTCTCCTTGATCAACTTCAAGTCATTTGCCAAGCATCTTGTTCCACCCACGCCAGATCACCATATCACCTTCGAAGAAACATCAGAGTCCTCTTCATCCACAGCAATCGTTCCACCATTTGACAGTCCGACTCAACTCTGTAGATGGACCATACATCATGAAGATCCTGAGTATGAAGACATTCCATCCCCTCCCTCACAGTCATCCGACGAGCCAGACGCACGTTTTGATATTGACGATGAATCTACCTGGTCTCAATGGCGTACCGATGACCTATCTAGGGATCTTGCAAGTACTATTGGGAAAGGGCTTCAAGAAAACGCATTCTCTGCAATCCAACCTGAGAGCCTTCCTTTAGATGCCAATTCGATCGTGAAGGCCGTAGAACGGTCACCAAAAGAATTGGAGGCAGAGGGATTTAGTTTCGCCATAATATCGCGAAACAGAGATGCTATTTACAAGATCGCACGCTATCGTAGGGATAGATTGCGAGAGTGCTATTCTGACATCTCCCCATTTCATCTGGCAGCAAGATTCTTGGATGGGGGGAAAACCTGCTGTATGGTTATGGACGTCCTACTAACAGAGTTAGATGATTCGTTGTCAATCGGCGTTAATTACATTGATAAATCCGGTCTTACTGTTCTGGATACTCTCTTTGTTACCATCATACGATCGCATAGCACAGTGCCGCCTCAGACCTTGGGTAATGCATTTACCGGCCAAACTCGATATCCTGGACAGGAGGTTGACCCTTGTGGGAGGTGGGATGCTGATTCTCCTTGCATTCGGCATTTATACGCATCGGGAGAACCAGCAATTCCAAGCCAGTGGAAACATATGTTTTGCCATACGTCGGTTCAAGCAATCTGCCATTGCATTGCATCAATATTCGGGGTAGAATGGCGCCCAGACATCAATACGCCGAGTGGATTGTTTCTCAAACGCTGTGGTCATTGTGGATTGGAGCTCAAAGTCAGCCCCCTTCACGCCCTAGTCCTGACGGCACTTTGCTTAGCGAATGGTGGCATGCCCGGAGAAAATCTCTTCGGAATTATCGCTTGTCTCGTATGTTTATTAACATTCCGTGCTGATCCTTGTGCTACTGCAAAGATCTCTATCTCTTTGCTATCGGGACATGACCCAGGGGATGACTGTCAACACCCGGAGATTAATCCAGCGGAACTAGCAGTGCTCCTATTCGAGGAAAACTCTGGAACGTGGACATCAGAGATAATTCTAGGTTGGAAAGTATTAATTGCCATCCTCCAGCATGATGTTGCTAAGCGACGAGACAAACCTACTCACCACGAGGATGAATGTGAGGACGAGGAAGACGATGTCGAGGTTTGCAGTCATTATATTCATGAATTTGAGGAAGAAAGACTGTCAAAATCAGTTTATTGTGGGAATCAACGACTGGGCGCGGTCTGGGCCTTGATTCAGGCCGAATTGTTGACGTATCGCCGCCTAAACGAGGACGAACCTTGGCTATCCCCCCGTTTTGATATGCGGATTCTGTTGGAAGGATTGGAAAGTGATGACGACACTTGTCTCCAAATGCTAGTACGTGGTGCTGAAGAGGCTGGAGAGAACTTGTTACAGAACTATTCACGTTGTGGACTTTTCTATGGAGCAAAAAATCCGATGTGTGCTTTGAGAGAAGAAGCATGCACATCGTATTACGCCAATTTGGATGACTGGGAGCGGACTACATTCATTCAACCAATGGAATGCTAACCCTAATCAATCAGTTGTATGTAAGGCAGATCCTAGGTTACAGTAATGAAATAGTATTGTCATTCATGGTTAACCCTACAACACTGCGTCAGCATCACACGCGCAACCCCCTCTCAACCCCTAACTCTAGCACTCGCACAAACCTCCTAACATCCTCCACCGAGTTGAAGAAGCCAAACGAGACCCGAATCCCCAACCGATTCACCGTGAACCTCGCGCCCCAAAACCCGGCCAGGTACGGCCCCCACGTCTCCGCATCCAGGTCCAGCACACAAATATGCGGCGCCCTCTCCCTCCTCTCCACCGGCCCCACGACCCTAATCCCTAGAGCCTCACACTCGCGCCTCAGCGACCCCGTCAGATAATACAGATACCCCTCCACATCCCCCGGTCCCAGGACCTCCAGATAAAACCGCGTGAACGCAGCGGCCGCCGCCACGCCCACCAGGCTCATATTCTGATGCTCGAACCTCCTCGCGTCCGGGAAGTACTGCACCGGCTGATCCACATCGACCAGCAAGCTCTCTCTCATATTCCCGACCGCGGCCATATTAACAACGGGCGGGACCAGGTCCCCCGACTCGGCGAACGCGCGGGGCGAAACATACAGCGCGCCTACGCCGGTGGGGCAGTTCAGCCCCTTATGCAGACTGAACGCCGCGGCCGAAACGCCCATCTCCCGGACGTCTAAGCGCGCGATCCCCACGTGCTGCGACACGTCCGCGAGGACGTGCACGCCCCTGGGCCTCAGCTCCGCGCAGATACCCTGCACATCGTGGACCTGCCCCGCATCGAACGAAACGGAACTAATCCCCACCGCGCGCGTCCGCGCATCCACATACGGCCTTAACGTCTCCATCCCCACGGCACGTACTCGCCCCTCTCTCCGCGCCCGCTCCACCGTCGGCACGATCCGAACCTCGATCCCCGTGCTCTCGCGCAGCGCAAGCCAGCAGAACACCATATTCGGGTGCTCGTTATCAAGCAGCACGACATTATCCCCCTTCCCGAACCCCGCGGCGCCGGCGAGGGCACGCACGAACCCGCCTAGCCCCTCCGTCGTGTCGCGCGTGAACGCCAGCGTTCGCGGGTTCTCCGCGTTAATGCACCTCGCGATTAACCCGCGCGCCTCCTCGCGCGTCTCGCGCCACGCCGCGTGCGGGTCCGCCGCGTACAGCGCGTCGGATGAGTACTTGGTGATAGCCTCGTGGACGACGAGATTGGACGGGGGCGCCGACGCGGCGTTGAGGAAGAGGACGTCCGGGTTTTGGGTCAGCGGGACCAGATATCTGAAGGCCGCGAATTTCTGCGTGAGGCGGTTTTCTTCATCGTCCGCGCCATCTCGGCTGGGGGAGGAAGAGTTGGTGGGTTCGGAGTTGTGGGGAGTTCGGCTAGCGAGTGGGCGGGATACCATGGCTGCTAAGGTTGTGGTGATGTGATGATGCCCCTTAACGTGGCGTTAAAAGAGATGAGGAGGAGAGAGCACGAAGAAAATATGCCCATTTCATCAAAAATATACCAAGCCATCTTAGCATGCCTACCTTCCTATAGGAGGAATGCCAATTGCTATCGAGTGGTATTGTGCCATTGACTCCTATATATGTCCGCCGACCCCGCTTCGTCTTCCGATGTAACCAAGTAAGTCGACTTTATATATACGGGATATATCGGGCATAGGAGATATTTTCGCATAAAGACGGCTTACATTGTTCACGTAACGAGCACAACAGCGCCAAGTATTTATCAAGGCTTCAAAAATCGCGGAAAGTAAGTTGATGAATACCCCTATTTATAGCTCGTAGCGTTAATTCAACTAGCACATCACCTACGACGGAAAATTAGCAGATGACTTTAGGTATAAGTATATTAAAAGTAGTAAAGTGAAGTAAATATTAGTAAGAAGGGTATTTCCTTTTCCTGCACTACCGACCTCCCAAGACATGTATGCGAAAATCAATATTCCCCAAACTCCGTGCTAAATATTTTCTCAAAATACGCCGAAACCTCTCTTTATCCATATGAATTCCCCGACATGTACCTAGGCCGTTACCGTGGCAGTTGTCGTGGCCATATCTGTCGTAGTCGTCGTTACTGTTTCCGTCTCCTTCTCAGTCACAGTGATTGTGGCTGGAGCTTGGCTATTTGTTGCTGTAGTAAGGCCGAAATGCTTAGTGTTTGTGGCAAATGGCGAACCATCATCATTACCGCCAGGTAAGCCTGGGATGTCAGGGAGACCAATAGCGTCGGTCTCGATCGGGATGACATGGAGACCTGAGTCGGTGGGAATGGATTGGAGAGTAGAAGTGCTTGTAATTAACGGCGGTGAAGGCAATTCAATAGTCGAAGACGAGGTTGCCGAGGGCGAGGGAGTCACGGTGACGGTTTGTGTGATTATTTGTGGAGTTGAACTCGAACTCGATTTGGTCACAGTGCTAAAGGTGCTAGGGATGAAAGTAACGGTCACCGTTTTCGGGGGAGCTTCAGTAGGACTGGGCACCGAAGGATCAGTCGTCGAAGATATTTCTGCAGATGACGAGCTTTCTGTGGATGAACCCATCGTCACTGTGGTTTGAGCCGTCTCGGTAAAGGTCGGCGTGATCGTCACTGTGATCAGCCCACCGGATGCGGTCGAACTCGAACTGGATACGGAAGGTACATCATCACCCAGAGCCTTCTTAACGGTGGCGTCATCCCAGCAACCAATTTGTACACCGACAACCGTTGTCATCGGCAAGGCATAGCAAGTTAGGTTGCTAGCGCAGGGGATTATGTCGAATGTGCCGTCACTAGAACATTGGCCGATGTTTCCGTTGACGCAGGCAACTTGACCCGCTGTGCACGCAGACTGCTCAGTTAATCCAGCGAAGACTTCGTTATAACGCTTTGCGTCGGCCAAGTTGCTAGCAAGCACTTGAGGAGATACCGTCGTACTCGAAGCTGGAATAGAACTGATAATAGTAGGGATATTATCATTCATTGAGCCAGTTGCTGACACGGAGTGGGACGTATATGATGATTTTGTTATTGGTACGAACGCATCCGAGCTCGATGGTGCAGATGTGATACTTGGAGCCAAAGAGCTACTTGAAGCACCAACACCCCCATTGTCAGTTGACGTAGAAGGATTGGCAGCAGAAGTTGAGATTGATGATGCAAAAGTGACGCTGGCCAATTTTGACTGGCTTGTCTCGCTCTGCGTCGTGGTGGGCTGGGATTCATAGCTAGAAACGGAGCCAGAGACAGCTGAAGACGCTGACACCAGTGGAATCGACGAAGAAGTCGAGATAGATAGCCCGGTCGAGCTTACTGATGGTGCCTGTTCCACGTTGGATGATGTAGCACTCGCGTTCGAGTCGGTTCCATTAGAGGGGGAAGGTCCAATGAGTACTGTAGAAGATGGAAATATGCTGATAGCGGGAATAGTACTACTCTCGATGAGGGTGAACGATCGAGAGATTGAAGTCGAAGACGTTAATCCAGTCGAGGTCGATGGCGCGCTTGTACTCGAAGCAACCGCGGTCGATAACGACCCTGACTGAGCGTCTGATGTTATGGATGAACTTAAAGGTTGAGATGAGGATTGCGTTGATGTTTCGCCAAGCGCTGGCAGTGAAGAGGCTTCGTCTCCCAAAGACGTTACCGACGTAGTAGCTACACTGGAAGTGTTTGCGAATCTGTACACGTTCGATGCCCCTGCAACATTTCGCCATCTTAATCTATAATGTGTTAGCCGACCATCGTCGAGCCTCTCTATCCCATCGAGAACGTACCTCTCTCCTCTCCTCAGCGGACCCGCCGCCGAGGCCTCGGAGAATAAAAGGAGGTGTGAGAACAGAACTAGAATGAGCATTTGGAATGATTTTTTATTTTTCTGCAAGGAAAAAAAAGAAAGGAAAGTCTATGACAGAAAAGGAAAAACGAAACCGAACAGAAGTATATCAAGATGTTGCAGGCATGGAGCAACAGCGATTCATATTACTCAGTCGGGACGATAAAGAGCGAGAATGTCTCAAAGGAAGGCCGAACACCCTTTAGAATCGAATCAGGGCTGAGCCACGGGAAGACAATAGCAAACAAGAGAATGGTTATTGATAGACAACAAAGAAGATCAGCGGAGAAAGAAGAGCCTCACACGATCACGAAGACGACCCGCGAAATATCTGGAAGAACGATCACCTGCCTCGAAGATCTTCACCCGCCCAGAGCTTTGGGGGAAAGGTGACATCTTGTACAAAAACATCGGACAAGGTGATGGCGCGCATCTAGCCACTCTTACCGTCGGATGCAGGCCCATGACGTTGAAGGGACCGGGTTTTGCTGTAGTTTCGGCCAAGATGAGCTCGTAAGATGAAATTGAGGCCCGTCGAGAGGACCAGACAGCTCGGGAGAGATTGACCAATAACATTGTATTGGTTTAGGCTTCTCCGCCAGCCTGGGTAGAGCATGATTTAGGAAAGCTGGCAGGTATCTGTTGTATCATATGTAGATTGGGCTTGAGGAAAGGTTGGCTAAGCGCTTCAAGGGTACTTGAGGTCCCTTCATCTTGTGTTTCGACAACTGGAGATGGAGACGCGCGCTTGTATATTATTGGTAGTGGCCGTTTTGGCGGTTGGCGGTTACGAGAGGTCTCAGCCAATCGCCTGCGCCTCTGGAGAACCACCTGCGGCCGCCAAACACTGAAGAGCTCGGTGAGACATTGATTGATTGGGCCTCAATACCGTGTCTGGTATATAGTAGTATCGGAAGACGGTATGCAAGAGACAATATCTATCCTCTAAAGTCATTTCGCCTCATTGAGTTGTCGTTCACGATTTAGTTGAGGAGAACAAAGAAGAGGGAAGACTGGAAATCAATTGATGCATGTCCGGTGAACTAAAAAGGCGGGGCAGATGCTGACTAAGAAAATAAAATTATAACCCATATAGAGGGAGCACGTGATCTCTTCCGCCCACCCTTTTCCCCTTCAGCCCCTTCTCTCTATTTCCTTTCATTCATCAAATTTGTCATCATGAAGACTTTATTTTCAGCATCAACAAGAAATTGTCAAATATAACTTACAACAATGACTATTTTAATATTCAACAAAGAGTTGAAATGCCGATTCATTAATTACTACCTATTACATGCCAAGTAGAAATATTGTGGTTATCGATGTAACCAATCGTGGTGCTGTCCCCAACTACCCGTACCCGTTTCCAAAAAAAAGATGAAAGCTACCCGCGTAGGTAGGTCAACAGCCGCAAAGATGATATGCTAATTGAACGATAGATGGTATGAATAAGTTACATAGCAGGTTGATGGGTAAATGACATTGAAATCATCAAAACTCCCAAGGGTATGCGACCGATGAAACCTATCATGGTAGTTTCGAAATCCGAAATCCGATGTTGTAGATGATTAAAAATCATATCAAGCCGTAAGTACCGGCACCTAAATCAACCAGCGAAGGGTACGCGAGAAGAACAAACGCCTCATAAAGGGCCACCCTGTCCAATGGCGGATTGCTCAAGCAGAATCTGCTGCAGTGCCTTAAACTTGATCGGCTTTGTCAGGAACTGGGAAACCCCGGCCACCATGGCCTCCTTCCGCATATCCTCATTACCCACCCCCGTGATCGCGATGATATTCGCCGACGTCACCGCCTTCCCGGCGGCCCTCTTCTGTCTCTCGAACTCGCGGATTTGTCTCGTGGCCTCCAGGCCGTCCATGACCGGCATCTGAACGTCCATGAGCACGAAGTCGAAGCGTTGCTTGTCCGTCGTATCCTTGAACTTGGTTACCGCCTCGAGGCCGTTCATGGCTTCAACGTACGGCAGCTCGATCTTGCTCATGAAGGTCACCAAGAGCTTGAGGTTGATCGCGTTGTCGTCCACGAGGAGTATGCGCGGCGACCGGACCGACAAGTCTCTAGATTGCGTGCGGCTCCGCTGGATGGCCGAAAAGCTGGATATGTCGCTGACGCGCGATATCGGGACTACCCTCCTATCCAGAGGAATCTTCGTCTGCAATTGCTCCGTTCTCCACTTAAAGTCTTTTAGCGATGGCCTCCCTGGCCCCTTCTTCTGGTCGGTGACGGCCGGCAAAGAACTAGATCCAGTCGCCGAATTATCTTCTGAGGCTCGGTAATGTGCACTAGATGGCGAAGGTGTCCTAGAGCGCGGTTGCTGAACGTTATTCTTTTCATTCGTCTCATTGCCTCCAAAATGCTGGAGGCACTGTAACAGTACCTTCCCAAGCTTACGCACGCCCACAGGTTGGCTGATGACCTCAATTATCCTACCAAGGGAAACAAGATCCTCGATACCAGCTGTCCGCAGCGCAGCAGCTTCGAAGGCATTCGTACATATGACAAGCCAAGCTGATTTATCATACCCTCCCTCTTTCGTTCGCTCTAGGAGGCGTTCTATCGGCGGCGGCTCGGCATATATGTAGATTGCCGTGTCCTTGTTGGCCTCAGCAGAATCGGTTTCGATGACAGTCATATCGAACCAATCTCGACAGAAGGTAGCAAGGGAGGACTCAAGCGCGGAAAGCTCTCTGCTAGGACTTCCCTTGCTGCCAATGACAGGGCCTAGCAGGCAGACCTTCTTGCCCCTAGCAGCATTCATCGCATCGCGCAGATTGTCGCACTGAACGCCGCCGCATAATCCCGCGGCAGCGATCTGCATCGGAATTGAGATATTGACATGCGTCCCAACCCCCTTCTCACTATCAACCTTAATACCACCACCCATATTCTCAACGATCTGGGACGTAATCGAAAGACCGAGACCTGTCCCTGGCATGAATGAGTCTTCTTGTGTGAAGGCTTTGAATAGGTGATTAGAGAGGAAACTTTGCGACATTCCAATTCCGGTGTCTTTTACAGAAATTTCGACCTCAATGTCGGATTTCTTCACTTGTTTCGCCCTAAGTGACACGTCGATACATCCTGTGGCGCAGTATTTAATGGCATTGCCAACAACGTTCATGATAACGCGGCGAAGCCCCCCTGTTTGTCCTTGCAAGCACCAAGATTCCAATTTCTGGATATGAAGTACTAAGAATACTTTACCGGAAAACTTCTGGCTGCCAGAGTGGATCTGCTCCTCGGTCGTTGACGCGTCATCAATGCTCATCGCTTTTATTTGTGCCGTCGAATCATTGACGGGATCATGTTGTCGGAGGTTTATCTTGCGAAAAGTTTGACCCGCGAAAACTGCTTCAACCACCTCTTCTAACAGAAGAGCAAGGTCAAAATTATCCGACAGAGGTTCCGCCATATCGCGCGCGCTCTTCCAGATCTTGCCCCTCTTGGATTCTACGGAGCGCGAGCCCGCTCGGTTCAAATTGTTGATTTTCGCGTAGTCGAGAAGATGATCGATGGTATCTAATAGCGTCTTACCGCATGTTTCCACCGCGCCTATGAGGCTTGTCTGATAAGCTGAAGTCGTCGTATCTTCTAAAAACTCCCCGGCTCCAAGTATGCCCTGGAGTGGAGAGCGAAGTTCATGAGAAATGGAAGCAATAAATGTGGATTTTGCAATGTTGGTATTGAGAACCTCCATGCACGCTACCTCGCTCATCATGCAAGATCCGAATGTCTTAAAATAAGGCAATACGTCGTCGGGATCGCCCATCTTGAAGTCGTCGCCCCAAATGATGCCTGCGGAAAACCATTTACCCTGGGCATAATAGAAAAGGGGTAAAAATATTAGCCATTTGGCGTCTGGTATGCGACTAAGAAGTTCCCGTGGTAACAACTTGTGAGGTGGATCCTCCGTATCTTTTACTGATGCATTTAGTACGAAATGGCTCGCACCGCCCCCAGCAATCATCTCATCGTAAGCAGAGCTTTGATCGGATACAACGCGTCCCTTATTCAGATAGAAACATTTGCCAAACGGATAGCGAAGAATTAATTTCTTCAGATTCTTACGCTTGATCATACCTCCGCGGTGCTTCTCGTCCGGACCATTTATCACGATTAGGCTCAGAATATCTGCCATTTCGTCCGATCGGTCGCTGAAAGTCGCTTGCGGCCGGCTGGGTTCGCATCCCGGAGAAAGCTCCTCGTCACCCTCAACGATCTCAATATCATTATCCTCATCTTCGGACGATTCAAAATTAACATCTGCAACTATGGAGGGGTCGTCATCTCCATGAGGTGAGATTCCGCTTTCAGATGGGCGAGAAAATAAGCCTGATGAGGCATCGGCAAATACACACCCGGATGCGTTGGTTTGTTGGCAAAGTAATTGAGAAGCCTGATCGAAAATTCTGCGAATATTGTCCTCGGGAGAATCAGGCATTTCTCTTCCCCTAGAGACGCTCTCCCTAGAATACCGGGGGACTTGGGTTACATCGGCCTGATGTGAAGTGATGCCCCTTTTACAGGAATCGGGTTTGGACCCAGACAGAGAAGTCGAATTGAATTGGCTGCGACGCCCTCGTGGAGGCTCCTTCTGAGGATCAGTTGCTCGCACGTCCGATTGACGTTTGGTGTTGTTATTGGGTTGCATGAATCGATCCGTCTTGCTGAGTTGGTACTTGTATTCGGACAAGTCCTCCAGAAAATACGAGATGCCTCTCATAAAATCCCTCTCTGAAACACGGCCGATCGCATCCACTAATAGACTCATGGTTAGTTAAATCTGCAGAGGCCCAGTTGCTTCCAAGAAATACTAAATTCAGTACTTCCCGACGCTAGGTATTACTTACCAACCCTCTCCAGATGATTGGCAACAACTTGAGCAACGTCTTCCATAAACCGTGCCTCTTCGAGAGCAATACCCTGAGGCCTCGGTTGAGTATCCGAAACAGCATAAACGCCGATAGCAGACCCTTGCTTTGTGACAATCGGTACACCGGCGTAGAATCTAACGCTAGCTCCAGAGGTGACATAAGGACGAAATTTAAAACGATCATCTTCCAACGTATCATTAACAACAAACGCTGACATGTTCACTTCACCGCCCTCCGTGTCCTTGAATATTGTTTTAGCCCCGAAAGCATGCTCATCCATACAATCCTGCCGCGGGAGAGAGACGTTCCCAAGCCATATGTGATCACCAGGCGCGTGCCGCCTCTCATCGACGAGTGAGACAGTTTGGGTAGCTTCGGCAAGGATTATTTGCGTATTTGAGTCGATCAAAGATACCATCCCGCGTTTAGCGTTCAATCTCAAGGCAGCCAGCTGAGCGAGTGCGGTAAGCGTCGTATCGTGAGAACACTTTACGGATCGGGTTTCGTCGGGACCTGTATTTGCAGGTACCGTCTTCAGCTTTCTCGAGTCGAGCCACGGCTGATGATATTTGTTGACATCGAGCTGTCTCGCTAGTTCAACTGTGCTAACGCTTGAGGCGCGCCTCTTCATGGCAGCAGGCGGTACCATGTCGATGAATTATCAACCTAAAAGATGTATTATATAAAAAAATCACGAATGTGTGTTTCTCGGCTGTGATCCGATAACACCCCTGGAGCTGGGCGGAGATACCCAAAGATGATATCAACCGCCTGAAGCCCCTATTGATCCGAGCCTGGAAGTAGGTTGTATTTGTGTGACTGAAGTTAAACGTTTCGAGAAATAGCGGAGTAGGTAGATAATAGTTGAAAATCTGTAGCGCTCAAAGCTTCCAACTAATATTGTGATGACATCAGAATGATAGAAAGCGAACTACCAGGACGTGGTTAAGTAGGTAGGTAAGCAAGGTAGATCCCTGTGGAGGAAAGACTCTAACATCTAAGAAAAGTTAATATCAATATTATATAGATACTCACGAGTAATAACAACTACTAGAAGCCCAGTTTGCTCGCGTGCTAGCCTTTCAGAGTCTAGTCTGCTGAAGGCCTTGCCATACCGGTGCTCGGCCTGCAGAGGTTCGATCGAGCAAAGTTGTTGATGGCTAGTCCTAAGACAATACGACACATGACATGACTTCTATATACGCCGCGATCTTTTGTAGTTACGTCTAACTAGAGCGTTCCGATTAGTAATGTTGAGACCCCTCCCCTATTAGGGACTTCCTCCTACCTTACATAATACTGCTTGGTACTAATAATGGGTAACTTCGAAGGATGGAAAGCTTTCTTTCCCTATTACTATATATCCAAAATTATAAAGTCGTAGTAGAGGTAAGAGGGATATCTACCTACCTAGGCAAAGAGGGATTCACAGTTTTTAATCAAGGGGCATCGCAGTTCTTATTGATTGCTTAATTACTGTCAGAACACAGTCGTATAAGGACCTCGCAGTTCAACAACCTCGAATAAGGCGATCTTACCAAGCTTAAGCGGTGGTAAATGTATGAGTCATCTCTTCTGGCATTTTCTGCCGCCAAGGAAGAAAAGGGAAAGCAAAGTACAAGTGCCTATGGCTAGCAGGTTACACGTTTTTATGCGCAATGACACAAAAGGGGTTTTGTGACAATTTGTCCCATCTCGGAAGAGGCCAAATTTGTTGTTTCCCATTGCGTCGTACCGCCATCTGCCCTCATTATATCGGGCTCCAACCACACGACCACCCAGTTAAGGGTGAATCTTTCCGACATTTGCGCCGCATTCTGGGCACTTGGCATCTTCCCCTAACGAGTTGACGTCTGCCACAGTAAATGGGTGGCCGTGAGCGCAGGTACCCCAATAGCCAATTCCAGTGAGCTTTTTAGCCATTTCTCTGTGGATGGCGCGTTGCTCTTGTACCGACATTCCAGTGTAAAAAACACCGTGGTTAAGCATCTTCCCGACAGCATCTAACTCCTTTTGGAGGTGTGTAGCTGGTTGGTAGTCACGGACAAGAGCCTGCGCCTGGGAATAATGGTCTTTGGCTTTGGCTATGGTGGCGTCGCACAAGCCAACTACCTTCAGGTCAAAGTGTTCCTCGGAGTTGGCCAGCTGCTTGATGAGTCCGACAAGTCGTGCAAAGAAGATGTGTCCTTCTGCTTCTTGAACAATATAACCGGTCGTCTGCGCTAGTTTGATCAACAGCTCACAGTCTTCGATTGGTTTCTCCAATCCGAAATGCATTGTTGTGCAACGCTTAGGCGCATCGTTTCTCAACTTCAGGAAGTCGCTCAAGACCATTAGGTAGCAGCGGAAAAGCGTGACCTGAGATAGGAGTTCACCACGAGTGTGAACACGAGAAGGGCCTGGTTCGAACTGGCCTATTGCCCCCTCGACGCTATTGGCCTGTTCGACGAGATCAAATAATAGTTTGTAAGGTCTTTCTTCACCCCTAACTCGATCCATACAAAGGAATATATCGAAGTAAAGAGCAATGATCCTCTTGTATCGATCATTGTTGATCGACTTGTGGATTGCCAGCATATGGTCAATCTGAAACACGCCCATCTCACGCTTGTCTACTTTGTTGAACAGTTTAGGAAGTTGTTCGGAATTCTTCGAGTGCTCCAGTTGTTGTTGTTCATCGAGAAGACGTCGTTCCAGCATAATAAATTGAGCATGCGACCAGCGAATGAATCTTCTGGTTGATTCATCTAACAAGGCTTGTCGAACTAATCTTCCATAGCGGGAAATGTTCCGTAGGCTTCCTCGACATTTCGGGCAGGCTTTGATAGTAGCGCTCGTGAGGGGCTCGTACGGACCCTTGATAGCAATGACTGTACCATCGTCAAGACTCTCATAGTAGTCGGACATGCCTAGCTTACAATCCATACTCAATGCTGTCATGATATGGCCGCATTTAGGGAAGATACAAGGGTCCGTATCTAAGTCGATGTCACGGTACTCTCGAACCTCAATTGTATCTACTACAGTTCTCTTGATATCTTCAGATGCACAAGTCTGGCAATACCTGGCATCTGGACAGATCTCTCCGCAGAGAGACGGACCTAGATGTTACCTTTAGCATCAATAGTTTCTATATGATAGTTGTTGACACTCACATTGATGACCGCAAGGTTGTAGAACCTTCTTACAGCGTTTGGAGCAAGGAATCCAATTGCATGGCGCCGCACACCTATTGAGAATTAGCATTGATATCAATCTAACAGATTTCATCAAATAAACTTACGGCATGGTACAACGACTGTGAGGACATCTAGATGAGCATTTGTCTTTCTTGCAAGGGACACACCGCTCAGAACACGTTTTGCGACATTTCGTATGTTTGCATTGCACGTCGCAATCCATGTCGCAAGGAGGGCATTCTTCGTTTGGATGACACGGTCGTTCGCAGACGTGACTGCAAGTGCCGTAGCTTCGACCACAAATGCTTATACAGTCCCGGTGCTCTTCCTTCACAACTCTCCCGCCCTCACGAACAATACAGGTTTTGCAAGAACCTGGACATTGATGTCCGCATGGCAGAAAATGACCACATCGTGCGCGACAGATGATATCGTTCACAGCGACATACCCCTGACAAGGTAATTCTACACTATGATTACATCCCGGTATAGTTATCTTGATGCGTTGGCGACATTCAATCTCGCCGGGTACCAGAGTTTGCCAGCAGCGAGGCGAGGTTAAGAAGTGCCCACAAGGTAGAAAGAGCTTTTTCCCTTCTAGTACAGTCGAGCAATTTTCTTCGCATGGCTCTCCGCACCTATTTGGACAGCCGTGGCCACAGATTTTCTTTATCAATGAACATCGCTGATGACATTTGATGGTCATATGTAATGGTGCCGCATGGCACTTGCTGAGGCACGCATGGCCACACTCGAGTACCTGGAGACACTGAGCATTGCAACCTGCCTCTGGGGATAATCGCGCAAAGTCTTCGGGACCTGATACTTCAATAAGTGCATCCTTATGTCTCGGACACTGAAGCGGAAGGCTAGTGCCAATATTCCCGTTCTTTTTGAGCATGCTGATGACTTCCGACCACATGTCAACCCCGCCGTACGTAGTAGAGTTTCCAAAGATATACATCCCATGCTTGGCTCGTGAGAGAAGGACGTTGATTCTGTTTGTGGTTTGCATGAAACCGCATTGCTGATCTAAGTTGCTCCGTACTAGGGAAATGACAACGACCTTCGCTTCTTCTCCTTGGAAGTTATCAACCGTTGCGAGCCGTAAACAGCTTCCCAATTCCTGTCTGTGGATATTGGGAGTCACATCAAAATCTTCATCCTGTGAATCCATGAGGTCTTGATCCTCGACCACAACCTCGAATGATTCTTGAAGTCTTTGTCTCAACTTGTGCAGCTGTCCGAGATAAGGCGTGATAACCGCAATATCGTTATGGTTATAAACACCTTGGCGCACGAGGTGGGATACGAAGGCACAAACCATATCAACCTCGAATTTGTTTGTCCGGGACGTATCCGCAACCTGATTCTGGCTAGGTATTGTTCGACTCTCAGGGTATTCATGATGAAACCAATAGAGTCGTTTCCTCATCCCAGCCACCTCAGGATAACCACCAACTTCCTTGAAGTCTTTCAAATCGTTGTACAGAGTGCTTCTAATTAAGTTGGAAATCGACGGATGCATTCGCCTCTGTACTTCAAGCATGTCAAATGGCAGTCTCAGGTCGGTTGGTCGAGGAGGTTTAACAAGCCTTTCAAACAGCGATACATCTAACGAGTATTTTTCTCCACGAGGGTTCGCTATAGATAGCTCGTAGTTGTCAATGTGGGGACGCAATTGAAGATGGTCTCCGATAAGGATGGCGTGTTCCACAGATGGGAGCAACGATGTTAGGATGTGGCTCTCTAACACCTCACCAGCTTCCTCGCAGAGTAGTACCTTAGCTCTGAGATTTCGAAGGGTGGTCAAATTCTTAGCCAGGCCTGCGGTGGTCGCGCCGATAACATCGGCGTGTCCGAGTATGCGAAGGTCCACCTACGCGAGGGGCTGCGTTAATAATGGCTAATCATGAAACCCTAGATTTGAAAGGAGACGATATCTAACAAGACGAGAATCTAAACTTACCTCACCTATGCCCATTTCATGTCTCTTTTTAGCGGCCCAGTGGCTGCGATGAAGGGAGATGAACTCGTCCTCCAAATCAGAGATGACCGCAGAAGCCCACATCTCGCGAAGTAAGGAGCGTTCTTGTCGACTGAATGTCGTTGGATCTTGTTTCATCAATATCCGAATTTCTCTAGGTGCACTGTTTGATACAACACCCTCATTGACCCAACGACGGAAGTAAGCGTCCTCGTCCCGGTGGATACTTGCAGTCCATTGGTCCTGCTCTGTGCCGAATATCGCCTTATAACACAACATCGCCGTGTCCTTGACATGCTCTTTCTCTCTCTGGGATATCATTGAGGTCCGTATCTGAGTTATGAAAGCCTTCAATGCCTTCTCTGCGTTCTCCAATGCCGGACCAGATTTGCCTAAAGTTTTCTTTTCCGATCTAGTGCGCTCTACATCCTGTGCGATCTTGCGCAGGTTCACCTGCTGGAGAATCAACGATTCAGATCTCGAGCCAATCCGGATGATCTTCTTCACTCCATCGTGCCAGAGGTTTTCAAGAAGCTGGTCTAAGGCATGGTTGGTACGACAAACGCAGACTATAGGTCCTATTTCTGCCTTGTACTTATTCGCTAAAAGCACCTTGATGATTGCCTATATTCACTCAGTTATCTGTTTCATATATAGGTGAATACTTAATAGAGGTTAAATGCCACTTACTTCGCCAGTGTAACTTTTACCCGTTCCCGGAGGTCCTTGAATAAGTGCTAGACCTCTCTTTAGTGTGTTCAGGAGAGCTCGAGACTGGCCTTCGTCTAGGCTTGATCTGATTGAAAGGTCACGGGGGTTCGGGTCATTTTTGGGTCTGAAGGTGAAATTTCCTCCATCGGAGGTAAGACACTTCAAATCAAATGCGAACTTAGGCTTCGTCGTATAGAGAGGAGGTGGAATGGTAACTTGAATCGGGCCATCTAAGACTGGCGCAAGTAGGTTAGTAAATGGAAGATCTAACGTCCTTGAGATATGTTGAAGTGCGCTCAGAGCCGGTTTGAACGAAGGCACTAATACGCCAGGGAATTCTATCAAGGATCTGGGTGTAGGGTTCTTAGATCGAATAGCTCGAAGCATTACTCGGAGATCTGTGTCGCTGGGCTCAGCTAAGCTTAGGCTAACGTATGCGAAACTCGCATTACTGTGCAAGTCACGCTTCCCGAACGGTGGTCGATCCCTGTTTCCCTTGTTGGAATCGATCTTGGGTCTAATAGTGGAGTCTGACACAGCAAAGAATACGGCGGTGTCTCTTTCCAGAAAGCAAACGAGGGCGCCAATCTCCAAGCGCTTCGATATTCTCCACCAATCTTCGCGCGCTTCAGTTGAGAGTCTACTCGCAAGCTCCGGTTGTTTAAGCTTCAAGTGAAACTCAAGCCCCGATCGACGTTTGCAGGTAGTATCAACAATATCTACGACGCTGTACGAATACTTGCGAACATTGCTTTGCAAGTAAGAGGTGTGTTCACCTCTGGGATCTTCGAGAATTCGAAGCTCTTCACAAATGCCTTCTTTCAACGGCCCAACTGTATCTTCTCGAAGTAATCGAAAGTGCCGATCGATTAATCCTCGAATCCCTGGCAAATGTAATTGCGAAGGGTCGTAAAGCGGCCGGTAGTCTTGCCGGGTCGACATGAGCTCCGACATAGTTGGCAGAATCCGAATCTTACTTATATCTTCAAAGTCGTTATCATGACGTGGACCATATGCCGATAGACTTCCAGGGAGATCTTGAGGTATCCAACTATGGAAAGAATCATCTTGATCCTGCGGTTTTCTATGGATAGTTAGCATAATAAATAGGGAAGGGGTAGGTATAAAGTATTATTGTAGCAAAAGCAGTAGCTCACCCTTTTAGAGGCGCCATGGCCATTCTGTGAGTTATATCAGGTGAAGTAGAAGGATGAGGCAATCATTGGGGAAAAGAGGGTCTCGATCGAAGGATACAAAGCAAACGTGACGCAAGTGGAAGGATGCAGACCCCCAGATAATTGCTAGGAGCCTTTGACTCGTGAATTACAGTAGTAAAGCGATGAAAGTGTGTATTGATGGTGGAAGGGAGGTTGGTGGAAAAGAGAGGATGGAGGATAATTGTGAAAAAAAAGATTAAAAGAATCAAGTGAAGCACGTTCACGTAAATTTACTAAGGAGCGATCTTTAGAAGGGAAAGCTGAAACGGGCGACGGAAAGAGCAACTACTAGTTACCAGGTACTAGGTAGTTCACGATACGTATTCCATACGTAGCAGGCTGTACTTGGCAATATACCTAGGTATGTACGACTTCCCGGGGAGGTACGCCTTCCGACATTAGCTTAGGGGTTACCGATTGGAGATAGATGTTAAGATGGGTGCCTCAAAAGTAGATGAAAGCAGATTATGAGTGTCATAGTTGTTATATGAGAAGGTTGAGTTATTAGGAATAGGTAATTAGTACGAGGTAGCTACATGTAGGCATTTGTCAAAATATATTACCTATCTGTACTGAATGGTCTTACTAGCTGATGGTCCTCCAGGGCTGTCATAAATGGATCCATGAGATTCACTACAGAATGGGACCTATAATTACGTCTGCTTAGGTAGATCCATAGCTAATAAATACCTCCATACGCTTATATATCCTGTATCTAGGTAGGTAATTAAAGAGATAGGAAGACTGGAAGTACTCCAAGACGGTCACCTATATATATACCTATACTATCCACCACGATACTTAGGTTACCTACCTAGTACATACAATTCAACATTGACGAGTAGGTAAATTGTAAATATACACCATAATATAAACGCAATACCAACCTAATGATGGGATTAGAGATATTACTCGATACTTACCTAGCCACTTACAGAGATAGGTATCCTAGAATGTATGAGCCTACTGATAAGGCCGAAAATATCAAGGTATGTGGAAAGCTCTTGTTGTGGATTTTCAGTTAGTACCTACCTGATTAAGGACTTCTGAAAAGAACTTGCAGAACATTTATCATTCTACCTAGCTTTGATGCACCTTTCGCTCTGCTTTATGTTTAAATTTATTATCTTATAGGTAGGTTGTAATTCGAATATCAATTTGATTATTTCAAGACATAATAGTGGATATAGGTTTATTGATGTGTCCCATGATTGGAAGTAGAACTTCACTGACGCCCTGGTGGGGAACGCCATACTACCCATGCTTAACATTAAATTCTGTTGATATTAAAAGACTTTAGAGATTCTTACGTACTGATATTCAAGAGCTCATGGGTCATTCGGCTATCTTTGTGACTTCAAGTAACAATGCTAAGTCATATGGGAAGTCCCGACGATACTTATAGCCTATGCTCGCTGACCTGACAATTTGACAAATAGTCTTGCTGACTACCTGAGTTAGTAAATCGTCAAATCTGCCTTGAGCGATCTCCGCGATGGCCCGGGTGGGGCCGCAGGCTCTTCTAAGACCCTGCGGCTACTTTTTGACCAGATGTCGTACCGAATCCGGATACAGACTTCGGGGTCGTATGGTTAAACTGATGCCTATTCAGATCCCAAGTAATGCTTGAAACCCCCGAATCCTAACGGACCGCTAGTTTTAGCACCCGTAGTGAGGCTGCGTTCGTTAAGCGCATTTCCTGATTGGCTGCGGCTTACGAGCTGCAGTCGCATATTGGATCATGATTGGTCAGCTCTAGCATTGAGCTGATAGCTATTTCCAGGAACATACCTAATCACCGAAAAGGGGCTAATACCGACTTACTGGAAATCGGCTCCCGGTGGTTTGGGAATACGCCGTGGTCCCGGGGTTTGGCATCGATCATGAAGTCCTACAACGTGAAAACGAGATGGCGTAGCAGGGTGCATTCCTTCTCCTGACCTTCCTTCTCTTATTCTTCAGAACACTGGATAAACACTTACGCCTCAAACAGCCCTTCTACCTACACCGTAGATCAGGTGAATCTATTTTCTTCAAAGCCTTTACGATATTACAGTCAACACGATTCGTGGTGACAGTGGGGTCTTCCGACAAAGAGACAATCTCAGAAAATTATAAGTTGATCTATCACACCCATCAATATGGAACCCAAAGGCAAGGAGACAAGTAGAGAACTCGCTCAGACTCGTCCAAGTAGAGATCGTTCCCGCAATATCTTTTCTACGAAAAACAGTTCCGAAGACCAACAAGAATCTAAAGACACAGAATCCACTATGGATAGATCGGAAAGCCAGCCGTGCACCTTTGCGGACGTCGCAGTCTCGTATCGCGTCTACGTACTTGATGACCTTCTTGCAGAACCTCAGGAGATTGTTCACGACTGGAGCCGGAATCTGCTTTACATAAGTCAACGTCACAGACAGGGCAACAATTTTGCCCCCATTGAACTATCTCATGAAATCTCTATCTTCGATGTTTCGGTTGGGGATATTACTTCGACGATCGACATCAGGCCATATGCTGGACCGCATTGCATGGAGTTGGACGGATCGTGCTCTTATATTCACGCTCATGTGGACGGAGGAACCATTTGGATTGATCCGGAGTCGAGGTTTGTGACCAACTTCGAACCTGCGCAGAAAAGGAGACGTGAGGGGAGAACAAGCGAGGATTTCATCGCCGAAATCGACCTCAGGTCTGGAAAGATGCGCCAGAGAGTCAATGTGCCGGAGGGCGATAGACATTCTAGCGATGGACGTCACGTCACCTTTTCTGCCCCGGCAATCAGATTTGCAAGTCGATCATCTAGCAGTGGACTTCCAGTAGTGGATGTTGTTAGCGATCCAATCATCGATGCCATCCGAACCAAATTTTCCGTTCGGACTATCTATGTCACATCTCGAAATATTATGTTGGTTTAAGGAGTAAGGAGCGGTGTGAGGATATCCATACGACGGAGAGAATGTGAATTTAGGGCCTGGAGTTAAGGATGACTGGGATCAGTCCATGCTGGCATGGCTGACGGAAATATGTATGGTTTAGAATTTAGATACGGTCTGCAATAGACTATGCGATAGGACGGCGGACGATACCTATGTAGCATTTACTCTCTTTTACTCAATACACTATCTAGGTACACAATGCTTGTCGCATGACTTTATCATGACGTGAACTTCTATATATTGCCATATACCTAGTAAACATAGAATCAATATAGAGATACTTATTCCTACATAACTTGGGTAATTATGGAAGTAACGGTAGGGACAGCTAAACCATTAGTCGAGAGCTTTAGCCTTAGGCGGAGAACGAGGAATCCTCCCAGTATTGGGTGCCCTTTTTTTTCTTTATGACAAATATTCATAGCAAGATGATAAGATCATCCCATAACTTCTCGCCATAGTATTCCGATCTTATAGGCTGATGTTATAGAAGTATATTTACTTAGCCGGCATCTCGTGGTCTATATACGAGTGGGTCTAGTTCAGCCCTACGAGCTGACGAGCCCTATCCTACTGATCCTGGTCAAATGAAACGCGGGATGTGTTTCTGTTTGATTTTAGTACGCACGTGGCGAGAGATCCTTCCGATTTACTAGATCGGATCGATTGGCAACCGGTTCATTGCCGAGATAATGTAAGCAAGCCTACGGAGGGTATGGAAAACCCCGTTTTGAGATACATAGGTAGATTATTCGCCGCGCCGCATGACGAATACATCTGACTTATTACTCGTAAAATGCGAGAACGGATTTTTTATGAAGCACTGCCGCAAGCCCCGTCTGGGTATAGCCCCATATGGGATTGTCAATTCTTTTCTTCCCTCCATTAACTCGGCACATATGATACATACCTAGGTAGGTAGTCAGTGCAAAGCCGTCATGTGTCGAATGTGAGGCTGTAAGAAATGCGTACCTCCCCAGAAGGAATCCTAAGAACCCACATGCATAAATAGAATACGATGCAGGTTCAAATATTTCATTAGAAGTACCCTACCTCTACCGATGTTCTCCCAAGTTTACCATATTGTTCGCCCGTGCCGCCGTGAGTCATCATTGTTAGTATACCGACAGTTCCACTTGGCTAAGATTTACCGTACAGCAGAAAAGTATTCTCGTATTCTTTTCATCGCGCCCAAGAGAACTAATAATAGGTACCTAGGTAACCTTTCAAGCCTCAAGCCTCCACAATTAAAAAGCTTTTGGAGCGAGCTTCGCTTACCGTCTTGTTGCTTTGCATGACGATCACTAGTGGTGACATTGCTGCGAAAACAGCACAGGGGTTTAATGGAGCCGACACTCCGGTGCGGGACGTTGCATCACCACAGACCAATCACTGGAAGCCAGCAGTTGTCCAATAAGAATGGTTCACTACATATGCATGTAGTGATCGCCTTGATAGAATAATGAGCCATCATCCAGAATGTTTCTGAACTACCAGCCTACTAGGTAAGACGGAGGAATTAAAGAGACATATAATCACTTACTTTGTATCTATAATTTCTCTCTATGTTTTGTGTTCGTCCCCCAATTATTAATTTACAACTTTCAAGATTAAACGGAATTCATATTATAAACGAGGGTTTTATTATGTAACGAAAAAAAATACTACAAGCGATATTTATGAAAGGGGGAAAAAAGAAAACACAACAGGTTGGAAATTCGGCTGCTTGTATCATGTATCTCATGTCGCAAAGTGCCGTGGACTTGTTCTGCTTCCTTCCGTTGATGTCTACGGACGGCAGCTGCTATTAGATGATAGGTCATATTGTTTGAATTATGTACATAGTTATGTAACTAAGCACAATAATAAAGCAGGCACAACTGGATTGTTTTGGGTTGCTTTAGTGGCCCAATAGCCTCGTTCACGCTCGTTTGGTTGCCTCGCGCTTTCCCTCACAGCGTTTCGAATCCAAACAAGTCATTCAAACGGATTGGTTCGCTGTCTTTCAATTTCACCTACCCGCCAAGTGGTTCCAGTGAGAGCTCAGAACACCAACTGCACCCTTGACTCGTCAATCTGGTTACAGTGAACCGCGTTCATTCACTTCCTATGGCGAATCTCCTATGACACATAAATTATAATAAATTCTACCTTCCTAAACTCACATGTTCATATTTCCCATTTGTTTTCATGTACCTTTCCTCCTCTGCACGACCACGTCATGAAGTGATCGATTCGGTGTAGTTGCGATCTCCAACATATCTCCATTCATTTTCCTTTTCCTCTTCCTCTATCGGTTACTATTCCACTACTTTTGACCATGAAACTACTATAGAGTCTCCTCACAAGCTCTAGGACTCACAAACTCATCACTATTCATGTCTCTGCAGATTTTGATATCTCGTCTGTCCGGCCCTCCGATATAATATCAAGCAAAGTCAGTATAACTGCATCTTGTATCAATCCATTCATAGGAATGGATTTTGAAAATACCAATACCCCAGCTGGGGCACTCAAGCGCCTTTTCAACCACATAACTCTACCTGCAAGGCTACCCCAAGACGCCGATTCTAGCATCGATGTGGTTGAACGTGAACTGGTAGATCGTTTGATAGCTGCGGCTAAGCTAATGAGAGACGCCCAAGATGGCATCTGTTGGCAAGTTTGGGACTCGCTCAGGCGTTCACTTCTGCTTTGCAGAGCACTCAATATCGGTGGGAGGCTAGAACGAAGCCAGCTGAGTAACCATCTCAAGCAGCTTCGCGATTCTGATGTCATTATTCTTCACGTGTCAGCTCAGAATGCAGGCATTGTCATTCACAAGCCTTCCAAGTAAGTTTTAGCATACTATCTCATAAATAATTAAAGCTCACGAAGTTCTTGCAGCCCTGAATTCAGCGGTAATATACTATTTGAAACATTCGAGGCCTCGCCCAAGCGCGAATCTGTATTAGCGTCACAGACGCTTTCGTGGACATTCCCCGGGACAGCTGTGTTGATCCCTGATTCGACATTCTACGATGATGCTTTCCTCGAAAGTCTTTCGGTATTCCTGGAGCAAGCCTCGACCGAATCTAGCCAGAAATTCTCCGAGTATGCGGTAAAAGCAGGGCGTCAAGTGGCGGAGGACAGGGAAAATCCACATCCTGCCTTAATCACATCCTTTCTCACTGCGATCCTAGAGGCGAATGGCAAACGCATTTCCCCTATTCTCCTTCGAAAAAGAGTGAGAGATGACGTATGCTGGTCCAGCAATGCACCTTGGCGAAGGTTGCCATATTGGCTTGTTCTTCGGGTTGGCATCGCCCGTTACCTAGCAACCATCCTCGGTGGAGAAAATGGCCGAATTCAGTACAAGTTTTTGATATGCATCATCCATGCAATGATACTTGATGATACCCAGGATATCGTTACCTTGGAGGACCAATCTTTCCTCAAAACTAAACTATGTCGCAGACTTTACAAGCTTGATCGAGACCACCTAGAGCAACCAAAGACCATACAGGAAGCATACGGTAAACTGGATCGGGCCTTTTCTCCCCTATTCAAAAAGACTGTGGATGCTGTTGCTTTTCGGATCAACAACAGCTGGAACCAACAAAAGAAAGCAATCGTCAGGCCTATTCTACCATTACCTCGTCGATCTAATTCAAAGGATTTGCACCTCAGTCTTAAGTTGAGTCGCAAATATCTGACCAGGGTTCGTGAGAGGTTCCAAAATGCAACCCCACTCAGGAGAACCCAAACCCATACAACTTTCCAACGACCTAAATTACACATTCAGGCATTTGGTAAACAGTTGCTTGAACTTTTTGACAAGGAAAAACAGATTCAATACTCCATTTCCGATTTGTCTTTAGGTTCAATGAGCTTGTCAGCGCGAGTTCGGCAACTACATGGAACCATTCACGATTACATCAACCAAATCAATGATAAATACGATGGCAATGTAGAGCAGAAGTCAATCATGCTCCTCACTTTGATGGAGACATGGACAGCTCTCGACGACGCGGCATGTACTATGTTTCCTCTCTTATATGAATTCCACCCTATCTTTACTGCACGCCTATTGGAAATACTCCGTCTCCCTCTTCTATCCGACATCTCTCGCGCACGCAAAGTACAATCATATATACAGGGACGGATATCTCGATGCGGAGGGTCTCGAGCCACAATATTCGATGACCCATGCAAAGGTTGTTTCGCAGAAAGATACTTCAATGATTCTTCCGGTTCTGGTCCGCTCGCAAATATCCTGGCTGAGATACAAGCAACTTCTGCACAGCAGCTGAAAGAGAAAGAACAAGAATGGAGAGACATGAGCGCAAAATATGAGATGTTGACAAGACAATTTGATTCAGCAACATGCATCTACGTCCAATCAATGAACGGACTCTACCCGACGCACGATCAGTACACCTGTCCAAAATGCCAACTAGACAAACAGAGGTCTCGTATGACAATCAAAGCTTTTGAATCCCCGCTACCTGAGAACACAGTGCTGGCAAAGGCAATAGTATTTGAGCTTAGGTGTCCCGAAGCTCTTGCTTCATATCGCGATGCCACGTGGAAAATCTTACACGGCGTTGCGAAACAATCTCAAGATATGGGTATCAAACCAAAGGTATGTTTACAAGACTACTCGGGCTTACAGGAATATTCAAAAATTTCCGGGAGTATATCTCTTGCATCGACAACGAAATCATGTAAGCTATAGCATCTCCTTTTGTTTATTAGGGTCCTCTTTAACTTCGACTAGTCCTAATGACCCACTATAGGGGGAAGAAATTCCCCGTTGATCTCGATCAAGTGTGCTATCCGAATGGCCTCAAGTTATCCTACTTCGACAAGGCTTCTCAATCTTGGCCAGGCCATAGACAAACGCGTCCTACATTTGAACATCACTGCAAACTAACACTTCCGAAGAGTTCACCATTCTCAGCGCTCCTCGAGTCTCCAAGTTTTAATGCTTATGAGGATGGCCCATCATCCTACGAGATTGTGGCATCACATTCACACTGTCCATCCAGTCTCAACCCACATGAATATATGGCCTTCCAATATCTCTTGTCTGGAAAACGTCGACGATGGATCACCGTCTTGAGGGAGCTTGGTTCGTCTAATCTCAATCTATCCACAGAGACGACAACCATGCTGCTTGATCATCTCGCACACCAGGTCGGCCCATCAGATGAATACCACGAGCTCTTTGGAGCTATACATTCTGTTTTCGAGGACGCTTCATTCTGTGAAGCCATGTTACAGCAACTCAAGGCAAAGCTAGAGGCGATAGCCTCTAACTGGCGCGAGACCCATCTGATGGAAATCATCATTATATTGACTCTAAGGCTCATTGCATTCACGGTGCCTAATACGAATCACTTGACAGCAATAGCATTGGATCTGCTTTCCGAAATTAGGCAGATCACTTTGCAATGGGTAAGATTGTTGCGCAAAGAAATGTATTCCGCTGGAGACTTGGATAATAAGAGGAATTGCCAATCGTATCTATTGTGGGCTGCTCTTCTCTGCAAAAGAACCTATGCTTCACACCAGATGGCAATCGCCCAACATCTCGAGGACGAAGATATTTCTACATTCATTGAATGCAGTGCAACGGTGTACGACAATGTCCCAGATAACATCATATCCCTGGGGCGAATTGTGAAGAACTCCTTCGTTCGAGATTTAAGGATGATGCACGATTTGAAGGATCAAATACGGCAGTGGATCGAGATGCGTGCAGGGATCCCTTTACATGTCGCACTTCAAAGCCTATGGCCGGCTGCTGCATCCAAATCGATCTTTGCCATTAAATTCGAAAGTGACGGGTGGATTCAAGTCGATTTAAGTGATGCATTGGAAGGGCTGGTGACTGCGAGCTACAATTATATCTTTGGTATCTTGTTAGTAGACGGCCAACCTCTCGGTGTAAGTATTTGGAGCACAGCTTAGTATCCAGTGTAGTGTACTAACTTGCGTCAATACAGAGGCTTCCTACGGATCCAAAAAGTACAATTATCCTCGAGGAACTCTTTGGTGGGCAGACGAGTCTTATGAAGTACCCCTCGAGAAGTCCTGGAATGACTCACGGTAAGTGTTCCCTCAAGTTTAACGGATGCTGTTAGCTAATTAAGTACACTATTAGTCTTGGCTTTTGACAAAGAGGGCTACCGGATACATATCGGATACGATGGTGAAGAGACCATTATCCGTGCCATTAATGAGAGACAGATTCTGGAACTCATCCCAAGAGACAAGTTCCGTAATGGGAATCAGTTTGACCTTCCAGCACAACTTATTGATAACTGTATCCATTGGCTGTAAGTTCCTTAGTATACTTCACGAAACCTGCTCCTATGCTAACATATGCAGCGATCTCGTTACTGGGATCCTCGAGATTCGGTTGAAATCGATAAACATTTGGAGGTCCCATCGACATAGTTGGAGGCTAGACGTTACGACATCAGTATGTTCACGGTTTATACCTAACGCGAAGGGTAAAGAGACGCTGGTGGATCCTTATAGTCCACTGTTTAACCGCGCGTCGAAAATTTTTACTTACTTCGAACACCCAATGCATTTGACGATCTATCAACCAGGCGGCATGTATTCACTCGCTGTTGATATGCCCCGAATGCAACTGAAGTGGTGGGTCAACAAAGACAATCTGCTGCAATCTTCACACTTGCAAGCCGAGATTGATCCTTCCCAATGTATTGACACATGGTATGGGTTTGATAGCAAACTGGTTTGCCGCAGTTTGAAAAACCCACAAGATCGCTTTGTTCTCGTCCCATTAGGAGCACTCCAGGCAAGAAAACGGGGTTGCCACGTACAGGTGATCGTTCAGCTCCTACACCCTGATATACGATCGGCAAATTACGTACGATTCATGGTTAATAAAACCCTCGGTCGCCTAGATTGCGCCTCGGAGCCTGCGTTGGTATATAAAAAAGCCGAGATCCACGCACTCACCTCCTTTGTTCTACCGGACCCCTTAACAGGCTTGACCGGAGTCGAAAGTTCTTTAGCTATCTTGACTTCCGGTATATCCCAGCCATGGGCACCATTGATATTCCTCCCAACAAACATACTATGCTCTCTTTCAAGGCTCTCCCCGAGACGGGAATATTATCCTGAAGACCTCAGAGTCATGAAGAAAGAGACATGGAATCATGATTTGCCCGCCTTGGTTCAGCGAGAAGAGTTTTACATCCTGGCAGACAAGATAATCTCTCAGTCTAATAGATTGGGTACCTTCTACCCCCACAAGATAGACACGGAAGAGTTATCCGCGTCCGGTGATATTCATCTAAACCTACGCGCTCTACGTCGGCGACAACGTTATGAAAGATGCAGCTATGGGCTACAACTTGATAGTCCAGAAGATACTCTGTACGAAGCGAGACATGATCCCCGCGCCAGTAGTTCGCGGTATTCCAATGTCTTGGAAACAGCCAGTATAATACGAGACAAACCAAGGTTCATGTCGACCGTAAAGGATCTTGCAACGAACCTCTCTCAGTCACTCATCATCAAAGGTTACAATCAGGATTTTGAGAAGATAACAATACACGATCGCCTAGAGGTTGATATACGTCGGGAATTTGGCCCGCTTGTCAGCGCGATGAAAGATATTCAGGGCCAATATAAGCTCATGTTCTTTCTAGGGTCAATCTCGTTTCGATCGAATGCCAATATGCATCTAATACGGACTCTGATTGCGTTCGCTCATTGGGATGATCTTCAATCGTTAGCTCTCCCTCGTTATGATGAATACTGCAGCTTCCGGCCAGGCCAAGTACCACAAGTTGACGTTCTAGTCAAGCTTATTGAACCATTTCAAGCACCCCCTCCCGAAGACCCTCCTCTCGCAGAATTTGCGAGTGGTCGAGACCAACGAAAGCTCTACCAGGCCAGGCTGGCCCATGCTCAGGAAGCAAGCAAAGACTGCAGAAACTTGGCGCTATCTCTAATTTCAGAATGGCCTACTCCCAGCCCAAGCACAAAGCATGCAGAGGACTCGTACTTGATAGATGTACCCGCTGCTCTAAACCAAGTACGTCCTGAGTGGGAGAGAATATACCGCAACCATGAATTTTATATCCACCTGCAAGAAGTTCAGGCAATTCTAAATCAAAGGCATTCTGATATCGAATTTCAAAAGCCGGACTTTGTTCCTTCTGAGTGGATGTACCATATTCAGCAACCAGGCTACAGGCTACCAACACTTGGCCATGACATGATTGGAATGCCTATTCATAAGATTAGACCAAGCATCGCAAAACAACGTGTCAGTCCCTTCGGAAACGCACCTCAGCCTATGATACCTCTCCGTGACATTTCAGCAGAAAAGGCTTCGCAAGAGTTAGAGCAGATTATTGACGTATTCTCGAAATCTAAGTCAACAATCAAGAAAAGATACGCGGCAGACCTAAAAGATAGTTTGGTTGCTTTCAAAAATCACAGATCGCAAGCCGCAGCTGCTTCAACTTTGCCGCCGTCTAACGAATATACAGTTGCCCAGCTTGAGTCATTTGTAAAAATGATTTTGGCGGAAATAGAATCTGCAGTAGAGACACCAAATGACGTATACTCTGAGAGGCAAATATATTGGCTACAACAAGGTCAGCTGTGGCCTGCTATTACTCCAATTACCCTTCTTGAGCAGCTTCGGTCCACCACAAAACGTTCATTTGGGACGGGAATGAAGAGAAGACTACTCGATTTCGCCGTGTCCATCACAAACTTGCAAAGACGATTGCGGATGCAGTCCTATCAGAACTCAGGTGAATACGCTCGTTACGAAGAAGAACGAAGGAACACAGGTCACAGTAACTGGCGAGTGGAAGACTACCCTGACTGGGTTCTACTTGAGGTTGAATCAAACTTGCTCATTCGTGAGACTCAAGTTGAAGTCGCGTTGGCGATAATAGAACCAGATTCCAAGGCCAATAGCGTTCTCCAGCTGAACATGGGACAGGGCAAGACATCATGTATCATTCCGATGGCTGCAGTTATACTTGCGGATAGCAAGAACCTTGTTCGGGTGTCCGTGCCTAAAGCCCTGCTAATGACAACAGCTCAGTTGCTCCATGGTCGCCTGGGCGGTCTGGTTGGTAGAGAGATCAGCCACGTGCCTTTTTCTCGGCGGACTTCGACGAAGGAAGGCCACATCAAGCTGTTCCACAGATTACATCGCGACATTCAGAGGAAACGCGGAATAATGCTTTGCCTTCCAGAGCACCAGATGTCGTTCATGCTATCTGGTCTTCAACGGGTGCTTGACCAAGAGATTCCCGAAGCTAACATGATGGTTCGAGTCCAGGGGTGGCTTCAATCATGCGCGAGAGACGTCATCGACGAGAGTGACCACACGCTCGCCGTCAAGACACAACTCATATACCCTTCTGGGTCACAGATGACTGTGGATGGACATCCACATCGGTGGATAGTTGTTGAACAAATTCTCGGCTTAATGGATATGCATCTTTATGATCTAGCTACCAGCTACCGATATTCAATCGAGGTTGTGAGGCGCCCACATGGAGGCTTTCCCTTTGTTTTCTTCCTGCGGTCGGATGTTGAAGAAGAAATGGTTAACCGCCTTAGGAATGATGTCTGCCGAGGTGCCCGAGGCATAATCCCCGTGGACTCTATCGATCAAGCCGACCGCATAGCCATCAAAGAGTTTCTCTCCAGTGGCAAGGTTCGCCAGTCGAGTTTAGATCGTATCAGCTGTTTATGCCCCGACCGACCGCATGTCAAGCAGACGATATATCTACTTCGAGGATTATTTGTTCACCGAATTCTCATAATGACTCTCAAGAAACGATACGGCGTTCAATACGGACTTCACCCTTTGCGAGACCCGGTGGCGGTTCCCTTTCATGCAAAAGGAGTTCCAAGCGACCAATCTGAATTTGGCCATGTTGATGTAAGTAAATTTAATTTCTCCTCATACCGATTGAAGTATCTACTATACCCGCGTAGGTCTGAAGTTAAGCATAATACAAGCACTAACTTGGACGAGGTCGCTATCTTGTTAACCGCGTTGGCCTTTTATTACTGCGGTATCAACATTTCACAGACCCGTCAAGCCTTGGAAGCTGTCTTGAAGTCCGACGATCCTGCTTCCGAATATGATAAATGGACCGAAGACGAAGACTTCCCAGATTATTTGAGAGATTGGCATTCAATTAACGTCGATGATTCACAACAGATGGGCCAAATCTGGAACACTGTGCGTTTCAAGGTCCCCGTGATCGATTACTTTATGAACAACTTCGTCTTCCCGCGCCACGCGAAACAGTTCAAAGTTCGATTGCAATCCAACGGCTGGGATATTCCCTTACCATCCCACATCCAGTCCAATAAGAATAGGACCTTGAACCAGTCAAGAGGACTTACGACTGGCTTCTCCGGTTAGTAACATATTACCCCTATTTGTTTCTTTTCCTCTTCTGCTATACAATAATTCTAATCACCAACAACCCTCTTTCAATAGGTACAAATGATATTAAACCCCTCTTGCCTTTGACTATCAAACAGGATGACTTGCCCGCATTGTCGCATACAAACGCAGAGGTTCTCACATACCTTTTGCAGCCGCGATCTAAGAGCTATTTTGTAATGGCCGATCAGAACCATAAGCGCATTAGCGAGATTTCTTTTCTATGTTTGTTAAGAGATCGAAATATCCGCATACTTATCGATTCCGGAGCTCAAATCCTTGAACAATCCAACAAGGAACTAGCCGAAAATTGGTTGAAGGTGGACGGTCGAGCAGGAGTGGCGCTATACTTTGAGGGTGATAGTCCATGGATCCTTTCCAAGCAAGGAACGAAGACTCCCCTACTTGCTTCACCTTACGCAGACAATTTGAACGAAGTTCTAGTGTACCTTGATGAGGTATGTTTCTGGTTCTATTTAATAGGTATCCTAGATCCAAAGCTCACTCTAAGCAGGCCCATACGCGGGGAACTGATCTCAAGTTTGGTCAATACGCTCAAGCTGCTCTCACGTTAGGACTCAGCCAAACAAAAGACCACACTGTACAAGGTATGGTGGATAATATACCAAATCAAGATGACTATAAAGCTAACCCATTCTAGCTGCTATGAGACTCCGCCAGCTCGGCACAACGCAATCCGTTGCATTTTTCGCTCCACCCGAAGTGAACCAAAGCATTCGAGACTTGTGTGGTAAGATGGATGCGGAGCGGATAAATTCGTATGATGTGTAGGTTCAACTTATCCTTATCACTCTTCCACTATCATCTTCTACCATCAATGACGAAGGCTGATACAATTATAGAATCCGTTGGCTCATCAGCAATACATGTGATGGCATTGAGCAACTGCAGCCTCTTTATTATTCTCAAGGCGTAGATTACTGTAACCGAATGCAAGCAGCTGAGGACTTCCCGAATTTCCTGGTTGACGAAGAACACAGAACAGCTTTTGTCAATGCTATTAAACATAGGGAACGGCAGACCCTACAGCAACTCTATGCGCCCCAGTCTAAAGCAAGACTAGACATATCCCTAAAGTCAAACCCAAAGATTGCTGGATTTGTCAAAGAGCTCGAGTCACGTAAGAAAACTTTCCAGGACACAGGTCAGGCCGTCCATGCTTCAGCGTTACAAGAAGTTGAACAAGAACGAGAGATGGAAAATGAAGTTGAGGCTGTACGACAAGTCAAAAAACCATTACCATACACACCTCACAAGTTCCCCGGCCTCCACAGGGATCTGGAAACTTTTGCCAGGACAAGTAGGATACCTGCCGGGTCTGACTATTTCATCCATATCCTCAGAGCACTAGCAAGGACAGCTCTCGGAAGGAAATATAAGGTGAACCATGAGATGAGCTCTTCTCAACTTTTCGTTTCCGGCGAATTTGAGCGGACCGTTAAATTCATCATTGAGTTAGCCAATGACAATTTCATGGTAAAGTTCCCCTTTTGCTCACCCTTTCAACAGATAAGCTTACTAATCGCCTAAATATAGCGTCCTGTCCAATGGATTCTTCATACAGAATCTCCTGAAGCTGCAATTATTGTAACACCGGAGGAAGCCGAACACCTGATTCGAATCATACAGGAAACAAAGAAAGAAGGGAAAGTTAGCCCAACTCGTCTTTTGATTTATGCGGCACCTGTTACCCGACGAATGATGCACTTCAACAAGTTGAATTTCTATGCCTTGCCGCCTGTCTCTAAAAACTGGCAGCCTCCCGAATGGCTTACTACTGAGCTTGGTTTCTTTGCAGGGAGACTCTATTTCGATTGGTCTGAGTACAACAGCATTTGTAAAATGCTGGGAATTGACCTATCTACACCTGGGATGGAAGAAATCGATAGTTCGGAAGTGGATACAACCGACCAGACCGCCTCCGCCGAAACATCAAACGACCCAGATCGATCTCAAAAGATCGCTTCTAATCCTCGAATGGGCACGCAATCAAGTCACAAATTCAAGGGCCTTACATCTAAGCCTTACACGTTCACGCAGGAGTATTTAGCGGTTCGTCGACGTGGGCAAGACTTTACTCATACTCCAATGGGGTTCTTGTGCAATGGAAAACCGTTAAACGAGAACAGCGCTTTCTTCCGCCGTGCAGATACTACTCGACGTCGCAAGGCGCTTATGCCAGTTGGGACATCCCAGACTGATAACACCGAGGGAGAAGGTGGGGAAATGATGGATCTTGGAGAGTACGATCCCTCGGCGGAGATTCAAGATGATGAGGAGCACATTACTATCGAGTATGATGAATCTGATATGCATCGTATGGAAGACGAAGAAGCAGACGAATCGAACGATGAAGCTCAATCTCCAGGGATGAGTCGTGGAAAGCGGTCTACCAGGCGAAAGGGCAAGTGAAGGAAAGGAAAAGTGTTTTGATGATATGTGGGTACTTGTCAGAGGATTCTGTTTGAACTTTGCTCGGAGGTTGTTAGCTTTTTCTACTGTCGGTCAAGGAGATACTATGGCTCTTTAGCAGTGTGTTGGTACAACTAATGAAATTTGTGTTTCTATTACTCAATCTATATGGCGCCACTTGATTCAAGTTAATTCTCTCATGTTTGCTATAAACCAAGCAAACCCTCAGGAGGGTTTCCTCGGCTTAAATACCTGCGTAAAGGCCATAATTGTAGTACTCGGGCAGCAAGCATCGACCCTTTTCATCTTCTCCATAGTAGCGCAACATACACTCTGCGGAATCAGGAAATAGATATCAGGCAGAGACAACATGAAGGTAGGTAGTAAAACTTGACAGGCTGAAGGAACGTCTCATCGCATCCTACCTAGGCAGCTAACATCCTCATTTAGGCTTATATCTTCCTATTTGTGATAGTCGCTGCCGCGGCCAACGCGATGCCAGCCCACAAACGTGCGGAGGAGAACACCTCTTCTCAGAAGGCGGGCTACCATCCGGACTGCGGCTCCCCGAACTCAACCAAATTATGCCAGGAGCGTTACGGCGTTGGCTGCAACGACGACGGGTCTTTGCACACCGGTAATTACTCTTTCTGTGGTATTCTGGTGTGCAAATGCAGGCCCAATTAGGTGTGTCTGGAGCGAGTGTACAAGCTGAGGTAGGGTATCTAGAAGTAGGCAGGTTGTATGAGGGACACAGCTTGTTACACCATTACGATTCTCAATTGACTAGATTTAGATCGGAGGGAAGTACTGCGAACCTAACGGAATCCTCGATTGGAAGATGTGTCAAGGACGTCCTAGATACCCCTGATGTGCATTCGCTTGATCTGACAGCCTCACGACGCTACTAAATCAAGTCTCGGAGGACTCCAAGATCTAGGTTTAGAGAACGAAATGATAACTGTTTATTTAACGATAAAAAGACGAATCTGCATATATACCATCTTTTGTTCAAGGTCCATTCGTGAGGATTTCCCTTCTCCCGCCCCTCTCCCCCCGGATTGGGCTGATTAGCTAAGCAAATTGGATAAGGGGTCACGGATCACCTTGCGGGGACAAGCAGAAGGCACATATACCATAAGAAGTGACTCATTTTTCAACTAACAATACGGCGGCTCACCAGCTTAAACCACCAAGTGGTCGGTTTGGTTGATGCCTCAGACACGGACACTTACCCGAAAATGTCTCCCTGGAACGGGAGGTCTAGGGTTCGATTCCTGGCAGAACCAGGGCTTGAAAAAGCAGTTGCAAAGAAATATCCGACAAAGGGAGGCGCAGAAGCTCAGGAGCCGTACAAAATACCTGAGTCTGGGCCCTGAGGACGGTTACCCGATACTGTTCTTTTTGCCATTCTACTTATTATTGTAGCCCCCTCCACACCCAACCCGCCTCCCCTTTTTCGGCATCGCGATGCACCTGCGATTCCATCTTAGGATGCGCATAGTTCGAGCCCAACATGTACTTTTCCCCCTTTTTAATTCATTACGCCCAACCATTTCTAACAGTTGACCTGAAATTACGAGGAGTCATAATTTGAATACAGCTGTAGGCCTCGGGAAATGAAAAGGGGCTGATTACGTAATTACCCAACATTTGCCAACTGATGCCATGAAGCATCTCAGATAATACCTAATAAAACATGTCACATTGAAAAAAAAGCGTTATTTCTCAGCAAGTAAATTACCAATCTATTGATCTACAAAGATACATACTACTTGTGCGGGACACCACCACCATGGCTGCGCTCAACTTACCTGACACTTACCATTCCAGCTGCTTTACATGGACAGGACCACGACCAGCGTGATGGCGATAAGCGTAGCAAGGATAATCTTCGACGCGATCGCATCAGTCTTGGCGCCTTCGCTCATACAGGGCTCACTGTCCTCGTGGTGACCACTCTGCTTGGCTGAGGCACCGTAGAGGCTCATGTTGCGCTGCTGGCCGACGAAACCGATAGAGTGGTTTCGAGGACCACCCATAGGAAACCCATCGGTCGGAGCGTCGGCCATGGGGGGACCAGTGTGGCCGTGCTCGCCGGTGCAGTTGATGCCGGCGTAGCCTGTTCCGTTAGTCGGGTGGCCCATAGCAGCCGCGATGAAAATGATAATGATGATAGAGATCAGAATGACGCGGGAGTAGATCTTTGAGGCAACCATCTTGGAAGACTTATTCGCTAAATCTTAATTTTAAGTTGTGGAGTAGTTGAATAGTTACCTTGGTAGTTTTTTGTGCTGGTTTTGTTTTTCTTGCTGGTTTGCTGAATGCTTCTCATGGAATTATGCCGAGAATGCATCATATTTATAAACATCATTAGTGTTGACGAGGATGCTTTGAGATTGTATAGCGTCGAAAACAAATGGAATTGTATCAACTTTGCAAGGCGGTCCTGACAATGGCGTTGTCGGGGGTGAAAGCATTTCGAACAATGCCCCTTTATGGCAATATGAAAAAGACAACACGACGGACGCTCTTCTAAGATCAAGAGTCGTTCATTGTCCCCATGAAAATCATCTTTATTGGAACTATGGAAATTTATGTGCAGTTTGCACTTGGAGAAGAATCCCTAGGCCTCGTGAACCCTGCCAGAAAAGGGGTGAAAGACGGTACCTCTTATAAAAGTTTATATGGTAGGAATAGATAGAGCTTGGTTTCTATCCCTTCTGAGTGAGGGTTTGCATTTGAAGTGGAACCACATGATCGGGGTCAGGTGACTGAATATTCTGTAGTCCAAGGGACGACCGACCCACTAGCGTGACTGCCCGTGAGTCATCATCTCGACCCTCGCCGTCGCTACGGACAACCGGGAGATTTCCGGATCGATACAGGGCTTATAAGGAAGGATAAACGCCAAAGTTTTCAAGCCGACCCCACAAAAAGGACGTACCCTGGGTGACATCGAGGCCAGAGAAAGCTCGACGTGGTTTGCTCATATGGCGTTGCGGTTCATACTGCATTGACGCCAGAGCACTTCCCGACGGAGTTTTTCGTAGGCTCTGAATTCAATTCAGAGCCGAGCTTTTATTGCCATTTTTTTGTACTTTAGGTACAAAGTACATATATATATTTATTGCCTGTCTATCGATTTACGATGCCATATTTCCTCGTCTCTATCTATATGCTACATTTCATAGATCTATCATATGGTCTCGAGATATATCACTCTTTACTACAATCCCTTTTTACCTTCTCCCTACTACTTACTCCCGTTGCATGTACCCAAACACGTATGCATATTTCTAAAGATAAAAGTAAAGTAGAAAGGAGTCTCGCGGAAGCTGCACCTCCCAGTCCAACGTAGCCGTAGCACAAACAGTCGTTACTCGGTCGTACCGTAGACCATGTGTAGTCACTTAGTTCTTACTTGGCGCATATATGATTCTTAACTAACGAGAAGCTGTAATGGAGCAGCCTTTTACTCACGACTGAATCACTTTAGTTTGAACAGGAAGTAGGTATCCAAGTCCACGCGCATAGTGAGGCAGGTACCAAGTGATTATCGACACCAGCCGTCGTCACCGGTGATTAGTATGATAGGTACCTACTTATTGTTGTTACCTGTTCAACCACGCAACCTGCTTCTATCGAACATGTTGAAACCCAGCCTTCGTTACAACTTTTTATTTCGCAATCTTATGGTATACATTCGCTTTTTACCAAGTACAGTTTCTTAAGCGCATATCTACTACGAGGTAAAGAAAAAAAATCATGTCGACATCTTGGGGTGCCAGTATCGAGAGTTTCCACCTCAGGAGATCTCCCGCTGAGCGTGAGCCACTGTGGATAGAAAATGTCATGGAATGGATTGGAGCTGATCACCGAGACACGGCACTATGGGAAAACTCACAGATAAAATGGGGACATCGGAACATATCCGACTACACCGTCTCCCTCGCCAACAATACGTACGTGGTTAGCCATATCAACACGGAGACACTACCAGCGCCAAAGATGAAGCACAGGGATATCATAGTTGACAACTGGAAAGCGGCTGGAGGAGAGCTAGCTTCCCTTCGGAAAATCGCGGTTACCTTCATCACCAACCACGAAGCCTATGAATGCATTGAGAATGCGTTCCTCGCAAGCGGAGAACTCCTCCCAGATCTAGGTTGGAAACTAGTCGATTTGGTATGATCTTTCTGCTACGAAAAAACCATATGAATGCTAATCTTTTACGCAGTACGTCTAAATACTTACCCATGACCCCTTTTCCCAACATAACGCCTTCTTGACTCCGACCGACACACTAACACGTAGCAGCGATCCCAATAGCCCGGGTTGGCGCGCACTTATCACAGGAAATCCGTTCTTGGAAGGCCAGAAAAAGATGCTCAGAGAGTACAGACAAGAATTCAACCGCGCCAGGATCGAAAGGGTGACCGTCGCAGCCCACGAGAAGTCAGACATGATCGACATGTATCTCTTCAACTTAGTGACACACCTCGTACGTCCTTCAGGGAATTCCCAGGACGACGACCCGGAACCAGAGCCGGAGCCAGAGCAGTCGCCACCGATCTCGACGCATGATTACTTCCATCAACAGTTTCCACAGGGGACATGGTTTTCTGATTGGAATAATCGTCATTACTAGACGAGCTAGGAAATAAATGTTCTTGATGCGGTGAACTCAACAGGATAGATACCAGCGCGTGTTGTACTCTTAGCGTAGCATTTCAACGGAGTTGAGGTCTGGTGGTATTCAGAATGAATGTACTTGGCATCATCAGTACAGCATCTAATTAATCCTGTCTCTCTCCATCCCTTCCCCCTTTTTTTATTGAAATGTCCCATAAAAGCATCTTCAAACTTCCTAACAAATTCAAATCCTCACTCCGGAATAGGTAATGTCAGAAGCTTCCTCCATGAGAGCTGGTAGCCAGAGGTATCGGGAGTCGGCCTGTACGAGGCCGCCCTGTTGGCAGCTAGCCTTTAGCTATAGACAAAGGAAGGTTTATGTATGTATACCGCGTTCCCTGGAAGGGGTTAGTTAGAGCTCTTCGCGCAACAACGTCGTTCTTCCCTAGCCTCTTAGTTCCGCCTCGTGACAGGTAACTCTGCTTCCAACCTGAAGTCCCTCGAACTCGCTCCGACGTACGCCGTTTTAGGGTATTCGGTAACACGCCAGTCCTGAGCCTCGGTATCCCAGTTGCTCAGATCGCGATACGTCACATTGAACACCACCGTCTTCGTCTCTCCGGGCTCGAGGAATATCTCGTCGAACCCACGTAGCACGGCCTTCGGTTCGGTCGGTCCACCGTGCGAGAGGTACTAATCACACGTTAGCTCAGCCAAAAAAAAGGGGGGGCGGGGAGAAGGGAGACTACTCACAAGCTGCGGGATCTCAGCCCCAGCTAATTCCCCTGTATTAGTGATATCTGCGCTAATCACGTAAAGAACCTTGTATAGCTCCGGATTCCCGCCTGATGGACCTCCTGCCGGCAAGATCGGCTGAGCGGACCTGTTGTGGCTATTTTCGGGGATATCAACGTTGGAATCGGGTAGAGTCGCGTTATTGATATAGGGGTATATGAATCGTGGTATCTTTTCGAAGCCCTCCGGTGTCACCGCGTTACTCGGTTCCATGTCTAAAAAGCCGTACATGCCAGCCGCCGGCGTCTCTCCGCTCGCCGGCATGTAGGGTCCTACATCCTGCAGCTCGGTTGTCAGGCCAGAGTAATTGAAGCTGGTGTAGCTAAGCCCGAAGCCGAACTCGAAGCTAGGCTCGATCTCTTGTTGATCGAAGTATCGGTAGTCGATGAACACGCCTTCGGCAAAGTCCTGTTGCGGTTCGGGTGATGTCGAGTTAACCAGGATCTCGACGCCCCAGTCTTTCGCGTCTTTGCCCCAGGTAAACGGCGTGCGGCCCTGCGGGTTCACTTTTCCATACAGCACATCTACAAGTGAGTTGCCCGACTCTTGCCCCGGAAGTCCGGCCCACAAGATCGCACTGACGTTCGGGTTCGTCTTGATATGGTCGATCAGGACCGGCCCGACGCTGTGTATAACAACAACGGTGTTAGGATTCTCGGACGCGACAGCCTCGATCAGTTCATCACCGCCTTTCCAGAGCGTCAGGTTATTACGGTCCCCGAGGTTGCCATCGAGCGTCGTGTATCCTTCTCCCGCATCTGCGTTAGCGAATACAATAGCAACCGACGCGTTCCTTGCAGCCGACTTGGCGAGTTCGAGGTCAAAGTTACCCTTAACATTGATGAATTCCGTGCCATCTTCCGCTGCTTGCTTCTCGAGGGCTGTGGCCGGTGAGATTAAATAGGGATACTCCGCCGTCGCCGAACCCCACCCCATCGCGAGTGTTCCGTTGTTACAAATACGATCAACGCAGCCGTTAGGCCCGTCCGGATTATCCTGCGCATCCTCGCCAATAACCGCAATGACGCTCTCCTTGACTAAGGGCAGAGCTTTATCAACATTCTTCAGCAAAACCGTCGCCTTCGCGCCCACCTCGCGGATCAACTCGCCGTGCTTCCCCTGCACATCCACATGTTGATTAATAGTCGTATTCCCCATCTTCGCCACCCAGTACCGCGGGCCCTCGGTCTCGAGAGTCCAGGAAGAGTAGTTGATGTCGATCTGCTTCGTGTCCCGGCCAACCTTGTAGAAGGCGGCCATGATCCGAATGGCCATATCATCGAGCCGCCACTGCGGAATGTCGAGTCTGAGCACGGCTTCGGTCAATGCGCCTCCCCAGTACGTCGAGTATCCCTCGGCCCCGAGACCCTCGCCGGGCATCGTCATATCCAAGCCAGCGAGCGCGCTCCCAACGCCGCTGTGTTGGGCGGCCCAATCGGAAACCACTAGATAATTCATGGAAATCCAATTAGCCACTCCACCTCTATTCCTCTTCTACCTGTCCTAACCCAGGAAAAAAAACAAGCAACTCACCAAACCCCTGAAACCCCAACTCGCTCTTCAGCAGCTTGTTCAGCACGTACGAGTTCTCGCACGCGTAGCTGTTGTTGACCTTGTTGTACGAGCACATGACGCTGCCGACGCCGGCGCGGACGGCGTCGGCGAACGGCCACAGGTACACCTCGTGCATGGTCTTGTCGTCGAGGTTCGAGCTGATGCCGCTGCGGAAGTGCTCCTGCTCGTTGAGCACGTAGTGCTTGACGCTCGCCACCACGCCCGCCTCCTGGGTCCCGAGGATCGTCTCCGCCACCGCGACCCCCGACAGGTACGGGTCCGGCCCGAAGGCTTCGAAGTTGCGCCCGCCGCGCGGGTCCCGGCCTAGGGGCCCGACGACGGGGCCGAGGTGTACGTCTGTGAGGGAAGTAGGTTTAGTTTCTAGCTATATATATATAATAAATAGCTAGGAAAGGTAGTGTGTGTATATTGGCTGTCGTGGGCTAAGCAGTAAATGGGGATTTCTTACCAATCCCTTTCCCTCCAAACTCCTCACCCAGCGCCTGGCCCCTTTTACGAAGTAAGGATCGCGACCAAGTGGCCGCTGCGCTAATACCCGCCGGGAAGACAGAGTTGAGATCGGCTACCAATTCGCAAAAGGTAATCAGCAATTTTTTCTTTCTTCCGTATATCCTAAACTAGCAAACCAATCCCATAGTCCTAGGAAGAAAGCCCGTCTCGACTTACTATACCGAACCCCCACCGGCCCATCTTGCAAACATAGATGCCTGAACCCGATCCTCGGCACCGACCCGGTATTCCCCGTGCACAGATCGGCCTGGTTTCCGGTCCCGGTCGTCAGGTTGACCTTCTCGAGCAGCGTGAGCCCGCTGACGAACTCGCGCGCCTTCTCGTACGCCTCGTCCCAGCCGGGGCCGCCCGTGCCCCACGGCGACGGATAATACGGGTCGAACGTGGCCTTCTCCTGGGCGCTGCCGCGCGCGGCCAGGGAGAGGATAGGGAGGACCGCTGCGGAGATGCGCATCGTCCTTATCAAGTAAACAAACCGCGTTGTCTAGCAAGTTTCTTCTTCTCTTGCCAGCCAGAAAGGTGGTTACTAGGAAGTTGGGTAATTCTATGAGGTCCGACGAGCTGACAAACGGGGACGTGGGAGGGGGTCGTTATTGCACATCCGAGGTGGAGATGATCGCGCTATTCAGACTTATGGCGGAACCAATTACCGCATGTGTGTGCCAGAGATCTAAGGTACCACAGGGGAGCACTATACACAATCAATCATATCGTATCTTCGGGTCTAATAACCGAGCTTGAATTGCCTGATGTGAGTCGTTCATTTGCGGCAGAATGCGAGAGATCTACCGTCGGAGGATAAAGTCGAGCACATCGATTTCACGATATGAGACGCATTTTCCAATAATAGCTCTAATGACATGAGCTTTTGATTTGGTACTTCAGTTCTTTTTGGCCGTGTGAAAGTGGTTAAAAATTGGGGTGATATCAATCGTAATAAAATTTCTACGTCGCTGACGTAGTTGGGAATACCTTTACTATGCCATTCTCATAACTCCGTAGACCCTAATGTCTGAAACCCAAGCCGAATGAGAAGCGTAGAAATACGTACAGCCTAAGCGAACTTGCTCGTAATACTCCCAAAAACCATCTTCCTCTTCTGCTGATTAACAAGCTTGCCGACATCATCGGCCCACTTCTGGCTTGCTTCGGCGGCGGAATCCATACTATCGTTCACAATATTCAATTTCTCCGTTCTCTCGTTCAGCTGCCTGGTAAGGTACTCGCCCCAGCCTTCTTGGCTCCCCGTCCCTGTATATCCTGAGTTAGGTCCCGGTTCAAGGTTTCGGTCTATTGCTGCCGTCGCAGACATCATTCGCTTGCTAGCAGGCCGATCGGGGCCGCCGATCAGAAGATCTAGATCCGCCGGCGAGACATACTGGGTGCCTGAGATCCATTGAACGTTCGAGATAGTGGGCCTTGGCGGTACTTCAAGATCAGGATTGATGAGCTTGTCAGCCGTATTCTCGATCTCTTCGCCGCTACCCCACACCTGAAGAACCGCCAGTTCGGATGGCCCCGTCCAGCAGAATATCTCTCCATCCTCGGTTATTGCTGAGTTACTGCTTCGACTGCCATCCATCATAGGTAAGGGATAACTTCCGAGTTCTTTGAGGCCTGGCAAACTGAAAGCTCTCGTTATCCGGTCTCCAAAGACACCGACCAAGGCCATTCCGTGTAGTTCATATTCAGTCACCGTAGCGGCATCACAAAGGTAATCATCGAAAGATTTTGATGCTCCTTTCGCGGTGGCTGGTTTAAAAATGCGAGCTTCGCTTTGTGTGACTAAAGAAGTATTAGCACTCGTTCGAGAAGTTATTTCCGTGTAAGGGTCACCAGTAGCCTACCAACTACGAGTAAGCCATTGACATGTTTACCCTCCCGGAGTCCGGCAACTGCGTGAGCCGTGGCCAAGGCAGGTTTTCCGGTATCCGCAATGATAGGGCATATAGACACCACTCTGTCATTGCAGTTAGCAACCCCAGCTAAGGCAGCATTATATCCACTGCCAGATGGCAATATCTTGAACGTGATAACTTTGCCCAAATTTGTGCCAGCAAAACAACATATGCTAGAGTACTTGTCGTCATCGAGAGTCATGACACCAAATTCAAGTACCACCAGCCATTCTTTGCTGGCCGATACACTAGAACGGCTTCTGAGAAATGAGGATCGTTTCTCTTGCTTTATGAATGAGGCCATCGAGGCCTGAAACATAATCGATGGCCCTCGAAGGTCAATTATACTAATGAAACCATTCTCGGACCCAACAGCGAGAAAGCCTGCATCTGAAAGTTTTATAGCGCTAATAGGCCCTTGCATCATCTCGTACAATGAGTACGGCATCAGGCCACTCTTTAGGGACGGTTCAGCCCTCACGCTGATATCCGAAATCCCGCCGGGATTCGAGGCGACGTTTTGATCTGGGGGGTCTCCGAAGTACTTATTGCCATCCCATCGGTAGATGACCACTTCGCCCTTGTTCGTGCCAGCCGCAAATTCGCCGGTGGTAGAAGCCAAGGTCATGGCCGTGATTTCCACGTCTTCATAACGGTTAAGGGCTCTAGCAATATCAACTTGCAACTGTGAAGGGTTCTCAATTTCATCGCCATGGCCCACATCCCAAATCCGGATCGTGCTGTCCGCATGGGCAACCTGGATGATAGTTCGTCCTTCAAATTTCCGAAGTGGGTGTGGTGCCTGGGCGCCTCCCTTCAGCAATGGCTCACCTTGACTTCGCTTCTCAACCATTCCAAGCCATCTACCACGGTCGAGGGTAGTAACCGCGAATTTCGTGGCGAATGGGTGAACAAAGGATACGGATGGATGAAGTTGATTTGTCGGCGAAATAGGATATCCGCTCGGGAAACTTAGCGTAAGAAGTTCTCCCGATGCGAGCAATGTCATAACGGCAATTGGGTCCTGGGCACCAGCAAAATGAGGCGAAAGGCGTGGTATCAAGAAGAAGTTGGTGATCTCAACTCCAGGAGGAGTCTCTAACGCATTTGTGCGTTTTCCCTTCGTATACTCTGACAGGATCTGCCACGAGGAAGTGGCATAATTAGGTGTAACTCCAAGGTCGATAAAGGTCAGTCCATTAGAAGGCTCATCCAGTTTCTGACCACCCGCAATGAGCAGTCCACTATCTTCTGGGTTCTGTTTACAGCACCAGGCAATGCGCACGTACGGGTGCTTCGGGGCTGAAGCTCCTGGATTAGGCACAGGTTGATCAACGTTACTTTCAAAGAATGTTCGCGCCATAACCACTCGTCCATCCTTCGCATCCCAGAAAACCAAGCTACCGTCATCATGAGCAGTCAGTATGAAGGTACCGGTAGGGTGCCATAATGCATGAGTAACTTTTGGTCGTCTCATAGACTCGACCATTGTGCCCGAGCCGCCCGGAGCACCCGGTGGAACTTGGTACTCGAAAAACTTATTAGGTATATTCTGCTTGAACGAATAGATTACCACGCCGTGCGTATAAGCGATTAATAGCTTGCCTATATCGCGTGGGTGTAATTGCATCGACACTAGGGCGACGGCTTTGGTTTTGGGGTCCTTCTCCGTCCAGAAATTAGGAAGGCGAAATGGTGACATGCGTTCCCGGTCCAGATCATACGCACATATCTCGCCTGTCTGCATGCCTAGGAAGCACCAGTCCAGCACAGGGTCGGTAAGCATACATGACACGACACCCGGGGTACGAAAGCCAGTAATACGTTTACCGGTATCTAAATTCCATATGGATACCTCGTTCTTGGTGTCGAGGCTGACCAAGCGGTTGGCGCAGAACTGGATATCTGCGAAAGAACATGATCGAGAGGGGACCAGCAGCTTCTGGACACGAGTTTGACCAAAGACATATATCCTCCCACTACCGAATTTGGACTCATTTGTGCCCAGGGCGAGAAGGGACTGGATAGGTTCATAGGCGATACAGCTATACGAATAAACTATAGTTAGACTCGAGGACTGCAGCACGCATACCTAACTAGGTAGGTAGAAAGTCGTCGTTCATGACGACTTGATGATTATGTCCGACATTAGTCGATGCGTTGAATTGGTGAATAGCATACCTAATCTGGGAATTGATTCCATATCGCGCACGATCATCCGGCGCAAATGAACCCGGGATAATGTTAGCAGACAGGTCATTCTGCATGCCTGCCTGCTTCCCTCGAAAAAAGGTCGCCATGATTGTGACGGGTCTTCCGGCTGTCAGTATTCGGAGAATGTTACTTTAAGTACTAGGTATACTAAAAAACCTTCGGGTCTTTAGGACAAAGATGGCTTGAGGTTGCCTTGCTGCAGGACCCTGAAGGAAATACGTCATCGCTATTTTGAAACAATCCGTCCGAAGTCTAAAGACCCCGCAATAACCGGTAACCCGGCATCAGCAGCAATGCGAAACCCACATAAATGCCATGGTCCATCCTCCCCGAACCACTAGCATCAAGGAACGGTCACATGACTAAGATTATGTGATCTTCGTTATGTAATTAATTACGTAAACAAAAGGGGTTGCACTTCAGACAAAGTTCAAAGAATGTTAATGATAACCTCCTACCAAAAAGTCAATACACACACACACATATATATATGAAGGTTACCGCGATGCTATTCTTGTCTAGATAGGTGGGGTTTCATACAGCAGCTATGCCAACAAAAATTCCAACCACACCCTTCCCTCAAAGCCACTATGAGTCTAGATTCAATCCATGATTAAATATATTTCCAGTACGCACACAGTAGTAGGCACATCTTCAAAATCTTATAGATAACAGAAAAGCAAAATATATAGAGAACCCTGTTTTTATAACTATCATGGGTGTTACTTAATTCGGAGAGTGGCTTGATTACCTCCAATGAAGGAAGAATCCCGTCGCCTTAGTGCTGTATAAGTAGATCTATCACATTCACGTTCACATACACATTCACGCCAGGCAGCGGCAGGTTAGGTAGGTCTACAATGTGCACTTTTATTGTTCACAACTTTACGGGGTTGAGGGTTCTTCTCGTCAACATCCCCATCCCCATCAGAATCTAGGCGTTCTAAGCTACTTCTCTAAACTCTATCAAGATGCCTTTTATTCCTGAAGAAGGCGGGAGTAAGTCCTCTATACAACTCTGGAGACTAAGTCTAAGGTCTAATGATGGCAGCTACCGGTCCTAGAAGCACAGTCGGCAACACAGGTCCAACGAGCTCTCGCAAGCGAGTCAGACCGGACGTAAGCACTCCGCACTTCTAGTTTACCTCTTAAGGCTCACTAAGAGAACCCACTGTTAACCATATACAGTCTGACTGCGAAGCTCCAAGAGCCAAGGTTGCGAAAACAAGTCAAGAGGATGAAAAGCTAGCAGACCTGGATTTGAGTATCGCGAATGCCACGGCTATACTCGACGCTGCCATGACGGAGATCCGCGAAACCAAAGCGGATATCAAGCAACGCAAGAGACATATGAAGGGCCTTGTTGCCGAGTTCCAGGACGTCACGACCATGATCACAGAGCGCAGTACAGCTTACGCCGCCAGCCTCAGAGAGGAGAAACTCAAGAAAGAGAATGCTAGCTTGCGAGATCGTATCAGGAGATTGGAAGAGGTTTCGCCGGATGATGCCAAGAGGGACGTAGATCAAGAATCACGCCTGCGACGCCGTGCTAAATCACATGGTTCCAAGGCATCCGTGGATGAGCCTGATGTTGATGACAAGTCGATTAAGCAAGGAGAATGAAGGCGACCGGAAATGTGGCGGAACCTCTACTAGGAGAACCGGCGGATCAGACCAACAGGGAGAGTAGTTAAAGCCACCTCGTGGTACCACAGTCTTTTGAATACAGCTAGGGCATACGGCCAATGTCGTTTGGTCACTTCCCAGGACAAATAGATATCCAAGCAACAAGGGGTCGTCTCAGTGAACTCATTGGTCTTCAGTCTTCGGTATTATCAATGTAATCTTCTCGCTTATGATGCCGTGTCATTATCTTCGCCTATAGGGGCTCTACTCTTTTATCTCTCCCCTGGCCGAGTTCGAGCATGATCCATTCATAGACAGCCCACTGGACTGCGTTGACGAAGAAGGCCCTGACGCTGCATATGGTCAAGCCCCGGAAAAATACTCGTGTGCCTCCTTCTCTATACGCATCTCTAGCAGTTTCGATCGCACCCAAGCGCCTCTGCTCGGGCAGAGACGAACTAAGCAGCGGCGTCGTTGCCGCGCCGAAAGTTTGCGCCTGAACCCTAGTCTTGATGACATCAAGGGGAAATATGCTAGCCCAAGTAACGACGCCAGCCAGACCCCCGCAGAGCAAGACCTTGGCCGCATCTTGCGAGAAAGCGGAGGCGTTTGGCCGATTAGACTCGACCCACTTGCTCGTCAGCTCATAGGACCAAAAGTAAAACCCGTATCCGACACTATCCCTCAGCGCCGTAACAACACCACCGAAGTACAAGCCCCTTGTACCCTCTGTTTTGAGGACTTGCTTAACGATAGTCCAACTTGACTCAGGAGGCGAAGATAACTGAGCACGGCATTTTATCAGCTCGGTAGGAGTGCTCACAACCCAAGTAGCAAGACCGCCAATGGCGCCAGCCAGCCATGTCGTCCAGAGATTCGATTGAGTATTGAACGCGGTGTTAAGAGCAGCCTCGCTGCGGTTATATGATACAAACAGAAGGGCATTCAGGGCGCCATATCCAAGAACGGGAGCGGCGGTCCCAGCTACCAGAGCAGACTTGCTCTCGAATTGTCGTACATACGACGTAGCTGTCTGGGCAGCTATGGCATCGCGAGCTTGCAGTCGAACTTTGATGAGATCTAGCGGATTGCCGATTAATATGCCAACAGCTCCACTGATGTAGCCAGCCCAGAAATCGGCGGACATACTCTAGCCTTAGATGTCCAGTGATCTTGTCACCTCCAGCTCATACAAAAATGGCCAGATGTAGGGGGCGGCATAGAGATTGATAAGAACAAAGAGTTGAGGGGTTAATAGCAGGATTGATCAACCTATCAACCGATATGAAGTCCCCATGCAATGATAAGCATCAATTATGTCAGATTTCTCTGAGACATCCGAATATCAACTGTAAATTTTCGAATTTGATAGGCCTAGAAAATAAAATCAATATAGCCATAAACCTACCGAATAAACCCCGCCATAATAGAAATAACAATAACCCCTAGACTCCGTATCCCATGTGATAGCGCTTCAACGTGGGGGAGAAATGGAGCTAACTCTAAAGAGCGGAGTTCGATCATCAATAGCCTCTTGGATTGGTAAAGAGGCCATTTTGCAGGCTATACCCAAGTGTCATACCATGGATCTGCAATATAAGACGTTACTATTAGCCTCTTGAAAAATCGGAATGAACGTATGTGTAACCGTTCAATCGAAGTTACGGGTTACACGAGCAGCAAACGAAGCAAACGGCGATCAATTCGAAGATGGATTTAAAGCCAATTGCTGCATTATGTAATATTCATTAGTTTCCAGATCATGTGACATGGCGTCAATCCCCCGCTAGATCCGGTACGGCGCGTCGCGCTTTCCCGAAGTCAACAATATTCCAACCTAATTATTAATTGATTTCCAATTTACCGGAACCTTAGTAACTTAAGTGATTACAACTTGAAATATCCAAAATTTAGAACCTAACACTTCATCTTTCTCGCTGCAGTGTACCTTAAAACAGCTCCTCTTCCAAGGAGCGCTAGATAGGAGTTGGGAAAATGTATTCAACCACTCCTCCCCAATACCGATGGCCAATCACTAATATCGCATAGGGCGAGCACTCCTTCTACTCCTATGGCAAAGCCAAATAACGCTCCGGGGAAACGTCTTCACTCGCAGAAATCCGTAGACCAATTACATAAACCATTCAAATGTCCAGGTTCCGCTACGAGAACTCCAGCTACGGACCGACCAGCTCGGAAACGAAAGAGGGTCGACTATAAGGGTGCTGGTGGCGACGATGATGGGGATAAGCCGTACACGAACGCCGACAGACTAGCTTTAGCGAATCGAGATGTGAACCGATTTCCCGTATTTCAAGCCAAGGATAAAGACAAGGTTTTCAGGAAGGCCTTTTGCGTGCCTTTAATCAATAAGAATAGTGCGGCGTACAATCCAAATCGCCCGCCGCCAACGCTTGGTCTGAGACAGGGAGCTGTTTTCGTGGCAAAACCTTTGCACGATCCAAGTGGAGAATTCGCAATCGTTCTTCACGATCCAACCGTCGATGATAGGCCAAAAGTGCCGGACAGTCCAAAGGATGACGAGGCCAAGGAGGTAGCTAAGGAAGAGCTGGATGCGCCTTTAGTCCACAAGAGTTTAGCCGAGATTCTGGGCATTAGGAAGAAAGTTGACAATGAACATCCAAGAGTACCGGTTGTCATCGATCCGAGGCTTGCCAAGGTATTGCGACCACATCAGATCGAAGGTGTTAAATTTATGTACAGATGTGTCACTGGCATGATAGATGAGAAGGCAAATGGCTGTATTATGGCCGACGAAATGGGTCTAGGAAAGACGCTGCAATGCATCACGCTTCTCTGGACTCTTCTTAAGCAATCGCCAGATGCCGGGAAGACGACGATTCAGAAAGCGATCGTCGCTTGTCCCTCCAGTTTGGTGCGTAATTGGGCCAATGAACTTACCAAGTGGCTTGGTGCAGATGCCATCACGCCTTTCGCGATCGATGGCAAAGCATCCAAGGAGGAGTTGACCCGACAGCTACGCCAATGGGCTATCGCAACTGGTCGCGCAGTTACTCGACCGGTTATTATAGTTTCTTACGAGACGCTTCGTCTAAATGTTGAGGAGCTCAAGCACACTCAGATTGGATTGATGCTGTGCGACGAAGGCCATCGGTTGAAGAATGGAGACAGCCAGACTTTTACCGCACTGAACAACCTCAGAGTCACCAGACGTGTAATTCTTTCTGGTACGCCCATCCAGAACGACCTTTCGGAATACTTCTCTCTCATCAGCTTCGCAAACCCTGGCTTACTTGGAAACCGGCTCGAATTCCGAAAGCGATTTGAGTTGCCTATTTTACGAGGCCGAGACGCGGATGCCGGCGAAGCAGAACGCAAAAAGGGAGACGAGTGCTTGACTGAGTTACTAGGCGTCGTCAACAAATTCATTATCCGACGTACGAATGATATTTTATCGAAATATCTTCCCGTCAAATACGAACACGTTGTGTTCTGTAATCTGGCTCCGTTTCAGCTGGATCTATACAACTATTTCATCAAGAGTCCAGATATCCAAGCTCTCCTGCGTGGTAAAGGAAGCCAACCCTTGAAAGCCATCACTTTGCTCAAGAAGTTATGCAACCACCCAGACTTACTGAATCTCTCAGAAGACTTGCCGGGTTGCGAGAAATTCTGGCCAGAAGATTATGCGCCCAAAGACGCACGCGGTCGCGACCGTGACATCAAGCCTTGGTATTCCGGGAAGATGCAGGTGCTCGACCGCATGCTGGCGCGCATCCGACAAGACACGAACGACAAGATCGTTCTCATTAGCAACTACACCACAACACTAGACCTCTTCGCCCAGCTCTGCCGTCACCGCGGATACGGCCACTTACGTCTCGACGGCACCATGAACGTCAACAAGCGCCAGAAGCTCGTCGACAGGTTCAACGACCCGGACGGTGGCGAGTTCGTGTTTTTGCTCTCCAGCAAAGCCGGTGGTTGCGGTCTCAACCTCATCGGCGCCAACCGGCTCGTCCTCTTCGACCCAGACTGGAACCCGGCCGCCGATCAGCAAGCTCTGGCTCGTGTCTGGCGTGACGGGCAAAAGAAGGATTGTTTCGTCTACCGTTTTATCGCGACCGGAACGATCGAGGAAAAGATCTTCCAGCGACAATCTCACAAGCAATCGCTGTCATCCTGCGTCGTCGACTCGGCGGAAGATGTGGAGCGCCACTTCTCCCTGGATAGTCTGCGAGAGCTTTTCCAGTACAGACCAAATACGTTGAGTGATACGCACGACACTTTCAAGTGCAAGAGATGTAAGCCGGACGGTAAACAGTACATCAAAGCGCAGGCGATGCTCTACGGCGATACTAGCACCTGGAACCACTTCGTCAATAAGGACTTGATGCCCATACAGGATTTGTTGCTCCGCCAGGAGTGCGGGGAGAACGAGGTTTCTGCTGTGTTCCAGTATATCTCGCATTAAGCTATTCTCGGAACCTATCAAGAATCGGATTAGGAAAGGGGTGACTTCGCTTTGTCTTGGAATGGTAGATTTGGCACGGCGTATTCGAATTACGAGCTATAAGACGTTGTGATGGCATAGTATGACGTGGCATTTGCTGGTGTTGGGGCTATGATGTTTCTGCTCCTTGCTTCACAGGCTTCAAGTTATAGCATAGCATGGCGGTACCTATAGTTCCTCAATGAAACTTCCTAAATTTTGGAGATTAGAGTATCTTCGTCTATCGATTCCTCCAGTGTACACGCTTCATTTCCGCTGTTATTATACGATTATTGCCCCATGAAAAGCTCATCAAGGTGGGTGAACCACTAAGATTGCTCAAATACAACATTCATGAACTGAACTGCCCTTTCCACGAACCCCCGGTTTCCTACTTGCTCACTGGGCCTTCGTTGTGTTCTAGCGTGCCGGGATTGTGCGCGACATCGTGGCCATGTTGGTCCTTGAAAAGCACCTAAGTAACGTATTAGCCCTCGTCTCTCCAACCCCTTTTCCCCTATGCTGAGCATTCGTATTCATGATATACCTACACACACCAACGACTGAGCTTCAAACTTCCGTAAAGACCGCAAAAAGAGAAACAGAAGCGATGAACGGAATGGTAACCAAGTCAGTGCGCGCTAACTTACCTTAGGCGGGTTCTTTACACCAGCCTCCTTAGCCTCGTCGGCGGTCTCGACGATCTGCTCGACGTCACCTTCGTGACGACCGCCGCGGACCTTGGTCCATACGTGGTCGCCCTCGTTGATGGGTTCGCCTTGTTTGTCTTTGATTTCTGATGAGGACATTTTGGTTATTGACTCGTAAGAGAGAGGAGCTTGTTTCGTTATAATTGGTCTTGTGATAGGGTGACTTGGCTGATGTTATGTAGATTGTTATCTTGTAGTAGAATAAGATACAGAGAATTATAATTGAAGTATTAGTGTTTGTAAGTCAATATTTACTTCGATATGTGTGTCTCGGTGAAGTTTGTTTGACGTCACCATGCCGTCAGGTTTAACTCAACAATATGCTCTTCAATCACATCATCATTCAATGTTTTGCTATGCAATTCAAGTTGTTGAATAAGAAAGGTAATATGTAGCTTGTTACTATAATTAGGTAACTGTAATCAAGCATTGAACCATATTATAAACCTCCAAACCTTCGCTCCCCCTTTTCAAATATAACCAAGCCCTTGTTTCCATGTTAAGCAGTAGACAGTTAGTGGGTCTTCGATATCAATTTCTCCCTTCTCACACTTATCAAGTTATCTAAGGCCTTTTTTTTATCCCGGCCCCGGCGTACACGACCGAAACGAACATATTAACCATCTTATTCTCGTGAATAAGCATATATGGGATGACAAGGCGAATAGAATCCAACTTGAATACGGTTCCTTCGACTTATCCTATTTATACTAGCGTAGATTCGATGTATTCTACGAAAAAACTTTCTTAGCTCATGATTTTCAAGACATCAGCAGTGTAAATCCAATGACCTATACCGATCCCTTCATACTACCCAAGGCAAGCTGTCAATAACAAGACAGGCTGTAAACTATATCCACTACCGTTCCCACCCAGGTCTTGTACATCACTCATTCCACTTGAGCACACTTAGACGATTTCAAACACAACATAAGTCAATAATATCAATGAGTCTATTAAAGAATTGACGAGAAGAGATCCAAGCTTCATCAAATCTCCATACCGGACGCGCCGATATTTCATCCCCCTCGCTGTGGAACCCATCTCTTACGCAGACTCGTACTATGCCTAGGTACATCACCCATTAGGTCCAACCACAAGTAACGCCCCAGTTTTGCCATGCTATAAAAAATCTTTTTGATGTGGTGCCCGGCCTTGCTCCTATCTAACAGGCCGCAGCAGATGAGCCTAGCCCAGCCACGACGTTCGTCATATTGTCCTTTAGGGACATGAGAAAAGAAGATTTCGTTCGATTCGTGGGCGTATAACAAAAGTGGTATCATGATAATAACTGAGAAATCCGTGTCCAATCTATGCCAAGATGTGTTTGACCCGTTACATGACAACCTAGAGTCCAGAGAATTAGCACATGAACCGTCAGAGTAGGGCGCATGGTAAAATGTGAGAAAAGACTTACGCAATCGTTGTCTTGCTTTCCTTGGGGGATACCCATAGCCTCAAAGGTGGCGGGACCTTGGCCAGTCTTGGGTGGAGGTTTTGAAGCTGGTGCAGATGTTGCTGACGTGGGTGTACTGGCTGGTGGCGGGCTTGACATCGCAGGTCTACCCGGTTGAGGCGGTGCACTTGAACGACCAACGTTGTCTAATTGGCTAGGTCGTTCTTTCAAAGGCATGCCAGGTCTACCAGCACTTGCTATTCTTGCACCGCCGGGGCCTCCTTGGGGTAGACCCCCTTGTGGGAATGAGTTTGGATGAGGTCCACCGAGACCACCGCTCATGGTCGGAGAAGGCATGCCACGACCACCACCCTCATAAGGGCTTGCGGACATCCGGGGACCAGGTGCATGCGACGGTGGTAAAGATGACTCTCTAGAACCGTACCCAGCCGCTGGGAACTGTCCAGGCGGCGGACCTTGTTTCGTGAGTCTATTGTGCGCGCTAGACTGGGCAAGTCGTTGGTCATATGCTCCAGGGGGGGGTCGTTGATCGAATTGTCCCGTGACGGGGCGTCCTTGACCTCGAGGACCAGGACTGGGCTGTCTGTAATCGCCTTGAACTTGTGGTTGCCAACCGGCGGAGACTGGGCGGCCACGGTTTGGATCCATACCGGCTGGGGGAATAGGAAGCTGCCCGGCAGAATGGGAAGGACGTATACCGGGCGCACCAGGAGATTGCGGCGTGCGGATTCCAAAAGAGCTTCCCGGACGATCCGCAACCGGGCCTCCTGACGGCCGGATACCAGGGTTAAAGTAAGGCGATAGCTGCGGCTTCATGCCCGCCATATCATCTTCGGGGTAAGGCACAGCAGACTTCGGTCGTAAGGCTAGATTTGCCGGCCTATCATCCTCAGGGTATGGTACCGCTGCTTTTCCCGAAACGTTAACGGTAAAGGCCGGTGGCCGATTACCGCCTGTATTAACTCGAGATGGATCAGGCATATCGGTATGGTCGAAATTTCCTAGTCTAGGGGATTGCTGTGGTGACATCCTAGGCGATTTTTGATCTTCGGATAAAGCCGGCATCGGATTGTTCATTTGCTTAAATCGGTCCGGTCTCTGACCCCTCTGAGAACCGTGTTTCGACTTAATCCTCGCTAAGGCCGTCGTCTCGTGGTCCTTCTTCGACAACGTCTTGGATTGCGATAGATTCTCCAATCGCTCTACAGCATCTTTGTTACCGTGTTCCGCCGCTAGCTCGTACCACCTCCGGGCTTCTCGCAGATCTTTCTCAACCGATATTCCGATCTCGTAGTAGTAACCTATGGCAAACTCTCCAGTTGGTAGCTTCGCCTTGGCGGCTAACTGAGCATACTTGAACGCGAGGCTCTCGTTCTTTGCGAAGGTCCCTTCGTAGCCGAACAAAAACCATCTGCTGACTCCCAGGGACGCCTCTGGCTGGCCTTGCCTAGCCGCTAGGCCATAATAATGCAGTGATAGGGCCGGATTGAAATCACAACCGAGCTGGCATAGCTCATACGCCTGTCCCATCTTTAACTGGGCCTTAGCAAAGCCAAGATACGCTGCCTTCTCAATGTACTGCCGAGCAACGCCAACATCATATGTCAAGACCTTATCGGGGACGGCGACGTCAGGAAGGTCCCTTGCGATGAGCATACCATAGACGAAGGCACCCTGGGGCGCATCTTCGTCAGCCGTATCGGCAGCAGAATGTATTAGATCCAACCCTCTCGCCATATCCTTTGGTTGACCCCGCTGACCTAGGAGGCTGATCATACCCAGTCGGTACATAGCCGCCGAGTCTTTCGCATCCAACCCCATTTGGTAATGCCTCATAGCTTTTTCCATATCATTCGAGTTTTCGTAAAGCATACCGATTCGATAATCGGCGCGACCCCAACCAGCCTGTGCGGCAGTCGAATAACAGGTGTATGCCTCTTTCTTATCCTGCCGCATGCCAAACTTGCCGAATTCTAACCACTTTCCCCTGATGAATAAAGCCTCGGGATGACCCTGATCTGCGAGATAGGTAACAATATTAATGGCGTCAATTCGCAGTTCATGCTCGATCTTAGGCGTCGCTGTCCGGATGGGTAATCCTTGTTCGTTGAGACCGCGCGTAGCTTCCTCTTCCCGGATCGCAGCCTCGGCGGCTATTTCTACGAATGACAAGACATCGCGAGCCCAGCAAATTTGCATATCGGGGTCATTCGAGTGGAGGACATGTTGCCGGCTCTCGGCTAAGACGGCTTCCTTCTCCTCGTCGCTGGGAGGTATGTGTTCCCCCTGGACTTTAGGAAATGGGGAGAAGGATGGTAATTCGCGCATATCTTGGAGATTCCTCTCGAATTGAGGATTGCGATCCTGTGTCTCCTGGAAAGGGCTATAGTTGGATGGGCTGTAATTGGATGCGGGACTGTATTCGGTGGCGGGGTTCCGGCCTTGCTGGTATTGCTGCCCAAAACTACCGACTCTGGTGTTTAATACGGTGGAAAGAGAAGGCTCGCGAGCGTGTTGTGGACCAGAGCCGGGCTGCGATGCTGCGTTTCGCGGTTCGACAGAGCGAGCCTCTAATTCCATGCGCTGAAGACCTTGCTGCATGTTTTCGGGAATTTCTGGTATGACCCTAAAAACAAGTGGAAGGTTAGGAGGGTTGGTTAGGTAAGTTAGGACAGGCCGGCGATGGGGTCAGGCGGTGTTAGGTCAGATGTCGGCAATCAAGTCATTACACTGTATTTGTGTGGGTTGTATGGTATTATGGTGTATGGTGTATGGTGTATGGTGTATGGTGTGTATGGTAGTATATGATGGTGTATGTAGGCAATGTGGAGGATTGGGGGTGTGTCAAAGATAATGGAGATAATGGAGAGGATAGAGAATTGTGTAAAAAAACGCACCTTTGTGGTGATGGTGCCACTACTTCGGGCATATAGTAGTCGTCGGAACCACCAGGATAGAAGGTCGCTCCAAAATTAGGCATTTCGAAATCGTCTTCGCTTGTTTGAGGCTGGTGAGGAGCTGCATAAAATTAAGATAATATGTACTTGTCAGCCTGCCCGTAGCTTTGAGCCAATAGTCAACCGAGAACCAGCTTGTTGACCGGCGTAATATGTAATATGTGAGGTAAGGAGTTAGTTTACTAGGTGTGTGCTGGGTGTGTGCGTGCTGTGGCGGGGTCCCCTATTTTTCGAGCGAGCGAACGAACGGGCGAACGAGCGATCGAAGTGGCGGCCAAAAAAGAACTGCGTGTCTCTAACTTCGCACTGCGCTGTTCGCTTGGTACTGCGGTCCTGCGGTCCTGGTGTCCTGGTCCTCTAGGTCCCTTGACTCTCTAATCTGGTGTCCTACTGCGTGCAGCGTAGGTAGCCCACAGTGTACCTAGTTCCTGATCTGACCTGGCCAGGTGGAAAAAGCAAGGATATCCCTAGGTAACCCGTCCTATGGTCCAGGAATAGCTCTAGATTTCGCAGAATGGCTTTTGGTCTTACGAGAGAAGTCTCAGTTTCCCGTGTCCGGCGAAATGGGGGAAAGTAACCAAAATAACAGTTGTTGGATTGTTGATCAGTCTCAGGTTTGATGTTTCTGATTTCTCCAAAAATTCCAGTTATCAAGGTTCAGCGTATATGCCCCAGTGCAGGTGCTGAGGGGCTCAGAGGTTACTGCTTCCCGTTACTGGGATCCTACTGTCACCCTCCCACTTCCCCGGATGGGTTAGACCGAGTGCGCTAAGCCACCTGTCTGGGTTCCACCTATGTCGGGATTTTTGGAATTTTGGGGAATTTTATAGGCCTAAGACGTTGCTAGAGGCTGCCTAGCAGCTTAGTAGGTAGCAGCCTCCCCCTAATGCGAGTTTCTTCAGGGGGCCCCCCTATTCATGTGAGATGTAAATACCGAAATAAAATGAATTAAACGTAAGCATAATTCATCTGATCGATCCGAACTCCTGCATCATCCAATCCAGGTAGAAACGACGATATATTCCAATTGTGTATGAGGTGTCCTCTGACATCACAGCCTCATAGATTCCAAGGGTTCCAATGGTCCCAAGGGTTGGGAGGTAACGGCTTCATACAGATGATCTGTGTGTGTACCATTCGTCCCTGCATGATCGTCCCGAATATGGGGTCGTACATAAGGTTGCTGCCCTGAATATTCGGTCCCGGGTATTCGCATGACAGGGCCCAACGGGAATATCCATGCGGCGTCTGCTGGACCGGGAAAATCTTGGACAGTCTAATTCGTCCGTATGGCTCCAGAGGTGTGATGTGGTAGGTGGTAGGGAGGTGTTCGAAAGCAAGGGAACGGGGAATTGGGAATGGGGAATGTGAGGAAAAGGGGTTAGGTATCTGCTTACATACCTACAATGATTTTAGGGGACATATCCGGAGCTATTACTTCAGGCCATACGTAAACTGCCGGACGCTGCGTCATCATTCTCGCAAATATGGGTTGTTGGTTTGATTAGAGGCCTCGTAATCCAGATGGCTGATAATTAAATAGTGGCAGTCGTATTATAGAGTGACAAGGTTTATATCATGGAAGAAATAACAACACCATGGAAATCGGAGTATATGTGCCGGACTATTCGAGATGACACAGAATCAAGGTTCAAACCCAAGATGAGGGTTCTCAGGCTTCTTTATTATTATATTTCTGCCAGGTTCATTTTACCCTAGAAGATGCTAATTATTTGACATGTTGCCAACGGCCGAAACCATCTAACCATCTAACCTACTTGACTCAAGTTGGTAGGAATTGAGCCAAAAAAAAAAAAAAATCTGCTGCCTGGCGCCAAATGGATGGAATGTTCGGCCGGGCACAGCCAATGCGACAATTACTTACCTGGGCAATTCAAATGCGAAGTAAAATGAAGCTTCCACATCCTTCGTGAAAATTGGATGGGAAATAGTATAGAAAAGGCAAGCTAAGAGAACGAGACAAGCATATAACCATGTCATCATTAGTCTTTGACCGCGACATACCTCTTTACCCAAGTTACAACACGGCATGGTTCAAGATCTAGTGTTAGGTAGGTTATTAGTAACAGTAGGCGAAATAAGCTCCACGACGATAGCTCGTACGGATAGAGGCCACAGCCTCATTGTGTTTCTATTTCGGGATCTTCTTGGCAGAGCGGTTAGCGTAGCCGCAGCTGGAGCTGAGTTGGAGTCCGAGGATGTACCTTAGCCTCAGAGATCCCATAGTTAGCAGCATCGTAAGTTCGGGGGGTTGTCAACGGCACCCCCTATGAACGGCACCCCGGACCAGATCAACCAATCAAACGCCAAATTTCTCTGAAGATCCATATAACTTGTTGTACTCTTTTATCCTTGCTTTTTACATTTTTACTTTTAATTTAACTATCCACACTGTGACTAAGATCTCTTACACCAATTAAAACGCGTCATCTCTATCAATACGTCCCATAATAAATATTTAAGCCAATCAACGCATAGAGCGGCTACTAGCACAGTGCACAAGGGTACAAAGCGGCTTCAAGCTAAGCCATTTTAAGATTTATTCTTATCTAGCCCTTTAATTGGATAACCACTTTCACGGGTCACGTGAACCACCTCCAGGAGTCACGTGATACCTAAGAATACACGCAAAAACATCTTCAACTAAAAATTCAACGAATTAATCAAACGTTTATTTTTGGAAAAGTGGAGGTAGTCACGTGGCTGAACTGGGGTTCCGAACCTGACCAGGGTATCAGTGGCCCAAAGACTAGCTTAATTAGGACTAGTAGCAGGGTTTTATCGGTTAACTTCATCAAGTTATACCCGAAATGGTAGTTAAAAGCTATTCAAGCAATCTAAAATGGTTTTCTATCTGAGAATGTACCGCGTTATACCCAAAACGGCTAAGTTTAGCCCGCTTTTACAGGGGGTGCCGTTCATAGGGGGTGCCGTTGACAACCCCCCGAACTTAGCATCTGTCCCAATAAGTAAGCAATTTCCTGCCGATCCTTTCGCTGTCGTTTAGGTGTACAAGGATACTCCTATCGTATACCTAAGTAGTATTCACACACGAATCGTAATTTAGGAGACAATTATCGAATAAATGTCCATCTCATCCTATTGTTCTACGGAGACCATTTGTCACCATCATCAGGGTCGAATAGTTGAATAGGTACGGGAACGCTTCAATATGTAAGTTGTAAGTAATACGAAATATATGTCGGAGAACGATGACACAGACATGTGTATGTGTATTATGCTGTTGTCCTAATTCCCGAAATGGATTTCGGCAGGAGAGAAATCTCGGTCGAGGAATTGTTTGCTGGCTTCAGGCGGTCGATGGGACGCAGTGAAACATGGGTTCATCTGAAGTCCATGTGTCATGTGAGCTCCAGATCTCCACGCCCATGTGGGCGGCGTTAGACGGGAGTCCAATAAGTAACGAGGCGACGCATGACCAACACCTCGTGGGACATGCAATAGGTAGCTATCAACTGACAACTCATAGCGACTGCTGGTAAAGTCCGCTGATAATCCACAACGATAAGGGTATTTCAACAGCTCGCTACCTAGGTATTGAAAAAGGATAGACACATAAAATAAGTCATAATACCAATTACATTAGAAGAATAAAATGAGACATGCTGAAGCTGCGGCATTGAAAACTTCATTCGTGATACATCTCCATATTCCAGAAGAGGTAATCGATGATCGATGATCGGTAATCGGTAATCGGGACTTATTATTTTTAGGGTAGGAATTTAATGTGAAGCAAAAGGAACATTTCAAAAAGGATGAAGGTGCTAGAAACTCTTAGCCTTCCAGCCACAAGTGTCTTCCGGAGCTCAAGCCACCTGTGGCACCAAGCTAAGAGGAAACAACCCACACCCACGTCCCCATCTCCCCAAAGTGGGTCTAGTCGGTTCTCGTCGTTCGTCAGCCTCTCAGCCTGCTTGCCTTGCATCACCAAACCACCAAATCCAGATCCAAGAAATTCAACAAATTTAACATCATCGTCATCGTCATCCCCAACCCCCTCCGAGCACGACCAGCCGTTGCCATTTCCCGTCCGAGTAGTCGAGAACCTTCCCTCTAGGAGATCTTCAGGACGCACAATTCGGAAACCCGAGCTCGTCAAAGCTCCCACACCGAAATCCCGTCCGCCGTCACCCACGCAGCCAAAACAGCCCAAGCTCGACGACGCCGGCGAGCCCACACTCATCATCACCATATCCCCATCCTCGCCCTCCACCCTACCATCCCTCCCCTCCACACCATCCTCAACGCCCCCGAGCCCAACCACGATGGCCGACCGCACGCTCCAGCAGATCCTGACGCAGCTGCGCTCGAACCCGGGCCTCAGCTACGGCGAGGCCAGCACGCTGCTCTCTAAAGCCAAGATCCTTCTCCTGACCCTCAAAGCGGCCACGCCGGGCCCGTCACCGGCGTCGCCGGCCTACCTCGCGCTCGCGCGGGACGTGTACGAGCAGGGCGCGCTCTTCAGCATCCGCGCGCGCAACCCGGACGCCTTCACGCGATACGTGTCGCAGCTGCAGCCCTTCTACGAGCTGTCCGCCTCCGTGCTGGCCCCCACGCCCGCCAGCGACGCCGAGCGCAACAAGGTCACCGGCCTCTACCTCCTCCTCCTGCTGACCCAGGGCCGCTACTCCGAGTTCCACTCCGAGCTCGAGACGCTGAGCACGCGCGCCAAGGAGGGCGGCGGCGCCGGCGAGATCGAGGGCGACCGCTTCCTCGGCTACCCGATCAAGCTGGAGCGGTGGTTGATGGAGGGGAGCTATGACCGCGTGTGGAAGGCGATGAAGAACCGTGAGGTGCCGAGTGAGGAGTATGGCGTCTTCTCTGAGGTGAGTTTCCTTATATCTATATATCTCTCCGTTATATGTGTCCTTGCTCTCTTTCATCCAGAGCTCTCCGTGTCCTCTTATCTTATCCCTATACTTATATTCAGAGTAACTCAACTAACCCAACTTAATTAGATCCTAACATCCCAAATCCGCTCCGAAATCGCCTCCAGCAGCGAGCGTGCCTACCCGTCCCTCCCTCTAAGCAGCACCAAATCCCTCCTGTTCCTCGACTCCGAGGGCGCCGTTATCGACTTTGCCCGCCACCGTGGCTGGGACGTCCGTGACGGCCACATCTACTTCCCCTCATTAACTGCTGGTGCCGAAGGAGAGGCTGCTGAGGAAGCGGCTGAAGAGAAGGAGTTCAGTCGTATGGTAATCGAGAACGCGCTAGGATATGCTCGCGAGCTGGAAACTATTGTCTAAATTAGTTTGATTCGACGAACGGTGACTAGATCTCAAAATCAACTCTCAAGTTGGGACTGAAGTGAGCAGGACTAGGCTGGCCCGGGGCGGTGAAAACTCAAGGATGCATGGCAATGTGACAGCTTGACAAGGCTACGTGGCGGAGGGAGTTCCGAATAGACTTAATAATACCACAAGACATGAGAGATGGGCCAGGCCAGGCCGAATGGACTGTGGATGGGAACACGGCCAGAAAGCTCCATGAGCCTGTGTGTACGAATAAACGCAAATCAACCAATAGACATTCTTAACGCATTGGCGTGAAGGGGGTCATGCATTGCTGCTTATTCTAGACCACACTCAATAGCCGAACCTCGTAATGAAGAAGCATCATGATTTTGTTCCAGACACAATAACTACTACTTATTTGCATCAACGACGTGGGCACGTTTGATTCAGACATCTCCCTCATCCCAGGCTTCTAATGTGATCTTTTTAGCCCCTGCCCCCTTCCGTCCAGCAGTAATGACTTTTTCTCTCAACCGACGAGCCAGATCCACCGGGTGACATTACTCAGTAGCTGCCCCAAAACCCCCCATCCATTTAAGCAAATAGCTTGAGCCCGCTGCCATGTTTACCGACTTCACATACCTCGCAGACTGTGCAGACGGTGCCCTTGTATTTAGAGTGATACTTGGATCCATCGAAAGCACACTCCTCATATGGAGTACCGCTGTAGATAGGAGTATGGCTGGCTGCGCAGATTTCAAACTCGGCGAACTGATCATATTCGATCTCAACCGTATCGTGAGGGTTGCGCTCGCATTGTGCTTTTATCTTGCGTGCCTATCAGGAGTTAGTTGGTCACAAAGTTATAAAAAGGTATTCGTAGGAGAAACTTACGTTTTCGAGAATTCTGTTAGCACCGCCGTTGGCTAGGATGCGGTTCGCGAAGCTCAACGCAGAGCTGTAATTCTTACTCCTAGATGCTAGGTTCATAGCATTTAGGAGAGCAAGCTGTCGGTGGGGAACCTCGATCTTAGGTATGGTGAAGTATGCTGATAGCTCCAGACTTCGCTTCAGGAGAGCGGGGTTGCTATTCACGGTATCCGGAGAGCCTAGCTTTCTTCGTGCGAGCTCGATCGACATGGCGACTGTGTATTCGCTTGCCGAGGAGATGAGTTTCTTCGCTTCCGCCACCTCGGTCTCGCTTGAAACAGTATTTGCGAGCATAGCATGTAAGATACCCTTGAAAATCTGGACACCCTCCTCCAGCTTGTTTGCCTTCATTGTGTCATATCCCCTGTGAAGATCATTGGTAGCGAGGTGTTCAATATCCCGCGGGATGATGGGTAAGACTTTCCTTGGATCTGTCTCATCCAAGGTGCGGCGTACGTAGTTAATCAGGGGAGGTAATCCAGGAGACGCGGGTAGATATGTCTTTGAAGCCGAATAAATCTCAAGGAAGCGGGGTTTGAGAGGTGCAAAGTTAACAGCACCGACTTGCCGATTGAGGAGATTCATAGCTGATTCGAATGAACCTGCAGCAATATGATCCGCGGCCAATGGCGAATTGCGAGCCCATAAATCAACCTCGCTACTGCCGGCACCTCCAGCATCTGTGCTCTCGACATTGACGAAGTCACTTTCGGCCTCAGGGGCGATGTCGTCGCCCATATCCCATCCGGCTGCATCTTCATCGTCCTCAACTTCCAGAGCACCATTTCGCTTAGCCGCGACATCCTCATCCGCAACTTCTTCACCAAACCCATTGGCGGCTGCTGAAGGTTCGTCCTCGAGAGTTATGCCTTCTAATTGGCTAGCAAGCGCCTTCTCAAAGAAGGATTGCGAGGTCGCCTTTGTAGGCCAGTTAGCCTTGTAAGTCGGCACAACCGGCTTTGGGGGGGCCAGGCTCTCTCCAAAAGTGGGCAACGTCAGTTGGTCCTCGGTGACACCAGTTGCTTCTAGGATTGACTGGCATTCTTCTTCGAGACCATGAGCTTTCGCGGTCATGTATGCCAGAGGATCTAGAGCATTGTTAGTTCCTAACACTCGGAAGAATTCAAGGATTGCTACTCACATAGGTCGATCTCCTTTAACATCTGTATCCTGTCCTCAACCTCGCCAAGATATAGCGCATTTTGGAATCTTGCTGTGAAGTCACCTCGATGCTCAGCGATCTTGGCCATTCTTGACAACTTTGAATGATCACCAGTTGCAAGATACAAAAATGAAAGTTTATCGAACTGCTTGAGCTTCTGATAAGCCATTTCCACGACCTGGTGATTTCCATGTGCCAAGGCCTCGGTCCCTAATCTTGTCCAAAGCTTAGGTCGGTCCAGCTCTTTGGCCATCTCCACAGCCACTTCAAGGTTACCGCATTCTATGGCGAGCTCAAAACGAGTAGTCGGGTCTTGTACAAATTGTAGCGCAATCTCGGGGTATCCTTTCTTCTGTAGATACGAGATGATAGATTGACCCACCAAGCTGGAGGTACGTATGATGTGAAGCATTTCTTCGTAGTTGCGCTTAACCAAGGACAGCTTGAAGCGATATTCGGTCGGATCAATATGGAGAATCTTGGGCTTAGCCGAACGGTCAAGACAGTAGACATTTCGACCCTTGACCCTCACGAGGTATACGGTCTGGTCAAGAGTTCGGACAATGCCGTTGTCGCCATTCATAAGGGTGTACTTGACGTGATTCAGGGTAGAGTAGAGCAGAACTCCCGCATCATCCCAAGTTGCGCTCTTGATTCGGATAGTCTCGTGCAGGGTGCTAACTTGCTCGAGCGTCTTCGTGACAATCGTCACATTATGCTTGCTGAGAAGCGCCGCATGAAGGCCATCATTAGACCAGACAACGTATTTAACTCCGTTGACTGCCAATTCCGCGATGCTCTTCTTCTGCTGAATATCATAGAGGTGAACAGCTGTAGGTGTGATTATGAGAAGATTTCCAGTGCCACCAAAGTAAATGTCCGTAGTTCCAATAGGGGGCTTGAAGGATCGTGCGGTGTTATTAGAAAGATCCTTAATATCGACGGTCTGAGTAGATGTGTTAAGTACGGCAAAACGGTTGCGTGCGACAAAAATGGCTGAATTTCCTTGGCCACGCTTCGAATCTGTCGCATCCAACGCGCCAGAGCCATCCCGAGGGAGGTTGATGAGCTCGTACGAGCCGCCCTCGGCAGGGGAAGTAACGAGGACGGAGCGTTCGGCCGGGTTATACGACAACGTCCGAGGAGGGACCCAAGCACTACCAAGTCGCTTCAGTGACAACAAAGTCGGGCTTTCGGTGTTCTTCTGGAAGTCGTATGAGCGAACGTGCTTCTCTTTCGTGATGAAGAAAAGCGTGTTCTGGTGGACGGTCGAAGCCGGGCGCTCTCGTTCTAGCTTGAACACCATTACACCATTATCGTGACCAGCAGCAAACAGGTTGATTTCCGGATGCGCCGCGATTACCCAGAATCTGTCGTTTTCCCGCTTGAAAGACTGAACAGCAGTACGCTTCTGAGAATCCCATACCCGAATCGTCTTGTCCTCGCCGCACGACAGAATCAGGTCTTGATGGGGGTGGAACAGGCAGCCAGAAGCATTCTGGAAGTGACCACGGCAGGTGTCCACTTCCCAAGCCTTGGTTTCGCTAAATCGCCAGAGCTTTATAAGGCGGTCATCGCCGGCGGAGACAATATGCGGGGCCGTAGGATGGAAAGAAACCCAGTTGACGCCGCGATCGTGACCTTCGAGTACGAATTTCACCATTGCATCGGTGTTGCCAAACATGTCGGTCTGCTGAGCATTTGATCGAGCGACCTGGTCCTCAAAGGACATAGAGGTTGGGGCGGAGTGCTTCTTTCGCAAGCCAGAGATATCCCAAACGCGAACAGACTGATCCAAGGAAGCGGATACCACAAGGTCGTCCTTAGGATGGAACTGAGCGCACATAACGTAGTGATTATGGCCAGTCATCGTGCAAACTAGATCTGGTGTCAGCACACATTGCCCTTGACATCTTGGTTCAACTATAGTTCATACTTAGCGACCGATTTTGCCAGTTCCATATCCGAATCGTCTGGTCGTCGGAAGCTGATATGATCCATGGAAGCTCGTGGTGGAAGAAGACGGTTCGTACGTAGTCTAGATGTCCGTTCAAGGTGAACAGACACCGCCTCGTCTGGTATGACCAGACCTTAATCTTGTAGTCGTCGCCTCCAGAAGCGAATAGGGGTTGGGTCTTGTGGAAATCGACGCCTCGAACAGGACCGTCATGTTCTTCGAAGCGATCGATGAGGGTACCCATGCGGTAATCCCACAGTTGAATGGTGGAGGAGTGTAGCGACACGAGGATCCATGGTCTAATCGCCCAAGGGTTAGCAATGAACGGCGGTGACGGTTAGAGGCATATCAAAAGGAGGATCTGACCTCTTTGGGTGAAAGGCAATGCCTTTCGCTCTCGATGACTTGGACTCGAACTATAACAGGAAGCGTCAATAGCTGACTTAGAAGTATGCGACTATGCTTTAAGGCATTCCAATGGGTATATACCTTTGTTAGCATTCCCGAAGAGGCCTGCATTGTGAAGACGATAGAGGCAGCAGGTAGCCCCTAAGCTTGGGTCATGAATAGGAAGAAAGGTTGCGCCAAGTAAGGGTAACGAATGTTAGAATTGATCGACGGAGAAGTAGGTGATTATGGGGACAGGAAGTGAGCTGTGAGGCTCTTAGAAATATCGTGTCGACGCCAACTCTTGGTATTGTTCAGGCAATTACATACATAAGTCAATTCGTGGCCCCAAAAGTGACGGTGGATTATTTCCTGACAAGGTTCTAGCCGTTGGTGTGCTTGCATGTGGCTTGTGCTTCGCAGCTTCCAGCTGTCCTGATTGTGCCCTGCTGGAACAACAATTATCCCTATCGTCTAGTTCAAGTACCAAGCACTTCTTTTTACCAATAACTTCCATGCATAATCCCGTATCAAGTACATCATGGAGGGGCAATTTACCTAACACAGCTCTAACCTGTAACTCAACTGGCAACCGTCAACCATTAACGTAAAAACCCCTAAGCTTCGGGTCTCATTCCTTTGTTCCCATTGGCTGTTCTATAGAAAGTGTAAATGTTTAGCTGAATCTAATTGGCCAAGATCCATTTATTCGTCTAGGTGTTCAATTGCACCTGGGCAATTCATGTCACAGCACTTCTTCAATTCGTTCACTTACACGGAAGCTTGGATAAGTTCCCTATCAAAAGTCCAGACCTACAAAAAGCCACTTTGCATTTACAAACGACAAACGACGTGGTTTTCACCCGCTATGACTTCAGAACAACATCCTTGAACTAGTTTCCAATCTATGGTTTTATATACTCATTAGTCCAAAGCTCTGTCGCTTACGAGAGCTTGCGACGGAGCTATCCTCTCGTCCTTTCGATTTCGTGTACAGTCACCCGGCATATTGCCATATAGACGATACCGAGACACAATGATACGGCTTTTTAAGCTGCCATGTGGCCTTGCTGCCACTCTTTTGGCAGCTATATGCTTGAACCCGGATCATGTCGTAGCAGGGCCGTCCGTCAATGTTGCTATGAGGGCTGCATTTCCTACACCCCCATATCTTGTGGAGCTTTTGTAGGTTGCTATATATTATAGGCTTTGGGTAGTTTGTAGCTGACTATACTCTAGAGAAACTGCTGCTGGAGAGAATGCGACATCTTACTTTCCGCTCCTCGACCGGATCGCCGACGGCGCCTTCATAAACTCAAAGACGGACAAGGAACTCTACGAGAAGTTCCTCCAAGTTCTGAAGGAGGATGGCCATATGCAGACCCCTGAGTCCTTGTCCACATTCAGACTTGCTCTCTCCATGCGGTCAGCAGCTCCAAGAATAGAGGCGCATTATCAATACTATGATACAGCCGTAGCATCCTCCCTGGGGGCAGCTAGAGCTGACTGCGCCGAGTGGATACTCCTAAGTGGAAAGCAGTATTGTTCAGCTTCACTTACGCATGCTGAGGGACAGGTTACAGGAGATTCGTATGTATAATCTCGAAGTCCGTCGATTTTTGTCTAACATAACTGTAGGCAATTACGGTCACTCCCGTTTGACCGTTCTTTGGGTACTGGCTCTGAGGCGATATTGTATGCAGATATCACTAAGCCTGAGTTCGGCTCTTTCCACAAATCCCTGGTGGATATGGCCCGAAGAGGAGAGGTCACGTATCGGCTTCGATATCGCGTTGATCAGACCGAAGAACGAGAGCCGCTGCCGGTCAGCGGGTACGGAATAGAGCTTCAGCTAAAGCGGACAGACTATATCGTTATTGACGATCGTGACGCCGAAGCTGAGACAAATTCAGCAGCTAAACCTGCTCCTACTGAGGTTGTGCTCGACGGGGAAGAGGAGGTCACTGACTTAAAGCCACTATCGAGTTCCGAACTAGCATCATTGGGGCTTAAGGCTGGTTCTTTTATCATGCAGAGTGATGATCCTTTTGAAACTTTGATCAAATTAACTCAAGATTTCCCCAAGTTCTCTGGCTCAATCGCGGCACACAATGCTTCAGACGCATTCGTGAAAGAGCATCGCCACAACCGAGCCCTAGGAGTCCCAGCCGGAATGAATGTCTTTTGGATGAACGGTGTTCAATTGATTGAACGGCAAATTGACCCCTTTACTCTCGTCGACAGTATTCGAAGGGAAAGAAAACTTATCGAGGGTGTTACGGATCTAGGTCTGACTGGTAAAGAGGCTGTCTCTTTACTTGGAAACCGAGAAGTGACTATTGCTAAATCCGATGATGAGCCTCGCAGATTCGATTGGCGAGATGAGATTGAAGAAGGTCGTGTTATCATCTGGCTAAACAACATCGAGAAAGACAAGCGATATGCCGATTACCCTAAAAGTCTTATGAGCGTGAGTATTTATTGGTTAGCTGACAAGACTTGTTATGTAACTTACTAATTATTCTATAGCTCATGCAAAGGACGTACCCGGGACAGATCCCTCAGATCCGCAAAGACATATTCAACTTAGTTGCACCAGTTGACTTCAGCAAACCAGAAGATTTGTCCTTGGTTGTCGAACAGCTCCAAGCATTCATCAAGAGACTTCTACCTGTCCGTTTCGGCCTGGTCCCGTTAACACCGACCAAGGAGGCTGAAGAACGAGCAAAAGTGGTCTACTATCTCCTTGAGAATTATGGACTAGCTAGCCTGATGTCCTATTTAGAGGCATGTAGCAAAGGTGGTCAATCTGAGCAAGCAAGTTTTGACAAGGCTATCAAAAATCGATCTCCAAAGGCCGAGGCAACTCCCCTTCCATTCAAGGAAATCCTTGAATCACAAGATTATGTTAAACATATTGAACTTGCCAGGCACTGGGTAGAACGACTCAATGCAGACACGGAAGTGACTCCACTATTTCTCAATGGGTTAGCTATACCACGGCAGGACAAGTGGCTTCAGATGATGAGTATGAGAATGAGCAATGATCTACAGCTAGTCCAACAGGCAATTTTCATGGGCTCGATTAACGACGAAACATGGATTCCGGGACTCTTGTTGGAGGATGCACCAACTCGACGCAACCCCTACATCTTCCCCGAGGGCGATAATACTCTCACTGTCTTAAATGTCAACAAGCTTTACTCGGATCATAAAGATTTGTTCGATAAGGTTCCCACTATTGAAGCGAGTGAAGACACGACCAAGGAGACATGGGCTACTCTTACCGTCGTCGCCGATCTAACCTCTCAAGAAGGCCTCCATCTCTTGTTGTCAGCTTTATCATTCCGACGTAACAACCCGGGCGTGCGTCTTGATATTATTAATAACCCTGTGTCATCTAGCAATGCGCACGAAACCAACGTGTTGCTCAAGAAGGATGTCGCTAAGCTATTGGAAGTCGAAAATCTAGAAACCTTAGAATTACTGCTATCAGGACCGATTGATGTGCGGGATGACGGATATAATACTGCTCTATCACGATTTTTAACGGCTGCCTCCATAACCCCAGGTTCCCAGCTGCTTATCCTCAACGGCCGTGTAGTCGGCCCATTTGCTGCGAAGTCGGCATTCAAAGAGAGTGACTTTGAGCTGCTACTTGAATTTGAACAAGGAGCACGAATACTCCCGGTATACAGAGCAGTAGATGCTCTAGGTTTAACAGACAAGATCTCGGGTCCGCTAGCTGCCGCGAAGCTTACGTCGGTCACGGCTCTATCTACTATTTCAGATCTACCCGAGGGAATTTTTGAGTCTGCCCCAACTCTAAGGACCACTATGTATGATCAATGGAACTCAACTCATACGATGATTGAGGTCGGCGACGCCTCTACAGCGAATATCCACTTCGTTGCTATGCTCAATCCCGCCAGCGAGGTAGGACAGAAGTGGGCTCCTATACTCAAGGTTCTGTCTCAGCTAGATGGTGTTTACATGCGAGTCTTCTTAAATCCGATGGAGAAACTTGAAGAACTACCTGTCAAGAGATTCTACCGATATATACTAGACTCAGCGCCATCTTTTGACGATTCGGGAAGAGTCAGGCCTCTGGGTGCTACCTTCAAAGGACTTCCTTCTGAAGCTCTACTCAACCTAGGCATGGATGTACCTCCTGCTTGGCTTGTAGCGGCAAAATACTCTGTTCACGATTTGGATAATCTGAAACTGAGCTCCATTAAAACGGATGTGGATGCTACCTACGAACTCGAGCATATTCTTATTGAAGGTCACTCCCGAGAAACCACGAATAGTCCACCTCGTGGTGTACAACTATTACTTGGTACCGAGCGTAATCCCCATTTCGATGACACAATAATCATGTCCAACCTTGGATACTTCCAATTTAAGGCCAATCCTGGTTATTACAATATCCATCTTAAAGAAGGGAGAAGCTCCGAGATTTTTGATATCATCAGCGTGGGTGCAAAGGGGTATAACGCTGTTCCAGGCGACGAGGGTACCGAGGTTGCTCTCATAGACTTCCAAGGTACGACATTATACCCGCGACTTCAGAGGAAGCCTGGGATGGAACTCGAAGATGTGCTTGAAGAAGGTGCGGACACTGGCGGAGATATCCTCTCCCGCGGCCTTAAGTTTGCCGAAGGAATTCTCGGCGGGTCAAAGCCCAAGTCGAAGTCTGTCTCAGATGAAGTGCATGCCGAGATCAACATCTTCTCCGTGGCAAGCGGTCACCTTTACGAGCGCATGCTGAATATCATGATGGTATCTGTCATGAAGAACACGAATCACACAGTCAAAATTTGGTTCATTGAGCAATTCTTGTCCCCGTCCTTCAAGGACTTTATCCCTCACCTTGCTAGAGAGTACGGCTTCAAGTACGAGATGGTCACGTATAAATGGCCGCATTGGCTTCGCCAGCAAAAAGAGAAGCAACGTGAAATTTGGGGCTACAAGATTCTATTCCTCGATGTCCTCTTCCCTCTATCGCTCGACAAGGTCATATTCGTCGATGCGGACCAGATTGTGAGAACAGATATGATGGATCTGGTCAATCTTGATCTAGAGGGTGCGCCTTACGGCTTCACGCCGATGTGCGATTCTCGGACGGAAATGGAGGGATTCCGCTTCTGGAAGCAAGGTTACTGGAAGAATTACCTCCGTGGTAACCCATACCATATTTCGGCTCTCTACGTAGTTGATCTTCGCCGTTTTAGGCAACTCGCAGCCGGCGACAGGCTCCGACAGCATTATCACCAATTGTCAGCCGACCCGGCTTCTCTCTCTAACCTCGATCAAGATTTGCCCAATCATATGCAGTTCGTTATTCCGATCCATAGCTTACCCCAAGAGTGGTTATGGTGCGAGACCTGGTGCAGCGACGAGAGTCAGAAAGAGGCACGAACCATCGATCTATGCAATAACCCCCAAACCAAGGAGCCAAAATTGGATCGTGCTAGAAGACAAGTGCCGGAGTGGACGGTATACGATGACGAGATCGCGGCCGTAGATCGACGGCGGAGAGGGTTGGTCACAGATAGTGACACTCAGAAGGTACTTACGGCCGGTGGCGAAGAGAAGAATACCAAGAGTAGAACGCTTGAAGAAGAGTCCGAACCAAGGACGAAGGACGAACTATAGAAGCTTGGGCATCTTAGTACCTATATAGAGTGAATAAAATCATTTTGATCAAGTCATCCGAACTGGACTATAAACTTTTATATACCCCTTTTCCTTTAACAGTTGCCTACATGCTTTCTACGGGATAACTAACCCGTAGAGGTCTAGTACACGGTTTCTGTCGCCTTGATACGCGGTACGTGATCCTTTATGCCATTAATTACATTAACCCCTTTTGGCCTACTTTACCCAAGCGGTATATCAATCTTTTTAAGCGTACATATAGAATCGCGTCTTTTGCGCCGATCTCCGTGGTCTTCCGGCTTGGCAGGCGCACAGGACCGGGATAAGCGAGTCCTATGGGCAAGATGGACCCAAAACTATAAGGTCGCAGCCGGCCGGCATCTTTTTAGAACCTATCTTACATGCATCTTTTCACATATACCCATCTACAACCCAGCACTAATCTTACCATACCACACAACCGGGTCCGGAGATCGTCGTGAGAGAAGAAACGCCTCGCGCGCGACATTTCGAGGTTTGCGCATCGAGGCTTTTTTTTTTAAGGTTCCGCGAAGAGGGGCGGCTGAGGTCATGCCAAGCTATTATCTCACACCTGTCTTTCTTCCCTCTATCCCGATTCTCCATTTCTTTTGCCCGTCGCGCGCCGCCACCACCTAATTCGGTGGGTAGGTTCACCTACTGTACCTAGCGCAAGGTAACAAAGGCACGCAGTATCTTTCACCGATACCTTACCTACCTTATCTAGCCAAGGATTTCAAAGTTATCCTACTTCTCGTACCCCGGAGAATAGGATAGCTAGAAGACAGAAAATTCGCGGAATCGGAGAATCGGGAATAGAGCTGGGAATAAAGGAAAAAGGGAATAAAAAAGGGACCTAAGGAAGAGGGACCAAAAAAAAAGAAAGGAAGGAAAAAAACCCCATGGAGCTCGGCTGCTCGGTGGTGGCGCCGCTGGCGCCGCACAAGCACACGCACACAGTGGTGTTCCTGCACGGGCGCGGCGACACGTCGCAGAACATGGCGGACGCGCTGCTGCGGTGGACGCGGGACTCGCGCGGCCGCACGCTGATGGACGAGTTCCCGTCCGTGCGCTGGGTGTTCCCGCAGGCGGAACCCAGCCTCGTCGAGACCACGGGCGAGACCTGGCCCCAGTGGTTCGACATCTGGAATATTTTGGATATGACGGACCGCGAGGAGCTGCAGGCCTTTGGGCTGAAGGAGAGCGTGGAGAGTGTGAGGAGGATCGTGAGGAGGGAGGCTAGGGCTGTGGGAGGGTATGATAGGGTTGTGCTTGCGGGGATTAGCCAGGGCGGCGCGACGGCGGCGCATGTTTTGCTGCATTTGGGCGCGTTGGAGGATGGGGGTGTTGAGAAGAGTGTGAATACGGATGAGAAGGGCGCGGACGAGGATGAAAAGGCGGTTGAGAAGGTGGAGGAAGAAAGGCCGCCGAGGTTATGCGGGCTCATGGGGTTTTCGGCCTGGTTACCGTTTCCCGGCGGTTCGCTCGACGAGACGAGGGAGGTCTTAGGAATGGAGGAGTTTCTGGATAGCAAAAGCGATGAGCTGGTGAGAAACACGCCGGTGTTCCTCGGGCACTGCTCCGACGACCCGTTGGTGTTTATCGAGTACGGACAGCAGTTACGGGACGGACTCGAGAGCTTCGGCATGGATGTTGAATGGCACGAGTACCCGGACGGGGGACACTGGTTCAACGCGCCGTTCGGGATGGACGACGCGGTGGAGTTTCTCAAGGCGCAGGGGATACCTATCGTGAAGCAATAGATTGGTTTATTTCTTTGGGAGGAGTTTTGGGCATTTTGGGCTGTTGGGCGAGCGGTGAAACTCGGAGATTGAAGGGCTCGGTCCCGTGTTGTCTTGCAGCCCCCTTTTTGATGATATCAACATTTATATATGGATATGACGGCTAGATCTTTTGCGTCTATTCTGCTATGATTTGACGGGTTACGATATGCAAGATGCCGGTAGCGATTTGCAGAAAATGTAGAGTTTATCAGCTGGGCATCAAACCAGCTCTGGTTTTCAAAAGTTTAGTTATAGAAATAGTCACATTCTACTTTTAGTTTATAATATCTATTTGGTTTTATACAATTCCCTTTCCATGCATCATATAATGATGTAGATGGTCTCTCACTAGACAGCCTCACTTGTTATATCCACCCGAGCTCGACTGTAGGACCATCTCGACAGAATTAGTCTTCGCACGTCATTTAATAACTTATGAACTCATTGATTAGCTACTAGCTTTGCTACTAAATGGCATTCATAAGTAACTTCCATATATGACCCAATTTCCTTCAGTGAGTTTTCACCATGACTACCTCAATTCTTTCCCACCCGAACACATATGCAAATATTACCAAAGCATGAATCTCGGTAAGGACAAGTATCGGGAAACCTATCCGCAATGCTATTTGCCCGGCTTAATTCTCCCTTCCGAGAATTCTAATTCCGACAAGCCACTAGGTACGTCGTACTAAAAGCACTCTTGCCCTATATTATACTTTAAATGTCGCCACCTCAACCAATCAATTTGGAGCTATAGCTCAGTGGTAGAGGTCAGTGGTCCTGCGCTTTCAGGGTGCCTTCTAGACATTAAGGCTAACAATACACAGCGAAGGATTGCAGTTACACAAACATGTTATTATCCTTAGGTCACCGGTTCGATCCCGGTTGGTTCCTGGAGAACAATTTTTTGCTATTCTCATAGGTTTTGTAGAATATACTTGAGATCCATGAGATATATTCTTCTTGTCGTGCATAGCAATGAATGTGAATTTGGCGAATGCTTCAAATGCGCGGGGTAGTTATTTTCCATTTTTATCAGGCTGCCAGGTAGTGCTTCAGCACTGCCCAGCTTGTCAGTTCAGGCGGTGTGCTGATCGCATTGGCCACCCATTCTCATTGGTCCAAATGTGCTTACTCGCAGTGAAGCTTATAGGTAAATTTAATTTACCAAAAATTTCAGGAGCGGGATTGCGTAAAAGTACTTGACTCATGCCTTTTACCTGACTCAACCTTGCGCAACCCAAAAAGCTCCTTTACACTAATCTTTGGAAACATTACTCTGGGAGTCCCAGATTCAATTTTACTGGTCAAAATTTTTGCATTCTTTTTTTTAACGCCTTTTCCCATTCGGATTTTACTTGTATCATCAGCAGTTAACATCCAACATTGGTTTTCTTTCTATCTGACTTTTTTAGTACGTCGTTTATGCAAGTAGCTGAAGCTATCCTCTCGCCCCGGCCCCTTTTTCCCTCTTCAACATACATATATTTGACGCTCCTACAATAGGTCCATTAGCACGAAGCTATTCCAGATTCCTATGCTCGAGATAGCCAAATTCAATTTTCTTCTTCACATACTAACAGATGTGTATTCGTTCATTGTATGTAGAACGTATCAATGCTCAAATTCGAAGCGCAAAGATGGCGATGATCTCTTGCCGACAATTTGCCGACCTGTCTATTGGAATAGCGGGGTAGCTCCGAGCCCCTCCATTCATATGTGACGTCTTAAGCTGTAACTGGTTCACTGGTTGTGAGGCCGAATTGTGAGCTGTTTAACAATCAATTGACCTAGCGAGAGTAACAAACGCGGATTATATTTCTTGCGCTTTATATCTACTAATATGATCTAGATCAAAAGTGCCATCAAGGTCCACGACTCCATTCTAATCAACCTAATTGAGTGCATCAATGTCATCTAAAATGGCCGCTTGTATCTTCTGCAAGATCATCAAGGGTGAGTGTTTCCGACCTCATGATACTCGTAAAGCTCGAGTCATTAGATTTAGTATTTCAATAGCACATCTATGTAACTACTATCACGAGCTTTATAAGATCTTAAGATCTAATGAGCTAACATATTGACTACAGGAGAGATTCCCTGCTTCAAGCTCTTCGAAAGCGACAAGACCCTCGCTTTCCTTGACATCAACCCCTTGAGCAAGGGCCATGCTGTAAGACCTAACCTCACTGTCCCTACTCCAGGATAAACCTATTATATATACACGATCTGAGTATCTAGATAATTAGCTCACAAACATGTAGCTTGTCATTCCCAAGTTCCACGGCGCAACATTAACCGATATACCCGATGAGCATTTAAGTGAGCTCCTACCCGTGGCTAAAAAGTTGGCCACTGCCACCGGCGCCGTGAACTTCAACATCCTCCAAAACAACGGCCGCATCGCCCACCAGATCGTTGACCATGTAAGTCCACCTCTCATCTAAGTCTCTTACTATTAACTAGAGATACCCAAAGAATATGCCCGCTAACTATGACTATTTCCAAATCTAGGTTCACTTCCACATGGTAATACATACCCCCCAATATATTCACCTGTCATAAGCTCTACTAACACGCCCACTAGATCCCCAAACCAAACGAGCAAGAAGGGCTCGGAATAAGCTGGCCCCAGAAGGAGACGGACATGGAAGCGCTAAAGGCTCTCTTCGAAGAGATCAAGCCCAAGGTGTAACTACATGGTCAAAACAATTCCAAACTCTAGAAGCTGTACCTAAAATGGTGACTTCTTCATAGTCATAAATAAATAGATGGGTAGCTGTTTGCCCAAATTGACAAAATCAGGGGTTCAAACACCAGATTCACAATAGGACTGGGTCCTCTTGCGGGCAAAAAAGTTATAATGAAATTCCAGCCATCCCAATTTCGATGGTATTATACAATGCCTAGTCTATGCGAATTGCCCATGCCCATGCACCCCGTCTTACTTTTATCCCTCTACGCTACGCCGCCGATTGTCTATTCAGTCCACGTCATTAGCGGCCGTCTCCCCTGCGGCGATCGCCGCCGCCGTCCCGTTAGTAGGAGCAACCGGAGAAGGGTAATAGTCGACACCTCCGTCAGGTTTGATAACGCCCACCCTGTCATAGTACGATCGTGACCTGAGGTAGGGGTCTAGGCGCCAGTACTGCTCTCTCAGATTCTTAGCGATGGCGTCCCGCTCTGCGTGGAGCACGGCCCTTTTCCCGGCGTCTGGCTCGTTGATCCACTCAAGTGTCTTGCTCTCATACTCTTCATACAGTAGTTCGCGTTCCTGAAGGAGTTTCTCCTTAGTCTCGATGTCTTTCATCTTGGCGTTCTCCCCTGGCACTGGCTCCTTGTACTTGTAAGTATAACCTGACGTGCCTTCTAAGTCGTCAGGTATCCTCTTCGCATCAATAAACTCCTCTAGGTCTTTGAGGTTGTTAGTGAAATGCACTTTGCTTGCGACTACTGGGTCCAACCACCCCTTGATAATCTTCCAAATGCCTGTGATTCGGTTAGAGTGGGGAAGAAAACGAAGAGCTAGCAAGGTGACGCGCCTTGGAAGACCCATGGGGCCTTGTGAACGAGAACCACTCCGAGACTCTCGGGGTAGTTTGCCTCGAAACATTTAATCATGAACTTGACTGGCGTATAGTCCTATGGTTACGTCAGCTTCGCTCAATTTTAGTTTCATAACTTTTTCCACTTACCATATTGGCGTATGAAAATCCAGTCAGGTCAAATAGAACGCACTGCTAATGTGAGCTTGGGCTTTCTAGGCACATAACAACATACTCACAGCAGTATCCACAGGTGGGCGTAACATAAACCGGGTCGTCTCGATCAAGTACACCGTAAACAGCTCAAGACCTTCCTCTGACTGTTCGCCTGCCTTATGCAAGCGAGCTCTGACCACACAAATCGGCCTCCCCGCCTTGTCGGCGCCGTAACAAAAACTTTTCCCCATACGCAGCTGAGCGAGAAAGTCTTCGGCTAACTTTTTGCTTTTCGCGTCTCCGCTCTTCTCGTTGACGGCAGCGAATTCTTCACCTCTCGCCATAATTACATCGTCAACATGAGCATCCGAACACCTCCAGTTCATTGTCGACATCAACATGACGAGCGCTCTTTGCAAGTCCCACTTTCTAGCTCTCAGGAATCGTAAGAGAAGGGCGTCAGGGTGGTCATGCTTTACCATCGACCAAATAGTGGCTCTTATCTGCTCTGGAGGATGAGTGGCTAGAGTTTCGAGGTATGCCTTATTTTCACCCCATTTGTCTTCCGGGTCATTCTCTTTGAGACTTTCCATTGCTGCGATCTTGGTAGGTGTAGTAGTTCCCTTTTCCTTATCCTTTTTCTTCTTGAACAGGGACATCCGACTCTTCTTAGGTTTTTCGGTTTCCTTGGTTCCTGTTCGCGACGCAGTCTCGGAAGCAGTTTCCGTATCATTACCCGCGGCGTCATCGCCAAGGACGCCGCATACTTGCAGGAACATCTCCCAGAACTTGCGCAACTTTTCATCCTGTTCAGGGGTCAGATTCCCCGGTCTGCCTGGAAGTTGTTCCATGGCGACTACGTCCTCTTTGCCGGAGTAGTCTCCAGCGCTGTCTCCGGAGACTAGTTGTTGTTCAGAATTAAAAGTGGCCGAGCCGTAAAATACAAAGGCGCCAAATACGACTAGGGGTATTATATATAGCGCAGATGAGATTTGACTTTTTAGGACTTGATAGCTGCTGTGGCCGTATTCTGAAAATTGCCGTCTCTCGCAATGAACCTTTCTTGCTTGGGAAGTAAGCAATGGCGAATAAGTTTTGCGATCGCAAATATCACGGCGCGATAGAAATCCGCGGGGCAGTGCAGATTTCGATGACGATGACGATGACGGACGAGTCAGAGCAAGGGCGGGGCTGGAGAATGCGCGCAAGATGTTTGAAGCACGAAATGAGGATGAATGCAGATTAGATTTTGGACGACCAGCGAGACGAGTAATAATAAGGCCAAGTCTCGGAGCTGTGGAGAATAAAAATGGCTGCGGTGCCCGAGACGTTGGAGCTCTCATAAGGTCCAAGACAATGCTAAGAGGGCGCAACTAATGTCCGGAGGACCCGAGCCGCTGTTATCGCCGTGTAAGCGCAAAGCACGGATTTCCAGCCTACAAATGGGGTTGGTTCCTTGTCTTATTGTCTTAGGCCTAAGACGTGGTGAAAAGGTCTGTCGCAAGATATTGGCTTGCTGATGGGGCGCGAGTCAACGCTACCTCAGACAATGAAATGTTAGAGGAGTGCTCTGAGAGAGGTTGGATCTTCTGGGCAGCCGGGGTTGACGTATGTGGTCGAGGATGCACTGATACTATGTACGTTGTAGTATGAACGTAATTGGTAATGGGGAATTAAATTGTTGCATCCCCTTGATCCCTTTGCTTCTTGAACCAATCGTATTCGGTCTCGCAAAGTCGCAAACCAAAAGCGCATGCGAGACTAAGCTAGGTAAGTCGGCGCCGAGTTCGTTATAAATCAACCGTGGTTGTGCTGAATACTTGTATAAATCTTTTGTTATGTTCTAGGTCATGAATTCCAAAAAGAGTGAAAGTCTTCTCAACTTGACTGTATGTACTAGGTATTGGCCGCATCTATAGAGTGGATGAATGGCGAATAGCGAATAGGTAGGTATAGTCGATGCGATGTTCGGATTGAAATTTAGAAAAAAAAATAGATAAAAATTGAACCGTTTCCTTGCCGGCTACTTACAAGCTACCTAGGTAGGTAGGGATAGCTAAAGCAAGAAGATTACCTAAGGCACGTTATGCGAGCGAGCAGTCGCGCATTTACGCTTCCGTTCCTTCTCTATCCTCTCTGAATAGAGGGGTTTACGTCATCTTTGAATCTCTTAGCCCCAAAAAAGCGATATCCAAACAACAGCATGGCACGTGCTCCGTACAAAGCAGAGCAAAGTGCCAAAGTCGAAGTCAATACCCCACTATTCCTATACGGTGGATCCGTTGCCAAGGTCCGATTTATTTGAGAAATCCATCAGTTGTACATAATAAATCACGAGCCTATTGTTTTCTACAACGGTTAGTCCAAGTCTAATACGCTTACCAGTTAACAATCGGCTAAGGTAAGCAGGTTATTATACTTCGACCAAATCAATCCATTCTCGACAGATCTCAAAATAAAACGATGTCGGGAAACGAAGGCCACGATAGCGTGAGAAGACCGCGTTCCACGTCGCGATCGCGGCCGACAACACCCCTCCGCCCCTCCTCCCGTTCCTCGTTTCGCGAATCCGCCCAGCGTAGTGTTGAGGGCAGCGAACCGTTTCCGCTCAATACTTTCGAGCCCGCCTTTGCCGAGCTCTCCGACGCCGTCGCCGACTTGGAGGCGAACATGATGCATTTTCAACTTATGCACGAGAGCCTTGCTCGTTTCAGCGAGAGCTTCGCTAGTTTCTTATACGGCCTAAACATGAATGCTTTTTGTGTCGATTTTCCCGAGGTAAAAAGGATAATCTGCTCCTTTCAACTTCAAAATTTCTAATAGGTCATACTTATAGGGTCCAATTGCGGAATCGTTTCGTCGCGCAAAACTTAATGATAATGAGGAGCAGCCACACTCTACAGGTCGATCTAGAAGCACAGAACGAGGTGAATTTGACGGGGAGACGACATTTATGTAGGTGGTTTTGGCCCAGAGCTCCAGGCTATGACTCTGATTATCTGTTTAGGACTACAGACACATCCTTCGTAGAGAATCCACCAACCGTCTCTAAACCGACCCCCAAGAAGTTTGCGACTCCAACTCCGGAAACTCGCCAATCTCGTCTCCCTAGCACGTCGAGAGGCGGGACGCAATCGAGGGGAAGAGGTGGAACCGGGAGGGGTCGCACAAGCGGCCTCGTCAGACCGAGAGCTCGTGGTTTGAGATGAGCGAATTTGACCTCGCCTCAATGCCTAATCATGAATGCCTTGAATGACATTGCATATTCTAGCGCATTGCAATGCGCTCAATTATGTGCCTGATCGACAGCAACACGATGGATTTGCCGAGTGACACGATAAGTGCCTAACTAGGAGTTCGTGGGGTAGGATATGTTTACAATCATTCATGTCATTGTAATTTCGTTGTCGGCTATGTGCTCAGATCGGTCGGGACCTTCATTGTCGGTACGCAGGCCAATAGCCGCCTCGGCTTCCTTCTGGGTGTACGGTTCTTCGCGAAGTTGCTTGACCCTACGTTGCTCTCTGTTAGACTAGATACCCAATACGATATACGCTGATAAGGAAGAATGCGAACCTTCTTCTGTGCGGCTTTCCCTTTCTGTGGACAACAAGGTTTACCTCACTTTCGAACCACTTGGCGCATTCGGTGCAATACCATTTGCCTAAGTCTGGTAGATCTTCTGGTGCCTTTGTCGCCTTGAACTGGGCTAAGTGTTTCGGCGAGCGTAAGTCGGCTTTGATCTGGTCGAGATCCCTCGTCTTTCGACGGGTCTTGGATAGTGTGCGCTTGTTAGTGACTCCCATTCTTGGCAATATGAATGTCGGCAATGATCGGGTGTATGATGAATTTAATGTGCGTTCTCGTTTTGACCCCTCTGTAGGAGGCAAACAGGTAGTAATGTCTGTAGGTGATGTCGTTTTTGGCGATTAGATAAGTTGACTTGGAGATTTCTCATTTCTAAAAATTTTGGTGGGGTCAAACATTTCTAGTCATTCAATGTTCTCCATTCTAAGAAATGCGAAAGGTAAAAGGTGGTCCAAGCTTTCAGGTGCGTCCTTCTAACTTGACGGTTCACATGTTCCGCGCTCCCGAATATCATCCGGCTACATCCGCTTTGGCAGGGGCCGGGCGAGCGGCATGGCCGTCGTCATCTCAATCTTGCAGGTTTTGCAACGCAATCCTATAAAATTTCTATACGTCCAGACGTCGTGGACGTCAAACGGACTTAACCTTTACTCAATAAAGTGTGTCCTTATATATATAGCCATTTAGCTGCCATTGGTATTTGCCTAGTGTCTGATCACGAGAAACTTATGATTAACAATCCCCTCGTGCCGATGCGTCCAAGCTCATGGGTAATCGTAGATTCGGTGACAAACATACACCGAGGCAAGTTTTAACGTGGGGGCATTTTCCCTTTTCCCTTGTCTCCATTGCTTTCGCCGATTGGCCAATTCGGGCCCACACAGCAGGTCTCCAGACTCAGCAAAATTTGTCTCGGCCTGTCGAATTTGACCTGCAGACCTCTAAATGTGGACCTTCTTGCATTTTTGAAGCGATTCAGCGCTGCATCGCGGCGATACTTTTGAGATGATGAAGTGGTACCTACGGTTATTTCCAAGGTACATCGAGCTCAGGAACGAGGTACTTGCAAATAGATTCCTCTCATAACCCATCATGACTGATCAATGGCCTAACCAATAATCTGAAGGGAGTTTGTAATTGTCCTTGCAATTATAGCGATATTTCGAAAATTGTTGCGCCGAGAAGATCTAGCTATGCCATTATCTGGCATCTGATTGATGGAAGTGATATGCAGCGCTTACTGCCCTAAAGGTTTCAAAGATGAGCAGGGGTTAAGGAGAAACTAGGTCATAGGTATCCAGTAATTCAGCTACCAATGAGGCTTGAGCCACACGAACTTACGAAAAAGTCTCATAACCTATCAATTGGGTTGCTGATTAAGCTCAATAGAATGTTGCAATCTGAAGACAGCACGAAGGGTGTTACCAATGAATAATCCCAATGCATGATATCTTCAAACGTTCTTTTTAATGTCTAGTGTAGCACAAACCGAAAGCTCTTATCCCCCCCCAAACAATACTGGCTAACGAGCAACTAAAATACCTAAATATCTAAGTCCAAGTCTAATTCTAAGTCCGGAAATACACGATGTGCTAGCTCAAACTGTAGTTCGGTTATCCTCATAGCCGCTTTCATCCGTTCACATTCCGCCCAATTCAAGAAAATTCGGACGCTTCGCAATATTTAGCGTAACCGTAGTATCTCCATTGGGCACTGATGCTTGATAGCCAATAGGTGGCCGTGTGTTTCTAAAGATTTCGCAGATAATGGTGAGATTGCAAAATAAATATTGTGACTTTGGTAATAATGACGACCCTATTATTCAATTGAATATTGGTATATAGAAATGATTGCATAATACACGAATGTCTAATCGCGTGGCTTTCTTATCGCAAAAAGGTGGTGGCTGATCCCAGGAAAGCAGTGTGAGGTCACAGAATCGAGTTGAAGGTAATCGGATTTGCTGTGATTCGTCCGTTCAGCCGGGTGACACAGTGGGTTGTGGATGTACCTTTTTGTCTTAGCCGAAGTACCCTGATACTCCCTTATACTCCCTTGTAGTTTCCTGTAATTCCCTGATACCCAGCACGCCTGGGCCAGCTGTAGCCACCTAAGCGGCCATTTAGACCAGTAGGATGTAACGACTTCCCTTTGCCGTAGTACCGTAGTACCGTGGCCTAGGTTATCCAGCAAGCACGGAGGTACTTGGATATTGTTGCATCTTTAATCGCAAACCACAAAACCTCTCCACCTTTTTCTCTTCTCTTCCGTCACAACATCTTTTTTTCTTCTCCCTCGAAGAACCAATTCCTTTTCTCCTCTTGTTCCCTAGAGTCGTCTTGTTTTCCTTCGACGATCTCCTCTCTTCCTGCTATCCTAACACTGGAATTACGCTGCATCGTCCTGTTACGTCTGAACCCCTCATAAGCTGTCGTCGGGACCGCGGTTGTCACCATGTTGGCCACTCGACAGGTCCTGGGCAATGTTGCCCGGTCGCGGGTCATGACTGGCATGAACCTGCGACGGTGCATGGCCACCGTGACTGATTCACCTCTAGACCGAAAGGTAAGTCGCTGTCGTCGCTGTCGCAAAGCTCAAAGGCTCCTTTGAGAAGTGAAAGGTGGAAACTGAGACTAATATTTCCCGCAAATAACAGGTGAAGCAAAACAACTGGGAGGAAGGCAATTTCATCAACTACAAGAAGATGTCTGAGAACCTGGCTATCGTTCGCAGCCGTCTAAACCGACCTTTGACTTACGCCGAGAAGATCTTATACTCCCACCTTGACGACCCACATGGACAAGATATCCAGCGGGGTGTTTCTTACCTAAGGCTGCGACCTGACCGTGTTGCTTGCCAGGATGCTACAGCTCAGATGGCTATCCTGCAGTTCATGTCTGCCGGTATGCCTTCAGTGGCAAACCCCACTACGGTACACTGTGATCACTTGATTGAGGCACAAATTGGCGGGGTTAAGGATCTTGAGCGAGCTGTCAGCATCAACAAGGAAGTTTACGACTTCCTTTCTTCTGCATGCGCAAAGTACAACATTGGTTTCTGGAGACCCGGTTCTGGTATCATCCACCAGATTCTTCTCGAGAATTACGCTTTCCCCGGTGGTCTACTGATCGGTACTGATTCCCACACGCCCAATGCTGGTGGTCTGGGTATGTGCGCCATTGGTGTTGGCGGTGCTGACGCCGTCGACGTCATGGCCAACCTGCCCTGGGAATTGAAGGCCCCTAAGATCATTGGTGTCAAGCTTACTGGTAAAATGAACGGCTGGACCTCACCTAAGGATATTATCCTAAAGGTTGCTGGAATTCTTACCGTCAAGGGTGGTACTGGTGCTATTGTGGAGTACCATGGATCTGGTGTCGACAGCATCTCCGCCACGGGAATGGTATGCACTACCCTATTCTGCTTCTTTTCTGTCTATCTTGTCTTGAGATCAATAATTCCCCGCGGTCTTTTTCAAGATAGGCCTGAATATGCCAGACTCTATCTAGAGAAGAGATAGCTAATTGTTGTTTTAGGGAACGATCTGCAACATGGGTGCTGAAATCGGTGCCACGACTTCTCTATTCCCCTTCAACGACCGCATGTACGACTACTTGAAGGCTACCAAGCGTACCGACATCGGTAACTATGCGCGCGACTATGCTAAGGAGCTGCGTGAAGACGAGGGTGCCGACTTTGACCAGCTTATCGAGATCGACCTTAACGAGCTCGAGCCCCATATCAACGGACCCTTCACTCCCGATCTAGCTACACCTATCTCTAAGTTCTCCGAGGCTGTTAAGGCTAACAACTGGCCCGAAGAGCTTAAGGTGGGCCTGATCGGATCCTGCACGAACTCCTCGTACGAGGATATGTCTCGTGCTGCTTCGATCGCCCGAGACGCTCTCGACCACGGCTTGAAGGCTAAGGCTGCCTTCGTTGTCACCCCCGGTTCCGAACAGATTCGTGCCACCATCGCCCGCGACGGCCAGTTACAGACCTTCGAGGAATTCGGCGGTGTTGTCCTGGCTAACGCTTGTGGTCCCTGCATCGGTCAATGGGACCGACGGGACGTCAAGAAGGGCGAGGCCAACTCGATTCTCTCCTCCTACAACCGTAACTTCACCGGCCGAAACGACGGTAACCCTGCAACCCACTCCTTCGTCACCTCTCCCGATCTAGTTGTCGCCCTCTCTATCGCCGGAAACTTGCACTTCAACCCCTTAACCGACAAGCTAAAGGGCAAGGATGGCAAGGAGTTCCAGCTTAAGGCTCCTACCGGCGATGGTCTCCCTACCAGGGGATACGATCCGGGTAACAACACCTACCAGGCTCCTCCTGCCGACCGCGCCTCCGTCAGCGTCCAAGTCTCACCTTCTTCCGACCGTCTCCAAATTCTATCGCCCTTCCAGCCATGGGACGGCAAGGATGCTTTGGACATGCCCATCCTGATCAAGGCGAAGGGAAAGACCACCACCGACCACATCTCTATGGCTGGCCCGTGGCTCAAGTACCGTGGTCACTTGGACAACATCTCGAACAACATGCTGATCGGTGCTATCAACGAGGCTAACGGTGAGGCGAACAAGGTCAAGAACGCGACCAACGACGAGTGGGACGCAGTTCCGGCTGTCGCCCGTGACTACAAGGCCAAGGGAATCAAGTGGGTAGTCATTGGTGACTGGAACTACGGAGAGGGAAGTTCTCGAGAGCACGCTGCCTTGGAGCCCCGTCACCTCGGTGGCCTAGCCATCATCACCCGAAGCTTTGCTCGTATCCACGAAACCAACTTGAAGAAGCAGGGTATGCTTCCTCTTACCTTCGCGGATCCCGCCGACTACGACAAGATCAAGCCCGATGACAGAGTAAGTTTTTTCCTCGCACCATACTTCACATGTCGTACGCAGATTTACTAATCCCTTATTTAGATCGACCTGCTTTGCACAGAATTAGCCGTTGGCAAGCCCCTGACGATGAGGGTACACCCCAAGAACGGCGAGACCTTCGAGGTCAAGCTGAACCAGACGTTTAACGAGGCCCAGATCGAATGGTTCAAGAATGGAAGTGCATTGAACACGATGGCCAAGAACTCCGGGAAATGAAATGGTGGTTGAGGGATGCTTTAGGGCAGTTTAGTAATATAGGAAAGGAACAGGAGAACGCAGGCGCATTGTGGGGAGGCCTGCTAGAACTATCGTACCAGGGGTGTATAGGGTCATGGGTTACGCATGTCACGTTTTATGGGATCGGTATATTCCCAACCCGTCGCGACATTACTCGAGCCGTTATTAGAACCTTTTTTTGTTTTGTACAAAATGAATTTACGAAAGTTAAAACATGGTCGGTCAGGCCGTTTCCTAGAGGTGACATTCATCGACTTAGTATAGGGGATAGGATAGTGCTAGTAATTGTGAATATTTCTTATGAAATTATTTCCAGTAGCCTTTAATTGCATCCATTTCCGAATTTGCATATTTGGTAAATAATTATCGATAAGATTCTGCCCAGTTGCCGATCAGTTGTTCTAGCGTGTCATCTTCGGTAGCTTATACCAATACCCCTGTTCGCCCTGTCCATTACGGCTGTTACCTGGCTATGTGCAGGCGCAACTGCGACTTTCGGTTGCAAAGCACACGACTCGACTTTCCGATTCTTCCTCTCCAACCTTTTTTCCCCTCGCTCCAAACCACCTCCTTTCTTCCTTTTTTTCAATGGCGATTCGGATCGTCAGCACACTTTTCTTATAAGTCTAGCAGGACGTATCCTGCGTTGCCGTTTTCGGCCAATTTTCTCTTTCGGCGCTTCGGTTTCCGAGGGGAGCGAGTTGCTCTAAGAGAAGAATACACCGGGAGCGACGGATTGGTGCCAGGACAGCTCAACTTGGGATCTCAACGAACAGCTCGATTTAGAAGATGCCGACGATACAAGGCTTCAATACGCTACGCGCGCGCTCGTACGTGTTCCGGCTGCCGCTGTTTACGCGCGCAATGATAGTCATTATGGTGGCGTTCTGGCTCGCTGGTCTACAATCTGCGTGGGATGTGCGGCAATGGGGCGCTCTGATCCCGGATGAGTTGGGCATCACGACTAGTTAGTCACTCCTTATCACATGCATGCCCTTGGCGACTTGATACTGTGTGGGATTAAATCAGATTAGGTTGGGTCGATTGCTAACTGACGCGATTGTGGTGCAGTGTACCGGGTGAACACGTTCCCTCTGATCCACATCAACTTCTTTCACGCCTTTTTCAACATCCTCTCCTTGACGCCGCTGCTAGAGAGATTCGAGACCGAGTTCGGGACATTGACTTCGCTTGCGCTGTTCTTTGGTCGTAAGTGCGCTTATTATAATTAGGCCGCCCATCATGACTTATTGGGGCGCGGCTGAGGTTAACGATTCTCGTAGCTTTGACGACAATACCGGCCTTCGTATACATCTTCATAGAAAAGTTCCTGCTAAGGGGCAACACGGCTGTCATGGGTGCTAGGTATATATGATCCCTATATTCTTCGATGCGAATCTCGATGCTGACATGTTGGCGCGGGACAGTATTTGGGTGTTCCTTCTGTTGGGTATAGAGGCTATTCGAACATATCGAACCAACCCCTACCTTGTAATTGGAACTCATCATGTTCCGACTTGGACGACACCCCTATTGTTGGTATTGGTCGTTGAGGCTCTTATCCCTAATACCAGTTTCGTTGGTCATCTATGCGGTGTAGGCACGGGTTACCTATGTGAGTAAACTCTTGAGTTTCCTTTGCCCCCAAGCTGTTACTGACCAAAGGTAATCTAGTTGGCTTGGGCTATCTTAAATTCCTATCACCACCTGAAAAGGTGCTCCGGTGGATCGAAAGCCGACTCAATCTATTGGGACGATTACCTCACTACGTCAGCGTAGACCAGAAGACATACGGACGTTTCGGAGTATTGCCGACGAGTAACTCGACCAGTTCAACGACACCATTAGGCCTGATAGGTTCTACGCAGAGGTTAGGTCCCTAGTACGGTTTCCACGGCTCACTTAGAAGAAAAAGGTCACGAACCGAGTGAAAGTCACAGTTGTATATAGCATGTGTGTTTTATGTTCTCGCTCAGGCATTGCATGATACGGAGTTTACGGCAGGGTTCACAAAAATATTATCGTGGCGAGGTCGTATACTCACCCGCTCATATGAAGGATAAAGGAGGGTTGGTCATCTGTATACTAATAGACCTTTACATGCCTTCATATATTGTGCGTGGATCGTCTTCATGACTTAAGCAGAATTTGGGTGTCCCCATTTTCATGATATACAAGAACTTTAATATGGACCCTATAAGACTTCAATGCAAGTCTTACTGAATACTAAATTTCGGATTAATTAAGGGGCATAACCAACTTCAATTCAAATTGTCTGTAAATCAAATGGTGGTTAAGGATATGCAATTAAAGGTTAATTGTCTGTAAGGCTGATTACGTAAGGTAGCACTTACCAGTACTTAATTGAAGACCCCTGAAAGTTTAAGTGACGGAAAGCTCCAGCTCGTGTCATACCGCGATCTACTTAGCTCTACTTGGGTAGACCGGGTATTGACACATAGAAGTTAAACAATTACAACTAAATGTAGCCTGTTCACACATCATCGCGCCAAAAGACTAGAAAGACTAGAGTGGAAGCCATGCCGCGTTTACTTTGTAAGTTAGAAATTCCGTTAGTTATGATTTCATCGTGTATAAATTGTAGCATTGACTAACGAGAATCCCAAAAAATGTAGCTGCGGCGTTGGTCCTCCGCCGCGATCCACGACTCCTCAAGCTCCCTCCATACATCTCGCTCCTATGCATTATCGTTGGTGTCGTATGGCTCCTAGTCCTCCCACTCGACCAGTACTCGCGCCGCACATACATCAGTGAAAACGCCCTACTACCCGGACAGGTTCACACCTACTTCGGCGGAAGCGATCAGAACGTATTCCGTGCCTACAGACACGAAGTCGATGCGCTGTACACGGCAAACAAAACCAATGTCGAAGTCAACGACGAGCTCGAGCGGATATTCAAGGGCGTCGGGCTTAAGGTCGGCAGGCAAAATTATACCTACAGCTCCGGAGGGAACACGTACGGCGGCGAGAACGTGTATGCGATCCTCCAGGCCCCGAGGGGCGATGCGACAGAGGCTATCGTGCTGGTTGCGGCCTGGAAAAATGTGATGGAGGAATTTAATCGCAACGGCCTGGCGCTTGCCCTTGCCCTGACAAGATACTTCAGACGCTGGTCCTTATGGTCGAAGGACATTATTCTTGTTGTGCCGCCGGATAGCAGAGCCGGACCCCAGGCTTGGGTCGATGCGTACCACGACGCCCATGACCCGGCCAGTGTTGCCTCACTGCCCATCAAGTCCGGTGCTCTGCAGGGCGCCATCGCGCTCGATTATGCACAGGAGAACCGCTTCGAGTCAGTGCATATCGTGTATGATGGCGTCAACGGACAGTTGCCGAACCTGGATCTTATCAATTCAGTTGTTAATATCGCGAGCGGTCAGATGGGTATGGAGTCCACGTTGCAAGGCATGTGGAAGCACAACCAGAAATACGACGATAACCTGAAGACGGTGCTAAGAGGGATGCTGAGGCAGGCGTTGGGACACGCGTCCGGTCCGCATAGCTCGTTCATCCCGTACCATGTCGATGCCATAACGCTACAGCCGGTGGGTAACGGGTGGCATGATGAGATGGGACTAGGACGGCTAGTCGAGGGCATGTTTCGCAGTCTGAATAATCTGCTCGAGAAGCTGCACCAGAGTTTCTTTTTCTATCTGTTGATTCATAAGCACCGGTTCGTCAGCATCGGCACATATCTTCCTAGTGCTATGCTGGTCGCGGTGAATTTTACGATTATGGCTATTGCGCTGTGGGTTAAGAGTGGGTATAAGGAGGTTGAGAAGACGAAGGAGGAAACTAATGGGAAGGTGAAGGATGGTGAGGAGGTGAAGGGAAAGAAGGGAGCAGCGCGAGCCTCTACGACGGTCGAGAGAGAAGCTATCGAACGAGAGACTTTGCTCCCACTTACTCTTGTTGCTGGCTGTCAATTCATTGGGGTCATTCCGCTCTTTATTTTTAACCAGACGCCATCTAACGTAAGTTTCATCCCCTTTTCCTATCCTCTCTTCGATCTACACCAGCTCTCCTCCGAACCAAAGCAACCCCTGCCCATCCAACCTTGCTAACAAAAACCACAGCTCCTCACACCAATCTTCGCCCTATTTGCCGTCTTCAACACTGCCTTCCCACACCTCGCCTCCTACTTCCTCACAAACAGCATCCGCAAACCACCTACGGCACAGCAATACCAGCTCATCAAATCCTTCTCACTACTCCTCCTCGGCATGTTCCTCTCCTCCCTCGCCACGCTCAACTTCGCCCTCGCCTTCCTCGTCGGGCTGCTGTCCAGCCCGCTGTCGTTCACGCGTCCCTGGCCCGGCAACCAGGTGACACGGTACGCGCAGGTGCTCCTGTTGCACGCGCTGAGCCCGCCGACGGTGTTGCTGGTCGGCAGCGCGGTCGCGGGCGTCGGCGTCAGCACCGTGCTCGAGGAGGCGGCGTTCGGGTGGCATGTTTGGGGCTTGTATACCCCGCTCGTCGTCTGGTGCGTCTGGTGGCCCGCATGGATTGTCGGGTGCCTTGTTGTGCTGGGACAGCCGCTAGAGGGGGCAGATGCGGAAGCGGGAGGGAAGGAAAAACGGTCGTAAAGGCATAGTTATAGTTTGCCTTTGATTTTGATTTTGATGAAGAATAAATAGGAAGGAAGATAGGAGGATAGAAAAGGGGGGTTTATTAGCATAAGCATACATACATGGTTCATCCAGCGTAACACACTAAGTAGGTATGTGACGTCTACCCAAATTTGGTAGAGAGAGTAGCGATGTTAGGCACAAGGAGTGGAAAGCGAAGGTGAAGGGGAAAAGGGAAAGAGAGATCGGTCCTGATAACTGGGGTCTGAACTTTTTGGTGCTGGAACTGTTTGCATGGCTAGCTGTAGCTGTAGCTGAGAATCAAGATACCATTACTGATTTTGAAGTTTTTTGTTGTTGTTTTTTGGCTTTGATTTGCCGCTTGGGCTGATAGGGTGAGATGGGGAACTACTTCCACGAGTATATATTCGACTCGACTAGCTTCCCAGGCCGGAGATATGTGGTGCTAATATTGTAATCAAGGAATATCAGTCCCGTTACCAGGCAAGGAGATATAGACGCCTCCCATCTACAACTCGAGGATAAAAAGAGGTAAGCCAATTAGTTGTCATACCCCCTTTTACCACAAGACGGCTGCGCGGTCTCGATTATCACATCACGTACGCAAAGCTGACACCTCTGTCAATGTCTCAACGAACTCAATTGCGTTATAGCAAGACTCGCGGTCCTCTCTTCCGGACCGCACGTCGTCTATTAGTATGTATCTATCATACAAGGCTCAGACCCTGCTGGAGACGCAACCAGGGGAGAAAAAGATTTCTCTTTCTCTTTCCCTCTTTTCTTCGCCTCTCCCTTTTTTTTCTTTCCCGAGTCTTTGCCTATTACATAGCAATTGAATCCATTCATCCATCTACTCTTTGCTTAGACCACCCGCATTCGCGCAAAGATCAGGGAGCCCAGATATCCTGGCCGGTAGCCTCGATCCAGTTGCCGAGCTTGTTCACGTTCTCGCCCCACTCGCCCAGGCGCTGGCTCATGCTGGCGATCTGGCCCATGTCGAGGATGCGCGGCTGGACCCAAGTGAAGTTGACGAGCTCGTCGACCTCGTCGATAGTGCCGCGCACGAGGCCCAGGCTGAGGGCCTTCATGACCAGGTGCTCGATTTCGTCCTTGCGCACCTTGGTGTCAGCCGATATGGTGCCGAAGCTCATGGCGCGCTGGTGCGGCGGCCGCCGGAACACGCTCTCCGTCAGGGCCGCGAGGTAGATCTTCTGGCGGATGTCCTCGACGTGCTCCTTCAAGAGCGGGTTGCTCGAGATGTGGCCCGACAGCACGTCGTAGGCCGCTAGGTCCCCCCGATTGAAGGCTAGCAACAGCTCCTGCAACCAAGCGACGTCGCCGGTCAAGGCGGCGAGGATAGGGTGCTGCAGCAGCTCGCCGAAGTTGTAGATAGAGTCCGAAACGAGGGCGGCGATACCCAGGTCGTAGGCACGGGCCTTGCGCTCGTCGGGGGATAGCGACGATAGGTCTATGCAGGCGAGGTAGAGGAGGGCGTTGCGGTAATACGAGGCGAAGTCGGCCTTGGCCTGGTAGTAGTTGGCGTTGACTTGGTAGAAGGCAGCGTGGACCTTGGTCTCGACGCTGTCGAAGGAGTCGAGAATGCGCTCGGCCTTGTCGAGGTTTTTCCGGGATGCTTCGAGGTCTCGTAGATCCAACTCAACACGGGCGACGGCGGCAGTGGCGTAGACGAAGGCGTCTTGGGAGTTCTCGTTGTCGACCTTCTTGGCTAGGGATGTGAGGAAAGTCAGACGTTCTTGGTCATCTACTAAGATATTAGTAAAGTATATATGTGTACAGATATTGAGGATATTCACCTCTACATTGCGTAGCAGCCTTCAGGCCCAAGTCGACGAGCTTAAGTTGGTTGATCTTATCAGCGAACTTTAATATGAATACCTTATAGAACTTGAGCCGTTGAGGCTCGCTCTTGGGGTTTGCGAAGAACTCGATGAGGGCGTCGGTGAGTTGGTGCCATAACTTGCGCTCCCAGTAATTCTCGAACTGGATGATGAGATATTGGAGCTCGTCCGGGGTTTCGTCCCGCTGATCGGCGAGGAAGTCGGCGATAGTGTCGACGTTCATGGTATGATGTTGTTCTCAGATATCCTCTCCTTGGTATAATTGTAATGGGAGGTAAGTGAGAAGGTATCAGCAAGGATTAATTCAGAATTGGCGTTGTTGTTTTTCTGTTTGGTTGGGTTGTAGTTGTTTAAGTGAAAGATGAAAGCTTCAGTTCTAAGCTTCTCAAGCTTCAATCAATACGCGGCTGGTGTGCAGCCTGTCGTTGGTACCTTCCTCACCTAACTAAGGAAGTACCTTTGTACATACCACCCCAGCTCCCAGCTGCCCCCATTTCCCTTCCCTCCTCTTGGATTACCTAATAATTTGATGTGGCTTGACTTTCTACCATCAGCCAATCTTGCTTGGCGGATTGGGTTTGACCAATACTTCCCTGTGGCTTGACTCCTTACGACATTTAGAGCTTCCATGTTCAATCCCACCAAGATACAATTGCCGATTCTCTATTGCAATTGGGAAGGTCCCGTCATTCTTTGCACCTCGAACTCGAGCAAGGATGGCTTCCTTTCCTACCGCCGTGCGGTCTAGTCGAAAGCTGGCCTTCAACCTCACCCAGGCCAGATACGTTTCCCACATTTCCGACATCGCCATAACCCGCACCGGCAAACCCATCATTCGCGTTCAAGGTGGAAGGTTAGTTGCCGTCGTTCCTCTTCTGCCAACTGACTTGGTACTAACTTGGTACTCCTTAATAGATCATCTCTCGGAGGTAACCCGCTAGCCACCACGAACTATTCTTGATTCTTCCGATCCTGACGAGTTATATAGGCCACACTGCGACAGTATTTGGCGCAACGGGACAGCTCGGAAGATATATCGTCAACCGACTAGGTACGAGACGGACATAGAATCCGACTTAGTTTGTCATGCCTAACAACGAGTCATAGCACGCCAAGGATGTCAGGTTGTCATCCCTTACCGAGAGGAGATGGAGAAACGCCATCTCAAGGTTGCTGGTGATCTGGGTCGTATCACCTTTATCGAATACGATCTACGCAACACCGAGTCCATCGAGACCAGCGTTCGCCACTCTGACGCTGTATACAACCTCGTCGGACGGGAGTACCCTACGAAAAACTTCACTCTAGATGACGTTCACGTCGAGGGCACCGAGCGCATCGTTGAAGCCGTCGCCAAGTATGACGTAGATCGTTACATTCACGTTTCGTCTTACAATGCGAACCCTGATTCTCCTTCCGAATTCTACGCTTCCAAAGGCCGAGGAGAGAAAGTCGCTCGAAGCATCTTCCCCGAGACCACCATCGTACGGCCGGCACCCATGTTTGGATTCGAAGACAGACTCCTCCTTCGATTGGGTGGCATTACCAATATATTCACAGCTAATCATATGAAGGAAAGATACTGGCCCGTCCATGTGTGTCCTTCCCACTTCGAATATACTTGGTATTACGTACACTTAGCTAACATGAATAGGTAATTGACGTTGGTAAAGCTCTGGAGGCGATGCTCTACGATGATACTACGGCTGGCCAAACGTTCGAGCTCTATGGTCCTAAGAATTACTCGACAAAGGAGATCTCCGAACTGGTCGACAAGGAAATCCACAAGAAGCGAAGACACGTCAACATTCCTAAGCCTATCATACGGCCGATAGCTTACTTGTTGAACCGATTTATCTGGTGGCCGGTACTCTCAGCAGAAGACGTAGACCGAGAATTTATCGACCAGGAGATTGACGAGACAGCAAAGACATTTGCCGATCTGGGAATTACACCAGGTGAAATTTCCGATTTCACATATGAGTACCTAGTAAGTAGTACCCTTTGCTTGGAACCGTTGACGCAGGTGAATATGTAAGTCTAACAGCTTGGACAGCGTGGGATGCGTAGTAATACACACTACGATCTCCCTCCGTCGACGGAGAAGGAGAAGGAGGAGAACAAGAAGTACCTTCATGTGATGGACGAACCACAAATATGATGTGGCAATAGTAGAGTCCAAGCGATTATTAGAAAGGGCAATTCTTATTGCAACTGTACATATATACCAGACTTGGTAGTTTTCCCTTGATTTAAGAATCGCGAATAGTATTGTAAGAGCATTTACGGATTGCGAAGTGATGTCGTGTCGTGGTACGGGTGATATATGTTGGTGTAGTGTAGTGTTGCAGGTTTTATGTTGTAGATTCTATCGAGTTCCGCTAACTAATCGGTAAAGATTTTCGTGCTCCAAGAAAACCCGAAAACTTGGTCTTACTTTAGGGTCGAAGCCCAACAACAATGAAACAAGGGAAAGTACAAGGCAAAAAAAATTAACTCGGGTCAGAGCAACAATCGAATTCTCATTATTCTCATCATTCTCGTCATTTTTCACACGAGAATCAAGCAAATATACGCCAAAGCAAAATGGCCGATAGTGACGATGAACCGATGTAAGTGAACCAAATAGAAATAACCATTGCTTAAGACTAAACGCACTCACCCTCAACAGAACACTTTCCTCTCATGCACTCTCTGCGTTGCAGGAATTCTACGGCGAGCGAGATGCACATGTCGAGAAGTTCGAGAAACTGAAAGTGGTAGCCGAGGAGGAGCAAGTCGACGCCGTGCCCTTATCTATGGAGGCCTTCACCGAGGACTGGAACAAGTCACAGTTTTGGGTATGCCCCCTTACTTTAAGCATCTAAAGCTTATCGATGGAATTTCACATTCAAGCTGCTAGAGAACGACTGGTGTTGAATTGAACTGGATTCAAAGGCTAACTAAAACTATGACAGTATTCGGACGAGACAGCTACGCTGTATGCGAAGCAGCTATTAGATGGCGTGACTGAAGACGAGGTCATCGCCGTAGTCTCGACGCCGAGTGTCTTCGTTGCTTTAAAGAACCTGTTGGTAAGTGGTTATCAAGTATTATAACTAAGAATAGTTTCCTGGTTCCTACTACGAATTCAAGCCGATCCTCCAAGCTGAGCTTTGGAACTGCGTCAGTTGAAATCCTATAGCCGTACGATTCCTCGGGATCAAATTTATTCTTGCTGATTTCCTCAGCCAGTTCTCTCGCGGCCGGGATAACGGGGAGTTCAGACTTCGATACCACTCATCTACCTTCACATTCCGCTTAACTCATGCTATAACAGGATTACTCCTTAGTAACTTTCCCTTCTCTAAACTATCAACTCCGGGAATAGTCATTATTAAATCAAGTCTTACTAACACCACCCTCACTCTCACGTAGAACACGGCAGACGCCGCTCAGCCCAAACCAAAACAAGTCTACCTCCTCGAGCATGACCAACGGTTTGCCATCTTCTCCGAGTTCATATTTTACGACTTCTTGCAGCCTACCAAACTGCCAGCTCACTTGAAAGGCGCCGTCGACCGCATCATATGCGACCCCCCTTTTCTCAGCGAGGACTGTCAGACTAAAAGTTCGTATATTTTATTATATCGCGTCTACTGTTATCCAGATTCTCCTAGCAAATTCACTTATCATAAAGATACCTGCGTTGCTAATCCTACGAGCAGCTGCTTTGACTGTACGTTGGATGTCTCGAACCTTCGCGGGAGCAGGCAGTCAAGGTCAACCCCATCCTCGACTGATAGTCACTACCGGAGAACGCATGGAGCCTCTCATCACGAAGCTGTACCGGTCACTAGGAGCACGTACGACGACGTATGAGCCAGTTCATGCTCACGGGTTGGGCAACGAGTTCTATTGCTACGCAAACTTCGAGTGTGACGCTTGGAAGTTTAAGGGCAAGGAGGAAAAGGCGGGTCAAGGACAAGGCGCTACATAGGATTAAGCACATTCAAACTGGTCTTAACGTTGGAATTCAGTTGGCACATCTTACCCCTTTGTCAAGTCAAATGCCGAGGCAGGTTTGCTTTCAAATGGCACAATTAGCGAGCAATATACCTAAACAGACATTAAGGCAACCAAATCCGAAATGAACAAGGCTCATAATCATATCAGGCAGGTAACTAGCACCTAGGCAGTCATAATTGAGGATTTTCTCTGTTTGTGAAAACGCCTCTCTATTCAAAGGCACAAAGTCAATACGCCGTATAGGAGTCGTCAACCCCCCAACCCATGTAAATGCTTCAGAACAACTCCGTCCCATACCGATGCCAAATGATACAAACACGTCCCTATGTCAATGATCGGATGATGTAGAAGAGTAAGTAAGCCTGACTTCCTAGTACGTCGGACTTCTTAGCCAACTCGACCCTGTGGTCGTTGAAGGAGAACCACTAGAACAATATTAGCACATGTCGCCAAGAGCTTGGTACGGATGCCCAAGATATCTATATAACTCACCTGATCTCCCACTCGAGAATAAGTCACGTAGTGTCCTGCCTTAGTCAGCTTTGATCCAGGGGGTTTCTGTAGAGGTAATAACTCACCTGTGTCGATCTCTCCGACGTGCTCTACAACACTCAGCAGGTCATATGTACATGAACGCCTCAGCTCCTGGCTGTCCTTGGCGTCAGATGCTCTACCACGAGTGGTATACGGGAGCATGTTCAGCTGCAACGGAAATTGTACCTTTGTACTAATCTTCGAAGCAACTCGGTCACGACTACCTTGCTTAAACTCGAACCGCTAGATGTTCCTGTTAGTACTCGTTTTCTAAGATATTACTGTGACGAGGACTATGCTTACCTTAAGTTGTATGGAGAGGACGTTCGGAAGAAGTTTAATGCTGTGGTCTCGCCGAGCCTGCTGCGACGAATTGCAGTTTCTACACCGATACTCGCATTTGTCGGACTTAATGTATTCCTCGTCGAGACAATCTTGCAACGTCAGGGAAGGCCCGCCTTTAGGTGCCTTTTTGACCTTTTTGTGAGATAGATTGTCTAAGCCCAAGCTTAGATCAAGAAACGACTCTATTGCGTTCGTAACGCCCCCGCAATGTTGACAAGTCGTCTGACTCTGGAGCTTTCCGTAGAAAGTCTGGTGTATGATGCAGTTGCAACTGTGCTCGCTCCCCGTCTCGGGTTTCTTACCATCACCATTCCTCTCATGCAGTTCCTCAGCTAGGAACTGAAAGAACTCGTGAGCATCCTGCTCCCTAGTTGTCACCAGGTTCTCGAATGCCTTCTTTTCAGATATCCAAAACCCGGAGAGAATATTAGCTGCAGTATAGCCATTAGTGTTCTCTAGGGCGTAGAAATCCTGAAACATGTCGTCCATCGCACAGCTCAAACAATGAGGCACTTGGCAATCGCTGCTCTGATGTCCATCACTCAGGTAGAAGTTTCTGAGTAAAGGATTGTGGAGGAAGCTCTGAAGGACGACGTTCTGGTAGCATGTTGCGCCAGCATTGTAAATTCCCCGAAGCCCGTCTGCTCTACATGAGGCGATGGTGGTGTTGGACGAGATATACCTAGGATCGTCCTTCAGGGGATCCTTTACAGCATCCGAGAACATTTCCTCGTGCTTCCTTTTACGACCTAAGCACGTTAGTCTGGTGCAGAAAAAGTGCCACTCAATAGTGTGACATACTCGAAAAAGATCCAGTTCCTATTTTTCTCACTCGGAGCTCGTCCAGAGTCGGGTCCCACACAAAATCCTCGCAGAACTGGCAGAAAAGCGCACCACTTCTCGAGTCAACGTCTGTAGCTAGTCAGTGGAAGGAACAGGAGAGGACGTAGAATTATACAATCATGTTAGAACTTACAGAATCGGTGGCTCTTCTTATTGCCATGTTTTATGCGCTCTTCCTCGGAGGCGATGGTCGAACATTGCAAGCAGAGATAGTTCGACGTTAAAGAGGTAATTATCTGTCCGTCTGGGCCCTTGCAGGTCTGTGGCACTAAGGGATTGCCATCGAATATGACTCTCAGCAACATCTTGTAATACTGGACAGTACTGTTCATCACGTCGGGGCTGTTGGAAAGAAGTAGTTGGACATGTTCTAGGACATATTAGCACATATACACCAGAGCACAAATTCAAACCACCGGACTATTACTAACCACAGCCAAACAAGGGTGTTCCGGGAGTGGGAGAATTGATCTTGACATTCTTAGGCGACGCCGGAGTGGTAGGTCGCGCAGCCATGGTGATGAATTTATCAAGGCCTTATTTGTATAAATTATTGTCTTAAACGAACGGATATGTATGCAATCGTTTCGACTGTAGAGAAAGGATTCGAGGCAGGAGTGTATGTAGGTTCGGGTGGTCTGTAGTAAATGGTACGGAAAAAGAGAATCGAGTATGTTATCGACCAAATAGCCGCGGGTGTCTTTCGTAATTGAAGAAGGTCGAGACTATGGAAGGAAGGCTAGGTTGGAGAGACGAGTGAGGCTCTGGCGCAGACGAAGCGGAAGTGAAAGTGGATGTGGGCGTGGAAGCGAGGCAAGTAAGAAAAGTACAGCGATGAAGCTCCTGAAGATGCGATTCGACCGCTAACTTTCTTCTACTTCCTTTTACAGCTTCGAAGCTATTGGTTAGCCGCATACTGATCGCGTGCATACTAATTAGGGGTGGCTTACAGGTCTGTGAAGCTATTAGACTCAAGAGTTCCAATATTAGACAGAAACTCCACGATAGATCTACAGAATCATTGATAACTTGGTGCACGCAGCGTCATGGTTATTCACATCACTAGGTGCGCAAGGAAAGATTACGAGATTACAGTTGAAGCAACACGCTGGAAATTCTTATCGCCACCTGATCCACGATCTTATCTTGCTTATCGAGCACGCTAAACGGCCGATCCAGGGGTTCAATGTTTGTTCCATATACCAATTATAGATTTTAAACTTTGAATATCGTCAGCGAGCAGTAAGGCATTTATGTAGGTAGCTACTGCCTATGGATACATGTAGGGCAGGTACGATAGATGCATGCTATTAGTATTTATTCACGCTTATCATTAGAACCTCGGCATCTTATCTATGTCCAGCTATCTACATAATACCTACATCAATAAGTTATATGCAGTCGCATACAAATTAATGGCATAATCATACCGCGTTCTGTCCTCATTGCCGATATCCAATCGTAGCCCGACACTAAACATCCAGCTGCTACAAAATACCAACCTTCCCCGAACATTAGAGTACCTAGTGGTGCTTCGGTATCATCCAACACAACCAGATTGCTGTCATGGTATGAAAGCTTTCCGAGTAGCTTCAAGTATCAGGATGGCTTCACTGGTTCACCTGCCGGAAATTGAGCGCCTTAGTCCTGCTTGTATCCGTATTCTAGGCGGCAACCCGAGCAAGTTCACGCTTCAGGGCACCAACACATATCTACTTGGGACCGGGCCTAATAGGTTATTGATTGATACTGGAGAGGGCAAGCCTTCATGGATTGCCGCCTTGAAACGAACTCTAGATGAGGAGAAAGCCGCAGTACAAAAAGCCCTGATTACTCATTGGCATCATGATCATACTGGCGGTATTAGTCAACTCCTGGAGTATTCACCTCAAACAGTAATCTACAAAAGCTCACCGGCAGAAGGCCAATCAAATATCTCAGAAGGGCAGAAATTCGAGGTTGAGGGGGTCACCTTGACAGCCTTTCATACGCCAGGCCACACCACAGATCATATAGCCTTCGTTTTGCAAGAGGAAGACGCGCTGTTCACGGGTGATAATGTCTTGGGTCAGGGCACAGCCGTATTCGAGGACCTTGGCACCTATCTCAAAAGCCTTGCGAAGATGGAGAAGCTGGTGTCTGGTCGAGGATACCCAGGACATGGCCCTGTGTTACCACAGGCCAGCACCATTATCGCCGAGTACATTTCCCATAGATATCAGAGAGAACAGCAAGTACTACAAACCTTGGGTTCTACTCAAGATAACGAGTCGTGGACTCCTATGGAACTAGTGAGAATCATATATCGCGACGTTCCGGAAAGTCTTCATATACCGGCCGCAAATGGGGTGGTCCAGATCCTACGGAAGCTCCGGGACGAAGATAGAGTTGTACTAGAGGATGGGGATTCGTGGCGTCTTAAAGACCGATCAAGTTTATGACAATGGTCACGCCCCGTGGACAAGCTGCTGCGAAATCAATACGCAAGCCAGAACCGCAGGATCGTTGGCACGGCCGCACTGCTATTTTGGGGTTCTAGGTTACCTAAAAATATGGCTACAAAATCCGGTTTCAATCCATAAGCTTAGGTTTTGTATTTATATAGCCCTACCTAGACCACAGATCATTGAAACACAATGGTACGTAGACAATCTTCGACGCTTCCGCCCTACCTCAGCCTAGGTTTCCGCATCTATTTTAGACTATCATCTGGCACACTTTGGAACAAAGATCTGGTATTATGACCAATCTGGGGTAGTACCAACATGTCGGGAGACGATGCCCCCCCCTTAAGTTCCTACGCAAGGAGGCACCTTTCATCGGGTTCATCGGGTTCCACGGAGAGTAAACGCCGTGAGGCGCCTTTCAACGGCGCGCAGGAATAGCCTTGTAAGAAGCGGGTATGCAGGGAGACCTTTATTAAACACCTACATTGCAACTCTCATGACTCAATCGAATGGTGTTAGTGTCGGTGTCTTCGGATGTTCGGGGCCAAGGACGCATGTATGACCTTTCGTATGTACGTATTATATACCCAACTAGGTAAGCGGCGCAACGTATGTGCTTTCGGCAACATTACTTGGGGTCGAGAGCAATTCCTAATAAAATTTAATCAGATGATTCGGGTTTAGGAATGTAAGCCAGGGCTACGTATATAGCCCTATGGCTAACGGCACATTAATCATCTCCATATTCCTTGCCTAGTCGGCCGAGCCTCGAGTTGCAGAAAGAGGCGGGGACAAATTGAAGCGATGCGGGATAGTCGGTAACCGGTGTATTTTCCGGCCCATGTAAGCTGAGCTGTAATGCCCAGCCTTACAATGCAATTGACCACATGCCACGGTGGATTTATGATCGTATACTGTGTGAGTCCCCCAGATGCGTCTCCTCATCTCGGACTCCGACTCTCGCCGGCGTTGCCATAACCTCCTTCTCCGATGCCGTATTGGATGGGCGCCTTAAAAAGGATTTTCATCTAAGCTGTCTAAGAAGGTAGGGCACGACTCCGCGCGGCGAGCACCGATATGGAAGTTATGGCAAGGGATCCGGGTTCTACAGGCGCCGTCCTTCCTTAACGTCTTGGTCTTGATTCTCGGTATTCTTGGACTCCTCGTTTTGACTCCTAAGGTCTTGGCAACGTCTGACTTGTTGGTCAAGTTTGTTAATGTTGGTGCTGTGAATGTGTGACTATTACATCGCAGGTACCCAGCTGGCGGGATTCTATATGCTGGATTACATATACATATGTATGTATGTTCCACCCAAGAAGCACTGGGTCTTGGTGGAATGGCATCGTTGGCATGTGGGTGTGGGTTGCTGCAGGTATAAGGTGGTAAGGCAGCTTTTAGTCGGAGATTCGTACTCGGTATAGATGCGACTAAAATCGGTTCGATGAGGAGAGGAGACCTATACACCATCACTACTAACACCACACTGGCCACAATCGCCAATGTCGCCCTCCAATTTACCCCCCTCACAGAGTCTCACAGATTTGACCGAAGCTGCGAGGCTAGATTCTCATCTCATATCTGCAGATGTCTTACCACCTTTAGTTCGTTATCAAGTTTCCCCAGACTGTCCAGACTGTTCGGACTAGAATTGTTACAGATGCCCTCGCTGCCTCGCATTCTACTACTTTGTAGGGATGGGCAACGTCACCGTCGACCGATGGATTTAGCGGGCGGCAATTGGTGTGTTGTAACACTACTGCCGTCTCTTGCAGATGGCGTCCGGGCAAGCTGTTGTCCCCCAGTCGCTTAGGTACAGTATCTCGTTATTGATAACAGATACATTGGCCGACGAATTGCTAGGGATAGAATAAGTGGTGAAACATTTCTCGGAGTTAGGCGGTTGGTAATCCCTTCGATGTATCCTTTTCTTTCTGGTGATATTGGTCACCCTCACTTCGGCTTCAAGCTTTTCCATATCTCTTCTTACTCGAAGTTGTAAAGTTCAGCTTATTGAGCAATTTATGCCAACCTTATGTATTAGTTATCGAAACTTTCTCAGAAAATGAAATCCCCGCCATTTAAAAGATGTATGTACATCCCGCGACCGATATCTTAGGTAGGTACATGTATACGTAGACGCCGGCTCTAACTAGGGTACATACTGTGTAACTAACGACCGGCTTGTATCCCTGCTAGCGCGGCTCCTCAAGAAAGTCGAAAGGCTGAGAAAGTCAATCATCTTCGCTTGTGCAAGCAACCACTTTCGGGTAAGAAACGCTTAAGTTCTTCCACATGATCAGCCAAAGGAAAACCATCTCACCTGTAGGTATTTATTGAACTAGCAAACCTACATACGCAGGTAGTTGTTATAGGTATCTACTAAGCCTTATAGGTATCCAAAACCTTGAAGAATACCATGGCGAATTTATTTCAATACAGAAAGAGATTGCATACGTAATTATTTTTTAGTGATACAAGGTAAATTAAAACAAGCACCTGGCCAAGTAGAAACGGATGCGGATTCAAAACAGAATAATTAAAATACATCCTATTCCCGATACAGCATGTCGAGTCCGATTGCGGATGGCGGGGTGTTCGGATGCAAGGCTCTTTCATCGAGGTTAAAAACTCCATCTGCCTCTTCCCCATGTCCAGCATGTCCAGCATGTTACAGCCCGACCAAGGCTGCACGATTATTCATTATCGGTCGGGAAGCTTCTACACGTGCGGCGACGATGTAATCATGTAGCAAGGATGGGTAAGCATCCAAGCGAAAAGAACACTCCGGCTGGTAACAACGTTCTGTATGTATGTCTTGGATCAATCATGTCTTGGATATGTCTTGGATGCGATGGGTACTTTGCGGGAAGTGGATCTTTGTATGACTGATGTGGTCATTCTTAAGTATCCTCATCTGCAAATGGTACTTTGGTACACGAACTCTAACATGGATGGGCTGGGTAACATGGGCCCCATGGATCAGATGGAATAACATGGTTGGATGTGGTTGGACATGGGTAGCTGTTTAAGGCCGACCCACCCCGGACGCAAAAGTTACAATTTGTACCCACTTCAGGTTCCGCGAGCTTCTTGACCTTCAAGCCCTTGACAACTTCAATATTTCCCATCCACCGCCGTTTTAGTTATTTTTTTTTTTCGGATCCCTCGGATATGTCATCGTGCTATTTTCCCACACTATCGCTCGATGGCTCATCACCGATCAGAAACAGATGGCACGAGCTGATGAAAGGTTAGAAACGCAGACGGGTGGACCCGGCCCTTTTGTTCGGGTTCTCGTGCGCATTTCGCTCTTGCTCAAAGTGCTCAAAGTGCTCAAAGTTAAGCCTTGTCAATAAAGATAAAAGTATGACATACATGCGAATAGCCTTATTCTATTATATTCTACCAAGGTACAGAATACACTAATATCCACAATACCCACCTGCCCAACTTCGGCCTCGTCAAGTCAAGGGCAAAAAAAAGTAGAAGAAAGCGTTACCCGTTTCGCCCAGTCTTGGTAAAGAGAATAAAAAAATAAATATATTCCGGAGCCATGCACTTCCTTCCCACCACGATGTTTCTTTATGAAAAGCTCTCCCCCCTCTCCTCCATCTGCGGCCATTCGCCCTCCCACCCTGCGACGTAACAATTGTCTCTTCAATGGTTGTAATGCTATCGATCTAGCTCCGTAGCTAGCTATTGTCTCACTCGTCAGGACAAAGCTCCGGTGCCACACTGAGGCTGGGCTTTATAAGTAACTATACCGAAGATACCCTCTCCCGCCTGGTTTCCTGAAGGTCAGCCTTTCCACAAAGAACCAAATCCGCAGAGGGGAATGTGAATACTTCGGATTTGAATCGCGCAACGTCTTTGAGTAGTGTATTCCAAACATTAGCAGCGACATGAGGTCGACTGCGCAAATCGCGCTCAAGCTGCTGGCGCTTGTCGCCGTAGCTGGAGCTCTTCCTGCAGTTCTCGCCCACGGCAGCGACGACGAAGGCGCAATGGATGCGGGTATGGATATGAGCAAGGAGGACCCGAAACCCGATCCCGATTCCTACCCGCCGACCTACTTCGCACATACAGAGCACGTAGCCGAAATATATGCGCACATCGCCTTAATGGTCGTCAGCTGGGTCATAATGCTACCAATAGGTACGCGCGCCGTCTCGGTGACACTAATATGATTCGTAGCAATTTCTAACTGGTACTTTACAGCTGTTATGTTTTCGATCGCACGATCACGATATACGCTTGCGGTTCAGTTTCTCTTCCTTTGTACGAATGCGATAGGCCTCTTGTTAGGCATTACCTATAATGCGAATACCCCGGACTTGTATCCCAACAATGCGCACCACAAGCTGGGTTGGCTGGTTACGTGGGTTGTCAGCGCGCAAGTGATCGTCAGTCTCATAAGTCGCGTAGCAGGCATAATGGGCAAAAACGGCGCTGCGGAACTTGGAAAAGAGGAGGAACAAGCATTTATCCCAGTTTCGACGGAAGCTATGGCTGAGCACCAGCGCATCAACGACGCCCTATTCCCGCACCGATATCGACATTCAAACGACAGCGGACAAGGCACGGAACCGAACACCGAGTCTCTGCGAAGCAATTCGGTATCGACAGCTGTGGGTCAGGAATCTCCTGTTGAGTTAGGCGACCGACGAGCGCACTACGAGGATGACGATGATGATCTTCATTTCAAGCCTGCGGAGCTGCTACCCGCGAAACCTGCTAACTCATTTGTCGCTAGACTTGCTGGCAAGATGTCTAGCAGGGCCTGGAGATTTTTAATGTTCGGTTACAATTTCATTGACAGGACTATTCTTATCCTAGCTTACATCACGCTATGCACCGGTATTATCACATTTGGACGTTTCTTTGTAAGTTGACTTCGGCTCGGTTTATATGGCCCCAATATAGGAGCTAACCCGCAATTTCAGGAAGGACGTGGCATTTTTAGTGGTCTGGCTCACTGGATCAAAGGCGGCATATTTTTCTGGTACGGCATTTTAACCCTCGGGAGATGGTCTGGAAGTTTCGGCGAGCTGGGTTGGGTGAGTTGGAGTCGTCGCCGCTAAATCCTCCGTTCTCTTATACTAACAAACTTCTTAGTCGTGGAATGTCCGCCCGAAGCACAGCTCAAAGAAGTGGAGACCCACGGCGGAATTTGTCGAGGGAGCTCTCATCTTCACTTATGGATCAACCAACATTTTCCTGGAACATCTTGGCAATGCTGGCAAGGAGTTCAGTCCTCAGGATCTCGAGCATATCTCCATCACCGTTCTTTTCATCGGAGGTGGCCTGGTAAGTTGTCCCGCCCTTGCTAATTAACAAGGGGTGATACTAACGCGATTGTGCAGCTTGCTATGCTAATCGAGTCGACGAAAATTCGCGAACTCTTGAACACCACCGTATATGATGCAGCTCTCCTACATCCAAGTCACGTGTACAACGATGAAGAACGCGAGGCCTTGGAGATGCCGAAGCAATACGAATTTTCCGTCAATCCTATCCCCGCTCTTGTAATTCTGCTTCTCGGTATCATGATGAGCTCGCACACGCAGCAGACAATGGTCTCTAGCATGGTTCACAAGCAATGGGGTAACCTGTTAACTGGTGCCTCATTTGCTCGAGGATTCACGTATGTGCTTGTATACTTAAAGCCTCCGCGTTCAATTTTGCCTTCTCGACCTCCGACGGAACTCCTGACCGCATTCGGACTTATCGCTGGAGGCACTATCTTCATGGCTAGCGTAGGTAACACCTCAATCATTCAAAGAGGATTGGTCACTAACAATTATAACAGGCTAGCGATACTGTCGATGGAATGATCCATTACAACCTGGATGCCATGTTCTTCTATACGGTTACGATGGGATTTGTTGGTCTGCTCATGGCTTGGGTTGTGGTTCTCCTAGCCCTGAAAGGCTGGGCCGTCCGCAAAGAATCTAGTCGATCTCCGAATGCTTGGACCTTACTTTCCCACGTCTAAGGAGGTTGGCGGGAATTAACCGGGATGCATCATACATTGCGTGGGAAGCGGCTTGGGTTACTCATCAACAGCCCTGCCGAGATATAGTTATAATCAGGTCACATTATTGGGTTACGGCGCATTTAGGGAGGCGTGGGTGGTCAATTGCGATATACCCAAGATACTCGTCTTTCTAAAAACTTAGCATTCTGGACTTTCATTACTATTGATGATACCCCTAGGGAAAACGAAGCATGATTTGGAGTGGATTTGGTGGTGGTTGGATTAGCTATCGGTAATTGGATGACATGTGTCGATTCACCAGTGAGGTGAATGAATGTTGGCATGACTAGAGCGCGAGTCTTAATGACTTCGAAATAATGAAGAAATTCCGCTCGCAATGAAGATACGTAGACGTTATCTGGTATAAATTTGTGATCGTCCGCTAAGATGTTGGATCTACTGGTCGTGATCTATGTGTCCTAAGGAAACCCGTGTCCATTATCAATCAACCAGGAACATGAGGACAGCTCCCACAAGATGTCCTCGTTTAAATATCAGCTGAAGCAATTTCTACAGATCCCCGTACACGAATATACCCAGCCAAACTACTTTTCAGAAATATTCCTTGACACATGGATACCTACCTAGATTTACAGAGTCTCGTAATCGCACGCAAGGTATGAGGTGCCATGATATATATGTAGGAACCCCCTCCTACAGTATATCAACTCTCTAATTTACTCTCGCCTCGCTGATACCTACCTCATTCTTACAGAATAACGTACTTAATCATTCAAAAGACTATAATGACGGAATACCATGGAATAGTTTAACCCCCCTGTTGTGCAACTCACTTGGTGGTTTGCCTTTCAGGGGGGACTCATCAAGGATAAAGGGGGCCATTTCACTAGGGTACCTCTCTCCATTCAAGAACCACTCAAGGCAAGACCCTACATGAGGTGACAGAAGGTTCTCGTTAATCATATCACCGCTGTCTCCACATCTTGATTGGGTGATCTCAGTGATCTATTTCCATAAGATCCCTATGTTATCGAGGACAGTTAGGGGACCATCTGCGGTTCTGGTGATAAGAGCCCAGTAACTCCCCGTAGACGGAGCGTGCGTTTAAGTCAATCAAGCTCACTAAGGCGTTTTCATTAGCGCAGTTCTATTAAATAACCCAACTATCTTAGGGATGTCAACATATACTTCGTATACTTAGTCGAAATGTCGAGGCAGGTATTAGGGAGCAAATTTGTAGAGAAAAATGGCTTAAGTGTGCCAGATGTACAAACGAAGGGGAGACCTCGTGAGTCGAAACTTTAACGATGATTTAGAGATACGTATAGCTACCTATATTTAAGCTTGACCTACTTATGCTTCATTATATAAATATTGACATATCAAAAGAGACGGCAATTGATATTATAGGACTAGAGGATGATGGGTAGGAAATCAAACAGGACTAATAAAACCAAGCATGTTTTGAGTTAGAATAGGTATGTTAGGCAGGAAAGCATCAATATGTAGGTAGCTCCAATGGGATGGGACAACTCTGGTCTGAGGCAAGCACGTAGGTACATGAAGCTACTAGTTACATCATCGGCCGCCCCACCAAACCGGGAAAGTGGCAGATGTACAACCTGGAAAGCAATCGCCCGATCAAACTTGATATTTTCGCACTTTAATGCGATACTAAGAAAAGACAGGTATTCTGTTATACCCTGATTATCTCCCTGTGGAATTATTTGAATCCGTACACCTGCCGATTTGTCCCCCATACACCCAGAATATAATCTTTTCTCTTCACGATGACCTCCTACAAGAGCACCCCGCTATATGGAGGGGCTCTCATCTGCGACCTCCCAGCTAGCTTCGCCGACGTGAGGTATGTGTGCATATATATGTTCCCTCCCTTTATCGCAAATAGATTGCAGATAGATCATGGTAGCTTCATACAAGCAATGTGGCTAACATGCGCAACCCGCTTCTCCGCAATCCAGCGCTATAAGACAAGTCCCCGACAACGAAGAAGTGTACATCGACAAGGATGGCTTCACGAGCATCATCTTCGACATCGCCGAGCGCGTCGGCGGCCCGGGTTCTAGCCCGGAGATCGACGGCAGCGCCTTGACGACTCACCTCGAGGACCTGGTGGGAGACGATCTCGACCGCGTCAAGGTCTGGAATACCACGCCCACCCTGTTCTCGCGACTCGAGTATGTAATACCGTAGCCCGAAACTGATCCGTAGATGGACTAACGCGCATGGTATCGCCACCCCGACAGCGAGGACATTCCTGCGTACACGTTGATCGCGACCGTTTCTCCGCACAAGTCGGAATCAGAAGCACGATCCGGCACCAAGACCGACTTCACTGCCATCATCCTGACGCTGGTGCGGCTCGAGCGCGAGAAGACCGACTTGCTCATCACCATCAACGTGCCGCATATCAAGGGCGAATACGACGAGGAGGACGTCGACCTCCAACTCGGAAAGCAGGGCAAGCTTATCGGGGATGCCGTCGACTACGCCGCCAAGATCTGGGAGACCTTCCGGGTTAAGGACTGGGATCTGTTTAACGGGGTCTGAGGGCGAATCTGTCGATAAGACGACGTAGATGTAATATGGGATGGGTGAAATGCGCTCCAATGATGAGGTATGGTTGGAAAGATGGCGGCGATGACATACTACGAGGAAACTAGGATTGGGGTTTCATTAACAGGAAGGGGGCAACGAGAAAAGGAAGAACAATGCGACGAGATTCGCGACAGAAGTTTCGAGGAATTACGTTTCCTTTGTGATCTATTTGGCGGTCCGTTCTTTGAGGCTTCAGGTTTGGAATGAATTACGAATCGCTTCGGTTGCTATGATACTTGGGGGATGGCCTCTATCTTGTTTAGATGCAAAAGGAACTATAAGTACGACGACGATCAACGTGAAATTGAAGTGATGGGCTCTCCAAAAAGTGACAATCTCATTAAGTCATCCAGACGATTAAGACGACGCCCTATGTAGACAGCGCGCCTGCCATACCCATCACGGGCATCTAACTACCTGCGTAGGTACATAGAACCGCATTATGTCTGTCCGCCCGCGAGCTCGGTAGATACAATCTGCTAGACCCGTTCAATGTGATAACCCTTCCGTAATCGTAATGCCATTTCCAGTCTATTACTCCAGAAACTTAAATAGAAGACGTCGCAAGCGCCGGTATATCGAGCCGCCCATCTAGGCATTAGGCTGATCCTTCGCTGCTCCATCCTCCTCCTGCTTCACCTCAACTTCGTCCTGGTCGCCATCCTCGATCTTCAGAACCTCCACGGCGGTCCGCAGCTCCTTGATCGTCCTCTCCCGCTCCTTCCACTTGGCCGACGCGACCGCCATCTTCTCCTTGAACGACATGCCCGGCTTGCTCTGGCCCAGCGCCTTCATCTCCTGGCTCAGGAACTCGTGCCACGCGCTCGGCTTCTTCTTCGCCGTTGCCGGGCCACCGCTACTACTTCCCTCGACGCCGTTCGTCGGCGTCGAAGCACCCCCGCCGCCGCCGCGCGGCGTAGGCTTGACCTGTCTCAGCGCGCCGCGACACGTGCCGCAGCGCTGGGTCCCCGGGTCGATGCTGCGCGAGTGCCGCCTGATCTGGGCCCGGCACCCCTCGCACTCCCAGACGTACTTGTACTCGATCTCGTAGTTGTGCTTGGTGGTGACGACGATGCCGCGGTCGGCGAAGGCGCGGCCGCACCGCGCGCCCAGGGCCTTGAATTCGGCGCCGTGCGGGGCCTTGGGCTTGCCGTTGAGGATGAAGACGGCGAGGTGGCAGAACTCGTGGGCGACCGTGTTGAGGAGGTCGTGCTCGTTGCACAGGACCTTGCTCGAGAGCTCGATCGTCCCGGTATGCTCCCGCGTCTCGTGCCGGCTCGTCTGCACGCCGTCCGCGTTCTTCGTCGTCGTCGACTGCGTCTTGCACTTCCAGTGCGCGCGCCCGGCCGTCGAGAGGAGCGCGTTCGACCACGTGATGCGCAGACCGCCGGTGTCCTCCGTCAGCCGCGACAGCTTGCCGTCCGTGATGCGGTCGTCGAGCTCCTGGAGGAAGGAGCGTGCGAGCTCCTCCTTGACCGCGTCGAAGGCCATGCGCGCCTTCTTCTTCTCCGGGCTCGTGCCGTACTTGCGCTTCGCCTCGGCCTTAAGCTCCTGCGCCGTCGGCTTGGCCTCGGCTTTCTTGGGGCTCTCCGGCTTCTTCTCCGGCGAGTGCTTGTCGATCCAGCCGAAATGCGCCTCGGAGTCCCAAAATTCCTTGTGCTCGGGCTTCCAGGGTGACGCGGGGATCTTGGGTGTTTTGAGGGGGGAGGCCGGGACTGTCTTGAGCGTTTTCCTGGGCGTGGTAGGTTCTAGGATGGGTTTCTGATTTCTTTTTACCGAGGGCTCGTCTGGCTCTGAGTCCTCGTTAAAGCTGGTAGGGTTGTCAGTGTCTCCTGGTGGCTCCGCCATGGTAGAAATAAAATAAGAGATGCCTTGCAGTTGGCTTACATCTGAAGTTTTTGGAAAACATCTTCCAAGTTTCCCCCTGATTGGGATGCCTTTAACGTTTTAAGCGTCCCCCGTTGTTTGGGTGGGCGTTTGGTTAGATCATCGATTGTTGCCTGGGGTTGTTTGTTGCTGGGAGCCGCTTTCTTATCTGGGCTTTTGAATAATGTTCTTTGTGGATTTGCCCATTGGATGGTGGGACTTCTTGAACGCCGTGTTCGCGGTGTCACAGAATGTTCAGAACCTGAATTCCAAGCATCTGTTTCCGAATCTGATTCAGAGACGAACTCGGACACCTCTTCACTTGACTCCTGAATGTCCTCGAACATATCTGATTCTTCACCAGACACATTCGAAAGCAGTGAACTCTTAGGCAACTTCTTAGGGACTGGTCTCGTGTTTATATTCGAGGCTTTTCTGTTGCCATCCCTCTGAAGCTTCTCAGCCTTTATTGAAATTGGCTTTGAGTCTGTACTCGATGAAACACCATGATGATCATGTTGTCGGGCTCTTGATGACATAAGTTCTGGTACGACCTTGGAAGAAGAATCGAGCTCGATAATTTCTCCTTTGACTTGGACAGTAGCGCGATGGCCTCTGGAATTTGGGGCCCGACTCTTCTCCTCTTTGCTAGATACTGTCTTTCCCCAGGGCTTTAGAAGAGACTGGTCAGTAGTTTGGGTTTGGCCTAGTTTCCGCCGCCGAAGAGGCGTTGCTTTCACTGCAGGCGTATTTGTAACCTCGCTTCTCTTCTGCGATGTAGTTTTGGTTACATTTCGTGAACTGAATTCTTCGTCATCGCGATCTCCCTCTGGTTGTCTACCTTTCACTTTGTGTCGATATTGTCGGACAACCACGTCGACCTCTGGAAATTCGTCCTCACTACTATCCCCTAACGCGTCAGACATATTTGCCATTTATCCTTTCTATGCGATGATCATGCTGCGGTACTCATTATGTACTAGTAGTCGCGTAAAATATTTTTTATATCTTGAGGTGTCGTTGACTGATGGGACCAAAGTTGGAGAGTTGAAGTTTGATAGGCTCCATGATTGCTTTTAGTGGTTGCCAGGCAACGCGGGGTTAGTTACAGTACGTACTGTCCCCAGTATTTTATGTTCAGTTACCTGCAAGAAGAAACTCAACTCGAGATTTATTACAACACTGAAGACTGATACTTGATTCTATATCGTATATCGCAGTACAAGGGGAAAATTAGAAGACGGCCTTGGGGTAAAGGTCTTTGAAGTCGGCCGTAAAGTGGCTTCGGTACTTGCGTATGCAGTGCGATGTCTGGGTTTGGTAGCACACATAGAAACTCATGAACATGGCGTCTTAGGATCCTTTTAGTTGGGTATGTTGGCGGGAGGAGGCATTCTCTACAGTTTTGATTGGAATCATTATCTGTTCTGATATTCTGATATTCAACTTAGCTATTTACTCTATTACGAAGCCCAGAGTTTTATAACATAATTTGTATGTAAGGGTCGACATGATCTATCAAACAAAATTAAACAATCCACATGAGCACACACTAGCAAACTTCGCAATAACGGGAATACTCGTGGTCGATGTCCTATCGAGAGTCTGAAGGCTGATGGAGAATATTACTCCCCATATGTATACATGAGTTGATAGGGATGAAGGCCAAGTGTCTCATTGGCAGAGTTGCGGGTTGAGCAGTATACTTACCTGATTACCTGAGCAGGCAAACACATCGAGCTGAAAAGAACCGTAATTGCTGGTGACATGTAACCAATGACTTCGCACAGCTCTCGCAACGCGAATTGTTCTTTGACTGTTTGATCTAGGTAAGCTTGGAGCCATCAATGATCATATGCAATCCGAACGGACGGACAGGAACTTCAAGTCGATCGATCTTATAACTATATTTGTCATCCTTGCTCCTTGCTGCTTGGACTCTGAGTCTGCTATTGCTAGAATAACGGAATTCACGGCTTTAAAGACTGCGTACTAGGTATGCGCCCTAAAGAGGCGCAGCCAATCAAGGATGTTGGCGTCGGTGCTGCGAGCCCCTGAGATTTGGAAGCTGAATCCTACCGTTCATCGCCGGATCTCAAGATGGACCCACGTCCTAATAAGTGGCCTAGAATAGATTGGCCATTGAAGAACAGTCTTGGTTTGAGTTCAATCTTGCTAGCTCATTCCACAGACCAACGTCTATAGCAGGTTACAGTCTTTACCAGGATCTTCCAGTTCTAGCCCTCGCACGCTGAGCTATTCGTTCGGCCAACTTTTCAGCAGACTGAAAAAAAAATCTTCTACTCCGTAAGACGTTAGTCTAACATGTGTTATTAATATCTTCGGATTAGCGTGCCGATCAGGAGAAGTTTTCCTCAAGAACTACAGATCTAGTCAAATCTTGTATGTAGTAAATCTTGTAGTTCTTGTGAAGTGGACGGGAGAAAGTGCTCATCAGCCTCAGCTCGCTCAGTGGGAACGGAAGCCAGCCATTGCAAACTAGACGCGTGTATGGTTTCTCACCATGCCATCTTTTTTCATGCGAGATAGTAAATTGCACTACGCATGTAGCGATGTATGTACACGTATGTGATTTGGCCATTTCGTCATCGAAAGCCACGAGAAGAGGCAATGGCCGGTACCTGCATACGACGGGGCTGGTCATTGGACTAGCCGTTAAAGTGAAGGTGTATCTCTTGGTCTTTTCATTGGGTGCCACCACAGTCGATCGTCTAATTACGAGGCAATAGGACTTTGCTTGCTCCCGACTTTTGAGCCTGGATTTTTAATTTTTTGACTCCTGTATGCAGAGTACCTGAGCATGCAAATACCCATCCAATATTCTGTATTCTGTATTCTTGTGTCGATGGCCGAAACCAGATACTAAGTTTAAAATATCAATGTCATCATGCACTACATGTGAGGGTTAACTGAGATGCATTATCAAAGTTGGTGTCGGCACGTGTCCTGCATACTACGTCGTAGTAGCATCGTCTAGCTGTTTTCACCATACAAACTACTAGGTAGATCGTATTCGAGGAGGGAACTGGTGGCAAAAGCCTTGGAGGAGCCTTGGAAGGCTAGTTCAGCTGCTGGGTGGGTTACAGTGCTTCCCGAGGACGACCTATCGATGGGCAATACGAACGAACATTGAAGACAACACGATGTTTGCCTTTTTATATACGAATCTCACGTTTCTTCTGAATATGGTCGTCATTCTTTTTCTAATGCGGAGATTGAGTTGAGATGAAACTTTTCTTCCTATCCTTATTAGTTACGTGCATAGCATAGTTCATGCTACGGCAGCTCATGGCTGATAAGGTCCTTAAATTGCCCACGCATATGTCGCGGGTATCATGATGTGACGGGACTAGCCTGTGCTTTTTGACCATGAGTCTACGTAGAAACCGGTTTGTACATATATACATATTCTAAAGAGTTGATCGACAGCATTATTGATGATGATAAGGCCAAGTCGATTTGGGTTAGTACCTATTACGCTATTTAGATGTGTTCGACTATTATGTACTATGTATATCGCGTACGTACATGCTTAGACGAGGGAAAAGGGAAAGGGGATAAGGAGAGGCGGGCTGGCGGGTGGGCGGGTGCTATTTTTGAGGATTGGATGTGTACAAAGTACGGCACTAGCTTCGGATATAACTGTAGTGGTAGGTTTTGGCTGTCGGCAAAGTAAGTACAGCAAAATATTAAAATAAGGAAAAAGATGAGGTAAACTCAAACATGCATACACCTCTGTACAACACTCACAGCCGGGCAAGAACATCAGATGACAACTGACATCTCGACCTTAATGTAAGTGGGAGTGTGGGAAGTCTTCAGCTAAGATTCTGTCAAGAGTTTTGGCAGTTCGATAAAAGACCTGCAGAGCTTCTGAAGTTTGTGGTGGGTTTGCCTCCGCCAGCTACGTTAATAGTACGTCGAAGAATAGTGTAGCACCATAGTCTACGCGGCCCTGATATAAATACAGTGCTATCAACACTGTACTTGCAACTAGCGACCGCAGGCTTGGAAGGTTGGAACAAGCCTGAACAAGCCTACTCCTAATTACTCCTAATCATCCCTGTCTGAACTGGGCCGTGTCAACCAATAGGACGTGGCCTTGCTACTGATGAATCAGAGACGGCTCGTTCTGGCAATTGCACACCCCACCAGTTATTCTCTCCCTATATGTTCTTCTTTAACGCCTTTTTAATGGAAACTCGTAGTCTAATTGATAGTACGATACTTTTTACCAAGCGAAACCAGGAAACTCCATTGCATTAGTCCCACTTCTCGCCTCCAGCAGCAACTCCGTAACACAGCCACATCCTACATATCTTTCGTCTGTCTCTCCCCTTTACTATGCCTGCTATGTACGTAGGTTGCAATGTCCCCGGTTTCAATCTCGATCATTCCCTTTTTGTAATGCACTGTGATAGGAAGCGTCGTGGCGACTTGACATAGGTGCCGAAATATTTGATCGGTTTAATCGCTGATTTTCACCGGATGTGCCGGTGACGAACTGAAGATACCATCTGTGGATAGCACATTTCGCCCCGCAGAAGTAGACTAGCACACTGTATACGCATCTATTGTACTCCATTACAAGGTTACGACGTAGTGTAGATGTACCTATGTAGGTTTTAATAGGTACTGAGGTACCTGTAGCACACCCTTGCTTAAGGGGTGACACTTTACCACGGGTATCGTTGGTTGGGACTGGGCTAAGCTTTGCCCCGATTCCCCCTGGCCTTATTTCTCCTTTCTGACATTTTTCTTGATTCTCGATCCCAAGTTCCATACTCCCAATCCCTTTCCCCCCCGGTCCTGCCCTTGACAAAACTTGTTTTACACTCGCTTTCACCCATCGAACTTTTAATTCTCCTTTCTTCTCTCTTGCTTCCCCTTTCTCCCTCGTTTCTTTCTTGTGCCAATTCGCCGCTTCGTCTCTGGTGCTCAGGGGATAACGAGTGAAGATTTGCAGGAAAAGAATTAGGAAAAGAGGATCGAAGAGAGTTTTGTGAGAGTTGAATCCTTTCGTTACTTCCACGTACAATTCGGCCGCCCCCTTTTGTGTTTCGCTCCCGCTTTCCCGTTGAATCGTCAACGCACGCTCGTTTTAACGGTCCGCGAAAACCTAAAAGTTAAAGGACTCCAACAAAAAGTACTTGTACTTGGTTCAATCTGCTCATCCAACGGATTTGAGAAAAATCCCATCGTCAATCGTTCGAGAATAGAAAAAGAAATATCGACTGAATTATTACGAGGCGTAGAAGCACCGAGGTTTCGGAACTCACCGTCACCAGCCACGTAAGGAAAAGGAAAAAAAGGGAGAGAAATTGGTGGTGGAATTTGTCAGATTCTCCAATCATAAACGCGTTTTCTGACCCAACCTCGAGTTACACACCAACCTGTCAGGGGCTCGGCGCGCTAATTACGACACTAAATCGATACTACAATTAGTGCCTACCTTCCTACCGGTCGCGTTCGTTAGGAGCACTTTTGGAAGTCAACATTCACTTTTCTTCCACTTTGCACTTCCCACCTGCAACTTCTGACACCTGCGCCATCCCGCGTAGCGCTAGGAGCCAACGCAGAAACGACAATACACAACCAATTCAGCCAATCCTTTCCAAGTCAACAAACAACAGTCGACTTATTACTTCTCACTACCACTCACTACTCGTTACCCTCACTACTCTTTACCCTCAAACCCTGTCACAAAGACCAATTCTTGCTTGTGGCCGGCCACACTGATTCTCCATATTACAAGTAATAATATTAATCACGACAAACCCACTCTTGACAGTAGAGTCACTCCTGATTAAGCTCGCCAACCACCAATAAAAATCTAATGGGTTTCTGAATTGTAAGTAATCCCTTGAATCGTCGATCTGCCGCTCATTTTATGGCATTTAACATGCAGCGCACATCTCAATGCCTACCTACATTTTACTAACTAAACCGCCCGTCGCAGATCACGTCTTTTACCTAGTCCCGAATTGCCAAAATGTCGGGCTATCCAGGAGGTGGTCACCACGACTACAACGAAGCCTACGGGCAGAATCACGATTCTTACTACCAAGATGAACAACACGGTCAATACTATGACAATAACGGCTACGATGCACATGGCCAAGGTCAGGCCCAGGGCCACCATGCAAACGATGGCTACTACGACGAATCGTAAGTTTGCGCAGTCCACATCTTATCAATTTGGAGTTGGTTACTGACATGACATGAAGTGGCTACTACAACGCAGATGCCAACAACCCTTACGCCGCGGAAGGCGGTTACTACGATAACCACGATCAGTACCAGCAAGGTGGAGACTACTACGATGATGGTAACGGCTATTATGATCACTATGGTCAGGGTGGTTATAACGGCAATGGTGGACGTCGAGGCGATTCTGAAGAGGATTCCGAGACGTTTAGCGATTTCACCATGAGATCCGACATGGCTCGTGCTACTGATATGGACTATTACGGTCGCGGCGACGAGAGATACAGTGGTTACGACCAACAGGGCCGCGGGTACAGGCCGCCCTCCTCCCAAGTCTCCTACGGCGGAAATCGATCGTCAGGTGCTTCCACTCCCAATTATGGAATGGACTACGGAAATGTCCCGGGTATTCAAAGGTCTCGCGAACCATACCCAGCATGGACTTCCGACGCGCAGATTCCCCTGTCCAAAGAAGAAGTTGAGGACATTTTCCTCGACCTTACCAACAAATTTGGATTTCAGCGGGATAGCATGCGAAACATGTACGACCACTTGATGGTTCTGCTTGATTCAAGAGCTTCCCGAATGACGCCAAACCAAGCTCTACTGTCTCTACACGCCGATTACATTGGTGGTGACAACGCCAACTACCGAAAGTGGTACTTCGCTGCTCATCTTGACTTGGATGATGCAGTCGGCTTTGCGAATATGGGCAAGAAAGCACGCAAGTCGAAGAAGAAGGCCAAGGGCAAGAAGGGTGATCAGAACGAAGACCAGGTTCTGGAAGATCTAGAAGGTGACGACAGTCTGGAAGCAGCCGAGTACCGATGGAAGACCCGAATGAACCGCATGTCCCAGCACGACCGGGTTCGTCAAATTGCCCTGTTCCTTCTATGTTGGGGCGAAGCAAACCAGGTCCGTTTTATGGCCGAGTGCCTTTGCTTCATCTTCAAGTGCGCGGACGACTACCTAAATTCGCCCGCCTGCCAAAACCTGGTTGAGCCGGTCGAGGAGGGCACGTTCTTGAACAATGTGATTACACCCTTATACCAATACTGCAGGGACCAAGGATACGAGATTTATAACGGAGTCTATGTCCGACGAGAACGTGATCACAACCAAATCATCGGTTACGATGATTGCAACCAGCTTTTCTGGTACCCCGAAGGTATTGAGCGTATCGTTCTCAATGACAAGAGCAAATTGGTTGATGTTCCTCCGGCGGAGCGCTACCTTAAGCTGAAAGAGGTGAACTGGAAAAAGTGCTTCTTCAAGACCTACAAGGAGACACGGTCATGGTTCCACGTCATTGTTAACTTCAATCGTATCTGGGTTATCCACTTGACCATGTTCTGGTTCTACACCGCACACAACGTTCCGACTCTACTGGTCGGTACTTCGTACGAACAGCAGGTGAACCAGCAGCCGCCGGCATCTGCGCAGTGGGCTATCGTTAGTGCCGGTGGTGCCATTGCTTCGTTGATCCAGATCATAGCTACCTGTGCCGAGTGGGCGTACGTCCCACGACGATGGGCTGGTGCTCAACATCTCAGCAAGCGACTGCTCTTCTTAATCGTCGTCTTTATAATCAACCTGGCTCCTAGTGTTTACGTCTTCGGTTTCGCGAAGGATCAGAACGCAACGCCTGCCTTAGCCTTGGGTATTGCCGGATTTTTTATCGCGCTGATCACGTTTATCTTCTTCGCCGTTATGCCGCTTGGTGCGCTCTTCGGCAGTTACTTAACCAAGAACTCTCGTCGTTATGTTGCCAGCCAGACATTTACTGCTAGCTGGCCGCACTTGAAGGGCAACGATCGAGCTTTGTCCTATTTCCTCTGGACGGCGGTTTTTGGTGCCAAATTTGGAGAATCATACATTTATCTCACATTGTCTCTCCGAGACCCGATTCGTTATCTCCAAATTATGGATGTGTCTACCTGTCTTGGTGATGCTCAGATCGGTAACACCTTGTGTGCTTACCAGCCGACGATTGTCATGGTTCTTATGACCCTCACCGACTTGATTCTGTTCTTCCTCGACACGTACATGTGGTATGTCCTGCTTAACACCGTCTTCTCTATTGCTCGATCATTCTACCTTGGTTCGTCCATCTGGACTCCTTGGCGTAATATCTTCTCGCGACTTCCCAAGCGAATCTACTCCAAGATCCTGGCTACGACGGACATGGAGATCAAGTACAAGCCCAAGGTTTTGATCTCGCAAATCTGGAACGCTATCGTGATATCCATGTACCGAGAACATCTGTTGGCCATCGACCATGTCCAGAAGCTGCTTTACCACCAGGTTCCATCCGAGCAGGAGGGCAAACGCACTCTACGTGCGCCAACGTTCTTCGTCTCCCAAGAGGATCATTCGTTCAAGACAGAATTTTTCCCGAACCACAGCGAAGCCGAGCGTCGTATTTCTTTCTTCGCGCAGTCTCTTTCTACGCCGATCCCGGAACCTCTACCTGTTGACAACATGCCAACCTTCACTGTTCTGATCCCCCACTATGGTGAAAAGATTCTGCTTACTCTCCGAGAGATTATTCGTGAAGACGAGCCTTACTCTCGCGTTACACAGCTTGAATACCTTAAGCAGCTACACCCTCACGAATGGGACTGCTTTGTGAAAGATACCAAGATTCTTGCTGATGAGACCTCTCAATTCAATGGAGATGAAGAAAAGACGGAAAAGGACACGGCCAAGAGCAAGATTGACGATCTTCCGTTCTACTGTATTGGTTTCAAGTCCTCTGCTCCTGAGTACACTCTCCGAACTCGTATCTGGGCATCTCTCCGCTCGCAGACTCTTTACCGTACTATCTCTGGTTTCATGAACTACAGCCGTGCCATTAAGTTGCTCTATCGTGTTGAGAACCCCGAAGTCGTCCAAATGTTCGGTGGTAGCTCTGAGAAGTTGGAGCGTGAACTGGAGAGAATGGCCCGACGCAAGTTCAAGCTGGTCGTCTCTATGCAGCGCTACGCCAAGTTCAAGAAAGAGGAGATGGAGAACGCTGAATTCCTACTAAGAGCCTACCCCGATTTACAGATTGCTTACCTTGACGAAGAGCCGCCTCTAGTCGAGGGCGAAGAGCCTCGTATCTACTCTGCTTTGGTTGATGGTCACTCTGAACTAATGGAGAACGGCATGCGACGTCCCAAGTTCCGCATTCAGCTTTCTGGCAACCCCGTGCTCGGTGACGGCAAGTCTGATAACCAGAACCACTCCATCATCTTCTACCGTGGTGAATACATCCAGCTTATCGACGCCAACCAAGACAACTACCTGGAAGAATGCCTAAAGATTCGGTCGGTTCTTGCCGAATTTGAGGAAATGAAGCTTGAAAATGTTTCCCCATACACGCCTGGTGTCAAGAACGAGACCCAAGCTCCTGTCGCTATCTTGGGTGCTCGCGAGTACATTTTCTCTGAGAACATTGGTATTCTTGGTGACGTCGCTGCCGGTAAGGAACAGACGTTCGGCACGCTCTTCGCCAGAACGCTATCCCAGATTGGTGGTAAGCTTCATTATGGTCACCCGGATTTCCTCAACGGTATCTTCATGAATACTCGTGGTGGTGTCTCTAAGGCTCAAAAGGGTCTGCATTTGAACGAGGATATCTACGCTGGTATGAATGCTCTCCTCCGTGGTGGACGTATCAAGCACTGTGAATACTACCAGTGTGGTAAGGGTCGTGATCTTGGTTTTGGATCCATTCTCAACTTCACCACCAAGATCGGTACTGGTATGGGTGAACAGATGTTATCTCGCGAGTACTACTACCTCGGCACACAGCTACCCCTCGACCGCTTCTTGTCATTCTACTACGCCCACGCTGGTTTCCATTTGAACAACATCTTTATTATGTTGTCTGTCGAGATGTTCATGATAGTCCTTATTAACATCGGCTCACTTCGGAACCAGACTATTGCCTGTGAATACAACCGGAACGTTCCTATTACGGACCCCTTGTACCCTACAGGATGTGCGAACACGGATGCTCTCATGGACTGGATCTACCGCTGCGTTATTTCTATCTTCGTCGTGTTCTTCTTGGCCTTCGTACCTTTGATTGTTCAGGAACTTACCGAGCGTGGTGTGCTGCGTGCGGCTACCCGTCTGGCGAAGCAGTTCTGCTCTTTCTCGCCATTCTTCGAGGTGTTCGTTTGTCAAATTTACGCCAACTCTGTCACACAGGATCTGTCCTTCGGTGGTGCCCGCTACATTGGTACTGGTCGTGGTTTTGCCACTGCCCGCATTCCTTTCGGCGTCTTGTACTCTCGGTTCGCCGGTCCATCCATCTACTTTGGTGCCCGTCTGTTGATGATGTTGCTATTTGCGACCTTAACCGTGTGGCAGGCTGCGTTGGTCTACTTCTGGGTTTCGCTTCTTGCTCTGGTCATCTCGCCATTCCTTTACAACCCTCACCAATTCGCATGGAATGATTTCTTCATTGACTACCGTGACTACCTCCGCTGGCTCTCGCGTGGTAACTCGCTCAGTCACTCGTCTTCATGGATTTCCTTCTGTCGTCTGTCACGTACGAGGATTACCGGTTACAAGCGCAAGGTGCTAGGAGACCCGTCCGGCAAACTGTCCTCTGACGTGCCCCGTGCGGCCATCACCAACCTGGTTTTCGGCGAGATTATTGCTCCGCTTCTCTTTGTGGCAACAACACTTATCCCATACCTGTTCATCAACGCGCAAACCGGTGTTAAGCCGTTAGACGATTCTGCTAAGCCTACCGCGTCTCTTATCCGTGTTGCTGTCGTCGCCTTCGCACCTGTTGGTATTAACGCCGGCCTACTCGGTGGTCTCTTCGGCATGGCCTGCTGCATGGGTCCGCTACTTAGTATGTGCTGCAAGAAGTTCGGTAGTGTGCTGGCAGCAATTGCCCACGCCGTAGCCGTCATTGTTCTCCTAGTATTTTTCGAAGTCATGTTCTTCCTTGAGGGCTTCGACTTTACCAAGACCCTTTTGGGAATGATCACGGCTATTGCGATGCAAAGGTTTATCCTGAAGCTCATCGTGTCGCTGGCTCTCACTCGTGAATTCAAGACAGATCAGTCCAACATTGCGTTCTGGACAGGAAAATGGTATTCTATGGGTTGGCACTCGATCTCTCAGCCGGCACGTGAATATCTCTGCAAGATTACGGAGCTGAGCATGTTCGCCGCGGATTTCATCCTCGGCCACATCCTTTTGTTCATCATGCTGCCTGTCATCCTCATCCCCCAGGTCGATACTTTGCATTCTATGATGCTGTTCTGGCTCCGACCAAGGTACGTTGCATTGTTCGCTCACACCTCAGTATTGGTTCTAGTTGCTAACATATAAACTTACAGCCGACAAATTCGCCCGCCTATCTACTCGATGAAGCAATCGAAGCTCAGGAGAAGACGTGTTATTCGCTACGCCGTCCTCTACTTCGTCATGCTTGTCGTTTTCGTCGCCCTAATCGTTGCACCAGCCGTTGGAGGCAAACAAATCGGACCTGCGTTGGAGAAGAATCTGGAGAAGCTCCCGATTCCCCTAGCTCAGCCGGGTCCCACCCAGGATCACAACGACACTAAGAATCGAACGGAGACGGGAACCGGCTCGCCCGGGTACACGGGTCCGGGTACGGCATCGATGACGACAGCAGCGGCGGCGACTTCGTCGTCTTCGTCGGACGACTCCAAGAAGTTCCGATTCGTCTAATGAACATTGAAGTGATACCTGTACCATAAAGAATAAAAAGTTCCTGGTTACTCTGCCAGTTTACGGAATTAGGGCGAGTACTAATTAGCGTTATATCCGCGAGACTGTACTTGAGGTGTTGTGTGTATTGATTGATTACAGTGGGCGGCATGGCACATGGTATTTTCATTCGTCGTAGAGTCTCGGGCATAAATATTTGCAGGTTATTTTCTTTTTCTTTTTTTTTTCACTATCTCTGAATGGAAACGAGATGGGTGTTCAATAATGACAAGGGTTCCTGTTGCGTTTACTACGACTTGGGGCCATATGCATAGAGTGCTTATGGACCAGAGTAATAATGTCCGTAGAGATTCTAGCATCAGCAGCACAAGGCTAATGATGCGAAAAAAAATTCTTCGTCAGATTTTGTTCGTACTTGGTACCGCGCATGCATGCAGTAAGAAGTGATCGATCGGTTGCGAGTGCCTACTTTAGTAGGTAGGCAGGTATAGGTATCCATATTTATGTCGGTATGTATGCATGGATCCATCGATGTATAATATAATTTCCAACCTTGAAGTTGCGTTCTAAGTTGTATTCTAAGTTTCCTCGTACCAATTTGCGGGATTCTTCGCTATAACTTATGCTAGATTATGCTAGCCTACCTACTGTGCTATGCAAGTTATGGGGGCTGTGGTTGGCTGTTATTGCTGTTTATGGTGGTTATGGTAAGAAAAACGAGAAAAGAAATGTAACACAGCATAAATTCGGAAGCTCGGAATATGGAACAATGGTGATTGTGATTTATCACACCCACTCTTTTGAAGTAAGGGAATTGCTGGATGTCAGGATGTATCAGTTGCTTGGCTCTCGTCCTAAGATCGACATTGAACACACCGCTCAGGCACGGAAAGAGGCGAAACAGATAGGGTTCTGGGCGACATTCCAGCCATGGCGACAAGACCGGTTCATGCAGCCTCTTTCTTCGAAAATGAACCAACCGTGGGCAGCGTGGGCAGCGTTGGCCAAATTCGGCTTGGCTCTCGGCCGCTTGCGATGGATGCCGTGATCTTTTGGCCGCCGTTCGACATCATCCCGTTGCCGCCGCCAGGCCCAGCATTGGCAGGCTGCGCTACAGGTCGCCAGGGGCCCAGTTGCCCATCGTGCCCTGCGCGCCCGCAAGGTCCGGTCCTCCTTCGACCCCACAAGGCTCCAGCATGAGTCGAGCTGTGGACCGGAGAAGTGGGTAGATATGACGAAACGCGGATGACGATCTTCAGGACATCCCCATAATAAAAATCAAATACAGATTTTTTGCCATCGGCTACAAATCACAAGTGTCACAATTCACTATTATCGTGAAGTCCGTACGTAATCCAGGGCCATGTTGGGACGGCGCGGTCTCCGGGGGGCGCCCACTATTGTATGGATTTATTATGGGCTCCCGATGGGTTCGCTCTAGGTTTTCTCTCACACACCTCAGGCGTTATGATGACATTTCCTCGGTCCTTGCTCGGTGACATCCACCCGCAACTGAGAGACTCCAGTTCTGAAGGCACCGGACCCTTTTTTATGATTATCTGGAGCGTCTGGAGTGTCTCAAGCGTCCGGAGGGGTATGGGGGAGGCTATGTAAGCAGATCTTTGTATCTCAACATAAACATATATAAAATGAGGCTGGTGGACCGTGGACCCCTTGGACCCCTTGGACCCCTTATTCCCCCAAACGAGCCTGGACCTCCTTCTAGTCTATTTCCCTACCTCTCCATCTCTCCCGCAATCTTTATTCTTCCCCCTTCCTATCTACCCCGTCCTTTTCTCCCCCTTCAGCAGGCCTTCCCCATACTGCCCATATCCGGTTGAAAATTCTCCTGAGCGCGACTTAGACGGCTGGACTACGACAATATGGGGCACACAGACGACGCCAATGGCGCGCCCACGTATTGGGGCACGTCCGGAAAGAAGTTGCAGCATCTGATCACGGCGGTAGCGACGACGGACTTCTTGTTGTTCGGCTACGATCAAGGTGTTATGTCCGGCATCATCTCCGCCCCGGCCTTCGTTTCAGATTTCCCCGAGGTCGACGGTGACAGCACGTATGAAGGCTTCGTAGTCTCTATATACGCCGTAGGCTGCTTCCTCGGAGCCAGCTTTATCCTCTCTTTCGGCGACCATCTCGGTCGCCGCCGGTCTATCTTCCTTGGTGCTACTATCATGATTATCGGTGTCATCATCCAGATCTGTTCTCAGCCGACCGGTGCAGGTGGAGGTCCGACAGCGCAGTTTATCATAGGACGTTGTATAACGGGAATAGGAAACGGTATCAATACGTCGACGGTGCCAACTTATCAAGCAGAGTAAGTAATTATTCTATCCAAGCCTCTATCTATCCCTATTATGAATTTCACTAACACTCGACTTCCTTTTTCCCCGTCGACAGATGCAGTCATTCACACAATCGCGGTAAACTCATCTGCATCGAAGGCGGCAACGTTGCTATCGGAACTTTGATCGCGTACTGGATCGACTATGGGTGCACGTACGGCCCGCACGCTTTCGTCTGGCGTTTCCCGATCGCTTTCCAGTGCGTCTTTGCTCTCGTCGTCCTCGGTCTCATGACTCAGCTGCCCGAATCTCCTCGTTGGCTATTGAGCAAGGACCGCAACGAGGAGGCGTCTACGGTACTGGCAGCTCTTAACGGAACGCGCCGCGACGATCCCACCGTCCAGACCCAGCAGGCTGTTATCGTTGACGCTATCCGCGCGTCTGGTCACAAGGGCGGTGTGACGTCCATGTCGGACCTGTTTACCAACGGCCCTACGCAGCACTTCCGCCGTCTGTTGCTGGGTGCCTCGTCTCAGACGATGCAGCAGCTGAGTGGTTGCAACGCCGTTATCTACTACTTCCCCATTCTATTCCAGACTTCGATCGGCACCTCGCACAACTTGGCTCTGCTGTTGGGAGGCGTGAACATGGTTGTGTATTCCATCTTCGCTACGACCTCGTGGTTTGCCGTTGAGCGGATCGGGCGCAGAAAGCTGTACCTCATCGGCACCGTTGGACAGTGCTTGTCTATGGTTCTTACTTTCGGTGCTTTGATTCCCGGAACTGAGGAGGCGGCCAAAGGTGCTGCTGTTGGTCTTTTCGTAAGTTCTACATATACCAAACCCCCTTTTCGTTCGTGAGAATAGGGGCTAACATTGTAACAACAGACTTACATCGCCTTCTTCGGCGCGACCTGGCTGCCGCTACCGTGGCTGTACCCGGCCGAGATCAACCCGCTCAAGACGCGAGCCAAGGCCAACGCTACTTCGACCGTGTCCAACTGGCTGTGGAACTTCTTCATCGTCATGATCACGCCCGTGCTACTGGCCAACACCGGGAAGAGCGGCTGGGGAACGTACCTGTTTTTCGCTATCCTTAATGCCATGTTCTTCCCCGTCATCTACTTCCTCTATCCCGAAACCGCGGGCCGTACTCTGGAAGAAATCGACGTCATCTTCGCAAAGGGCCACTCCGAGAAGATAAGCTACGTTAAGGCCGCTCAGGAGCTGCCCCGTCTTACCGATGCCGAAGTCCGGGAGAAGGCTCGCGAATACGGTTTCTCGGACGAGGAGGCTACGGTTGACACGCTCGAGAAAGCCGAGGTCTTCATGTCGACGCCGCCTTCTACTGATTAAGGGGGTTTTTACGTGGCGGTACGATTGCGAGAGACAAAGATGTGATGGATTAATGATCGTCATTTTTTATATCGGTTACGTTGGTTACGCTCAACTTTCTTAGGGGTTGGGCTTACGACAACTGCTATGATATATGCGCGGTCTTGAAGTCGTCATAAGGCACGACAATGAGGTTTCTTTTAATCTTTTTTTTTTTTGATCTCTTTTATTTTTTATTTGTTTACTGGCATGAGTACCTCGAGTTGGTACGGCATTGTATTAGGAGTCGAAGTTGACTCTTTACACATTGGGAAACATTGGTGCGTAGTAGGAAGATCTTAGTAATTGTTCTTTCGTTATTTATTTCTTCGGGTTTGTCGATATACCCTCGGGCGAGCAGAGACTTGGTCTGAAACACGTTGGATAGAGACTGAGTATAGATCTCTCCAGTTGTATTAGAGATACACAAAAACATACCTACATAGATGGGCAAGCACCCCATGAGCATTTGGATAGTTCATCAATACCAACTGCATCATCACATCTTGGCGGTTTCGCTGTTTTTAATCGCTCAGCCGTGAATCTTTCCTCTTTACGGACGTTTGAGCCTCTGGTGTTGTTATCAAGCTATAACAACAGGGGCATTAAGCTTAAAGCGTCGGCATATCCCAATCCGTAAGGGGATGTAACCACGTTTGCATGAGGTTTCCACCAACCCCATTGCCGACGTCACTTATAGGCAAAAGCCGGTTCACGTCACGCCAAAATGTGACGTCGATTCCGCTGATAGCTTATCGTGAACGATCGCAAGGGGTTGCGTGATTCGAGCCTCATAGCGTACTAAATCATGTACGTAGACGCATAGATCCACGTATAGGCCGACATGCCCCCTGGATTCCCGAGAAGGAATAGTTAGTTATCTGGTCTGTTTGGTCTATTACTTCATAAGATAGATTCACTATTCACTACCGTTCACTAGCCCATCCCTCCACGAGTACAGCTCACTCGAAGAAACGGGACCCTTGCTGCGTATAGCCAAGACCATTATGGCAGCTGTTCTAGCAGCCAATCATTCCCGCATATGGCTAACGCTATCGCTGCTGCTCTTCCTCTCGATCCTTACGGGACCCGTCGGGGCCCAAGACCCGACACCTACCATAGTCTCCGTGTTTTTACCGTCCTACGGACCGACAGACTGGGCCGCGCTACGAGGCAGCATACTCTCTCGCGTACGTACATATGTCTCCTTTTACGGACACTAAGCCCATTCGCTCACTCACCCGCTCGCTCACACCATCGCAACTAACTCCTGCATCTGAGGTGACGTCGGGTAGAACGACGCTGAAACTACTTACACCATCTTCTGCGCTCCGGACCAGAGCCACAGTTGCAATATCGGCGGCGGCACCTTGCTCCCGTTCACGTTCGCCGAAGGGCCTTCAACGTACCACTACGAACGGACAATCGATTCTACAATGCGAGTCTCGTTCTATTTCATCGTCATAACGCACTTTTCTCCTTCCTATCTCATCATCCACTCCTACCCCCTCTACACGAGCATATCTCTCTCACTCTCCCTCCTCTTTCGAACATACAGCTAAACATCCCAGCAGCTCCATAACCCAAGCCTGTCTCCTATCCGACACCACCGCCGCCACCTGCAGCGGCTCCACTTCCCTCGGCTCGATTACTCTTGGCCCCCTATCCGGGCCTAGCTCGACCTCCGTCGCGCCTTTCACGCTGACAGGTGAGCCCCCTCTCCCCTCTCCTCATCCATCGAGAAGCCCATCGCGTAAGTAACGGCTAGCGAAACACTTTAGTCTAGCCAGAACCAAGAGTGCCAGGATTCTCCTTTTCTCGGCACATTGCCCAGAGCAGTACTGTAGATATATGTCGTGCGTATCCGCTGACTAACCTCGTCCCGTTGCTCTCCAGGCGCTTCCGTCCGCTGGGGCGCCCTCACGCTCGCCGCGCCCCCGCTCACGAGCACCGCGAGTGGCCTGACATTCACGTACTACGGCTCCGGCGCGCCGGAGTCCACTGCTAGTAGCGACGCGGTTGCGACGGCGACGATGACGATGGACAACGAGAGCGCGACCGGTACTTCCTCGGCGCAACCTGGGACTACTAGTGGTGCCGGGAGCTTGAGATGGAGATGTAGTGGAAGCGAAACCGGTGTTACTGTCGGGTTCTTGGTAGCAATTTTGGTTTGTGTCCTGCTGTGGTAAACTTGACCGATGCGAGGAAGCTGGAACTGCTTTATATGATCCAGGCTCGTTTGGCGTGCAGTCGTCTCATGTTGCTAATTGCTACGGGAACTGCATTGATTAATTGGAATCCGTTTCGTTAGAGGGCGAAGAGCTTCCAAGTCCAGGACAGAGGTAGCGCCCTTGATAAATGTGAGAAAAGGGGTTGGGGAGTATCCTGACTCGGCTTCTGGTCGTGGTACAGCTAATAAATATATAATTATAAGCCATTGATTACCTGTATAGAGACGAAGAGGATGATCCAAGAAACAAAACAGAGCAGTGGATGACAAATGATATAGGCGTTATTCCTTATGATATTATAACATATAGTAAATGTCTAGGCCTCTAGACATACTCTATATGATATGTCATGCAACCCACTTTCAATGGACGTAGGACGTTCAAAAACCCCGTACATTGCCACATATGCTTACCTAGAGGTCTGTCTAGTCAGTGACTTCGAGATTCTCAAGTTTTATCTGGATTTTATGGCTTGATTGCATCCGTTTACGTTAAATAAAACACAAGTCTATGGAGCTAGCGAGCTCCGTGGCTGGAAACTAGAGGGAAGTATAGCGTCAAAACTGTTTCACAGAGAATGGGAGCAATGCCAGTCAAATCGTACACATCTCCAGTCTGGGGCTTCCTCTAGCTAACTGGTCCCTGTCGTCATCATCATCATCGCCATCCACTCAGCCAACTGTTTCCATGCATATTCCTGACCTCATTAATTCGTAAGTGGGTCTCACTTGGAGACCATCTGTCCGTTAATCACCATCGCCGTCCTACTCGTCGCTAGGCGAATACCGTCCTCCCATGCCCCAGAACTGCTCAGCCATGAACGTTCCTGCATCGGGCTTCTTCCACATGTCGTTGAAGGCTGTGAAGAGTATCAAGTCATTCGCGTTGTTAGTAAACGCGTTCTTGATAGACGATAGCGCGGTCGACTGTTGGCCTATGCCGGGTACGGCCGCGCCGTTCGCTTCTCCTTGCCAGGGCCATCCCGTCTCCGTAACCACAATGCGCTTGCTCGAGTCGGATAGCTTGCTGCGAATCTTACTGACGGTAGAAGTAATAAACGATCCTGCTTGGTTTGGGCCCGTATTGGGGTCGAAGAAAGGGTGGACGTTGACAGCACAATAGTCCGACTGGTCGCAGAGTTCGGGGTGAGACAGCATGGCAACGAATGTATCCACGACGACGACAGGGCCTTGGTATCCGGCGGCCCTTAACGCAGATCGCGCCTGACTCAATGCGCTAAGCGACTGGCCTACAGTTGCTCCGCCGTTATTGACTAGTTCATTGCCGACCGAGACGGTGTCAACGATACTCCAATCGTGATTAACGCCGGCAGCCATAGTAGAGACTGATTGTTCTACAGAGTTGATGTCATAGATGCCCAGGAAGAGCTTGTTTCCGTGTTTCTTGGCAGCAGCATATGCTGTTGCCACCTGATTGCAGTCAACGCCATACAGACGCATTACGCCGTAGTCTTTGGCTATGAGCGCGAAATCCGCGTCAACCTCGCTTGCAGACTTGCAGCCTCCACTGCCCTTGTAAGGAGAATAAGTGACACCATGAAGGGTGCCTCCGCCAGAAACAGGAGGGGACGGCGGAGGAGATGGCATAGAAGATGGCACGGAGGATACTGATGGTGCTGGACTGGCTCGTGACGATCTAGGAGATGGGACGGGTTCAAAAGTTGACACATGCTTTGAAGTGGGTGAAGCTGATGTAGACGGCGCTGGGGGAGTAGATGCCCCCGATGATACAGCCTTAGTAGGCACAGGGGGGGCAATAACTGTCGACGTGGATGGAGCCAGTGTCTTGTGCGTCTCTACTGATGCTGGAACGTAGACAACCGTCTCAGTGGTGGTATGAATTGGTTTGTTGTTTTGGTCTACATAGACCACGACTTCGGGGATCTCAGTAGTTGTACTGTACGTAGTACCTGTAATGGTGATTTTACCCCCTTTTGGAGTAATGTCCCTGTTCGCCTTGTGGTGGTGGGCATGTTGATGTCCTGTTATTAGATTAATTTAAGTAAGTTAAAACAAAGATATATAGAATAGTGACTTACGAGGCTGTCCAGCCGTCAGGTGGAGAAGGGAAAGAAACGTAAGAGAAATCGTGATAGACTTCATGGTATCGATGCGTCAATATGACGAAGGATACGTTAAGAATCAGGAAATCGCGGAACGCGGTGGAAATGTATGAAACAAATAACGAACGACCTAAATTGTTAGTGAGGCAACTATGTGCGAGAATGAACGAACGAACGAACGAATTAACGAACGAGTGACTGAGAGCGTGAAGAAGGTGAGAAACAAAAAGGGACAAAGGAGTGGAATTTGAACTGGTGTTCGTAGGTAAAAGGGTATATCAAGGAGTTATGTTGAAGTTCTAGACTCGAGGGTCCAACTTCAATACAAGAAAAGGTGCTAACAATGCTGCAATTATTGTGGCGGAAGTTGCCCCGGCATCGAGATCAAAGGAGGGAGAAACAATAAACACGGTAAGACGCGCATTCCCTCGAAGGGGAGCAAAATATTGTGGTGAAGGAATGCTGGCGTTGCAAGGGAGAGGAAATGTCAAAGATCAAAAATAAGGGAGGGCACACCATAGTGCATAGTAGGTAGGGTAAGTGGAAATCGAGGACATAGCTAGGTGTAGTACTTACTATCTTTGTTCTCGATATCAATAGATATCGATTATTGACACTACCTTGTTGGAATATTCAGACGGCAACGAGAAGAGTCAACGAAAGGTAAACTAGACGACCCTGAGCAGGTAGTCGAGTGTAAAAGATTGTAAGGGTGTAAGAGTATAAAAGAGTGTGATTTAATACAGGTGCGTGTTCTACACGTAAAAAATGAACGATGAGAATAATAGAGGTGAGGTGAAGGAAGGTGAAGAAGGGTGAAATATTTGGGATAGTATGATGAGGGAAAACGTTGGATATAGAAGATAAAACCGCCTCAATTTCATCTAAGCCCTGTAAAAAACAGGAACTTAACGGCAAGAACGCTAGCAAATAATACCTTCGGATTAAAATAGGTACACTAGTAGAACTCTAAGATATGGATGTCTCACTTCCTTCAATGACTGAAGGAAAGTACATATCACCTTATAGGCGTACCTACCTGGTACTTCGGGACAGCCTGACCCTTCCTCGTATCCAACAAGGCAAACTTATTATTAGGAAGCTGGCATGTGATTTGTAAGAATTAGCAATTAGTATCCAAGTCTATAATCTGATATCTATCGCAGCTTGCCTCCTTTTCTCGTCCTGTATACATTCATGACCAAACCCATCTCATACGGCTCGTCCCAACACCCGTCCGCATTATCGTCGAGCCATACTCGGGTCGTAACATAATATTTGGCCTCTGCGTCAATATCGAGCATCTTCCTCTCGTACCATTTCGTAAGACGACGTAGAGTAGCAGGCGAGATCACGAGAAGCCGAATGGTTACTAAGCAGCTAGGGTCGACTGCCGGCTTGGCTTCCGAGTCATTATTTTTGTGATGGCGTGCCGAATCGTCACTCCGGCCTTCTCGATCTCCTTCTTCGACAAACCCGACGTGATACAAACCTTGAGCGCAGGCTTGATATTTATGTCATTGGTTCCGATGCTCCCATTCAACATCACGCTCTTTAACCGTGTGACTAGCACTCCGTTGGCAAGCGCCTACATCTCTGTGAGTAGATAGATCATGGCGGGGGTAATCTCTAGAAACTTACTTCGTCCGCGATGTCGAGGAACAGTCGCTCCTGGTCTTCGTTGCTTAACCGTCTCGACGAGACCACCTCGGGCTTAAACACGAGTAACATGACCGGGTTTTCGGGGTCGCTCGTGCATTGCACCCAGTCGCTTCGGGGGTCGAGTTGCGCCCTCATGGCTCGGATGTTTTCCCGGCATTGGAGCAGAATATCAGGGTTGCACTGTAGAACATTCAGAGTCTCGCTGGCTGTGACGGCCGCCATAGCAGGTAAAGCGGCAGAGTAGGTGTAGGATGCGGCATTGATACGTTGGTGTCTTACAACGTCCTTCGAACCGGCACAGAATCCGCCCGCTGCGCAGAGAGGACCCGCCAAGGACCCGATAATCATATCTACGGCCTCCGAGTCTACATTCTGTGCCTCGGTAAGCCCTCGTCCGTTGTGGCCGAGCACGCCGAAAGACCAAGTCTCATCAAGAGCAATGCGGAACTTGTATTTTTCCTTCAGCTCCACCTAAAAATGCATTCTTCATTAGCTAAACAGCCCAACAGAGTTCGAACCAGGTGAGGAGAGCTTACGAGCTTAGGAAGGTTAGAGCAATCTCCGACCATCTCAAATAGACCTTCCGTCACGATGAATCGCCTGGTCAGAATCTTCTTCTTTGCTTGTTCCTCGACCACCTTCTTCATAACTTGCTCCAGGTCTTCCATGTCATTATGTTCGTACCATTTAATGATGCTCCGGGAAGCTTCCAGTCCTTTGCGAATAGAGTAGTTGACCATCTTATCGGCCACAATGACATCCCCTCGCTTGCAGAAAGTTGGAATAACGCTCGAGATAGTTGAGAAAGCGTGAGAATAAACAATGCTGTTCTGGGTTCCAAGGAAGACGGCGATGTCATGCTCGGTAGCCATGTGAACGTCCTGAGTACCGTAGAACTGCGGCGGACCGCAGGGACCAACTCCATATGTGCGCAGCGTCTGGATAGCTTTTTCCTTAATCGATTCACTCGCGTTTAGATTATAGAAGTTGTAGGAGGCTAAATTTACAACGGTCTTGCCGTTAGATAGCTTTACCTTCGGACCAGTCGGTCTATACTCGTGCTATTAGTAATCGCCCTCTACTTTTGTTTTTGCTGCGCTGATGCTTACCCGACAATCATGGGCTGTCTCTCGGATTCGGCTTCCTCAAAAGGGGTCTGCGGAGCGACGAGCGGTTCGGGCTCCCACTCCTTAACGAGCTCATCGATCTCATCTTCGCGAAGCTTCACGTAATTGGGACCGTGGGTAGGATAAGACGGCGAGAGGATGTATCGAACGAAGAATATAACAAGAACAAGTTCTATAGCGGATCGGATTGGGTCATTCTGATAGCTGGACTGGATGTATCGTATTAAGACGGCACTTCCGGGGACTTTCTGAAAGGCGTGAGATATCTCGTGCAGCGAAGACTGCAAGTACGCCTGAGCCTCGTGAAGGTCCATCTTCGAATTTAATCGTCGGATGATCAAGCGAGAGACATTGATGTTTCACCACGGAGTGTAGTGATGGCGTAAGGTGAAGTTTAGTAGGGGAGTGCTAATTGTGAATAATTCGAATGTAAGATGGCATTGTAGGGGAAGTCTAGGGGAAATTCGGCAACGAGATCCAAATCAAGTCAAAAAGGGTCCAAATCCTTTTTCTCCTATGCAGCATGTAACCAGGCAGCCCCCAGCTAAAGTTTACTTTCCACACGGATCACACGGCCTAGGGCGCTAGGGTCCAGGAACAGGGGGGCGCCTGCTAGCGTCGCGTCAAAATTGAGGCCGCCGCCCCATTTGCCATATTACTGCAATATTACCGTGCTTAATCCTTTTAATTGCATCTACGAGATATTACTAATGAAATAGTTTCAAGTCCAAGTTATTCAAGCTCATTAGCTTCACGATTTAAAAATCAATGTTGCGCCTATACAAGACTGGATTTTTTAGTACGAAATAATTCGGCGCTTGTGTCGAGTCCAGCAAGACGAAAAAGGGGTGGTAGTAGTGGCAGTAAAGAAAAAGCCTCCATCACGCCTCAAGAGCCTTGATAAATGCCGGACTTTCGTTGCCCTCGACTACCTTGGATATTGGGCTTAGATATGCTTTGTCATCGTCCTCTCCAAGTCGCCGAATGTATGATTCGGCCACCTTAATCCACATGGCCTTTTCTGTCTTGCTTGCTCTTGAACCTTGCCAGACCCAAACAGTATCGCCCGTGTCAAGAAGGAAAACATCATTGCTATCTAGATCTGCCTCGTTAATATCGGTGCCTTCTTTGACTATGTCGAACCTCAACTGGCCGGAGGCATCCGACAAGCGGAAAAGTCTGCGAGGGCGACGACCGACAGTGTGACCGCTAGACGAGATAATCGGCCGAGGGGCTTTAAGCGATTCCCCAACGTCTTCACCCCCTAGCATAGCAACAACAGTTCGAGACCTCGCTTCTTCTTGTGACAGCACTTCGACATCGATGTGCTTCGCAATGGTCATGTCGTGAACAACTTGGGCAGCCTTTGCTTTCTCCATCGGGCTACAATTCTTGCCCTGCCAGACCCAGATCTTATCCTTACGCTCCAATACGAAGACGTCGTTCTCGTCGAGACTCTGCCAGGTAGGTTCAACTTCGTAGACCATAACGGAGTCTGCCCGCTTAGCAGACGGATGCTTGAAGATCCTAAGCAGCATCAGAGTATCCTTCGGTTCCTCCTCGGTTTCGACGTGCGTGAAGCCAGAGCGAGCACCACCAGAAAGGATTCGGATGCGAGAGAACAGAGCGACAAAATCGTCGGAAGGCTCCTTCTGGAGCTCTCGATGCTGCGTTGCGACGCCATGTAAGAATTCGTCGAGCTCGACCGTTTTATAAGCGGCCGTGCCCGCTTCGTCTTGCGATGTCTTGCTTCCGAGCCAAAAGAAGATGTCGTGAGCAAGCTTCTGCTCACCATCCTTGCTTCCTACTTTGTACGAGTGCAAGACGATGTAACTGTCTCCCTCGTGAAAGTCGCCGTACCGATCTTTTGGCCACGGGACTACCTCAAAATCCTCGATTCGCCAAACGTGAAGACCGGCGGCATGTCCGACTTCCTGCCATGCAGGTTCTGTAGACGCTGAATTGTATTTGACCTTGTGATCAAGTTCTGATCCTATATTTTCGACATTGCTGTCCCTCCAGTCGTATTCCTTTAGGTGGACCAAGCCTTCGTGCGGCGCCATCTTGATATTATTGCAGTTGTTCGTTAGTAGGGAGGGTTTAGAGAATTACATGAAGAGAAGAAAGATGTCCAGGTGCTGTTGACGTAATGGGGATGGCTAGGTTGTTCCATGTCCCTATGTCCCCTGAAACACAAGCAAGGCGGGGAACCCTTGAAGTTTGAACTGCTCCTGGAAAACATCGTCTTGGGGATTGCATGTGAATTGATTACATAAAATGAATGAATATTTCAAATGCCTGCTGCATTTCCCAGATGCAGGTAGTTATTCGTTAAAATTATGACGACGACATAAACTGGCAGATATGTTTGTAGAAGTTAATAATAATACTTGGTAGCTTCAACGGTATGTGGGGTTACAGATTGGCAAGCCGCAAGACTGGCAATCTTGTAATAACCTCCCAAAACTTTTCCACCCACTAACAACAACAGCTTACACACTTACCTAAAGCTACAAACTACATTTACCTTCATTTCGATCGAGCAGACAATATCTCGAGTAACAATCGGCACATTTCCAAGAATTTGTAGAAAAGTCAACGAGAGATGTCAAACAAAGACAGTACGTCTCGGGAGTTCACCTCCTATTACCTCCAGCAAAGCACAAAGGAATTCGCAGAGGATCTAGACAAGATTCGCAGCGCCGACGACTTCAAAGGCGACGCGGTAGGCATGCTCATCAAATCCCTACAGCAGGGCACCGCTTTATTCTCGGCCGCAGACAAGGAGAGAATACTCGGGTCACAAAAATCCACCGGTTCGGAGAAGGAGTGAGAAATGAACATTCTAGGGAACGTGTTGATTGAAATTAATTTTCTTCTTGCGGGAGATGGGATCGGCTTGATTGTCCGGGAGAAGAAATATATGGCCTGTCGAAAATAGTCATATCTATTAGAGACTGCTGTGGAGAGCTATAAAAAAGGAGCTAAGAGAAACAACGATGTTACAGCCTTGAAAATATCGAACTCGTGAAATAGTTCATTAGACGACTGAACCAGCTCAGTTCCTGAGTCGTCATTGAGGAATGAAAAGGAAAAGGACCCAAGCTAAAAAGAACGACACGAGCAGGATTCGAACCTGCGCGCCCGAAGGCATGAGATCACACTGCACAAGAATGAAATAATTCTCGGCGATTCAAGTCTCACTCGTTAACCACTCCGACATCGTGCCCTACCGTCCAGTCTAGCGGTAATTTGTTGAAAATTTGCGATTTACGGCACTCTATATGGTTTAATTAATTTAGTGCCGAGGCTTGTTACATATCACATGACTTGGATAAATGTACACTAGTAGGTACCTGGTTGAATGTCTTCGCTCCTTAATCACTTACATAAGCTAATATGTTATGCGAAGTCTGTTAAAGCTTGGTACCTATTCCACACAGGCAACTGCCAGATACGTACGGTATAGTCACTATTATTATGCATACATAATAAGCTATTCTTATGCTATTGTTCATTGTATTAAACATTTAAATCTTACGTTACATACGTCGTGCAGAATGTAAACATAATATCACCATCAAAAGTTTGATATCACCTAGCCAGGTATCACTGCCGAAAGAAACGAGAGGGACAAGCACGCATTGGTAATATTTGAATATGTCTAACTCCGACTATGATCCTTGTAAAGAGAAACCCGGAAGTAACGCCACGGACTCCCAACGGCGTATCTCGTAAACGTCATTGCGCTTTGGAATAGATGGGACGTAAAAAGAACATCACCAAAACCCCCTCTCTACTGCTGATGTGGAAATAAGAAAGAGCCCTGAGATAAGAATAGGATCACGGTGACACCATACTGCTGTGTATTGTAACCCTGCCAACCCCTAAACAACATTTAGGTTCTCTTTCCCCCCGATTCTTGCCATGCACTACTCGACAGCCTGGCATCTTTTAACGTCGAATATCTAGGCTAGCACGCGTAGACTCGATAGACGGGCGAACAGAACTGCTAGAGCTCCTCCGCCTTCTTGCTCGTTGCTCGCTCGGATCTGATGGGTTCAGTCCGGTGGACCTCGCAAACAGATTAAGAATATCCGTCAAGGTAACAACACCGATCAGGCGGCCCGACAAATGAGACCCAGGTAAAGTGGAAGCCGGGGGGACGGAAGGGAAGTGACTACCGGTAAGAGATGTCTGCGAAGAAGAAGGAGTCGGGACGAAGACGGTGGGCCCTAGCGAAGGGGTCCCGGGTGCGGAAGGTGATGGAGAAGCTGATTCCACTATCCACATTCTATGTGAATGAGTAGCCACGAGTTTGGCCACCGTGTGCGCCAGCGTCGAGTAGGGATTGACATGGAAGACAGGGAACGAATCCTTGCCTTTCTCAACACCCTGTTCAGTCAAGATGACCGATATGAAATGCATACATGAATTCTGCAATAGCGGGAAGCTCGCAGCGTTAGTAAGGTGTTTGACATCCGCGCTAGAAATGTTACCAACGACATTTAAGCCATTGTCGACGACAGCTACGCTTGATAGGCCTTCTTGGTTCATAAGATTGAGGGCTTCTGTCAAAGGGCTGTCCGCACTGCGTGGTTGTTAGCAAAGGAAAAACGTGAACGCTGTAGAATCGGCAGACTAGTGGCGCGCATACTTAATAGCTATTATCTGTTGCGATCCAACGCCAACATCGCGCAAGAGCTTGGGGTAGAGATCATCGATGACACGGAAATTAACCCCTTCATTCCAGAAGAATTCGATAAGTTTCAACTGGCTTAGGATACCAACAACTTCCCCGTCATGATTGGTGACGAGCGCTCGGTGTACGCCGCTACCGAAAACCTCAATCGCTTTGGCTAGATCTTCGTCCCCTTCTAAGGTAACGAGCGACTCTTTCCGGAATATTGGCTGGACTTCGCGAAGAGGGATACTAACCCGGGCTTGGGCCTTCGTCGCCACTGTATCGTACAATTCGACCAAGTCCTCACTTGGATGCGCCAAACCGACTACGACTAGGATGTATGCGTTCAGGTCATTATAATCGAAGGTCGAGACCGGAACGGAGCTAGCGGCGTTTTCTCTAACGATGACAACGTTGCTCGAGGTATTCTTAAGTAGCGCCTAGGGACACGGTTAGAGAGGAGTTATTAGATAGGAATAAGTAGTGAGTACCATCGTCGCATCTTCCACGCTAGTATCCATTTCGACCCAGGAGACTTCATCTTTCGACACAAGCTCTCCGATTGCGATATCGCGCCAATCCCTGCCGGCGAAACGAGGGTTGTGCTGTCTCGGGGCTGGCGGATGATTGAGTAGTTCCTGAATGGCTGCTTGAGTAAAGGATGGATGTCTTTGATTTCGCGGCGAGGGTGGCAGCCCCCTCAAGTTCTCGGCGAAGCTTGAACGATGGCTATGAGAAATGACATGGCCAGGCTTGTGCAAGCTCGAAGCAGACCCTGTTCGTTGAGGGGGCGGCGGTGAGATGCTCGTTTCCTTCGAATCTCTGCCTCCTCGGGAATAGAAGGCGTTAGGATCCATGGTGAAGGGAGAGCCTGGTACGTGACAAGATTCCAGAGTAAGTAGGCAAAGTAGGCAAGTAGACAGATCTTTGTAGCAAGTATCGCTCTTCGCTTTGTCGTGAAGTTGGGAAGAGTCGGGATGACTTCCAGCTTTGAAGCTATAGCTGGAGCCTGAGAAACTAGTTTAGCCTTGCCTGGTTTAGGAACTTATGTGGCTTTTCATGGGGTTTACAGAAGAGAAGCTTCTTGGAACAGCTAATATCATGGTGTTACTGATTTTGTTATGCTGGTTGTGTCGGTGACGGCGCAAAGAAAAGGTCGATCCTTCAATCGGTGTAATTGGTGTTGAGGGACGAATGTAACATTGGAATGTAGGTATCATGGATGTAGGTATGTAGGTAGGGATGTATGTATGTATGTACCTATGTAGGTATACACCGGTGAGAGACGGGCGCTATTGCGCGAAGTATTACCTACGACTGTACGACTAGTAAAACATTCCCGATTGTCGACAATGCGACCGCCCCTCCCCGGACCGCCGTAACCCCTCCTTCACCTTCCCACACCGTCGTCACCCACCTGTCGTTGTGTCGATCCCGTAGTCCGAGTTAACTTTAATGGATCATTCTTATTTATAGGTACCGGAAGTAATATCGATACCTAATCTGTCTTCCGATCTTGGATGTGTATTTTGTACCTGCATACTACTTGTTATACCTATGTACTTCGATGTTTCAGGAAATCGTTGATGGTTCAAACTTAGCATGAAATAGGAAAAAGAAAAAAAAAAAAGAAAAAAAATCTTGGATGATCAAGATAATTGAAGTGGAAGGGGAGTTCTGCTTATATTTTCGATCGCATGGTGTACATAGTGCCCCATCAATAATGCAACTCTCGAAAAGCAAATAGAGACGAGATAAGTGGTAAATCTCTACCTACCGAAGATAGCATTTGACTTAATATAGGAGGATAAGATGATTGATCCTCCCCACGTCCATAGATCTATTCATTATACATAATTGCCCAAAACATTGAAACCATAAGCTGATGACTGGCCTTGACTTGGGTATAAAGTTACTGTGGTAGCTCGTGTTTAGCAAATAGGGATTAAGAGCATTTACACGGGTGTAATACGTGGCAGCGTGAAGAGGTAGGGCGTGTTCGAGACGCAAAACTCTGCGGCCAATCAACTGGCCGCGAGCTGTAGATATGCCAGACAGAAATCTATGCGAATCACCTCTTGTCGCAAGACCTGTCAATCAATTGGATCAAAAGGCTTGGAGCATCGAAGCAGCCTGATCTTATCAATGCCTACTGCTACGTACATACCGCGTATGTACGTAGGTAGGTTTGTACCTACCCATCCTCTATCGATAGATACACTTCACATGCGTAAGAGCGTGCCTGGTCTACTAGACTTAGTCGGGTAAGCCATACCGAAGCCGGCAATTATAAGCTTCTCTTTATAGTTAGTGACAATGCACCTGGGAACGTTGCTGGCTTAATAAAACATGTACGCACAGGCCAACTTGAATGCATTTATGCGACTAAATAGAGTAGTTAGTCGGGAATTTTATGAAATTGGTGGGATTTCTTGCTAAAGAGAAAAGAAAAAAAAAGATAGAGAAATCTCCCCTCTTTCGCGACCCCTCGCTACGTCTGATTGATGCCAAAGAAAAAAAAAAAATAACAACAACATAGTGCAACAACAACAATTATAACCGCTACTACCACCGCCATCACCACACAGACCGAGTGCTCTTTTAATGTGTGGCAATTTGGATTTATTCTAGGATCTTTTCGCAAGAGTTTAATCGAACTAGAATTTCGAGCATAAAACGGAAGACGCAGGAATTTAATATTTCGAAATTACTGCGTTGATATCAACATTTGATCGTCTTTCCCTACTCGTTAATTCGCACAATCCACAGCCGGCCACCGCGCGCCTTAGCCCTGCGGGGCACAACATCACGAAGTAGAGACACAACTTTTGAATCCTTGTCAAATTTGTTCTCTACCAGCCGATACTAGAATACCATTTCTCCTGTTCTCCCCCCCTCGACAATTTACGCCCGTCCGCGTCCGCATCCGCCTCCGCCTCCGTAATCGAGTTCAGCTACTAGCAACCATGTCGGTACTTCCGGCCGAGACGCACGCAGAGCTGACACAGCTTCTGCAAGCCCTGCAATCTCCAGACAATTCCATACGATCTCAGGCCGAGGGTCATTTGCAAAGTAACTGGACCGCTACTCGACCTGATGTCCTGTTGATGGGCTTAGCCGAGCAGATAGCTGCTCCAAACGAGACATCAGTACGCATAACCTTTTCTTTGTAGTTATCCGCCCATTGTTTGGAACCTACAGGCACTGATCAGTTCGCCTACCTCTCGTGTAGCTTCGTTCATTCGCCGCCGTTATATTTCGTCGAATAGCCTCCAAGTCGCGCAAAAACGAAAAGGGAGAGAGCACCGAGATATTTGTCTCCTTACCCCATGCGCAGGCATCCATCATCCGCCAGAAACTCCTTGAGACCCTAGCCAACGAGAGGGATCGCCTCGTTAGGAATAAGATAAGCGATGCTGTCGCCGACGTTGCAAGACAGTATTCAGAAACAAGTTAGTTCACCGCCTCGTCACCTTTCTCTTTTTCTTCCCACCCATGCCCTCGATCACGTTTTGTTACATCTACAATACCATCCACTATGCCTTCGGGACGAATAACCAAGAGGCGCTATTGCAGCAGGGTATACATGCCTACGAAAGTGCCTGCTAACGACATCCTAGATCAGCAATGGCCCGAGATTCTAGCTGTTCTGTTCAACCTGAGCGTAGCACCGGATGTAGGCCAGAGAGAGACGGCTTATCGTGTGTTTGCGACGACACCCGGAATCATTGAAAAGCAGCACGAGTCTGCCGTTCTTGAGGCTTTCAACAGAGGCTTCAAGGATGATTCGGTGGCTGTTCGATTAGCTGCCATGGAGGCCTTCGCTTCCTTCTTCCGAAGTCTCCCTAAAAAGGCGCTGCCGAAGTATTTCTCGCTACTTCCCGACGTCCTTAACATCCTACCTCCTATCAAGGATTCGCATGATTCCGAGGATCTCAGCAAGGCCCTCGTGGCGCTAATAGAATTGGCGGAGACATCGCCCAAGATGTTTAGGCCTTTATTCCATAATCTGGTCATGTTCAGCGTCGGCGTCATCCAGGACAAAGAGTTGAACGACCTCTGTCGTCAGAATGCGCTCGAGCTGATGGCTACATTCGCTGACTATGCGCCATCGATGTGCCGCAAGGATCCTTCGTACACGAACGACATGATTACCCAGTGCCTCAGCCTGATGACGGATATAGGAGAAGACGATGACGATGCCGCCGAATGGTTATCATCCGACGACTTTGATCAGGAAGAGAGCGACCTTAACCATGTCGCCGGAGAACAATGTATGGACCGATTGGCTAACAAACTTGGCGGCGAGACTATTCTCGCCCCCACATTTCACTGGCTTCCTAGAATGATGACTTCTATGGCGTGGAAAGATCGGCATGCGGCACTCATGGCCATCTCGGCCATCTCTGAAGGCTGCCGTGATCTCATGGTCAAGGAGCTCAGTCAGGTCCTTGAACTTGTTGTTCCCGCTCTGAAGGATCCCCATCCGCGGGTGCGCTGGGCCGGATGCCAAGCTCTCGGCCAAATGAGTACGGATTTTGCGCCTACGATGCAGAAGGAGTACTATGATACCGTTCTGAAGACCATTATCCCTGTACTCGACTCGCCCGAGGGTCGTGTTAAGGCACACGCCGCCGCGGCCCTGGTTAATTTCTGCGAGGAGGCGGAGAAGAGCATTCTCGAACCCTACCTCGACGACCTCCTGTCTCACCTCTTCCAACTACTTCAAAATGAGAAGCGCTACGTCCAGGAACAAGCCCTGTCCACCATCGCTACTATTGCTGATGCGGCTGAGGCTGCCTTTTCCAAGTATTACGACACGCTCATGCCTTTGCTCGTTAATGTCCTACGGCAAGAGACCGAAAAGGAGTACCGATTACTCCGCGCAAAGGCTATGGAATGTGCTACTCTGATAGCATTGGCGGTTGGCAAGGAACGTCTTGGAAATGATGCGATGACTTTGGTCGATCTCCTCGCCCACATCCAAAACAACATTACCGACGCCGATGACCCGCAGTCGCAGTATCTCATGCACTGCTGGGGCCGAATGTGCAGAGTCATGGGTTCCGAATTTTTGCGTTTCTTGCCAAATGTCATGCCTCCGCTGGTGGAATTGGCTAGCGCTAAGGCTGACATACAATTGCTCGACACGGACGATGAGATCGAACAGTTCCAGCAAGAGGACGGGTGGGAACTAGTTCCCTTGAAGGGCAAGATGATTGGCATCAGAACTAGCACGATGGACGACAAGCATATGGCGATCGAGCTACTCGTCGTTTACGCGCAAACCCTGGAAGGCCATTTCGCCCCGTATGTTGCTGATACCATGGAGAAGATTGCTCTCCCGGGTCTAGCATTCTTCTTCCACGACCCGGTTAGATTTATTTCCGCGAAACTTGTCCCGCAGCTCCTCAGCTCGTATAAGAAAGCTTACGGGCCGGAGTCCAACGAGCTCCGAGGCCTGTGGGCTGGAACTGTAGACAAGTTACTGGAAGTTTTAACCGCAGAGCCCGCCATCGACGCTTTGGCCGAGATGTACCAATGCTTCTACGAGTCTGTCGAGGTAGTCGGAAAAAACTGCCTTACCCAGCAGCATATGGGAAAGTTCATAGATGGTGTCCATTCAGCTATTGAAGACTATAAGGACCGCGTTGCGCGCCGCGAGGAGGACAAGGAAGGGGCAGCCGCTGAAGACGCCGAGGATGAAGCTGAGGAGCTACTGCTTGCGATCGAGGATGACCAAACCCTGCTCTCCGACATGAACAAAGCTTTCCATTCCATCTTTAAGAATCACGGCGACGTCTTCCTTCAGCCGTGGGAACGTCTCATGGGAACATACCAAAGCTTCCTCGCTTCAACAGATCCGACCCAGCGCCAGTGGGGATTGTGCATCATGGATGATGTCCTTGAATATTGTGGGCCACAGAGTGTCCGCTATGCCCAAGCTATAAGTACTGCTCTTTTAGAAGGTTGCAAGGATCCTTCAGCTGCTATTCGGCAGGCTGCCGCGTAGGTGATACCATACAACCAAAATGAGTGCAAACGCTGACATTTCTGATAGGTACGGCATTGGTGTTGCCGCACATCGTGGCGGAGCCCCTTGGTCTCAGTTCCTGGCGACCTCTATACCTTATTTGTTCCAGGCGACACAAATACCGGACGCTCGGGGTGAAGAGGCCGTTTACGCTACTGGTCAGTCGCATCGTCAAACTCAAAGCACGTTCTAGTATCGCTAACGTACGGATAGAAAACGCTTGCGCAGCTATCGCCAAGATCCTTCATTTTAATAAACAAAGCCTACAAGATCCGCAAGCTATCGCGACACAATGGTGCGTGTTTTGAAACAGTCCCACACCAAGTACCAGCACTAATCAGTTCACCATATAGGATCAATACCCTGCCAGTAACCAATGACGAAGAGGCGGCGCCATACGCTTACGGATACCTCGTGGAATTGATTGAACAGTAAGTCTGATACTTGTTTCCGTGCCACATGAGAGGATAACTTCCTATGCCCCTCGTCTGCGCGGTGTATAGCAAAATCCAAATTGCTAATCTTGCATATAGACAAAACCCTGCGGTAACTAGCCAGGTAGATAAAGTATTTGTCTACGTCGGACAAGCTCTCGAGGCTGAAATGCTCCATGGCCAACTTGGCGCACGTGTTGCCCGAGCGATTCAGATTCTGCTTCAGTCGGCGAATGTTGACCCAACCCTACTGTTGCAGCAGCACTTTTCACAGGAAGGACAGGCAATCATCCGCCGCCACTTCTCTTAGGCGCCTTGACGCGCGATGCTTTGGGTTGCGAGCCTGTCTGTTCTGAGACAAGAAAGAATTGCGTTTGATCTATGAAGAGCTTCCCGCAGGACTAGCTGCAGGGAATGATAACTGGGAGAAAGGGAAAATGGTAAAATTCACCACGATACCACTTATTATGCCGAGCTCGGATCACTACCGAAACAATGTTTGGCCATTTTGATCTCCATCGTGGTGAATTACTAGAGGGTGGAGAGCGGATGATTCGGTGGCTTAGTCGCATGGCAGCACACTATCTTGCCCTTGCGACCTACCCGAATCGAGCTTGATTCTTACGTGGGATCTGGCACAACTGGGCCGACAAAGGAACTTGCATCTCGACTTGGTACGTAGCAATATAGACCCGGTTAAAGAATACTATGTAGTGAAGAGGATGTTTTCGCTAGTGACCGTGGTGCTCAGTAGGCCTAATCGCATATAATTTTATGTGTTAAACACCAGGTGAATTCATCACTGACGCTGTTAATGTGTAGCATTATATGTGTAAAAGCTGGTATGGTTGTGGGTATGACTACCGAGGGTAACTTGGTCGTTCCAAGAGGTCATATAGTACTACTTCTAGAGTTGAAGATGAGAAGATCACGCAGTTTCATGGGCTACGATCTGTAGAAATGGTCATTACTTATTCCTTTCATTTTTTTGGCTCATCTTCGCATCGAGAGCCGGTATCATTGTGATGTTACACACAGTAGAATACATTACAAGAACTCCTACACTCGGGGTTTTTTTTCCGACCCAGCAAAAACAAGTACCCGTCATGGCTGAGGACCCCAACTTGGCCAGTAAAATGGTATCCTTTGCAACTCCTGCGAGGCCAGCCTACCCATTGTTCCCTCCACAAACGCCGTGCAAAGAATTCATCCGATATTAGAGTCCACGGCAGTTATGGGACTTACTTCTCATCCCCTTCGCGCTTCTTCTTTTCGGCTTCCTATGCCGCAGATGTCTTGGCAACGGCGTCGATGTCCTTATCACGACAGCTCCAGCCATCATATGCCGCCTTCAGCATCTCATTCCCCTTGTTCATGTCGTTGACCCAGCCTACAAACATGTCGCTGGCAATGTCGATCATTTGCAGTCGCTCCTTCTCAGCAGCAGCCTTCTCCATCTCTTGACGTTTCATTTCTTCCTCCTTTCGCAGCTCATCTCTCGCCTTGCGCTTCGCCCGACGATCCTCAACTTCGCGCGCGCGGTCGGCAAGATAACGGACGCTATGGCCGAGAGTAGCGCTTTCAGCCGAAAGGCCGCGGTGCGGTCGGTCTAACGGTGGTTGAGTGAAGAAGAGCACTCGTCCAGCCTCGTCACGCTGGAACTGTTCTCGAACCTCGGCAGGAATCTTGTCGTTCAAGGCGTCGTCCAAATGGTACACCTCAACCGGGCGAGGTGGGTTATAGGCATTAGCTTGAGCATGTCCACTTGGGCCAGGGGTGGCTGCCATGGCAGGACGAGCAGGCGACGGCGCAAGGCGATGCGACGGGTCGTAGCTGGGCATGGGAGAATTCATTTGATGAGGTGGGGCGTGGTGAGGCTGATGAGGTATGGGGATCGGTGTAGTGCTGTATTGAGGCGGAAATCCGTTGTAAGCAGGAGGCTGATGTGGTTGATGAGCCTGGAAATGCGGAGTTTGGGGCATTTGGGGTGTACTGTGACCGTGAGCGGCATGATGGGCGCCTTGAACTCCTTGAACCGGAAAGTTGTGATGGGCTGAGGCGCCAGCATGATTGCCATACGGTGGGACAGGGACCGGAGTAGGGCTGGGACGCGGCACGAAGGGATGCGGCGATGCATACGCGCCGGCATGTCCAGGTGTGGGCGTGGGCGTTGCCGGGATAGTTGAAAAATGGGGAGTATTACCCATCATAATGTCGCCCTGACTATCAACGGGGCGAGCTGACTGCATCAATGAAGGACGTCGGATTGGATCGATGATTGGGAGAGCAGGAGGAGGGGATGGTGTAGGCTCCGGTGGTGGAGATTCCTATAGAAAGAATTCGTGTCAGCACGAATGAGAAATTAAATTAATCTTATGTGACGCGCTTCAGTGAGACAGTGGGAAAGATGAAAAGGATTAACATCCATCCAATACAACATGTATAAGGTTTTTTTTTTTTTTTTTCCTTCCCTTTTTGCAAGGGAAAATCTTACAATGCAATCGATAAGAATGAAGAAGGGATAGGAAAAGATAGAAGAGGGGCGGGCAGATGAGATTCACTTCTCTTTTTCCCCTTTCCTTCTTTTGATTCTTATTTTTTTTTTCTTTAATCCCGTGCTTATCAGGAGGTATGAAGGGGATGAAGATGCGAAGTGGCAGGTGACGAGGCTTAGGCAGGCAGGCAATCAAACGAAAGAAACAGGGAGAACTCACATTCGGCTCCCTCTCCCGACAATGTACGGCTCCAATGAGGGGGGGTGCATTTGGAGCTCCCCAGGTCGGCTTAGGTAGAGCATCCGTCGGCTTCGCATCATCTCGAAGCAGATGCTTGATGGGACTAGGCACCTTTCTCAGTTTGCGAGGAACCTCGAACAAATCCATCTCGTAGTCCTTCTCGCGAACCTCATCGGGCACACAGCTCGCCCACGTCTTGATCTTGTTGAGCTTGTGCTTCTCTTCGTTGTATCGAGCCTCGCAGACATACACCTCTTTGTCCTTGGGGAATCCTCGAGGTCTGCCTTTGTTATATCGAGTTACGAACATGACGAAGCATCGATCCACAACTTCGTCGATACGGTGGTCTCGGTATTGACCAGTCTTGACCACCTCGTTCTCCAAGAAATGCTTCTCAAAACGATGGACAGTCTGCTCTGGACGGTAGTACCAACACGCATTCACCCACTTTTGTCCCGACTTGTCTTCCCAAGTCCGGTAGATCTGCGCGACGATAGGCTTTGTCAAATCATTGGGGTTGGTGATGTGAACCCAGTCGCCTAAGCAGAGTCAGTACCTCTATGCGACACGCCGAGGAACTACAGACAACTTACCAACTCTCCAGACCTCTCCCTTGTGGACAATCTCGGGAAGTGGTCGTCTACCGTCTTCATCTTCGAAGTCATTGTCAGGCTTCGCCTTCTCTTGCGCAGCAAGTATGTGAGCTTGACGTTGCAACTCAACTGCGTCATTGTAGAGCTGGCTGTCCTCTTCGTTATACTGCTTGGCATTCTCAAACATCAAATCAAGGTCTCTGAGTGCTTGATCCACATTCTGATACTTCTTTCTCTTCGCCTTTCGCTTGATTAAATCCATGGCAATAGGATTCTTGATAGCAGCAAAGTAGTCTGGCGTCGCCTGCTTGTCTGGGAGTCTCTCGAATGGAACGATCAACAGCTCTCCGTTTGGATGCTTGAACTTTCGAAGGCCCTTCAACAAGGCATGGATGCGGGCCTCGAGCGGAGTGAAAACCTTAGGCGGTCGGCCTCGCTTCTTGTGTGAATCATCATCTCTCATATCAGATTTCCGACCCGAGGCCGAAGAGCGACGACCACCTCGTCTACCTCGTCGGCGGACGCCATCATCATCGGAATCGTCATCTTCGTCGTCGTCTTCATCATCCTCGTCCTCTTCTTCTTCCTCTTCCGGGTCTGGAGGCGGAGAATCTTCCGTTTCTGGGATCTCGCCTAAGTCGGGAAGCACGGCCTCCTCGGGCTTGATGGTTCCGTCGTCGACTAACTTCTGAAGCTCCTCCTTAAATATCTCTCGTAGACGAACAGCGCATTGGAATACCTCGGAGGACGGGCGGTTATAAACCATGGCATTGTGGGAGATCAAAGCGACATCCCTGACGAACTCAGAGAAAGCAGTATACTGCTTCTTGAGCTTCTTGGTCTATTGCCAGATTATTAGGATATAATATAATGTCCGTGGAAGAAGGTGGATAGACTCACGCGAATGGTGCTGAAAGCGATAGGCTCTTTTATCACTTCATGGTATTCGGGTAGGTGTCGTCGATTGGGGATGCGCTGGAAGGGTAGGGCAACCTGGTAGCCGCTGTCGCATTGATGTTAGCTAAAAATGTAGTTATGCAGTCGGCCGTTACGACAGTAAAAAATAAAATAAAATTGATAGATAATTGAGAACTCACCCGTCCTCTTTATATGTAGAGAGGTAGTTCGCTGTATTCTCAATTACGGTCAACATATTGTGGTCGAGTCGACCTAGAGTTCGTTCTTCTTCCGGTTCACCATCGGCATCTGCGTCGCCTTCCGCGTCTGCCTCTCCGTCCGCGTTGACATTGGTCCCTAGGACTGGGCGAGAGCCGTCTGCACTGCTGCTGGCACCACTTGCATCTGCATCGTTTCTGGAAGTGTTGATATCCTGCACGCGGTCCTTGTTGTCATCTTCATTGTCGTTGCCGGTGGGTTTAGCCTCTATAGACTCGCGAACCTCGGCCGCGTTTTCGGCTGGCTTGTCGGCTTCGTCAGCCATGATGGAAGGTTCGAAATTAGAAGAAGGAAATGATGTTGGCTGTAACTATTGATAGTCGAGCTTCAGACTGGATATTGGAGTCCGCGCTCGAATGGAGGGCGAACAATGGCGTGAAAAGCTCGACGTTCTCAGGACGGACAACAGCACTTCGAGCAGTTCTTGTTGGTGTTAGTGGTTAGGTTACTTAGCGGACTTGCAACATTGAGACGGTGCTAACGTGCGCAGTGCAGCAGCTAAGATTAAAGAAGTTTATCCACCGTTATTCCGGAACCAATCAGAAGTCATGGGACGGTGGTAGTATACGTACCTATGTACCTAAGTAGTAGTGGTATATGTACGTACCTGGTAATTACTGGAGATAAACTGATACCTAAGTAACACAGCCCAAAAGTGGCTTGTTTTGTGTGGCTAGAGATTTTATGGCACAATTATCGTGATAGACATATTGACAGCATATGTATATAATGTAAATAGGTAGGTATCTTAAGAAAATCACATCATAAGCCAGTTTGCAGCGTCTTTTCCAACCGAGAATCCTCAGTGACTACTCCAAACTCCAAACTCCGGTGAGTGGTCCACACCTTGAGCTTGGCCCTCTCTTTGACGGTCCCTATGGCTCAAAAATACGATAGCAAGGATCGTGCCTAACTGTCCTATAGTCGTTACAAGAACACTAACAAATCCACCACGGAAATTGGGAGCATGACTAGCTGGAAACTGGACAATTTGTGTGCCCGCTGTGATTGCTTGGCCGATGGCATTCATACTCGCAGTCACCACCGCTCGCTCTTCCGCATCTCTTGCTATTACCACCGATGCCCAGCCCATCGTCAATGGCGAGCAGGCTAGGAAGGAATCAGTATATAATACTGTGCTATCGAATACGCGAAGAAAAAGTGTGTGAGAAAGCGATGTGCTGTATGTTGACTTACCAGCTTCAAATCCAGTCAGGATGAACCCAGCTAGACGACCGCTCTCGCCAACATCCCAAGCTACGAGCAGTATCATGCCCACAAGAACGGGGAAAGTCACGACAACGGCTGGAGTCCAAAATCGACCCGTTCTGTCTGCAATAACACCACAGAACAAGGCGACTACAATACTCACTGCCGTGACTATGGTAGGTATCGTGTTGACTTGGACAACCGAGTATATATTGCTCTTCGCCTTTAAATAGAGTGAGAATGGCGTGCTACCAGGTAAGAAGTTTTGATCCATCAATGTCCATTGAAGAACAAAGAGGTACCAATGCCAACGAGAAAACACACGTCTAAATATGTCGAGGGATAATTGTAATTGCGGCGGTGCGACAAGCCCATGGAGTCGTTTACGCGCAAGGACGCACTCCCCTTCCGTGATAAATCGTGGCTTCTTCCTAGACGGCACATCGGGAAAGACGACGAAACCACTAAACCGAGTTAATATCAAAATTCTACGGAAAAGGTCAGAATAGGGGCAACTTGCAATGCTGCTATAACAAGGGTGATGGCGGCATCAACAATGAAAAGCCATCTATCTAAAATGTTAGTACTCTCTCCTCTTGTCCCTTAATGGGATTATCTCGTCGTGAAAGTCCTACCTCCAACCCGCCAACCCATGCACTTGATTCAAATTTGTATAAGCTGCGGCTTGGAGATATCCGGCAAACATAGTTCCAAGGGGGCTCGCAATGAAAAAGAGAGCAACACGACGGCCGATCTCCCCTGGCTTATACCAGGATCCAATGATGTAAATCGTTCCGGTGAAGGAGCAGCACTCGAATAGGCCAGTGAAGAAGCGCATCGCATACACCGTCTCGACATTCCTAGCCCAAGCTAGGACAAAGGTAGAAAGCCCCCATCCAATCTCCAGAGCCGGGAGGACTCGGTTAGCGGGATAATGTGTTAAGAAATAGCAAGCCGGAATCATGAAGATGCAGTAAGACGCCCAAAAGGTTGCGGTGATGTAGTTCAACTGGTCGCCGTACAGCCCTAATTCTTCTTTCATGCCGCTGACAGTAGTAATACATTCTTAGCAATTTGGTTTCATGGCAACACACGTTGAGCACATACCTGACGTATGCATTGGTAATTGACTGCTGGTCAAGATATTTGGTAAAAAAAGACAGGCAGCCAAAAATCAAAATACTCAGGTCGAGTTTCAAGATCAGTCGCCTCTCCTCACATGGCATATCTTTCGGATACCATCCGACAAAAGCCATGAATCTAATCCAGGCGTGCCCAATACCAGAGACGTTGGCATGGTGGCTATCATGCTGGAGGAGATTGTGTTGTGCTGGTGACATTGCAGCCGTCTTCCGAGTTTCCTCGTCTCTTGCCATTTCCAAACTCACGCCTAGGCAGATAACATAACATGAAAGGTATAAGACACGGTCTTGAGTCTTTACTTCACAATATGCCAGTCCATGAGAATATAGCGATGGCACATACACATATACTGAAGTATAAGTCTAGAACGATAATAGGATTGCAATTAGTGCCTTCGTCAGCTTCTCCTATGATGGCATAGTCCCTGATCTCGCTCAGCGTGGGAATATCGCAGGGTCCAAAATAAACTTCCATGTTCTTTAGTTACTCGAGAAGACTAGATCTCTGCTTAAATATTAGCTGTCTATGTACTTGGTAGATAACCAACTTTCTTCAGCAAGAGTACCGATTCCCCTCTTCCGGACTTACCTAGTGGGTTGCGTCAGTGACACTCAGTATTGCGTGACTTGAACAATCATTGAGTTTACGATATCGCCAGGGGCAAGTGCTCACTGCTTGCCAGTTGATTACTACCACACGATATACCGATACACGAGCTTATTCGTAAATTGGATGTTTCGTCTTCTCATATATCAACAAATAGACACTGACCTTCTTGCCTGCCTAATAAATTTTGTATTAAGAACACTTAAAAATAAAAGATTTAATGATTTGATTAAATTGAGTTTTCTATTCTTTATGAATTATATTTCTATTCAACACCATGTATTCAAATATCACCAACTCACGCTTCTTTGATTCAGGGTCTTTTCAATAGTGAAATAACTCTCTTCGCGAGCAGCGTCAGCCATGTTTGTCTTAGCCGTAGAACTGCTTGAAGAGTGGTGTTTGTCTTGGCAATTAAGTACGTATTTACCTACATATGGAGGAGGTACTCTACATATCTGTACATAGTCACATTGAAGTGGATAAGATTCACACTAATTCACCGAGGTAAGTTGCAATCTTGTTACATACCTATGCTCTCGAGTCGCATACGATATTCAACTAGACCCCGGCTATAACTCCAAAGAGAACCGGATCTAAAGTCTTTCGTCGACTCCGGATACGTAATGGAGGGGTTTTTTGATCAGCTCCTCTCTCCCACATAACACTACCACATCCACCACATCCACAACATACGTCCACCACACATACACGGCATACGCTACCTTCTGTCTACCTTAGTATATGTCGGCAGTACCTGCGGTTGGCTTGATGATCTTGCATTGCGTGTAAATAGAGCGGGTCTCGAAGGGTTTCGGTCGCGAAGAGAGCGTTGCTTTTGAAATTGAAATCGAAATCGGTTTGGCCGTCCGAGCTACCAAGCTACCACTAACACCAGAATACTAGGTAATAAAATAATCTTGTTGAACAAGTCCAGATTCTCTATCTTGTCTTTTGTAAACCGAGTTCGAGTTCCATCCCGAGTCTCACCCCCATTCACTCGCCTACCCATCACTCCGTCACCCATTCATACCCGTACACGTACAAATACATATCTACATATACATCAACCCTACCACCTCCTTCCTTTCCTTCCGTTTCTATACTCATCTACTCCTCCAAACCATGAAGATCCGATACAGGGCCCCCTCTGGGCCAGGTGCTCTAGAGCTTGACGATGATGCCACCGTGAACCAGCTTCTTGAAGCTCTCAAGTCTAGTACTGGGCTGGACGATTTGACGGTCAAGTATGGCTGGCCGCCAAAGGCACTGAGCACGGATGAGGGTGGCGTCTCCCTGCAGTCGCTGGGCCTCCACCGCGAGATGCTCACTATCGCACCTCTGGAAAAAGCCTCCACGGTAGCTAAGGAGGAGCCTCAAGCTATTATCCCTGATTTGGATTCATCTGAAGGCAAAGGCCGAGGCGTCAAGGACCAGCAAATCAGCGTCTTCATGCCCGAGAGTAATTCTACCCTAGGTAGGCAGCCCGATTTGTTAAAATATCTGCGCATTTTTAGTAAAGCGATCCAAACTGACGTCGTGCGTTTACCCGTAGTCCTTCGAGTTATGCCCGATGACAACAGCTGTCTATTCACAGCCGTCGGTGGCGCTTTGCGTGGTTATGGCTCCGATCCCGATAAGTTCTTCGATGCCGTCGCGCTTCGCCGTATTGTTGTCGACCACATCCGCGCCAACCCGGAGAAGTATAATGCCGTCATCCTTGGCAAGAGCCCGGAAGCGTACTGTAACAACATGCTGCGGCCCGACGTGTGGGGAGGCGACATTGAGCTCTCTATCATGTCCGAGGTCTTCCAGCTCGAGATTTCCGTCGTCGACGTCAAGACGGGAAACGTATACCGAATCGGCCAGGGGAACGACTACGAGATGCGTTGCGTCATCGTGTACTCCAACATCCACTACGATCGCGTCGCCGAGATCTTTGTCGAGGGCCAGGGGTCCATGGAATTCGACGTCGCGCGCTGGGCTGTGGACGGCAGCGAGCACATCATCAAGCACGCCCAGGAAATGTGCAAGAAGCTTAAGGAAGAGTACCACTATTACACCGACACCTCTGATTTTGTCGTTACGTGCAACGAGTGCGGCTGGTTGGGACAGGGCCAGAAAGCCCTCGCCGAGCATGCGATCCAGACCGGTCATACGGACATTAGCGAGATCAAGGATAACTCGTAGTCAGTCCGTCATAGGTGCCTGTCCTTTGCATGCCCTGGTCACACGCCTACTAGACGTCGTCGATGCTATGTGCTTATGTGCGTTGAGATTGCTGGCGGAGTGGCGACATGGCGCAGTTGGATCCGGATAAAACCCGCGCGGTGGCGGAGACGGATACCCCTATGCGAGAGGAGAAGTAATAGAGGTATGGCCCCGTGGCTATGGCCTCTGAGGAAGGTCTGATGGTTTTGACCATACGTACATATCGGTTTGCGGTCTTGGTATTTTTCATCTTGGCCCTGTAATTATTAATGGGATGGACTGGCTCCCCAGCCCGCCCAATACTTTAACGTGAAGTGCTCACTTAAAACATAACGGCGTACCTAACCTAGGTCGCTTATGCGTGCAGGCTTATCATTATATTGTATACGCCGTCAGGCTCTATTCTACGTAGAGAGGAGTGGCTTTCCCGATATAATACCAACATCAACATGAATACCATTAGGTTAGTCGATTAGAACTAGAAGACAAATGCCGCCTTCCAAATGAGATGTCCTCCTTTGTCCAATCCCAACTCTGAAAAGGAACATGTCAACAATGGTCGTGATTTCGCCGTATCCCGTATCCCTAACTCCAACCTCCTTCCCATGCAATAGAACATGCCAACCCATATCATTAGACCCACCCCATTATAGTACAAATTTCATGCCAGTTAAGGTATCGTTAATCAACGCGTTAATCAACTTCCCAGCTACGATTATCCTTGGCCCTCGCTGAATCGCGCCGGCTACTGTTGGCCGTTTGCGGTATGCTACTGCTGCTACTCTGCTTGCTCTTCGCCATAGCATAATCTTCATCGTCACTCCAGTCGCTAAACTCTCCATCGGAATAATCCCACTGGACCGGAATCCTCTCACCACCCTCACCGAAGCCAAAAACTAGGCCGCGCCACTCACCCGAAGCGATTTTCGCAGCAACCTTCAGCATCAAGTTTACGAGGTGGGTTGGCGGCGCTAGCAGCATTTCAACAGTCTTCTGTATGATGGCGCCTGGTAGTCTACGGACGACATCCATGCGGCTGCGAGAAGTTTGCCTTTGAGGCGGCGAGAAGAAATTGACGGCGGATGGCAGCGGCGAGAGAGCCGGTCGGCTGAAAGACAAACTATTAATTCGTGGCCGCGGCCGCAGCTGAACTTCTTGCGTTTCCTCCAAAGCAGACGTATGCGATGCGTCTGAGGACCCATCGACGGATATTGTGCTTGCAAGCTTGTCGGCGCTTTCCGGAGGGCAACGCGACAGAGGGGAAGTTATCTCGTCCGCCTGGTCTGTAAGCCCTGCGGAACTTGGGACGAATGTCCTATCTGTATCCGGCGTACGCATAAACACCCGATTGTCCCTTCCTTGTGACGACGGACGAGGGATAACAATATTCTCGTGAGGATGGGGAAACTGAGATCTAGACGGTGTGACCGGGCGTGATGATGGAGGCGACGGGGGTAGTGGGGCGATCGGCGAGTGCCACGACTGTGTACTATGAAATGAGTCTGTAGACCCGACAGGTGAACTCTCATCCGATGCCAAACGTCGAGGTTGAGGCTGAGGTGGAGGTGGAGGAGGTGGCGGCGCACGGGACGAGGTCGCCTTCGATACCTGCGTCGGCTTGGAGGGGGGCGATGTCACTACAGTCAACTGCGGAGGGGCAGTAAAGGCGCGACCAGCCAACATCCGACTCATTCGTTTCCTAGTAAGGTTCATAGGAGCTACGCGACCGGACCCTTCGAAGGAAGAAGGTTCATCGATGGCTTCTTCCTCTTTGCTAGAATCAACGATCACCTCTTCCCTGCCTACACTAACATCATCCGGTAACTCTTCTGCGATGCGTTGCGGTCTCGGCGCAGTAGCAACATTCGGGGCCGTACGTAGATCCTTGAAGGCGTCGGCGGATGCCGCATCAGCCCTCCGCCATTCATTCAAATTGTTATAGTAACGAGCGCTATAGTCTTTTCCATCCTTAACTTCTGGTTCTTCCGGCTGCTCGCTCTGCCACTTTCTGAACCGTGATTCTTCCAACTCATTAAGGGACCCAACGTCGATCCTGAAAGAAGCAATCTGGTCGGCTAAAAGGTTGGCTCGTTGATCACCGAAGCCTTTGGGCGAGGGCGACACTATAGGTAAAAATGGGTCCGATATTAAGTTCTTGCCGTCGGGCGTCCAAGCTTTCTTTTTGACCTCTAGCTCCTCTGGTAGCTCTACCGTGAAACTTCTCTGGAAGGGACATGCTGTCTTCTCGAATAGCAGAGCTTTATCGAGAATATCTCTTAGTAGCAAAGCACGTTCTTGGTCGTCGGGATCGGAGACTGGAAGCTCGATTCTCCAGTATTGTGGTCGCCGTATTTGTAGGACGAATCTACTATTCTCCTCATCGATACACCAACACTGGCTTTTTGGTAAGATAGGTTGCAGGGCCGAGCCGCAACTAAGAAAAGCGACGGATCCCGGGGCACGATAAATGCGGAACGGGCCTTTTCAGGTTAGTCCGAGGTTAAGCAGAAGGTTTCTTGGGTCCAACAAGTTTTAACGTACCAACGGCGATCGTCCTCTCGAGACGCGACGAAGCTGGCAGCGTGCCCGGTCTGTCCACGTCGGTAGAGGATTTTCGCGGACCGAAGGAGGCACGCTGGGTAGATGTAAAGGCAATGATTTTGACGGAAGGATGGCTATACAGAGTCTCGACTAGGTCTTCGGAGCGTGACGATGAAGTGGACGTAGACGTAGATGAAGATGAAGGTAAAGTGGAATTTGGAGCGGGAGGCGGGCATTCGACAGGTGCCGTTACGACCCGACGAGGCCGCGACACGTCTGATCTGCCGGATAATAGTTTAGGATTATCATCAGCCATGGTTGGCGCATTCCCAATTAGAAGCAAGCCGTTTTCTCGTCTGATGGAAATAAACTCCCGGTAAGGGTTGGCTTGCTGAAGACGCCTAGGACATGACTAAAGATCGCGATGTGCTAGTAAAGAGAAAATAGCTGAGAAGAAAAGAAAAAAAAAGATTCCACACGTCTTCGGGAAATAATAATAGTTCGAACAGGTTAGCTGGTCGAAGTTCGCGGGTTCGTTTACACCAGCTCTAGATGTCTCTCAAACGCTTCCAAGGTTAAGGAACAAGTAAGTAAATACAGAGGGTAGAAAGGTTAGCTATAAACGAGACTAAGGTATGTCAGAGCTGCATTCGGGGAACTAGGATTGACGAAGGTTTGCGAATGCACGAAAGGGATCGTACCTAGGAAACCACCTGGACCACCTAAACCCCTCTGACCCCCTAAACCTACTGGATCTATCCCTGGAAGAGCGCCACAAATATAACGGCATGTACCGGTTAGAGGCTGGTGCGGTGGGGTAATTACTTGGCACGCAAGTAGACAAGAAGCAGCCAAGTAGTCCAAGCTCTTTCCCGAGGACTCCACCTAGGTAAACTTAATTGATCCACAAGATACCTGATTGGTTGATAATTCTATATTGCGTAGAGAATCCATGCATGTACGCAGTACGTGACGATCGGTGTTTAGCGCTATCTCTCTCGACCGCGGCGCGATATTACCTATTCCTCGTCCGGATTGGTTGACGAAATCGAAATCTGCGACGTAGACCACATTCCCCCCAGGTGGAGAAAGCATGACTATGATACCTGCTAGCATATGATTTCTATACCATTTTACTCGATAATCATACCATCAACCTACGGACCTGTTAAAGTGGCCAGAGTGATGAGATATACCTACGTAGTCAATACGCCAATGAAACAGCCCTCCAGTACAAGTTCGATAACGCCGAAACCGATAGGTTGGCTCCTGGCAAATTGTCTAATAGGTCTTTCAGAATGAAAGCTAATATGCCATGAGTCTGAATAATGCAATAGCAAGCATTATCCCATGATAGGTGTTCACCCATGGTAGTTTGGCGGCATCTTCACGTGGCTTCCGAACGTCTTTTTCTTCCTTTTTTTTCTTCTTCGTCTAATGGCTTGAAAATATCAACGACGACTAAAGGGGCTGAACAAACTCGACAGATTCATGATCACGATACTGCCTCCTTCAACTTTTCAGCTACAGACGCCTTATATGTCAAGCCTCCGCCGAAGCTATGCTCGCTGTTCTTGCCCCCTGATGTAACTTCACCCTTAGTTACACCAGTCTCGAAAGCACAGGTCCCCATGTCCAATGCCTTCGCCGGCCCGGATGGCAAGATGTCGAAATCGAAAATATCAGCGGGCAAACCAAGGGTCGTGCATGCATTCGGAATGTCGACGATACCTGCCACGTGACCTTGAACGGGTGCTGACGATAACAGAAGGTAGATCTGGTAGTCATTGTACCCGAAGCGGCGAAGATATTCGATACATCCTATTTCTATTAGTCGGTTGCGGATAGGAATTACTAGAATTCTCATTGCACTTACGCAAGATGGTCTGTCTGTAAGCAACCGCCACGTCCATATAATGCTGCTTCCCATGCTCATCTACAGAGAAACCCTCGAAATAGATACAGCGACCCGGACCGAACTGGGGCTCGACAGGGCCGGGGAGGTAAATAGGCGATTTCAGACCCAAATCTGCCATGCCGTTCTTCATCACCTTGAAGTTAATCGTGATGATACCCGCCATCTCTATCGCCCCGCAGAACGAGATCTCGCCGTCGCCCTCTGTTGCGGGTTAGTACTCTACGTTTGTCTCGAGGGGTACGATAGAAAAAGGGGAGGCGGCTCACGCGAGAAGTGTAGATCTCCGACGCTGAACTTGGCGCCTGGGACATGAACCGGCAGGTAAACTTTTGAACCTCTGCTCAGGTTCTTGATATCGCAATTTCCTCCGTGTTCTGGTCGGCCAGGAACAGTCCTAGCTCCTTCTAAACCGACCTTCTCTTTGAGTGCTGTATCGGATGCACCGGCGTGGATGCCCTTCGACTCCGGCGGCAAAGCGACTTGCCTCTCAAGCTTGTTGGCCGAAATCAGCTCAGCCTCGCGCTTATTCCAGGTCGCCAAAACCTCGGTCGATGGTGCACATCCCAGAATGCCCGGGTGGATTAAGCCGGCAAATTTGACATGTGGGATATGTCGTGAGGTGGCAAAGATACCCTCGAAATCCCAAATAGCCTTGGCAGCAGATGGATAGATTTCGTCAAGGAATCCCCCGCCATTTTCCTTGTGGAAAACGCCTGTGAACCCCCACTAGAATGATAGCAGTCAGTAAATCCTTCTTGAGGAAAGAGTCCCGGGAGTTTCAAGTATTCACTCCTAAGACAAGTCGATATAGATAATAATAATAAGAAGAAGAAGAACTCGATATTACGCACTGGCTGATCTTGGAACGGCTGTACGTCCATTATCTCAACCAAGAGGATATCTCCTGGCTGGGCACCTTCGATCTCGAAAGGACCGGTGAGGTAATGGATCCTAGTCAGATCAACATTGCGAATATCGTCTGCGCTATCGTTGTTTCCTATTTGACCCCCGGTCCTGTAGGGAATATTAGATTTCATGAGAGTCATGTTTGGTAGGGATATAAACTTACCAGTCGAGACATTCAATCTTGACTGTCTCGCCATCCTTAATAGATCCAGCAAACGGAACTGTAGCCACGTCAATACGTAATCCTATTTCCTTTAAACAGCCGGGCATGCTTTGGATCCATACTGTCGGGATGCCATCTATTCTAGTATAAATCAGCTTGCGAAACGGCCAGTTATCTTACCAGCGTCACCTACATGGAGATTGGCCTGCTCATATGCCGGCTTGTCGAAGCTAACCTTTCCAACAGTGCGAATTTCTGTCTTGCCCATTATGATATTCGAACGTATATATTATGCAGTAGTTATCGTATAATCTCACTGAAAGATAGATCGAATTGGCATCGATATTGTTTAGCCAAAAGATTGTATGTTCAACTTTGCTATGGGTAACAAAGTCAGGCAACGTTGTCCCACTGAGGCTCTCTGTTATCAGGCTTTATATAAGGTATACCTATACATATATACCTAGGTAAGTATATATTCCTCCTGCAACGACAAAAAGCTACATAGATACCCCGCATCGCACGAGCGGAGAGGCGCCAATCGCAATGCCTAAGACATCGTGATATCTCGAACACCTACGTGCATAGCAGCCTGCACCATGTCCGTGACGTCGGAAATATGCTAGTTAGAATCCTGCATGCACTGGTATGTTCGTAGTTATACATAGCGTGTACTAGCATACCAATCAACTGTCCTCACCCCCACACGAGGATTCTTCTCCTTATCACATCTATCGAGACCGAGGAAATACAGCAGCGGGCATGTTATGCACCAAGCTGATAAGGCGAGCTCCAATTTGGGACTAAAGACAGAACGTAGCGTATCTCGGCAACTCGGGATTCTCACGTCAAACCCACTTGAGATATATATAGTTAAGATAACGATGAACATCAAGAGGATACCGTATGCTAATTCTTGCTGCTAGAGTCTCTGACACACTTCGATGATAAACATATCCGGGCCTGCAACAACCTAGTTCAGCTTGGTTAGGCAAAAGGTAAATAGCCCTTGCGATCGAAGAATCGACGTGTGATATTAACCATATTACGTCACAGGCCCTTTCTGCCTCCTTGATTAGTAGCTTCGTCATACGATGGAGGTTGACTATCATGGTCAGCGTCCAGATTCGCGAGCGGAAGGTTGAGAAATTCGTGCTTGTTCCTCCAGACCTGTTGGCTTGCCGCGAACCGTTCCACCTCAGAACGGGGCGCTTGCGGTGAGGGAGGCGGGTCCGTAATTTTAGTGATGAGGTAGGCAGTTGACGCTTCAGCAATGCCATAAATGAGCACGCCGAGCAATGGGACCCGTAGTAGTGTATAAAACCCGATACCGAAACCGAAAAGGAGACCCTCGCGACTACGGAACCATGTTCGTTTCTGATCCTTAGAAAAATGGACGCGGGCGAAGTAAGGCTCGAGCAGTTCACGCACCAAGCTGCGAGATGCGAAGTATGTCTGGAGAAATATGATGAGGTATCGCTTCGGCAGGAATACCCCGGTGCTGAATATGACAGCGGCCGGCCCCAAGCCTACTGCCTTGCGGAACGTATAGAAACTAGCAGCGGGGAGTACCAAGCGTCCGATGTACGGAACATATGATAAGGCGAATACGGCCAAGGAGATTAGGGCCTTTCGGGCGAACCGCCACATGAACATGGTAACAGCCTCGGCAGTGCTCGTAGTGTTCGTACTCCCGTCCCTTTTTTTATATCCGCTCAGGTTTGGGTAATACATATCCCGAAGTGTATCGGGGTTCTCGTTTTTATGTTTCTGGACATAAGTCATGTCAACCCACCGCAACGAGTCCATGAACCTGCCGGCTGAGTGTTAACGATTGTGAAACGGGGTGTCACGGAATGAAGGTAGACGCACAAGTTGTCGAGCGTTGGGGTGATATATCTCATAAGCGTCATCAAGAATAGAGGTATTTGGAGAACATGGTTGGCGATCAGGTCCAGGCCATTTACCAGCGTATCGTCCCAGGTAGTCTTGTCAAGGTCAAATATCAAAGACAGGGCGCCGAGGAGAACTTTGATTCCAATGATCTAGTTGTCGAGGGTTTCCTCCGTGAGTTGGCCTGTTAGGGCATATTCAGCGTTGGGCTTCTTACAGGTATGGCAATAGCTATGCGAATAGCGATTCCAGCAGCAACGGCTATGGCGGCTTGCTTGTAATGGTCATTTGTGAAAATGCCAGGGTTCTGCATTGCTCTGTGGGCTACCAACACAGGAGGAGACGAGATATTAGCCATCATCGCAGAGAGATATCGAGTCTTAGGTTCAGGTGTAGGGACATAGACATAGACATAGACACAGACATAGACATACCACCGACGAGAGTCAACTGAATGCCACGTATAATGGCATTTAGGTCAAAATTCGAATTGTCGAAAGCCTTTTGAAGGTTTTCCTTAACTAGCTCCTCTAATTGAGGCATCGTCTGTTCGGACATGGTTGTTGAAATAAGCATACAGGTGCGGGAGGTAGAAAAGAAGTCCTCTCGCAAAGTTGTCTTTTGTCGTCTTACACCTAGGAGTAAGAGTTGTCTGGGTAGGTACGTAGCTAATGAATTCATGACGACATGCCTACAAGGTTATACCGGCCTATTGTTCCTCTTATCGATAGGACATTCCCCGGTATTTTCATCTAAACCAGAAATTCAGCCACACTGGATCGAAGTTTATCTCTCCTAATTTTCTAGTACATAACTTGGACGAATACGTCAATATACGCCAAATACGCCGTATGCTAGGTCGGTAACCAGGCGGTCTTAAATTAGATCGTACTTCTTGAATAAATCGTGCAGGTGTCGTATCTCGCGATTGGTTCCAATCGTTGACAGGCCTTTAATAGTACAACTGTATTAGGTAGGTATAGAACTGTACTGCCATGGTCATTTTAGGCTCACAACGGCGAAAATGATTGTAATAGCTGATCTAGGTCCATATACGATTCCTGCGTGCCCTTTGTCTTAGAGCTCCAGAGCACATCATACCTAGCCGGAGATTTATGTCGAGTTAGAGTAAGTTAGCCGGCCCTTCGTGAGGCGGCTGTGTACTCCAAAGTTGTCATTATGTCACGTCCATAGTATAATAGTATACGCCGTATTTCACCATGTAATGCAATTGGTTGAAGTCCGTCCATACGTCTTAATATCTACTAGAGCAGCTATTCAGACAACCAAGGATACAATACTACTACGTTTTATATAAAAGCATCGTGTATCGAAGTCATGGTCATTCCAAGCGAGGGCCAGCTTGATTAATCGGAACGGTTATAGTCGACTTACTATCTCCTCTCTCCATCCTTCTCTGCACATCATCAATATCATACCGCATCAACATGGAAAACGGACTTCACGTTGAGGATAGTATCTGGTTCTATGCCCCGAATAAGGGAGTACCAGTATTTTTCGCGATCGCTTTTGCAACTAGTGGCGGCGTTCATTTCTGGCAGGCCATGTTGGTATTTCCGAATGTTGTACTCATAAGCTACCCCTAACCACATCGTCCAGGCATTATAAGAGCTGGAGGCTTACCGGCCTTTACTTCGCCTGCTCGCTCCTGTTCGTGGCAGGTTTTATTGCCAGAGTACTCGGGGCATTCGATTACACGAAACTTATATACTATGTCGTTAGTACCTGTCTTATTTATGCCGCTCCGTAGGTTGACTTACTTGATCGTCCTTGAGGAGGTTACTAACTAGGTAGCTAGTCCCTTATATGAGCTTTGCAATTACTATGTCCTCGGCCGTATACTGTACTTCGTCCCATATCATTCTCCGATCCACCCAGGCCGTGTATTGACGACCTTTGCCGCCATTTCCACCATAATCGAGACGCTCAGTGGTATAGGGGCAGCTTACCAATCTATTCGGACTTTGCCAATAGGTTTGCAACAAACGGGTCAGACGTTACTCAAGGCCGCGTTGACATTGCAACTCGTCGTCGTCTGCCTTTTTCTCGCGCTGGCCGTAACTTTCCACACAAGATGCCTAGGAAACGGGATCAACCATGTTAAGATCAACCAGGCACTCCTGACTCTTTATATCAGTAGCGCGATCATTATGGCTAGATGCATTTACCGAACGGTTGAGTTCTTCGACATTAGCAGCGTGAACTTTTCGTCGCCCGACACTGATCTCTTGGTGCTGAGCCCTATTATCCGCTATGAATGGTTCTTTTACGTGTTCGAGGCGACGCTCATGCTTTGCAATAGTATTCTGCTGAACATACGCCATCCACGTCGGTGGCTTCCCGAGTCCACGAAAGTTTATCTCGGCAGGGACAGCATAACGGAGATCAGCGGGCCAGGTTACAAGCAAGAGAGGAACCTCCTCGCTACGCTTTTTGACCCGTTCGACGTGTACGGTATGATCAAAGGCAGAGACCAGAGGACACGTTTCTGGGATGATAATGGCGACGCTGGAAAAGCCGAAGCTGACGCGGTATGAACTTTGACGCCAAAGTAGGCTAGAAAAGCCGAGCAATAGTGACACGAGTTGGAATTAGGAGATATTTCGCGGTTAGACGTCTACCTACGACGGTGGATAGGCTAGTAGGGTACGATGGATAAGATCGAGGCGCGACTCACGTCCACTGTGACGAAGTGATGGGGCTCGGCGTAAGGGGGATTGTCATCTGGAACCGGGGTCCGTTGGAAACGGGATGGAAACGGGAGCCACACCAGGCGATAGCATCTGTCGACTGTTCTATTCGAAACGCGTTCGGGTTAGAAAATTTCCTACTTATATTGAACTAAACAGTTTTTAAACCGATCTTTCGTACAACATTCTAAAATCCGCCGGAATTGTTGACTCTGCTTGGCGTCATCTTATCATGACAAGTCTGGATTAATCCGATGCCTCGACAATGAGACTTATGTTATCGGGACAGCTTACGAGTGCGGCAAAGCTATTAAGGGAGCTTGTGTCTCATCCATATATGTTTTGACGTCGTTATGTATGCCTTGTGCACTTGTCGATAACGGGAATAGCACAATTACTTACTGTATTTGCTTAGGATATGTAGACCGAGAAGCGGCCTTATTGCAGCGGTGTGAAGCAGGCAAGGCAACTAACAATTGAGCTGGTACAGGTTGTATAATAAACGATGCTACCGTGCTGTTGTCGTACATATTGCAGCATGCACATGCACAATGCACATGTACATGCATGTATAAAATTGATGGAATATCGAATGTAAGACGATTCTATTTCTGGAAGCAATTAACTCATATAGCGAGCTATTTAGGGAGAGGTAAGTACCTAAAATCAGAAATTTTAATCTAATGTTATTTCCCCACAAGTCTCGGTGCTCGCTTGGGTACGGTTGGATATCGGACTACTACCTAGGTACCTGTAGGTAGCGATTCGATTACCGAACAAGGCCTTGAAGTTATGCGATACCTATTACATAGGTACCTGACAGGTACGCCTGGTAGATAGATACCATTATTTCGTTATTTCGAAACGTCGTCTTCTTTGTCAACTACCTACCTTATACCTATGTACGTATTTACAATGCAAATAATCTATTGCGCAGCTTCTAAGACAAAGCTATGGAGTAGCATTTCTAAATCCCACCTTATTATATATACCACACTTGACGGATTACATATTAACAATTACACATCAACGAGTGCTACAATATTACAACTTTACGCAGTGCAGATTCAATACAAGAAGCCTTCGAGCGGTGTGTGGCTTGGTTTTGGAACAATCCCGACGATCCGGAATCGCCTCATTCGCGCTCAAAAGTTCCGCTTCTTGTATTCAGGGGCGTCCCAGGATGGTTTCTGAAATCTAACTCTGCTTGTTAATACCTAAGTAGGTAGGTAGCTACTTGGTTGAAGCTAGTATCTATGCTGGGTACGTACATAGTGTATGTACGTGCCGCGTTTATTATACTAATGCATACATACATAGTATATATGCAGTATTCACTTTGTCGAAAACAATTTCCGACTTTTTGCCCTTCTCGTAATTTTTTATCCACCTCTTTTACTACGATGAAGGTCTCCTAAATTTCGTAGTTTCGACAAGTGTTAATATCATACTATGTAAACACAATCTTCAGGGATTAGCATCCTCCAGACCTGAGTTTTTTCGCACCAAGTTGGCCAAGGGAACCCCGTGCCAAGGATGCAGAAACCAGGGGTCATCCAGACGGATCTTCTAGTGTTTTCCTTTTGGCTTGGGAGAGGCGGAGCTGTAGAATTGGAATTTGGGAATTTGGGAGTCTGAGTCTTGGACCGGGACCGGGACCGGGTCTATCGACGCACACTACTGCCAATATGATCATCCGGGGATCGCTTCGCCCATGCGTGCCGCACAAAACATCCATGGATGTTGGGATGTACTACTACGTAGTACATCTAACACATCCATCTAACAGCAGAAGCGGTACCGGGCAGACAAGGTATGTTACTCTCTCCAGCTTGTCGGTTCTTGTCTATTGGTTCTAAGTAGTAGACGCTGTCTAGCTGCTGTATGTAGGAGAGAAATGAGAGAAATGAGCAAATCATTTCGCCAGCCCGCCCTCCTCTTCACCCTTTCTTTTCGTCCTCTAAATTCGACTATCTACCACTCGCATTCTACTTGATAAGTCATCGTCAACACGTTTCTTTACAGTTACTATCTGTATTACTATTGGCTTGCGCTACTTGCTGCTACACCCCCCATTCCTTAACTGACCTCTCACATACGACGTATCCTTCGAAACTAGTGCTACGCAGGATTATCACGTTTACTCCCCTCACACTCGCTTTCCGAGATACTTTATACTTAGCCGCTTAGTCGAGTCTGGATTTAGTTTCCCGAGGCTTATTGTATTACGCCACCAAAAGCCGGCTCAGATCATCTCGGTCACTGCATGATAGAGGAATCCCCACCACGATTAGGAAACGGCTCCAGCTTATACCGTACTGGCCGTAGTAGTATTTTTGGCTGGCCGCACCGAACTGCCCTTTTGGAACGTCTGGCGTCAAGGGATTGGCGCCGTATTAGCGGCTCACCCAGCGTTGCTCCAGGACGACGGCGTAGCCGCAGTCACGCTCTAGCCTCCTTCTTTATCAAGTCCTAGTCACCCCGTTTCACACTCCCCTCTCTTCTTCTTTCCCCTCCGAAGAATGTGGAAGACGGAACCTATCATCATGGACAAAAATCGGAACAAACCAATACAAGATGAACATACCAACATCTCCAAGCCGCAGATTTTCGTGCAGCTCGCCTTCGGCGTCTCGTGGTCTCAGCGGCACACCCCGCAGACGCACACCGTGACTTATATGTCCCGTAATTTGAAGAACGCCAGGGACTCGGGGAACTTTCCTCGCCAAGTACCACCGCCGACTACCAATTACCTAGCCGCCCCGGAGTCACGCCAGAACCGTAGTCGGGAACATTCAGGTCGATATAATCAGGAGCGACAACAGCATCGTCACCATCACCATCACCACGGACAGCAATCTCGCGCCGTAGCTCAGTCCCGAGAGCATGGCCGTCCCCGAGGTCAGACCAATGATCAACCTAGTGAACACCTGCGGGCTCGGCCAAGATCCGGATCGAGAAACGAAGGTAGAGGATTGTTGCATGAGCGAGGAAGGTCGGCTCCCCCGCCTTTTAACGATAGCCCGTGGGATGTCCACCATGTGTCTTCGGCAACATTATTTCCGCCTTTCGCACAGACAAGCAGGGAGCAACCAGAGGGGCGAAAAGCGCTACCGGCGCCACCGAGTCAGTACCGGCTAGGCGAAGATGGGCTACCGTGGTCGGCGTGGGCGTGGCCGGCGGATGACGATAGCGACAGCAACAGATCACCTTACGCAAATAACCCGACGACAGTTCCCCTGTCCATGGAACGATCTCGCAGCGAAGACCTTGAAAGGGCTCGGGAGCTCGAGTCGTTGTCTGCAGCCATGGTAACAGTGGACAACGGTTTCGAAAACCAGTGGTGGTACCAAGGCCAGCGAGAGCCTGTAGAACCATGGTGGCCGCAAGAAGCCGGAGGCGAAGCAGATGAGGCGGGGACATTGACGACGGCCGAGGCGTTGCTGCTATCAGATTCAGAGCCGCCACTAGCTTTAAGTTCTAACGAAGATCACCTGGCGAGTTTGCACGATCTTGTATCGCCCATGTCGGATACATCAAGCCCGGCTCAAAGCTTTGCGCGTCCCCTTTACAGATCGTTGACGACGAGGTCGGAGGAGCTATGGCTGGGAAGCTAAGCACGCTCAAATATCAGGGGAAGGGCCGGCATCCGATGCACAGGCGCTACACGATGCAGATCATGGTTAGATCCAGAGTACACGGCATGGTTTGGCCTGCCTACTCCCCGCCATATGAGCCAACTACTCAAGTTAGTAAAATCCATCGATTCAATAAGAATGACTAAGAATAGTATATGGTTCTTAGGCATTTGCTACGCCGTCAAAGAAGGTCGATTTTTTTTGATTTTTTTATCTTTCATCTGAAAGCATTTGCATATCACTGGCGTTTAGGTTGAAGGACTTTTATTTGATATCAACCGAGGGCATCATGAGGAGGATATTCCCACGGAAAGTAATGGATCTTGGATACAGCATCATTGGGTTTGGAACAAGTAAATGGGCTAAGCATTTAAGCACCGGTCGCATCTCTTCTAAATGGGGTTACGATCACACTCGGTTACGTGTGGCGACATAAGATGTTCTGTAGATTCTAGATAGCAAATTTCTGCCGTCACTAATATCAAGCTACTACTACGATTAATTACTCGCGTTAATATTACCGAACCGAAGTGTTTCCTATGTTCCTATGGCACAACTCGTCAGTGATCATTAGGCAATATCTAAGTTCGTGGTGAGTTCGAGGCTGACTTGAGCAGACCTAGTCGAGTAATTCTCCTAGAGTCTAAGGTCAACCTTCGTTTATGTATAGTTCGTCTTATCCTGTTATTTACAAATTTACAGTAGGTATAAGGGAGAGAGTAACTTGCTATATGATCTGATAACACAGTATTAAAGAATACGTAGTATTATGTTCGCTGCCTGACGTGTTATGCCTACGTCCAGTTTCTTAGAAACCCTTCAATCCATATCTTTGCCTGTTTTGATCATCCTTAATTGTAGTAGGCGATCAGCACTGATCAGCGACGTTAGACACTATATTCCGTCATGGAAAAGGAGAAACATTCCCTTTTTGGCTGAAGTGTCGTGTGAACATGCCATAAATTTAAAGATATTAGTCCTTGGTCTTTCTATTGTATTTAAAAAATTCCTGTAATAACAAAAACAAGACCTGGCTTTGCTGACGCTTTGGAAAAGAGTTAGTATGGTGATCTTGTACATATACGGGATTTGGCGTTTTTAAGAGGCTATCATTGGCCTTGTCGTTTGTTCCGAAGTGTTTCATGGCTGGGACGGGATGACATATGTAACGTTAAGTCCCTGGATTGCTGATTAGCGGGTTCGCGGAGCTGGCCTGGGTAGTCCGGGGCCACCTCCGCATTCTCATGGGGGCATCTGTTGATATTGCGCTCTGGATCGACAAGCTGTCTAAATTTAGGACGCCTGCTTCTCCAGCTGTCTCCTAAGTAGCTGCTGTCGCCATCTGGTTAAATTCGTATGAAACATGCATGCCTCGTTACTGTCGACTCAAATCGGCCAATGACTTTATGACCCAGATATCAAGATCTACAATGTGCCAGGCGAACATCAGCAGCGTCGCATCCCGAAAAGGCGCCGACGACGCAGCCGATTCGACAATGAACGTGAGTACCCCTACGGAGGCGCCAGGGGTCATATCGCGCACAGGCTGGCCAAATCTGTGCGAACCCTTGTCCAGCGATTAACCAGTCACTCTTTACGTGATTGGTATCAAGGCTGGCCCATCTAGCTCGCTGCCAGCCTGACTGACGGCGTAACAATACTTCTCGGAATCTTCAAGAGGCAATAGGCAATCATACCAAGACTGTACCCGACACCGGATCTGCTGCGCCGTGTGAGATACCTTCAGAATATAACGGGCCCATTAAAGACACCATGAACTCTTGCCATAATCATAGACCGAAACAACGTATAATTTATAATGAGGCGCAATTTGGTTGGACTACCTACAAGGGGTAGCACCGGGTGGTAGTGTACCAGCTATGTTCTGCTATGGCGCAGCAACTACGTGCAGGAGTAAGCAGTCTAAATATCAATGCCGATTTGAGCGTCGGCTCGAAGAATGTCAAAGAGCAGGCTGTGCATTACCACCGTGACATTTCCATCTTCAGTCTCCCGTCCGTCTTGTTTCAGGGGTGCCTACTGCCATACTTCAGACATCATCTGAACTACCGAACGTCCCAACTTCAGACGATCACCAAGCAAGAAGTATGCAATAGAACTGCGTGTAATATGTATGTCCTGCTATATGCAGGTAGGATAGAGAGTTATCGCGGCTAGGGCCTTGAAGGGAGACGAATAAGAAAAGGGAATTAGGAGTCCCTCATCGTCTGTTTCGTACACCTGGCTGGACGTATCACAGTATGGTCGCAATAAAGTCGTCTGTCCTAGGGTCTATTGGTGACCGGAACATTCCTACTCCGGGGTGAGAAACACTATATACATAATTCATTCTGCTTGCCTGGCCAGATTGTGAGACGACGATATTAGATGAGAGGCTATGTTGGTTATCAACCTACTCCCCCCCTTCCAGCGATATGGATATTCGAGGTAATTATAACAAACCAACCCATACATCAAGAAACTATGATTTTGCGAGTACATATTGTTTGTAACCTTCCTAATGCTTACATTTAAAATTGATCAGACAAGAGGACATCGGTGATTTCTAACAGAAGCGAGATTCTCCCGATTAACAACTTTCAGCATGTGTAACGATTTTTATTTCTTTTCTTCGGCGGAAACTGTCATTCATATTCGTGTACGTCATCTCAACATTGCAAAGTGTGTGCTTAATAAATAAATAATCCATCCATTATGTGAAGAGGGGGAGGATATGCGCTGCCCTGTTGACCCATCGATGTAACCATGGCTTCCTAGCCAGGCTCAGCAACAGTTAGATCATGTCGAATTTCCCCTAAAAAACTGCCTCCCAACGTAATAAGCACACGGGTTTCTAGCCACTCAGTCCCAATCTCCCACTCACATACGAAGTGCTTTGTCAGGCCTGATAGACTGACGGAACACGGGACCCCCCGAAAGCTAGAAGAACGAAGCAAACAACGCCCAATCATATAAAAGAACCGACGCCGCGTATATGCATCCAGTCTCCTCAATGATGGCCCATTGAGGGTAGGTATCTCGTGTAAAAGCCTTGATATCCGTCTATTGAACAGCTGCATGAAGTTGTGCCACAGGAGAACTAAAGTGAAAGATAAATTCGAGGGGATGGGAAGCGGGATATGGTATCTCTGCACAATTATAATTGTAATCGAAAAAGGGGAATGAAGATAACCACGGCAAAATGACACTAACAAAAGCATGCATTCTACATGCTCACCTCCCGTTCTTCCTGGATAGCTGTCATTTCGCTACTAATGGCACCCGTGCCAAGTAGGGGTTGACTTGGGGGAGGCATCGAAAAAGGCCTAGAGCCTGTTGGTGTCGTGCTACTGGTACCGGGAATCATGTTAGGACCAGACGGTCTATTCAACGCCGTGTTCATATCTGCCTCGGAAGGCTGCTCGGTAATCTCGCTGCTGGGCATCTCTCGCTGTAAAGGAGACGAATGGACGGGCGAGTTGGATTTCTTACTTGCCGCATCGCCGTTACCCCCACGGGAAGAATTTCGTGGAGAGACCCTGCCCGTCTGGAGCGCATCATTAGCTTAAAGCACAGCAAGTACACTTGTATGGAAAGAAAGCCACAAACCTGCTTTGCCCACCTAAGGCCGCAGCTGTTACATAGGTCCCTTTGCCCACTCGGGCCTCTCCGCCATTCAGGTGTGTTGCGAGTATGACAATTGGCACAGTCTCGGACAAAATTTCCAACCCCCTTTCTACGCTTGCGCTTTTTCTTGTTGGACAAGAGCCCATGCAGCTCCTCGGCCAAAACTCGGTTTACTTTCTCCATCTGCCGCAGTTCATACTGCCAACTGGTACATCTGGTCGTCTTGAGTTCGTCGAAAATATTATCGTCCGAGGCAAGAGCCCTGTCCTGATTACCAGGAGCCATACCGCCACCTGCGGCTGCGGACAGGACACCATGACGCTGTTCGTCTGGTATAGGGCCACCTTGCAGCACGGTGAAAGTAGACATCGTCTTGGGGTCAGCGGATGAGTGGCCCGTGGAACCCTGCCTATTAGATAGTGCAGATACAGCCGGTCCCGTCGCTCGTGAAGATGCCTTGACCAACTTCGTCTGGGCAAGCAAGAAAGTTGGTTTCTGTCCTTCTGAGGCATCACCCGGATACATAACGGTATGGGCTTGAAGGACTTGACCTCGGCGATTTTGTACCTCATGCTTACAGGTAACTATGCGTCCTCTCCTCGCTTTCTCAATAGAACGGCCAAACTCGGCACGGGATTCTTTGCGCATCAACTCCTGAATGCTGGTGCCCACGAGATTTTCCGGCTGCAGATCCAGCAGAGACCGAACATTGGCGGAGACGAACAGAAACATGCCGGAAGTAGAGAGTTTTGTCCATAACTCACTGTCGCCGATGCCGCCGTTAGCCTCCAGCTCACGTCGACTGAGAGCAAAAACCGGACGCTTCCGACCAACAAGGATAATACACTTTCGACCCTTCCCCTGCTCAACAAACAGCGAACCGTGACTTTCAAACCAAGTATATCCATTTTGCTTCCTCCGTATGCGGAACACGATGTTCACCGAACTCCCATTAGTAGCATCTTTGAGCTCTCGGGTAACGGGAACAATGTCGGAAGGGTGGGAGATGGATGAAATAGAATTTCCGACAAGTTCGGTAGCGTCGTATTCAAGTACACGCTTGCAGGATGGCGATAAGTAAAGGAAAAGTCCTTTCAATGACAGGACGTGGACGACGTCATCGGCATTCTCAAGGAGCATCTTGTCCCATGACTGCCGATGCCAATCAGAAACAGATCCCTTGGGATTAAATTGTTGGAGTAGAGTAGATACGTCGTCGACTCCTAGAGTTTGTCCATTCTCTGGTTCCCATTGGCTTGACGCTGGCGGGGTCCAGATGTACTGGCCAATATCGCTATGCTTATAATTGACCTTCATAGTACCCGGTCCTTGGTGGGAGGCGATAGCATCCGGACATTCAACGAGGTCAATCTGAAACCCAATGATATATCTAATCTCAGAGGTATCCCACGGGATAGGGATCATAGTCAATAGGTTCAAAAAGGGTTTACCACCTTTTCGATAGTTAATCAAGCTCTGCTGTACTTCCTTCCCTTCCGCGATCTTCTGCTTCAAATTGTAAACTGCCCCGTTGTCAACGAACTCACGTTTCGTGCCGGCTTCCACCTTGCCGTCCGGCGCCTGGAGAAAACGGCAATTCTGACCAACAATCTCATGCCGGCTATAGCCCGTCAGGTTTTGAAAATTGTCCGAGACGTATATGATGGGGCAGTCATTCATCGTAACATCGCAGACAACGAAAGCACACGACATATCGACTGCACCGAGGTTGACTTGCGGGCTTTTACGCGTAGCCACGAGCCAAAGGGCCCTTAACATATCAAAACCGCTTTTGGAGTAGATGGTCTTCTCTTTCACAGGCTGAGTAGCCATGACAGGGTTGGCCGAGACGACTGGCTGAGACGGCGCAGCACTCTCTGGTGTTGTCTCAGTCGTAGTGCCCATAGGGGACTCGTACGACGGCGTAGATGATACGAGGGTCTGGGGTGGGACCTGGGAAGAAGACTGGGGAGAAATACTAGGTTGGAAGCCGTTCATGGAAGTATCCAAGCCAAGGTTCGTGGGCTGGCCATGCTGGTGAGACGGAGAGAATTGTGGAGAGGTGTGCATCATGCTATCATCGCCAGCATCTACTGGTATACCAGCACTGGCGTTATGCGGGACAGCACCCATAGCGGTGTTCTCGCTCGACAAGTCCATACTGAATTCAGCTGATAGGCCATCCATGGAATTCGATGGAAATGCGGTAGTCATCGTAGTCGCCGACGTGAACATGCTCATGGAAGGATCGGAGCCCATCTGGCCCATGTTCATATTAGAGAAGGCAATCATATTGCCAACCATGTCTGGAGAGAGCGCAGAAAATTCATCGGCAAGCATAGTCGGGGAAGAGAAGCCGGCTGAAGTGCCCGGTAAGGTAATATTGGTATTGAGACTGGGGAAGCCGCCGTTCATAGCATTAGCCGACGAGTTTGGCATGACTCCGAATTGGTAGTCCCTAAAGGAGGGGTCGTTACCGCCAAACTCCATCATGGACATTCTCCGATCGGTGTCAGCCTGTGATATCTGGGTTGGAAATTGCTGCGGCAAACTCCGTCGTCTTTGGAGTTCTTGGGAATTGCTGCGGATGATATCGTCGAGAGAATCGGCGCCTACCATGGAGGTATCCGGGTTTGCAGCAGTGACAGGACAGTATTGGGGCTGCTGGGCTGGCTGATTCAGCGCCGTAGCTTGGCGTCTTTGGTTACGTTGCTGGGCATGGCGGCGCTGCAGCTCCTCTTGGGAGAGCTGGTTGCCGAAGAAGTTGTCCATCTTGGCCACATCTATTTAGCAGCGAGGAGAACCGATCGTTGGAGGCCACAGAATTACCTGGCGCAATCCGCCTCAAGATAATAGTACTTTGATGCGACAACCGTATTTTTGTTCGTACGACAAATGGGCAATCAAATGAGAAGGATCGATTGATGTAGTCGGTGATTGAAAACCTGTCATGTGAATACGTTGGCAGATAGAAAGAATATCAAAACCGGCCCGTGTGATGTGGCATATACGTCGATGGCTAGATAGTGTTGGGGCAAGATGCTCTGGAAGGTGGCGCTACTACTCGTGTACTATGGACGAGCATCGAAGGAAACGGACCTCATCCAGACAATATCCCCAAGCTAGGCCAGGCCAGTGTAGCAATCTATGAATGACGAAGTATCAAATAAGCAGCAGGTATTGGTTCGACAGACGACCACATCTGGACTTGAAGCTGGCGTCCTGAGATGTGTTCGAATATGCAGATATGCACAAACAACCGATGATATGGATGGCCGAGAATGAGTGGAAGATTCGGATCGACGTGCGAGATGGTGGTGACTTCGCTGATAATTCCGCTGATAATTTCGCTGGATTATGGAGATCAGTCAGTAGACTCTGGTGATGTTGTTGATGTCGAAGGGCGATGATAGTAGCGGTAGTGGTAGTGGTAGTGGTAGTGGTAGTGGTGATAGCAATACGGTCAATGAGCGAAAGGGATTTCGAACAATGCCATCTAGATCACCCACTAAGCTTGTCGTTGAAGGTGGGAGGGTTAAAGGTTGAATTCGACCGACCGGGGTAAAGTTGGAACTTGGCTGCTTGGTAGCAGTAGACAGGGAATTGTTCGATCGAATCAGGTTGATCGAACTAGTGCAGCCCGTTCCTTCTTTCCCTCTCGGTTGGGTCATATACCGTATTTGCCGTACCAGACAACCCATTACTACCTACCTATACAGTTATCTATACTTTATTTCAGGTACCCTAAGTATATACATCCATATGTACCTATGTATGTATGTATGCAGGATGTATAGGTACGGGAAACGGTAGATTAAAACGGAATCACGGAAAACGCTCCCAGCATGCGGGGTCGTTCCTGGAGTACCTATGTCCCTATGTCCCTATGTCCTGACAGCACGTCCTTGCAACGGCAAGTGGCCATCTCGGCAACTTAATAATCCGACGTCTACATATCTCGTTCCTGACGACTTATGTCTTCTCAAAAGCTTCACTGATACTGTAAGGTGGTTTGCAATAATACTAAACAGAGCTGATGTTTAGTAATGTTGCTTGATATTGAACATGAAAAGTTTGTTTAGCAGGGCAATTTATATAACGCCACGAGAATCCCACCGTACTAGAAGTTACCAAAGCTATTCCAGTTAAGCGGTACAAGATCGTAAATACCCCGCCCGTGCAAGTGGTACTTTCCCCCTAAGCAAACCCCCATCTTTGCATGCATTAAAGCCCGGGCCACCCATACATCAATGCACAGGTATACACGTATGTATCTATGTAAATACAAAAATACATATCTTTGAGGATATATATTTGAATACTTATTATAAAAATGTAAAAATTAAATATATGTATTCTATGTGTATATCTATTATTACAGTTAATTTTGTAATTCAATTTAACCCTTAAATATGTAAAAAATACATAAAAAGGGCAATCAATGGTACTTTCAAGACAGGTACATGCAGGTACAACAAAAAGAACGACCTAGGTACATAGTGGAGTCAGCCTCGTCGCCCCATAACTTAATCTTTTGAAGTTAGCTGGCATTCATAACCAGTTAGGTACCTAACCCACATACAGTAGGCTTACCTAAATATTCAACCTCGTCATCGACCATCAACTATCAACCATTAACTCATGACATACCAACGCTTTTTATTATCGTAAATAATCACACATCCACATTTGACAGTCAAAAAAAAACATTTTCTTTTTTAATTTGCATCCTCTCGGGCTTCTCTCGCTATCTTTTGCACCAAAATCTTCATACCCAGAATGGACATTTCTAACAATAGAGACCCGCCTGACCGTCGCTTTTGTTATCCAGCAACGCTCTCCACAGGTAAGTCACCTTAATTCTATATTTCACTCTCTACCCACGTATTACTTGTTACTCCACTCGGTGCACGATTTCTGAGATTTCAGCCTCAATTTGCCGCATCCATAGGTGTTGCGCATCTCACATCGTGCATATCCTTATCTTTCTCTCTTCTTCTCTGTTCCCTCTTCGCAATTACCAACCCACCTCTTCATTCATCCAACCTTATCCTCTCTATCTTTACCAATCTCAGTATGCACAATTTGCGGCTCAGAAAAAAAAACATCACATTGACATGAAGCAGATCTTTCTCAACTACACCTTCAATTGATCATCAGTCAATTCAAGCCTACAAACAAACATCTGAACCAGTAGTGCCTTCTCTTTTCAGCGACGGCTTCCGAAGACACACATGACCGAAACTTCATACTGCTCAACCCAGATTCAAAGAATGAAGGCAACTCCGCAGAAACCGGGCCCAAATGGGTCCCGGGTGGTCAAGCGAAAGTCGACACCTCGACTTGGAGATGGCTTGTGTGAGGTCCTCAACGGCGTGTCTTGCTCACATGCTACGGATAAGAAACCGGTCATTGCTACTACCGCCAATGTTCAATTCCACGACAGAAACAATTCAACCCCAACTGCTACTTCAGGCACCCCCCCAGACACCAATGTCACTACACCGGTTTCATTCACCGGATCCTTGAACGTCGACCAGAGTCATGGAGCGAAGGAGCTTGAAGCGTCTACTTTTGACGAGAGTGCTAGCCATAACATGTCAACTTTTATTCCTCAGCACTACGGGCTGTCTTCAGCCACATTTACCCAAACATGTCCCCTGCTATATCCCGCAACGAGTACCAACTACTATCATGATGATTGGCCATCATCTATCTCCCCGGTCGCCTCGCCTACGTATCCGATTTATACAACACCAGCTCACATCTTGTCGGCTAGGATCTTACAGGAGTCAAGATTCCATCGTGATTTAGCACTCAATAAAATCATTCAGTGGTTCCTTGATGGAACATTGTCCTTGTCCGAGACGAAGGAGACGGCCAAGAAGTACGGATACTGGGACTTCCTTGGGGCTCTGGAGGCGTTGCACGCTACCACGACACCAGACGCTTCCCAAGACAATGTGAGCCAAGCACAGGAATTTCCCACTCCATTCGCTACGAATCAACCTGCCGGACATTCAACATCGCATACATCCAACGCCGTACCCCCCGGGACACACTCGGCATACATAGATGCCGCTGAAGCCGCTCGTCGTCACTTTCGCCAGAAGGTAATGAAGCATGTCGATATAGACAAGCTGTTTGATCCAAGCAACGAGTCCAAGCTTCATCTATTCGTGGACATATCCAATATTTTCATTGGCTTCTGCGACGCAATCAAGGCTTCGAGACGTATCCCCCAAGGCCACAAAATACCTGCGCCAGTTTTCTCGTTTAAGACGCTCGCTGTCTTGATGGAAAGGGGAAGGGCTGTACAGAAAAGAATCCTAGCCGGGTCTATACCTGGATATTCCGCTAGCAACCCCCGAAAGTACTGGCCACCTTACTTCTCAGAGGCAGAAGAGCTACGTTATCAGATGAATATATTCTGTCGTGTTCAGACGAGAAAGCTAAGCCACTCAAAGCGAAGAGGCAGAAAGTCACCTAAAGCCACTTCCCATGACGTAAACGACCTTAGCACGGGAGAGTCTACTGGGGATGATGGGTTGGTTATGGCCTACGAGGTTCGAAATGGAGAGCAAGGGGTGGACGAGAACCTCCATCTCAACATGATGAACAGTATGTGGGATCATATATCATGTCCAGGTACCATCGTACTAGCAACCGGAGACGCAGCAGAAGCTGAATTCTCCCATGGATTCCTACATTACGCAACCCGAGCACTAGAAAAGGGTTGGAGACTTGAATTGGTCACATGGAAACATTCCATCTCGTCTGCTTGGACTAATCCCAAGTTCTCTGGAAAATATTCTAGCCAGTTCAGAATCATCTACCTAGATGACTTCCTCGAGGAGCTACAGACAAAGACGGACGGCTATTCTGTCTAAAGGTCGTTCTCGTTACTCGACCCGCGGTTGTCACTCCGGATATGGGCACTGCTGCTTTTTACATGCCTACATGAGGGCTAAGATTCTGTCTCCACCCGGCACGCACCCCAATTTCGAATTATACATTCCATCGATTCCAATCGTACTAAGAAATTTTTTATTTTTTTTCCGTCTCGGTTGCCAATATGATTGGCAAGCATTTTCAGGCGTTCGGTATATTACGCTTGATCGCATTTTCGGTAACGCATTTCAGTCGAGATTTCATATTACTAGATCTCGATACTATCGCAGAGTATATCTCTGCAAAGGGGCTGCAATCATTGTATAGTGATGATTGTGCCCACATACATCTACGGATCAATCAAATTTGATCTCGGCCGCATATCAGATCGGAAAGATGTTTGCTTCGCAGCTATTATTGCATTAGGACTGGACAACATGATTTGACGGTTGATACCAAAGGGAACCACATGGGCACAGGTTGCAAGGGGATAGGTCTGTGTTGATGCTGGCGGAGTGGTGTTTCTACGGCTGTGGAAAAGCATTTCCGTTGGTTGACCGGTTGGTTGGTTGAACACTGGTTGTTTAAGTCAAATCGGGTTGGTTTGTTGCGAGATACCCTTGACAACGCGAAAGGCTCGCACACATGTGTCACAGGCGCCTACGAGGAGAGAGTTGAAGCTATGGAATCTTTGCTCCTGAATTGAATTTGGTTCCGCACATATTGAAAGTATGATTCGTGATAATTATCGCCGTGCGATTTTCCCAGGAGCCTAGGGTCTACGTAGTAAGGGATACTGGTGTTAGGTAAGTACTACATTATGATTATATCGATTATACCTACACAACTTGGGCCATCTAGCTACCGCTGTGCGTATGTACCTAAGTAGTCATGTTGCTTAAAGGGATAATATGGTTAATTTATAGGAAACGTGCTGCTGAATGTGGACGAATGGTGGGGGGTAAGCGGCGGTGGGAGGTAAGATGTAGTAGTACCTACATACATATATGTATGACAAGAATGGAATAAAGAAAGAGCTTACCAAATACATACATACATCCCACATGTCCTGGTACCTCTTACCTTATGTACATTCTCAAAATCTCACTCAAACCTAAAGTCTCGTAAGATTACCTAAGTCGATCGACGACGTACGCTGTTGCACATTGGATTCTTGTCCTCTTTCCTCTCTACTTAATCAAACACACCTAATAAAAACCTTTACCTTCGCTCAAGTGACTCTACTGAAAATCGGTCATCGGAAATCAGAGCTGATTCCAGTTTATTACGTCTCCCCTCACCTCACCTCAAATATTCCTAGAAAAAGCTTGCTCTGTGCCTAATACATCCATTTCATTTATTCTCCGGGGCTCCGGGTTTATCTTCCTATCCTAACTCACAACTCCTCAGCGTCGCATTCGTAAATCTGCAAACAATCACACCGTGATCACGTAGCCCCATTTCAATGAGCAGTCCGTTGAAATGGCGGCACTTCGTCAATCACCGAGGCTCATCGTGGTTGCCATTGCCGCGTTCTCCTTTGTAGCCTGCTTCCTCATCTTCACCCCACGTTCTACATATTCCAACCCTCATTCTATTGGCCACAGTGCTTCTCGTGTCCCGCCAGCGTCCTCCCTGGGGAAGACCGATCGAGTCTTTGACAAGGAATACAAGGGCAACTCCTCTCCCGCGGACATCAATCGAGTCACCAACGAGACCTTGGGTTTTGAGAAGATCTTCGTTGTCGGCCTCCCAGAGCGGACCGACAAACGCGATGCCATCACACTTACTAGCTCTTTAACCGGGTTTCGTGTTGAGTGGGTCAATGGTGTAAAGGGCGAGACTGTCCCAGACAAAGCCGTACCGTTTGCTGCAGATCGAAAGAAGCTCTGGGAAACGAATCTAGGAAGTTGGAGAGGGCATATGAATGCAGTTCGCAAGATTGTCGAATCTGACCTCAGCTCTGCCCTAATCATGGAAGACGACATGGACTGGGATGTACGTCTCAAACCCCAGTTGGAGAGGGTTGCTCAGGGCGCTAGGGCCCTTCTCTCCTCCGCCTCGAGGCCGAACTCTCCTTACGGAGATGACTGGGATCTCATGTGGCTTGGACACTGCGGAGAGGTTTTCCCGGAAACCTTAGATGAGAATATAGAAAAGCCCGACGATGATCCTAGCATCGAATACATGTCGCGGAAGTTCGTTATCGAGAAGGATGCGACCGTGCCACCGAAGGACAGGGTTACTGGTCTCGTCAACTTTGGAAATTATCCGGAGTACACACGTTGGGTACATATCACGGGTGCTCCTATATGTACTTTCGCCTACGCCCTGTCGCAGCGAGGGGCTCGTAAAGTTCTCTTTGACTTGTCGGTTGACCACCTAACAGGACCTTTTGATAACGCATTAGCTGGACTCTGCAGACGAGCAGTTTCCACATGGGGCATCGAAGATCCCGCGATGGCTGGCGATCGAGGACTCGATGCAAAATGTATCAGTGTCACGCCACCTATATTCTTCCACCATAAGGCCAGAGGTCTCATAAATGGTGACAGCGATATCCAGACCGTCAAAGACGGACAGATTCGTGAGAAGGGTGTGACCGAGAATATTGTGTGGAGTGCAAGAAATAACATCAAGAACTTGATCATGGGAACCAGGATAGAAAGCCAATACGAATAGAAAGTCAGCTTAGGGTTGGGCCATCATAAATCCGCTATACGCACAGAGTATGAAATCTCGAAATGATCCATGCCCAACATCAAAGTATGAATACATCGGTGGCTGTTCAACTTTCACGGGACACGGCGGGATGGGAATGAAGCTCCGAAGCAAAGAACCCGCCGCATCCGCCATAAAATAGGGGCACGCGATTATCTGTGCAGGTTGTAAAGGGAGACTAGCACCAAATTTCAGCCTTCGGTTACTGCATATAGCCAGGTGAAATCGGCTGTCCTGCGCTAGCCGTACCAAGAGATGTATCCACTGATAGAATCCGCCGCCACAATCCGTCTCCTCGAAAGATAAACGAAATATAACGCACAATGGGAGTCTTAAGTTACAAACCTAAAATGGCGAATTACTTACAAGAAGTGGCGCCTGAAATATCATCCATATGTCCTCCGATACCTTAAGTTGATAACATTGTTGAAATATACCCCCCAAACATATGGTCACCCATGCTAGGATAAAGCTCCTCGATGAGAAGGTTGGAAGCAATGGAAGCAATACGCCTTAGGAATCAAAGTTCATGATCTCTGATTAATGTAGTAATACAATGAACTATTACCTCGTAGGAAAAAAAACACACCTATCCTCTTCTCTCGGAGCTTGGTCTAGCGACGTGTAAAATTTCCCAGGATATCACCAAGTTAACCTTCAAGGGAAAGTTACATTTCAATATTCCCGTAGGGACATTGACCTCGTTGCCTCTAGCAGGATCAATGTAGTTAAGTCAAGTAACTTTTCCGCGTATTCACCATTTTCCCAACCGAAGATTTATATAACGCCTGTCCTACATACTATAGGCAGCGTAGGGCTGGGGTGTAAGGGTATAGAACGCCCCGTGCTAAGGGGCGCCGCCACGACCTCCCGTGCCCCCTACTGCTTGTGCTTGCACTATATCCGCTCTGATATCTGGCAGCTGCCTCCCTTTCTCAGTCGGCCGGTTGATGAACTTGGTCTCAGCAAGATATCGGAGATATCTGCCGACATCTTCCCTGGTAATTCCGTAGCCAGAGCTCTCGTCTATTCCAGTCCACTTGTCCGCATCCGCCTTTAGCACCGAGACCGCATTTCTATCATCTAGCTCTGGGGCACGGGTAGTTGCTGGCAAGTCATTCATACAGAAATGCGCTAGTGGCATTAGTGCATGCTGCTCTTGATCCTTCTCGAGAGCACCAGCCGACACGAATCTCTCCAACTCCTCTTTCCAGGAGTCATAACTGACCTCTGGGGCCTTGTAACCGTAGTACTCTAGTATCGATAGATACTCATTCATGCGGAGGCGCGGGTGAGCAGTAACATGGATTACGTTTACTCCGCCTTGAAGGGGGTTCAGGGCGGCGGCAACGACCACTCGCGCGACGTGGTTCACGGGAACAGCGTTGACGGTATTGATAATGCGGGGGCGTGCTGACAGCTGTATGCACCCTTTCAGCATTCGGATCAGAAAATCGTCCACGTTGCAGACACCGGTCTGAGAATCGCCTAACACGTACCCTGGCCGAACGACCGAGCCCTGGAGACCCCGTCGTCCAGCCTCCCGAACAAGTTGCTCTGATACCCACTTGGTCTGTCCGTACCCCGTACCAAGTCCGGTCCGGCTGCCATCCATGCTATCACTCTCCATCACGGCGCCCTGTCCCGTCCTAGTCTGCTCTTCTGACAGGTTGATGTAGTAATCTGTGTCGAGGACGCTTGTCGAGCTTACGAAACAAAAGACCTTCGCCTTCCCCTCGTTACAGAGCTTCATCGCGTCGATGGTCGACAGCACATTGGATGCCATCATGTCCTGGTACTTACGAATCCAGTGTACAGTAGCTCCATTATGTATCACCACGTCGACTTCATGGGCTAGTCCCTGCCAAGTCGCATCATCAACGCCGAGCTGGGGTTTGGATAGGTCTCCCACGACGGCGCTCAACCTTGGTAGCCACTCATCATTCCACAAGCCATAGCCTTGCAGAGAACGGCGAAGTCGTTGGAGCGCTGCGTTCGAGTCTTTGGCACCACGGACATGTGCGATCAATCTGATATCACGAGATGACCGGTCAAGGATATCCTTCACGAGATATGATCCTAAAAATCCGGTTGCTCCTGTTAGGAATATCGTCGAGCGTCCGGGAGTACCAATTGCCTCGAGATCGGCGGTTTGATATCTGCCGGGTAGCTGGCTCGATAACTCGTCCAGAGACTTGGTATAGGCTGGATCGCCCTCCTGTACCTCGGTAGTGCCGCTGTCGGCAGTGCCAGCCTCTCGGATCCTCTTCTCAACGTGGGAGCTGAAGCTAGCTAAATCGGGATGCTCATAAAAGCTGTTGATAGAAACATCCGCGCCCAGGCCTTTACGGATCTCTAAGAGAAATTGCTGGGCTAATAGGCTGTGTCCACCCAGATCAAAGAAGTTGTTATCTCGTCGAACAGTTTTTGGGTTGACTCCTCGGATAAGATCAGCCCATTTCTGAGCCACTGCTTGCTCAGTGGAAGTTAACGATTGCCAACTTCTTAAATCTTCCTCTGAGGCATCTTCGACAATCTCAGTAACGTCCGGGAACGGAAGATTCGGCTTATCAACTTTGCCATTGGGGTTTAGAGGGAGCTTATCCAGAACGATGTAGATGCTCGGCACCGAGTGCGTAGGTAATCGAGACTTCAAGTGATCTCGTACCTCGGTTTGCATACTTCGGTACTTCTTGAGGAAAACACGAGTGGGACCCATTTCAACGCCCTCATCTTCTACTTCATCCAACTCCCGAGCAGAAAGCCAACGTCGCCACTCGGCTGCTTCGGGGACCAGGTAACTTACCAACGTCGGTTCCTCATTGCGGTCTCTTCTTACGAGGGTCTTGCAATCGCGGATCAATGGATTCTGGCTAAGATTGCTGTCGATATCGTTGAGCTCGATCCGAAATCCGCGAATTTTGACCTGGTCATCAGCACGGCCAGTACATTCGACATCTCCAGATTCTAGGTAACGTCCTAAGTCGCCTGTACGGTAAAGCCGATCTCGTGGTCCCTTGTAGTATTGTCTCCAAAGCTCACCCTTGATCGTTTTATTGTCAGCCTCGACCCATTTATCATTATCGACGAACCAGTTCGTTAAGAACTTCTGTTTGTTTAAGGCCTCGTCACCTAAATAACCCCTGGAAGTAAAACTATCAGCAGCGTGGAAGAAATAATGTATAACATATCCAATAAGAATCAACTCACTCAGCAAGGCCGGCAGCCCGAACAAAGATCTCCCCTACTTCGCCTACCTGACAAAGTCGGGCTCGGTTTTCCCTATTAACGACTAGAAGTTGAACGTTTTGCATTCCCTGTCCAGCTGGGACTGTGTCCTTAAGGTTGTCTAGGAATTCGGGATCCCTTGCCCGGCTCGGGACTTCATAGTAACTGACAGATCGCTGAGTTTCTGTTGTTCCATACATGTTGATAATGTTCGCGTTCACGGCAAGCTGCCTGAGAGAGCGACACTGCTTGGTCGTCAACACGTCACCAACGAAAAAGACGTGCTCTAGGCTTGGAAACTCGGCTGTGGCACCGCCCACTAAGATCTGACCCATGGCAGGGGTAAGATGGGTTACGGTAGGCTTCATTTCACGCATCCACTCGGCTAGTTTCTCGTGTTGAATATCCTCTTTAGATGGGACAAGAAGTTGGGCGCCGAGGTAGAGTGGCGTGAAGATGTCTCTCTGTACGGGGTCGTGCGCGAGACCGGAGAGGAGAGTATATCTGCTATCAGATGACAGGTGGAAGCGCTCGGCCATCCAATCAAAATATTTGGTCAGACTGAAATGGCGACCAAGGACTCCTTTCGGTCGCCCTTCGCTTCCGGACGTGAAGGACAAGGTAGGGTTTGAATCGGGCCCAACTACCACATTAGGTGGCGATGATGCAAGGCCCCTGACATCGCTGAAGATGTCTTGGCTGTCTACCTGGCCTCCGAAGAGGCTGCCGTCATCAATGAGGCGTAGTTCGGGAACTTGAGCCTTTAGTTCAAGTTCTTGGTCGATATAGTCTTGGACTAAGTCTGCTAGAGGGCCATTCTCATCGGTTGCACGGCCAATCTTGATCAAAGCACGTGGCTGAGATACCTCAAGGTAGATCTTCTGCCTAGCCGGAGGATATGCAGGATCCAGGACAGTCATGGTGGCGCCGGACGCCTTGATTTGAAGCAGCAAGGTTAGCTAGAACTTGAAGCTTTAGGAGGGGCATAAGGATATAATTATGGCATACCAGAGTACCCATAAAGGCAATAACCAGGTCGACGGAACGATGCGCCCAGATCATCACCACGTCTCCATTTGCAATACCGGCTTTATGAAGATACCAGGCGAGGGTGTTAGAGGCCTCGTATATTTGACGATAGGTAAAGCATCTCTCGGGATGGGTAGACGACTTGGTCTCCAAGACACAAGTTCTATCAGGGTGCTTCTCAGCCTGGGCACGGAAGCGTTCATGAATTGAACCCGCATAGCCCGACCAGTCGAGATCGACTGTCGGGTCGGGTAGGGGTGCCATAATTGGTTACAGCCCTGAGGCTACGTGACTGTTGGAGTGAGTTTGCGATTAGAAAAGTTGGAAATTTCGCAAAATTCGTGAACACTATAGCTTAACTAACTTGTTTACTGTAGTGGGTGAATATGTATGCAGTATATGTAGATACGATGAATGAATCACAAAAAAATATTGGAGGTAGTGGGGTAGTGGGGTAACCAGGTACCACGTAGGTACCTAGCCCTTGTGATACGGTACCTGCGTGATGTTTGTACAAGTGCTGTACAGTTCCGAGAACGGACTGAACGGAATAAGAAGTGTACCTACCTCCTGCTGTCAGCTTGATTCCACTAACCAGTACCTTGAATTGCGTAACCGTCTAGTGTAGTTGCGTGGTGATTATGTAACCAATTGGATTCAAGATCAAACTTTAAAGCGTATTAAATACTTGAATAAGAGTCCACGTTTCAACATATTTCCATCTTTCCTAGACCTTCCACAAAATGTCATATATACAATCAATCTTTCCGCCCCATCATACTCGAGGGAGCCTTGCTGTATCATACATGTCGTCAGCGTTCAGTCGGTCGACACCAAGCTGCATCAGCGGCTCCCACATATAATCTCCTGGCAGATCGTCTGTATGGCCTGTCAGCTTGTCTCGTAACTATGCCGAGCGTTTCTCTGGATTGAACTTACAATAACGAACTTTGAGCCCTGCCGAATGAGCATTCTGTACCTGAGATTGGACTTTATCTTTCTGATCCTGACTGAAAGAGCTCGCGCTTCCGGGACTTCCAATCGCATCCTTGAAGTCGGCTGATGCGTAGTACGAGTTCGCGCTGGTGTATTCAGCATCCCACTGGTCCACCTTGGCATCGTAGAATACATCTCGGTCAGGAACACCGTCGCCGGAGTTGATGCGATCGAACGGCGCACTTCCGCTAGCCACTACAGTAATTTGCTTTTCGACAAATTTGCCCCCGTCGAGGCGAGACAAGTATCCTCCATCCCGGAGGGGTTGCAGCGCCTTCACGACAGCATCCAGAGTTCCGTTATCGGAAGTCTTGAAGTCTACCAGCAGTGTGACGCTCTGTCCAGGCTCGGCTTGGTACAGGCCATTACTACCGGGGGAGCCCCCATTGTTGTGGTCTAATATATCTCGCAACGGCTGCGTGTACTGGACTTTCAGCGTTCTGCCAGGTGTTGGAGCGACGTGGCCGATGATGACATCTCCGTCCGCGAGGAACACATCAGCTTCGATTCCAATGCATCCCGCACTCATCGCCGAGTAAATGGGTATGTCACGGGTGTAGTCGTTATGGCTATGGCAGTTGGTGGGCTTTACGCTCTTTAGGGAATCTAGGGGCCACGGGTTCAATGGCGGTCCGGATCCCATATTGACGTCCTGGGCCGCCAAGGCTGCGCCGGAGAACAGCTTGTCAATGGCGTCTTGTTGGGGCGGTATCTCGTTGGCGAGGGCGTGGTAAGAAACACCATTATCCCCAACTTGCCAAGTACCGCCTTTCGTATCATGATTAGTCTCTCCGGAACAGTTACCTCCATCTGCGCTCAGTGCCAAGAGGTAGTTTTTACAGCTGTCGGCTAGTTTACGTTAGCAGCGAGCTTATATACATGGGCAGACGGCAAATTTGTGGCACTAACTTGAGATAGTATGATCCGAGCTTTGCTTGTTATGGACCTCGACTACACCAGATGTTAGACTCGGGCATGGCTTTTTGAAGAGGCATTCATACAATATACAAATCCAAGAACCCCGTACGTGGCCGGGTCCTTTCCGCCGTTAAGGTAGACTTCCGTTGCCATAGAGAGATACCCATTAGGCTCCACCGTCTGTCCATTCGCCGCGCTGCAAAAGGCTTGCACCGCAGTGCTGAAGCCTGTGCGTGTATCAGTTCCTTGAGCAATCGTAACGTCGTCCCTAGGCATCCAGGTACTTCCACAGCTAGATATTCCGTCTGTGGTCCGCGGTCTCAGACAATGACCAAGTGGGACGAGCTAAGACTTTTCGTTAGTTACGTCGTCGAGTAGAGAAGAAGGTGCTAACCAGGGACCCAGCAGCAGCAACTGCTAACATAGTGAGCTCCATGATGTCTATGGATCTCTTCTTGCCAAGATGGAATATTGTCGGGTCTTGGATAAGCAAGAAGTCAGGATCGACTTGGTGGTCCTCGCGATCTTATCATTCTTTTATAATTATGAACTTAATCTTAATAAGGAGGACATTCATTTTGCTCGGGCCAATGAAGCCGCATCTTGTAAGCTCGTGTGTGTGTGGCTTTGTATGGTAGACGCTCCTTAGGTAAATAATAACACCTTCCTCTAACGGGAATATTCTACATCCTACGCCCACCGACGTCCCCCACATCTAAAGCTGAATGCTGAATGCTGAAGCTAATACGGCAGGTCTATTAATATCCGGTAAGCCCGAGAGACAGATTCAAATATGATCGTCTCCATGTGGGTTTAAGGAGCGGTGACTAGGTCATCCGTAACTTGGCTCGCCATTCACCAGATAAGTTAACGTGACATACATAACCCCGTGCCATAAATAACTTCCCAGCAAGTAGCTTCAATTAAATTAAGGACATGCCAAATTGCGAGATAGCCTCATGCAAATACCGCATAAAAAGCCAGACCCAATCAATATTAAGCCTAGTTGAACATATTTTCATCTTCAAATTTTCCTGACTCTTACTTTTAGTTATCCAGCACTCTGTGGACTGGAGCTAACGCCTGCGACTAGGACTCAGAGTTTTAATCGCCAAACTGCAGAATCGGAGACGGTGTTTTTTACTCTCTGCTTTTCAAAAAGGTTGAATAAAAAGGAATGAAACAATAACAATTCAATAACAGGGTCCGCAGAACAACGGAGCATTTCCCAGCGCATTATTCATGTCTGAAGAGCTTCATCCAATACGCTTGGGTCAATAAGCGCAGCAAGACTTTCTCTCGGAAGAGCGTCCCTTCTAGCATTTGGAGCCACAAACTTGTCTTCATCGACTAGCACATCCAGCATATCCGATGGCACACGCACATCCCATTTATGGACAGGCCATACCGCTTCCAACAGTGTGGCATTGGTGTTGACGGCTTCTGCAGCTCGAGTTATGACTTTTTGGGGGTCAGTCTGAAAGATGTTTTCTGCTTGCTTCAAGGCCCTCAAGAATTGCACGATCTCTTCCCTCTTCTTTGGATCGTCGAGTTTTTCGGTTGTGGTGGCGAGGTTATAAATTTCTCGGTAAATTGTTTGATTATCTCCAAACACAATAGTGTCAGATCCAAGTGCTTCAGCGCCTAGCTCCACCGACGGCTCCCACATCCCGATGGCGTCTATCCTCCCATCTCTGAGCATTGCAGGGAAAGTGGCAGCGCCACAGGGCTCTTGCAGACATCCAATCCCATTTACGATCGTATAGTCTGCCGGTTCTAGCCCAACTGTGGAAAGATACGTCTGGATAAAATACTCAGACGATGTCGACCTAACAGCACCAATGTTTTTCCCTTTCAGATCCACTAAGGAATTAATTCCAGACTTCTTGTTGGCGACAATTCTATAATAAACTTCCGCCACCGTGCCAATGCTCCGGAGGTTTCTGTGGGATCCGAACTGCAGGAGCAATTGAGTCTCAGAATTCGACCCGAGGTCGACCGTTGAGTCGCCGTATAGACTTGCGATGCCGCCATTCACGATATCAACATCGCCTTGGAAATAGTCTTCCTTCGCGATGAGCTCGGGAGTCCATTCCAGAACCCCAAGCGCGCTTGCTATTTTCAACGAGCAGGCAAGATGCGCGGTAAAAAGCACAGAAAAGGTGGCGATATCAGCAGCTTTGAACAGATGCATGACGATGTGTCTGATGTAGCCATTAGGTAGCAATAAGTACTCATTTTAACCATTCCGACGATAAGTGCTTCGATGCGACTTTATACATCTTCCAGTATGTTACAGTCGGAAGCAAGAGTTCCAACAACGATAGTAGTCATATATTTAAGGTAAAATTAAATTAGGCTCTTAGAATTTTGCCGGCATTGTGAAGTCTGGAGTTTCATCAATTGTTGATTCTTCTAAGTTCTAGTTATCGTTACTTAACTATAAGAAGAATATTTCTAGCTTTTCGAGCAAACGTTCCTGTTTTGTTGCTTTGCTAAGCACGCTTTTATTTTTCCAAGCTTTATGCCCTGAGTTTACGAAGGGTTATTATGGCGTTGATTTTTTTTTTTCCTTTAAGAAGTCCTTTGAAAAATTACTTAAATAAGTAGTTTTAAGATAGCGGCTTATCGGGGAGGCTTAATTAGTTAAAACCTTTAATTAAGTGGGGCTTTTAATATATCCGGTCTAAATCCGGTTTATATAATTTAAATTTTAATAAAATTAATTAATTTAAATTAATAAAATTTTAATAAATTATTTTATAAAAATATTAATTAATTATAAAAAATAAATTAATAAATTTAAATTAATAAATTTTTAATAAATTTTTTTATAAAAGTTTTAATTAAATATATCGTTTTTTTTAATAAATTAAAATTATTAAATTTTTAATAAATTATTTTATATAATTATTAATTAAATATATTTTTTTTAATAAAATAAATATTTTAAAAAAAATAATTATATAAAAAATTTTTTAATTAATTAAAATTAATTAATTTTTAATTAAATTTATAATTTAATTAAATAAATATTAATTTATAATTAAATTTATAATTTAATTAAATAATTATTAATTAATAATTAATTTATAATTTAATTAAAATATAATTAAATTTATAATTTAATTAAAATATAATTAAATTTATAATTTAATTAAATTATAATTAATATAAATAATTATTTATAATATTAAAAATTAATTAATTAATTAAATTAAAATTAATTAATTATATAATATAACGGTTTTATTTTTTAAATTAAATTAAATTAAATTTTTAATTTAAAAATAATTAAATAAAATTTTTATATAATAATAAATTTTTTATTTTAAAAATTTAAAATTTAAATTTATATAATTAATAAAATAATTAATTAAAAATTAATACGGGGTAAATATAATTTAAATAATTATAAAAAAAATAAATTTTTTAATAAATTAATTTTTATAAATTTAATTATATAAATTAATAAATGTTTTAATTAATTATAATTTTAAAAAATAAAAAAGTTTTAATTTAATAAATTTATAATAAATTATTTTATATAATTATTAATTAAATATATAATTAAATTAAATAAATATAAAAATAAAATAAATAAAATTAAATAATAAATAATAAATTTATAATTATTTAAAATTAAAATTTAAAAATTTAAAAAAAAAAATTATTTTTAAACATTAATTTTAATATTTTATTTAATTTTTTATATATAATATACATGTTTTTTATATAACCGTTATTTTTATTATTTATTATATAATAATTTTATTATATATTTTTAAAAAAAATAAACTTTTTATTATAAAGAAATTTTTTAATTTATAAATTTTTAAGTTTTATAATTATTTTTTTTTATATTAATTATTCCGATTATTTATAATTAATAACGTTAATTATTCGAAAAAATAAATGCTTTTTTAAATTAACTTTTAATTTTAAATATATTTTTTAATTTTTTTTTACTTTTATTAACGGTTTTTTTCGCCGTGTTTTTTTATATTTATTAATTTTACTTTAAGCGTTAATTATATTTTTTTTATTAACTTATTAATTATATTTAAATAATTATTTTATTTATTTAACTAAATATAAATTTTCATTATTTATTTTTTTTTATTTATAATTTTTTTTATTTTTTATTTTTTTTTTATTTTTAATAAAATTAAAAAATTATAAAAAATCGTTTGTTTTTAAATTAAGTTTTATTTTTTAAAGTTTTAATAAAAAAATTAAAAATATATTATATAATTATAAATATTTATTAAGAAATATAAATTAATATATTAATTTATTTATAAATTTAAAAATTTAAAATAATTTAATATATTTCGAAATTAATTTAAAATTAATACCTTTAAATTTTAAATTTTTAATTAATAAGTTAATTAAATTATTTTTTTTAACATTAAAAACATATATTATTTATTATAAAACTTTATTTAAAATTTAATTATATATTTTTAATATTCTTTTATTTTCTTTTTAATTTTTTTAAATTTTTAAATTTTTATTTTTATTACCGGTATTTCCTTTTTAAAAATATTATTTTTAATTTTTAATTATATAATAAAATATTATTTTATTAAAGTTATAAATAATAAAGTTTTAATTATAATATTTTACGCATTATTATAAATAAATTATATTTTTTTTAATATTAAAGTTTAATGTAATTATTATTTTAAAATAAAACATTATAAATAAATTTTAAATCTTTAATTAATTCTTTTTATTTAATTATTTATTTAAAGGTAAAATGTTATTAATAATCATTTTTTAATAATATAATAATAATAAAAACTTAATTAAAATTTATTAATAAATATTAATTTTTTATCCGAAATTATATTATTAAATATTTTATATTTTATAAATATACGTTGTTTTAAAAATTATATTAATCTTATTAAATTAAACTTAATTATAATAAAAATAAATTTTATTTTCATATATTAATTTATAATAATAAAAATTATATTAACTTTTTAATTTTTAAATTATATTAATAATAATTTTATAATAAAATCCATTATAATTTCTTTCCACGGTTTTATAAATAAAAGAAATAATTATAAGTTTTTATAAAGTTTATATTTAAACATTTTTATTTTTTAATATATATTATAATTTTTAATTTATATTTATATATTTTATTTTATATTATTTTAAAAATATTTTTTCGTTAATAATTTTTAAATATATTTAATGCCGAAATGTTTCGCATATAAGTTATCGTGATTTTTAATTATTAATTTTTTTTAATATTTCGTTAATTTAATATATTAATTTAATTTTTAAATCGAATAAATTTATTATTATTAATTAACCATAAATTATTATTAATATTAATTTTTACTTTTAATAAATTTTTTTTTTATAATAAAATTTAATTATTATTTAAAATTTTTTATAATAACTTTTTTATTTTATTAAAATACTTTATATTATAAGTTATTTCTTTTATTATTATTTTATTTATTTTTTTTTAAAAAATTTTTATAGTTTTTTAAAAAACTTATTAAATATTATTTACTTAACTTAATTAATTATTTTATTTAATTAAATTTTTAAAAATTAAATTTTCGTTTTTTCGAATCGTTTTTTTTAAGCTTTTACCACTCGGAATAACGTTAATTTAACTTCCATTAATAATATTTAATTTTATTTAAATTCTTTTAAACCTTTTTTATAATTAAAATAATATAATTTAAAATTTATAAGACTTTTTTTTTTTATTTTTATATTTAATTTTAAAATTATAAAATAATAAATATATATATTATTAAAATTATTTTTTATTAAAACTTAATTAATTTATAAAAATATATAAGTTTTAATAATTTAATAAAACTTTTATAATATATTTATTACTTTATAAGTATTATTTTTAATATTTAAAAAATTTAATAATTATTATTATTTTATAATCCGGTGTATTATAATTTAATTCCGTTTAATTAAACTTTTTTAATTAAAAAATAATAAAATAATATATTTCTTTAAATAATTATAATATTATATTTATTATGGTATATGTTAATATATTAATTTTAAATTTAATTAATAACTTAAAATTAAAATAATATAATAAAAGATTTTTAATAAAAATATTACATAATTCGTAAAATGTAATTATTACTTCGCTTTATAATTATATTTTTTTTAGTTTTTTATTATTAATATTACTTTAAAAAAAGTTATAAAATTTTTTTATTATATTAAAATAACTTTTAATAAATTTCTTATAAAAGTTATAAAAACTTAAGAATTATTATATTTCTTAATATATAATAAATTTTATTTATTTTAATATAATTTTCACTTTAAATAAATTTATAAAAACATTTATTATTAATATAATAAATTTTAAGAATTTAATTTTAAACTTATAAAAAATACACTTAAATAATTTAACGTAAAAATTATATTTTTAAAATCTTTATAAAATTAATTTTAAATATTATATATAAGATTTTTAATTTTTAAAAAATATTAAAATATTAATTAAATATATAATATAAAAAACATTTAAATAATTATAAAATGTTTAAAAAATAAAATTTTAAAAAGTAATAAATGTATTAATTAATTTAAAAAGTATTATTAAATATTTATAATATCCGTAATAAGTTTAAAAACCGGTTTTTTATTTATTATTTTTTTTAATATATATTTAATAATATATATTTTTAAGATTAATTTTAAAAAAATATTATACCTTAAAAATTTAGTTTAAAATTTTGGAAATAAAAGGTAATAAGTATTTATTTTTAATTATATTTTTGTTAAAACTTTAATAATTTATATAAAGTTATAAACTTTTATTTTTTTTAAATATAAAAAAAATAAATATATTAATAAAGTTTTTAAATTTATATATTTTTTTTAATTTAAAGTTTTCTTTTATATATTAACGAAGTATTTTTAATTTATTTTTTATTAATAAATAAATGAGGTAATGAAAAGATATAATTTTAAAAGGTATATTAATAATATAATTAATGTTTTTATATGGCGGGAATTTATTAATTTTTTTAAATTTAAAAATATTTATATAATTTTATAATTCCATAAGTAAAGATTCTTTAATTAATGTAATAAATAAATTTTTTTTATTAAATAATAATGTATTTTTAATAAATAAGGGTATAATTTTTTTTATAATAATAATAATAAATATATAAATTACGTTTTTATTTTTTTTAACGAATTTATAAAGGTTTAAAATTTTATATTTAAATATAATTATTTTAAATTATTATTAATTTTTATCCAGGTTTAAAATAATTTATTTTTTTTTAATATTATTATTAATAATAAAATAAAGTTTTTATAATTTTATAAATTCTTATTAATTATTATATAATTATATATAAAAGTTTATATAATATTACGGTTATTAATAATAATAATTAATATTTAATAAACGTTATAAATAAAATATATTAATATGTTAATAATTTTAATAATAAAAGTTATATGTTTTATTTTTTATAACTTTATTTTTTTAGTAAATTATATATTAATAT